GCGGCGGGGACCTCGGACAGCTTGAGCGACCAATTCTACCCAACGGGATTTCGCACAACGACATCGCAAACACTTTACATCAGAGGATACACGGCTTTCAGAGTCTTACCAGGTGGGAATGATCAAGACAGGCTTCTGTCACCGCAATCGGACAAGATGGGATTCGTATATTCCATTTTGATCACGTACAGCAGCAAACAGACGTCGCGATCAAAACGCACGCTCTTGGCGGACAACATTCCCTATCGACCTGTCTTTCCCGACATTTCGTCCGTCCTTCTCAACCGACCACTCGCTCGGTCACAGCTCCTTCTTTTGCCCTTCCGTCCAGCAAGACAAGACACACTCCCACTCGCTACTGGCTGCCAAACTCAACAATGCGCAGTGACGACCTGACCAACCAGACGCGCGGAATGCTAAGAGGTTTCGATCAAGAAGAATGAGGGATCCGCGGATACGTAATTATCCTGGAATGTAACGAACCTTATCATGATATGTGACGTAATACATGAAACGTGATCGTTTCTCTCTCCCTCGTATTATCGAGCTGAGTGTGCGTATTCATTGCCCCAAGCCAACGCGATCTGAGATGTCCCGTGATTCAACGTCTAGTCGGTGCCTATACTGAAGCGCATGGAAGACCTGTGCCTCTGCTTGTCATCGCTGAGCGACCCGCTCCTCTCCCCTTCAATCACTAATGTCGCCAACTGTTTACTACTGAAACACAACTATTATGTAACTACGTATCACTCCATATCCACCAATACTACAGTACCCTTCACCCGCAGTTCTACCAGTCATGTCGAGAAGGCCCTCCGCTCTAAACACCAAGCGAACTTCCGGAGGACAATCTTCCGTAAGCCACTTCTACGTTCAACAACCTCATCAGTACCTACCATGCCTCAGCTGACATTCCGTCCTCGTGCCGCCTGGGAGCGAGCGCGGGAAGCAACATCCGGTTCTCGAACGATATCAGAACGTGAAAGCGTACAAGACGTCATATGAGGTGATTCTTGTGCAGCCAGCTCATGCAGAGGGCGATCAAAGGAGGTGACTAACATGCGACCTGATGTCCTGGTATCCCATGTACTCTTGTGTGTATTCACGCAGATATATATGTGCAGCTCGTATGTCAAGGAACTCCGTCACTCCCTTTCAAGTGATGCCGACGCGACCACTTTTTGCGAAAATGGTACCGTCAGAATATGGACAGGACGGTTCTTTCGCGACGTATACCCATACAGACGACCCACCTTCATCGCCATCGGCCGTGATGTCCCAAGAGACGGTCCCCGATTCCGCCTACGGAGATCGACCTGGCCAGGCTGCTCTGACGGATCGTACGATGGGATCATTTCCGGCTCACAATGCCGTTCAGGGCGAAAACAATTCCACCGATTCTGCTTTGACGCAAATCTCTCTTGGCGACGGTTTTGCTCCATACAACTCCCCGGTCATGCAGCATTTTCGCTGGTTGTACCACGACGATGACAGCTTTAAAGCGTGCCGAGACCAGGTAACACAAGGAAGTACTCAGAATCCAGCCTCTGCGCAAACAGGCGGCGAATCTTCTCCCATTCCAACGGCTGGAAACGCCGCTGACATCACCAAACAAAACCTCCCCCGTGGTGATGGCCACGTCTCCTCAGCGTCAGTCCAAACGGGTAATGGTGACCACCATGACATGCTGGTGGGCCAGGACCAGGAAAACGGTCCTCCTTCAAGCAGCACAGGAACGACAGAGCTACTCCGGCAGGCAAAAGTCCGGCCGGTCAAGATTTGCGATCAGTGTTACAGACGAAGGATCAGATGTAGTGGTGAGCTCATGGACGTCGGCGAGTGTAAGCAATGTCCGCGATTCAGGGATACTTGTACTTGGGATCGTCGGAACGAACACAATAGGCTGTATCGCGGTAGATTCGTTCCAGGGGAGGCTCAGATTATTGTCTGGGACAGTCGTAGACCTCCGAAATAATGTAGATTGACATAAGACATGACACGATACACGGAACGCGATCGATTGCTTGTCAGATATAACATCCAGCTGGGCCTACGACTGGACGGACCAACAGAATCATTTTGTTTCAGCCTCCTCACCATGTCGATACGGGGACCATGTACACGAATTTAGTTTGGAAGAAAACGTTGTGGAGTATGATCACATTCCCGCATTGCTAGCCCAGGCAGAGAGCTTTGAAAGGAAGCACTGACAATCGAGCTGAATCCTGTCTGGATACTCTGTGTGTAAGTACATGAATGGCGCCGATGAGCTAGCTCGTGCATCAAATGCTCTATTTTATGTCTCACGTTCAGGACACAAAGTTCTTCGGACACCTTCGCCTGCGATCAATGACCAAAGGTCTTACGCGGCCCTTTCGATTACATATAATATGCGATTCCAGATGGACGTATGAGTACAGCCCAGGCGCGCAGGCGCTACATCACAGACGCAGTCGACACACGACGTCAGATTGTCTAGTCATGACACCACTACCCCGATCGGGTGATCATCAAAGGAAGTAACAAAAACATCAGCTTACACCATCATCGCCCTCAGAGGACTAGTTCAAGCCAGGTGGATATAAATTGGCCAATTCCTGGAGGTGCCACATGTTGCTACAGACACGGAGATGACAACTCAATATATTCCGCTTCAACAATATTTGGCCAAGATGCAACTGTCTGACGGCACCTCAGACAGGTTTTCCGCTCAAACGCCCAAACCCTGGGAATATCGCGTCGTTGGTTCGACTCAAGTACGGCAGGGTGACTTGGGCGATGGATCGACGCATATCGCTCAACATAGCGAGTATCCCTGGTCCTATTCTGCAGGTGCGTCGCAGACGGCGACGGACGTTACTGCATGGCACGGTCAGTCCCCAGATCCCTCCTGGTATGGACCGTCTCAAGCGCTCTCCTTAGGTGGAGATCGAATGACAGGGTATGCTCCGATATACGGGGACCAAGTCATGATCAGCGACTTCTCGCAGGGTACGTGGCAATCGATGGGTCCTACCTCTATGCACGGTCAACCATCTATGAGCTCAGCTCTCAATGGTCCTCTCCCCTGGACCCCAGGTCTTGCCCCAGATCTCGACTTTGCGCACAGCACTTGCCCAGTCGCAGAAGAAATCTATCATAAGGGTACAACACAACTAGGTGGCGTCATGGCATCACCAGTCGATCGTCCAGAGACTAAACCGGGATCGATGCCCGGCAAAAGCGTAAGGAAGCCGAGGGGCCGATCTACAGGCCGAATTGCCCAGAGTTGCGATGCATGTAAGCGCTTGAAGAAACATTGCCATAGTGCGACACCTGGTACTGGCAGTTGCCAACGTTGTGCTCGTATCCCTAGGGAATACCAGACTAGGATGACTTGCAGATGGACCAAATGGAAGGCGTCTATGGACAACCGTCATAGAGTCCTCAAAACTGGATCATGAATGCATGTATACCTCGAAATCTGGTAGAGAGATGTGTATGACCGGAATCTCCATACTAGTGATTGTCTCGCCTCGTACTACTGATGCTGTACCTTTAACCGTAAAAAAATGGGAAAACCAGTTTAGAATGATCCTTATCTGTCTCGCGATCGTCATAAAAAAAAACAAGAAATCTGATCACCGGACATGACATATTGCCAGCACTTTCATCGCCTGTTTGCTCATTGGTTCCTTCAAGCCGGATGTTGCTATGCTTCCTGCAAATTCCACGACTGCGTTCAGCGCACCACCGGCGACGGGGTCTATTTTCAAGCATTGACCAGGTTTCATTCCGGCGAATTCAATGGGTATGTCCCACTTCGCTTCTGCTAACGCCAATCCACCGCTATTGGAAATATTCTGCTGCGATACCATAGTTGCTAGAATCATAATCGCTATGATTTTAATGAAGCGAGGACTTCCAGGGATCTCGGGAAGCGTCTGGAGGTAGGCTATGGTCCGCTCCGCACATCATGTACGAGATACAGAGGGAAGGAACGCTTCCTTTCTTCTAGAACGAATAAGCGTGCCAGTGGTCAACGAACCCAGCCTGGCCTGGCCGGCCAACCAAGCACGCGACCCGCCGATAAAAAACAAAATGCTACAAACCTTAATAAATATGGCGTGACGTAATACTTGAAACGCGATCGATTTACCCATCCCCTCTAACTGGTGTGTGGACAAGATCAGCAGGTATAAGACGTCGGATGAGGTGATTACCTCGCAATCTTGACAGGCGGCTGTCAAAGGAAGTATTTATTGCTAGCGTTACTTGAAAGTTCTAAGAATGTGCTGACTCGCGCACATATAAGTAGCTTGACGATAAACTCAGATGCTCTGTTCGATTCCTCTCGAATGCTACCCATGCGATAATTCTGATATCCTCAATCGATCTGCAAGACCTCTTATCTCAACATCCTACTGCAAAGATGACATCATCTGACCATGAACAAGATCATTCTTCTACGATGAACTCTGAGTTTGGCGGATACCAGTATGATGGGTCTAGTTTTCAATTCGAGGTCCCAGCCTATCAAGCCGCCAATCGTCCTGCAATCAGCGCGCCTCCACGACCGTCGATCACGTTGCCGCAAGAAACGTTTCCCACTTCCGCACACCAGGGTCCCATGGCGTATCCTAACTCGAGCGATTCTTCGTACGAGTACTACCGCGGGATCTCTGGAGGGACCCCTTCGATGCTCAGTTACCGTGGTCTGACCATGGGTTATTCGGTGAACGCATCCGTTCCGCCTTACAATGTGGCCGCCAGCAAATGGCACTTGGGAGGTCCTGAATCGACGTACCACTCTCCCAATGTGAATCTTTCTGTTGGCAGAACCGGTCCTTCGTACTACCACTCATTGGACACCCAGTATCTAGCCTCCATGTACAGCTCTCGTCCCAGCTTTCCAGGACACACTGATTATGGTGGACTGCAAAGTAGTACCATGATCTCAGCCTATACGCGAACGGACAGCGAGTCAAGTCCCGTTTCGACGGCTACGAACGGGGTCCGCATCGCCGATCAAAGCCTTTCACCGAACAATGGCCAATCAGAGGCTATGTTTCAACGCCCATTGCGTCAACTGACACCAAAGCTCGTGCTTGCCCAGCCGGCGAGGACCCAACCATCTAACTACGGCCCTATGAATCCGGCGTTAGTCCAGACAAGAAATGGCGATAGCGGCTACCACGGACGGGGACGGAAGCGAGATGCGACAGCCCAGAGCCGGCCCTCCTGGCGCCCCACCCGGCTTGCCACCAGTTGCGATCTCTGTAAGAAACAAAGGGCGAAGTGCGAAAGGAGTGTCCCTGATGAGCAGAGATGTGACAATTGTCGTCGGAGAGCAAAAAAGTGCACATTTCGACAGAGGGACGAGTCGAATAACCGGCCCATGTGGGGAACCACCGTGCCTGGTGAACCTCCTGTATGAACTCTTTGTATCACAAAAACGAAAACACTTCATGTTCTGACGTAGCTTGATTCATGAAACGCGGCCTTCGATGAGCTCGCTGACCAGTCGCGTCGATGTGCTTTTGCCCATGTGAAATGAACCATGACCTTTCGGTGACCGCCTCTACCAGCTCATCCAATCTCGATTTGCAGACTCTAAATTTCTATAGCGCCCATTACTGCATGATACGCGATTCCAGTTGAATGTAAATTCCAAGCACTCCCCCTCCATATGCAGCTCGTCCAGGACGTGAGTTTAGGTGATTATCACGCAATTGCAGCAATCGAGGGGTCATGAAAGGAGGTACTGGAAATGTGGCTCGTCCAGCGTTTCTATCCGAACTCATCTGTATCCATATATACTTCAACAGACCATTTCTTGTAAGAGTGCTCGCAGGCACGACAAGACCTCTTCTTCAATCTAGCAAACATCTAATCCCGTATCTCGACAAAATTCGTCTCAAAATGTCCGAAAGTGATCAGACGACGTACCTGAGGGATGCCTCTACGGTATACAGCGCAGGATCTTACGACTCTCACTATCCGTATCACGCACCTATCTATCAGAACACCATTCCTGCTGCTGCCCCGCCAGATGAAACTCCTTACGCGTGTCCCTCGGCGTCTCAGAACATCATACCTCCCTTCGCATACGATACCCAGACGCTTGAGGCTCGTCCGGGAGATTCCTCCCATCCGCTACAGCAGTGGGCATACTCAAACTCTGGCTACGGTGAACATAGCGATCCTTCTCTGGCCGATTCTTTCGGGGGGTACCCCACGAATATGGATGCGTATCCAACGACAGTTCCCACCTCCGGGTGCAGACGGTCGACCTTGCACCAGCCTTTCGCAAACGATTTCGGAGCGACGTACCCCTCGGAACCGCAGCAGGGGATGCGAATCACCTTCGTCGACAGCTTTGAGAGGGAGCTTGAACGACTGCAGCAGAGCAATACGTCTCAAACTGGAGCAAAGTCTAAACCTGTTCCTGGGTCGGCGGAGTGGGCCAACAAATTCGCCTTACAGAATGGACGGGTCGAAAAGCTCCGCTTTCAGGATGCACCTGTTCAGCATCTGGAGAGCAGGTCAAGCACATCCGCCTTTCCTTCAGAATCGACAGCGCCGCAAACCGCGCTGATGGGGTTTACTGCTGCGGCTTTCGAATACGATGGAGAGATGATGGCACAGGCTCCTCCTTCCCCAATGACGCCGTATTATACCTCCGTATACGAACCACCGACCGCAAATTCGTGGCTTGATGGGTCTTTTCTCCTTTGCCACCTGGATGATCTTACCCTCGACACCATGTATAGCTCTGGTACTGCAGCTCAATGGCTTACACCTACAAACAGGCTTCCACAAACTGTTATGACGACACCAGACCCTGCGCGTTTGGTTCCCACGCCAGCGTCCCCCCAAAACGTCGACAAACAGGGACAACCCAAAAAACGCAGAGGCCGACCGACTACCAAATGCGATCCGTGTCACCGCCGCCGGCGCAACTGTGAGGGCTCAAAAGGAACGGGAAGCTGTGACTTGTGTACACGACTGAGAGATGAAAGAGGAAAAGAAGTTTGTACGTGGAATAAGTGGACGGCGTACAATAATGGTCTTTCCCCCAATTCGAAACCAGGATCAACCATACGTAGACGCTAAGTCGGATGCACCGGCGAGATTCATGGCGGTAGCATCGAGCGATACCACAACGAAAATGATGGCTATACCTTGCATAAGAGGAAAGGCATGGACAAGCTAGGCAACGTCAGGCTCGAACATTGTGGTCAGGATCAGGCTGGTGGAGGTGACCACAGTACTCGTAGTCGGCTGAAGCAAATCTCGTGACTGAAACCCTTTAACTGCCGTGATCGTGTTGTATTTATATATGCCCTGCATGTGACAATGTGGGCATACATTCATATTAAGGGTCTTCCCACTCTATAATACTAGAAATGCAGACGGCATTTGCGCTGTACAAGTAGAAGACCCCTAACTTTGCGACGAAACCCTGCCGTCAGATATGATGTAATACATGAAACGCGGTTTCTGCTCACCGGTCCCTTGGAGCGGAACATCGTCTGCGCAAAAATCACGGGAGCTACCCGCGAGCCCGGTTAAGCGGCGGCCGTTGGCCGACCTATTCAAGGCTTTATCTTTCAGGCATCTTCCCCATTCTATTTCTACACTCTTCGATTGTCCCCCCAATCCCTACCCTCACCCCCTGAGCTGCCAGCGCGCCAGGAGTTGGGCTCAAAGGGTCAACATTCCCAAAGCAGTGACCGGCCACCAATGAAGGGTTCAAAGAGGAAATCAGCTTGTCAAAAGGTCACATGAGGTGATGATATCGCAATCACTGTAGATTGGGGTTATCAAAGGAAGTTATAAAGGCGTCAGCCGATGTCCCTCGTTGTGGCTCTCAGTGAATCCTGTGTCTGCTCATGTATATATGTGTGGTACTCTAATCGCCGCAAGTACCGTATGACCCAATCGAATGATCATTGCATCGAGCGCCTGTCCTCGGTCGGGTCAACTTGAGACTCAACATCACGAAAACATGGCATTCCCGAATCAGCCTTCATACAGCTGGGATACCGACGATCAGAGCTATCCTGTTGGAGTTTTTGATTCACAGAACAGCAATGCTTTTACTCTGGATGCCCATTCCGTTGGAGGTTATTCGATAGGGCCAGAAACCGCGCCTACGAATCTCGCGAATGATATTCAGACTTGGAATCGTCCGGGACGCGCTGCCCATGAGCCTTCCATGGTGTCCCTTCAGACGGGAGCGCCGGATTTTGCATATGGGAGGAGGGCAGCTGTATCTGCACCATTCTCATCTGTAACGGAGACCTTCATCCCCACTGACGATCCATCTGCCTTCAGTCCTTCGCACTACGCATCAGACCAGGTGCATTTCTCAGGACAATCGCAGGAACAGAGCCTTGCCTTTGTGCCTGGCTTCGATACTGGAGCTCAACGGCATGTTCGAATGAACATGGCTGGGCATGTTACACCAAGTTACGGCCATACGAATTCCTCATCGATTACCGAGGGATCGCATGGCAAAATCTTTCGACACTCGCAGCCCAAGGAGAAAGTGGTGGGAGGCAACATCCCATCAGTCATCGATTGTGACGTATGCCAACACTGGGAGCGCGAGTGTGGTGGCCCAAGTAAGACCGGTAGCTGTATTCCTTGCGAGCTGATGCGTAACGGAGAAGGCGCGACAGAAATCTGCACGTGGAATTACTGGAGCACGTATAGAAATATGTGCGACGACCCGGAACCTCGATCATTTGGGCATACGCTCTCTAGTACCTTGAGCTCAGAAGGAACAACCTTGTCTACCCAAACCGCCTTGAAAGTTCCAGAAATGACACCCTACACCTCTGCAAACAGTCGACGATACTTACCTCCTCGTTCGCGCAGTTCTGTTCAAGCGGACTTCTCGAATGCGCAGCCGATCCCATCCGATGATAAATCCTACAACTCCCAGGCGGGGCTTACCTTTTACAGTGGGATGCAATATGGTTATCCCACAATGCAAGCACCTGCGAATTTCTCCCGTGCTCCGAATTCGCAGCCTGCGCAAGGATTGGGAGAATACGTCAATTCATTGGCTCTCAGGAATGCAAAGAAGCCCATTTTGACTGGTCTATCGCCTGACCCGGCTGTACAGCTCGCCTTGCGCAATGCGTATGGGGCGCCATTTGCACCATTGATCAACGCCTTTGATTGACGCGCGTCGTCTCTGTTGGTCCGATTTGGTCTCTCTTGGACCAATTTGGTCTTTCTTGGTCTCGCGGAGTCTTTGCTGGTCGTCTTTGGTCTTTTGTTCGCGTCTTTACCTCCATTTTGGTAGTATTTACCCCTATCTCAACGAATTTCGTCCATACAAGACCAATAAATTCACAGAACGACCGCCGTGCTCCAGTAGACATACAAGAAAGGACTTTAGATGTCCAAAATCATACTATGCATGACTCCAACAGTCTAGTAATGGTCTCTACTGGTTGTGGGAGGAGGTATACATGTCTTAACGCGACTCATTGATCGATTCTAAGTACAAACAACTCATCGTGAGTGATCCTGCAACGTATTACATAGACGATGAACCACCTTCCTGTTGTTACAGCCTTAGTCGAGCAGACATTACACCCTGCTAGACTATATTTGAGTCAAGACCCGGCCACACGCAATGTGTTCTTGCTTCCCAACCTCATCACTGCTCTGGACGACCTTGCTCACCTCCTCGAACACACTGTGAGGACCAGGATTCCCCATTCGGCATACATCACCCACATCCAGTCTACTACATCCCTCCATGAACGTCTCTGCGCCTATGAAAGATCCCTGGCGTCCAACGTCATCGTTCCTAACCCCTAACCCCTAACCCCTAACCCCTAACCCCTAACCCCTAACCCCTAACCCCTAACCCCTAACCCCTAACCCTCGACTTTTACACCAATCTTTGCTATGCAGACCGTGAGATAGCTCTTCATCTAGGGATATCAAGGGGTACGGTCACTAGGAGACGGAGAGCGTTTGGGCAAGGCAAACGAGCAGTTAAACATATGGTCGCTCCGTATCAATTGCATTGTGTGAGTCTTCTCTTGGTCTCATTTGGTCTCGTTTGGTCTTTTTTGGTCTTTTTTGGTCTTTTCTCGTCCGATCTGGTCTTATCTGGACTGTTCATCAGCTCTCAAGTCTAATCTTGACTTGATTTCACTTGATCACCAGCTCGTAGCATCAATTTTGAACTTGGTCGACAAGCAGAACACTGGAGAACGTCTTGTAATGGGGCTACTCTCCGCTCAGCAAGTCAAAGTCACTCGAGCACAGCTGCGAGCTACCCTGCGAGCTCAAGATCCTCATGGCAACATGGTCCGAAGTGGGAGAGTACTACATCGTAGGGACTACGATGTACCCTTTGTCAACTCTGTATGGCATATGGACGGGCAACACAAGTTGATCAACTGGAAGTTCGTTATACACGGTGCTGTCGACGGCAAGAGTCGATTGATCGTGTTCATGCTTGCGTCTGACAACAACAAGTCCGAAACTGTGGAAGACTCTTTCTTACAAGCGACTCAGCAGTGGGGCTGGCCATCAAGAGTCAGGGCAGACTATGGTGGAGAGAATTTAGGTGTTCGTACGTTGATGAACGCGGTGAGAGGTATGTGATCGACCTCATCAGTCTCGCGCAAGACCGATTTGCTCCACCACAAGACTAAGTTGGACCAATTTCGTCTCTCTTGCTCCTGTCACATACCTGCGAGCTCCTCTATAGGTGAAAATCGGGGTTCTTTCATGCAAGGACCATCTACACGGAACGTACGGATCGAGAGGCAATGGCGACAAGTTGGGGAAACAGTAACACAGCAATTCACTCGTCATTTCCTGGAGATGGAACGTGTTCACCACCTCTATCGTGAAGATCCTATTGACATCTACTGTCTACACTATGTCTTCTTACCCTACATCAACTTCGTGTTGGGGTATTACGTCGACATGTGGAACTACCATGGCATGTCCAATCAAGGACTCAAAGGACTTAGCCCAGCGCAGATGTGGTATCGAGGTCAGTTTGGACGAAATTGGTCTTGCGTTGGTCCATCGTGCACTAAAATCGACCAAATTGGACTTGCGAACTGCTACAGGAGTCGTAGATGCAGCTGCAAGCGGCTTTGATCTCAATCTCTTCCCCCTCGAAAGTCAAGATGAGGCTATCTTACGAGAAAATCGTCCTGAACAGCTCAATATCATGGATATGGATGCTACCGACCCCATCGCCGATCAAATAAGAGCACCTAGGGTTCGGGATCCGCACGTCGTAGTGCCTCGCTACATGGATCATGTACCACCACTGCTCTCGACACACGAATTCAGGCAAGGTCTTCAACAGCGTTTCCCTATTCAGCAATGGGTCTCCATCATCGACGCAACACAGTACTACCTCGCTGTACGAGAGTTTGTCTATGACACCATCAATATGTCATGAGCGTCATCGCTATGATGTCATAGACAACTCGTCATACCTGGTGTCCCCGTCTCTATTGTGCTGCGAGTTGCGCGTGAGAAAGACTTTATTGGACTAACAAACAAGTGTTTCATCTTTTTTTCTTTGTTCGCCATCAAAAAACAACAAAACAACAAAGTCCTTTGGTCCTTTCGTATGTATATATGTAAGCAGCTAGACCTATTTCCTCTCTCTCGTACTTCCCTACACTTTCACTCACTTACTCGAATACTCTCGTACCACTTTCATCACCTTTTAACCCTACTCGTACTCCAAATCTCTCTCAAACCAATCTTAAATCAACATGTCCGGCCTTCCTCCCAACGACGAGAAGAACAAGAAGAGCGGTGGGGAGAAGAGGAAGTCGACGGCGCCCGACGACCTGGGGGGGAAGAAGAGGAGGACGAGGTCCGACGCGAGGAAGGAGAGAGAGGACTCCTCTCTCTCACCGGCTCCGGTAAGTCCTTTGTGGTCTCGTTTAGTCTTTCTTGGTCTTGTTTAGTCTCGTTCAGTCTCGTTTGGTCTTATCAACTCGTACTGACATCGATGATGTTGTGATTTTGTCTTGACCTGATAGATGACGGAGAAGGAGATGGCGGCGGAGGTCGAGCGTCAGGTCGAGGAGAAGGTGAAGGCGGTGTTGGCGGAGACGAGGAAGAGAGAGGCGGCCGAGAAGAGGAAGAAGGATGCGGCCGAGAAGAAGGCGAGGGTGGAGAAGGAGGAGCAGAGGATCCGGGACGCGGAGAAGGAGAGGAAGAAGGGGGAGGCCGACGTAAGTCTTGCTAGCGTCGGAATGTCTCTACAGCTATCGTTCGCAAGTCTTAGAACCTATCTGTTTGCTGACTCGACGACGTTGTTGTACCTCTTATCTCGATCAGGCGAAGGCGAAGGCCCAGCAGGACGAGATCCGCCGGCGGGTCGAGTTGGAGTTGGCGAGGGAGGAGAAGAAGAAGGAGGTTGGGGAGAAGGAGGAGAAGAAGGAGGACGAGAAGGACGAGCGCGGGGTGAGTTTAGTCTTGTCTATTCATCTTCGAGTCTACGTGCTCTATCTTTACTCGAGTACAAGTAACATCTTGCTGATTCATATTCAACGTTTGCATATACACAGCGTTCGTCGAGCAAGGTGGGGGGCGGGGAGACCCTTGAGGGGGTTTCCTCATACAAGTGGAAGACGGCCGAGGTGAGTTATCCGATCAACTTAGACCTAGTTGGACTAACACAGCCTTGCTTACACTTGGTTTATGTTTGTGTTACCATCCCTATACAGCGAATTCGGCTTTGGAAGAGGGAGCACGCTTCGAGCGTGATCGAGTTGTTCGGGGACGACCGGTGCGAGCCGTGCCAGGAGAGGCACCGAGTGGCTGTCGTGCCGCCTTCGGAGGCCTTGCAGAGGTTGAACGACGAGTTCAACCGCTGCATCATCGGTCCCAAGGGCCGGTGTTCCCGGTGCGAGTGGAACGGAACCGAGGCCAAGAAGTGTAAATACACTCGACCGGCTCCCGCCACCCCCGCCGACGTCAAGCCCGACCTCCCGCTGGCAGGTCCTTACAGCCGATTTGGCTCTGGACTTGGCTTCGGGGCCAACTTCGACGTCCCCCCTGCGCCCGCCGGAGGCCTTCGGCCCCTCCCCACCACCCCGAACCGACCTCGACCAGGTCTTACCGGCCTCGGCCTCCCCCTCTCCCCCTCCTCCCCCTCGACCGCCGCCACCACCTCGAGGATCGCCAACATCGGCGATCGACTTACGCGGTTCAACGAGGACCTCGAACGGGCGATGGAGCGCGCCCAATGGACGCTCAACCAGCAGGAAGTGGCCCACTACTTCCCGTCGGTCTACGAGCTCGTCCAGTGGTTCATCCGCGCCGCCAACGAGGTCACCGAGGCCGGCCAGGACTTGGGGAGGTTGGCCAACCCCCGCCCGGACTTCTCTCGACGTTGATCGTCGAGTTTTCACTTCTTGTTTTTGACTTCGTTCTCTTTTTTTTGTTGTACAATAATAATGAATATGTCTATGCATGCCGGCGCGAGAACAACTTGGACTTGATAAAGACTTAAAACCCAACAACGAACACTAATCTAAGAACGTAACCCCTAAGAAAGAACTTCGAAACCCCAATCACGACTCGCGTCAACACGAGTCGGTCTAAACACATGTTCCAAATCCCAGATAAGACTAAGGAAGACTAAAGAGAAGCCAAGAAGAGCAAGGAAGACGAAACAAGACCAAAAAGGACCAGCAGAGACGAAGCAAGACCAACAAAGACGAACGAAGACCAAAAGAGACCAAAAAGGTCTAACGAAGACCAAATGAGAACAGCAAAGACTATCAAAGACTAAAGAACATTGACGGCAATGATATTCAGTGTTAGAAGTTGTAAGCTTGCCATTACATCGTCCAACTCACAGAGACGACATCATTTGCGACCAGCCTTGGCGTAGTTATCAAGGTCTAAACGTTGAGTTTGGATCCTTCGCCTTTTGTTTGGGCGCTCAAGGGCCTCCGAATCATCTGCAGGGCTTGCAACTGGTGTGACTGGAGCAACGACTTCTTTGCCTTTGCCTTTTCCGTTGCTCGTCTTTCGAGGTCTTCCTCTTCCCCGCTTGACAGGTGCCGAAGTAGACGCCTCCTCTTCACCTTGTACCGTTGCCTCGACTTCCCTAGGACCACCCTCTTCAACAGTAGCCGTTGACGGACCTCCCACATCTTCGACAGTCGACTCGGGCATGCCTCCCGACCAATCCATGTGGGTCTCCAAGTGGCTGTACAGTTCAGCTGCCAACGCATTGGGATCTTGGTCAAAGGGATCGTTGGTCCACTGCTCATGATTCTCGTCCCCAAATCCTTCCTGTACCCCTTGTTCTTCCCCATCCTCGTCTTCACTGTAGAACAGTGGTTCTTCTTGGACTCCCGTTAGACCAAGACCATCGACAGCAGAGGTTCCAGCGTCAGCCAAAGCCATGAGTTGGGTTTGACGTTGCAACCACTCTTCCCCAAATCCTGGCTGCTGTGCTAGCTGAGCGAGAAGTTGTTGGGTAGAGAGAGGAGGTTGGTCGACAGAGGTGATCCTGGGCTTGACATCTTCATCGTCGGTATTATCGATGAGCTCGATGACTTCGCCTTGGATGGGATTGGGCACCTTCAGCTCCTCGGTCGGCTCGTCTTTGACGATTGTGGACTTGGAGAGTGGTGCGACAGCCTTGCCTGGTCTCTTTTTCGACGTGAGAAGGACTCTCTTGGTCTTCTTTTGACCTCCCGAGGTCTTTTTTGGTCTTCCTTGCACCGGCGGCAGGTTCCTTAATGACTCCAAGTCTGAATCAGACTCCGACTCCTTGAGCAATTGACGCCTTTGTTGGTCCAACCATGCCTGACACTTCCCCTGATGAGCGGCTAGCATCTCAGGGGGGTATCGTCTACTGCATCCTTGGCAACTCCTTAGTCCATCAACATCATCCTCATCGTCCTCGGTCGTCTTCTCCCAAGGGTCGTGGTCTTCGCCCATCTCACCCGCTACCTGTAATCTCCACTCTGGATTGTCGTTCTCTGGCAAGTCCCACCCTTCCTCAAAGATGCAAATGTAGTAGGAGTTGCGAAACTTGTCCTTCAAGTCTTCAATCGGAGTGGTGAAGCCTGGCCAAGTCATCCTTCCGTCGAATTTGGTAGATCCTTGTCCACATTTGGCCCAGACGAAAGGCGTGGAGAGGAATTGAGGTCCATGAACAGATCGGAAGACTCTTAGCACCTCATTGCCCACGTCCCGAGGCGTCATGTTGCTAGTAACGACGATTGATTGCATATAACCAAGCAGCTCGACAGCTTCTAGGAATTTGGGACCTCCTCCCGACTGCCATAACTTGATCTTCGTGCGCAAGATAGAGCCACAGCCAATGAAGATGACCTAGAGATTACCAAGCACGAACGAACCCAGCGTTGGCAAGACTTCATCAGACCAATTTGGACCAAATAAGACCAAATGAGACCAAGAGTAGTCGAAATAAGACTTGCCTTGTTTTGCCCTCGACCGAGCGTAACCTTGCTAATCTTGGGAACCTTTTCAACGCCTCTACTGGTCGCTTGCTGGTATCCTCCTCCTGGCAGTCTCTTCGTAGCTGCAATAGCAGAGCTGCTTGGAGCTAGACCACTCGCGAAGGTGGTGAAAGATGGCTGAGGAGCAAGCTGCAGGGGGTGAGGGAAGGGGGTTTGACGTCCGATGAACTGAGATGGGTAGCGCGATTGATAAGAGTTGAGATCGAGTTGGGAGGACGGACGACCAGCTGTACTGGATACAGCTGAGAAGGAAGTGGTACCGGAAGTCGAAGGAGGAGGTCGATTGTTGATCGATTCATCGATTGAATCGATCGTAGCACTTGGGGAGACGAGGTTGCGGGCAGTTTGGGACGAAGGGGGGGCCTGCAGTGGAGCAGCCTGCCCATAAACTCCAGCATTGACACCGGGAGCGTTCATTCTGGACAAGATTTGGTCCAGTCCATGCTTGTCCTGTAACATCCTCTGGTTGAGGATAGCAAAAAGCTCTTCGTCGGAGGGAATTTGGCTCATCTTGATGAATTTGAGAGGTACGTAGAGCACTTGAGACTAGGTAATGTCAAGGAGGGAGATAGGTAGTATCGATACGGCTTGTTCGGTCTTTGTCAGTCTCCCTTGGTCTTCGTTGGTCCAATTTGGTCTTCGTTGGTCTAATTTGGACCAATTTCGACCAATTTCGACTATTTGCCTCCGGCCGGGTGCAACCAAGACACGCAAAGCAAAGACGCGGACCAAAGACGCTGGAATGAGGCCAAGACAACACAAATCTCGACGAAAAGGCTACAAACACGTCCATAGGCGACCGACTAAGACGATTGGTGCTTTCGGCGCGTCATAGCTGCAGCTGTTGTGATCAGATGGATCAGATGACGTGCGCTTGACGGATGTCGTGGCAGAGATCAGAGACAGATACACCGACTCGCATCTCACATACCTATAGCATACAGGACCCCACGACTTCTCATCATCTCAAAAAGGCATCACTCTCCACACTCCACAGAGACTTACCCACATCGAAGAACCCGGCCGCAACGATGAAGACGATTCTCTCCTGGATCGCGCTGGCCTTGGTGACGACGAGCACGGCCGTTGCCGAATCGCAGTCGGTATTCGATTCGGGACTTCCTGTAGAATCGATGCCATTCCCTCCCTTCCAAGAGAATCAATTCCTCGACAATATCCATCGATTGCAAGATCTCGAAAGGGTCTCCGCTCAACATGGCTCGTCTCCGAAGAGCAACCCGTTCTTGCAAACGCATCGCGAGCAGTGTGAGTTGTTGTGAGGTCATACACCGATGCTCATCCGTCGCATCACTGATTCCCATGGGTGTCGCATCTACCAGTCTCGAGCATAAGCGAAGATAGAGCTCAGGCGCTGTACGATCGATTCCACAAGCTGGCATACAATTCGACCGACCAACCCACATCGTTCACCGTCACCTCTGACCGCGCATTCGGTCTCTTATCCTACGCCTTTGCGCCGGAACATCAGGACCATATCAAGGTCCGACAGATTGAACATGAGAACGAGGAGACTTTGACGGGGACGACGGTGTTCATGCCTAGCTCCAAGAGGAGGGAAGGCGATGGCGGTGTGGGTACGCAGATCGATTTCGCGGGCTGGCAAGTCTGGTGGAGGGGGATCGAGTTTGACGTCTGGCAAGCCAGAGTGAGTACCGGTCGAGGCCTGACCAATGAGTCCCGATACTGATGCACAAATCTTCAAGTAGTACTTTGATCCAATCCGATATTCCTACGTCGTCCAGTCACACATCATCGGAAGGTCCCCTCAAGAAGCCTTTCCCCTCGTTGTTCCCCCGTCGACATCCTCGTCCCCCATCCTGTCCTCCGCGTCGGCGGCCGACTTGTTGATCCTCGAGATCGCCGCCTGGAACTCGGAAGTGAGGGATGCCATCTTGGTATTCGACAGCGGGTACTGGCAGGTCGATCGGAAGCTGTGGGATAGCGTACAAAAGGCAAGTACCCCGCATATCATCATGTCGTACACCGTCACTTGTTCTCAGCGTTTTACGGACCTCTCTGATATATCCGCCCCTGCAGGCCGACTGGAAAGACGTCATCCTCCCCACACCCCTCAAGTCCTCTGTTAGGCACGAATACCGCTCCTTCTTCTCCTCCGAACGGATCTACAAGGACCTCGATGTCGCATGGAAACGTGGTGTCATCTTCCTAGGACCGCCAGGGAACGGAAAGACGATCAGCGTCAAGGCGATGATGCGGGGCGTGGCCAACGGGGAAGGGGTGGGGAAAGAGACCAAGAGGGTGCTCTACGTTAGGAGCTTTCATAGTGAGGCCTCGTTGCGGGTGCGGTATCAAGTTTAGGGAAGTAGCTGATAGTGTTGAGCTGCCAGCATACGCCGGGGACGAATACGGTAAGACCACCCCAAAAAGCTCGATACGAGGGCTTACTGGCTGACGTGATCTCTCTTGATACGCACAGGCATCAAGCAGGTCTTTGAGCGGGCTCGACGAGAAGCGCCGTGCTTGGTCGTCTTCGAGGACATCGATTCGTTGATCACGGATAACAACCGGTCGTTCTTCCTCAACGAAGTCGACGGGTTGGAAGATAACGATGGATTGCTCATGGTATGTGTTTCGCGGTACAAATGTTGCGTAAAAACGCTGACGATCTCGTTGCGGTACAGCTCGCCACGACGAACCACTTTGATCGACTTGACCCGGCGCTCTCCAACCGTCCCTCCCGATTCGATCGCAAGTAGTACGTCGGAAAGGCTTCCGCTTTGCTGTTTGCGCCATTTTGCTAACGTCCTGACGTCGCGGTCGCAGCACATTCCCCGACCCCAACAAGTCGGAGCGTCGACAGTACGCCGTGTACTGGCAGGACAAGCTCGCCAACAACGACCGTATCAAGTTCCCGAACAAGCTGCTCGATGAATTTGCCGCCAAGACCGACGGGTTCTCTTTTGCCTATATGAAGGAGGCCTTGTGAGTGGCATGGCCAGCACAGTGACGGCTTATGGCTGACCCCGAACACGCCCGCAGCGTCTCGGCTCTGTTGATCTTGGCCGGAGACGAGACCAACGACCTGACGTTCCCCCGCGAATTGATGGCTCAGGTTGCCGCCCTCCGCAAGGAGCTCGATAGCGACAAGTGAGGGATCCTCGTGATCTTTAGCTGTCGCCCGAGAGCATATGATCGCGTTCTTCGCTCCTACGCCTCGCATTGGGGGTGAACTTGTTTGTAATGGACGTTTGAGCTGTTCTTTTGTTGTATTTCCGCGTCGTGAAGTCGACCTTTATGCTTGTAATCTCGGATATGAACCCTATGCGATCGTAACGCTCCAGACCATCACCCTATCAATGTCCTTGTCTTCGGGTCCGTCTCGAAAGTCCACGTCGACCTGAACACTGATTCCAGACGATTCGGGAAAGACTCGTTCTTGCCAAAGCGACGTCCAGCTCGACGGTGAGTGACAGTATATGTCACCGATCCTCGTCTTTTCCGCTCGTCCTGCCGTGGCTCGGCCTCGATGTGCTCCGTAGATGGTGCTCCCTGGCTTGTTTGAGAGCAGCGACCCGAGTCTCCGGGCCAGTTCCAGTTGCCCTGCTTCGTCAAAGAGGTGGAAGAAGGAGAATACCGAGATGCATCGGACGTTTGAATGAACGAGGTCGTCTGAAGCCGTCTTGTCGAGGATGTTTGAGCCATCTCGAGCGAGCTGACCTATAGGCTGCAAGAGGTCGTCATGACAGATGTCCCCGGCCACAAACTTGATATCGCAGGTTGCCCGATCTCGGTATTGCTTGTAACCCAGGTCGATCCATGCTGAGCGTATGAAGATCTGGTAATTAGCCTTGACTACAACAACACTTGTCTCTATAGATAAACTTGCGAGGGCGTACCTTGTTCAAGATCTACTCCAATGAGCCGCTCTGCAGACCAGCCGTCACCAGCAAGCTTTCGCAAGTCGGTCCCGGCTGCAGAGGAAAGAGAGTCTCATATCAGGTGGCAGGTATCGAGGGACATCGAACGGGTATGAACTGACTGGAACAGCCCACGTCTAGGTGAAAGGCAGTGTCATCGAGTAGACCCATCTGCAGGATTCGAGGGTATGCCGGGTGTTTAGATACTTGGGCTCTGTATGTGTAGTAAGACAATATCAGCACAGCGAACGGGGAAGACGGTTAACAATAGGCTCACTTGTGTTGAAACTGAAACTCTCGCCATGACAACCTAGAACTCGTGTTTTCTGAGATCGAGACAGTCTATAGATCGCTCGTCTCGATGGCAGTACTTACGATGGCTGAACGCTTGAATGATCCTTGGCTCCATTTGCATCCATATCGTTCAAATTGCAGCGACTTCCCATGAAACGGCCGTCTTGCTCTAGAATGACTCTACCGCTATGAGCGACGTCGGTATTCCAGATCCCTAACAGCTTCCTCCCGTAGTGCGACTATGGCATTATATGGCGGGGATAAGAAGCGCCCGGGCTATCAACATTGAGACCTAAATTGGATGACAACGGAACCTGCGATGATGATGATGAACCCGAAGGTGAACACGATGATGTGAGATCATGTGCGATCGTGTTTTTGCAGTGCGGAGGGATACTCCGTTTGACTGGCATGACTGGACAAAATCAAGACTGTGAAATGGATGGACTGTATGACATGATATCTATGCAAAGCTCTCGGCTCCGCTTGAGCCACATTTCGTTGCGCTAATACAGTGAGAAGAATTTAACTGCTATGCTTGCTTGTCGTAGGCTTCATCGTAATAAGATATTCTCTTTTGTACGCTCCAGAAAAAGCTCGAGGCTGGCGCTTCGATCCGATCATCAGATCAGGGTATGTCCGGTACTCGAGACGTCGTAGATGTGGCCCGCAAATTTGCTGGGAGACTGTTCGGCAGGCTGTTGTTTCGCACGAATCCAGGCGGAAGGCGAGGTCGAGTTGACCTTGTCGACCCTCTTGCGATCTCGAGCCTGGCTGTCCGAGCCGCGTCGAGCAGCCGGGACATTGATGTGGTCTTGGTCGCTCTTGGCTGTACCGTCGGTTGTTTGGGTCTTATCGTTGTCATCGTAAGGAGAACGGGTATGCTTGTACGTCGAGTCGTTTTTCAGCTTGTTTTGTGTGATCTTGTTCTCGTAGCTGTTCGTAAGTCTAGTGTGAGGCGGCTCGTCGCGTTGATGTCGAGCTGCGGACGATACTTGCGAGTGCGTGACGTTGGAGCCAGGAAGACTATCGTGGAGCGCCAATTTCGTCTTCGGTTTGGTATCGTCAGGTCGTGGTTGTTTCTCGTTCAATGCGGGTTTCGTGATGGTGGGTTTCCGGTTCGTGTCGGGCTTGGTGAAGATAGGTCTCTCGGTCATGTCGGATTTCGTATCGTAAAGCTGTATCTTGTCATCGCCGCCATTGTTCTTTGACCCGCTGCCGCTTGCAACAGGGAGCGTAGGGAATTCGAACTTTTCCTTGAGGCTCGTCCAATTGTGTACGACCGGCTCCGGGTTAGGAAACCCCTTCTTGGCTTGCTTGTTTCGGTTACGCTTCCTCGTAGCATTATTGACGTTCTGTTGCAATTTGGGTAAAGGGGTGGGATCAGAGACGATCCGCGAGTTGCTGATAAAGTTGGCAAATCCGGTAGCGACGGCTTCGGCGGGTGCATCGATGATGGGGATCGGCTCGGAGACGACCCTGCGTCCGGGTTCGAGCCGTTCGACGAGGTCTGTAGTGGAAGGAGGCGAGAGGAATGGGTTGGGCATAGGTTCGCCGTGCGACAAGGCAGATGAGGCGAGAGGACGGGAGGGTGCATTCGATTTCAGAGTCTGGCAGGTTATGGCAAGTAAGCCAAAGAACCGTCGGATCGAGATGTTTCGTGAACTTACCTGGCTGCCTTGGTTGTTGGCGGGTCCGCCCCGTTTCGAGATGAAGAGCGTGGGAAAGACGCCGGCCAGCGACTCATTCTCGCTGCTAGTCATCCGACGTTTATCCCTCGGCGAGTCCTGCGCAGCACTCGGGTCATTCGCAGCTGTTCCGCTAGAGTTTCGTTTCGGCTTGCCGAGTCCAGGCCGACCTAGACCAAGACCCGCTTGCTGTTTCGTCTGCATGGGGCTGGATGTGACAGGAATGGTAGTAGGGACCGGTTGGAGAAAGGTGAAATCAAACGGGTTGCGAGCGGAATGCTCGACCTTGGACGCCGAGGGCGAATGGCCGAGGAACGCGGTAGAGGTAGTCGTCTCCATTTCGACTTTGATAGGCTGCTTGTCGGCGGAAAGGTTGTCGGTCGAAAGCGCTTTGTTGCCATCCTGCTCGTCATCCTGTTTGCCGGCGGCGACCCATTGACCCCGCTTGGGACTATACCGCATCTTGGCTTGCGAAGACATCTCGGGATCATCTCGGCTTGTGTCGGCGACGATCTCACGCCTTGGCGAAAGATGGGCAAAAGCTTTCCCTTTCTGCTGCATGGCATCTCTTGCTAGGGCAGTCGTCGTCCTCGAAGCCCAAGAACCTCCTCCCGATGTCACGAACGGACTGCCCTCGTCCGACCGATGAAGATTCCCAGGGCTCCTAGTCATCAACGAATCTTCAGGCGTCCTCGTCGCAGACACGCCCAGACTAACTCGACCTCGAGATGCACCTGCCAACGTATCTCGACTCGGACTCGGTCTTCCCGGAGACCCATCGTAACGACCGGGCGACCCGGGAGCCCGTCGTCCTGGCGACCCGTTTCCTTGTCCTTGCAAGCTCCTCCTCCTCTCCGCAGCCGCGATAGCCGCCTTTCGTTCAGCCGAGACGGGCGAGACGGTGGGCGGTTGAGGCGGGCCGTACCCGTCGATAGTATGAGATCCCGAGGTGGAAGCGGATCGGTTTGGACGAGGTGGAGTAGTAGTAGTGGGTGTTGTTGTATGACGAGGTTGAGATTGAAATTGAGGTTGAGATTGAGTTTGAGTTTGAGTTTGCGATTGAATCCGAGGTTTAGGATCGGGGCTGAGCAACCTGCTCTGAAAGGCGAGTGCGGATAGAACGGGGTTATAGTCCTCCTTCTCCTTCTGAGCCGGGCGTTCCCCCGTGGACGAGTAGGTATGCAACGACGAGTAAGATTGCGACTGCCTAGCGAGGTCGAAAGTCGGCCTAGTAGGCGTCCTATCGCTATCGGTATCCGAACCCGACTCGATCGGTGACATCGTCTCCGCCCTTAGACTTAACGACGTCGATTTCGAGTGCGCAGTCTTCAAGGGCTGGGGGAAAGTAGAAGTAGAGATGATAGGAGGCTGTCGGACGAAAGCCTTTTGCTGGTGTCTCGAGTTGGATTTCCTGCCGATAACTTGATCAGGGTCTTCCACTACGAGAGGTCCCGCAGACCCGGTATCACGCTGAGAGTAGGCCTGATGAGCGGCGGTGGTGTCGTTCGGGATGGGTTGATTCTCCTTGCTCTCCTTTCGCATCTCCCCCCAATCTCCTATCCGTCCAGCATCATTCTTGGCGATACCCCGAGCCTGATCCATTCCGCTATGAGGGTGAGATCGAGTAGAGGCAGTAGTGATCCCGGAGAATCGGGGCTTGGTCTTGACCCCCCAGACTTGAGAAAGGTAGGTCTGCCGAGGATCGTTGATGACGGAATCGGTACCGCTACACAACCCACGCAGTAAAGCCTGATTATCAGCGAGGTTCATCTAGATACTTGTGCAGAGCCAGAGCCATACGACGATGAGAAGACTCACCTCGGGTTCCTCGCATACGGAAGACTGAGAGATCCGTGAAGAGCCGGGACGGGTTTAGGTGGAGAAGGGGTGGAAGGGGTGACGGGAGTTGGCATCGGATCTGTCGTCCTGATCGCCGTGGTGGACGATGTCATGATGGAGAACGTGCGTTCGATGCAGCGAGGGCTGAGCTACTCTGTGTGGCTCTTCTGAGATACGGAGTAGGAGTTGTTTGATGGTCGTTGCCGAGTTGCAGGCCGTGTCGTAAAAGGAGAGGGTTCGTGATCGACTTGGAATGAGGTTGATGTCGATGTCGATGTCGTTCGTGATCGTGACGCTGCCCTTGATCCTCGATCAAATGGCAGGTACAGGCCAAAGTATGGTGGAGACCTCGAATTCGCTAACGTAGACCCTGCTCAGCCTTTCTTTGGGACGTCACACAGTAGGCAACGGGAATCCGAGGTGAGCTTTCAGGGTAGTGTATGATCGTCCGCAGCGGAACAGCTCTCTTACTCGCAACGAGCCCGCCACAGGTTTTCCTCCGAATGGAGAATGCTCTCCGGGACTCCGTTAGCTAGCCCGAGTCCCCTATTGGCTCTTGGTGAGGAGAGAAGAGGGATTGAGATGGGTACGTTGAAAGAGCGAGATGCGAGATGATAGTAGGTGGAAACGAGTTCGAGTGACAGGCACGTCCACACTACTTGCTTGCTCTGCGCTGCTTGCGACCTCGCGCCCAAATCGACGAACGACGGCACCCCATTCAAGGGCAAGTAGATCGAACATGACCAACACGGTGGCATCGACGACGATGGATATACAATCAGGACAATCGAGATCACAATGAGAAGATATCCGAGATAGGCTGTCTGACAGTCCTTCACCGGGTATTCCTGTCGTGCAAGTCTCTCGAGGCGTTAGGTATACCGGGCCGTTTGTAGCAACTCGATTTTGAAGTTACATATTCATTTTTGCCCTCTCGCGCGCACACATACCGATAACGCTGCAAGCACATACATACTCCGCGGCCGTGAACCTCAAAACTAACTGGTTTTCTACATGAGAACCTCAAAAATTGGGAAAATCTCGTGGCCCAGACCTATCGATTTGGCCTACGCCGTAGACATAGCCCTCAGCCTATCCTTAGTATCCTTCTAAGACCACACTCGTTCAACTCTACACTCTCTTACTACTCTCGTTCACCGTCCTTCGACACCCGTCCTTATCTACAATATGACTACCTCTCCCGAGTCCATGCAAGCCCAGATGGCAGCTTTGACCGCGCTGGTTCACAGCCTCGTTGAACAACGAGCTCCTTCAGCTCCCCAAGCTCGTCAGGCTCCTACAATCCCCGCTCTCTCTCAACCTTCAGCTGCGGTCATCTCCCTCCCTCCTGTCTTTCGATCCACTCGCAACCTGGACGAGGACGAGGAGGAAGAATCCGAACCGTCTCTTTCTCAACCACAACCGTCTACCAGCCAACGTCCCTCTCCTCAGCATCAACCACCTGCCAGCTACTCGAACGCTGAAGCTCCAGGACGCCGTGTCGCAGCTCTTCTTGGTGCTCAGAAAAGCCAACCGTTCCTACGTCAGCTTGGTGCACCTTCGACAGGATCGGGCACGTTCAAACAACAGAACCGGGGTGGCGGCTATCATCTTGGAGGACATCCGCTGCAGCAGACTTCACGTCCTTCCAAGAAAGCTCCCAAGGAAGTTAAGGTGTGCAAGCTCAACATGGTAAGCGTAGCACAGAGTTGGCAAGGAGATCGTCCTGTACCTGACCTTATACATGCAATCCAGGTGGCTTTCATTCCGGATGGCTCGATTGTTAGGGATCGGTTGTCTGTCAGCTCGCCCAGAAAGGAGAAGTGGACTGGCTTCCGAGAATACCTCTCTACCAACGGGTACATGCAGCCGCTGCACCTCACCGACGGGATGGGTCCCAAGGATATGGTAAAGCATGTCGAAGACATCTTTGCCAAGTCACTCCCGGGCGGATTGCCCAAGCTTTGGCAATGGGCTGCAATTTCGCCTAAGTCCCACTTCTTTCACCAATCCGGCATGTTCTCTCCTTGGCAGACAACTCTCATGGACATTCGCGGGCACTTCCTATCATTGCCATTCGTGTGCATCGTACCGGAAAGCTGGGAGACGGTGACCCACAAGACCTTTCGCAGAGGATTAGCAGAAGCGCTGGGCCGAGATCCCGTCACATGGGCAGACGAGCTGGCTGTGCCTATGCCAAAGCTGAAGCAAGCGGTCATTGAGCTTGATGACGAGGAGTCGGGAGAGGAACGAGACATGGCAGAGCCTGAAGGAGATCCCAGGTGCGACGGGTGCGGAGAAGTGTACCCCGATGAGCGCATGAAACTTCATGTTCAATCATGCAAGAAATTGGGAAAGAGACCGGCTGGACGCAAGGCCATCATTGCTGAGGTCTATGACGTTGATGCATACGAGGAAGCGGATAGCCCGGATGAGCCTGGTCAGTTCCAGCAAGTTAGAGCAACTCGCGACCATGCACCACACTCACCTTCAACTTATCTTAGCTATACTTGCTGTCTCCGACAACGCTAACAAAGTCTCGGATGGAGACCTTCGGGATGTATGCAACCAGTACATCAAGCAATGGGGTAGGAAAAGGTTTGACCTCATGGTCTCGTTGGTGAAGATGGCGAACCCTCTCGTTGAGCCACCTGTGAACCCTATCGCCGAGCCCCCCCTTGAAGTCGACACCGAGCAATCCCCGCCTATGACTCCAGAGGCAAGCCAGACACTCTGGGAACAGCTCTATCAAGCACAGATCCGAGATCTGGGAACGGTGGTTGAGGAGGAGGAAGACGAGGAAGACCTAACTGATCTGCCCGACCTGAACGATGTCCCTGCTGGCGACTCCGGTCAACCGCTTGGGGCAAGCATTTCCGATGTTGGGGACTCTGAGACCTCAGCCGTGGCCCAGGCCGATGCTGAGATCGACGCCATGGTAACTCTGCCTGTGCCTCAAGTCAGCACGCACAAGCGCAAACGTGCTGAAGAAGCGCCTGCTAGTCAAGCCAAAGCTGTTCGACGGTCTGATCGCCCTCGTGTAGTCAAGACTTCAGGCTACAAGGGATTAGCGTAGCTATTGTATGTGCCGGCATGCATAAATAAGATCTCGTATTAAATATCAATATACAAAACAAAAAGACCAAGACCTATCGACGAGGCGAGGAGATGCTGGCCCGAGCCAGTCTCTCCGCCAGAGACGGGGGAGCGGGGGGGGCCATGGCCGCGGCAAGCTGGCTCGCTGTCGGCTTGGGCTCTCGAGCCACGGGGATGAAGTACGGGTGCTTGGCGTACTCACACTGCTTGCCGTTGCGCCAGATGCAACGCACGCACTTCCCCGGGTCTCCTGGCATCACGATACACCGTTCGTATCGCTCGTCCATGGCCACCATCCAAGCGTCATGCCCGTCCCCACTCCTGGCCATGGGGTCCCTACAATGGTAACACAACATGTCACCATCCATCTCCACCGACTCGGGGTGGTTGAGCAACGCCTCCGCCGACTGCAAAGCATACAAGTATCTTGTTAGTGTTAGGTAGATCACGAATCAAAGTTTAGACACGCGAGCACTGACCTTGGCATTCTTCCACCGGTTGTCCGTCCAACCCGGCGGCATCGATGCGGGCATAACCCACGCCCCAGGGTTCAACCGTTGGGCCTCTGCATGGGCCTTCCTTCGCTTCCCCTGCGGGGTGCTGAACCCCACCACCTCAAAATCGTCGGGAGAGTCCCGATCGAGCTCGCCAAAGAGGTCGGCCGGCCTCTTCGATCCCCGCCGCCCCCCAGAAGAGCCACTCGGCCCAGCCTCCGAGCTAGCGAACAACCTCTCCAAGTTGGCGAGGCGCTCCTCGGCGGTGGGGGTCTTAGGCAAATCTGCCTGCGGCCGGGGGGTGGGGGTGGAGGGAAGGGGACGGAGGGGCCGGCGAGGGAGAGGAGGGACGGGGGTGGCAGGGACTAAAGTGTTTCATAACGGAACCAATAACCACGTAAGCTTCAGCCAAAAGGCTATAATCGATAACCTGGTGTCAGCTTACCCCCGTCCGCAGCAGCCAACATCTCCCGCATCAAGTTCCGGTGGGCCGGAACATCCAGGAGCGTCCTGATCTTGGATTTCTGGGAAAATAGTATAGTCTTAGCTTAGCATGTAAAGGATACCTGCTCGAATCGAACTTACTGCCACCGCCAGGGCTTCCTGCTCCTGGCGAAGGACCTCAGCGGCCCGAGCCTCCTCCTCTTCCGCGATCCGACGCCTTTCGTCTTCTTCGGCCTGCTGCTTCTCCGCGGCCCGTGCTTGCATAAAGGCTGTGTGTAGTCAAACATTACTTGTTTTAGATAGCCGTCTCAAGAACGATAGCTTGCGAAAGGTAGCCAAAGGAAGGGGTTGAGACTTACTGGCCGTGTTGGCCTCCCACTTCGCCCTCTGCTCGGGCGTCAGGCCCTCGAGCCAAGCCTGCCATTCAGCCGCACCTGTTGTAGATAGCGAGGAGGTCTCTTAGATGGCAAATTCCAAAGCTAGACTTTAGCAAACTAGATCAGACTCACCACCACCGGTGAAGGGGGGAATGACGACTTGGTCGTCGGTAGGGGGGAGTTGTCCGGGCATGATCGATATGGGACTCTTTTGAAAGGTGTTCTGACGTGAGGGGTAGGCTTGAGCTGTGCTAGAGTGTGGTCGGGCTTGTCTGGCTTGTATGGGAGAATATAAGAATATCGGAGGGCTTGATGATGGAAGAAGGTATATTCGAGCGGTGTTGTTTACTTATACCTCAGGCTCGTAAGCGACAACAACATCTGAGACGTGTACCCCAGTTTTCTTTTGTTCCATCTGCAGCCTGCGCTGCAGCCATCAAATTCCTTTCGCAATAACAAACTTGTTCGTCTAGATCACTGATTGGCTAATATACAATCATACACCCAGTGCCTCACGGCTACATACTGCAACGTATTGAATAAGCCTTCTTGACCTTCTTCGGGACTGTGTTCAGCAGCTGGAGGGAAGTGGGTGTTGAGTGCTTGACGAAAGTCGGGGTCTTTCAGAAGCGGTGGAAGCTGCTCGTGATACCTCTCTACCATGACGTAGGGATCTGTGTCCTGCATGGGAACATCCTGATCTTCAAGACGTTGTTCCGAAGCCCAGGATATGACGTCCGGCCTGGGCCTACGTCTTGATGGCCCAGGCCGATCCTCATTTTCCTCCCAATCGTCCTCTTCTGAGATTCCGTCGTCGTCCGATGGCTGCTCCTCGATGAACCCCCGCTCGTGAATGAGGTCGTCTGTGGGATACAGGTTCAAGTCCATCCCCCGTTGACCTGCTTTGAGCATACCGTCGAGCCATTTCTTCTTTGGCGTCCAGCCTCTCTCTCCGGCCGTAGTGCTCTTGTGATGGTTGTGGGCCAAGACGTGACGCCGGATGGTCAGATTGAGAAGAGGTAAGAAGCAATGATGTAGACAGAAGATGTCCACTGCGTTATCGGGATCCAGTTCTTCCTTGTATTCCAAGTCGGCAAATGTCCGGGAGTACTTGTGAGTAAACTTTTCCCCGACCTCTTTCCAATGCCGCTCGATGGGGGTATTACTGGTTGACTTCCCCCGTATGAAAGGGGCTTTGATAGTATCTGCCGAGACCATCGAGAGATACCAGGGATCAACAAGCGGCTTTGTGAAACTGGTCGTTCGTGGTTGAGACTCACGCCGAATAGCTACCATGACCTTCCAAACACCATAGTTCTCTTTCCCGTAGTCCACTCGCACTCGCTGAGGCCAGCCCCACTCCTCGGTTGCCCTGAGAAAGACCTCTTCAACGGTGTCGGCACGGTTATTGTCGCTGGCTTGCATGAATGTGCAGACCCGGCTGTAACCATCAATGGCTCCATGAATGACAAACTTCCAGCGAATCAGTTTATGCTGACCGTCGATGTGCCAGAGCGAATTGGGAAAGGGGACTTTGTACACCCGACGTTTCTGATGAACGGCTTTCCGTAGTCGGACTCCGTCAGGGTCTAGAGCTCGGCTCAGTTCCCGGGCATGTTGGCGGGTGATATGTATCCCTAGTCCTTCAAGATATCCATGAAGCTTGCGATAGCCGACCATGATCCCATCTTGACTGTTGATGCAGTCACGTACATGCTGTTGAAGCAGTCAGAGTCTGGCTCGCTCGCAATAAGGCCAGATGAGGACTGACCTTCCATAACACCTCCTCAGGCACCTGATGCTTGGCCTGACGCTTGGGAGTCTGAGCAAGAGCCTGTCGTCTCCGGATGACCGTGTGTCGAGAGCAGCCTAAGTGATCGGCAATCTCTTGGTCTGTGAACCCCTCCTCGGTGAGTTGGACCAGCATAGGAAGGTTCAGAGCCAGCATATAGCCTCCCTGCGGCCTTGCTATGGTCTCTCGAGGCTGATGGATAGGCCGGTTGTTGAGGACATTCTGATGTACAGCACCGAGCTCGTCCCGCAGATTAAGGGTTGCTCGTCGAACATTGTCGTGCATCTGCATGGGGACCTTCCCAAGTACGTCGGTACTGAGCCATGTGACCATGCTGTCGAGCTCGTGGATGTGTACGGGGATGCGAGCATGATCTCGATCTTCCGGCGATTGGGCTAGTAGAGCTATGATCGGATCGTGCACCTGAGCAACGTATATGTCTAAGGCTTGCTGTATAGCTGCATAGAGATCGTTCGACTGATCATCGAGATGTGTTGACATGTCTGCTGGCTAACTCTGTTGCTAATGGATAGGATAGGTAGTTTGAGGTACTAAGATACATACAACATAGAGTTGTGAGAAGTACGAGGTCCAGGCCTTGTGGCCCAGGCTGATCGGTAGGCCTGGGCCACGAGATTTTCCCAATTTTTGAGGTTCTCATGTAGAAAACCAGTTAGTTTTGGGCTTCACCGGCCCAAAGTTGTATATTGCTCCGCGCGCGGCGACGGTATATGTGTTTTTTTCAAGTTGCTACAACCGGCGCAGTATAGTTAGGAGATCGAGGTCGCTCGCGCTCGGTGTTCGACGCTCGAATCGCTCGCTGGGACGTCTCGTACTCCAGTGTACATCCACAGATTAGCTACCCTACTGATCCTTCTGATTCTGTCTGCATGTCCTGCTTCAGCCCCCATGCCCCATTCTGCATCGAGAACACCTTTTGGGCGCCGATATGATTCAGTTCGAGAGCTCTCGTCGACGTCGAGCTGAGACTTGCAGGAAACCCCCTAGGAGTCATCGACGGTGATGATGATGGATGATGAATGATGATGATGATGATGATGATGATGGATGATGATCGTTAATCGTTGAGGTTACCTTTCTCATCTCGTACCGTGAATCCGAATCGATTCGACCTTCACAATCTACTCACATCACTACACACGCCCACAGTCACCCATAGGCTCGTGATGGCGCTACACCACGATACAGACGAGAACGTTCGAGGTAAAGTGCAAGGGTTCAGGTCCCGCAGCCTGATCCAGGCCGAGAAATGTTCGCCTGTACTGAGGGGGCTCACGCTCCGAACACACGAACAGCAACGGTCGATGAGGAACAGGCCAAGATCGTCCGTCGAAGAGCTCAGAACAGAATGGCTCAAGCCATACATCGGCAACGCAGAGAATCAGAGGTCGCCACGGTAAGCACGGTCACCCACCTCACGTACACACACACATACCCTCGGACAGAATTCGCGGGAAACAAACGAGACAATGCAGCTCAGCCGCAGACTGACTCGGAACGGCTGTTCCTTCCATTTTCTCTAGCTCAAGGGCCAGGTCGAGGCTCTTCAGAGGACGAATGTCACTCTGATGGACACGATCAAAGCCTTGACCGAACATCAGGCGGTCCTCACAGCTGAAATCGCTCGCTTGCGAGGCGATTCCTGCGAAAGTAGACGTCCGGCGAGCATCACGGTCACGGTCCCCTCCACCTTGTCTGCCCCGGAATCCGACCGACCATATCATTCGGATCGAGGACCTGCGGATGTCGCTGCCGACGATGTGGCGGTGGTTGCTGAGAGCGATCCATGGAGCTCGAGGGTACGTAAATGGGCGAGTCGACAAGCACACACTCGCACAAACATAGACTTCGCCAGACATTTACACTTCCGTACATGGACCTGATCGATCAAGACCTCCTTGAAATGAACAGCCTGACCTATCGTCACAAGGATTCGACGTGTCGACGAACAACACCGCCCGTCCGCCTGCCGGTGAAGGGGAGGTGAGACACCCAGGCGTCTTTCCTCCCATCGACGATCCGGCCTCGCACGCTCTCTCCTTGGAAGCCGCTGCGAGATTGATCGAATCATCCTATCGAGACGTGACGTCGGTCACGGAGTGTGATCTTGCGGAGACGTGGATCAACGCGGCGTTGCCGAGCGACGGACCGGGAGACCTGCCAGGCTCGAGATCGTCAGGAAGCGAATGGCAACAAGGCAGCTTGGGGGATCGATCGGACGTCACCCCCGGGTCCGTAACGTCGCCTAGCGAGATCGTCACCATCCTGACCAGCCACGTCTTCCGGTCATGGGACGACCTTGCCTGTCCGGTCATCCAAGCCATGTTTTTCGTCTCGACGGGACAACGAGACGCACAGGTCGCCGTTTTCGACGGTCTCAGAGCGCTCAGTAGTATCGAATTGTGGGACAAGCTGAATAGCGGACGGCAGGTGAGTTTCTGGGACTCCAACTTTCGCTATCGAACAGAGACGATGATCGTCATCATCGGTCGGAGGACTGAGTTGGGTGGATCGACACGACAATAGGTCGGGCGGGATTTGCTTCTAGACGACTTGTGTGAGAGTTTCAAAGCAAAGTCGCGCGTCAATGACAGTGAGTGCCTGGCCCTGCAGGCGGCCTTGGGCCACATATACTCCTGTCGTAGAATCAGCAGCCGACCCTAGTTTTTCCGGGTCAGATCCGATCTTCACGGTGGATGATGTCGACGAGATCCTGGCTACTGTCGATTACTGCACCCTCGTGCGCTGCGCCTAGCCGGGTAATTTCTCGTGATCTGTATCAAGTTCGTGAACAGCACATGTTTGTAGATGCGTCCTCGTGAGGACCCTCGTTCGATGGATCCCTCGGGGTACTGTATGAGTACAATGAGTGATTTAGTGCCGACGGTTCTCAACCCGGCCTCCAGTGCGCGCGACCGTCGATGCTACGCCGACGCTTGCCTAAGCGTTTTGACGAGGACGAAAGACCAAGATTATCAACCTGATGCCATGATTGGGAAAAGAGTGAAAGTAGTATATCATAAAGCATAAGAGAGCGCGAAAGCGATCCTCTTGAATTTGATTAGCTTTTCGTGAGCGTTGACTCAGCCTTTCGGCCTTGAAGGCGCGCAAGCCCGCGATGCTGACGCGAAGATGACAACAATTCGTAATGTCGAGTAGTCTATCGAACCGTGCATCATCCTTTTGTGATATGCCAAACGAGTTGGATACAGTAAGCGGTAGTCATCTGCGAGCGAAAATTCAGATTCGTATCCCGCATGAGACGTGTATGTGAATGTGTATGTGTATGTATGAAATGTGTACATGTATATAAGACCGGTTGGGAATCATCGTTCTGAGTCGTCCCCCGCAGAGATCGGATCCAAACAAGCAAACGCAACGACCACGCATCTGTTCTCATCCCGGCCATCATGTCATCCGAAGTCCCCGCTCAAATCCTCGCCGCCTGCGCGTCTCCATCTCTGGGCGCCCCCGTTGTCAAGGAGATCGCTTTCAACGGGACCGCACACCAGTCTTCTCATGTCGTCGTTCGCAACACGGCCGTCGGACTCAATCCGTAAGATCAAAGCGGCGCGAGACGGATCGATCGGGAGACATCGACGATGAGCTGAACCAGACATGACGACTATAGAACCGACTACAAGCATGCTCGAGGAGACTGGAGTTCCCGTCGGGCGGTAGTCCTGGGCAGCGAGAGCGTTGGTATCGCCGTTCGAGTTCCGACCGAGGTTGAGCACATCAAGCAAGGTGATCGCGTGGCAGGTCTGATCTACGGCGCCGCAGATGAAACGAACGGCGCGGCAGCTCAAGGTGCGTAAGAGATGGACACGCGGGAATCGCCGTACATCAGCTGATCTTCTCTGTTTTCAATCCCGTGTGTCCTTGTTCATGTCATGTGAACTCACCTGCTTAGCTACGCTCTACGACGGGGCTCATGTCTGGCCCGTACCTGCCGGCATGTCTGATGAGGAGGCCGCCGGGTTCTCCGTAAGTCCTCTTTCCAATACGAATCACTGGCGGTCACAAGCTCATGATCGTGTCGGATGACAGCTCGCCCACTTTACGGCCGTTCAAACTTTGTACTTGCGTTGGAACTTGCTCAAGCCCTCACAACGTGACCCTTCTGTCGCCAATCACACGATCTTGGTGTGGGGCGGTGAGTCTTCCACCGCTATATCCATGTTCATTTTATCGCTGAAAAATCTGCTATCTTTGAATCCGAAGCTTCGACCGCCGTGGGTCATCACGCTGTACAGCTTTTGAGCCAGTCCGGATACAGAGTCATAGCTGTCGCCTCGACTGCCAGGCACGAAGCTATTCTGCGATTGGGAGCTGTCGCTTGCTTCGACTACAAGGATGGTGATGTGGTCGACAAGATCCGTCGAGCCGCCGGCGACAACGGAATTCGAGCTGCCTACGATACCGCTGCTAGCAATGGGTCCACCGATTTGTGCATTGGTCAGTGGATTGGAGCATCGTCAATGTTCGGGGTCTCGCGTTCTAACGCCGGTCCGGTGATGTAGATGCTATTGGACCCCAAGGCGGCAAGGTCATGAGCACGCTCCCACCATCCGAAGACTCTATCAAACGCCGATCGGACGTGGCAGTCGAATTCTGCCTGGTCTACACGCTCATGGGATACAAGGTATGCAGGCTTTGTTTTCCGATGTGCTGTTTCCGCACTAACCTATCCGCCCGCAGTTCACCTTTGCAAACGCATTCGACTTCCCCGCTCAGCCGGAAGACAGGGCAAGAGCCAGTCAGTGGATCTTGAACGAGCTCCCGATGCTTCTGGACGGCTGGAAGCAAGGAGCAGGTTCTCCTCGTTACAAACCCCAGCAGGTCCGGGTCGTGGGCAAAGACCTCGACGGCATCGAACTCGGCATCGAAATTCTCCGCTCCGGCAGTTATCAAGCTGAGAAGCTCGTCTGCCGAATTGTCTGATGCATCGTCAGGTCTGGAACCGTTACAAACGACCAAGATTTCATGCACTGGTCACACCTCTCGTCGACCTGTCTCCTGAATATTTAGGTCTCCCTCATGTCAACTTTTCAATGGATAGCGACTCACGCCGAGCCAGACTCCCTTTGGTCAGAATGATGATTCATGACTGTCTCCCCTTGAATGTTCTTTGAGTCGTACAGCGATGCGATCCGATGACCAGTTGGCACGCCGACCGATCCTTCGCTCGTCAGTCGGGTACACATCGAAGACTGTTAGCCTGCGACACCGATTGATGGTCATCTGCGAGTCTGCCGTAAAGACGAGAATCTCCCTACGTGAACACAATAGTCTGTCCGACCAAATTTTTCATGTAATTCAATTTGTGATAAACAATTGTTTTCTTCTGTCTGTTCTCGCCGCTCGTACAACATCTTCTTCGTCCCGCAGATCAGCCGATGCTGCTGATCAAGCCGCGTTTGCAATAACACGACGACCTGATGTCTATGTCTGAACCGAGAGCCGCTTTCTCTAGCCATGTCTCTGCCAATCCTGCTTCTTCCCATCGTTCGAGCCTTTTCAAACAGTCGACATATCCGGTCAGAGCCCAAATATTCTTCGGATGGCGCCGATGGTGGACACCGTTGGTCTTCGCGGGATCATCCAGGCCTAGGTCCATTCGATATGCTACAAGGGCTTCTTCGGTATGACCTTGTTCGAGGTTGAGTGCAGCGTAGGGATGTCGCGAAGGCAACATCCAAGCCCAAGGTTCACTGTAGACCAGAGCATCGTCGAGCGCAATCGCCTTTTCCAGCGAGGCGAAAGCGGATTCGTACGATTGACACCGATATTGCAATTCGCCGTCGAGCATCGCTTCTGCGACCTTGAAGACGTCCCGGGATTTATTGGGATAGTCCATCCTCGAGACGGGGACACGTGCGCAAGCTTCGAGAAAACGATCGCGAGCTTCCGAAGCCTGGTCGATGTTGCCCAGGGCGGCATGGGCGATTCCTCTACCGTACCACAAGGTAGCGGTCGTGACGCTGTACAACGTTGGATCTTTTGGCATGGCCAGACGCAAGATCTCGCTCCACTTGCCGAATCGAATTAAGACGTGGACGCGAACGCCATGAAAAGCTTCCAACCAGTCCGCCATGGGAGGTGATTCGATTCGCAAGGTCGTCTCGGGCAATGCGCATTCGAGCTTTTCAGTCGCCGCGAGGGCGACCGCATACTGGCCAGCCAACATCGCAGCATAGATCAACGAATGACAGTTGTGCGCCCGGTAAAAGGGGAACATCGGACCGCCATTCAAGCCAGTCTCCGAAAACTTTTCATCCGCTCGGACGGCATTGGCGTTGGCAGTGATGGCGAGGCCGTAATTACCAAGTAGGATGTCGATGTGGGCAGGCATATGTTGCAAATGTCCGGCATCCCTGATCCCGTCGCGAAGCCGATCAGCAGCTGGCTCTGCCTTTTCCGGATGAGGCGATCGCTCCAATAGGTGTATGTACATATGATTGAGCCCTGCGTGAGTCATCGCACCCTCAACACTGAATGCCTGTTCGAAATTGACGTCGAGCTCATGGGCGAGAGACAATGCCTCTCCGTTACTACTCTTTTCGCTCCAGACCGTCTTCGGTATCATCGTCAGGATGGACTCGCCATAGAGAGCGATGATATCGAGATCTGTAGGATGTTGAATCGCAGCTTCTCGCATGGCTTGTACGTAGCACTTGTCCGATGTGGTCGGGTCGATCGATCTCTCGTGTCCAGCAAAGCGCAACGCTAGAGCGCGGACAAGCGCCTGTTCTGGGATCGAGGCCGCTTCAACGTATCGTAAACCCTGCTCGATGTTCCGTCTCGCTGAGGCGAGAGCGACTTGCATGTCCTCGGCGTCGAAAAGTCTCCATGGCTTGTTGAAATTCGGCCCGATCGAATACGCCATGCCCCAGTAGGCCATTGCGCAATGAGGGTCATGCTCCAACGCCTTGGAGAAGCAACGCATAGCCTCGCCGTGATTGAACCCGTATATCCACGTCAGACCTCTTCCAAACCATTCCTGGCAGCTGGGGTCGCTCGTCGTGATGCGACGAAGATGAGGATGTAGGATATCGAACGGGTAGTCCTCGGACATGATTGTTTGATCAAGTCGCGCAGTGGGGACGGAAGGGCTGACAATGTATGGCGATACAGCAGTACACCATGTCCTACGAGGCTGCAGGGATCACTTGCCTAACTCGACGCCTTTTGAGGAAAGTCTAATGGAGAGGAGAGGCGGAGGGGGGGGGACATGAAGACCTCCGTGGATAAAGGTCATTTGACATCTGTGAGAGCCATATACGAATCGTTCGTCAGATCTTAGTCAGCAAACGCGCTAGATCTAGATCTGACCGATAAATTCTAAATGATCAATTACGATATGCAAGTCCCTCAGGAGCTGACGGGCAATACCTTTACATTACACTCATACAATCGGGCTTGTGGCGTCGTTCGGCGGTCAAGATCTCAGGATCGTGGACATAAGTTACGCCGAGTCGTAAAGCGAGTCTAAAGGTATGGCTAGGCCCGACTAACGTGGTAGCTCATGATGGATAGGAAGCGGTCTGATAGACACTATAGTACTAGACAATTATCAGATTGGGACAGCAATTTTGAGCAGAATTACGACGAGATGGAGAATATTTAGCAGCCCTTCGTAATTACTAGCTAAAGCGCTGATGCATTACGAATCGGACACGGCCCTGCCCTCATTCACCTCTCTCGCAAATCTCGTAAGAGGTATCTGGCCCTCCCGTTCGGTGTCGATGTACAGCACTAGCACAAAGCGGCCAGGTCGATCTTGGTCGCCACAACCGCCTTACTACTAGGCCCCGTCACCCAGATCCACGCTTCCTTCTTCCCCCCATTAGTGGCCGGGTCGATAGGCAAGACCACCGCCGTCGAAGCGCTACTCAGCGTCTCCCCGTCGTCCTGGAAGACGATCCGCCTCGTCCACCTATCCCCTCCTTCACTTCCCGCCTCCTTCTCCTTTTCTTTCTTGTCCTTGTTCTCGCTTCTGGAGACGATCCAGACGACGCTCGGATCGACATGCCCCTCATCCCTAAAGAACTTCCCATAATCCGCCCCCCGTAAGAGCCCAGCGAGGACGTACCCGCTCGCATCACACCTAGTCTCCGGGTAGGGGTCGTGGAAGTAAGACGGGTTGTCGATGGTCGAGTCCATTTGGATGGATTCCACCAGTTCCAGCTTTTTCGTCATCGAGGGCGTCGATGACGAGGAGGTCCGGGAGGAGGGTTGGGAGGAGGACAACCGGGCGAGGTGTAACACCCCCCCAGCGGCATCACAGACCAAAACCTCCCCCTCCTTGTCCGGATCCCCATGTCCTAGCCCGTTATTATTATGCATCCCCTTGAGAACCACCCCGACCCGTACTCCTTCCGCTGCGTCCCTACTCTCGATACCATCATCAAGATCGACCCGCACATGAACCGTCTCCGTAACCCTCCCCCAAGCGCCCGTCCAAACATCCTCCACAGTCCTCCTCAAGCCATGTTCTCTGTGTTTATGATCGTTCGTCACCAAGAACTCCCTTGGGGCGATACTGTATATATCGTTCGGAGTCCTTATAAGAGGATGACGGATGGATCTTATGTGCCGAGCTTTGTTGGAATTGAGGGTATGGTGGAATACTTCGATCTGCGACCGAGCCTTCTCTCGCTCCTTCGATTTGATGTTGTCGTCAGAGTTGTGGTCAGGGTCGTAGTCGGGGTTGGGAAGATGATTGATAGCGTGTATATAAACCGAATTCTCATCCTGCGGGTCGGTTACGAGGTCGATCCCATGCGTTACGAAGGGTCCTTTGAAATCTTCTAGGGTGAGGCGGGTGGATGTGAAGGTCTGCGAGGAGAGCAAGAGAGAGCAATGAGTTGTAGTTGTATCAGCCGGGATTTCAGGCCAGAGAAAGCGATCGAAAACAGAAGATACGAAAAGGAGATGAAAAGGAGACGAAAGACGATAAACTCACCTCGGGATCGAGCACATGAATACTACCGGTCATATCCCCACTTCCCAACTCTTCAGGTCCGTCGAAAAACGTCATTGGCGGGAACCACTTGAACCTCGGCGACCCCCTTCCCTCACAGGCCGTGATCAACAACGCACTCCCATCATCGACCTTCCAAAGATGCAAGTCTTCACAGTGCCTAGTATCCTCGATAACACGCAACTCTTTAGAGAATCCGTGAACGTTCTCGATGACGGACCCGCGGGTCAGGCCTAGGGTGACCAGCCGTTGTTTCGTCGGTTGATAGGCGTAGATGGCGAGCGCTACGACGAGGAAGAAGGCGTTCCTAAGCAAGGTTCCCATCGTTTTCGAGTGTAGATGATGTTATGTGTGGTGAGTCTGGTGTTATATGCACTCTACGGTTGATCAGAAATGCTCAAGATATATCCCAAATCGCAAGTCGTCGTCGTTCAAAGGAGTTAGTTTACCGACCTCGGATGACGAATATGATGATGACCGGTTAACATTATTCGAGAGCTTCGTCACGTGACTTTTGATCACTCGACACTCTGTGTGTGGGACTCGTAACCCCGATCACATCTCCTCCTCCTCCTCCTCTCACCCTTGCGAAACCTGAAAGTCAAGCCGCAGCGATGATGCCATAACTGTCTCGAAGCGTCAAGACGTCGTCCGTCTCTGATCGTTCGTGGTGATCGTCAGAGGGCTGTGCAGCAAGCGTTTCAGACACGCGCGAGGCTTGGTTTCAGGTTCAGTAGCAGCAGCAGTATCTAGTAATTCGTGGGCATCCCGCTGCTGCTGCGTCGGTTCAGAGTCCACATCACATACCCATACCCGCGCTCGAGAGGGGATGTAATCACATGAGGGTCCAGATTACCAAAGGATTCTTTGAGAAACATTACTCCTGAAAGATCCGTCGCTTTCTGATCCGTCACCTCGGCCCAATCTCATCTGCGCCACCTTCGAGCCTGCACTGATAGTGTGAGCCTGAGTTACGATATCCCTCTGCCGTATAATGGGCCGTAGGATGTCCATCAGTCGAACACTTTTCATTTATTGAAGCTGAGATCGACTCCTATATACTTTGGGTGAAAAATTCCGATCGTCATGGTTCAGATACACCCACACTTTGAATCCGGCAACGTATCGACGGGTGGGAGTTCCGAAGTTGTACTGGGAAAATCAAAACGAGGTCATCACAATTTCGACAAGTTAGAAAGGGTTCCATAATACAAGCGTTCAGATTCACAGTTTGTTCAGACTCCACAGACTCAAAAATCGAGTCATGGACAAACAACGTGCGATATAAATGATCGAGAAGACCCTTGTCGACCCGCCTTCTGGCGATCAGACCATCTGAACAACAACGGCAGCGACAAAAGCGCCATACACGATGCGCTCGATGCCCTCGAAGCGAATCGACCTGGAGCCACCCGAAGACTCTGGAGTGGTACCGGTGGGCGTCGCGCTGGGGACATTCGTCTGACTTGTGCTGGTTGAGATCGCCGTGGCGCTGATGATCCCATCACTCAAAGTCGGAGTCGCATCGTTGATAGCGAGAGTCCGAACATCTTCCCAATCGCCGATATCCTCCTCTCCGACCTTTTCTGGAAGATCGGCATGCGGATCAAACGACTGAGGGACGGCCAGGGTCGTCTCAGCTGGGTCGGGTGCGACTTCTGTGGCAGTAGGCGTCCCGCTCGGAGCGGGATCCGGAACGAAAGTAGCGGTCCCAGCGGCCAAAGCTACTTCAGAAGCGGTATAAAGACCTTCCGCGGCTGGGTCAAAAGCGATGGAAGTCTGGATATCTCCGGGCACCGAATAGTTACTAGGATCGGTAGGTGGATCTTCCTCTTCGGCAGGTTGTTGGCGCCTGAGCTGAGAAGGAGCTTCAGTGGGCCCAGGGGACGCAGGGGACTCCAGCTGTGAAGTCGACTCGGCTGTGGGTAGCGCCTCTGCGGGAATCGTAGAAGGTAGCGATGTCATCGTCTCGCTCGTTGTAGGTGACGCCGGGGCGGTAGAAGCTTCGCCTTCTGCTACTGAAGTGGTCGGCAGAGAGTCGGAAGAGGTGGTGATCGGACTCTCCTCCACCGTGCTCGAGGATGTTTGCACAGCAGTCGATTCGCTCGAGGATGCCAGTGAAGAAGTGACAGTCGATGAAACGCTCGACGCCGCCGCAGCAGTCGGTCTCAAGCGCTGTTCGCCCCAGCTGATCGACGTCGTCTTCACTTCAGGGTTCGTCTGGCCCAACCTGCCCAGGTTCGAATCCTCCGGCAGCCTGATCCGGACGAAAGGTATATGATGATTCGGGAACGGTACCATGTAGGTCTGCTTGCAGCGATAAAACTATGAATAGCGGAGGAAGGTCAATCAGAGCCATTGATAACCCCGGTAAGCATACAAAGTCTGGGCCTACCTTGGGGTACTTGACGGATTGCGAGAATCCGGCGACGCTGAACGTTACTTTACCAGTAGTCAGGCATGGCATATCGAACCAACCCTTCGTCCAACGTTGATACGAAGCAACCCGCACGTCTACTCCAACCCTGCCTCCATCATCGACGGCGCCGACGGAGTTCGATAACCATTCAACGCTCGACCATAATTGAGTGGCTTGAGGTATCATGCCTGACAAAAGCCGTTGCGCTTCAAACAGGCCATGACTGATCTTTTCCGCCGAAGCTTCGTCCCCCGCATAGTCCTGGATCCAGTTCCGGGTGAACAAGGTCTGCAGCGAATCGACAAAGGGCGGACCTCGCTGCGCTACCTGGCCGACGAGCTCGGGAACCTTGATAAGGTTGTCCTGCAGCGTGTCGATGATACGAGGCAGTTGCTGAGCAGCCTTCAATGATTCTGCCAATTGACCAATACTGTTGAGCTTTCCTTCGACGATGAGCTGAATCACACTGTCGATGCCGAGGTCCGAAACGTCTTCGAAGAGTTGTACAGCGTCCGTGATGGTCTGAGTGGCTTTGTGCGCGCCCTTTTGAGTCTGCGCGATGATGCCGTTGAGAGCAGCGATTTGCTTAGACATGTCCAGAGTGGTTTCCACTGTGGCATTACGATAGCGTCAGAGGCGCAGTCATCCAGTCGCCACGATAGGTTCCCTCACCTTGCTTCTTAAAGTCTGACATCGTATTATTCGCGCAAGTAGCGGCATCGGGACAGAAGCTACCGATGATCTTCATGACCTCGGCTTCGATCTGTTCCCCCTGCATCTTCAACGAGTCCGTCGAGTTTGCCAACGCGTCAAAGTTCTTCTGGACCGTATTCATCCCGTTCGACCAAGGCAAGAGTAGATCCTTGATCTGCTCGGCCATCAGCTTTTCGGAATCTTGCAGGTAGTCGACAAAGAATCCTCTGATAGCGTCACAGGCTCCAGAAGCCGCGCAGGGGACGATCGACCCGGCAAAGGCAAAGTACCGGGCGAGATCTACAACAAGATGTTGTAGGCAGCGCTTTTAGAACTTTTCCGTTGCTAAAGAGCGCGATGAGGATTGCTTACCGATCTCTGCAGCTCTGAGCACTCGAACGCTTGAGGAAGTAACCAGAGCGCCTGAACCCTGAGATAGACCGGCGCTGTTGTCCTTGATGCTCATCCCGGCATCGACGGCACATTGAGCGAAACCTCCGAACTTTTCGAGGATATCCGCCGAGGTCGTTCCGGCATCTCCAGACTGCACGAGCGACTTGAAAGTGTCGCCATCGACAATGGAGAGCATCTGCAAATCACGGCGTGTTTAGATGAGAAAGCACGAGAACATCGAGACGACCAAGCGTACCTCTGGTAGACATGTACAAATCGCTCCGCTCTTTTGAGCGAGCTGTTCCAATCCCGGGATCGCCTGCCGGGCCAGAGAACAAGCGTCGACCGACTTGGATCCCACATCTATCCCGATGGGAACTGTAATGACAACCTTGTCTGTACCCGGAAGACACTGCTTGCCGCCAAAGGGGAACCTGAAAGTCGTCTTGCAAGGGTTGAACTTGAACCAGTCGGTCTTGCCCGTTCTGACCTTGAACGTCGGAATCTTGAACGAGGCCTTGCAGGAAGTCGCACGGGAGAGGGACGAACAGAGTTTCTTCATCGCTTCGGATCCATCACTCGCAGCGACTAGGTTGAAGCTGGTGACCGACACTAGCAGTAAGAACAAAAGATAAGTAGGTAGACCTGTCGAGAAACGCATAGTGTAACAAAGATCCGTTGTTGGCTGATTTACCTTACATTTTTCGCCGGGATGGTCGGTAAGATGGATTCGTCTCAAGCGACCTTATATAGACCTAAGCGCGACGATACTCACGCACCAACTCCCGGTTGTTGCTCGTGACCATCGCCTTCTTCCACCTGAACGGTTAGGAGCAGGTCGGTTCGTCTGAGACCTTCGGCACCCTCTTAAGCGTCTTCTAGGTTTAGCTCCTATTCGGTTCCTAGGCCACATGATACCTGAAGAGCGCAGCGAACTCCATGGAAGCCTGTGTCAGGAAGGCAATGTCAGATCAAAAGACCAGGTGATCTAGCGATACGAATGAGTTTCGAGCGATCCGAAGAGATGTCGAAACAGATGCCAAAATGCTCCCGTCCCCTCGTTTCAGAACGCCACGCGGATCCTGATTGATGACTTTTCAGTTCCGCATCACCTGATCGATCAGCGAGCGTGACTTTCTTCTGAGCATGTCCGCACTTGTACAAGGTTTGCGGAAGCGAGAAGTGAAGGTCGTAGAAGGACGGGATCGCATAGAGTTTTACCGAGCCGAGCAAAGCGTACGAGATCAGGGTCCGCTATGTTGGACAAGACCTCTCGCCGGAGCCGCGAACTATGCAATGTGCAAGAGCGTCTCGAGGCGAATGCCAAGAGAATCCCACCCACGATCACCACACGCTATCAGATCCCGTCGATGGATCGACATTTCGTTCGAATATGCTCTGCTGATATCTCATCAGATTCGGTTCCGACAGCGAGACGCCTTGGAGGAAGATCTTGTAATCACTCCCGCCTTTCTCATCCCAAATTGAAGCAGTACAGACGATTCCGTCGCTTCGTTACGCAAGGACGTTCCGTGTCATCCGACCAAACACGAACTCAGGTGACCTTCACCGTACAGCCCAAGACTTTTCGACTTGACACCGAACATCTGCTTGGTTTCGCTCGCGAACGAGTTCTCTTCCAGCAATGATATCCGCCTATATATATATGCCCACCACTCGGCTGTTCAAGATAGTCCAAGTCGCTTCCTCACACCGACCATCTTCACATCCACTCCCATCACTCATTATGGGCTCGAAACTCAAGGCATCCAAGTACCAACGCCAACCCGGCGACCACACCTACCCCTGGCACAGTCGCCGAGGCAAAATCTCTCGACACCTCATCATCCTAGTCGCCCTAGGTCTCAACGCCTGCATCGCCGGTCTGGCTCTCGTCGTTCAATGGGTCGATATCACCGTCACCGACTCGTCCCTCCCCAAGATCGGTAGCATGAAGGCGACCTATAGCTACAAAAGCTTGCTCGCTCCAGGTGCTTCGCTACTCGGTTCTATCAACGGATTCATCTCAGGCGCCGCCATCGCTACTCTGGTCACGGCCTATGCGAAGCGACGAGGATTGGGTCGCGGGATATCGTTCGATGAGATCGGTTCCCTGAGCCAATTGTGTGAGTCTGCCTATTCACAGATTGCTGGATTTGCCGCTGATCGTAGGCGATAGCATCGGGAGGGCTGCCTATTGCCTTCAGTCGATATGCCTTAGCCGGCTTGGTCTTCTTGGCTGCCGACTCCCTGACTCGAGCAGTGAGTCCCGTAATATTGGCAGACTTCCCCTTATATCTCGTATCATCGCTGATCCCGACCGTAGAGCATCGTCGCCTCACTTACACCCACCGATGGTCGAATCGAAGCCGACGCTACTACAAACCTGAGAGCGTTCAGTACTTATGATGACGCTACGAGGAATATAACGTGCACTTACGGACGGTCCCCGGACTACGGATACGGCAACGTGAGAGAATCGCTTTTCCCCACTACCTCGATCCAATGAATCGACGGCTGACATTGCAGCTATCATCTAGAATTGCCCCATCAACGACCGATGTAAGTAGGAAAAACAGCATCGCACAAATCTCACAGAGCGCGCTGAACCTGGTTTCCGTTTGGCAGACGGGATGATGCTGGATGCAGGTGTTCGCAAGCTGCTATATCAAACGTAAGCTTCGAACCCGAGTTCGCTCGATTTGAATATCGACCGACTCGTTTCACAGTCCTGAAAACTATACTCGAGACGGTATCACCTATCCCAGCAGATTAGCCGGAATCGCCGGCTATGTATCGACACTCTCGTCGACACTGCTAGGCCAGAGCAGCTCGGGCGCCTTGAAGCTAGCTACGACCGATACCATCGTGACTACCTGTATACCCCGTTCGGTCGTCACTGTCGAGTGTAAAGATAACCTCGAAGGTACGGGAATGAGTTGGAACAACCTGGGCAAAACCGACACATCGGGATTCATGGACACGCAACAAGCGCAATTTTGTGGACGCAACAGAGGCTGTGGCGATATCACGCAGCGACCCGACTATACTGCAGGGTCCGTCTTCGTGGTGAGTCGAGCGTCTGTATCATCCTGCTGGGTGCCAGCGCTGATAAAAACCTCTCCGGGACCGTCAGTTCACGGACGACTACTATGAGAACGGCGATCTGGTAAGCGATCAGCGTTTAGTGGCACGACGAATCACAGGTTGACAATTCGAAACAACGCCACAGCCTCTTGTTATCGCCGCTACGGGCGATTACGCAGCCCAGATGGGAACGAGCAACATCTATTGTCGTATCAGCAGTGAAGAGACTATGGAGCCCATTCAGATCCGAGGCAATGCAGTGCAGAGTTCCAACCTCATCCGATGCGATCCGTAAGCTTCAGCCACGCCTTGACTGCGCGCGCGCGAGGTGATCATCCGAAACCCTACGAAACATGACAGAATCGACCAACCCAGCTTGGCATTCACGGAAACGATCAATTTTATGGGTCAAATGGGTGTGTATTACATGATACTCCCCATTTGCAGTGGCCTTTGCCAACTTTGATACCGTCTACAGCTATGCAGAAGCAGCAGGGTGAAGACGGTCGTTTCGAGCTGTTCGGATTGCTAGGTAGCCGCACGTCAAGCCAGGAAAAGAGCAATCGGGTTGCCGAGCTGATCAAGGAAATGGTAGCCATCGGCGCCACGGTGAGTGATGCTCAGATACACGTGAATGCAGAGGGCGTAGTGATCCATGTTCCAAGCTGAAGATCTTTCGGGTTGTAGGAAATGTATGACGACCTGCCAACATCGACATCCTCCGCTACAACGCGATATCAACTGACGTCCCCCAAACCTCGACTGGGTCAGAAAGGCAGCTTATACGTCCTCTTCTGCATTCCTCCGCTCGTATATTGTGCCCTTATCCTCCTAGGCTGGCTCTGGCTCGGCTTCAGGTTCTCCGGCGCCGCCCATTGGTCTCCTCTCAGTCCGGTCGACATGGCCATCGCTGGCATCGCCGTCCCTTCCAACAGCTCGGCCAAGGTCGCTTATGGAGGTCTCGCTGGCGCGCCCATCAAATGGGCAAAAGAAAAGGTCCGGGTCCGACTCGCAGAAGTCCAACATGATCGTCTGGGTCTGTCGATCGATGCACCCGACGTGTGTCCAAAACCGCAGAAAGGCCGCTACTACGGAGGTCCTTCCTTGCCCGCCCAGCCTTCGCCAATTTTGTTCGACCCCAAACTAGGCTCACCCCAATCAGCAGCCTTGTCTTCACCATACTCCAGCCCCAGCGTCGGTCAAACCGATTACAACCCTTACTTTAGCGGAGTGCCTATCGTCCCCTCTGTGGCATACTCGCAGGGTCAACATCAGGTGTGAAGTATCGCTTATTACGCAGCTAAAACCTTGAGCAGTGTCGCTCCTTTCCTTGACAACCCGCTTCGTCCATCGGTACATATAACGTTTGGTGCGTAAGACGACTTCTGTACTTCAGCTTTGTATAATGCTCCCGGAGTTCCTGTACAGTCCAAGATTTGTATACATGGATAAAGTCGATCCACGAAGAGCTTACACTTCGGCCTAAGCGGGTAGATGTCGTTACTCCGTGCCATCTTTGATGGATTCAGTTCATCAATGCGTCGACTCAACTTTGTCGGACCAATACAGCTAACAAAGTAAGCGCAGCAGGTCGGGTCGAGCAAATTGGCAAGAGTCAGCCAAAGATATATCGGACCTTCGAGTGATATGAGTCTGAACACAGAGTGATCGGTGCATTGTCCAACACACGGAGCATAAACGATACAGGTCACGGCATACATACAACTGAAGGAGATGTCGATCAACGAAACGCCTTTCAGTCTGGCGTGGTCTTATCAACTCGGCAGCGAGCACTGGATACGATCGGCCCGGTTCCTACAATAATATCTAGGTCCTCGAGACCTCTCTCCACCCGGGGGCATACAGTAGTGTGAAATCACCGTCTACTATGCATCCAGACCCGTTTTCCGAGTTCGTACATGGTCGTCGTTCCATCATCAGGGAACGCCAGCATGACCGGTGGAGCCTCATCTTCCTCCCTCTTCCGTTGATGTCGATCACGGACCCAGTGTCGGTCGTGATACTCGAAGATGCTCGAAGCCGTCGTCCATCGCTCGAGGAAGACTACATCAGGTAGAAGAGTACTCGTAGTAGGCTCGTCCTGCTGGACCTCGCGAAGCCCGAGGATCAGTTTGACCAGGCGGATCCTGACTCCGTGCACTCGAGTATCATCGGCAGTGTTCCACTGCCGGCTGTCGAGTCCAGATTTGAATCCCTCGGTTTCCATCTCAACCGCTGCCTTTGCAGCGGCATCCCGTAAGGTAGTATCGTGGTCGTCATCGAGCAGGGTGCTCAGGATGTATCGCTCGACGACAGTCCACCGGACGTCCTGTTTCGATCTCAAGTCCTCTAACTTGGGGATGTTTGTCGCCTGAGGAAGTCCTGAGGCCGAACTATCCGCGAGACGGGCTTCGTACAGATATCAAATATCAAATATGATATCGACGAAACGACTTCGTCAGTTCGGTAATTCGGTAAACCATGCGTACGGGTTTGGGTCGTTGATGGAGAAAATACTTACCAGCCCGTCTAGCTCGCAACTCTGCCCGTACTTTGTTGATAGACGATGTTGCCTCGGCGATACCGGCTGCTCTTCCATCGACGTCTGTTGAACTCCTGTCCGTTCCCATTCTTGCTGTATGGCACGGTGTCGTGCTCGATCGTTCCAAGATCCAAGAAGAGGTCAAGCCGATTGGGTTCACACCGACCCAAGCCGCTGTACGTGCGGGTGCTCGGCCCGAGAAGAAACCCTCGGTCTGGCTTGAACCAATCATCCGCCCAACGACCCGAGTCAAGCCGACCGGACCGCCCGCTCACGCCGTTTCGTATACTGACAAGGTCGCCAACACCTATGTCAAGGTGACGCAGGGCTACCTGGTACTGCCTCGATATCCACCGCAGTCTTACCTTACGCAACCGTCCAAGAGCTACTGTCATCATCAATCGTTGGTACAGCTCAGTGTCTATCGTCACCGAGGTAGGTGGGTCACCCCGGTGGCCTTTTCCAGCTGGGCCTACAATATCTGTAATGCGGCCATGTTGCCCGGCGGGCTCAAGCTGCTGAGGCATGTCAACGAATCCCAAGACATTATCTGGACCATTCTCTTCGACGAGCCTTTGATGGACGATTCGGACGAACCGGAGCTGTTCGAGGCGCTCGAAGCGTTGACCCAGGATATGGTGGATGAGCAAAACGAGTCACGCCATCTCAGCTACGGTTCTCGCGGTCGCGCATTGGTCGCCTGGCCGATCCCCCAGCACGAGGGCCCAGTGGTGGCTAGGTTCCTGGTCCTGGCTCTTGGAAAGTCTGATTCGAACTGCAGAGGCGCAAATCCTCACGAAAGCGAGATAGGTTTAGTAACGACAGACGAGGTCGAAAAGAACGAACGTATCCTTTACGTGAGCCTGGTCGACCTTGAACAGGTCAGGAGAAAATGTTGCACCGATCTTTCTGGGACTACATGCAATTATACCATATCCTGTATCGCACGATGTCACTGTCGTACTGTCACCATGTCACCGGGATCACCGGAATGTGAGTCAGTTACTAGTCAGTTCGACCCTAAGTCAAGGGGTGTCAGATGTCGAACCCCGCGCGTGAAAGTCGAAAGTTCCAACCACCTGAGATCCTGAGATCGAGGAGGAGGAACGTCTTGTGCTCATGCATCGGGACCTCGATTTCAACCTGCCAGACTCACCCTTGCCCTGCATACACTATCATATAAGCATATAATAGCCACGAACTCAGTTATCGTCTTCGCCTGAGTGGTCAAACGTAGCAGTGGTGGTCGTTGTCACCCTTTCAACACACCCCTCTTGCCGAAATCGCCTGCATCGTCATCGCGTGTGTCATCGTCATCTTCGAGCAACCTGGAGCTCCGCAAAAAAGAGGTCGAAAACCCACGTAGAGGACACATCTGAGGGATATACTGTACATTTCTTCCTGCGACCTGGCTACACCATTCATTCATAATCTGGACATCTCCTTGTGCAGAGAAGACCGCCATCCGAGGATGACCAACACCCAACCTTTTCCCGCGGGACTCACGAGCGATCGACGAGACCCGATCTCCACTTCTCCCACCAGCCCGACCTCGACCTCGTCCTCGTCGACCCAAGCTGGGGTTCCTCCTTCCATCAGCACCAGCACACTAGGCTTGACACCAGCCTCGCCGTCAACACCTACCATCTCCATCGACCGAGCTACCTCTCATCCCCATCCCGATCGATCGATGAATTCGTCATCCAACATACCTACACCTACAACTACAATCGGCGGGTCAGGTCTCTCCCCAACAAGCACTACCGGTCCTTCTATATCTCGACGAACTCAGATGTCTAATAACGGCCCAGCAAGACCATCCCCCTTATCCCGATTACATTCTTCCCCAGGTCCAGCGTCTCTAGGGACTTTGAGAGCGGGGAACCATACGTACAACCAGAGACAAGCTGGGCAGATGCTCAACAACATGGATGGATCGGGTCTAGGGGGGATGGGGATGGCAAGTCCGTCGAGCCCGTGCTTCGTACACAGTCATCTGCAAAAGCATAGCGAGCTCGATGAGCGGGTCAGGATGAAGATCGGGGTTGACGGGCAGGGGCAGGGGCAGGGGCAGTATGGGCGACATGGACAGGTACCTCAGCAGGGACCAGGTTCGACGTCAGCTCAGTCTCCGTCTCAATACGCCCCGCACGGTCAAATCTCTGGTCAAACGCAAGATCAAGGGCAAGGTCAAGGTCAAGGTCGATATTCGATGAGCCCGACCTCACGCCAAAGTCAAGCTCAAGGTCAAGGTCAGGCGATGCAAGGTGTGACCTCGATGTTCGGGTACAACTCTGACGGACCGACCCCGAGGTTCTCTACCCCTTCTTCTGATTACGGGTATAATCACCACTATGCTTCTGATTCGAACGTGAACGTCAACGCCAATGGCCACGGTCACGGTCATGGTCACGGTCATGGTCATGGGAATTATACTCATACTCCCACCACCTCCCATCACACCCAACACGATCACAGACAAAAGATCTGCGCACCCTCCCCCTCAGACCTGGACGATGCGGAAGATGGCGGGAGCCTCACTAGACAACTCGCAGAGACCGCCACGGGCGTCCGGGAGATGTCGAAGCAGCTGGGGAGGACGAAGGTGAAGAGTAACATCCAGAGCGTGCTTATTGTGACCAAGGCACGGGATAATAGGTTGATCAGGTTGACCAGGGAAGTGGCTGTTTATCTGATGAAGATGAAAAGTAGGGGAGGTGGAGGTGGAGGTGGAGGTGGGGAGAGGGGGATGATCGTGTGAGTCTTCCGCTTTCGGGGGGATGCTATGCTATGCTTCGGACGACCGTCCTTCTTCCCTGATCAACGAAAAGACTGACTCTCCGTTCGACATTCGAACCCTTGCTCCTCCTCGCTTGCAGCTACGTCGACGCTCAACTCCGCACCTCGAAACGTTTCGACGCCTCCGGTCTGAAAGAATCCAACCCCGAATTCTTCAAACCGCTTTATCGGCGCCGATCGTCCTCGACGGCCTCGATGAGTACGTTGTCGGGGTTCGTATCCGATGCCAGTGTGGGTGGGTACGCGAGCAGGTCGTCTAGAGGGCGAGGTGGGGGTAACAACGGTGGGAACGGGAGTGGGACCAACGGGACGGGTACGGGGACGGGAGCGGGGGAGGACGGACAGTTGAGGTATTGGACGAGCGAGATGTGTTCGAGTCAGCCGCATCTGTTTGATATGGTCGTCACCGTGAGTAACAAGGTTCACTTTAGAAGATGTAATTCCGGGACAGATCGGCGAGCCAAGTCGATTGACATCCCACTTTGCGCAGCTCGGTGGGGACGGCACGGTCCTCTTCACCTCGTGGCTCTTTCAACGGATCGTACCCCCCGTCCTCCCCTTTGCACTCGGATCGCTCGGTTTCCTCACAAACTTTGATTTCGCCGACTATGCCAAGACGCTGGACAAGGCCGTGGATGATGGGATCAGGGTCAACCTCCGTATGCGGTTCACGTGTACCGTCTACCGGGCCGTCACGCCCGAACAGGCTGCGGCGGCCACTTGCAAGAAACGCAAGGCGATCAAGTCGAGAGGAGGGGACATCCTGCTCAACCAGGTCGATGCGGAAGGGTGGGAAGCCTTGGAGGGGACGCGACACGAGGACGATGACAAGAAGACCAAGGCGAAGAGGAAAAAGGACAAGGAGATCATGTGCTTTTCGACCAGGCCCGTGGAGACGTTCGAGGTCTTGAACGATCTCGTGGTCGATCGAGGTCCGAGTCCGTATGTCAGTTTGCTCGAGTTGTTCGGTGAGTCGGTCGCATCCGTCTTTTTGGGCATTAGGGCTAGTACAGTTCGCTGATCATCGAGAGCTCGACTTTCTAGGCGACGATCATCACTTGACAACGGTCCAGGCGGACGGGCTGTGTGTAGCCACACCGACGGGATCCACCGCCTACTCGTTGTCAGCCGGAGGTTCGCTCGTCCACCCGGGAATCCCCGCCTTGTTGATCTCACCCATCTGCCCGCACACGTTGTCCTTCCGACCGATGCTCTTGCCAGACGGGATGGAATTGCGAGTCTGTGTGCCTTACAATTCGAGGAGTACTGCCTGGGCCAGTTTCGACGGACGTGGGCGGGTCGAACTGAAGCGTGAGTGACAGCTTCGAAAGCAGCGAAAAGCACTCGCTATCTGGAGCTAATTCTTCGAGTATGTCCTTGTTTTCAGAGGGCGACCACATCAAGATCGCCGCGAGCAAGTACCCGTTCCCGACCATCTGTCGGGACAAGCAATCGACCGACTGGTTCAACTCGATCTCACGTACGCTTCGATGGAACGAACGTGAGAAACAAAAGTCGTTTGTCGTCGTCGAGGAAGACCGGGCCAAGCCGGTCAAGGAAAAGACCAAGAAGCGGGTCCCCAAAGATAGCGCCAGCACGAACGATTTGGGTGGAAATCCCAACATCACAGGCGAGACGACGGCAGGTGGGGGCCATGGTCAAGACGAGGTCGAGAGCGGTCAAGCTGACAAGGCGAGGATCGAGGCGAGCAAGAAGGAGGCTCAGATGGGTCAAGACCGGTTGGCAGCGGGGCAGGACAAGGTGTCTGATCAGATGGAACAGATGCGCGGTCAGGCGGACAAGGGCAAGGACGAAGACGAAGACGACGAGGATGAGAGTGGAGACGAGGAGGATGACGACGAGGAAGAAGAGGAAGGGTTTGATATCGACGAGTGAGTTGCGACGTGGATATAGGATGCGAAAGACCAGGCTGAACCTCGATCTCGCCCCTACAGCGTTTCGGAGGAACCGACCGCCTCGTCTCCCTCGGAAGAGAGCGACAAGACGCCGTCTGAAGAGACCAAGCCGGCTACGTCAACGTCCACCTCGACAGCTCCGGCCCGACCCCCTGCTGCTTCGCCCTATAGCACCAAGCGACCCTCACACCTCCTAACTAGCCTTCTGAGCATGACCTCGCAAGGTGGCGGTGGAGACGGCGGGTACGACGATCCGGGCATGAAGAGCGGAGTGGAGACGCCCGACCGATTCGCAGCGCCTTATGACCCTTCGAGACCGTCCCCGAAGAAGAGCCCCGAGGCGTTTACCAAGAAACTAGATCAGGGCTTGCACGAAGTCCAGCAGCACCAGAGACGGGGCGAGAGTCATCATCACCATCAACATCCTCACGCTCACCATACTCACCCGCCAAATCGTCGGATGGCCAGTCGAAGAGACGATATCCACGTTCAGCAGGATTCGTCCACCTCGGACACGAACAGCGACTTGACGGAAAAGACACGCGCCATGCAGATCGACGAGGGTCAGGACGAGCTCGGCCGAGGTTATGCTGGGAGATTAAACTCGGGGACGATGGACCTGAATTCGTCAACATCGATGCTGCTACATCCCAGAGCTAGGTCGAGATCCCGTTCACGCTCCCGGTCGGTTACGCGCGGAGTTATGGATCAGCAGCAACAACTGGGAGGACCTTCTCGAACCAGGTCGAGATCGATCTCGACGCGCCGCCTGAAATCGTCCAGTCGTAGTCGGACGCGGGCGGAGAGGACTGTTGCGGGGCAGACGGAGACTCCTAATGAGAGCGAAAAGGATACTGAACGGGAAGATAACGGCGACAAGAGTGGGGGGACTGTCAATACGATCGGGCCGATGGTCGATGGGGACAGAGACGGGATGAGAGGAAGACCGGGGAGAGGGTCTAGGACGACGAGTTCTGCAAGTACGGTTACTATTGGGCCTGGCAACACTAGCACCGGCAGTCACAGTAACGCGCTGCCTGAAACACCGGGACAAGGATCGGGTTCAGGGTCGGTTGGTGGGGAAAGACGTGGGGGCGTGGACAAGCTTCGGACGCCCCGACCTGGAGACTATACTCACGCTCATGGTTCTAACTCGAGCGGCGGTGGTGGAGGCGGCCTACTTCTCCCCGGCTCGGTCGTCGAAGAGGAAGAAGAAGAGGACGAGGAGGAGAGGGCGGGGAAGACCAAGGCGTTTGCGTTTTATGGCGAGGTGAGTCTAGGTTGAAGCTGCGGGCACTTGGCGATCGCGTAGGTGACGCATGGAAAAGCGCGGTTGGCTGATGAATACGGTTTTCGCTCGGTCTACGTTTGATGGCGAGTTTAGGACGAGAGCGAATCTGGACAGAGCGATGGAGAGTCCGAGGCGTGAACGATGAACGACACTCGGGGGTTTCCCAGGTTGTTTTACGTGTATTTGTACGTGAAAACGATGGTATTATGATCATGTTCATTGGCGTTCGACGGATGGCTCGTGAACATGGCCGGGGGGCACTGGTCAGAGGGGTTGACTAGGCGAGCACTCGAACCATCTTCGTTCTCTACAGCGAGCGATTCGGTAATGCCTTTTACCAGGGCGATCGGGGCGAAAGGCAAGCATGACGCCTCTCTCAGAGCTCTCGCGACTCGCAAACTCGCTCGCTCCATTCACGTTCGACACGTATGGTATATGGTATCCGGTATATATAACGAAGCTAGTATGCTTGTGCTCTTTGCTAAGTTACAACTGATCCGCTGGCCGTTCAAACACCTGTTCTGCTTGCTCGCAGAATTGGACAGCTTCACCGTCAAGCTTGTCGCGGAGTCCTTGGCCTTGACCGAGAAATGACGATGACGACATCGACGACAATGGTCGAGGTGTTGCCCTGTCAGGCTTTGCATTGACTACTGGGACTCACTGTGCAATGGGTTTCCGCTAGATCTCGGTTGGCGGTTTGCGCGGCCTGTGCCTTGATCATCGAGCCCAGAGTTCAGACGGAAGAGGGACACGCCTGAACCATTGAGGTCGATAATTACGGCGCCGCAGTAAAAGATGCCAACCATTTTTGAATACGGTCTTTTGGGAAGCTTTGTGCGTCATCATTCTCTTCGTTGTCAACCGTGCTACGGTCGGGTCTTGGATCATACGGCGCTTGACCACCTCCGGAATCGCCTGGCGGTTCGACACCCCCGAAATCGTCCGGCGTTTCATCGGTTCCTGAAACACCTTGATGTCCGGTTACCATGTCAGGCTTTCGTTTGGGTTTCGCATCGGACCGAGGGGTCACGGCATCGATAGACACGTCGGTGATCTTGACCGCGTGCGCTCGTTCCATCCTGAGCGTGACGGGAGTGTTCATAGCGTACCGCGACCCGCCTTTTCCCGAGATCTGCTTGACCAACGTTTCAACCACGCTTGCACTAGATGAGGGCGACGTGTAGCTTGGTGTAAGCGATCTCCAGGCGATAGAATGAGATGCGAACTCACGTAAGGCTGAGCATGAAGCGAATAAAGTTGGCCAGTCCGACATCTCGGCTGTCGGATGAGATTTTGAACATGTTCTCATCCGATCTGAACGATTCGTGACTGTCTCTGTACAGGGAGGTTCGCGCGTAGACGGAACGCTTTTGTTAGCGATTTGCTAGGCACGCGTTGCGTCTGGGCGCGGACGTACCGGTATCGCAAGCTGTGTGGAAAGCTTGCTTTTTCGCAATCAGGCACCCAGCTTGTCAACTCATCGCGGCCGGTCACTTGATAAGGACGCCATTTAAGACCGTGAATCGCTAACCCGAAGCAGCAGCGGTCACCCGCATATCCGATGCGAGTGTAAGTGCATATCTGTGCGTGACTCTACACAATGAGGTGTTTGAGAATGAGATTGACAGGAAGCCGCGTACGTCCAAGGGCGATACATAGTTCTTCGGGCTGTTCCCTCCCTTTGTACCGGCGTGATTCTTGGCTTCTATCATCGCTGCACAGCGAGGACAACCGTATACCAGTCGCGAGCAATCGTTCCAAAGCATTTGACCGTCGGGTTCAACATGGTTCGTGGTTTCTGAGGTAGCGGTCGTCAGCATACGACTCTCTGTCTTGTTGATCGACATCCACCTACTTTTTCCACCCGGATCTTCAGCATCGGTAAGCGTCGAGGATCCCTTCGTGATTTCGGTTCCGACGCTATCCTGTTCAGATCCCACTTGAGAGACGCTTTCATGCGGACCGACTTCGGGTGGATCCTTGGAGGTTTTATCGGCAGCCCGAACCCTCTCCATGTAGCGTGCGCAGTCCTTTGGGTCGTAGCGCGGCAAGATCCCGCTGGAAGGATTCGCCAGATGCTTCAGATTGTCGCCAGGTCCAACGTATAAGGGACACGCCGTCAAACGTCGCAAAGCCTTTTTTGAAACGAATCGTGCAGATGAAGGATATGAGCTTTCGTTAGGGGATACGGTTGCGTGTCGGACCTACTGTGCTGGCCATGACGTACCTGCGCGAGCTGTCTCGTGAACCCCCTTGCTCTCCTGCTCTCTTGACTACTAGTACGTTCGCCCGCGCGACATTGAACCTCTCGATCTTTAGCTCTCGTACCAAGTGAGCAGATGCAGGGAAGCTGCCTACTAGCTACTAGCTACAAATCGATACCTTCTGATCGTGGTCCTCCTTCCTCTTGCTTGCTCCCGTGGCCCCCGTGATGGCTGCTTCTACCTTCTACCGAGCTACCGAAATGTTCATGGACGTTGGACGAGATGTCGGATATGACCGACGAGGTCGATCAGGTCGATCTTTAGGGGTGTTTCCACGTCCAGCTCTCTTGGACTCGGATCGATCTTTCGCTGGGACACTAACATTTCCACCGTCTGGTCCTCCTCTCCTCTCTTGCCTGCCTGTACTATCCGCGATTGCCCGCTCCTTGGCACGGGTGGTCGTCCGACTGAACATGATTTCCGATGTCTCGAAAGCGATCACATGGTCATGATGATGGCCGGATGAGAAAATTCTGGAAGCACACACACACAAGTCCCGCGAGAGTATTATCGGAAAATAATACCATCCATCATGCATATCGGAAATCAATCAGACAGCTACAGCTACACACAACCCTCACAGACCTCGACTCCTGTTCCTCCTCCTCCTCTGCATAGATAGATCGTAGCTCATTGGTCACCTCGGCGCGTTCGAGCTCTCGGCGTAATCAGATCTGTCCTGTCCTCTGACTCGACCTGCTTATCAAGCCTCAGGGCTCAGGGATTGATTGCGAATACCGAAAGTCGCAAGTTGCGAATCATCCTCGATCGACCGGGATCCCGAGGAGCTGCGAAATAACCATTTGGCCTTTCTGGCTGTACACGGACACACGAGGGTAGGAAGGGAGGATTGAATTGAATTGGGAGAGCGGGGGGTGTTCGTCATCGGCGTTCAGACCAGGCAGCAAGCAGTAGGACGAGGCAGGAGGAAGGAGAGCAGGGATTAGGAAGACGAGCAAGAGGGGGATTTCCGATTCAGTAAAACCATAAGCACGAGCACAAGCACAAGCACGAGGGACGGGACGATACCACCAGATTGGAATAGGCTTGTTGAGTCACATCGCATCGGACCGGCCTCATCCCATACCGTTCCCGACTACACACGATAATATATAACACACCCACAAATACCCCCTGGAATCGACAACATAAACACAACACTACTCAATATGGCCTCCTTCTACGCCAACCCCAAGATGATAGCATCCACCCTAGCTCCATTCACCCACAACGCCAACCTGTCGGGGCACGTTCTCGATTTCACAACCCGGCCTAATTCGATCGCTATCGTTCGGACGTCGGATTTTAACCATTACATCCAGCCCCCCAAGTCCAACTCCAATAACGAGGAATTGGGAAGAGAAGGGTATGAAGGGGAACCGAGGGATGATTTCGTATTGACGGGTTTCGTGGTCGTTAATCTGAGTAAACCGAGGAGGGCGATGGGGTTGAAATTACGGTTCGTCGCCGAGGCGAGGTTGGCTTATCCAGGTGAGTTCACGCTGTGAGTATGGTCTGGAGTGTTGTCTTGTTTGGCCCTGATGATGGGAGAGGAGTAGCTGAAAGTGTTTTTTTCCTTGTGGTTTTATCGTTTTTGTCTTTTTCCGGGCCCTACGATTCGTGCTCTCGGTGTTATCATGTCCCGGTGTACCTATACTATACTGCAGACCGACCGTGGGAGGACGACGTGATCTACGAGAACACGATGGATTTCGATGGGCATGATAATGAGGGGATATTTATCGATGCCGGACCGCAACTGTGAGTCTAGAGTCGCCATCCTTGCCCCTCTCTCCGTCTGCTTCTTCCTATGAAGTTCTGGGTCGATCACCAGTCATCAGCACAGAATGTGGGACCGGATCCAAGCTGACTTGTTGTTCTAATACGATATGATGATCCGTCACTGCAGCTTCGAATACGCCTTTGTCGTCCCCTCGACCCTCGCCGGGTTCGATAGGACGCCTTATGGACGAGTATCGCACCGCATCCAAGCGACCCTGGTCGGGCAACCGCAATCCACCTCGAGGTTCGGGAGCTTCTTTTCTTCGCCCTCGAGAACACGGTCTCCCTCTCCGAGCCATTCCGCGAATCTCAATCTGGGCTTGTTTGGGGAATCTTCGACGGGAGGGAGGTCTAGGGAAGCTTCGAGGTCTTCAGCGGGAAGACAGAGAGAAGGATCACGAGCAGGCAGGTCGAGGGAGCCGACCACAAACTCGAGGATGCCTTCTTACCGCTCAGGGTCGGCGTCTGGTACACGGAGCCCGAGTTATTCGGGGGACAGGACGCCTACTTCGCCGATGACGACTTCACCGGCACAGTCGCCCATGTTCTCGCCCATGCAGCTGTCGAACGATTTCAACTCGCTCTCGCTCGGCTCGGGGGCGGCCTCGAGCAACAACAATAACGGTGGGACGGGAGCTTCAACTCCGACGAGCTCGATGGACCCGGTATTGAGTCGACAAGGATCAGGGTACAGCTACCCTAACTCGTTTGTCGACAAGAAACCCGCGGCTTCTTCCCTGCCCCGAGGGGTCAAGTGGGACGACATCCCCTGGCTCCAAGGGAACATGATCACGTCGAAAGAAATGTGGATCATCCCCCTTCCCACGGAGAACCGGGAATCCTTGCCTCTGGACGTTCGGAACCGATCACTCGTCGCCGGGCTCGGGATAGTGCCTTGGAGCTTGAGGACGGACGCGATCACCGTCAGCGGGTTGATCGCCTTTCAATCGTCGTTGACGGATTACAACCCGCTGGCGACCGTCTGGTGCATTCGACTCTCGATCACCCAACGCATCGCTCTTACCTCGCCTCGTCGACCTCAGGATGGGGAGACGTTGTTCCCGGCGACGAGCCTCGTGCTGTTCGAAAGAGGCAAGTTGCCCAAGAGTCAAGACGAGTGGTTTGCCAGTAAAGGACTCCGAGGGCCCGAGCCGTTGTGGGAAGGGGAAGGCGTGCCGGGACCGGCGAGCAAGAAGGATCGGAGCCAGATGGCCGTACAAGAGTTGTTGAGGATGCCGGATGAGAACCGGTTGAGGCCGTCGACGTGTCCGGGGTGAGTGTCCCGAGCATTTGTTACGTTGCAGGGTCGTCTAAAGCTGACCTCCTGACATGCGGTATCTTTTTCGTAGGACAATCACCCCTATCAAGGTGACGCACGAGTTTACCTTGCAGTTCTACTTCTCGGTCTGGGGGGAAGACGCGACGGGGAAACCGTTACCCAAAGATGGGCCAGGTAGGTTACGGAAAGCCATACTCACCCAGGGGACGATCATCTTGTCGGTAAGTCCCGCATCATGAGAGTATACAACAACCACCTCGAGCTCATCTCCCACCCGGACCCACAGTGCTGTTGCACGAAAAAGAACCTGGCGTTGCCGACTTATGAACAGTCCAACTTGCTCCGCGCCCGTGATCGCGAACCGCTGCGGGAACTGGATTGCGACATTTGCGCGTGTGGAGAACCGCTGAGTGAGCTGTCCGAGCGTGAGATTGCCAGAGACTTCATCAACGAGGATGGCTTGCCTTTTGGTTTACTCGATGGTGGTGGTGGTGCTGGCGGCGGTGCACGTGGCGACGATGACGGGACGGCGCTCTTGCGGCAACAACTATTGCAACATCAACAACAGGACGGACTGTTAGGCAGAGGCAGGACTGGAAGGATCAAGTCGGAGTATACGCCGCCATGAACGCGATGTTGACTGCGGGGGATCAGATGGGGCCCGATACCGATCCGACTGAAGGATTGGGGGTCGTGAGGGCGAGCGATCGGGCGCGGACATTGATGGCATAGAGATTCAGGATCGATGGTGTGTAAACATGTAAGGTTGTACGTGGTCTACCCGGTATGTCAAGAGGTTAGAAGTCATGCGGCGTGGAAGGATAGACATAATCACGATATGAAGCGTTGAAGGCGATCCACGACCCTGGTCCCGATAGAACAAATCTATATTTATTCCATCCATTCACGAATCGTCAAGCAACTCATCGCTAGAGTGGATGAATCATAACTTTGCTATAGACGAAAGATGTCACATCGACGGGCATTCCATACATGCCGTCGGTTTGTCAAAACGAACAGCGCTTGTTTCAAGTCGAGGATGCGCAAGCGGCTAGTGCCGTAGAGACGGAATTCAAGGAGGTTGACAACGAGACACACAGCCGATGCCGCCTGTGATAACTATGCAACTACCTGATCGCGAATATAGCAGTCGCGCCACTACCACCAGCAGCTCCTTCATGCCAACACATCGTATGAGACGAATACTTCCTTTATCGTGTTTCAATATACCCCTGCTGACCTTGAAATATCGCCAAGGTCCTGGTCGCGGCTGCTTTTCCCCGATTTGTATATAATATGGCTCTGCAGAACCTATTGTAGCTTCATCTTTATCATTTGCACTTTGTCAGCTTTTGCTATATAACACAATCACAAGAACCAAATACTGAGAAACGACAGCGATAGTTCTACTCATGTCAAGCGATCAATTGAACCGCTTGTTCTCGAGTCTTGACATCGACCCCGACGAAATTGCGAGGGATGCTAATGCATCAACGCTCGAGTTCGATGCAGGTCTTACTGAGACGCTGGAAAATCCGAACTGATCAGACTCCGAGCATGGGCAAGACGACTCAGACGGGGGAGAATCGGCACTGTCTAGCAATATTATCGCTCAGCCTCGGAAGTTCGCAAAGAGCCCGGGTATCATGGTCAAGAGCCCAGTCGGCAGGGGGGCTACACTTGACGCGAAAAGAGGGAAGGATGACCCCAAGTTCACCGCTGAGGCGTATGAGTACGAGGAGAAGTGTAAGGGACGCTCCCACTTCTGCTTTGATACTAGTGACGAGATTGATATTGGCATCCACGAGACCACCGGCAACAAGGTCGTCAAGATTTACAAACCAACTTTGAAAGAGCTGGAAGACAGGGTGCGAAAACTGCTGGAAGATGACAAGTACGCTCGTGTTCATCCTTGCATCGAAAAGTTCCTGAGGGTTCACATCGAAGAGGGAGAACCATTGCCTGTCAAGTTGGTTCGCAGGTTTGGTCAAAATAGCTAGATCCCTACCTCGTTCCGCATACGATCGCGCTGCGATTCTTGTCCACGCGCTCCTCATTGTATCGTCGAATTACAATCAAGAATGTGGCCTTTGTAGAATCCAGACAAGGTTCTGCATTAGCATTCATCTGAGACGCACAGACCAACCTTTGCGGGGGTGACTCGCGCAATAACAGGAAGATTGCGCGGTACCGCTTCGTCACGCTGAACAAGGTTCTGATGCGGTCTTCGAAGTTTCATTTTGCATGGCCCTACTTTGCCTGTAAGACAGGTCCGCGCCGCAAAATGATCCTTCGGGATCGCGTCCCAGACGACATGTGCACTTTGGCGGACGATCGGTCCGTAGACCTAAGCCTGCTGGCTCTGAGATGGTGCCGATGTAGTGTCGAGCAACAAGATCACGCCGAAAGTGTGAAGTTGTGTCGTCAAGCGCGTCTTTTGACATTGGCGGATCTCGGACCGGACCCGCGACCCGCCACTTGCGAAACAGATCCAGTTGTCGAAGACAGATAGAGCGAAGAAGTTGACAAGGATAGAAATACGACAGGAACAATCTCGCCAAGCCACCAACATCGACGTGAAAGACCGCTTTGATAAATACGTTCCGTTCGTGGGCCCCGCTACGCGCTGCGCAACGCCTGCGCGTGTATCGTGTGGGTCAAAATCGTATGAGTCGTGAAAAACACAGCCTATGGCAAACACCGCCTAGTCACCACGTCTTGAGCTCTTCAAGCTGTGTTGACCACGAATTATACGGTATAAGGTGTCGCGATCTACGCTGTGTCTCCAATCTTCATACGTATTGAGCTGTGTTTGCCACAACCCGCACCCTTGAGAGGCTGTGTTTCACCTCGAATTATTCGGTTGTATGGCGAACCTCATTCCTCCGTGCGACCCTTTGTGCGAAGACACCGCTCTCTCTCTTAATACACATACACGTAAGACTAGGATGTACCGGAGTTGCACACGTTCGGCAGGCCTCTTTGCCCCGTCTACCAAGAAAAGACATCCAACGATAACATGCAGGACATCTTGCCCCGCTTCATCCCTCCTGCCGAAGGGCGACGTCCCGTCTATCGTCGCTTCAAAGAGGCATGGGCTGTATGCCTCGTCATCGGTAGTCTGTTCACCTGGGCGATATTAGATCGCTGGAGCGCGGACTCGGGTTCTGCTGCTCCTGTAATCGGCACAACACCGAAAAAGAAAGAAATCGCTCCAGCACCTGAGATCCCGAACCATACCCATCCGACCTCTAGAAGATGGGCGCCAATCATCCTCGATAGACCTGTCGACAATATGCCGACCCATTTCGCCCCGTTCATCGCTGCGAGCATAGGAAACCCCGACGATATCTATGGCGAAGAGCTGCTTTACCCCGACTTTGCGATCCCGATGCCCATTTTCGCAGAGGACGAGCACAGGCGTAGATGGATGTCGGAGACGAAAGGCATATCGGCGAGGGCGACTCTTGTCGATGGACAGGACTACTTCCAGTACAAGGGTCAACATGGACAGAACTTTGCGAGTAGATCCTTGCCCGTTTTTGTATGCCATGAAAGCACGCTGATTGACAGGGGCTGAAACGCAGATTCTGACCAACGTCACCTATACCCCTCCAACGTCATATGACAATTGGGGACCGCAATCATGTATGAACCCAGGAAGCTCATTACGAGCACTTCATTTCGAACCTCAAAACATTTCGGATACAGCAAGCTCTCACGTTGCCATCGACAACGCGCTGCTCGCACACACTTCCGATTCATGGTCGTTCCAGCATTTCCTCGATCGCGTCACCCATGTGACCGCTCAAGCAGAACACCTGACGCGAGACCTGAACCTGACAGCGCTTACAGGGCGGGAAGGAAATGCTCAGGGTCTGTGGGATGCTATCGGGTTCGATGAGGATCACGTGCTGCACGCGCCGGGAGGGGAAATGTCGATCGAAAGGTTGTTCTTCTCGTGCAAGACCCCTCTGATACATCCGTATCTGTCGCTCAAGACGGCGGAACAGATGGAACTCGCTTGGACTCGTCCGGACTTTGACGTCAGCCTGGCGGAGAAGAAAACGGTATGTCCCATGGCTGGGACGTCGTTTCAAGCGTGATCCGCTGTGGCCTAGCAACTGATCGAGCGTCCTGATATTCCAGATACTCTACATGTCGCGCTCGAACGGCCTCGCGAAGAACGGTGGGCGCAAGGTCGTCAACGAGGTCGAGCTCCTGGCCGCCATCCACCAAACTCTAGTAGAGAGAAATTTGGATGAAAAGCTAGTCGAATTCGACCAGGACAAATTCGCCGACACCCGAGCGTTATCAAATTACATGTCCAAGGAGGTCGCGGCGATCATCGGTCCCCACGGTGGCGCGATGATGAACCATCGATGGGCCGCCCCGAACACGCTGGTCATCGAGTTCTTCCCCACAAGCTTTTTGTACTATGGCCACTGGGAAGAGACCTCCTTGCTGAATCAAACATACGCAGCGGTGGTGGTAGAGCCTGCACATGGGACGGATATGGTGATCAATCCCGAGCATATCACGCGGTTGCTGCAAGAGAACTTGGGCAAGGTCAGACAGGACAGCATACGGGATGTTTATTCGTGGGAGTCGGAATAGGTACAGGTAGATTAGGAAGTCATAGATGTGGAACTTATGTAGACAGACAGTTTTATGGCATACAGTCATGTGTAGCAACATGCCCGCGTGCGTGCTTGGACTCATACAACGATATATCGGTCGGGCTCCAACAGGCGGCGTTATCGTTTGTTTATCGGTAGTGATCTCTTGATAAGGTCGACTTTCCGGGCCCTCCATAGCTTCAAGATACAGTACGCGGCAGACAGCCTTATGGGCTTATCATGAAAACGTGGATCGGCCGACAAGCTGGGGGACCATAAATCGCAATGTTGCGGAATTGTGAAATGGCTGGTGTGAGTCACGGATAATAAAGTTACAGACGGTAATGACAAGCTCCTTAAAGGGCGTTGCCCACGAATAGAATATCAGAACTCAAAGAACGGCATGACAGTGCTATACCCTCCGTCAAGCTTGACTTATGCTGCGAACGGATCGAGGGTGAATCGAGGGTATCGATCAAATATCGTCACCACCTGGCAGGGATCAAAGGGTAGAGCTTTCCCTGCTAACCCTTGGCAAGACACAGAACTATCTGTGTAGCGTTCTTTGGTATAAGGGCAAGCGTAGCAGAAGGAACCGCTGCATCTACATCGTAGCGCTTGAAGAAGAGGAGGCGCACATCAGGGATGTGCAAAGCATATTCCTGCAACCACCGCCTATCTTCAAGACCTCAGCCTTTGAAGCACTTTTTGAATCCATGTTGCGCCAGCCTGGCAACTGGTGAAGCGAAGAGTTAATAGCTCTGGACCACCTGCACCTACGGAGCTACGATACATCTTGGCGAGGAAGTGCGAGGCGTCTGATGCAGCCCGGGCATGTACTGAGGCTCAAGGACAATTACATCCCTTGATGAAGCGGAGCGCTGATTCGATTGTTGTTTCGATATCACTGGAAGAATCCGCTAACGGAATCAGAACGTTGGAGAAAGTGTCTGACCGAAAGGTCGAGAAGGCCGAGCCAACTTTGGAAACGTTCCACATCAGTACCACAGCCAACGGACGTTAAAAAGATCACTCCAAAGGCCAAACAACCCAAAATCACCCCTGTCTTCAGGCTAATCGCTGAAGCTTGCTCGTCAAAACTCGTTGAGATGATTAACGCCGAAGCGGTCAACGTAGCCCAGAGCGAGGACATCGGCGGGTGTTCATGGACGAACTCTTCCTCCCCCACATCGACAGGGTGGCGAACTTATATGACAATATTGGCACGGACGACGTAGATCACAAGACATCGAGAAACTCCCCGCCGGGGCGCCCTTGATGCGTGCGTTCTTCCCATAGGTCGATTGGACATTCGAACGTTCTTTGCATGTGATCTGAAACGTATTGATCGATGAAACTAGACCGGAAGGACACCGCGTGGTATTCATTTCTGGATCTCGATCGACGTCATTCGATGGATTGACCTGTATATGCTAGCGCGGACCGGTGTTGAGCGATTCGGTCCAATCGACCGAAGCAATCGGGTGGCAGTGTGGTGGTGGCATGTGGGGACATGCCAGCGAGAGTGGGGATTCCCGTAGAGACGGTCCTTCTCCCTGCTGCTTCCATGTGCTTACATCAGCAGGTCCATGGGCTATCATCGGAACGTTGTAATGATAATGTGGAGGTATGATTCACGAACGCCGATGATTTCCCCGGGCAAGCGGATAGGGGTAATGGGGTATATAGCAGGGTGACCGTCTTTTTTGAAGGTCTCTCCGTCCGTCTTCGAGATTGTACATTCTTTTGACTAGACTATAATCAGTCAATACAACTTCAAAATGTCCAAAGTCATTGCCAGTGAGCCATTCACATCCCCAAGTTCCCCCACATATACCCAAAACTCATCGCCATCTTCACTTACTCTACAGTCACCGGAGCCAACCGAGGACTCGGCCTCGAATTCGTCAAACAATACAGCCAGGACAGCAACGTCACCGTTATCGCCTATCAACGAAGCGATGACCGATCAGCCATCGAGGCGTTGAAGAAGGACAACGTCAAGATCATCAAGTTGGACGCGGCTGATGATGAGCAGGTCAAGGTGAGTTCCGGCTGCGGGTGAAGGCAGCAAGAATCCAGCATCGGAAGGGTCAGACCTTTGCCCTGAGATCCGTGTCTTTCGATCTGATGTGTTTTGCTGACTCGAAATCTCCTTTTATACATCGGGTAGAAAGCCGTCGAGGAGACCAAAAAGATCACCAAATCGATCGACATCCTCATCAACAACGCCGCCATCAACACCGGACCTTTTAAACTGACCGAACCGTGAGCACGGCACATGAACGCCATCCCCTTGTCCCCCATATCTACTGCCTGACACAGTGCTAACCCTATCTTCTCCTTCACTACCACAAACCATGTTCCCCGTCATAACTATAGGCAAGACCTCTCCCCCATATCCAAAGTGCACGACACAAACGTCCTCGGCCCTATCCGGGTGACGACCTCCTTCCTCCCGCTCTTACGTGAGGGAAAGGACAAGAAAGTCATCTTCATCAGCAGCGGGGTAGCTTCGTTGACGAGGACCGTCAAGAAGAGTTTCGGGCCTATGGCTCCTTATGCCATGTCCAAGGTGCGCAGCGCCGAGGGGTGGTGACAGCCCGATCGCCATATACTAAAGGCTAATGGAACTCTACCTCGTCTTTCTAATCTTCCTGACGCTCGTGCCACCATGATGCAGACGGGCTTGAACATGGTCGTCGCCCTCTACTCGGTCGAGCTCTCTGACGAAGGGTTTACCTGTCTCGCCTTTGACCCCGGTCACGTTCAGACGGATATGGGTGGTGGTCACGTAAGTCCTTGGCCTCTTGCTACACTCCCCCATATACGAAGCACATGAGATGCTGATGTAACCCCTCTCAATCTAATCTCGTTGATCGTAATCGGACGGCACTGTAGGCCCCCTTAACACCCCCGGAGAGCATCAAGAACATGATCGCCAAGATCTCCTCGGTCTCCCCGGAAGTGAACGGCAAATTCTTCGCCGTCAAGGGCGATCCCGGTTCGACCAAGATGGAGGAGGAGGACTGGTAATTGGTAGTCGTTCCGGCACTTCTCTAGTGTAGTAGAAGATTTGTACTGTAGTTTTACCAGTAACCACGTCATACGGAAAGTTGAAAGTTGAAAGTTGAAAGTCGAGATGCAAAATCGTTCGTGAATTATATTTATAAGTCAAGCTCTCATCCTAGTCCAACGATCCACCTAAGCGCCGCCGCCGACTTGGGACAACCTCGTCCACAACCCACATCCTACATCCTACTTGTCCTCCTTTTCGACCAAGATCAACATCTCCTCGACGAACTTGGTATGCGCACTGTAGTTGTACATCACAGTATATCGTTCAATGCCGACCCAGCAGCAGCACAAAAGACAGTAAAGCGAAGATCAGCTCAAGATGTCAGACGAGCACCCACTTCAAAAACGAAAACGAAAGGACGAGAGCGAAAGAAAAGGGCAACTCGCCTGAAATCGATGTTCTTCGTACAAACACCCCTGATGATCCCTTTAGCGTCGATGAAGAACGTAGCTCGGCCTTTGAGATGAGATAGACGGGGGATGAAGAGGAGAAAGTAGATTCCAATCGTCAGTATAACATAACTCGATCCAAGAATCGATACCACAATACCGATCAGCATCCCGATCCCGATCAACCTCGCCGACAAGCACAACAACCTCGCCAGCAAGCACAACAACCTCGCCGACAAGCACAACAACCCAACCCGACTCAAAAACACAACACGCAAAACACAGCCCAGACTCTAGACTGACCCGGTACGAGACCCATGAACGCCTTGTCCACCTTATACGCCTTCCTAGCGCTCTCCTCCGCATCCGAGATGATCCGGTAAGGGAGCTTGTATTGGTCGGCGAACGATTGTTGTTTGGCCGTGGAGTCTGTTTGCCGGTCAGATGAGATGGGGTGAGATGCGATGAGGGTGTTGTTCGCGGTCCGTAATCGTGATGACAGTACGTTGAAAGAGAGACAAGGGAAAAGCAATGAGCTTATCAGCTGGGGCTACGAACCGAATACAACCAGAAGGAACAAAGAACCAAGATCAAAGACCGAAGAGCTCACCACTAGAGATCCCCACGACGTCCAGATCGGGGTGCCGCTTGAACGTTATATTGCTCGTCTGGGCATCCCGGAACGCACAAGCTTCCTTCGTACATCCCGTCGTGTTGGCTTGCGGGAACTGCGGTATATGATCGCCATCACACGAGGTGAGATCGTCGGCATCAGCTTGTCGATCCGAAGCGGCTCCTGGTCTATATGGAGAAGCTTACGAAGAAGAGAGCTATAGGCTGGGGGAGGTCGTCGTGTGCAAGGTCGATCAGCTCGATTCTGACGAGGTCGGTATTGGATGTGAAGTGGCATGATTTGCCGGCATACCTTTTCGCCGATGGGTAACCGGTAGAGATCGCCCTCGGGTATGCAAGGGAGTTCGAGAGCGGGTGCGGGTTGGCCGACGAGCGGGTGTTTGGGTGCCATGTTTGATCGAGTCCAGGTGATGTGTGTGTTGTTTTTTTGGTAACAAGACGATCGTGGAGTTGATGAGAGATCTTCACGTCGTACCAATCGTTCAGCTATCGATTCGACGAGAAGCAAAAAAGGGAGGTGTCGGGCCGGTCAAAAAGAAACTCAGAAGACAGTGACCATTCATAGGATGCCAGCAAGTTCTGCCTCCATGGACACTATTTCGGGGACGGGCCCTGAGCCCCATATCCGTACTAGTCCATGGAAGGTGTCATAGTGGGGAATCGACCCATTAAACTACCTCAGGAAAACCATATTTCTTGGTGACATTCAAGAGCTGTTAGGGACGCGGTATTTTTCTTACAGACGCGGTCTTTTTGTGGGGTAAAGGTGGAAATAAGACCGCGTAATATTACGAGAGGAATGTTACGATAGGATTATTTCGATCGATGTCTCACGCGTAGAAAGTAACTCGAGCATATGGTATATCGAGGCCGTAAGAGAGTCAGGTCGTTGTACAAGTATAAGAAAATTATAGAAATATTGCGAGAGGTTTATTCCTCTCGCTGCTTGCCCTTGTTCGCAGCCTTCTCCTTCTTCGGCCAGACCAAACGATCGACGATTTCTTGCACCGGCATACAATCGTGCGTAGGATTGACTACGGGAACGACAGCGGCAGGTGCGGCTTGACCTTCGACGGGGGCGGCGGGAGCAGCGGGAACGGGAGCGCGCTCAGTCTTGCGATGACAAACAATATCTCGCAAAATTTTGAACGCTTTTTCCCCTGCTTCTTCTCGCTCGGCCTTCCTCGTCCAGAAATTTTGCGTGAATTGCAAAATTGTCTTCGCTACTCGAAGAACGCCGGGGACCGATTTGTCGTCGATTTCGAACGCCCAACCTTCAGCGACCGTTAGCTGGCACCCGTGTCCCGCCGTCTTGCAAGGTCCGCAGGCCGCGAATGCTGACGAAGCCGTGAGGGGTAACGCCGTACGGCAAATTTCGACCGGTCCATATCGAGCCGCGATGATGAGGGGCGACTCGTCGATCGCCTTGGCCGACTGCTCGTTGTCGGCGATGAAGTCGATCTGGAGCTGGTTCGGGCCGGAATATACCGGGAGATCGTTCCCCTCCACGTCGGTCTCGCCGAAATCCTCCTTGCAGCGCGGGCAGATGAGCTTCCAGCCGCCTTTGAATTTAGCCTGGAAATGAAGTGTCAGAAAAAAAACGTCAGGAATATTCCGAAGAATACACCAAACAAACTCACAAGATACGCGTTGATCTCCTGCTGGTCGATTTCTCCCGTTCGGCCGACCTTGCATAAGTCCTCGAATTCCTTGGTCGGCTTCACCGGGAGCTCCTTTCGGTCTTCCTCCTTGCCTAGCCAGCTCTGAACTGTAACGACAGAAAGAAAGCGTCAGGAATATTTCGAACGGAGAAGAACGCAAGCAAACTCACGAGGCCACGCCCAAGGACCTTCTTTTGGCAGAACAACATACGCCCCGGTCGAACACCGCAACGCCTTCATCGACGGATCGAGTGAAGGCGTAGGGAATTCTCCCTTCTTGTCCGTCTCCCACTTCTTCTGGTCCTTCGAAATTTTCCGCCACCAATGTTGGACCGTGGCGCAGCGGGCGTCCCACACGTACATCTTCTCATCGATGTTGAACACCGCGCTCCATTCGATGAGGTTGATCGGTCGGAAACAATCGGGAGGGGTTTGGCGGGCGGCGGTAGGAGGAGCGCTATATCGTGAACAAACATGCGAGGGGAGGAACACGGTCAGAGATCAGCGACCGGAATATTTCGAGAGCAGACAAACATAGGTAGCGAATCGAGGAGAAGAAGACAAGAGTTACATCACCACGAGGTCCTCGGCGGGACGCTTTTGAGCGCCGGAGCCCGACGCCTCGGCGTTCGTCTGCTGGGCGGCCGCGGCGGACGCACCCTGCTTCTTCTTCTGGGCCTCCTTTTGAGCTCGAGTAATGCTACAGCAATAAAAATTAGGGAATATTTCGAACGATATCGAGCGAGACGCTGAACTTACCGTCCACCAGACATCTTGAATAAGTTCTTGATATATTTCGAGAGGTTGAAGGCGAGAGGTCGAAGGCGAGTACGTCGAAGCGTGCGAGTATGTTCGAGTGGGTTGTAGAGTAGAGAGTAAGTTAGAGAGGGGGGGGAAATCGTAAAACGAGAGGGGGGAGTTCGAGTATATATATTATTTGGCTTCTTAGCGTACGTGTCAATTCGAATTTACTCGACGATTCTCGATAAATCGATAGCTTGACGTCAGACGTATCACTTCGCTACTCATGACATCATGAGAAGCTAAACGACGTATTATCTCGGGCCCGAACGTCGTTATTACCAATTCGAGACGTCTGAGAAGGTCGATTTGTTACTTAGAACAATACGTTTCGCTTCAATTCACATGAAACGTTCCTGATCGTCGATCTTCATAGAACCAATCCGTCAGCTAGTTCACAGCGGAATCAAACCCTCTCCTACTCACGCCAGAACAAATACGATATCAAACGGCTCATCAAATGTAAGCGAAAGGATCAGCGATAGAATAGTCACGAGACGAAGTATAACAAAGAAAAATCAACCCCCGAAATAATCCGAAGCATATCGCGCACGCGAGGGGTCCTTTGGCTCCTTTGTTCTACTGATAATATCGGCCGAGCTGAGATGACGGTGCGATAGGCGCTGAAGAAGGTCCTGGCTGGCTTCCAGGGTAATATTGCTGAGGAATATTCCCGTGCGCTCGCGCGGCGAAAGGGGAGATACCCACGAAATGTTGCGATGGAAATCCTCCCAGAGATGCTTGCGAGTGCTGAGAAACTTCTACCATGAGTGCAGACGCCTGCGACACCTTCACCTCGGGGCATGTGCGAATGTTGTGGCCTGGTTTACTGCACCTGCCACACCCTCTCGATATTTTCCCCTGGGAATTTTCCTTCAATTTTGCAGCGGCCGCAGCTTTGATTTTTTTTGCAGCCTGTTCCGCCAATTCAGCCCCCGTATTCATTCTGTTGCTCTTCGCATGCGGTACCACGATATCCTCCACCGAGCCCTGTCCCTGAATGACGTCGGCGAGCTCTCTCTTGCGCTTCTTCTTCGCTTGCGCTCTGACAAACTGCGGGCGAGAGATCGGCTCCTGGATAATCACGGCGTCGGGTGACATTTCTCGCAATATTTCGCCCGCTGCGAGATACTCGTTCATCGGTACCAGGGCCGACTCGATTGTCGCAGTGGGAGTTATGGGCAGTTCGTCAAGAGGATAGTGTGTGAAAAATGTTCCGACTGTCGCATTATTCCGAGCGTGTTCTAGCGCCACTGCTTTGGCCTCGGCCTCCAATTCGTGTTGCTGTTTCAGGTGCCAGAAACTGTGAATTGAGGCGGGGTGAATCAAGGGATAAAGTTCATCCGGCGCCAGGATTCTCTCGAAATCATGCTGACAAATGAGCCCCATCGAGTTCTTCATGGAACGGGTACACTGACGCAGAGGCTCATTCTTTGCGCGAGCGGCCTGATACAGACGATATGCTCCCTCGAAAATCTTCCATTGAGCGTTCAGGGAGATATGCCCCTTAAGCTAGTATGATTGGGATTCAGCAGGGGGAGTTTTGCGTCGGATTATTTCGAAAAACTGCTTACCAAAGCCATTGCTGGCGGGAAACATTTCTCGTTCTTGATTGCGTCGGTCGAATGCTTCAGGAAGATACTCCGATGGATGCTGCGCATGTGATTGAGCGCCGCGTTGACCGCACCGAACAAATCCTGGCCAGCCCCACCTATGGTACTTTTGATCGCTCGGTGGTGCGATTCAATACGAGAGGTGGCAGTTTGACCGAAATTTAGCGTGTGGGACAAACGATGCGCCAAAAATCGATCGCCGAGCAACATCTGCGTCTCGATGTACAGCCAGCAGGCTGAAGTTCTCTCGGTTGCAAGGAATTGCACTCGGAACGTTCGGAACAAGTCGTCGTAAGTCTCTTTGGTGGAGGCGTTGACCAGGGATTTGTAAGCCGCGTTGACGCTGTCGAAATCGTCCTCTGAAAGTTTAGTTTTGAATTTTTTCGTGAGGTTTTGAGCGAGATGCCATCGACAGAGCTGTTGCGTCCAGAGAGGAAATACTCGGCTCAATGCGTTTCGCAGAGCGGTGCACTGGTCCGTGAGAACCACTGCGGTAGGAATATTTCGACAGATGTCTTTCAGCGCGTTCATGGCCCAGAAATATTCCTCCTCAGTTTCCCCGGTCATGAAGCACAGGGCGACCGTGAACGAGAGATTTGCAGGGGTCATGCCAACAATGTGTAGCAGGGGCATTCCGTAGCGATTAACTTTGTAGGTGGCGTCCATAAATAAAACGTGCCCGTAATATTTCGCCAGGACTATTCCCATCGGATTGCAAAAGAAAAGGCTTTGTAATTCGTTCGTCTCTTTATTGAGATCGTAAAGGTGAGGTATCCCTCTGCGATATAGCTCTCGCACAATCGCGTCTGTGGGAGTTCGACCGCTCAAAGCCACAGCTTTGATCTCGGCCCGCAGGTTGTAAATCTCCTGTACTCCGATGAAGCACTCCCGTTTCTCTCCGCTGGCTTTCTTGTGGAGCATTTCGACAATCGCACGAGGGGGAGCTTTAGAAACGAGCGCAGCGGTCGCCAGTTCCCGCTCGATTGCGGTGAGGGTTCGATGTTGGTGGAACGCGTAGGCTGATTTACTGAGCTCATGGTTGTGCTCCAGATTCTTTATCGAAATCCTCCACAGGTTGTCAGTTTTCGGCTTTCTGGCGACATAAAGTTTCCAGCCGCAACCACATTTCTTTGTGTAGCCTTCGGGATTTTTCGTACGCAATCTGCCCGTCGTTTTTTGATACTGATGCGTATCGCGGTGCTGGCCACTCCTGGTGCAAAGTAAATAATAATTATTTAGGGTGCTGCCCTCCTTTCGCACAGCAAATCCCTCCTTAGCGGCTAAGGAGTTGATATAAGGGAGAATCCCGCTGTCATCAACGTCTGCGAAATCATGCGTGAAGATTTCAATAGGCGATTGTTGGCCTTCGACTGGTCCTTGCGGGAGTATTTCGGGGGGAGCATCTTCTTGAATATTTAAGTTTTGAAACTCTAGAACGACAGATTTATGGCGGTGAAGGGGACTGGGAGGAGGAGTTGACATGGTGAATATTGCTGAGGGATGAATTCGACGTGGATTATCGAAGACAGACGTAACTGGAGACGACGCGTTTGTCTAACTACATCAGGCCCCGACGCGACGTAATTGTACCGGGAAGGATATTTCTCACGCTCATTTTCGACCGATATCATCCGTAGCTTATTTCCACCTTTACCCCACAAAAAACCGCGTCTGTAAGAAAAATACCGCGTCCCTAACAGTTCTTGTGACATTCTACACATTCCTACACACCTTGGACACAAGTCATGTAGCCACCCTATTTAACGCGCGGATAGGAGATGTCCCTCACGTGATCACGACCATACGCCATCCGCCGCCTTTGACATGTTTCATCGCAATTCGACACATCCTTGGGTATAGTAGTATATGTTGTCCTTCAGGACCTAGCCACAACGCGCGGGTAGCGGGTAGGATGTCCTGTTCCTTCGTTTCGGACTGTCCTTCTCTTTTGGACCGCGATACTCCAGCGAACATGATCTTCGATCGAGTCATCGGCGGGGAAAGGGATGAACCCGTCCCTAGTTCGCCAAGGGATGTTGCATAGCACGAGGCATCCTGCACGAACTGAACGAAGCCAGTCGCAGAGTCCGGAGCTGCATTACTCCTTGATAACAGACTTGTCCTCCATAGTCAGCTCGTCCTCGGTAACCGACTCGTCCTCCGTGACAGCCGCCTTGCCTAAATTCGTCTCGTCCTTTATATCCAACTCGCCCCCCGGTTCCAACTCCTCCTCAACGATAACGGCCATCACCTTCTCGGACGGTATTAGCTGATAAAGAGCTGTTCCGAGGATTTGATTAACTTTGCGGTCGGACTCGACGCATTCCTAGTATATTGTACAACCATTGCAAAATCAAATCCGTCGTAGTAAAACGTAGCCCATCCTTCCTGACAGCATACTGACTGACCCTCATCCACTGCGTACCACACAACCCATATTCTACCCCACCCCGCCCCTCACTCCCTCACTCCATCCACCTAAACCCAGGCTGCTTCGTCCCCAACTTCCACATATCCTCCGGCGCATACTCGTCGACGTAATGATCATACCTCCCCCTATCCCTCGCCCGATTGTCGCGTTTCATATAAATGAGAATACCGGCCCAGACGATGATCTGGATCGCTGTTGCTGCGAGGTTGAGACCGGAGAGGATGTTGTACCAGGGGGCGTCGGAGGGGAGGGCGGTCCAGGTGGAGATCAGGCCGCCGCTGTGTTTCCGAGATGAAGGAATAATCGAGACTGATAAGTTGAGAGCACGACGATAGTCGTAGGCACGGGCGGGGGACTGACCAGTTCCCGAACATAGCTACCAAACCGATCGCTGCCGCCCTCGAACTATCGCTCTATATCGCAAAGCGTCACACAAGTCGAACGATCAGCATCCTAATCGATCCCGAGCGGTAACCTGAGCCGAAAGTTGAACTTACCACCACGTTACCCGACGTCCAAGCTGGCAAAGTAGGGCCGGGTACAAAGGCACCTCCGATTGTCAAGAAGATCGCTCCGTACCTATAAATTCACAAGTATCATTATCAGTATCATTCTCCGGATCGGTATCGAGCGCGAGCAGATCCAGAAGACAGCTTACCTGACGCTCTGGTCGTGCGAACCTAAGAGGATCGCCCAGCCCGCCAAGCAGAGGGGAGCGACACCGAGTACGATGAGACCTCGTTTGTTCACCTTCATCGAGAGGTAGGGGAACTATCAAGGGGAGCGAGACTGATTAGATAAATAAATTCCCATAAAACCCGCATGTAGTTGGTAGTTCCCCCCCGTGTACAAAGGGTATCGATGAGACTCACGATGACCGTAATTACAGCCCCGACGATGTAAGGCGGGACGGTGTGTAGTTGTTGTTGGATGACGCTCTTATTGGGGTAGATCGTACGGACGATGGTCTATACTCGAGCCCAGATCAGATTAGTATACCTGTCTTGAACACCATTGATGATCCACCGGCGACATACGGGAGTAAAGAATCCGATACCTGTAAAGACACAATAAAGGATGGCGATCAATTTTCACCTCCCGCAAATTGGCATGTAGCATTGTCCTGAACGCTTTGCGTGCGCGCCTTCGACTCACCTTGCACAGAGATGTTGTTCAACAAGAACGTGAAAGCGATAGCGATCACTACCGGGTTCTTCAGCCCTTGCAAGATACCTCGCTTGTTGAGCTTTTCGACGACGACTGTGGATCCGATCTGTTCCCTCTTGATCCGGTTGTCAGCGAGTACTACAGCAGGAGACCAGGCAATAGTCGGGTTCAATCAAGGTGCGTGAATAACTTCAAGGCAAGAGGGACGCGATGACTTACCTTTCTCTTCGGCGCTCAGCCATCGGGCGGTTTGCGGGTCGGCAGTCATGAAGAACCATCTGAGAATGACAAATGGTAGCAGATCGAATGAGGATGTATTGCGATGTGATGAATCATTGAAGGGCGATATGGCTCACGCAAAGATTCCGATACCGGTAGTGATGATCCCCTCGATCAAGAAGATCACTGGACAAAACGGGCGAAACATCACGTTTAGCTCGTTCAGTCGGCAAGCGGACAAACTCGGACGATACTGCAAATACTCACGTTCCCATGACCTGACCGAGCCGATAGAGTCGATCTTGAGGATTCCCGAAGCCAACAATCCCCCGAACGCTCCCGCAAGCGGCGAACAGACTGACGGTCCCAGTCAAACTCATCAGTTCCCGATAATTCATCTAATTTTTTTGAAGGCGCTGACCCACCCAAGTACATGGCCAACCGGAAAGCCAACTCCCGCTTGGGGTACCACCGGGACAAGTAATAAGCGATCCCTGGTAACATGCCCGCTTCGGCAGCCCCGAGGAGGAAGCGCACGGCGCAGCCTGAACCGAGGTTGGTCACAAAGGCCATGGCGATGGAGAGGATCCCGAAGATGATGGTATAGAGCGGGATAGCTCGCCCAGGTCCGAACCTAACCCCTGAGAGGCAATGAAAGGCGGTGTAAGCGAGTAGGGAAAATTGGTCGAGGCGAGAGAGATGGGGTGCGCTTACCATTTCGTAAACATGCTCGCGGGGAGTTCGAACGCGATCTGAAAAGAGGTCGAGAAGAAGTCAGTCCAAAGTCAAGGCGCTATCGATTCGACGTCGAGCTCTCACATAGCTGATATAGAAAACGCTGAGCAGCAGGTTGTAATCGTATCCGCTCAGCCCGAGATCCTTCTCGAGCCCCGCGATCTTGGCATTGCCTGTGAAAGTGGATGGTCTAAGCGCGATGATCTATTCAAAGCGAGTTGGACTGGTTTGCTTACCGATGTTAGCCCGGTCGATAAAGGCAAACAGGTATTGAATTGCGACAATCGGGACGACATAGAGGTCCATCTGGCAGATGAGGTGTTTTAGCTGCAAACTACGGACGATCACCGAGTTTGGGAACGACTCCGAGGCGTACCTTTCTGGTCAACCTTTTACTAGCGGCCTCGTCGACGTGCAAAAGGTTCCCCTCGGCATCGTTGGCGAATTGCTTGCCCATGTGCTCGTCGGCATCATGTACGCCATCCTCTACGTGGATTACCTCGGCCTTGTCATCGTGCGGTGGATACGAGCGATTCATGGCTGATCGCTGATAGCTATGTTGAGGTGTGATCGGCAGGGCTAGGGTAACTAATCAGCGCTTTCTCGGCAGGTAAGCGATCGTATTTTAGAACTGGATCTTCCCCGCATCGGCATGTTGGAGTACATATAGCGAGATCCTGGTAGGATGATGGATAATCCAAGGTCATCTGCCCCGCAAACCATCGCACAGATACGAGCAGAGGTCGACAGTGCAACCCCGCAAAGCCATGTGACGTCGGAGGCATTTCCACCTGTTTGAAGGTCCGTCATCAGGTACGAGGTCGCAGAGATTCTCTTGGCGTCGAACCAGAATAGGATACGCGACGTATCACGAGGCAAGACCCCTCACGGTCGTTGTTTCGAGGTGTGGGGTGGGTGTGATCCATTGGTAACCCGCAGGAGCAATTCCAATATCGAGTTCTTTGGCTACCTCCACGCCCGTTCGTGCGGGGCTGCGCCGCACCGTTCGCTCAATTGCTCGCAGTAGATCGACATGCGCTCAGCAGGAGAGAATGAGCGGCATAAACGATTGGATAGCAGTTGCGCTCATAAGTACCCCCGGGTATGTCGTTAGACCCAGGCTCAACTCCAGCAATGGAGGTTGCGAGAGGTTCACTTCCCGGTTGAAGTCACTCGCTTGACGGACGCTGACGGCCGAGCTTAGTTGTACCCATAATCGCTTCACGAATGCCTCGGTCAGAAATGCGGGGTAGGTATAATTCGTGCAGTGGGGCAAAAGCCTCTCTTCGATCAAGCTCGTTCGGAGGTTTGACGGTCCGGTATCGTTGCGAAGTTACATACCCGAGCGACGTTTGATCATTCAGCGACGGGGCGATGACCGTTGCATGCAGAGCCGACTGGAGGCAGGGCCACTTCTAGATGAAATGTAGTATCTATTGCTATAAATTCTACCCTGCGATCCACCATAGCAACAGCAAACATCGGCCATTCCGTATATTGATACCTGGACGACCTGACTTGTCTCTGTCAATGCACCGCGATATCAGAATACGGTCTTCGCGCGCTAAATTCCTAGTCTGAGCAGAAGAACATCCATCGTATGCGTAATAACTCAACGTTCAGGTCGCGAAGTCGTCATATAGTAATTCAATGCCCATGCCATGGAACCAACGGTCGACGCTCTTGGGGTATTCTAGGGAGGGATATCAATCCAGGAGCCGACCCGTCCAGTTGTCTTCTTGCTGTGCTGCTGCGAAGCGCACCCTCTTGGCATCTGACCTCGACGTCATCGCCAGGCAGATCGGCAACACAGGAATCGTCGGTCAATCCCTCACATCTTCACCTCTAAGCAGCATAAGCATGGCCTTGCTTGGCATGCTAGGATATAGGATATACGAGCGAGCGAAGTAAACTCGTCGCTGAGCGCGATGTGCCGCAAGCAGCCTCCCATATATACGTACGACACGAGCATGAGCACAGGTCATCGGGTTCTCAATGAGAGGACACCCGCAACTGTCTAAATGTCCGAATGCACACAAGTTTCGCCATTATGCCCCGTCGAGGCCACAGTCTACGGATACTACCCTAATCTCGGGGCAAACGCCTTTTTCTGTGCGAGCTTTGCAGTCTTCACAATCGCCCAACTCGTCCTCGGGATCCGATACAAGACATGGACTTGGATGATCGCTACCGTCATCGGCTGCGCGATGGAGTCGATCGGGTACGGGGGCAGGATCATGATGAATCGGAACCCGTTCGACGGTGGCGGATTCAAGATGCAGATCGTCTGCCTCATCCTCGCCCCCTCGCTCCTCTCTGCTAGTATCGACCTCACGCTCAAACACGTCGTCATCGTGTTCGGCACGGAAAAGTCGAGGATCCGTCCGAACCTCTATACTTGGGTGTTCATCGGACTCGACGTCGCTTCGATCTTGATCCAGGCCATCGGAGGAGCCATCGCTGCATCGGGAGAGGAGAACCGGTCCTTGCTCGATATCGGGAACAACTTGATGCTCGTCGGGATCATCGTCCAGGTGGTCCAGCTGGTCGCTTTCGCACTGGTCACCGCCGACTACGTTCTTAGGACCCGCAAGGCATATAGGGACAAGCCCCTGCCGCCTCTCGGAGCATACTACATCCGATCGAAAAGGTTCAGGTGGTTTTGCTATGCGGTGACCGGCGCCTTCTCTGCCATCCTGATTCGATGCATCTATCGGTGAGTCGGATCGAATCGCTCTCCTCGATGGTCATCCTCCAGTCATCGCTGATCTATCTCTAATCGATATTTGCCTACCTTTCAGTATACCCGAGATGGCTGGAGGATGGGGAGGAGCGATCCAACGTGACGAGATCAGTTTCCTAGTCCTTGATGGAGGGTGAGTCCTCGCCCGGAACGGCGGTCGAGTATCGTGTCATCGATCTAGATCTGCTTACTGCGACCGATCTGCCAACGCATCATTATGCATCGTGTTTTATATAGGATGATCTGGATCGCGGCGTTCCTGCTTACGATCTGCCATCCAGGCGTCTACTTCCCTCAACTATCAAAGAACCGTGATGAGATGCAGGAAGGGTTCCAGGCGAGGATGAGCGAAAAGCGAGATCAGACCCCTTCATTCGCATGAACCCAGAGCCATGAATTGCGTCGAAGGAATGTTCAAGGGGAATTCGGTACTTTGCTTTTTGCTGTTGTAGCCTTATATTTGGTGCTAGTCTGCAGACAGTAGTATTCGATTGATACTGGCTGATCTGCAGCCTTGCAACTTGGTGGACTGAAGAAATATGATCGTTCAAGCTGAATCCGCCTAAAAACCGAGATACGAAACGAAGGCAAAAGATTTATTTCCTTCGCTTTCGTCCGTATCTACCCAGATCAGCTTCACACCTAAACAAATTGATCACAGAATCATAGCTCGACCTATCAGATACCCTGCCTGCCTGTTAAGTGGGGGAAAAAGGCATACTCCGAGGCTCAAGATAAGATGAAGAGGTGTATGCCTGATCAAACCCGTAATATGATCTTACAGTATGCTCATGCATTCTATCCCCTTTACTAAATTTGCCCTACAGCCGATGTGTCAAATCCGCCATGGTCTCTGTTTCCTCTTGAGGCTGCTTCCATTCTGACCGTCCGACATCGTTTGTTATGCTATATCTCGGTGCTTGTCGCAGGAGTATATGCCTACTGTATACATCGTGCTTGAGACGCAAGACGATTGACCGTGTGAAGCAAACGAACCAAACACTCGGACAGCAAAATGGCTGATAGAATGCATGGTCTATTGACACTCCTCATTAGACTTGTACTTCATAAACGTAGACGATTCGCAATTCCTCAAGAGCCAACATTCATCAAAGTATCCTGCTAAAAACATCGGACCGCAGTGTAGGAACAGACTCGATTCGACATCGGTCGCAGATCTCTGAAAGGACTTGCTTCAGATCATAAGTACGGGAGCAATCCAAGGACAGTCTGCACGCAAAGTATCTGACTCCATCTTTCACAACCTGGGAGAGGACGCGATCGAGGTTTTCTATGGAGAGCCCCAACAGACGCAACTTGACCATGTTGCACCTCGGAACCTTCGCCCAGGGATGTACTCAATGTGGATCACGTTACATCGAGTCTTGAGCTAAGAATGACGATAAGACTAGGCTTCTTCATGACGAGGTTAATGGAATCCTCGACGATCTGTTCAATCACCTGGTCCTTCTAGCGAAATCTCGAGTCCGACAAGGGAGTAGTCAAAGCCATACAGTATTGACTGCGTTGGGTGGTTGAAATATTCTATCAAGTAGAGCGCTTGCTACGGGCATTGGATGTAGACCCTCCGCTGTGTCGTAGATCGCATCCTGGTAAGTCAAAGTGTGGGACTGCAGTAGGGGAGAAGTAAAACAGGATCTGCCGGCTACAGTAAGGCAATCGGACCGGTACGATCGCATGATCTCATGGTGTGCCTTTGCACATAGACATGAGCAACAAGCTCCTATTGAGACAAAAAACACCGGTTGACTCAGTTCCTTCCTCTGTCCTGGTTTGAATCATGAGGGCTCTTGTCAAAGTCCCTGCGATTGTAGCCAAACTCGAATGTTTCAGTCCGGCACAAGCGTCCAGTGCTTGAAGTTTTGCGCCGCCAACACGAGTATCACTGCGGTCCATTTCCCCACCAGTACGGCTGCATCTAGCCCCCACAGATTTCCTGATTTCCTGAGAAACTCTACCTGAACTTGAGGCATTCGATTCGCACATGCTCAAGAATTGCAACCGAAACGTACATCGAACGCTCTCGACCTTTCTAGCAGCTGGTCAAAGGAGTTGATCGACGTTCTACTCGAGCAGGGATTTGCCTCCGAAGGGGAAGTATGTGGTCACGTGATGTGATCGCTAGTTTTTTTGCTTCCGGCCTGGTTCGAACTTGCTCTCGAGTGCAAAATGTTCAAGAAGGTAACAAACGTTCGACATTCCTTCTCATCATTGCGACCTCTTCAACTCCATATACAACCCACTACAACTCACTACTACCAATCAACTTCATACGATAAACAAAATGGTCGCTCAAGCTCTTTGGCACCTCGAACTCGCCGGTGGGGCCGAAGTCCCCATGCTCGTCCGCAACGACTTTGTCATCACCAACGCCTCTCTCACCGACGAGGTCGCCGATGTCAACGCCCGATCGGTCGTCAAGGTCGCTTTCGAGCCCAAGAACCCCGCCGAGCTCAACGGAGATGATGAGGACGACGAGGACATGTCGGATGAGGATGAGGATGAGGACGACTTGGAAGGTCTCACGCCTGAGGATTTGGAGAGCGAGGATGAGGACGACGAGGCCGTCAAAGAGTTCAAGCAGGAGATGAGGGCCAAGATCTCTGCTGCCATCAACGGTGACAAGAGCAAGAGCAAGGTCAAGTCGAACGAAGTTAGCGCTTCTGCTATTGCCACCGAGGAGGACGATGACGATGAGGACGAAGATGACGAGGACGAGGACGACGAGGATTTCTCGTTGAGCGAAGAGCCGGTCGATATCGCACTCTGCGCCTTGACCCCGGGCAAGATCGAGCAGGTCCAGCTCAACTTGGTTTTCAACGAGGAAGACGTCGTCGTCTTCAAAAACACCGGAAAGAAGTGAGTTCACCTTCATCCCCATCCATTCTCTCAGCTCTAACATCCGCTAACCCAAAACATCTCCCCCACCCCCTTTTTACGAACTTCTAGCACCATCCACCTCCTCGGAAACTATATCGACCAATACCCCCTCCCTACCGGTGAGAGGGACGACTATGACGACCTCTCCGATTCCGAGTACGATTCCGAGGGTTACCCCCTGGGCGACTCTGATGACGAGGAGGACTTGATGGAGGATCTCGAGGACAGTGATGTCGACATGGCTGATCTGGAAAAGGTTGTTGGGAGGAAGAACGGATCAAAGGGGGATTCTGGGTGAGTTGTTTTCCTTCTCGGGCGCACATCACTCCAGGTCGTTGACCGAATCTTATCTTCCTTTCCTATGGGGTTGTTCTTCTTCGCGCAGCCGATTCGAGGAGATCACCGAAGCTCCCAAGAAGAAGGAGACCAAAAAGATCGCCGCCACCCCCGTCGTAGCTACCCCAGAGACCAAGAAACGCAAAGCCGAAGAACCCTTAGTAGCCTCTGCCGAAAAGCCTGGTAGTAAGAAGGCTGAGAAGAAGCAAAAGGTCGAGGCCGCCCCCACTTCTACTGTTGCCGCCGCCGAGAAGAAGGACAACAAGAAGCCCGTTGTCGCTGAAAAGAAGAACTCCAAGGACGAGAAGCCTGAACAGCAGGGGAGCAAGAAGAAGACTCTGCCTAGCGGGTTGGTCATCGAGGACGTCAAGATCGGGGATGGAGCTATCGCCAAGAAGGGCAAGCGATGTGGTATGAGGTGAGTCCCGAGTTCTCTCATCAAACTTATTTATCGCCATCATCTAGGAGATGCTTTTGAAGCTGATTCCATTTTCACTTGACGGATCGTTTGTTGTGGGACGTGTAGGTACATCGGCAAGCTCCTCAACGGCAAGCAGTTTGACGCCAACACTGCCGGTGCGCCGTTCAACTTCCGATTGGGCGCTGGAGAGGTCATCAAGGGTTGGGACCAGGGAGTCGCTGGGATGGCCGTCGGTGGAGAACGAAAGTTGACCGTGAGCACCGTCGTCCTACCTCGTCTACCTTTGTCTCACGCTTTTTCAGAATCGAAAGATCTGACCGTATTTCTTGCTTGTGGTGACAGATCCCCGCCGCCCTGGCTTATGGATCGCAAAAGATCCCCGGGATCCCCCCCAACTCGACCTTGAGCTTTGACATCAAGTTGGTCAACGTCAAGTAGACGCCAACCACCCCGCATTCCCACACATAACCCCTTGTGCACTAGATCTCGTTCTTGCCATCGAAAAAAGAGTCTTGTTTTCGGTTATAACACTTGTTTATATTATTGATAGAGAGAGGGAATGACCACCCTCTCTTCTTGCTTGTCATGTATGTGCATCGTATAGCATGTTCATGCGATGCTGGTGTGATGCACGTGATGTCTGACTTGATGTCGTGAGATGTCCGCGCGAGCCCCGGGAGGGCGCGATCACCCACCAAGGTCAAACCGAGAGATGTACACATCCAGCTGTTGCTAGTTGTCATCTGCTGTGATCACCCACTCCGATACAAAACATACAGACGCCCAGACCTCCAATCATGGCTACGGTGGAAGCCAACTTTTCCTCGGCCTTGGCCACTTGGAAAGGCGAGTACCACCGTCCCCCCCTATGTCCACTCTCGGTTGAATCCGAGTTAATTGATTTCCCCGGCTCTCGACGTCTTCACAGAGATCGACCTAGCGGAAACGCAGAAACAGCTCGATAAGACCGCCCTGGAGCTAGTAGAATCACAGAAGGAGAATTTGGTCGGGAGGAAGAAGCTGGCGGAGCAGACGAGAGGTGAGTCTGCTGTGCCCGCGAACAGGATATGGATGCCTATGACCATATATACAGTGGGCTGTGCTGACTCCCAACACGACTTGCTACTTGATTGATGAACGACCCCTGTGTGATAATAGAATTCAAGAAACTTCCTGACGAACCCGAGAAATTCAACGCCATCAAGACCCTCTTGAAAGCCTACCAATCCGAGATCGACTCTCTCACCCGTCGCTCCAAGTCTAGCGAGACGGCCTTCTTACACGTCTACAAGCTTCTCGCCGAAGCCCCCGATCCTTACCCTTTACTCGATGCCGCTGTGGACCAGACGATCAAAGCCGCCCAGTCCGACTTGCTCTCCTCCGAAGTAGACCGGCTCAAGGAGGAGAATGGGGAGTTGAAGAACAAGCTCGGGGAACTGGGGAATGTGGATGAAAGAAGGAGACGGGCGGAAGGGAGAGCGGAAGAGTTGGAGGATAAGATGGAAGGGATGTTAAGCGAGAGGGTGCAGCAGAAGGAGAATGAGTTGAATGCCAAGTATGATGAGCGGATGAAGAATTATGAGCAGAGGTGAGTCGTCGTCGGCGTCGTCCTTTTCGGGGATGTCATGCGTGACTGTACCGCTGGACAAACAGGGTACTAATAACGATTCCCCCCGAATTGCTGCTCGTCTTATGCACCACAGGGAAAAAGATCTACAAAAACAAGTCACATCCCTACGCGACCAGCTCAAAGACCTCCACACCAGTAACGAATCCACCCAAGCCAAGCTCGTCAATGCCAGTCAACGTCAAGACCAGGACACGCTGGCCAAGCTCGCCGAGGTGGATATGGTCGTCTCCGACCTGGCTCGGGCAAATGAGAGGGTAGCGGCGATGGAGAGGAGGAATGAGATGTTGAGGAGCGAGATTGAGAGCGTGAGGAGCGGGAGCGAGGGGGTGGAAAAGTGAGTCGAAAACTAGGGATCATACCTCGTCAATGTCGACCTAGCGCTTAAATACGTTTCTTTTTTTTTTTGAAACCTTGCGGCCTCTCAAGGACCAAACGCCTCGAAGCTCAGCTCGCCGATTCCGAATCCGAATGCGCTCGACTCCTCCGAACACTGGACCAAGCCAAAGCCGAGCGAGAGAGGGTGGAGACCGAGTCGGCTAAACGGAAGGAAGAGGTCGAGAGGGAGTTGACGACGACCAAGAACGAGCTGGATACGGCGAGGAGCAAGATCAAGCTTTATGCCGATTACGACGAGATCAAGCGAGAATTGGAGATCATGAAGGTGCAGTCGTCTTCCCTTCCTCTAAGTCCAGGTGACTACCGACACATTTGACTGATATTCCGGATTTGGCTTGGACGCACAGTACGTCGAATTCTCTGGCGGCGACATGGATCAGGACGACGACTCGATGCGTCTTCCGGATCCCAACGCCGACAAGGCCAACGCGCAACACGGCCGGTCGCTAGAGAACCTCTTGGCCAGCAAGAACAAGCGTCTACAACAAGACCTCACCGAACTCCGGGTCAACAACGAAGAGCTCGGTCAGATGAACGACGACCTCACCGACAGGTTGTTCAGCGTACAGAGCGACCTGGCTAGGTTGAAGACGTTGAATGAAAAGCTGGAGAATGATCTGATGAGGGTGGACAATGCCGGTGGGAAGAGCGTATTCGGAGGCGGGGCAGGGAGTCAATGGGGCGGCGGGAGCGCGTGGAATGGAGGGTTCCCTAGTCCTACAGCGGGAGGTGATGGGGAGGGTAGCGATGCTGGCAGTGTTGGCGGTGGGATCGCTACGCCTGCCAAGTCTCGTGGTCTAGCCGGTCTAGACCTGGGTGGTAGGAAGTTGACGGTGAGTCTCCAGAGCCCGTTCGAGGTGACTTCCTTCTCGCTCGACCGTTTCCAACTCACGCTGCTTCATCCGCTAGGACTCTCCTGTACCATCGAGCACGAACGCTGGTGGTTTGTCGACTCCCGGCGGGGGACCAGGGGACAACAACGCCAACTCGCTCTTGCCGATCGTGACCAGCCAGCGGGATCGATTCCGTCAACGAAACTCGGAGCTCGAAGAGGTATGTCCCGCATCGTACCGTCTTTCTCCGGGTTCAACTGCTAATAGACAATCTATCGATCCCGTCCCGCTGTACTTATTAGGAATTGCGTAAACAATCCGAAGGCCTCGCCGACCTCCGGGCGGAGATCAAGACGCTCCAATCTGACAACCTCAAGTTGTACGAAAAGGTCCGGTACATGCAGTCGTACGCGAACACGGGGCCGAACGCTGCAGCGGGACCTTCCGGTTCCGGAACAGCTGGATATTCTCTGGGTGGGGTATCGCAGGGTGCTGCAGGAACAGGTGCGAGTGGTAGTGGGTCAGCGGGGTTGAATGGAGGCAGGTTTGGGAGGTTGGGCAAGGACGATGTCGAATTGGGGAGGTATCGGGACAAGTACGATGAGAGCTTGAACCCTTTCGAGGCTTTCAAGGGGAGGGTGAGTGACTAGTTTTTCCTTGCTCCTTTCAACGAGCCCGTATACGCGATACTCACACTGCTTTATTGGGCATGTTGTTGGGGGAAAATAGGAAGCACAACGAGCGATCTCTGCTCTAAACCCGATAGACCGGGGCGTATTCGCCCTCACGCGAGCGGTCGTCGGGAACAAACGCGCTCGATCGTTGTTCATCATGTACAGCGCGGCACTGGTAAGTGTAACTCTCACAAAAACACTTTGATTGTCAGCTAATCAACATGACCCCGCGGCGTAGCACTGTCTGGTGGTCTTTGTGCTCTACAATTGTATGGGAGGAGAATCTATGGGTCGGAGTTCGGGGCCGATACCGATCGAGCCGATTCATCAATAAGGGATGGATCGGCTGGCCCTCTCCAGTCTACAGTCGGATCTCTTATAGGAATAGACGGCCGTCTTCTTGTATTATACCAAGTATGCTTTATTGCAACCGCTAGAATAATGATTTACTCACACAGGTCCAAAGAGGCAGAACGAAACCGATGATGAGTAGCTTACCTTTTGGCTCACGTGACCTGATCTTCGGAAGTAAATTATGTTTCCGACCAACATCCAGCTTCCCCGCACCTGTCGCCACCAAAGCTGGCCGACTCTGAAGAGTTTAGCAGATTCTCGTATTGCACAACTTCATGGACATATATCAACGCCTTATAGATAACACAAGAAAAAGAGAGATAGATTGGCTGGAACAGATCGCCGCGAAATCCCGGGACAAAAGCGTATCGAAACGCGTTATCTGAGGCAGTAGGAGCTCTACCATACGATAGGTAAGGCGAACCCTGATTCTTGAGCTGTATCGAGATCAGGCAGCTGACCTTGACTACCATTCTTTGCTAGAACAGCAGTAAAAGCCTGACCGAACAGGAGAAGAACGTTGATCTGAATTCTCGAACTCCGGACGACCTGGCCGACACATCTAGATCCCCATCCGTTCAGCTCTCGTGGACGTCCACTATCTCAACCAACAAGGACCCGCCGTACATCGCTCAGCCAAAAAAAGCAGACTCTTGTTATTCGCACAAGGAACGATCTCAATCACAATGTCGCCTTTGATCCTGGAACAAGAACCTCCTCAATAAACGCGTCTCACGTCGACGAGGAAAAGAACACGACATTGCCCACCTGCCAATCTTCCCTTGATTTCAAGGTCGTTTGGTCTGGCAGACAAGCTCTTCGAGTCGAACAAAGACGCTGCACTTCTATCTCAATTCTTCCCTCAATCCTACTCTCCATCACCTCAATCTGACCGACAAACGAAAAGGCAACGATAGAAAGAGAGACCTTTTGCATCTATACATCCCCGGCTTGGCCATCCCGACCATGTCTACCGCCTCTCCATCTGCCTCGAACGGAACCTCTTCCTTTCATTCTCGACCGCATTCTCCTGCCTATCATCATTCTCGCCAGAACAACACTCCTCATCAGCATCGTCACCAGCACCACCAAAATCACCTACAAAATCACGTGGCACCCAAACACTCGTCCACCTCAAGTTCAATCTCGCCGCCCGCGCACGCACATGCGCATCATCGTCCGTCAGGTCCGAATAAACGCTCGATAGCGTCCTCTTCGGGTCTGGTAGCTAGTACCAAGATCAAGGGGATGAAGAGCCCTGAAAAGCGGGAGCGGGAAAGAGATAGAAAGAGGGAGAGACAGGTCGGCCACAACCAGCAAGATCTAGGTCTCGGTCGAGATACGGTCCCAGTTGATGAGCATGTGGGTAGTAGAGCTGACAAGGTGGGAGGGATGGAAGAATGTGATGGTTCAAGTGGGGTGGAGGCGAGTGTGAGGGATCAGGCTGGCGGGTCGGGGTCGGGGTCGGGCTGGGAAATAGGGAAAGAAGATTATCGATCTGGGTGGAGCTCTTCTGTTGGGCATGGGTGTCTACCGCCCACGCCCACTTCGGCTACCAAATTCGGATCGTCGGGATCGACCGACCCCCAGCTCTTGCCGGAAACACCGACCCGAACGCCTCGTGGTCTGTCTCGCGACCCGGTTTCGAGTGCTATTCTTCCTCAAACTCCTACATCCCCGGTACGAGTGATTACGGGTGCACCCTCGACCTCGCCGAGATCGTTGGGATACTCGTTCCCGACTTTCAAGTCGAGCCTCTCGCCGCCTATCATCCAAGATCAGCATACAGGTCGAGGTGAAGCAGGAGCTGAACAAGAACACGAAGGTCGAGCAAGCTTGTGGTTGAACAAGTCGGAAGGAGGAAAGAAGCGGGATCATCGGGAGGTCGAGCTGGGATCTCGTGAAGGTTCGCCGGTTGGCGATGTCGAGAACGAGCAGCCGCAAAGAGATAGGGGCGAGCGAACAACAGCCTCGTGGCCGAAAGCGAATGGAGTCGATCAAGGCGCTTTACCTTCGACGAGTCGACCTCGTTCGGACCTCGGTCCTACGCTCGCTGAACACACGCCGCATCATGGATTCCAGGGATCAAAGTCCGATTCCCACATTCCGGCTCCACCGAATGCCGCACCTGAACGTCCTAGGTCCATCCCATCTCAACCGCCATCTGTTCCAGCGGTTCAGATGCAAAATCATCCTCCACACCCTCGTCGGATGTACGCCTACAACGCTACCTCGGCCGAAGAAGAAGCTCGGAGGGCCATACTTGTCGACGCCTGTGAAGGGTTGAGCAGCCTTTGTAGTCAGTGGCACGGTAGCGAATATAACAAGCTCAAGTTTGGTGAAAAAGGTCGGTCTCGGTCGAAGCCAAACCACGCCATGGCGAATCGTACGGAAACAGAACGCTCATGATCCCGCTCGCTTTCTATTCAGGTGCTCCGGTGCAGTATTGTCCCTTGACGATCGCCGCTCCGCAGCATGTCCAATCGATCATGATGGCTCAGGCGATGTACGAGAAAGAGATCTATGCTGCAGAAGACGCTTTTGGGAACGACAGTCTGGCTTCTTCGACTGGTAGCGAGTCTTCCTTTGCTACTTCTCGGACCAGTCAGAAAGATGGTGCCACGACGGTCGATGGGGACAGTAGGCTCTTCGAGACGGTCACCGAACCGGACGTACGCGCTAGTTCTGGAGGTCAAGGACAGGCTCTCGAGAATGCGATGGAGAAGGGTCTGCAGAGATCGATGGATGGTAGCTGGGTCAAGGATGTGGATCCTTCGGTACCTAGCGAGGCGGAGTCTGCGCAAGAAAAAGCGATCGAAGTCCAGCGTCACAATCCCACCAACGAAACGCCCTTACGGGTCATGCTCCCACAATCCATGGAACAAGAAGAAGGGTACGAAGGGATGGCCGTTAACAGCGTCAAAGGGGACGAGATCGAGTTCAAGAACGGACAACACCTGGATATGCCCAATGGCACAGGAGAACACGACCGCGATCAGAAGATACAGATGGAGCTAAAGCAAGCGATGGAGGATGAGATTCGAGCCAACTCGACCGGATCCAATGGGATGCAAGGCTTGCAACTCGCTCCTGGGCAAGAGGCTAAGCAATTCACGACCAAGACGAGCGATACGCATCCCATCAAGTGAGTTTTTCTTTTCTAGACTTGATGACGAAGAGTAGGTTGTCTGACGTCCTTTTGATGCCTTTCAGCGTGTCGATGCTGGTCCCCGTGGATACTATGCCAATGCTGGTCAACCACCTAGCAACGATACCCGTCTCAAGCGTGAAATCGCCAGGAAAGCCGCTGCTTTGCCCAGCCTCGGACGAGGTCTGGCAGTCGACCGTGATGGCCAATCAGATTGGAGGGAACGCTCCTGTCCCCATCACCGCGATTCCACAACCGACGACTAACCTTGGCATCGGGAATCTCCTGCTCAGCAGTTGTCCTGGGAAAAAGGTTCGGCTGGATGGGCCAGTCCGAGGACGAGCGGCCATCTGCCGTGACCTGAAGTTGGATCTGGGCAGGATCAAGGAGATGGGCGTAGGCTGTATCGTATGGTGAGTGGGAAGGAATTTTGCACAAGGAGTTCTTTCTTGTGACGGTTCTGACGCGCATTTTGATCAGTTGTCTGGATGACAACGAGTTGCGGTACCTGGGTGCGCCTTGGGAGGAGTATCGAGCTCGGGCTGCAGAATTGGGCCTCCAGGTCATGAGGTGAGTTTTGACGTATTGTGCGGCTCTACACGGCTACTGATCGTCGTCGTTCCGCTAGAATTCCGATGCCCGAAGGCTTGACACCATCCTCACTCACTACATTCGACGAGCACGTAGAGAAAGTCATCCGGAACTATACCCTCAAGGGAGTGCATGTACTTGCGCATTGCCGTGCCGGTGTCGGTCGAGCTGGGTTGACCGCGTGCGCATGGGCCATCAAGATGGGGATCGCCGGACCTCTGCCCGATCTGGAACTGCAACTGAGCCAACTCACAGAAGAGGGACAAGATTCTCAGGCGATTTGCGAAAACGCTCGAGTCATGTCGACCGTCGAGAGGGTGATCTGCTTGATCCGTCGTCGAAGGAGCATCAAAGCGATAGAGACGTTTGAGCAAGTCAACTTTTTGGCTAGCTACGTGGCGTGGTTACGACGAGAATCCGGGTTGGCGTCTGCAAACGAGATGCAATAGGCGTCATGGGTGAGTTGTGATAGTTTTAACGACCGTGTATGAACAAAATAGGCCAGGTTGGTGTGACGACGAATCGAGTGGTATGCGGGTGTTTATCATTTAACGACAACATGATCGAAATATATACATATACATGCGTGGTATATAAGTTGAGTTGATTTGATACAGGGCGAGCGAGATGATCCTTTCCTTGACATCGTCGGGGTGCATGCAAAGTGGTAGCCTTATAGCTCAACGCCTACCGAGAGACAAGGTCACTGGTGATCCTTTCCCGAACCTCGAAGCGATGAGTTTCTTGTCCTCGGCTATCTTTGTCGCTGCTCTTGCCTGTTGCGCTCGCCAGGCGTCACGGGCTCGAGCAGAGTCGGCGTCCTTGTTGATGTAAACGGGTTCTGAGGGTGTGTTCTCCCGCTGCTGAGATCTGGCTCGTGACCATATCCGACCTCCTAGACGCTCTGCCGGTGTCTTGCGTTGAGCGCTGATGCCGACCCTTTGAAGCAGTCTGAGCCGACGTAATCCTAGAGCGGTTGTAGCTAGCGCTGCGACCACCGCTGTCCCCGTGACAAAGTAGAATGCCAGTGGATGTGATTCGATGTGTGATGTCAACTTTGTAGTCCAGATGCTGCGGTTAGCTCGCTGTCATGCGAAATGGAACGGCCTGGACGATCGACTCACGTTCATGCCAAAGACACCCGAGGCCAGAGCGCCAACACCGATCCCCAAGGTCGCTATAGACACCCTGAGGTCCATCGCGATCAAGGCGTTACGGTTCGAATCCAGGATCAACTCTGCCACCTCCTGAGTAGTCGACATGTTTGTCTATGAAACCCAGAACCTTTCAGTGTCATCGTTGACTACAGCACACACAGATACAAGGACTTACCGTCAAGGTATCCAACTCGCTGACAATCTCTTCCACTTGTTTGGAGAACGATTCCAGCAACAGCTCTAGCTCTTCATGGTCGGTAAGTCCTCTCGGCTGATGAGCCATTTTGGCCGACAGGTACATGGCCGACAAGTCCTCGTCTACATCAAGCGGCGTTATAAGTTTCCGCACAGTTCATGCAGATATTCGACGGGGATCTGCTCACCTGATTCCAAAACCTCCTCTATTGAACCAAGCACATATTTGGCCCGGCTCTGGAACCCGGCTATCCGACGGGAGTAGTGTAAGAGTCGCCGCAGGTTGTCGCGGCTGATATCGCTTTCGAAATCTGCTAGGAGGTCGTTGACGACCTCGCTATAGAGAAGGACCGATCTTATATCAGTGGTCGTGATGTGAAGGTCGATAGTTGAGCGGGATAGGCTTACCGAGTGTACTTCATCTCTTCCTCTAACGCTACTGCGACTGACACTAGGATACTTTCTAGAACACTACGATAATAAGAACCGTTTTGAGTACCCAGCTCTGAAAGGAGAAAGCGTCGAGATGCTCACCGATGCTCGTAGCTCAAGCGCTTTCCATCCTGTAACATGCTCTCCCTCCCATCCCCTTCTAAACCCCCTTCGAACCCCTCCCCGACATCCACCCCTTGCTTGCCCTGTTCACCCAATCGTCTGGCTTTGATATTGGCCTGCATGTGCCAGAGCAACCTGTCCCTGAGCTTGTTCGACCGCATGCCAGCGGGTTCGAAGAGGATGACCATGTCCGCCTTGATAAGCGCTCTGACGTGGAGCATGTTGACGATGATGGCGGATCGACGGGAGAGGATGGTAGGGACTAGGTTGGGTTGGAGTGAATCTAGTTTCCGTAGATCCCGGGGCTGTGAAGAAGATATGAGAATGTGGAGGATTAGGGTTTCTGTGAAGTGGGGATCGTTTTCGTTGTTGCTCACATCCAGGTCGTGCTGTTTGCACAGATCCGACTTTGGTACAGTCCCTTGTTCCGTCGTCAGATTGCCGTCCGCATCAAGTATTGTGACTATACCGTAATGATATGTACGTCAGCTTCAGACTTGTTATACAGCCAACTTCGATGAGACTCACAACGCAGACTCAATTCGCCTGCCTTGGTCATGAGGCTCTCGAGATAGGTAGCTTGGTACCGATCATCGTCCACCTTGACCAGCTGGGATTGACCTCGCTGACATCGTCTGTGCGTGCAAAACCGAGAAGCTGGCGGAGATCGAACTCGATACCCTGACGACATCCATGTTGAGGTAGGCTGTCCGGTACAGGAGGCTAGCGGTCTCGTCGCACAGGCAGAGGTCGACAATGACCTGAACGCTGGATTCGCCGATAGACCCCTAAAGATTCCCGCATATGGGGTCAAGGTCCTTGCCATTCCTTGTAGTACGTTGACGAAGCTTGACTGATGTGTATTCCAACTATGTGTCTGTCAAACTAGTTGGCACGAGAAGAAGACCAGTGGCTGTCATGAACGATTGTATTCAAGTAGATCGATCGTCATATAAGTGGAGGCGAACTTCGGAAACCTCGAATGCAGAAAATAGTGGCAAAACTACCCCTTTCGCCCCCGAATGACAACAACCATTTCGTAAGCACAGCCTATGTATATATGGTATGATGCAAAGATATCGGGGTATATGTATTGGTTACAGAGCGAACAATGACCCACAGCCGATTCACTCAATTCAAGAGTTCCTTGATACCGCCCGAACCGCTCCCGCTTCGTGTTCTGCTATGCGACCGGTCAGATTCACCTTCACCTTCGCCTTCGCCGTCCTCGTCGTCAGACCCTTGTGATGCCGATCCAGACTCGTGTGGCCTGTGTTGGTTTTGTTCTTGATCCTGTTGGTGCATATCTAGGTTGCGTTGGTCGAAGGATGCGTTTCGTACACCTTGCTGATGATCGTCCGGGTCGTAAACATGCTGTGTATGGTGCATAGGAGGAAGGGTGTCAGGGTTGACGGCCCAAGCATTGGCTAGAGACGGGTAGTTGGCGGTCCGGATGCCTCGTCCTGATCATAACACGTAAAGATGGTTTAGCATACCGATAAGACCAACGAGACGCCTCGAAACATGCTATAGGCTTACCGTCGTTAGACAAAGGTGCGGTGGACGCAGCGGCGGCAAGACTGTCTTGCAGAGCATGAGCGTGCGCCGTGATGCTCTCGACCCTGGCCAAGCTCTCCGAGACCCGCTTCTCCCTCTCGCTGACCTTGTCCTGGAGCCGCTCGATACCCTGTCGTAGCCGAGAAGCTGCATGGAAGAGCATAGTAAGCACGCTGCCATTAAAGTCATACTGATTTCGCATGGTTAAGCTGGACTGGACTGACCTTGTTCATCCGGAAGCGTCTGGTTGGCCTCGATGCTGACTGCCAAGCTATCAAGTATGACTCCCGTCTCCTGCCTGATCTCCTCGGTATTCTGTTTCAAAGCCTCTTGTTCCTGGGCCAGATGGCTCGCTTGAGAACTGATCGATCCCGCCTGTCGAGCCAGGGCGTGTACGTTGGCTCGATCGGGTTCGTACCCGGATATCGACTGGTAGACCGGTGGATCTCCTATAGGTTGGAGCACGGGGTATTGGGAGACGGCCGAAGCGCTCGAAAGGGGTGGACCATAGTATTGCGACGCGGCGGACGAGTTGGGGAGGCGGTACGTGTCGTACATATTGCCCGAACCTGGTGCATAAGAGGTGTACCGGGGAAAGGTCGGTTGGTAGGACGAGGGGAGACTTCGACCCCCTGGATCGATGGGGTATGGTGGAGCGCTATGGAGCGCATAGCCTTGTATGCGAGGAGGCTCGACCGGATGACTGTATCGAATCGCTTCGTAACGAGGGATCGACTCCGAATGGTTTGACAACGCTGGGCTGGTCGTCGACGGTCTCTTCACCACAGAGTGCGACTTGCCGCCAGCATACTCCGTGAGGTGTCCCTCATGCTGAGCGTGGCCGCCGTCCTGTCCGTCCTGACGAGCAGCCGCCTCTGCTTCCATCTGCAACCTGAGCTGATTGGTCTGCTTTACCGAGCGTCGCTTGATCGAGGCGATTCCTTCCGGATCGTCTCGTCGGAACGTGGCGTGCCGAAACTCCCAGGCCATAGGTAAAGCCGAGGGCGAGGTCAAGGTCAAGAAAACGTCGTTGACCTGCTGTGAGGGAGAAAAGAAACAATGTTTGATCGATGTCAGCATGTTATATGAAGTCGACAGCACCTCGGTCGAAATTCAAAGGCTCACTTTGCTGAAGCTGTCATTGAGGAAACGGCACAAACGCAATCAGCGAGAACCAAGCAGGAACGCTAAGCGATCAGACCGCTACTCACCCATACATGTTCAACTGCCTCACGAAGCTGTGCCAGTTGTTGTGCTTGAAAAATTGCGGCAGTACCATCCTGCGGATACCGAAAAGTCAACGATCGTGGGCCGTCGCGCTTGCCGTACGCGCTGCGACTCACCTTGAAAAATCTGTCGGGTTCGTGCAGATGAACCCGGCACCGTCCTGCGACCACTTCAACAACCCCGACCTCTTGATCGCCGGATCTTGTAACATGTTGTACAGCTTGGTAACGAATACCGGCTGACTCTTTCCTGCCGACGCCGAACCCGAAGACTTCCTCTTGCCCTTCTCTGGCCCGACGCCTCCCGCGCTTGTGGCGCTTGCTCCCCTTGCGGCGCTGCTAGACACCTTGGTCGTCGATGAGGACGGTTCCGCCGACCAGCCCGTTTCGGCTTCTCCATCCGCCCCGTAAGTAGGAAAAGGTCGGTACGAGGAGGACTCGGAACGATATACTGGTGAAGCGAGGGAAGACGTTTCTGACGAGAATTTGCGGGTCCTTTCGTCCATCGTTTCCGCTGGCATTGTGGGTCGTCGACTGGGTGCACCAGGACCTGAGCTAGGAGGCAGGTAGGACCTATACATTCCTGCCCCCGAGCTGGAACCTTGCGGTGCCACCTGACCTGACCCTGAAGCAGGGTATGCCATGGACGTCCCAACAAGTGCGTACCCGCTCACATCCGCCAGACTGCCCGGTTGCGTCATAGCACCGTCAGAGTAAGCCGACGTGTAGCTCGGTCTACCCCCTGGGACCCCAAAATGACTCTGTCCGGAGTGCTGCTGGTAAGATTGCGATTGAGGAAGTACCATGGGCGAAAATTGCCCGCTGTATCCCGTCCCTGGCGCTGTCGCCGTACCCGTAGAGTGATACCCGCCTCCTCCGGTGAGCGGACTCGGCAAGGTATACTGCGATTGATACCTCTCGCCAAAGCCGACAGCATTCTGATCTTGCACGGACCCGTAAGCCTGTCCATGTTGCGACCCAGGTCCAGATCCGTATGCTGGAGAATCGTGCGGCATAGGTTGGTTCAGATGTGGGATATGCGAAGGATAAGCCGCGGATCCGGGCGGTTGTGAACCTGGGTAGGCGAACGTGTCAGGAGGAGGCAGTCCGTTCGGATGCTGCTGTTGATGTTGTTGCTGCTGTTGTTGTTGTTGAAGCTGAAGAGGATCGCCGTCTTCGCGTTTGACCAGGCCGGGCGATCGACCCCATCCATTGATACCACCACCTCCAGCGCTACTCGTTTTCGGAGCCTGTAAAGCCATGTCACCCGGACCTGGCTCGTATCCATCCCCTTGATGACGCTGCTCCTGTTCCCGACCCTGGTTCGAACCCTGATGCTGATGCTGACGTCCGTCCAGTCCGACACCCACGTTCGCGGTCATCGGCATCGGCATCGGCATCGGTAAGCCCACCTGTACCTGCATACCGGTAACTTGGCTCTGATCATGATTTTGATTGGAGTCGGTACCGAGGTCATAATGCAGCCGAGGACGCTTCTTCAACGGTTGGTCGTATATCGGATCATGTGAAGGGTGGAATGTAGGGGTGTGTTGTAGGTGATGTAAATTCGGTAACGTATGTTGTTGCTGCTGAGTAAGCGAATGGTATTGTTGTTGTTGCTGCTGCTGCTGCTGCTGAAGCTGACCGGATCCGTGTAGACCCCCCGTTTCGAGCCTCAGCGACGGCGTTCGTCCACCTCCACTGACTTGCCTCAACGACGGTGTCGAGGCCGAGGTCGGATAAGGCAGCGGGGTGGGATGGACGGAGAACGACGGGTCTGTTCATTCATGACCAGGGAGGAATGAAGACAAGGATTCGATTCGTTGATCAGCAACAGTAGATGAGCGATTCGAACAAGATGACGAATGACGCAACGAAGAAACGAAACAAGTCACTCACTGTTGATATCAAACGTCATCCCCGCAGCTGATCCCAATCCCGAAGCCTGCGGCAACGAAGACGATAGCGGTGGAGGTGGTGGTGGCGGTAGTAAAGGCGGTGACAGACCCGTCCCGAGGTTCAACGGAGCCGGTCGATAAGGTTGTACGGGAGTGACGACGTTCACACTACTATGACTATGATCGATACCCGCTTGTAAGATGCTGGACATTTAGCCTCGTGGCGTCGACGTGAAGCGTGACTTGAAGGGATCGACGAGTTTCTCCGGATTATTTTTTTTCGTGATCCCGAAGGTGTCCCGCTTGAGGATGGTCGAGCAACGAGGAGATGGTCCGTCGGACGTCGAGTTTTATCAGCTGAGCTCAGCTCTGGTTCCCAGATGTGGTAGCAAACGTGAGCAAAAACAGGAGGTTCGCGTTGCGGTGTTGTTGTTGTTGATAAGCTCGCTGACGTTGATGTGATGTGATGGTATCGGTTGCGAATAATGGGGATGTCGTTCACAGGCATGTGGCGAGATCTGAAGTTGACGAGATTGACTTAAGATCTTGACGGTGACGTCGACGTCGATGGGAATATGTTCGTGTGTCTTCCCGAAAGCCAAATCCTAAAAAGGAAACGTCGAGGTCGAGAAGTATAAGTATTTTTCGATTGGGATGATTCGATGATCCGACGATGTTGATGTTGATGTCGACGTGCCCTCGCCCCCGTGCCCCGTGGGTGGATCTCGGGTCGATCAAAGAAGATGCGACAATGGAAAATTTTAGACTTTTCTATCTCCTCGTGTCACCTTGCTCCTCGTCGGTCCGTGCGCCGACTGCGATCGATCGAAAGGAGGGTACAAGGTGGATCCCTCTTCCTCGCCGTTGCGCTGCGGTTGTCGTCTGATGGATACGCACTATGAAACAACCGCGATCACGGGGTCGGGTCGAGTCGCGCGGAGGGGTAGCACGATAACCGGCACAGCGATCCAGCGACTAGCGGCAGTCTTCCCCTTCTACCGTATGACTCTGAGACACCCGAGCTTTTCGCCTTTCGATCGCGGATGGTCGCCCAAAGGACCCCTCGGGCAGCCGTCTCGATACGTTTCAGGAAGCCCCAGGTCGTCGATAGCCGAACGGCAACGTGGCCGAGGGTCTCGGTATCTGATCTCTGACGTGATGGCACGATCCAAAGGAAGTTTCGACAGGTGGATCGTTCTGATGAATCTGATGGGGATGATGAAATCGACGCTGGCGATGATAGAGTTTTGAGATGAAACCGTGATTGATGATCGTTTCATCAGCCAACGCGACCCGCGACGAGTCTCACGTCCACGCATCGACACTCACCCCTGATGACCGCGGCGATGGACTGCAATGATCCTGCACCAGCTCCTCAACTCCGATAGATCTCTGGTAGCCGTTTGAAACGCAGACCTGCGTCAAGCTGACCAAACGCTCCCTTGTCCCCTCTCTGGTTCGCTGATCCGCGGAGCGTTGGTCGTTCTGGTAGATCGCCGTCCAGCTTCCTATCCCGCCTAGGATAATAATCGGAACCTCGCACGACTACGATCCAAGGGTCGTCCGTCTCCCTCGACGTTGATCCGCTTGGACCTTCGTCTACTCGACTCGAATCGACTCGAACAGGTCTCGAGCTCCTTCCTCCTCCAATTTCAAACGCCGAGCGAGCGAGGAGGATGACGGCAAGACCGAGCGAATATCCGAAGCGACGAGCGAGAAGCGGAACGACCGGGATGCCAGACTAGCAACTGGGTATGTCCTATCTCGTGACCTCCTTGTTGAATGTTGAATAGGACGGAATTTGGATCAAACGCTATCCTATGCGAATCGCAGCTATCGTAGTCCTCTGGTATGTTATCGATTCGGTACCTAGAAATGAACGCCGAAATGTGTAGTGCGTGTGCGTGTGTTTGGTTCGGGAACTTCGGTGAATGGCGACTTGTACGTCTTTTGATGTCGCTCTTATCGCCAAGCTGCCATCGACATTCAATCCCCGTAAAATGGCGGCTTGTAACCTCTATAATGGGCGTTTCGTCGAAATCGTATGCGCGGAAGATCCTCTTTCCTCCTCCGCAGTCCTGAACGTTAATAAATAGAGGCAAGGCGAGGTTTGGTGTGGTCACGAGATGAGTGCACCGAGAACCTTGAACCTTGAGAGATTTCGGCACAGTCTGGGTGTGTGTGAGGAAGTATTCTTTCCGGACCTGAGAGCAGGAGGAGAGAGGGAGAGAAGGCGAGGGAAGCAGATCTCAAGGCAGGGCGGGCCGGGGTCGTGACCGAGCTGAGGAGGGAGATCCCGTGTCTGGTGTGTTGATCAGGCAGAGCCAAGTTGAATAATCCAATCCTTCACAAGTCGTCGAGAACGAGGCGTATCGACCATGATCATGTCATATGACGAGCCATGCTATAAGTACGACCCTTTCGCCCGGACAAATGTTTAGGGCGAGATGAGGTGAAAAAAAACGCATGGTCTTCCTGGATGAACCAGGTGGGTTTGGTATGGGTGTCGAAAGTATCGGAGTTGGGCACTACCTCTCGATCACATTCTGACGAACGATGAGAGGGTGAGAGGGAGAGGGAGGGGTATTGCCTCCCTCGAGCTTTACTGTGCTCGCATGCCAGCCCGTGCATGGTGACAACCCCGAATTCCAGAGCTCAAAGTGGTAGGCTTTGCCTCGGTACTGGCTTGATACGCAGGGATCGCCCTCGTATCGGTGTCGATGTCGGAGAGAGAGGGTGTGGGTGGGTGTGGGGACGGTATCTATTTTCCCGAGCGAGCGCAAAAAAGGGCGGGGTGGGTGTCGATCCCTTTCTCGGGACGGGGGTAGGATCTGCACTGTACAAGTACTGTGCTGCAGCGGGGCAGGAAAAGGAGAGGAATTCGACAGGCTCGGAGGGAATAACATGAATATTCTCTCGCCCTCGCCCCCCTGACCGAGTCTTGTGTCTGACGTAAGTACAACGTGGAGTCGTCGATCACCCGCGCGAGCGATCTTTGAGTGACCCGACCCGACCTCTTCCTAGCGAGCTTCCGAGGGGTGCTTTTATTTATGAAAGAGCTTGTCTCACATGTGAGGTGCGAAGCTGTCGAGGACCCCCAAAGTAACGAGACAGGAATAGGCAACCTGGCTGTGGAGTCGCGGAGCTGATAATCCAGCTTTCCTCGCTCAATGGTGTCTGGAAGAGCGTGACAGATACATGACCGTGCAGCCCGTCGAGATTCGGGGGAGGAGTTGAGATGACGAGGCGAGGTGTGATCTCGGAACGGGAACACTTTCACGCCATCTCGCTTGGACCAATCAAAGCCACGCGAATCGAATGTTCTATCTCGCGTGCGGGACGTCCAAGCGAGATTTGCGGGAGAAAAGCTTGTTCGATGATCACGCGAGCAACGGATCGACGGTATCGGGTCATAACCGGATCGATGTTGTACACTTGCTGTCAACTTGCGAGTCGAATGTGGCAACGACGGGGACGAGCTGTCGACTATCGATCTCAGTCCTGCACGATCATAACACAGGGACCTTCCTACCGCCGAGCGTCCGCAGTCGCTCGATCACCATCGCGTCGCAGTCACCCCATTTCTTATATCCGACCTCTGCGCTATTCTATCGAGACAGCGATCGACACACGACGAACACGATACGCAACAAGCGCGCTCCAATCTGTTTGACTTTGACTTTTTAGCTCGCGTCGATCACTCTTTTTCGTGGGTCTCGTGGTTATGATACGATGATGCGTGGCGGGGAGGTTGCTGTTTTCGGAGCAATAGATGGCTATTTGGATTCGATGTGACATTTTGGTTGCGGGGGTTGCTGGCCCCGTTTCCAGAGATCCGTGGGATCGACCGAGCAAGCGCGTATCATGTCTTTGTGGCATGAGTTGTGAAGCGTAGGTACGTTACATGTGTGTCGATCGCTGCGAGCACTAACATGACAGGATATGAACGGGGATGGATACCTCAAAATAGGATCGACGACTCCGCAGATATCCCGTCTAGCTGGCCTGTCCATGCGGTGCCAACCTCGACGACGAAGGCTCGATACGTTTCCGCTAGCAAATTCAGTGTATGGATGTCGATGTCGAGGGGGTTGCCGATTGCATTGCAGGACGATTTTGCCCCGACTTCCCTTACAGTGTACAATCGATGCGGTCGCGAAGCCAGATTCGAGATCCGTCAAAGTCCGGCGTTACGTCTCTCGCTATTCGAGAACGCCCATTTCGATGATTCATGGCGTTCCAAGTTTCCATGTGTATCCACGAGTTTAACCGGAGATCAAGTCATTCTATAAGTCGAACCTTAATCTACCAGTTGACGCCCTCCAGACTTTGTACGATGCTGGAATATTCCATCCAGTGCTAAAGCAAGCCCCGATCATTATCATTTCGGAGAATAGACCCTTCTCGGAGCAGCTTGGAGCGGATCCAGAAGGATAACTCTGTTTCCAGGTCCGCGCCCACCTACACTATCGTCGGATTACTGCCCTGAGTCATTTGACGGTCGCGTCGCATCCAGACGGGTTGAATCGAGAAGCCAGAGCGGTTCGTCCATATCATCCGCCATGCAAGTCTCTTGCGATCGTCTGACTTGATGACGGACGTGTGTATCCTTGGTCATTCCGGGCGAAGGGTTCAAGGATGCAGTGTCAACTTATTCTTTGGTAACATTGCGGTTATGTACATCCCGGTTATCGTACACGATCGACATGAAATCGATAACGGAGGGGCTCTCCGCATCTGCCACGAGCGCGGTCCAAGCGGCTTGCTTTTCAGAGAGAGACGGCACTATCTCGCCAACCTCCATCTTCTGTCATCCACAGTCCTGCTAGAGCGAGTAAGACCCTTGACGAACGGTGACTGCATGTCCAGGTAGTTATGATTTGAGACCTTGAAACCCGCCCAATATTAAGGACAAGAACCAATGTGACAACTCACATCGGTAGCTGGCTGTCTATCCTTGAGCTCTTTTTTTCACCCCGTCCACGGTTTTCATCTTGATCTCGGTCTGTCCGGTGAGTATGGAACATCCTTGGTGGTCGTAATGACAGGAGTTGCAATGTATGGTATCGCTGTTGTATGGTTTGTGGCATAGGATCGGGTCGTGTTGTGGTGTCAGCTTAGGATGAAAAAGTCTGAGGAGGACGAGCAAACTCTTACGCAAATTTATTGTTGACCATGAAGCAGATCTTTTGGTTCTGGATACACCTTTTGCACCGATGATCACCCTGTTGAGGAATCCAACGACAAAAGAAGAAGAACCATCCAGATTCGACGATTCGCCTCCGAGGCTCGAAGGCGCTCTAAATCATTAGCCTCGAAAGACGGGTGGCGATAATGTCAATCTGGCTCGCATGAGTCCTGATGCTGTCGGAGATTCTCAGTGAAGTTCATGGTTCACCTGGATAAGTAATCAGTGATGGGGGGTAGAAGGTGAAAAGTAAATTGGTGATCAATTGCTTCGCGTCCCGGCAGATCATCGTGAAGCATCTTTGTTTCAGTTGTTTTACGTATCATGTACTTGTACTCGATTCTCGCGCTTTCAGCGTCGCTAGGAGGTAAGAAAAGATCTGGGTTTCAAAAGGACCAGAACAGCCGGTCGTCAGATCGGCCCTCATGGCTGTGTGAGGACAAGAAAGCGATATCGTAAAACAATTTAGTATCAGTATGAGATATCGCCGGCGTGAAACTGCAGCATCGATACTGATACTCGCGCCGCCTTTCCTTACTGTACTAATATGTCACTTTGACGATCCTGTACATATATCATACGCCTGACGTCCGAACGCATAACCATCTGAATGCGAGAGTCAAATGAACGGACAAGTGGGTGCACAAGCACAAGTATAGCAAGGACAAGCAAGCACCAGAGTGAAACATGGCGGCCAAGATTCCCAAGGTGATCCGGACAGTGATCACCGTGAACAAGTCAAGTCATTGGATATCAAGAATAACAAAATGGGCGCCTTAATCGATCTCAAGCTCAAGCTCAGACTGAGTAAGTTTTTTAACTCACCTGCCAAGCCTCCACCCTCCCTTCCTCCTCTACCACCTTGTTGAGACGTTTACGCTTTGATCAGGAAACGGTTGATCTCCGGCGCGACCCACAAATCAATAATGATTCTGGCTCTAGTCAAGAATCAGTCCAATTCGAGTGGGATCTGTGCGCTCCCCCGATCGCTTCATACAAGCAGAATCCACCGCCCTAACTTTGGTCATCACCATGACTCGCGATACTAATGCTATACCAGAACCACCCGAATTGGGTGGTATGGGCATTCAGGAAAGCGAGCACGGCTGCAGCGCGAGACAGAAAGAGCACTGTCTTTAAGTGCGTCCGCGGTACGTTCGTGTTCACTTTCGGCAGCGAGGTGTGCACTCCTCTCGTCTGCTCGTGCTGGTGCCAACCTGAATATGATCCTTAGAGCGATCGTCCACCGCGATGGAGATCTCCGCTGCGCTTGTGCAGCACTACCAAACTCCCTGAACACCGTGCGTTATACTTTGGAACGGCGTCTGGACGACTTGCTACTCGATGACAAAACATAGGGACACGACTCTTTGGCTCGAGAATGGGAGCCGGCCTGCAGCCAGGTCATCGCTCTGATCATGGACACAAGTCCAAATCTCGTCACGATTCATCTTCTGATATCAAACGCGTCGCTGATATGAAACCGACGATCACGTGACTCTTCGATGAGGATACCCGGTTACTTGCTCCGAGGATGAGGTAACCGGATTTGCTTCCGATGCGACCTGTTGACCCTCGGTCACCATCTACTAGTATACCTCGTCATGACCTCGACCTTGACAACCTCAAGTCGACTGGTCTTCTTTGCAAAGCGTCCCAATCTCTACAGCTCAGAACTTTGACCTGAAGCCACTTTACACAACGTAAACACCTCGAATCATGGCCCAACGATACATCCAACCCGCCGCTCCTCCCAGCGAACAGACCTTTCAAAAGGACCTCTTCGTAGGCAAAGTCGTCCTCTCCACCGGAGGTCGGAGCGGGATCGTGAACAAGATGATCAGGATGATGATGAAGCACGGAGCGGATAGTGTGATCATCGGTCGAAAGTGAGCCTTCGTGGGCACCACACATACAATCTCGCCATATCCTAAGCTCTACTGAACACACCGCGACCTCTTCGTCCTAACCTCAATCAACCTCGTCTGTCATCCTTTACTACGAGAGAACAGTGGACCAGAGAACGCCAAAGCCGCGCAACAACTATCTACCGAGACCGGCCGGACCTGTCTTCCCGTCCAAGCTGACGTTCGTAAACCAGAGGATCTAAAGGCGGCAGCGAAAGCTTGTATGGACAAGTTTGGGAGGTTGGATTTCGTCATCTGCGGTAAGTCGAGACCTCCCCACTCTCCCATCACTCTCCCCTTTCATTTGAAGTTCGGTTTCAGGGGTCCTTTGTTCAACCTCATGCGTCGCACATGTATCTATAATGCTCACAAGTACAACGATACCTTTGACATTCTTCTAGGTGCCGCTGGCAACTTGTAAGCCCCCCTACTGCACTTCCCATTCACTGCACTTCCCATTCAGTCCGAGATAGGTTTAATCGAACCCCGCTCTCCTCTATCGCAGCTTGGCACCCATAAGCGGTCTTTCCGAGAACGCGTTCAAGACCGTCATCGATATCGACCTGGTACGTCAACTTACGTTCTCCTGCCCTCTCTCTCCCTCTTCCTCTCCCACCCCTCTTCCTGTAAAGAGGGGCGTGTTTCGCTTGCGTGCGTTGTTTCTGGGATGGACTTTCAGCTGATATCGATATCGATATCGCCCTCGTCGTGGTTCTCTTATACAGCTCGGAACGTACAATACCATCAAGGCTACTATTCCTTACGTGAGACAGTCTAGGGGGTCTTATATCCACATCTCTGCTACTTTGCATTACCGAGGTCAGCCCCCCCCCTCCCCCCTTTTACCCCTTTGTCGCCGCCTTGTCGTTCCTTCCAAGCTGGAAGCTAGAACCGCCTATCTGATGCAATACCTGTCGGACCCGATGATTTCCCCCTCAGGTCTGCCTTATCAAGCCCACGTCTCAGCAGCCAAGGCCGGGGTGGACGCTCTCTCCCAGGTCCTCGCTGTCGAAGAAGGTCCGCATGGTGTGAGGAGCAACGTGATCGCTCCCGGTAAGTCCAGGTCGACGTTAGAACGCTACCACCGCAGCGACAGACAGAATGTCTATCGATCGATGCCTTGCTATCGATATCGACATTGAGCTGATCTTATCTTCTCTCTTTGATTATATCGTCGTCGCTGGATGATGAATAGGTCCTATCGGAGGAACCCCAGGGATGGAAAGACTCTCACCTAAAGGGGATAAGAGTATCGAGGCGGTCCCACTCGGTCGAATGGGGGATGGCGGTAAGTCCAGTTCTAGCTCTAGCGTCCTTCTTTCCTCTTTCCATCTCTTTCCCGAATAGTATTCCCTCTTTCGAGTGGGATTGCTCGTATTTTTCGGCGTCTTCACTGACATCGAACGCCCTTCTTTCGTTTTTTTGCGCAACCATAACCTGATGGTGAGAAATATTTTGGTCCGATGATCTTATGCCAACCGGATCTGGGAACTTGGGGAATTTCTTTCTTTGGGATGTGGCTGTGATGCTCGCCGCAGACGAGATCGCGACGATGGGCATGTTCCTCTTCTCCCAGGCGGCGACCTGGATTACCGGTCAAATCTTCGTAAGTAGCAACATGTTTCATGCTGGTCGTTCTTTCCTTGTTTCGTTCGGGGTATAACGGGTAGACTGGATTGAGGGCACGATACACGGTACACGGTACACGGTATTGACACCGTACGAGCGATGACACTGGCGCGAAAATAGGCGCAGTCTATATGAGAGCGAAGTGCCGCAATCGGCAATCAAGCTACGGTCTGCTACGGTCAACTACGAAAAGCACAGCTCGGCCGTCTAGCGTATACCGGACTGTATCGTCACAGCTCCGGCTCCGCAGTATCGTCCCCGTTCCCAGTTCCTGGTCGTCTGGTTCTTTCTCGGCTCCGCAGCCGCAGTCGCGCTGATCCTTCTCGCCTCGGCTCTCGGTACTTTTTCTTCTTCCTCCTGCGAACACAGGTCGTCGATGGCGGAGAACACCACGTCAGGTTGCCCGCCCTTGCTTACCCGGAGAGCGTCTTGGATCCTGCCAAAGTTAAGTCGCTCATCGCGGCCAGACTATGAGTTTCAACTCTGATCTGTACAGGGTATTTTGGGAAGAGTTTGAGATGTATACGAGTTAGCGGCTGTGTAGTCATGAATATGCGCAAGATTGACTATGACTGCGGAAGCAGAAGCAGCCGACGTCGCTCGTATGCCAAGCGATCAGTCGCAGCTCGGCAATAGATGACGAAGCTATCGGGGCTGAGTGAAATCTTTGTGACAACCGGACTAGATCCCATGTCAGACTGCGTCTTATCTACCGGCTGGAGGTATATATACAGGTCCTAGGTCGAGGAGGGTCGGAGAAGTGGAGCGACGCCGAATAAAGCAACCATCTCCAACCACTAAAATCGATATCGCTTCCATCGTCTTATAATCGCCCATCATGGTCAAATCATCTTCCGGAGACATGCTTCTTTACGTCCTAGGTAAGCCTATGTTCGACACCTGAAGCACTGAACAGAATCCTATAGGGCTGAACTCCCCGATTGCGCCAATTGCTACTAGCCATCTTGTTGCCGCCCGTCCCCGTATTCTTGAAAGCCGGCTGCGGAGGCCAGCTACTGATCAACATCCTTCTCTGCTGTCTCGCCTGGATCCCGGGTATCATCCACGCCTGGTGGGTCATCGGAAAACACACTACCCCGGCTCGATCCGCTCGATACTAGACGGCTCGAACGTTCGGCGGTCCACACCGCTGCGTCATCACACCAGCTACACCAGCTCGGAACCCGCCTCGCAAGGATGCATATGTGGACCTGTTCTAATCACCAGCAACCTCTTGACGGCCAGCTCCCTCTCGACCACCGTCCCGCTCATGGTCGCGCATTCTCCTGCCGCTGGACAGCTTTTCAGCCCCGAACTATAATAATAACATTGTATCCAACCGAATCATGCATGCCGATCATACAAATGTCTCACCGGATCATACAGACTTGATCGCACCATAAACACACCATCACAGAAAAACGACCTTCGAACAAGCAGAACTGTAGCTAGAACTCCATCTATAACTAGAACGCCATCCCCCTAGGTTCCGGCGTAAAAGGCCCGATAGGTCGTTCTTTTCTCAAAGCGCTGACTGGCGTACTGGGTCGAGAAGGTATACGGGTCGAGATCGAGACGGGCGTCATAGGGCGGGAAGGGATCTTGACTTTGACCCTGTCTGGGACGTTGAACTGACGCATGCGAAGGGAAAACCATCGGCGTTTGATCAATCAAGGATTCGAGAAGGGGTAAGTGATACTTCAGCATAATTCGACTTACTCCTCCTTGTAGCAACTTGAGCGCTCTCGGAGCGTCTCCTCTGTGAGTGCAACAGATGTGGTCAGCGATCAGCGTTTCCGTCCATTACAAGCGTTATCTACATCAGGGAAACTTACTGTGGCAAACAGAACTCGATCATCCTAAACTTTCCCGGAGTGTGGAACTCGGGATCTTGCAACAAAGTGTCCAATTCTTGTTGAGTCTTGACCTTGTGCGTTACGCAAAACTCGTCCTGGTATTACCGATCGTAATCGTAAGCTACTGTATGGCGCGATGATACTGGTTAGTCGATCGTGCCAACTCACATAAAGTGGACCGGCCAGCGCGCGGATCATCAGATGATGGTCGTAAGTCTGAATATCGTTATACTTGGCAGTAGGTCCATGAATCTGTCGCTCGATCTCGTACCTAGACCAGCGGTCTTGTCAGTACTCAATTGAAATCCGAGTTGATAAGATGATGCGACGTACCCGTTATTGTTGTTGATAAAGAAATAGACTGGGAGGCGGTTGCGAATGATACTGCCGATCTCCTGTAGGGTCATCTGCAACGCGCCGTCACCTGTCGATTAAGATCTTATCAGCGCGTCCCTCTTTGATATCTCAGCGGATCCGGCTGGACTTGCCGATGAAGACGATAGTGCGAGGCGGGTTCCCGGTGTGATCAGGTGTCTCTCGGGCCGCCAACTACGATAGCAAGCGGTAACGTTTCTCATTCAATCGCCAGCGCTTATTAAAGAATTCGTTTGACTGGACGTACTGCGCCGCCCAATACAGCACCCCCGCTCCATCCGATACTCGCTAGAGTCAGAAATTTCAATCAGCCAGACGGATGAGACGTGAACAAGCGTAATATAGGCTCACCCCATAAATGTTGGAAATGCACTCTGGCGCGCGTGGGAAGAGTGACATTGACGATCCCCATCGAGCTGGTTCCTACGTCACTGAAGATGACGTCTACAAGTGATATGAAGGCCATCAATTACAGTTCAGTTTTTCGAATCTCGACATGCTCACCATCATCACGGAAGAACTGGAGCAATCGATAAAGTTCAGCGCAGATTCAGCCCCGCCCAGAAACATCTCGGCGCTCACCTTTTCCATCCTCCCCCAAAACTTCTCATGATCGAGTTTATCGTTCCCGACGTTCATCCCGAGTTCTTCCATCGCAGAACGGGGTTCGAACATGATTTTCTCATCCCATGCGTTCGGTCTTGTCTTCCTCGCCAACACTGTCAATCGGGGCATGAGGACAGCCATCCCGATGCTCTTGTACGTCTCGCCTTCGAAGACGGTATCATCCAAGTTGATTGATACGGTCTATGTAGTTGAAACACGTTCAGCCGCGATCTCTCCATTCATAAACGCTTCGATTGCTCACATCGAACGGAAGTTTCGCAGTGAACATTCCCGTACTATTCATTACGATGCATGTCATCAGCATACCTGCTATCTCCTCGACCCCGTGACTTGATCGACTCACTTCAGGTCGCTATCCATCCGGCCGACGATCAAACACATGTCCGCGGTCTCTACTTCCATTTTGGCCGCCTGATCTGTGGTCTTTCCAGAATAGATCCCACCGTACAATCGGGTCTGTTCGTCTAACATCGCTCTGGAAGGGTAGCGCCGGGTGGGGTGAGTATCAATACCAAGGCACAAGACGTTGACGAAGCTAAATTGAGACGGAAGACTCACTTGGCAAGATTGGCTACGAAAACGTATTACACGCCTATCAGAATCTCCCTCTTGGAACATCCCCAAAACGGAACTGTACTCACTCCCGAAATACCTAACTCCCAAAGCGCCACACAACCCCCTCATCTCCTCCCCGAAGCCGAACCTCTGCGCATAAAAGTCCCCGATCATCACAGGCCTGTTGACCGACCTGATCTTGTCGACGATCTTGTTCGCTAATTCGTCGGCTGTTTGGTTTTCCACGTCACTGCTGGCGGGCTCTCCCTGCTTCAATACAGAACATGGCTAATCGGTATGAGTGGGGTAGTTCGCGGAATAGGGTACGATGAACGAGGACATACGAGTGGGGTGTACAGAGACCGACTGGAGACTTTACGAGAAACGAGATCCTGAGGTAATCCGAGGTATACTGGTCGACGCTAAAAAGCGCGTTCAAGGAACATGTTGATCAGTCATCCCGATCTGGCGGCCTTCCCGGATCGCTGTACTAACCTCGGCAATAGCAACCCTCATAACCCTATCAACAGTCTCCGTCCACCCCTCCTCCTCAAATCCCTCCGAACCAAGCCCGATCACTCCCACAGAGCTTGCTCCCCCGACAGCTTTACTCATCCCAACGAAAACCCCCAAGTCCCCATCCCCGAGTGTATGATGTAACAACTTCCCTTGCTTGAACGCTTGGGTCGCTGGGAGTCCGACTAGGTGCAGACATGGGATTCGCTCGGATTGCATTCCGCAGATCGGGTTATAAGTCGAGGTCTCGCCTACTCCATAGGTTGCTGTTGAAAGACGAGCGGGGTGGAAGGTTTAGTAGCGAATCGAAAAGACTTGGCTGTGGCGTCCATAAGCGAAAGAACAGAAGGGAACTCCCGACTTACTGACAAGCACCCCCAAGCCGCCCTTCACCCGTGCGTACCCGTCAACTGCGTACCCAGCTCCCAGTTCACTAGCCGTGCCGACCCATTCGATCTGGGGGTCTTCCTCGATATAATCCAAGAACTAGAATCATAACGGGACGAAAAACAAACATCAGCAAACGGAGTAGAAGAACATGAACACGCCACTCGAAAAAAAAAATAGGTCTGGCATGGAGACTTACGCCCAAATTGAAGTCCCCAGGAACTCCGAAGACGTGCCCAACCCCGGCTTGTTTCCATCGTTCGACGATAAAAGTACCCAGGTCGATCTCTTCTGGGTAATTGAGACGCATCGTCGATCTTGATTTCGAGCTAGTGGCAATCGTAGGAGAGGCTGGCAAGGAAGATGAAGGTAGGGGAAAGGCGGTGTTCGGTAAGAGGTCGAGAGGGAGTGGCGAGTTGTACATGGTATAAATGTCAGGTATAGATTGCAGGGTATATTGTCTGTAGGTATATGTTTGCGATCCGCTTGCCCGATATATGGTAACCCCCATCGAGTGGGCTGTGGGCTAACCATCTGCTTATAGCTTATATATTGTGTGCCCAGAGTGTACGCATGCGCTCACTTTCGGGATTTCGATGGTCAGCTGCCACAACGTCGAACGGTGAAACGTAAACACGCGCAGCCCCCGCGCTAGGTTTCGTCGGTCACGTCTCGGACCACCCGACGACGCGACCGCCCGATCACCCGATCAGCCGGACATTTGTCTTCGGACTCGGAAGGATATACCATGTGCTGCAACTACGCAACTACGGAATCACGCAAGTACGTAAATGCTCAGCTTTGCTCTCGAATCAGCACGGATACAGCTGATGTGCACAGTATCTGCCGAGCACGATGTCTGACAGTCGATTTTGTTGCCGCGCGTCGGGAATGACGGGACTGCGATCACGAACATCGTGTTTGCTCTCGCTCAAGTCTTACGGACTCGTGAAGTAGCATTGTCGCATCACATCTACCGGCTACCGACCGTCTTACAAGAGGAATCATAGGCTGTACAACTTTCAACTGCACCACAGGAGTGTAAAGGCTCTGAGGGTCACGTGACTAAGCGAACGAGACCAAGAGCGCGTGGGACGCCTTCCGAATACAGTAGTAATGGCGCGATAGGTGGCAATGCAATATAGAGCAGGTTACAAGCGGAGACCATGTGCAGTATGTGAGAAATCAACGGCCCCAAGCATAAATCTCTATCTGGAAACACGCATCATATCCAAGCCTGATAAGTGTTTGTGAACACCCCGGAGATCAGAGACTGGAAATTGACGCTGCTGTCCTGTCTGAGATTCAGGATTTCCTGGTCACACTCGTCGATCCGAGCAGAGAACCTCCTGCTGGCCTTGCTGACGTCTTTCGTCACAGAATTTACTTTCACCGGCACCTCATAGGATCTGGATTGAGCCTTTTTTCACCAAAATGGCCACCAATGATTCTCTGGTGAAATCTGTCGAATCCGTGCTTCCACCAGTCGTCAAACCGGCTAAGAACTCGAGGTAAGACATTGTCACAAACAATGCCGAATCCGAATAAGCCGTCTCTTAGTTACTATCATAGTGGGTATTCTCCGACGCGCTTCTGTGCCGCATGACATGCCGGTCGTCGACGCCTCGTCCGCTTAATCGCTCTTCAATGCGAACCTCTATTAAAAGCAGGAATGTTCAATATCTCTCTCGATCACGTGGCGTTGGGTCGTATCGAGTGGCGCGCAATCATGCGATCAAAGGAAAGACATGCCCTTTCCACAAATTGCTCTCGATCGGGAGAAGCTATATAAGCGTACACCGGTTTCTGAAAGGAGATTCAGGCCAGTCTCGGTATCTTCTACGATTAAACGATCCAAGCCACTAGCATAATGTCTTCTACGTTCGACAGATCCGCAGCTGATAATAGCACCGATCGAGTACGGTCGACCCACGCTGAAACATTGCACAGCACTGTGGCCATCCCCAGCGTTGACCCCAGCAGCACCCCATCTCCAGAACCTCCTAAGTTGTACGAAGTGCTGGTCGACTGGGTGATCACGCTGGATCTCGATGCGATGAGGTTCGAGGGTATGAATTTGCGAAAACCAGGTTCATGTCCCAACGGGATAACATATATTGAGGCATGGGAAAAATATGAGGATCGTACTTGTCCGCCCACTGAACGCTTCGAGCTGATCCGACACCTGGTTCGAATCAACGCGACCATTCAAGCGGACGTCAAAGCCAACAAAATCACACGCTTTCTCGTCAGAGCAGGTATAGAAGCGATGATCCAGGATGATGGGGAGCACATGTGGGCCGCCATCTCGAAGTACGGTATGCAAAAATATGGGCTGCAGAGTCCCGTATCTTTCTCCATGTGGATCGGATTCATTCCCGGATCGCCCATGTATAGATGGAATTGGGTTTGATAAGCGCATCGTGTCATGGACAATGCACTTCCGGCGCGGCCAACATCCCGAAGGAAGTCTATGCTGAACGTCCCGATGCGCGTGACCGAGTCTTCGACCTCGCTCGATGAGCAGGGCCTGCAATGTCTGTAAACGAGTATATCTCATCCTTGTCGCAATGATTATGAAAGATTTCTGTGCAAAGTATAACAATCGCACAAGTTCTCGACTTGCCATTTCCGATACAGAGGCGCAAGTATCCGCTCTACGTGGCTCAAGGCACGATAGTGTACTATTTGGTAGGCCGGGATCATCAGACGCCGCACGAATATCGCAACATCCAACCATGCAGGCGGTGAGATTTTAGGGGCCCAGTAATGGAAGGATTTGATGCATCAAGCGAAGAAGACTATCAATGACGAAAGGATTGCTCGCTGTATCGAAGCGTATTTTGCGGTGAAGGAGAAGAAAAGGAAGAAACCGACAAGCTTGACCAGACCCGATCCAAAGTCTGCCTCTGTTCGCTTGCCATAAACCAACCGGACTGTCAAGATCCATGGTTGATGTACGTGGTAGTACCGTTGCGGACTTTCGTGTGTCCCGTGGCTGTTGAGTTCGAAGTGATGTGGTAAGGTGTCATGCTATGAAAGGAATGGCACATCAGACCATTTGTTCTGAAGTCCCTCTCGATCAAGATCGAAGCGTGGTAGTATCGGCCGAATCCCAGTTTGCGGCCGGGTGAGCCGTCAGCCAATATGCCAGCAAAGAGTAAATGCACTTGGTTCTGCATTGATGATGGCACGGTGGCAATCTTTGTCCAAGTGAGTAACAGCTCGGGTTCTGACCTTTTTCCCAGCTTGCAGAATTTAGTTTCACACTTCTGGATCTTTCCTCAGCTCTGGAAACCCAAGACTTGATGTAGACTATCGCTAACATAGAAAGCAGCAAAGATGCTGTTGGACCTCATCATCTCTCTCCACTGCATCAAGTCCCCTGGTCCTAGCTTGCCGTCTGCCTCCCTCAGCAAATACCCCATCATGACATAGTCAAAGACTGCGTGATGAAATGAAGAGAGACGAAAGAGGAATGTGAAAGTTGCTTCATTAGTGACCAACTGCTCTAATCCAATCTGCCTGCTGTCCGCGCCAGAGATCCCTCACGCCTCTCCCAATATCCGTGTCCGACAATACGCTTCAGGTTTTCAGCAATCTGAACGATTCAAAATATCTCGATGGCTCGATTCGATCCTCCACGATGGGTACCGGTACCGATGCTTACAGTACGAACACTCCCATGGTAGCCTTTCCTATGCGCCTGTACGGAAACCCGATCCACAGCTGGCAATGGGCATGATCCAAGCTCCGGCAAAATATGTTATCCATGTCTTTCCATTTCATGTTCATTTTCCGATTATCCCACAACGTCTCCTCATCTGACTTCTGCTCTCCATCCTCCCTGCCGACAACGTCTCGTAACTTTAACTCGAACGCACGTCTCGCGCGACGTCTACTCGGCGGCCTTGCAAATGTCGATAAACTCGGGCTTGATCGACGCTCCACCGACGAGGAACCCATCGATATCGGCCTCCTTGGCTACAAGTCACGCAAGCGAATCAAACAGCGAAATCCGATCAGCCCTACGTTCATCCTCCCCTTGACAGACAAGCGAAAAAAAAGAGACCCGGACTAACCCAACTCTCGGCAGTTCTTCCCGTTGACGCTCCCCCCGTAGATGATCCTGATCTTGTCAGCGACCTCTTGAGAGACCTTGCCGGCCATCCATTTTCGGAGCGAGGCGTGGACCTCTTGAGCTTGTTGGGGGGTCTACAAGTTGTTACGTTGCGAAGTCGAAGGGTGATGGTCGTTGTCGTTCAAGTTTTGTAGAAAGATCGATGATGGTAGATAGGGGCAATAGGGGCAAGGAAGGTAGGTAGCGGTAAAACAACGAACACGGTAAAACGAGAAAAGCTAGTAAGCCGGCCGCATCGAGATGAACGCAAGAAAGGCGAGTGAGACGGGGTACTTACGGCGGTAAGACCGGTCCCGATGGCCCAGACGGGTTCGTAAGCGATCACAATGTCGCTGCGATCATCGAAAAAGAGGTATCATCTTCGTTAGTCCTCCCGCTCACCTCGGCCCCGATGAAGATGAAGAACACTCCACGTGACTCACCTCCAAGCCTTCTCATCGAGCACATCCACAACGCTCTGCAACTGCCTCTGATTAACCTCATCCGTCTTCTCCCCCTTCCTCTCCTCGAGCGTCTCTCCAATACACAAGATAACCTTCAAACCAGCCTCCACAGCCGCCTTGGTCTTGTCCGCGACAAACTCCACGGTATCCCCAAACATCTGCCTTCGCTCGGAATGACCAATAATAACCCAAGGGATCTGGGCGTCGACGAGTTGCGCAGGAGCAATTTCGCCGGTGAATGCTCCGTAGGCGGCCGTGTGGCAGTTCTGGGCGGAGATTTGGATGGGGGGTTGGACTTCTTTAGAGGCTTGGAGGAGGTACAAGGCGGGAGGGGCGACCACGACCTCTACGATGTACAGAAAAGAAGACGTCGATAAGAACGTCGTATGTCGTGTCAGCTTGAATCATACGCTTTCCAATAGAATATCGCTCTCCCGTCTTGGCGGTATCTTCCAGAACAGAACAGAGCACAAAAACGATGCTTTTAAGCGGGACTCACCAGTCTTCCCATCCAACTTGGCCTCGTTCATCCCCTTGATCAAATCCGAGACGCTCTTGACGCTCCCGTTCATCTTGAAGTTGCCTCCGACGAAGAATTGCCTGGATTGGTTGACCATCTTTGCGTGTGTGTTTTGCTTTTGCTTTTTGTTTGGTTGTTTTTGGGTGGGTCTGGTTTTGGTATTGTGGCGGTAAGAAACGAGGTTTAGGTTTGGATTTCGGAGGTGGGGATGTCGAGATAAGTCAGTCAGAGGTACGAGCTGGAATGTAGAAAGATGGGAGATGCGCCCGAGGCTGAGGTGCTCGTCCACCCGAGAACGAAAGGGCCACCTAGCACCTCTGACACCGCATCATCTCTTCTCACAACGTTTGCACTCACCTGTATGTTCCAAATTTGAAGGATGCCGAATCAGAGTGTTCCGAAGAGGTTACCCAGATGATGCCAGAAGAGTTGTTATATATCGATTCGAGAGAGCAAGACATGATTTCGGCGATTGACGGGGATAGTGATGTGTGTGAATGGGAGCAAAAAGCGAGAGTGACGTGGATGTACGAGTTCAGCTTTCGTTCGTTTTCTTCCCGACGACTTCAACGTCCAAAATATACTCACCCTGGGTTTGCTCAGCTAAGTGCTTACTGATATCTACTCCGGGTTACAGTGTGGGATGAATAACGTCGAGGTCGTCGAAGTGACCTTGACGACCCCCGGGTCAGAGCGATCAGTGACGTCTGCTCGCAAGGCTCCCCGTGAGAAAAAAAAGTCAAAGCCAAGTGCCGCGTCATAAGCTCAAGGGTCGCAACCGAGACAGACCTCCTCGTATCCCATACACATTCTCATCCTCGTATCATCATCCGTACACAGTTCATAATCGCTGTACAACCCTCGCAAAAGCCACCTCTTCCACAACGCTCTACTTGCCCTTCCTCCCCCCGCCACCACCCTTGCCACCACCCCCTCGCTTCTTCTTGCTCTCCGCCCTCACAGCGCAGTCGGGGCACAACCACGTTCCTTCAGGGGGTCGGTCCAGTAAGAGACAAGATAGGTGGAACTGTAAAACGAAATCGATCAGCTTCTCTTCTTGTTCTTCCTCTCCTCCCGATAATGAATGCAACATCCGCCCAAAGACCAGAAGACTCACCCATTCAAACTGACACCCATCATCATCGCACCCGATCATCTCCCCATAACTCTGTTTCTGACAATAACAATACAACCTGGTATCCGCGTCCGCATCCGCATCGGCTTCGGCGTCGGCTTCAGGGTCGTGGTCGTGGTCCATGTTGTGGTCGAGACCCGACTCCCCTTCGTGCTTATGGCCGCGATTGTGGTTATGGTTCTGATTGTGGTTATTGTGGTGGTTTTGCGCCCCGCTTCCCGGTCCAGAACCGACCCTCGAACCCGCCTGACCCCCCACCCCCCCATTCGGAATCCCAGCAGGATGACTTCCTCCGGTATTATAATACCCATACTCTTCCCCCGTTCCATCCCTTCCACCTTGTCCTCCTCCAGCTCCGGCCGTGGCCAAACCCGACTTTCCCTGACCCTTCTTCCTCCCCCCTCCACCTCCTGCCGTACTAGCTGTAGAAGCGGAAGTCTGGGCCGACTTGCCCTCCCCCCCTGCTCCTGCGGCCTGACCTTGTTTCTTCCCACCTCCAGCTCCGGCTCCGGATTTCTTCTTCCCCCCACCTCCAGCTGCATTACCGGTCTTGGAACCAGCATCACCAGCTATAGAAGGCATGACGCTCCCTCCCCTGACGCTCCCGGCTACGCTGGGCGAGTTGCGTTGTTTACCCCCCGCTCCGGTCGTCGTCGTAGAGTTAGAGTTGTTGTTGTTGTTGGTGGTTTGTTGCAGGTGAGAGGGGTAGTCCGGGTAGGGGGAGGTGAACGGGTTCGAACCCCCCCGAGGATCCGCGTTGAATGGGTTTTGGGGTTGAGAACGGCTGTGGAACGAAAAGCACAAAGATCAGATCAACACCATGTAATGATCTCAATCCCGACGGGATCCGAGAGCGCCGAACTTACCCATCCCACCGCTTCCCACCCTTCCCTCCCGCGCCTTCCTCTTCGTCCCACCAACCCGGCCCACCCGCCGCAGCTCCAGAACCCTTCTTCTCCTTCCCTCCAGCCCCCTGTGCACCAGCCCCAGCTCCAGTCTTGCGTCGTTTCTTACTAGGCGTCTCCGATCCCGGTGCCGGCGCATAAGCCTGTCCATAACCCGTACTACCGGACCCGTTCCCATTTTGGTTAACGGAGGAGGAATTCGGGTTCTGCATCCCCCCGGACAAGGCGCCTCCGTTCGGGTTCCCGTTCGTCGAAACCAAATTGGCATACCGACTCGGCATGGGAGAGTTTCGGTGTCGTTTCCCTCCGACCCCGCTCGAGCTGGTTCCTCCGTTCGTCATCCCTCGGTCTAGGGTTTGTTGAGGCAGGTAGCCCTGCTGGTTGTTCAGGTGGGAAGTCGGGTAAGCGGGAAGAAGGAGGGTCGAGCTGGAAAGTAGGGAAGCGATGTGCGATTGATGTTGGATGACCTGTAAAAAGAACAAGCCCCGAAAGCCAAACGAAATTATTTACTCCGTTAGCGACCGATATCAACTGCCACCAGCAGACTAACAACGCAACCTCAAAGAGGGGCGAGAGGGATCACCTGACTTACATGATCGCAAGCGCTCCCAGCGACCTTGACCTTGTCCTCGACCCCGACTTTGAACCTAGACAGTTCTTCGGCGATCTCGAGCAAGATCTGGAACCTATCCCACGGCTGGTCCAACGCGAGGGCAGGTTCTCCGGCTGTTGCTGTAGATACAGAAACATTTACAGGATCCTGAGCCAGGGCCGTTGTGATCGGAGGGACGGAGGCTGGAGCTGGGTCCTGATCCGGGGATGTGGTCGGGAGCGGGTCGATGTCCATCGTAACGGCTTTCGAGGCCGGAGCGGGGTCGAGAGCCGTGACAGCGTCGGATTGTTTCATGGTCTCAGACGCCTCAGCAGACTCAGCCGCATTACCTCCAGCTCCCGTGCTTTCCGTGACCCCAGCTGCTGGGGGCTCGACCACGTCCTCCACCGCCTTCGCAGCAGCAGCAGCAGCAGCAGCAGCAGTAGTAGTAGTAGCAGAACCAGATTCCGCCTCACCCACTGCCTTTTTCTGCTTATCTCCCGCCTGATCAACGGTAGTGTTATCCGGCTGCTCGGCAGGTCCACCTTCATCCACATCTCGCACAACGTCTCCAGCTGCAGTTCTAGTTTCAGTTCCCATCACAGCATCCCCATTGACATCATGATCAGCCTTCCGAGTCTCCTCTTGAGCCTCTTGAGCCTGATCTTGGTCTTGAGCTTCTTGGTCGATCTTCATCTTCATCAGCTCTGGTTCTTTCGTCTGGTCCGCTGTGAGGATGGGGGTTGTTGAGGTCGAGGTTGGGGTCGGGGGCAAGGTAACAGTCGACCCGTTCGCCATCGCCGTCGTATTTGAATTTGAAGTAACATCACCCGGTCCCGGTGTTTCTCCAGTCTGTTCTGTTTCCAATAACGATGAGGTGACTGGAGGTGGTGGTGCTGCAATTGCCGAATGAGACTGGACTGGCGATTTAGCAATAGAAGCGACCATCGCCGAAGTGTTGGTATTAAAGGTAGAGTTAAAGGTAGATGCAGAGGTAGAGGTAGAGGAAGAAGCTGATGAAGAGGCTTGTTGTAAGATCCGGGTGAGAGCTTCTAGTCGGCTTGTCAGGTGTACCGTCGTAGCTAAGCACCACGAACATAATCAAGTAGCCCCAGAAAAAAAAAAGGGGGGGGGGGTGGAGGTAGACTAATCAGCTCTCCCTATCCCCGCCCAAAACCACATACGGAAATCCCGCCTTCAGGCCCGTACTGACCGTTGAGCACCGCATCCAACTCCCTCAGATCCCCAAACCTCTGTGTCAACTCCCCCGGGATCGAATCGAGCGTATCGAGCATGTCCATGACGCAGAGGACGTCGTGGTCGTCGTTGATCTCTGTCGGGATGACGGGTGAGGGAGGGGCGATGATGGGGTACATTTTGGGCGGCATGGTGGACGGCAGAACGAGGTTGTTAGGTCATGTATGAGCTATGAGCTAGACCTGGTGTGGGGTCAAGGTTGCAAAGAGGTTAGGATAGAGGATGATAGGTCGAGAGTTGTTACGAGGTAGGAGTCAGTGAGGTCACCCCACCCACCCCTCGCTGCTCTCTCGCAAGAAGCCGAAGAGTCCCATTCGGGGCGACGCGCACGGAGAGTGGACAACGTGGTTGGACTGGCAACTGGATGGATATATGGATATACGATCGACAGCTTCACACGGTACAATACAATATGCTATATGCTAAGTAGGTATGAGGCGAGATGAGGTGGGATATTGTTGGATACAGGGAGCAGAAGGTCGAAATGGGGAGGAATTTTCAGCTAGGCCGATGCGGATGACTCAGACGCGTCATTTGTGATATTCTTGTCGATCTAAACCGCATCGGCGATGTCCATTTGTCTCTCCTTGCTTCTAGTGATACGTCGGATAGATCCGACTGATCATCACTTGGGCAACTCCAGAAAAGCCGCCTCGGCAGATCCATGCAGGACCCCGAGTTCGAGCAACGTATGCTTCGTCTGCCTAAAAGCCCGTTCGATCCTGCTCACTCCCGGGTGACCTAGGTAGACTATTATCACCTCGAATAAGGATTCGCACATCGCGAAGTTGAGAGTCACGTAATAAGATCGTCATCATCATCATGATCAGCTCTCCTGTCTGAAAAGATTCCCGACATAGCAAGAAGGGGACTCACCTCGAACATCACCGAACAACTCCCCCGCCTCCCTCTTCCTCCCCGCCTCTCCCATCCTGTTGACCAACCCCTCCGGCGCACTGTCCACGTTCTCATAAGCCATCAAAGCAAAGACGTCCAACCCCTCAACAACCTCTTTTTCTGTCGAGGTAGAGTGGCAAGCGTGGAGGTGTTGTCCGGCCGCGAGGAGGGAGGTCAGGCGGGTTTGAGTTTCTTTCTGATCCTTCTTCTGTTTTAGCTTTCCGTCCGGATCCGAGGAGCTGGAACTGGAATTGTGATCGGGGCCATAAAAGAATTCCCCAATTACCTCAGACGATGGAGAGTCAAGCGCCGAATCCGTCCCCGGTAGGTCTCCCCGGAATAACGAATAGAAATGTTGTAACCTGATCCTAAACGCCCAGATCCCACCTTTATATCCTTGGAGAAAGTCTGCGTCTACCAACGGGAGCTTGGCAGGAGAAGAAGAAGAAGAAGGTGCTTCCGTTGACGAGGTAGTCGTCTCGACGTTGTGGGTGTCCGTGTTTGTATTCGTGTTGAGGAGGAAAGAGACCACCTGGTACATATCCCCCCGGACGTAGGCTTCCCGGCACGCTTTGAGCCGTAAGAACAAGGTCTCTTCCTCAGAGACCTCAGAGGTTGCAACTTGCTTATCCTCCACAGCGTTCTCGCCCTCAAGCTTGTCCATATCCTCATCAACATCCCTTCCCGCCGTCCTTTTGCTGCTGTCATCCTTATTGTTGTCGATGTCACTCTCGCTGGCAAGACGTCGCCGCAGGACCCCCTCCATCCCCCTCGCAGCCTCGAAATACCCCCCACCTTTGAGATACTCGAGGACGGAGGAAGTGAGAGACGTGTCGATGTCCCTGATGAGTTTCAGGCGGGGAGGTGGACTTCCTCCGCAGTTCTCGCAGACGTGCATCTCATCCGCCAGCGACCCCGAGGCTGGTTCTGTCAGACGAGGTGCGGAAGCTGGCTTGTCTTCCGTGGCTGGGATGGTCGCAGGCGTAGACGTCCCACCTGTCGTGGTGGCCGTTTGCATCTCGACGTCTTCGTCCGTACCGGTCGGCTCGACGGTTCGTGGGATTTGCATGTACACCGGGCTCGATCTGACTTGGGTTTGGACTCGATCTTGGGTGCGTTGAACGTGCGAGACGATGTCGTACTTGAACGGTCCCTCGAAGTTGACCAAGAGTTTCTCTCTGCCAAGTTAGTAATCACGAAAGCGGACTTGTCAGCGATCGAACTACGCGTTCGAAAGACACTTTGTGCGCCTCACCCTGGCGTCCTCAACCCGACCGCGGGGTATAACCTGCCCTTTTCCTGCAACCCTCCAAAGGCCTCGCCAATGAACTTCGAGTTCTTGGTGAAGAACGCCTTGCCCGTCGTAAAGTCGATACCACAGCCGATGATATCGCCTGTAGTACTCGTCGGCCAACCCCGGTTGATCCCTTCGCCACGACTTTCAAAGATGTATCTACGAGCCAGTCGAGCATATCAGCCTTCCCGTTACTCAAACGAATACAGGTGACAACTCATACTCACCCGTCGTCCATGTGCCAGGCCCAACTCTCCCTCTCCCACCCTACCAACCTGTTCAGGTCGGTCCACCGGCTGCAAAATCCGATACTGATGTACCCATCTCGACCTTTACTCCCGATCTCGACCTCGTAGTAGTAGACTCCACAGGTAGGTGGGATCGGATGATTAGCCCTGACCGCGCTAGCATCCGGATCCCCACGCTCGCCCGTCCCGACATAACATACCGCCAGCAAGGGGTCCTCGACGGGTACGTTAGGCGGAGGTGTAGATAGGTTCGGGGTGAGGAGCAGTCGAGCTGCACAATCCGCCCGGTTGAGCGAGGTAGGGAAAGCCCGAATGGGCAAGTTGGAGAGTCGCATATATTCCGGGAGATGCCAGACGGGAATCCGAGGGATCGGGTGCGTCATGCTCGATGGGATCCAAGTGTAAGCGTTCTTGGAAGAAGGATCGAGTTTACGCCGTTTGACGGATTTCGAACGGTGTAAAGGGCGGCCTGCGTCCACTTCCTCGACCTGAGTCGGCGTCGAATCGGGTCCGGCCGGTTGGTCGGATGGAATAAAGGTAGGGCGGACGACGTGCATCCCAGGGTTCCCTCCGACAATGGTCGGCTGGAAGATGGTCAGCCCGTTCTGGCCTATCGTGTTCATCATCGCCCTGCCCCTCGCCAGGTCTTCCGAATCAGAGTATGGCAGGCCCCAGGAGCGCAATACGCCTTGCACCGTATAAGGCGCAGAGGTAGACCCCAGAGCGTCTTCCCTTTCGTCGTGATCATGATCGTGATCGTGTGCCATCTCTTCGTCCTCCTCGTGATCCTCGTCCTCTTCCTCGTCTTCTTCGTCTTCATCCACCTCTTCCTCGTCCTCGTCATCATCATCGTGTTCGTCCTCGTCTTCGTCTCCGCCGAAATGCATATCCAGCACTTCCCCATTATGCCCGATCGCCCGTCCATCGTCCTCGACCAGAGCTACCGGCCCCAGGCGCTGGAACTCCCTAAAGACCTCCCCGCTACTTAACAATCTCCCCAGTTCCCAACCACCATCTACTCCCATAGCATCCCCTGGCTCGACGCCAGCCTCTGCGGTAACACCTGTCGCAGCGGCATTTCCAGCCGAACCTGCATTCTCACTCCCGCCCTCAGCTTCGCCACCCGTTCCAGCCCGAGCCCTTTCCAAAAGAACTCTATAAGCCCTCTGTTGTTGTCGTTCCATGGCAGCCCGGTGTGATTCTCGGAGCTCGTGAGGTTCGGGCAAAGCGATATCGGGTACAGGAGGGAGTTGGAAGGTCGAGCTGGAGGTAGAGGTAGTATTGTTGGGCGTAGAAGAAGGATGAGCTTGGGATTGTGGTTGTGTTCGTGATACTGATCGGTTTACACTCCGACTCAGGCTAAAATCCAAAACAGGATTGCGGCGTGGGGTTTGTATTGGCCTCCGATTCAGAATGGGTTCAGTGGGGCGGTACGTGCTGATACTTCTACCATTGCCGATACCGCCGTCACCACCACCATCACCACCATCACCACCATCACCACCATCACCAGTTCCCACCATCTCGCCGGAAGACGTTTCCTCCGTAGCAGAATCCTCACCGAATAACTCTCCGTACCTAGCCTCAATCTCCGCTCCCAACGACCTCAACGACCCCACATCCCGACGAGCGTTGGAACTCGGGACGATCGGATCGGACGTCCTTGCTCTGCCCGGGAGCGGGTTCGAAGGGATGGAAGTGGAAGTGGGCTCGGGAGGGAATTCTGGGTTGGTCCAGCTGTATCCGATACTATTCGGGGGCGGGTTCGAAGGGACGGAAGTGGAAGGAGGCGAGGGAGGGAACCCTGGATTGAGCCAGCTGTATCCGATAGTATTCGAGTTCGATCCTGATCCTGCTTCTTGTCCTTGTCCCGATCTCGATGTTGATCCTCTTGCTGTTGCTGACCTACCGGCTTCCCCATCCCGAACTCTAACATCAGCCAACAACTCCGCTCTCACGCTATCACCTTGCGCTCGAGCCCGATCCGCTGACGCTCTTTCCGCCATTCCTACGACCGCTCTGCTCCACGGCAAATCCTCTCCCGTACCTTCACCCGCACTTTCCCCTACGTTCGAAGTACCCGCAAGGTCTATACCCATACCCATACTTATATTGGTATCAGGTGTAGGTCCTCGGACGGGGGAAGAAGGTCCAGCCGAGTTGATTGACATGATAGCCAAGACGGGCGCGAGGCCGGGCGTATGTGTATGACCGTGAATGTTCGACGGGGTCGCCGAACCGGACCCTGGGCCAGAGTTCGAGTTCGAGTTTGGGTCAGAGTTGGAGTTAGAGTCAGAGTTGGAGTTGCCGGTGGAGGTGGAGGTAGGTTCTCCGGATGGCCGATCGAGGGGTGGGTTCGGCATCGGATCTATGTGAGGTATATATCGATATCGAAATTGAGGTTCAGATCGAGGTTGAAATTGGGGGGAGGGTTGATGTTGTCGGGTACGATATTGATGTCGATGGGCGTGTGATCGAATCCGGATTCGTACTGGCTGTGATGTCGAAAATGATCGGGCCGGTTGTGAATAGGCTGATACTCCTGAATACGATAACTCTTGCCGTACGAGTAGTGTCGATAAAGGATGTCCTTGATAACCTGGAGATACCTCAAGCCCACGCTGAAGACTCCTATCTAGATCTCTACGTCTCCACCGCCCAACGTCGGCTCCGAGTCGTTCGACGTGTCCTGTCCGGCGTCTTTGTTGTTGCTGTAGCTCGAGCTCGAGTTGACGCTGATACCGGTGGTGCTGTAGGTAATGCTGCTCTGGAAGGTGGTGTTGGTGTTGATGATGGTGTGAATTAAAGTAGTAGGATGGAGTATACCTGGAGGTTGTGACATGACCTCCTCGGACTGAGGCGGCTGCGGGTGGAGGTCGATCGTCACGACCTGAATGGAACTTTGATGAGGTAAGCATTGCATGCGGGCCGAGCTCAGTTTCGTTTCACTTTAGCCTGCCATCCGAGGACTATACAATGACTCTGCTCCACATATGGTACCCTTTTGTTATTAGTCGGGAGATCTACCAACCACCTTACTGGCCGATTCGATGGCTCCCTCGTCTCAGGGTTAGCCAAAGCAGCCCCAACACGTACTTGTAAGCGTCCCCAACACAATAGGGGGAGCTTCGTTCCAGTTCTCAGGAGAGGCTACCATCCTATAGATCCACAAGGCTACCCAGATCACAATGAAAAGGAGGAGGATCAAGAGCACCTTGTTCTTGTAGACCTGCCGTTCACAATGTCCCTGCTTGTGTCGGGCTAGAAGCCTTTGGACGTCGGCACTATCCATTTGCACTAGCAACTCCTGGACATCTTGAATTTGATGGCTAGTAGTGGCCGGGGTGGTAGCGGCCGGGGAGGTACCGGCAGGGATGTCATGGTCGACCTCTATACAATTCGACTATATCAACCTATACACCCACAATCGCTTTACAAGGGATTCATACGTAGGGGTCCATGTTGGTGTCTACCTCTTATAGCATTGCACCTCTTTTTTCTTCTTTCGGGACCCGCCAAGGTCGTTCAGGTCGACTGCCGAGCTCCCGAAGATGTGGAAGGACGTGACATGATCCACCATCACATCACGTCTCTCAGCGTCATTCTCGACCAGTTTGGCGCGGGACATTCGACAAGGAAGCAGTGCAGTAGATTGTGAGATCAAGGCTCAAGGTCTGTATCACTCACTCACTTGGGGATGCCAGATGCTGTCACGATGCGATTACTGTCTGGATTCTAGAGAAACAAGCTGAGGTTTCAGATCAAGCGCTTAGGCGCGCTGAGCGGGACATTCCCCTTGTACGTCGGTGAGGAGATCGCTTCTAACATTGTACATATTGCAGCAGATTTCTCTGTCAATAGTAAGAACCCTCGTCAGCCCATCAATGCGCAGTGTTTCCTTGACGCTCTTTATGGGGATGGGGCCAAGGTTCCGAAATTTCCCGACTTGCGGACTTGGGCAAAAAGCTACTGGATCAATTTCACCCACCACACAACGTTTCGAAGCGAGAAAAACAATTGTCTCTCAGACGAAGTGAATCTGCATGTTTGCAGCTTTGGAGCGCTGCTGGCGACTGGCGACTGGTGATGACCCAGTCTGCGTATCACCCTAGGTTTCTGTTCCCAGACGTCTGTAAGCTACAAGTTCTTCCGACATGTAGCAGTATGCAACAACACTACGATTGTGCGACAAGTCGATTGATAATGGAACATCCAGTGCACTCGCTCCATGCGATAAACTCGTAAGCAACTGGTTCTCAGCCAACTACATGACGTCTGGAAAGGCTCGTGAGGGATAGTGAGGACCTGGGGCGTGGCAGTGGAAGAAGTCTCGGGAGGATCGGCCAGATGGGTCTTGTACCACTTCAACACATCCGTGTCCTGATACGACTTGCCAAGTTGCAGTGCTCGCAAGCTTGTCTCGTTCTGGAACTTGGTGATCTGTGCATAAGATGTGTTGGGATCCAAAACTTGCTGTAATTTATGTGATGTAACCTTGACCAACAGTTTCGAAAGGTGTCTCTTGATGTCATTGCGCAGGTCGGTTTCACAAGCTCCGACTCTGACAGAGTATTCTAGGCGGAAAGTACCACAGTAACACGAAGGATGACGATGATACAGTCTAACGTGCCGACAAAGGGCTTGATTTACAAGTATTACCGTTCGCTGGGCTGGACGCATTAACTGCTATGCTCCTTCTTGAAAGTCAGATTCTGGACTCCTGAACAATGACTTGGTGGGCGATAAGACGAACTCCATGAACCACTCACTGGTCATCGAAATTGTTACGCACTGATAACCCATTGCTTGACTTGAACTCCAGCTTGAGGTATCAATCTATTATGCCGGTGTTACGTACCATCGCTGAATGCATTCACCGCATGGTCAAGATCAATACCGCACATGACATATCGAGCGGACAGGATAACACAGTGAGAAGACTCAAGGTGGTCACTAGTACCGGGATTCTTCTCTCTTGAAATAGATTTTGGAACGCACGATTGAGTATTACTGAAATATCAAGAGCGTATAACTTGACTGTAGAGTACAATCGAAAACGACATATATACAGGATTTCTCGTGACGGGGAACCATCAGCCAATCTGACGGTAGCATCGCCGGTGTCGACACTTCAGTTTACATGTCCGCCATGTGTGCAGGATCTGAAGCCATACCTCGCCAATTGCCGCCCGCTTCTCTGATGAGGTCAAAACTCGTACATTCCCCATCGTCTGGCATGCTGTTGGGTTTTGGTATCAGCTTGTGCTTCTTGATTACGCCACCGTTCACTAGGACCGAAATGGCAACCGCAAGTATCGGGACGTCTTCGGGCTGCGGGTCGGTCCAATATTTCAGGACACCTGTAGTCGTAGCGTTCCCAATGACATTGGACCGTACCAGGCTCAAGCTTTGGGCAACTGTTCATTTCCTCTTCCTCTTCATCTTGCTCATTGAACGGCTTGGTGGTGGCAATTTCAACCCAGCTGTTGATCTGAATTTCCTCCTCGTAAGTCGGATCCCCAACTTGCGAAGCTATCTTGTCGTACGCAGCGTCCAAGTCGGTGCTTGGATTGCAGGTATCGCTGAACATGTAGCTGATCGAGATCTTACCCCCATGCTTGGACTTGGGGTCGCGCTTCAGCTCGTGAAGACGCAAGTTCCCGGGATAACAGTCGACAGCGAAAGAGACCGTTAGCTCCTCAGTTTTTGCGTTTTCAGATGGAGCCACATTGCCACTCCCTTCCTGACTTGAGGATTCCGTATCATGATCGCTTTCACTCTTCTGGATGTTCCTTGACAAAGGGTAGATCAAAGTCACATTCACTTCCAGGCGTCAAGATCACTGGTGTAGGCCCTCACGCGAGAGCTGAAACAACGCGCGCGTCTCGGTGGATTCTGGAGAAGGCAAAACTCGAGATAACGGTTTCACCGAAGAGCAGACATACAATTGATGACTTCACCAGCAATTCTCGCCAGGCCGCTTTGGTTTCAATCTTAAATGTCAAGAAGTATCGGAACATCATGCTTGGTTCATATGCCTGCACGAGGTGAAGCATAATCTATGAAAGGAGGGCAGCACAGCTGGTGATGTGCTGATACCGACCATGTCATTACGATTTTCCTGAACCTATCATCTGTCCATGTCAGGTCTGCTCGAGACCTTTTCCTCGTGTAATAAGATGCTCCCCGATAAATATGGGATCCGTGCAGTTCAGGTACATGATAGCCATCGCGGTGGTGTTGTCGTAAAGACTCGTACTAATCCTCGTTTCCGGGCAAAAAAAGGCCATACGTTATACCAGAGACGGGGTGAGATACTCGGTAACACAACTTTCAAACTTGCCGTTATGAGCGGTAACAATTGTGTCTGCTCTGATCGCTGATATTGCTAGGTTGCGGAGGCGATTGCGCAACGCTCTGCACTATACAGGGTCCCATCGGATATATCTTCTCGCCTTACATAGCGCGAGTGTGTATAATCGCCGATTCCAGCTCGGGGTAGCCACTTCGAAGAGCCTCATTTCAGGAGCAGATCAGATGTGTATGAGCAGGCTCCTATCAGATGGTCTCACATCTCGATCGAAAAGCCTACGGGTATCGCTGTCGATGATCGAAACACATGCTGTACGGTTCATGGCACCATATACTGGGCAATGAAACTGGTCTCATACTTGTATATATCCTCGTAAGCTGGACAGCAGACACTAGGAATTCTAGTCCTCCGGATACACCAAGATACACACATATCCAATCTCATTCGTTCTAGTTATTAGGTACTGGCATAATTATTGAGGCATTCACTTCCACCGTCCAGACATTGCTGGCGTCGCCAACCACTTGTTGAGCGGTCAGTTTCATCCGCGACTGCTTGTTCTGGGGTGGCATCTCGAAGGCTTCTTTCTCTAGGTGATCCAGGACAGCGCAAAAAGCGGATACCTCAAGCTCATCAAGTTCAGCCCAGGCATGCGAGCCGGATCGATCGACGAAGTAGCGCAAATCCTTCAGTCTGTGTTTGTGATTGTCCAACTCATTGAGCAATAACCTCGTCAGTTCAGTCTTCACTTTCGTGACCTTCTTGCCCCGTCCGGGAACAGGCGATCCATCAGAAAACATCCATCCCAAGAGCTCTAAGTCGCATCGTAGTTTGGTGTAGGTGAACTGAAACCTCGCCACAATCTGCACCGAACCGGCAATTCCCGGCTCAGGTGTTCGATCGGATTGGGCGGAAGGTTCTCTCTCTCCTGTCATGTCGGCGTGGTCTAGGTTGTTAGAGGCAGTGGTCATAGTACCCTCTGATTTAGACCGAGTTCTCATGCTGTGGCGAGACGCATCGACGGATGACCCTCGGTTGGAGGGGTTATGCCCGCTTCTTCTGCTTGTCCTCCAGTGGCGCGTCGATGCTGATCCCCTGGACGATTTCGCAGTGCCGGTACTTCGAACAGAAACCATGATACGTTATCGTTTGTCAGTAAGGGGGAATATGAATGGGTCAAGATTAGAACGGTAATTGAACTAGGCAACGGAGGCGTTGACTAGTTTTGCAGACAGGGTGGGCGCCTATATACGTTCCGGATCTTGCGCTAGCATACATCGTAAGCGATAGTACACCAAGGGGTTGGATATCGCATTCTCCAAGCCTCCTTTCATGCCTATCGCATCACCTGACGAATCTACACAGCCTCCTTATCTGACGCTTCACGCGGTTTCATGACCATATTGGCGTGCTCTCGAGGGGTCGCGTGATCTCGTTCGCTCTCTAAGGCCTTTCTGGGAGATGGCGAATAAGGCCGTCAGCCAATCGATGCATATGCTTATCTTTGTACTATTGACCGATTCGTCGCAATGAGAGACCAGGACGTAGCAGTTGGCCTTCGATTGTCGATTTGTGCTGATTCTAGTAGATAACAACTGGACGTCGAAGGTGGGATAATCCCTATCTATACATCGACTTGATACGACTAAACTCGGCCAACGTACGGCACTATAGTCGTGAAGTAGCGGGTCATTCCAGGCTCTCTATGGGACGGCATCGCCCTCCCGGCCGCCAGAAGTAGACTTCGTCATATCGAGTCGAATCCTTGTAGAAGGTGTATCCGTCCAAGTGCCATCTTCCAGACGGTCGTCGAGACATATGAATATCGATGCGTCGGCCGAGTGCCATAGTTTTCCGAGGAAGCCTGTTCAAATTGATCAACATGGCTTTCATAGCATGTTCCTTACCCGAGATTTTCGGATCGTTTCTGGAGTAACGATCGAAGCAATAATCTCGATTGAGTTCATTTCGGAACGCTTCGACGTACGATTCGCCAGCAAATTTGGAAAGGCGGAGCTCATGTCTGGTTGGCTCGATTTGGCCTGGCCAGAAGACAAGCAATGCAGCGACTGCATCATCTCTTCCCTCAAGAGAGGGTTTACATTCATACATGAACAGTACTTGAAGTCCCTCCCGATCGGGCAATTCCGTTTCGACATGTGCTGGAGTGAAAGACCATCGGTTAATCGAGCTCTCGTCGTCGTTGTATTGTTCCGTAACTGTTTCTTGTACACTTAAAATCTTCTCGGAATCAATGATCGACGAGATCGAGGCTTGAATAAAGCTCGATGGACAACGATATGTCAATTGCGGATCGACTGTAAACATATCGAATCGGCTAGGAATCACAGTTGGTGCGTCGACCCTTCAAATCACTTAGCTTCACGGCAATCAGGCTTGTGTTCCACATGTCTCAAATAATATGACCTCAAGGATTTCTGAAAAGCTCATCGCCCTGACTATGTATCTCTCCACGGCAGAGACTGCTCCTCCTTTGTCAGCTTCTCGAAAGGTCACGTTCACTTCTACCGCATCCGTTGGCAGGAAAATCATTGGGGCAGATCTTGTGGAATTTTGCTCAAACCGAAGGCCAGGTAACGAGAGATATACGATATTTTGCAGATAGGCTGCTTCATAAGCGGAGGTATAGCGGCAGCGATCTGGCCTAGATAAGCCAAACACAATCAGAGTGTATTTACGGTTATCAACCCTGTCGAGATTCTATGGTGTTGACGTAGCAAGCGCAAGTCATCAAGCGCTAAATCGCCAAAGAGGCTAGGTTCGATTGAGGGATTGAATCAAGTGTATTGCTGTTGTGACTTGTCATATTCCGTCACTCCATCAAGTACAAGGGTACAATCAGTATGCTGCGGCTCGAAACGTATGGACGCGTCCCTGGCAACTAAAGTTTCATCTAGAATAGAAAGAAATTACGTTCGACAGTCTAGCTCATAGTAAGGTTTCCTTTGAGATCGTTCTCGAAATACCAAGCGAGACAGTTCCGTGGGGGCTCCTTCTTGATGTAAGGGTCTCCATTGAGGGCAACGTGTTCCCATCGGCATTTATCGCCTGCCTTAGCTGTGTCCTGAAGTCCTATCGATATCGAGGCTGCCTGTAGAAGCTGTTTCCAAGACACCGCTTTCAAAAAGACATCAATTGCCACCAACCAAGCCATACTTTCGTCCGTCTGTCTGTCTTCGCACATTTTCGTAGTGTCAAGGATCAAGCGGACGAAGAAAAGACACAGTTGACGCTTATCCACGCATTTCTTCTCGAATCGTTCTGACGTGAACCGTCGCTCTGTGCCGGTGATATGATCGCAGACGAGGCTGGTGGTGCGCAGACCTTGCTTGAAGGTGAAATGAGCCGTGTTGCCGGTAAGCCAGTATGTATATAGAGGCAACCTTATGATTCTTGTTCCCTCGAGCTCAGAGGGTTGAGTTGTGTCATGTCCTGGTGGTGATTCCGTTTCTCTCCTGGTCGACGCTGCCGTGTATACGGAACCATCCCAAAGCAAGGTTTCTACATCGTTTGACAAAGATGATGAATGGGTCCGAGTGAAGTAAGATGGGGGTGTCGACATCCTGTTGACTCTATCGCAGTGGTTCGCTTGGTGGAAGACCAGCGAGGAGATTGGAGGCGTGGCTAGTGTTCTCAATACCTTTCATTAGCACCGTCCTTATAGTACGAGCCATCAGCGATGGTGTTCGCACTCCTTTGTCCGATCTAACCAATCACACTCTTCGAGATATCCCACAGGTAGGTACCCCAAGGATTTCTTTTCTACGAGGATGTCGTCATAGTATTCCGAATGGCAGTGGATCAGTCAACAGTGATCAGTCGCGTTAAAGCGGGATGAACGGGATACAGTATCTAGCTTGTGTTGCGGACCCCTGAAGGGTCAGCGCTCGATCGGGTCTCAACTGTAGGACAGTTTACAAATGGTTTCACGCGCTCAGATTATCCCGGTGTCGAGCAGAGGTGTTCCGCTTGCCATGTAAGGCTACAAGGCCGTTCTAGCTGTGGCGTCGTTCTTGTCCAGTATGCAAGCGATGTGAAACTAGCTATTGTAGCGCGACGTAGCAGCATTTTGACACGGAACATGGCAGATGCATAGCATCACTTTTCTGCTGTGGTGTTCTAGTACTTCTTATAAGATACCCTTAGGCGCGAGCTACCAGCAAGGTAGTACTCGGGTCGAGGGGAGATATTGGCCAACATATGGTGCTACAGGTCAGTACTCGCGCCACCGGCCACCGAACGCGCTTGTGACCGCAAGCGATACGCGCGCTTCAATCTGCCCGGCCGATAATACTAAATCAGCAAATAAAAACTGGATAAGACATTGTCAAACGTTGTGGTTTTGAAGGCTAGCAGCTAAGAAGGCTTGTTGGTGTCATACGAAGAGCGAAGGGGAATAGGCAGTAAAAGTGTCGGTATAGACGCTGGGACGACCTGACGGTCAGTCTCGAGAGGCCCAAGAAGGGTATGCGACGGCGAAGATCAATTTTTACGTCGTCAACTCAACAATAGATTGTTCCCTAACTATACAATGGTGCTGTGGAAGCAAGGGCAGGAAAAAAAGACTAAGTGGATCAAGCTAATCGCTTCCGCTGTTCAGATCAGATCGGTATATGAATGACCCATTCTTCGTCAGGGGGATTACCCTGAGCCCTTAGCTCCCACTCAAATCCCGGAACACCACTGTCATGGTAGCTCAACAACCCTTCGATGTACGCGAGGGGCACCATTGGCCGGTGGCAGTAAATCTCGTACGCAATCTCTTTGAATAGCTTCTGCCAGTCCCCCAGGTCCTGACATTCTCTCTTAAAGGAAAGATCTTTCTGTTCAGTGACAGAGAACACGCCCTTGACCATATTGTTCTGTGGCTGATGGGCGACGTAGAGCGTGGCTTCTAAGCCTGTGGGAACTTTGAGTGTATCCCTCGACGTAGTGAACGTAGTTTCTGAGTAGGTGGTAGTACCGGCTGTAGAGACATCGGATTGAGAGTCACTCGACATTGCGGTAGTGAGTTGTGCACTAGTGAATAGTTGTTTTGAGAAAAGTGAAGAGGCGTGAGTTGTCGGATCCTAGACAGGCGCCTTCAACTACAACGGATCTTTGCCAGCTTTTTATCTCTTATATGCAAATGTGCCTTGATTGACATCATCCAAGTCACAGCGGAGTTTCCGGACCCGTCTCAAAGGAACTGCTTATAGACAAGGGAACTGCAAGTGATAAAGGAAGAAGTCACATGGCAAGACGAGGGCTGACAGTGAGTCAAGAGACCTTGAAGTGACAGAACACAACACGTAGCGAGGGACCGAAAGGACTGCCATTCCGAGGGGACAGATACAAAGGATTGAGCCCAGGCGCTATGTCGATACCTGTCTTCCTTAGATGCTGAAACAACATTGTGCAGTTATCTCAATGTTCAGTGACGGAGCTCCGAGAATCCCTTCTCTCATGTTTGCGGGTGCGGATGCGAAGATCCAGTCGATCAGTGGAAGGGGCGAGGTGTACGGTGTGCACGACCAAGTCTATCTTTCGCTGGTTGACTGCAGGGAGGAATCAATGGACGGACGCATGGCCATATCGATCTCGAACGCGCGCGGGACGAGACGCCATTACGTCAACTTGCGGCAGACCATCATCACCATGTTCCAAGCTACGAGACGTGTCATCATCACCAAACTCTTTACCTTGCCTGCACCAGCGCTTGACCTGGATGCGATTAGCAAGGCGGCGATAAAGTCTCGGGTACTATGTGAATACCTTGCAAGGCGTACTCTCCGGGTGTTTGAAGAAGAGTACTCTACATGTAAGCGACTTGCAGAGAGTCATTGAGCCAGGATGTGCTCGACTCCGAGCAAAAGCCAGATGACTCGATCAGTAGAGTACGTGAAAGCGTCAGGTCACACAGTAGCCACAGGAGAGTTCGAGGTGGCCCTATGAACGATTCGGGATGGTATATGGGTACCGTGGAATATGTGTAAGCTCGGAGCCAGATCAAACTTCGTTTGGGCCGGTTCTGCCATTGTATAGTATGTAACCCCTGAAGAGCCCAAAAAGGGAAGCGAACCCTGTGTGTAACTTCGTGAAGACTAATCAATAAGCTTCGATACCGAAGTAGATCCCTGATACATATTAAACCCACCATTCTTCGGCAGTACAGCCACTTCCACCTTCTCCTTGTCCGCCTCGATCATCCTTCTCGTTCAGAGAACTACCGAAAACAATACGTTTCAACTTAGTTTTCCTCACCATGGAAGACGTGTGATATGATGGATCATGGAAGACTTGACTCACGCTCGCCACGTGATGTATCCGAAAACCACTGCTTGTCTTCCAAGAGAGGGCACATCTTACAATACCTCGAGGATGAATGGCCAACAGCCGTCCTACGGATATGTAAGCTTCATAGCCTAGCTGAACAGCGAGTGATTTCGGCTGTTATCAGATCGCATAAGCACTTTCGGACAAGCAACAATATCAACATGGACATAGAATCTGTATCATCAAGCAATCCGTCATCGTCCCTGAATCGATGTTGACTACAGTACATTCACACATGCAACTTCTAGGGTACTAAGATCTTGTGTCCTTCCTAAGCCCCGGCGTAATAATTGAACGGCAGTGATCCCGTTTCGTGTTCAGTCCAAACCCCCTGCTCGGTTTTGAACCTCGCGAATCGGGGCCTTGCCCCAAGGTGGGGTAGTCCGCAGGCCTGCACCACTTGCAAGATCATGTCGTTCGTGATCCCCATTTCATCCGGAACGCAAAGCTTCAGAACGTAGGCGATGTTGCGCATCATTTGTTCGTCATCCTCCGATCCCTGTCGTGCTATGGACGCTTTCACGCCATTTCTAGGGCCATGAGTGAAGTAGAACTCAGTCTTGAATACCCCAACCTGAGAGTGTGAGAGTATGAGTGTAGCGGTAGGAAAGCCCTCAGTCATGGTTGGATGCGCTTCGAAAGAAGAACGCGCGGTCGATTGTATTTGGCTCCAAGTTTCCTGGCCTTCGAGTGAAAAGAGGCTGGAGGTGTCGGTAACGGTTCGGCCAGGCATGTTCGTGATGTGGTTCGGATCTAGGTTTGTATGAGAGTGAGGTGGTCGTGGGTACTTGCGTGACGCCGAGATTGTTCGATTCTTTGGTTTATTAGTCTGAACGCTGGCATTGGGACTTATCGTCTATCTTTATATAGGTTTGATCTTCTCCTAACCAATACGCGTTAGCGAGGCCAGTTTGGGGATACCTTCCATTGTCCTCAGCGGAACAGAAGCATTCACAAGGCTTCAGGTGGAGGACAAGGAGGCTACTAGCCAAGCTGATAAAGCCGGTCTATCGGCGCTCAAAGGAGGACATTCCGTGATATGCCGAACGAGCCGGACAGGACACGTCACCGCCTGTCAATTATCTTGGAAACTACACCATCACTATCAACTCCTTTGTATGCTTCTTCATCACAGCACCTGGTCACGTCGTATCCTGCCGTTGTCATGCGAACGTGACCAGCGAGATTACGATAGCCACGGTGCGAAATCCATTGTCTTCCGCGCTTCTCCTTACCAGCAATGATTCTTAACGGAACTAGGGTAGATTGCGTTATCTAAGTGTACTCGCAACGGCACGCGAACATGTCAACTCTCTCGGCCGTCGTATCAAGCCGAGTAACTCCCTGTGGAACTCTTGCGGGTCATTCACGCGATAGATATCGCTGTTTGGGGAAAGGACAGAGACCTCGAACGTTCTGGGGCACTCGATAAGAGACGCAGTGCCTCACCCTTCCCTCCCTCCTCCTTCTCCCCCTCCTTGTTGGTCCTTTCAAGGTTGTCGCGTCATCCGGCCGGCATCTGCCTTGTATACATTCTATTGCATCATGCTGATCGCGCGATGCCGACCGGTCGCGTTTCAGCTCGACCGGACCACGTGTTTCGCCAGGTTGAGAACACGCGCGATTACTACCGTATTGCATCATGGACTACGCGCAATTATTGCATCATGACCTGCTACATGTCGGCTCGAGCAGCTCAATCGTCGGGGTCTGTTTGAGACGGATACTAGCAAAGGGTCGCCTCGTGTGGCGTGCCGCCATAAAATTGCGTCGCTGCCTGCACATGTGGCATGGAACTTCTTAGGTAGACGTTCGATCTTCGAATTCCATTATTGCGCGTGTAAGGTGGGAGCATCGTCTGACGGACACTCAAGGCCAGGTCAAGGAGGGTGGTATCGATGATTTCAATGACGGCAGATGCGCTGTGTCTCAGTCGGCAATTACACTACTAAGCAAAAGGCTGGAAGGGTGGGCCGAGAACAAGTGATGACTACCGTGCATGCTACAATAGACGCCAAGGTCCCCCAGGAAGGTTGTCCAAGAAGCTTGTTAAGACCAACTCGTAGACAATCACTGTTCAGCTGAGTGTCCCCTCTGCTTACTATAGAGACCCTCGCATCCAATAGCGCAAGGCGACGTAGAGACTGGCTCTTCTATTTGACTAGTCATGTCGCAAGTAAGATGTTCCCTGACCTCATAAAGCTCTGTCAAATCCAATATTCAGCCAGGAATCCCGCTGATAGTGATGATGCCCAATACAATAGGGTTGGTAATCGGTTCTTACCGCGAGTTGCGTTGTCCAGGTCGAGAGTTTCGACTGCTGGCAGTTTGACTGTCGAGCCAACTTCGGTATGCGCAAGACTGGCATCATATAATGAGACTCAGACTATGTACGAAGCTTTAACTGCGCGGTAAAAGACCACGCCAAGCCCCACAAGGGGACAGGTTCACTTTCCCGGCTGATGACTGGCTTTCCATCGTGAGTACAGTACAGTAGTCATAACTTTAGCAACTGATCAGACTATAGCTAGACTACTGGTCGAAATGCGACCGCACACAAGCGGAAGAGACAATGTACTCGTAGACAGTGTGGAATCAAGAGGTAGAACTTCTACTCAACGACCTGTTAGATATAATCAGCATCAACGTGCAACGGAAATAAGGTATATCAGATCTACTCACGTAACGGCAGTATCTGCTTCGAGAGGCCCATCTACCGCGCGCGAAGTTGAATCAACCACACCCAAGAACTTCCAAGGTTCGGCCTCGGCATATACGACCCTGTTGAGATGTGCCACCTCAGCATGCTTCAGGTTTTCGAGAGGCTTGCCTCTGGCTCTGACAGTACAATCATATCCTGCTTCGATATTGTTTGCATGATATTCCATCATCTTTTTGATGGTGTCTTGAGGAACGGTCTCACATAGGACATAAAGATCCCAGCAGACTCGCTTCTGCTCGATTCGCCAGGTCTCTGTAGGTCCTGGCCAGGTCTCTGGAAGTCGATCTGCGTCTGTCCAGCCCGAAGATAGCCTCCAACATTCCCGGTCTCCACATCATGCCCCAGATAAAGGTCAGCGGTCAATAGCTCCGGACTTTCGACCGAGTCTCCATGAATTGTCGTGTCAAAAATAGTGTAGGTGGTGCCGTCGAACTGATAGGATGTAGATTGAAGCGTATGATTGCCGTTGGTGGAGGCGTAAGAAGACATCGTTGAATTGACGATTGAGCGGCGATATCTACCGTTTGTATGATAAGGAGGACTTGTGAGATTCGAAAGACCAGATATTGCTTGCCGGCAATAATAAATCGCAGGCCCTTCAGCTAGATATATATTGTTGGTAAGACTGGGGTGTGTGGCCACCGGACATTCTCGATGAAGCTCAAAGGAGTGCCCTGGCAACGGAGTCTTAACGAAAGAGTTGTTTCAAGGGGCAAAGGGCATCGAACGTTTGTCACAAGGTGATGATGGGTCACGTACGCCTGCGGGAGAAAGCGCCCAGAAGCTGGGGTGTCCGGACGGCTGCGAGCAGTTTTGGCATGAACTGGTTGAACATATGCTAGCGATGAAGAATTTGACTTCAAGGAAGTGGTACTGCAGCATGATAAGACTAGCGATTTGCCCCTAAGGTATCGGCGGATTCCTGCGTGTATATCGATCGTTTCTACCAGTCCGATTATTATCGAGTTATGCGTTTGAGGTGGTATCAAGCTCATTTCACTGTAGCGAGCGTTCCCGTACAAGCAGCTGGACGGGCTGATCTACCACCGCTGGGCGGTTGGCTCTGCCTTTGTTGTTTTCAGAAACGCTTGTCTCAACGCTAGAACGTTGAAAGAGCCTGAACGGGTCTTAGTCTGGGAAGAGGACCGAGTTCGGCAAAGCCTACCACTTGCTTCGACGGTGATGAATGAGACCTGAGAAACGGGTTACAACTCTGTAGAGCATGGCGAGCGGAGAGTATAGGGACGAGTCGACAAATCGAAGCTAAAGCCTTGTCTTTGCCTTGACTCGATACCACGAGGTACATGTCAGCGCAGGAACGGCCGCAAGGATGGTAATTGGAAGGCCGAACAATGCCAAGTGCACTCGATTGTCTTTCAAAACATCGTGTTATGGAGTATCTCGGAATTCGGAACAGCCTACCGATGATTGCGATGCAAGGCCATCGATCGACGTACCCGCACTTCGTTCGGACTTGTTGTGCTCTATCATATTCCGTTATCCCCTATGGATCGAAGCAGCGGACAAGTCCTGTATGTGCATCGGGCAATGGCCGCAGTCTCAGATGAAAAAGAGGAAATGGATAAGCCCCGCAATCATATTCATCTTTGGTACAAACCGTCAACATCGTATCATCATTAGTACAACCACCTTCCCCCCCTTCCAAACTATCCCCTCGCAAATGCCTTCAGCGTCTCCTCACGAGAACTATTTCCATAGTTACATTTCAGCGCTACTCATATAACTCTAGCATAGAAGGCGTAATCTGGCACGCGATAGAGTGGAATGAAGACTCACGGTAACGAGGTAACTCTCGGCTACGATACGAGCTCGGGCGTTCAGGGACAACTTCATCTCCGAGATCTCCTTGTCGACGTCTTCCATGAACCTGTTCGATTGGCGTTGTCGAAAGGTGTTGAGACAGGTCACCAGGACCAAGCGAGAGCAAGGAGGTGATGATAGGCAGAGAGGAGATGAAAGTCCGGGATAGGAAGATGGAGTCGAAATCAGTGTGAGAGTGAAAGGGTATGAGGTCAGAAAAGAGATGCAAGGTCGTGTTCAGTGAAAGCTTCAACGACGTACTGGATGATGAAATCGACGAGCTTGTGCTTCAACATCGTCTCCGAATGGAAGTTGGTGATCAAGAACGAGATATCATATCCCTACCAACCCATAACAAACCCACGACCAAGTGCGTGCACAATCAGTACCTCTTTCTCATCCTTCTCATACGGGCGCAGTCTAGGACTCACCGGAATAGCCTTCCTCCTCAAAATGACGAACCCCTCCGCTCGCATGGTCATGAACCTAGTAAACTTCTTGCACAAGATCCTCTCGATCTCATCGGCCTGTTTGATGCAGATGGACAGCCGGATCGAGTTGATAGACGGTTCGATGAGGACGCGTTCGGATTCGTTACGCGAGATGAGGAGGGGTTGGAGGAGGGTTTCTTGCGAGTTGCTGTGAGGTATGAAGAAGATATCACATTGTTTCGTAAGCCTCTGAGACAAGTGAGTCAGTTGAGAAGACGGGACAGGAGAAGCGGACATACCCAGCCTCGACTTCCGGGTAATTATGCCTCTCAACGACCTGCGATCATGACCACCTTCCATCAGCCCCGTCACCAGTCTGGACGTGCTTCCAATCTGCCTACCTGAGATGAGAAGTTTTCCAGCGTAAGAGCCGCTGTCAGAGTACTCCGAACGGCATTGAGGTAAGGTCGAAGCGTGTTTGACTATATAGAGGTGTAAACACGCGATGAGCTCGCGATCGAGAAGTTGTGCCCGGCGGGAGACGTACCATTTTGTGGGTAGCAATATACAAGGCCTGTCTGCTAGCTTGGGGCTGGGTACTTCACGCTGTCACAGGAATTCGAGAGATAGAAGCTGCCAACATCAGACGAGCAGATGCAGTCATCCGGACCCTCGTACCCTCGTCATCACCGACGTCGCTGGACGTGGGCTATCTCATCACGTGACTCAGTTTACGTCAATGCCGGCAATAATCACGGCATATCTTGAAGACCCCTGCGCTTCCTTTGTCGCGTTTCAATATGATCCCTGAGAATGTCATTGTCTCGAGGCGCAATCTTGACCAGCGATCGGTATATATTAGTCTGGTCACAAAAGGGAAGATGTGTCTTCCCGTCGTATGAACACGCTGACATTTTTCCGACAAACAACCTCATACAACTTCGCCCAATCACACTCGACCTTGCACAACCCATTGCAGGATGCCCAACGACGATCTTTCCTTTGACAGCGCAAACTCTGACCGTTCCAAAGAATTCACTGCAAGTCTTGAAAGTGGCGCCGGAATAGATTCCTCCACCAATCCTCCTCAGAACAGCGAAAAGTCTTTGGATTCTGTCAAACCCAAAAAGACCATGAAGCACCTTGGATATTGCGAATCAAGACGCGTCGAGTTCAGTCGCGAAAATTTAATTTATTGCACGTTTGCCCCCGGGCTGCAATTCGAGTGGAACTACTCTCGGCGATACCCCTGGCAACCTGAACCCGGATCGTTCCACGAGTTCGAAAATTGCGATTTTTTTCAGTTGCGCAACGACGTGAAGAAGATTCGCGACTGGAACCAGGCCAACAAGGAGAAAGATCCGGAAGACCCGATCATAGCCGCGTGCAATGACTTCCTCGAAATGTACAACAACCGCGAGGACATGCCCTCGAAAGAGGTATACCTTGCGTCGTTACAGTGATGCCACTCCTCTCTATACTGTACTCCTGTAGTAGTAAACTATAGAACCGATCGTTCCTGTGATATTGCCGTTGATTCATTCGACACGCCTGGCCTTATCCCAAAGGTCTTGACCTGTACCCGGAAGTTACCACTAAAAAACGTTTCCTGAACGAGCTCTATGGTATCTGCAGCATCATGTGACAGGGTCAAGCGGAGAGAACCATTTGAGATGCCTTTCGAGCCAGACTGCGAGCTGTCGAATGCTATGATTGCTCCTTTTTTCCTGGCTCAATGCCCCGGTCCGCTTAGTACGGAAAGTGTTTCTTTGTTTTCTGTGCTCAAGTCAGAGCTTCTCTGGCAAGATCACCTGACCTAAAATCCATGGTGGGCAGGATCGAGGAGAAACAGTGAGTGAGAACCTTGCGCTTCCTTTAATGCGTTTCAATACATCCCTGGCTCATGGCTGATATGGCTGAGTTCAGATGATATCTCGCCATGGTCGAGAGCCGCAGCACGAGTGTCGTCGCATCGACATTAATATATAATACTCGTACGTATCCCTCCTTCTGGGAGATTGTCAATTCCGCCTGCTCACCCTTACGAAATAGAACCCCTGGATTGAATATCGATTGTGCGAAGTCCTAAGGATAAATGGCTGAAGACCTCACTGAACTTGCCTTCCGCATCGACTTCGATGAATTTGGGATGCCGACTAGCAGCTCATTGTCTGATGCAGAACGATTGCTGGCTGCAGCCTTCAGTAGCAGCCCCGATACTAGTGGCGGGTCGGCTACTCTCGACCGGGAGTCAAACCATGACACGGAGAGGTACGGCTTCCGCCGGCAAGCGGGTTCCACAGTGGTTTACATCTTTTAGACACATGGGCCAGTCTTTGCCATTCGACAAGGCGGTGAGGAGAAGACATGGACGTGCAGGACCTCTTTTCAGGAATTGCGATTGATGGTCGAAGGGATACAAGCAAGGTCGACTGCCGGAAGCGAACTGTTCCGCATCTGCGGTGACTTCCTTGAAAAATACAACACAGAGGACGATATGGAATGGCTTCCCAGCCGATCCCAGAATTCGTAGCATTTAGCATTGTATCGTCGCAGATAAGAAATCAGCTCGCACGAGTCAATTATGCTTGTTTGTTTCCCATCATCATCTAATGACTCCTAGCAAGATCATGACTTTCAGTGATATGACTTTCAACAAGATCATCTGACGTCTAGGGTACCAATGGTGGTGTACTCATACAAGGCAGAAACCATGATCTATACGTTTCTTTCGATAGAAATGCTGAGAGAGGGCTTTAGCACGTGGGGAACAAACAATAATATAGCGCAGCGTGGCTTTGCCAATTCGACGCGCTGGTGTGTCACCGAGTTGCGGTCTCGTACATGACTTCAGTGACACTTCTTTCCTAATTTTGAACCGCGATCCTGTCATTATCGAGAAGTTTGACGGGCCGAAATTGACACTGTCATGTCGGCATGGTGCTAATGGCATGGATGTCTCATGCAGCAAGGCAGAATTCCACAATTATGGGTCACCCTCAATCGCCGGTTTAACCGATGACAGCGCACGCTTGAGCTTGCCAGAAGAATACGACATCGTACCCTAATTGAGGTAGCGGCTCCGCATACATATGCGAGCTTGAGATCGGCTATGGAACCCTACATATGAAGGATGATCCATGATGCTTGTTTGGGCTCGATATTTGGCTGCAACAGAGTGAAAACACAAATCACGATGAATGGCCATTCAAGGAGATGGTCCACCCGGTCCTACCAGAAATGAGTCCGCCATCATTATAGCAAAGAAGATACATCTGCCCTCAGAACTGCATCGTCATCGACGTCCGATAGTTATTAGGTCGCAGCTTCTTGGCGAACCCCTAGGTTTGTTGTCATGGTGAGTCCTGATGAGCCTCGATACCCTGATCAATTATAGCCACAGCCAAAAGCTAGCACGAACAAAGTCGGGCATCGCCCATATAAGTGATCCCGAGCTGATACCGCTGATAATCCCGTCTGACCTCGGGTCAGATCGGGTTCGACATGACGAGCGAGAGACACAAAGGAGGCTACCTGATTTTGTGATTGGATAACATGACCCCTTATGACGAGAAAAATCACGCTATCGGGGTGTCATGGATCGTCAGTCCGATAACGGATACAATGTAGCCACAGTATCACTCTTGATCCGCATGGTGGCGCATGAGAATTTACGACATCTTGATAGTTGAATCGTACTACGGAATTGATGATTATCTTGAGGAGAAGAAACGGAATCCACCGCAATAACAACGATAAATGTTACACTTGCTTCATCGCATAACCCAGAATGATGCGTGTCAATTCCATGAGGAAAAAATCGGCCTCGCAATAGAGGTGAACTGACATCTCCGCCGTTACACAGCCCGGTACAGCTGACTAGCTCGCCAACACGCGCGATTTGATGTCCTCCTTTCATTGTCACGCCACTCTACCTCCCGCTCCGCCTTGCCCGTATTGGCATCTACTTCCACATAAGTATATAGAAGGGACATGACTGGTGCGGCCAAGGCCACCACAAGTATCATCACGACATTGACAATCTGGCATCCCGCACCCACAAGAACCATTTATTCTCCATTGAGCTTATCGCCAAGAATCATGGACGGAAATCTTCCTCCCCTTACTGGAAGTGGTACTGCTGCGCCCAGTATCGTTGTGAATTCATCGATGGAGGAATCTCAGCTCACTGTTGGTACCAACGCCTGGAAAGATATATACGGGAACTGGCATGCCAACAGGTCATACGACACACCTACGCCAAGCCCAGTGGGAAGCAGAGCCGAGACGACCGCGTCGAAGTCCGAATCATATGTGAATTCCAGAGGATATGAATCGGATGATGACATCGATCTCGCAGCCGATCTAAAAGAGGCGATGACCGTCGAGGAAGCAAAAGCCATTCTAGAAGTCTCGGCGCTTCCGTCAGACTACAAGTTCGTTTTTGCTCTAGACCCGTCGAACCGTAAAGTCTACTTCGTCGTCAAGGGGCAGGAAAAACTGTTTGGACCCGGAGAGGAACGCAGCACGCTCGAGACTCGCTGCAATGTCACAATGCGGCTTGAAGAGCGCCCTATCAGGGAACGCGCTCTGGATCGCCTGATCTATGACCACATGCTTGGGTTAGAGGAGGACGATTGGGTGCATAGTGAGAACTGGGATGCATATTTGCAACAGCATGAGGAAGAAAGGGAGGGGTACTCACCGGTTAGTGAGGCGGACTCGTCGGATGATGAGGCGGAATACATGTGCACAGACGCAGGCTCTCAGATCTTGGTTGGCGATAGTATGGCAACTTTGAGGCCGATCCAGCCGCGGAAGCGCGGACGTTCGACCAGCCAAGATGCCCCTCGGAAGAAGGCTCCTAATGAGACGGAAACATAAAGGAGGGGCCACTAGGCATCCGAATCAAATGACCTGCATTTATCGACCGTTACTTGGGTACTTGTATACTTCACTTGTCTACCATACCGATGTTCTTCTCTTCAAGAGCGGCGATGATGACCAGTGTACTACAACGTCGTAACCATGTGTCACCCGTCAAACGTCGATAACTTTCGAGAGCCTCTTGATTAGGTTGTTCAGGATCTGAGCGAAGATGTGACAGAGTCATGACGCCGCAAAGTGATGCCGCTTCGACACAAGTGATAATTACTCGGGATATGGCTGAATGTTCAGCGAGCGTTCGCTCAAAGGGTAGATCGAGCTCGATTGCTGTGACAACTATATACCGGTCCAGAAACATTCGGCACAACAACACGGCGAACAGACGTCTCGCTTCTGACCGTGTCGAGGTGATCTGTTCCCCTTCCCCGGCGGGGAACGCTGCCGCAGCTTTACCGCTCCCGCGCGACAAGCGCGACCTCAGGAATCGAGGTTTGATCGACCCAAGTCGAACAGTTGCGAAGCCATATATAGTGGCGGACTGACCGACGATCTCATGCAATACGATGAGTATAGGTTTCCGTTGAAAGATACGACATATGTCGGCCGAGACCTCAATCTATCGTCTTCGTCCTTCAGCATGTCGCCTGCTTACATTGAAGCATTACCCCAGGGCCGACACCAACTCGTGGTTCCCGACAGCGGTGGGAAGAGTCGACCTTTCTTCTGCCTCCCTGCCGAAATCAACAACTCTTCCTTCTCGGACCCGTCCTTTATCTCCACTGTCTTCCCTCGTTTGAAGAAACAGGGGTTCAATACGCTACTCTGCGGAGTCGGGTGGGAACAGATCGAACCTACCGAAGATGATTTCAGCTTCGAGCGTCTAGACGCATGTATACAAACAGCTAGAGCAGAGGGTCTCAGACTGGTTCTGCTGTGGTTCGGAGCTTTCAAGAATGGTCAGTAGCCCATTCCGAGGATCGTCAACACACAAACCGCAACGTCGCCGCGTCATCTGTTGGCTGATCGTCAGACTACCGCATATCGAACAGGCCAGTCGCAATACGCCCCTCGTTGGGTCAAACTAAACCCAAGCAGATTCCCTCGCGTCATGGCCCAGGTGAAAGAATCGTCCGCAGCTGCCATGTTCCCATCCGCGTCGCTCGTCAAGACCTCGCTTCTCCCATCGGAGATCCTGTCCGTCTTTCATGAGACCACGTCGGCAGCCGAATCCCGAGCTTTCTCTCGGTTGATGCGCCATTTGAAAGAAACGGATGAGGCACATGGAACCGTCATCATGGTCCAGGTCGAGAACGAGGTTGGCGTGTTAGAGGATTCGAGAGACCGGAGCCGAGCGGCACAAGAGGCCTTCGACAGTGAAGTGCCGGAGCTGCTAGCGCGCTTTCTGACCGACGAATGGGAAACGCTCCATTCAGCTCTTCGTGGAAATCTGGAAATTTTCAAGCGAAATGCCAAAGAAGGCCCGTCGCATCTATCTTGGTCTCAACTCTTCGGTGGAAATGACCAGACAGACGAAATCTTCATGGCTTATCACTATGCGCGCTATGTCGAGACGATCGCGTCGGCTGGGAAAAAGGAGTATGGCCTGCCGATGTTCACCAACGCATGGTTGCGCAGCGATCAGACGGCAGTCAAAGATGACGAGCAGAGTGGTACAGCCTCACCTGCAATCGTCACCAACGGGACTAAACCAGGAGAATACCCTTCTGGAGGTCCGATCGAAACCGTTCTCGATATTTGGCAACTCGTCGCCAAGAGCCTGGACTTTTTCTCCCCCGATTGCTACTTCCAAGATTACGAGAAGACTTGCGCCAACTTCTCCCATCGCTCCCAGCCGCTGTTCATTCCTGAGCAGCGTGCGGACGGTGTTGGAGCTATCCGAATATGGGAAGCGATAGGTACTTTCGGTGCGTTTGGCGCTTCCCCGTTCGGGATTGATTCGGTTCCCAACGAGCTGAATGGCTTTCCGCCTCACCTTGAGCTGTTGAACCGAGTCGGCCCCATCATATTGCGCGCTCGTCAACTGGGTCAGTCGATGAGAGGTTTCTACTTTGACGAGTATGAAAAGGACTCGCCAGATCCATCTCCACCCAAAAGGTTCACGATGGGTGAATGGAACGTCCTCGTCGAAAGAGCTTTCGTATGCGGTCACCCCGCCGCAGGATATGGAATGATCATTCAAATCGAACACGATCGCTTTCTGCTTATCGGCGCTGGATTCCAAGTGAAAATTACCCCTCGTGACCCAGACGCCCTCATATTCGGGATCGCCTCATGTCAGGAAAAACAGGTCGTCAAAAGTGACACCGGTTCGGATAACGAGTTCACCTTGGAAACGCTGAGGTGGCTGAACGGCGACGAGACTCGCCAAGGTGGCTATACGGTCATGCCGACCGAGAACCCCGACTATGGCGATGTCCCTATCGCCATGTCGATTCCTGCTAGGACCAAGATTGCTGAATGTCAGCCATATGTTGTCAAATAAAGGCGCGGGAACGAGGCTGCCGAGAACGATTTGTATCAGGTTACAGATGTACTGGTATTCGCATACGATACGTTTTGACTAGCCAAGGCGTCGTCACTCAGGGTACACCGAGAAGATATCACACGTGATCTATGGGTTTAAACAGAAATAGCTCCCCACTAACGCACCCGACCGCTGGCCACCACGTCTTCCTGGAGAGGCGGGGCGGAATGGGCGCATCGTCTTCCTGGCTCGCTTCAGGCACGAAGCGCTGGCCTGGTCCTTCCTCTTTTTACTGTCCCCAACGCTGATGTTATTCGTAATCGAGGGCGGCAATCTACGAAACCTATCTCTCGTCACTTTACTGGTAGATCGGAGAGTCAAGGAACCTTTGTCGGAATGACGTAACATAATCGGAGCTTAATCTCCTGGAGAGTTCCTTTCATCGGCGCACCTTTCACTCTGTGCGCTCCGTTCATCTGATCCTACGCTCCGTTCAGACAGTCGCTCCATTCATAACATCGAATCGACTTCACTCCTGTCACCACGCGCATGTCTGTTCGTATATAATTAAACTCTTACATTCGAATTTTGAGCTGAGTTAGATCATCGAAAATCAAGTCCAACAATCCTATCTCATATCACAAGTCACTCATCCGACCCACGTTATCAGCTCATCACAAGTACAGATGTCTTCACCCAATCCTTCTACCGAATCTCACCGAGATTCCGTCTCACACACTGTCGAAATGACAAACGCGACTAGTCCGGGGAGTCAACTCAGCGAACTACTTGATACGCTGGAACATACCTACGGTACACCTTCATCCACCTACAGGGATGGTGGCGAGCCCGAGGATTCGACTGCAGCTTCTTTGCGTCGAACTTCTGGAATGGGTACCAGCGATCCCATTCACTCATTTGCCGATGTTCATCTCGTCCAGGCACCGATGACACTGAAGGATGCCAAAGCTCTATTGAGCCAGGGCAATCCTTTGGAGCACTACAAGTTCCGTAGTTACGCTACTCGGGCTCGGGTCGACTACTTGTACGTCGTCATCCGAAACCTTCCTGACGGAACCGCCGAGAGGTTCATCGGTCCAGAGCAAAAGCCTCAAATTCTCAGAGAGATCTGTGACAAAAGCAGACGCATGGTACACATCTACACTGCCAAGGAGATCGCTCTTTACACTTGCCTCTACCACAAGATGGTAGAGATGGAGCAAGAAAGAAGCATATGGCCGCTAGTCGAGGGCTGGGCGGGGCACCAAAAGAGGCAAGAAGCGCAAGAAGTACAACTGGATGACGATAGCGCTCACGAGTCCTCAGACGGAGAAGACGACAATATCCGTGTCGCAAAGTCCCGCGGGAGCAGAGCCAACCTGGAACAGTTTCAGGAGATCGGAAGGAGGAGGTAGACGCAGTGAGAGCCTTTTTCTTTGTTGGCAGCGTGGCTAGATAGTTCGCTGTAGTGATTCAATAATATAGATCGTTTTCATGATGAACTTTCTGAGTTATGTGATTCTGTATGACTCGATCCTCTTTTCAAAGGAGATACGCGGTACGCGTGGGAAGAGACAGGGTCGCTTGCAGTGACGGTCCAGCGAAAACGTCATGATCTCAAGCACGTCAGATCACGAGTGAATAGCTCACTCCGCTCCTTGCTCAGTTTCGCCTGACGCCATCAATCACCTCACTCGCTAAAGGCAGGTCGGACAGTCAAATCCAACGCGTTCCTTTGATTCCTGATTCCTTTCCTCTTGCACCTTGCTGGCCCTTTGGGGAAGGGTATATATGAACAAGGGTTCTCGATGGTTCGCTATGGCTGGGAAGGGGTAAAAGTGAAAGGCAAGGAGCATCTTGCCATTCGCCCAGCTTCCACAACCTTCACGTCCAGCTATCGATATTCAGCAACTTCAGATGACTGAATTCTCATTCCGTATGGATAGGGAGGGTATGAAGCCGTTCTACGAAACCGATCAATCAGGGTTAGCGCCTTCCACTGCCACTCAACCGACTTTGAGCCAGGTCACTAGCACGTCGAATCTGGCAGTCTTGACCGACAATCCTTCTCAGTCTGGCGTCTCCAACGATAAAACGTTTTCACAGACGCTCATGTACCGCTTCTCTGGCATGCAAATCGTAGCAAAATCCCTAACCAGCGCCACGACTGATGGCGGTGAGGATGAAGCAGTCGCTAAGCAGCACATGACTCTTCAGCAAGCGGAACAACTCCTGCGTGGCAAAAACCAGGTCCCTTTGCAAGGCATCGAGTTTCTCCGGTACAGTGCGAGAAAGCCCCGCGTGTGGTGCTATCGTGTCTACAAACGTTCCTCCGGCAAGTTGATAGGACTCCAAAGCTGGCGGTCCAGCCCAGAAGATTTGGTGCAAGACTTCAAGAAGGAGTCCGATCCCGAGCTGATTGCTGGAGCTACTTGCATCTGGCATCATCTGGCACGGATGAAAGAGGGGGATTGGAAGTCTAGCGCCTCTTTCGAAGAGTTCTATCGTAACCATACGGATGAAGGCTCGTATCGGCGCAAACGACAGCGAATTCACTGATGGATCCGGCGGCGATGAGAGTACCTAGATCTTTCCTACATGTGCACGGTCGTCCCGGTTCTCGCCGAACGTTAGAGTAGAATACATCGAGTTAGTGAGCTTGTAGTAGATGGCTTAGTTTCCTAGGATCAGTGCTTCTGGACTATGATATATAGTTTGGCGATCGAGTGAAACGGATGACCTGAAACATGCCAGTGCAATTGAGCTGATACTCTTCGCTGAGCTACGGATCTGACCGAGAACGTCACCACGAGGGTCGAAGGTCGAAGTTGGGCGATATCGCTATTCTTGGTTTCGACGTCATTTGCAGAACCGTCGACATCCCCGTCCTAGTCCTTCGTATCTAGATAGATCAAAGGGAAGTCGCTCTCGGAACTCATAGACACATCCTTCCAAAGGACGCCTTCCAAACGAAATTTAACGTACAAACCGCATACCATCAACTCACCCCGTCGGTCCTGCTCCACTCGATGACCACCCGAACTTCCCAACAACCCAGCCCATCCCCACCCTTATCATCAAAGATGCTCCCCAAGCTGAACCCATCCACGACCGAAGCATCCTTGAAGAAAGCTCTCGGTTTCCTCAAATTCGTCGACTCCTCCCCGACCCCTTTCCACGCCGTCCAGACGGCCTCACAACAACTCCTCAAAGCCGGGTTCACGAAGATCTCTGAACGAGACGATTTCTCCCGTTCATTCTCCGAGGGCAAGATCAGGAAGGGTGGGAAGTACTTTTACACCCGAAACCAGAGCAGCCTGGTCGCTTTCGCCTTGCCTCATAATGTCAAGAAAGTCAGGGATGTGGGGATGAGCATTGTCGCTGGGCATACGGATAGTCCGTGCCCCAAGTTGAGGCCGATCTCGAAGAAGACGAAAGGGTCTTACTTGATGGCCGGCGTAGAGACATATGGAGGTGGGATCTGGGCCACTTGGGTATGTCTCTGCTTCTTCTTTCGCTTCGTCATCTTCCTCTAGCTATCTTGCGAGCTGACATTGATCATTCTTCAAACGGGCAGTTCGACAGAGACCTTTCCATAGCCGGCCGAGTGATCGTCTCCGATGGACCGGGGCAGACCTATTCTTCCCGTCTGATCAAGATCGACCGTCCTCTCTTCCGGATCCCTACACTCGGTAAGCCCCCTCCTAGATATCTCGACGACAAGTTGAAGCACAAGGCGCGATTTGAGAGCTGATCAAAGGTGTTGTGCGGGACTCGGGTAGCTATTCATCTGGATAGGACGATCAACGAGAGTTGGAAGTTCAACAAGGAGACCGAGTTCCAGGTGAGCCATCCTTATTCACAGCTCTTCTGCTATCTACGGAGTCTACATTCTGACACGAGAATCCCGCTCTTTCTTTACCCTGTGCCATGGATACCATGGTATTCCTTCAGCCTATTATGGGCCTAGTCTCTCAAGCCGCCAACGCCCCATTCACCGCTACTACCGCCGCTTTCTCAGAATCTGCTCCGGCCGAAGACGGCAAAGCAAACAAGGCAGCCAAATCGGAGCATAACAAGGAAGACATCAAATCCCGTCACGATACCGCCTTGCTTACCGTCCTCGCTGAAGAGCTCGGAGTGGAGGTGGATGATATTCAGGACTTTGAGCTGTTAGTCAGGAAGCCACGAGTCGGTAGATTCTGTCAGGGATTATGCTGACTGAGATGACGAACGGGATCTTGGAGGATAGATCGCTGTACGATACTCAGCTCGGAAGCGTTAGCGGCTTGAACAACGAGTTCTTGCATACCGCCAGGTGAGTCGTGTGCTATTCGCACGATTTCCCTCTTGCTACAAGAATATCGAACTGAACCTTGTTGTTTTGATCTTTCTTTGACGGCAGGATTGACAATCTCATGACCTGGTAAGCCAATCTGTCCACGGTCGAGCAGAATTAGAATCAGCCAGTGGGTAACTAACATGTCACCATGCGAATGATAGTTACTGCTCGATCCAAGGTCTGATCGAATCTACGGGTACGGACGAGTTGTTACCCGCCGACGACCAGGAGACCAACATCCGGACCGTCTGCCTGTTTGACAATGTGAGCTCCCCGCCCATCTAGCTCGGTACCATATCTGGCTCGTGAGCTGATCTTCGGGATGATTCTCTGCTGATATAGGAGGAGGTCGGATCGGTTTCTTACCAAGGAGCCGAGAGCGACTTGGTGCCCTCGCTGGTCGAGAACCTGTTGTCTATGCCCGGGTATATCGAATGCAGCAATGCGCAGTTTTTGAAGAATTCGTTTTTGATCAGCAGCGATATGGGTCATGCGGTGAGTAACAATACATTGCTAGCGATTCACCGTCAGGAAAAGTGGCTGATAAGGCTTCGTGTGTCGACCCGTAGCTCAACCCCAACTTTGAAGCCAAATACCAAGAAGCCCATCGACCCCAGATCAACCAAGGTGTCATCATCAAGACCAACGCCAATCAGCGGTACACCTCGAACGCCTCGACGACCTTTGTCATCCGAAGAGTAGCCGACCTGGCCGACGTCCCCTTGCAAGAGTTCGAAGTCCGGAACGATGGGTCTTGCGGGAGCACGATCGGACCGGCTATCAGTACGCATGGATTGAGAACGGTGGATATCGGGTTGCCGCAGTTGTCGATGCATAGTATCAGGGAGACCGCGGGTACCAAGGTGAGTCAAACGGATCATCTGCCAGATCATAGAGAACCGAAATGAGATTGTTGACGATTCTGTTGATTACAGGACCCGGAATACCTGATCAAGCTGTTCGCTACCTACTTTTCCAACTTCTCGTCCATCGACAAGCAGCTCGTCATGGACTGAGCGTGTCACTGGCGAGCTCGATCTTGGCCACACAGACTACTAATGAAACAGAGTACAGAGTAGCATAAGCTAACACAGACTATTCAAACGCTATCGGTGACTACCACATGATATATATGAAATCTGAATTTTGATGCCGTGAGCGTCACCGGGCGATATCCGGTCCCGAGGTCTGCACCACATGATGTCGAGGGGTGGATGATATTTGCGGAGATTCCCTTGGCAAAAGACACTGCGAAGAGCGACGAGTCAACTGCGATATCATGTATCCAAGTCTGCTATATAGTGAAAGCCAGGATAACTTCCTTCGTGATTGAACCCCTCCTTTCAGGCGCCATCGTGATCAACAGCAGCAGCCTTCTTGAGGTCCAACGTTCTTGCAACCATGGCCGACTCCATCGAACTCCCCGTCCTGACCCATCTGGGTCATTCGAAACCGAGAGATCGTTCCGCTTCCAAAACCTCACTCAGGATGCCCGACGTCGTAGCTCCTAGCGCAACCATGGGTGCAGCTTCTGGCTCTGGCTCGTTGGGGAATATCGAAGCTCAAGAGATTCCTGGGATCACTTTGATCGACAGTAGGGATTCGGGTGAGGCCGACCCGTTGTTGCTGAGGGACAAGATCGTCTCCGAGGACGAGCTGAATGAGATTCGCAAGTACGTCTTTCACGCTCACCTTGGTCTCAATGGGCAATCTTGTGGGGACCTAACTCACTCGTTTGTGCTGACTTTGACAGCCGAAAGAAGGGCAAAGGCAAAAAGATCTCGGACTTCTACGCCGGCCAGAACGAACACATCGGCAACCTCTTGAAACCTCTCAAAGTCCATACCGAGGAAGCCATCGCCGACGAGGCCGACAACGCCAAAAGCGTCAGATGGGCCATCAGGTTGAGTCTGTACTGTAACTTCGCCTTGGCTGGATTACAGGTCAGTCATGATCCGGGTCGTCGTCTAGGCTTGCAGGAGATGCTGACATAGCGTGACATCCTCTGTGTGTCCGTAGCTATACGCCGCGATTTCCTCCCTGTCGTTGTCCCTCTTTGCAACCTGTATCGATGCCGGTGAGCCATTCCCACCGAATCTATCCACCTCTTCACCACGTCATGATGGCTCATACGTCCACCCGAATATCTGTTTTGTGGTAGTCTTCGACCCCTTCGCCAACATCCTCCTGAACGTCCTACACAAGCGAAGTCTAAAGGCTGATGAGAAGAAATGGCCGATGGGAGGATCTCGGTTCGAATCTAGTGAGTAACATTCTTGTGTCTCGTTGATGAAGCCGTTTTGGCTGTTCGTGAGCTGATGATCGCCCTCTCTGTCACCAGTGTAAGCAAGAGGGTCAACTTGAAGACTGGATTGTAGAGACTAATCTCGAACGGGTTTAGCGGGAACATCGTCTACGGCGCCTTGATGGGTATGGTCAACCTGATCCTGATCGTAAGTCCCCTGAACCTGTCTTCTTGCGTTAGCCGTTATTGATCTCGGAACTGCTATCAATGATACAGGTCGAATCCATCCGAAGTCTCGCCACCCGGGAAAGCGATGAAGAAACCAACGAGATCTACATCCCCGCCTTGGTCGCCGTCGGGATCGCCTTCCGTAAGCTTCGCCCCTCTGGCTCCTAGCTGCAAATGCTATATTCAAGCTGATACGTCATATTGAAATCTGGGTTGGCTGGCGTGATGCGGTAGTGACCAAGCTTTCGCTGTTCATCTTCTGTTTCTCGATCAGGAAGAAGTCGAGCCAAGTTCAGGTCCTGTACGAAGATCACCGGAACGATCTCTTTGTGTGAGTGACGTACTGCAGCTGTACAACTCTGAGAATTTGAGCTGAGAAGGTGGTTCTGCTCGGTTATTGTACGCAGGAATGGGTACGTGTACCAATTCATCCAGTGAATGCTCGCCAAGGTGGATTGGTCGGCTGACACGGTTTGCATATAAACACAGATTCGGCATCTTCACCGCCGCGGCTGGTGCCAAGATTCGTTGGTGGGCAAGTATACGGCTGCATTCCAGATGTTGCGAGACCCCAAGGTTAATACTCCGCCTTCGTGTCCGCAGATCGACCCTATGGGAGCCATGATCATCGCCTCTGCTATCATCATCGCATGGAGCAGGACCATCTTTGGTGGGTCCTACTATCCGAATCTGCCATGGGCGCACGGCGTACTGACGCTAGATCGGCGACTTGACAGAGCAATTCAAGTTGCTTGCAGGTATCGCAGCCCCGGTCGATTTCCAGCAGCTCGTTATCTACAAGGTATGTGTGTCGTGAACTTTTCATGCGATCTACAGCTGAATCTTCGCGGCAACGCGCAGGCCATGACGTTCAATCCTGCCATCAAGCAGATTGATACTTGCCGGATCTACCATTCAGGACGTGAGTGTACCTGAGTCGAGGTGCTCTCACGATTCGCGCGCTTATTTCATGTTTCATGGTGTATCAGCAAACTACTTTGTCGAGATTGATATCGTCATGGACGGCGACATGCCCCTGTGGAGAGCTCACGACATCGCCCAAGATCTGCAAGATCAGGTAGAAAAGCTGCCTGACGTCGATCGATGTTTCGTTCATATCGATCACGAGACGGACCACAAGCCGGTGAGCAACCGTGTTGATCTGATTTTAGTCGTCCACAGCACAGACATTGACTTATATGCGTATCATAGGAACATCGCCGACACTTGTGATGTTCGAAAGATTCTTGCAACAAGTTCGTTGCTTGCCCAGGGTGTCATGCTAGTTTGAAGTGTATACAACTGAGATTTATAGCTTGCGAGGAAAGAACCAAATCATGTACTATTAGAAAAGAAGAAGACTACCAGAATCATATCTATCGAAGCCATCAACGCGGTGCCATGGAAAAGTATCCCGCCGAGTCTTGTCGAGCGGCGTCAGGACTCTTGAGTGTGTTGGTTGAATACGCGTGTCGGGCGGGTGCGCCAGGGGACAGAGCCGTGAACCGATCGTGGGTGGCGGCGGTATAGGCTGGAGCTGAGATGCTCAATGTTTGCAGCTCGTAAGGCGTTTCTGCACCCCCGCCGGGAGATATGGGGCCTTGCCTCGCGAATGAGCTAGGCGGTGGGACCTGCGATCCCGAAGCGTTCCAGGGGTATGGAGCCTGCAGCCCCGCCGAAAGTTCTGAAAACGATGGGAGGGTGTTTCCTCCGATAGGCGAGATGGGCGGGGCTGAGGAAGATTCGGAGAGTGAGCCGATGATGTCTTGTACGCTCCTCGGCGTTGACATGTGAGATGGGGTAGACACGGATCCGGCGACTCTCGATGCCCTTTCGAGCCCGATGACGAGATCGTTCTTACCGCCCATGAACCACTGCTTTGGGTCATTACGAGCGACGATCCGGTAGGCCGAGTAGTCGCCTTTGAGATCCTTGAGGCGAACGACGGCAGTACCTCGATGTTCTTCGGCTTGCGAAAGGTATGCAACCATGTCCTCTTCGGTATTGATGGCGATCGGCATGGCCGGTCCCGATGTCGCAGTGCCTTGGATCTGGTTCGGATCGACGAGGATCTCGTGCTCCTTGGGAGATTGACCGAGTTCGGCCTTGAGTCGTTCTCTCTCGCGCTCTCTAGCAATTTCGAGTTGACCTCGCGTGACCAGAGCGCAGAATACGGCGTCTCGAACCTTGTCTCGGTCGTCGGGATGAATGAAGTCGAGGAAAGGGTAGTTGATGCACTGCTTATCGAGTACCAAGCCTCGGTCGCCAAACGCATGTGCGTGGCCGTTGAATGGCGTGATACCCGTAAGAGTCAGATCGTTGCGGATCGTGACGACCGCTTCGAGATCGAGCGGGCCCGGAGCCTGCGTGTCTCTGGCAGGCTGTCCCAGTGTGACGCCGAGCCCCTTTTCTGCTCCGACCCGCCTGTATCGAAGATCTTCCGAAGTCCAGGGAGTACTCTGCTGCTCGAACGGATGAGCAGGCTCTAGCCTTTGAGGATATGACCTGCTTCCGGGACTGTCGAGAGACCTCGAGGAATCGGGCAGATGATAGGGATGATCGCGCTCGTTGACATCTCGGGCAGACGAAGATTGGCCCGCTCTACGGCCAGCCGTGCCCGGCGCTACGTTAGCCGTCGCGGTCGTGGTTGAAGGTGCCCTGCCAGTGGTGACGAGCTTTGGTCGACCTCGTTTTTTATGCTACGGGATCGGACGCGAGAAGTTAGCTCCAGGGTGTCAAGTTGAAGCCAGAAGATAAATCCGTCCCACTCACCGGAACGTCTAGACATCCTTCGGGTCGGCCAATCCCGATACATCGCTTGCAAGGCCTCGCAGCTGTCAACGCAATGATGATCACAGACGGAAATTTGAACCCAATCAGCATCATCCGATAAACAATGAGACGGCATCGCCAGTCTGCTTACTGTCGCAAGCCAAATGAGCCCTGAAATACCACCGCGCCGAGTCGAAAACGTCCGCGTTTCATTGACCCCGAGCAGAAGCGCAACGCGAAGCGAAAGATGGATTGGAGTCCTTCAAGTCAGCTCTCCCAGCTCATGGAAACACAGAACAAAACTGCTGACGCATTGCGAAGACTCACTTCTTACAAGCTGAACAAGCCGCCGGCGTATTACTCTTCCCCGTCAACCTCTTCCTCGACGCGCTAGGGATCACCGAGGTATACTCTGGATTCCCAAAGACCGAGATCCCGGAGTGATCGCCAAATTGGTCTCTGTGTGGGGTTCGTGGGTGATGAGACTGATGATGGTGGTGAGGATGTTCGAGCGAAGGCTGACCGAGCCTGTCCGGCAAGGAGGACGGTCCCGGTTCGTCCCAGCGCTGAGGATAGCCAGACGGAGAATTGGCATGAGTGTTGCTTGTGCCTTGAAGAGGAGGAAGGATGGGAGGAAGATGATGCGCGCCGTATCGCGGTGAAGACGAGCTGGTAAAAGGGCCTTGACCATGTGTCGAATTTGTAGGATAACGAGACGGGCTATCAGGTCGTCGTGATCGACCGATATGGTAAGGCGATGTCATATCTGCATATCGTTGCGGATCCCCCGGCTGGTCTCGTCGATACCTCCCCGCCTCTCCCTGTTGTTGATGATAGCCCAGAACGTCCATCTGTTGACCTTGCTGAGTCTGTTGCATCGTCATTCCCGTGAATGAACCGCCCAAACCGGCGCTCATCGGCATCGACGACGAAGAAGTCGACCCAGACCCCGGCCTCAATACGCTAGGAAACGCCCGATCTGACCCTGTACCCGTACCCGGCCGTTGATTCTGAGTGTCCCCGAGATAGCCTAGCAACCTCGGGATAGACTGCGAACCACCGGGACTGATTGGCGAGGCAGACGAGTCCGCCCGATTCCTCTCGTTTGCAAAGATCGTACGAGCATCGAACGAGAGCGGCTCGAGCCTCATCCCCATCGCGATCCCCGTTCCTGTAGACGACCGTTCTCGTCCCCCTTCATGCAAAGATTGCGATAAAGATTGCGATTGCGATTGAGATTGGCCAATAGACCATGCCCCCCTCGAAGACGATAAAGATGATATCGAGGACCTTTCCGCTCGTCCTTCCTGCCGAGCTCGTTCTTGCGCGAGCGCTTCTCGGAACCTCTCTTCATCCTCCCTCTCGGCGATCTCACGAGGACCGGGTAGAGAGCTTCCCAGAGGTCGAACTGGATATGGAAGGTGTTCGGATTCGAGATCCGGGATCTGTCCGATCGAGCCTGGAGAGCGGGAATGCATCGTGATGGATTATCCCGATCGCCGCCCCGTTTTCGTTGTTGTAGTAGTGATGGTGACGGTGACGGAAAGCCTTCTGTCTCGTTGATTGCGTTATCGATGATGGTATGGTCTGCTTTGTTGTGATGTGCTGTGTGTCAAGATCGGGATGATGTCGTCCAGCCCTGACGTGCTGAGCTTGCGTACTTGTTGACGAAGAGAGGAAGACGTAGATACATCTAGACGTGTCGATTTCAACAGGTGATGACGAGGCGATAATTGCTCGTCCTGTTTCGTGGTAGCCGTGGAGATGAGGATGAAAAGGTGCTGTTTTTGAGTTGCGAGTTGCGAGTTATCTATATACCGTCTACCAGATTCCAGCGTGACGAGTCGTCACTACATTCCACATTGCACGAGTCCAATCACCCAGGTCGAACAAACGAAAGATGATTCAGTCCAGATCCAGTAACAACGGATACCCAAACGGGAGTTTCGCCGGTCGCCGGATTTTTTCGTCGTTTTAGAAACGAGGTGTTCCATCGGTTCCGAGGATTTTCCAAGGGAGAGACAGGTAAAAGGAAGGGGAAGCGTGGTGGAAAGGGACGAGCAGGTTGCGTGGTTGAGATGGATATGGATGTGGTGGAGGTACCAGCGCGGTTGAGGCGAGACAAGACGCAAGTCGTCAAGGAAGCACAGCGTAACCCAACGCACGACACAGCGCAAGAACAGGAGAGGCAAGAGATGGAGCGGGAGTCAGTTACCATACGAAGATCCTCGTTCGAAAGCGCGGCGGCAAGGCGAAAGGAGGTTCGAAAAGGGCGTTCGAAGGGAGGTATGTGGATCTGGGCGGGTAGACTGACCTTTTTGTACTTGGCTGTTTGTCGCTTCTTTTGACCAGCGAAGGAGGAGCGAAACGCGCCCAAAGGTGGCCGCAACGAGGTCTTGTCGAGAGGTGTCTCTGATATATGATCTATTCCAGTAGTTCGAGAGATCCTGCGGTCCTGAACGCGATGACGTCGCGAGGTCAACCCGGTATCACACTCTGTCGCTGGTCGTCGGTCGTTCGACAAGTTCCCACTTTTGATGCAACAGATAAACGTGTTTCGGGTTTCGGGTTTCGGCCGGCAAATGGAAGAAACGTGGTGGTGCCCGGCGGCTCTTGCTCGTGGTCCTTGGTCTGTGCCCCCTCCTTTGGATCTCGGTTGATGGGATTGATCCGGGTACCTCGTGATCTGATGATGGGGAACCGCGGTCGTCTTGTCTCTATCGTCGGTCGTCAAAAACGCGACAGTTGCAGATGGCGGAACTGATGATCCTTTTCCGAGACCCTTCGTATTTCTCTCCTTATACCCTACGATCGCTCGGAGATTGACCAATGTCCGAGAAAACGATGGGGAAAAGACCTTCCACTGAGTTTTCTAGCTTTTCCGACGTCGTCCCTGGTTCACTCTTGCGTTCTTCTTTTTCGTCTTCTATCTATTCCACCCGCCGGCCCGACCAAAGAACAAGCCTCTTCCCGTACCTCGGTTGGTAGGCGAAAAGAAAGAACGACCCTGCCTCGCCGCCTGATCCTGGTTGAGATCCCTTTCTGCCTTCTAGCTTCTTTTCCTTCTCTTTTCTTTCCTTTCCTTCTTTCCCTCCCGTAACCTCTCGCTAATCAGAAAACGCCGACAGCGACAGGCGGCAGATGATGAAACGTGATCGCTTGCACCCGTCGAAAGGTGACGACAAGGCTTTTTCGCCCGTGATCGCTTGTCGTCCGGTGGGCCTTCGAACCTAAGCTGAGGTGAGATGAGACACGGGCTCGGGCTCTTCCTTGCCCGGAATTGTCAGAGACCGTTTGGTAATCGTTGCGATGACGTACGAAGATCGGCAGATCGTCGGTATCGGTGATGTTGATCAGGCGTGATGAATCTGAAACGCCTTTGCTTGCCGGCAGGAGAGGGAGAGGGGAAAAAGAAGGGTCCGTGCGTGTCTCGGAGATACCCAGTGCGAGGGGGGTCCTTTAGGTGGATCTCAGCGTTTGATCTTGAGTTGATGGCGGATTGAGGTTTCACCTGGAGTTGCGTGGCGTATCATGTTGAGAGTGAATATGTGCCAGATGTTCCAAGGTGGAATGAGAGTCCAGGTTCAACGTAGCCACGGTATCATGGTTGTTCATCGGTAGACACAAAGTCCAGTCAGCCGGTATGTTAGCCAGTCGATTTGGGCCGGCGAGAGGTCCGTGAGTTCAGACGAAAGGCAGGCGAATAGAGGGAAAAGATCGCCCCGAAGAGGTTGAATGCGTTCCATGGCCGATGGTTCATCGCATAGGTTCAGCGTAAGATTCCAAGTCGACAGGTTTGGGATGCGCAGCGAAAGACCCCATGGTCGATACAGTATCCATTGACGGACCATACGGTTCGATGTGGATACATTGAGCGGTGTCGACCATCATTTAATGGTGAGAAGATGGAAGGAGCGGAGAAGAGGAAAGAACGAGGAATATCAGCAATTCGAACCAGCTTGAGTGACTTCGCCGAATTTCAAACTTACGGATGATCGACCGAGTTCGATTTACGAGGTTGAATCACCCAGTCGATACCGGATGCGCGGATGAATCGCCGCGATGCTTTTAGGATCTCGCAAAGTTCCCGTCTAGGTAATTTGACCTGCTCGTACAGCCTTCAATCCTCTACGAAGCTCCTCGTAGGTCGGAATGGACAGCTCGATATTCCGCAGGTACAGCGATGCCGATATCGAGTCGCTCTCCCCGGTATGGTAGGAAGGGAAGACTCGAACGGTCCTGAAAGCCTGGCAGCTGCTCAGCCTCCAGGTCAAACAAAGTCTCCGGTCCTGGTACGGCCTCGAAATCTTCTGGGTAGGGCCCAATGTCCGACTGCGTTGTGGGAAAGTCGGAGAGTATAGGGAGACCGTCCGAGTAAGGTTGGTCCCGCCTGTCACAGAAGACGATCGCTTGCTAGCTCGTCGGGTCTTTCTGCTTTAGCTCTATCAAACGGACTCGACCGATTGACGAACCGGGCCAAGATAAATCGAAGATATTGAAGGGTTTCCTTTTTTGAACGAGCCAGACCTATGGCGAATGATCATGATGACGGTGGGCACCGTATAACGTAGAGTTACAAACTAAAGTGGTCATCCCCCAGACCCCACCTCTCGCCTCTGCTGACCATTTCCGCCTTACGGCTGTCGGCCCGTCTAGCACCTTCTCGTCCTCAGTGCGTCACACTAGGCTGTGTCGGCTCCGTTCGGTTGTGGGAGGAAAGCCTCTGTCCCGGGCAATAGGATGATTCTACGGGGAGAACAAGGGCAAGGAAAGCATCCTCGCAGTTACGGTGGGAGGCAGGAAGTTTCCTTTGGTTGTCATATTGGCAAACCTGGCTTCGGATTCAGACGTTTACGATTACGCCGGTATTCGCTCACCAGCTCGAGAGGGAGGGCGCCTACGCCGTGCGACGGCGTCGTGTGTCACGAGGATAACACGACAACGCCGACGAACGGCGGCTTGAGAGGTCTCGGAAGCGAGTTGACGGCACAGAGATCAGCGGGAGGTGGGATATACTTCCGAAGCACAGGGAGAACCAGACGATGGTGGGTCTCTTCACTCTGAGACCAGTGAATGGCGGGCAATCGAGAGACAAAAGAGGTCCCTTGTATCGGGTGAATGAATAACAGATATCCACCTATCCACATCAGCGATTCACGTCCAGGGCCACACAACCTGTGTCATCCGGTCCAGATGACTGACGAGCAACGAGTGGCGCCCATTCTGGAATCCGTCTGTGCACTTCTGGTTCCTCTGTGTGAAATGCAAACGGGCAAAAGGCGTCGGCGTGGTTTCTGGGGTGGTCGCGCACGATACCCCTAGCACAGCACCGAGAGCCACGACCCCTGCCCTGAAGCTAAAAGTGGTCAGCTCGCAACGGATCTCGCTGGATCTGCTTTTCGGTAGGGAACAAGGGATCTCGCGCATTCGCGCGGTGATTAACCTTTTTGCAGCCGCAAGACAAGGTCTCGCTCGGAACGACATTTTCTCCCGAAAGAGTTTCGAGCTTGATCAATCTGTCTTGGCAGCCCAACTAATGGCGATGTGCGTGGTACACTAGTCGCCAGTCGTCAAGCGAGATGCCAATACTGCAACAATACTTGACATATGCGTTGATGAGACAAACAATCGAAAACCCTCCTGAGCCAGTAACAAAGGTAGCAGTAGGTTACCGATCCTAATTCTCCGATCAAGATCACCCGCAGCGGCGCGCCGGGACGGCGCACCCCAGGGTTATTTTGACTATTTTGACGGTATTCGCGATAAGATTTCGATAGCGTCGACGATAAATTTAGCTCGACTCCCTTCCGGACCAGTTTTGAATGTGGGCTGTGCCGTCTCTGTCGAATCCTTGACCGGCTCGCGGAAAATCACCCCGTTCAGTTCCCGCACGATATATTGCTGATCTCTCGACTCTGGCGGTTGAGCGCAATTCGGTAGCGATCCTTCCACCATAAACTCTTCGTGGTCACGCCCTGATTTATCCGCTTCTTCTGCCTGTGCTCTCTGCTTGATCTCCTCCTCGGCGATCCGACCTAGCGTCTCCCTTGCCTCTTTCTTCATCAGCGCACAGACCTTTTGTACAGAAGAGCCTCGCCAGTTTGCCCAGATGACATCGACGATATGAACCTCCATCTCAGGTGCCAATCCAGTCATGGTGATACTTCCTCCAGCGACGATAAGAGGTAACGGCGATGGAGTGATCGGATGTGGATACCGAAGGATATCGCAAATACGGGAAAGCAGGGCGAGGTGGGCAAGAGAAGTCATAGGCAAAGTCGCACACGATGCGCATGTCACTGCGACCAGCAGGATCTCTATTGCTCGACCCAGTTGAGGAAAGATGTCCACCAGCGCCATGTCCTTAGGTTTACCCAGAGTATTGATGGCAAAAAGCGTATGCGAAATATCCGCCAGGTGATGGCAAGCAGTGTCGATTTCTCCTTCAGAGTCTTTCGTGATCGATGAGGTTGGCATGGTGGTCGCGGTCGAGTTCCAATTCAACGTCGGGGTGAATTTCGGCTTATCAGACTGAACGCTGACCACAGTGACCTGGCGAACCCCGTTCTCGTCCTCCTCCATCTCGTTATTTAACAACCCCGACATGTCCACGTCAACGTCCGGCGACGCCCTGTGATCCGGTAGACCGGCTGTCGATGCCATAAAGCCGTCATGCCTCGACATGACGCCGTTGCTAACGACAGTCTCGACCGCATACGGACTAGGAGCTGGGAACTCCGTCCCACTTGTCGTTCCGAAATCTCCTATCACGCTGACAGGCCCCGTTACATGGGGAATCGAACCGAAATGTTGGGTCGGGAATGGCGACTGTGGAACTGAGTGAGCTCTTTGTAGAGACGAATGCGTTCGATACGCCGCTGCCTGACCTAATCCAACGAATTCCCAGGTTGTCGAACTCATCTCGGAGGGAGGACGGGTATCCCGGGAATCGATATGCATTGGTGTCAAGGGACTCGAAGCGTAATGGCTCTGTGTGATGATGGTTTGCGGGTCGTAAGGCTTTGGCATGGGGATAGACGTGCTCCAACCGTTTGTTGTGGGTGGTCTGACCAGGGCCATGGCATCGTCGAACGTCGAAAGCACCGGTGTCCTGCTAGAGGCGGCGAGATCCAAGCCTTCTGTGAGATAATGACTCCGAGGCGAATATGGCGGTGCTTGAGAAGCCAAGAAGGATGTCATTTCGAGTGGTGGTAACGATGAGACAGGCGGCATCGAGTTGCTCCTGGCAAAGAACCGCATGTCGGCCGATTCTTCAACCGCAAAGTGGATGAGCGTCGGGGAGTCATCTTCCGGCACCACGTTCGTCCCAATCTCGATCTCGACGTCTTCCTCTTCAAACGGCTGTTCGTCGTACGGATCCGAATGTACTTGCAAATCGGCAGGCGTTTCCTCGGAGATGGATTCCATGATCATCTTGTCGATTTCTGGCACCCGATCCTCGACAGGCGGTAAGGGAGGGATAGGTAGCGATATCGGTGTGAGAGACGGATTACGAGGCTCAACAAGAGAGAGAAATGCAGATAGATCCAGGCTGTTAAGGTGTCCGTCTGCTTGTAAACATTGCAGCTATGGAGGCAGACATAAGTATCGATTTGAGGATAGATCTAGCATCGTGAACCACTCACATATTCCCTTGCGGTCATCAACAATTCCTTGCCTTGGGCATCTCTCCTCACATAGCCGCTACCACCCTCCCCCCTCGCTCTGATGAACCCTTTATCGTGACCATTGTCAGGACTGTCTGAGTAGCTGTAGGTGACATCGAGCTCGCCAGCGTCCCCTCCTTTCCTTCGTTTGGTAGGCCGCTTGACCGGACTATCACGCAGCCTGCTAGGTCCTGCTTCAGGTTCCTCCTTTCTCTCTGGCAAGAAATCCAAGCCCGACGAGTCCGCATCTGATCCGTTCTTTTCTTTTCGAACTCTGGTAACTTCGGTCGGTTCTGCACTCGCCTTCCTAGGGACTACTTTTCGGCGAGCTCGAGGAGCATAGACGCAATTCCACCCGCTTTGCCTACACCTTACACAAGAAGGTTTGTGCCCTGAGCATTTCTGCAAGTGGTTCCTGGTGATCAGCTAGAGACACGTCGGTTCTTGCACCTATTATAAACTCACCTGCTTGGCACGATGACATGCATCGCATGCTAAGCTCAGGAATTATGTATTAGCTACCTATCGATCGCCCCTGATACCGGGGATCGTCCTCACATTTCCTCAGGGTAGTTGGCCTGGTCAATGGAGTATAGGACAAGGTCAGGCCACTAAGCGAGACGTATGCAAGCTTGTATCGACTTACCGGTCTTCCAGCTTGGAGGGTGTTGATGATCCGGCATCACTCATCATAACCAGACAGGTTGTTCCATTCCGAGCCTCCTGCTGCCTAGATGGTCTAATACTTTGAATTCCAGCTAGATCTGCATCTGATCACTTCTGATACGGAGCTTGCGAATCATCATTGAGTGCGATTAGATGGTAGTTTGTAGAATTTGTAGCTGATATCTAGTTACACGTAGTTGTGAAAAGGACGCGCCCCTTCAACGGCAAGGTTCGCAATGAATCGCAATCCTGCATCCTCTGAGCTTACGGTTTCTTGATCAAAAAGAAAGCTCGTGTGATCATACAAGGCAGTACGAAGGGCGTGCGAATGGTCCGAAACTGGCATAGTATTCGAAAATGCAATCGGCGATCGTAACCGCATACAACTTCTCTCGAGATTAACCCAGAACACGAATCCTTATCCCGTCCTTCCGTATGTAGTATCGTCTGGTTCTGCATCATCCCGCCTGCTTTCTCAATAAGCTATACACCGATAGCATGCGCTTCGATCCCCGTAACACGGCAGCCCTTCTTGCGAGGTACATTATCCGTCAACTTGTTGCAACCTGGACGGTATTCGGTAATCGAGGTCAGCTGCTATACAAACCCACCTGTCCATCGATACCATTGCCCACTCACCCCAGGCCTTGACTGTCTCAATCTGCTCGCACCCATCCAGGATCGCCTTCATGGTAAAGTCCGTCAACATCCTACACCACCCGACGTTGAGTTGTTTCAAGTTCGGACAGCTGGTCCCGATGGCATTCAAGGCTTCCTCCGAGACCGTCCTCCATCCCTTGATATCAAGCTTCTCCAACGACCTTCCCGAATGATCCAACAGTGCGCCCAGAGCTTCTTCTTTGAGGTCGTGATTCATGTTAAACTCGGCTGCGAACAAGCCATCGTGTCCATGCTCTTTCCAAGCCTTGAAGAATTCGGCCACTCCCTCGTTGGTTATCCCGCTCTTCTCGTATAGGTCGTCTTCCTGGGGCGGAGTGTAATCGGCTACGTTGGCCATGTTGAGCCGCCGGATCTGCGGACAGTTCGGGACGATCCCTTTCATCAAGACCTTGTCGGTGAGCCGGATGTGATCCTCCAAGCTCAACGACTCCAGATTGGCTCCGACTTGCTGCAACAAGTCGATCACCGGCTGATCCGTCAGCGACGCATGTCCAGGAGCCGAGAGGTCAAGCAGCTCCAACTTCTTCAGTCGACCGATGATGGGTAGCCAGTCGTCCGCTAGCAAGCCGAATTCGCGCATCTTGAGCTCCTTGATGTTCGGACAGTGCTCGACCATGGTCTCCAGGCATTCCTTGTCGAATCTCGGCGACTGCCTATGTTGCCATCGAATCCCTATTAGCAATCGATCCATCTGAGAGAGACGACGTTCGACTCACGTAATTAGCAATCCCTCAAGCGTCTTCCCCTTATCCTTGAAGAACCTGATCCACCCTTCCTTCCTGACGTTGAACGGTCCCCAGAGCTCGACCCTCCTGAGATGAGGCAGAACCTGTCCCCACTTGATCATCGTATCCGTATCCAGCTGACCACAAAGCTCGAGCGAGAGTTCTTCCAAGTTCGGGCAGAGGGCAGCTAGGGTGACGTAGCTCGCCGGGATGAGATCTGGGATCAAATATGGCATGTTTTCAGTACGCGTGGCTGGCATATGGACGTGCAAGGGGGTCGGTATGCGAACTTACTGGTACAATCATACATCTTCAACTGGGTCCTCTCTGCAGCATAAAACAACGTCGCCGTATCCGCCGTCCTGCCCCGCAGAATCAACAGAATCGCATCAGCTTCCAAGCCAAACAGCTTCGCGATGGAGCTTGACTCACAATCTCCTACTTTTCGAGATGATCCTGCACACCTTGTCCATCGACTTGGACCCGATATTCCCCAGCGCCTCTACGTCCTCGATATACTTCCCGATCAACTGACCAAGCCCGATGTAGAAAAATCACAATCAGCGGCCCATTGAGCAGCATCCCGCAGCTTCCCTTGAGGCCTGGTACTGACCTTGATGCAAAGATCCCCCAAAGGCAAAGCCCCCTTGATCTCCTCATAACTGATAACCTTGGCTCGCTTCTCCTTGACAGCCGGTTTCCTCGCCGTCTTCTTTTTCGGCTTAGCTAAAGGGTCTATACCGAAGGAGACGGTACATTCGTAACATAGGTAGCCGGTTCGTGCTGGATGAGGCTTCGTGTAGGCGGTCTACGGAGGAGAGTAACGGTGGTATGATGGCGCGAGGTAGTGGGGACAGGTGATTCAGCTTTCCCATTCGTCTAATCACCTCGAGTGAAAGAATCGAAGGGGAAGAGCGAGGACGTACGACAGTGAACTGGACCTCGCATTTCCCGCAATTCATGAACTCCCCAATCGCCCTCAAGCTGTTGGCTACGGTGTCATCCACGAAGTCATCATCGTCGTCGTTATTGATCGTCTTCCTGCTCTTCTTCGCTGGCACGAAGTTGTCGTCATCCAGGTCGTCCGAGTCGATATCCTACAAGGTAGAACGTAACAGCTATCGAGTGTCAGAGATTGAACAGGCAGATGAGCAGCGATTGAAAGAAAGCGGAACTCACATCCTCGACCCTTCCTCTGCTCGGTTTCGCTCTCTTGCTCCCCCTCGGAGCAACAGCCGGTGTGACGCTCCTACTCGCCGCATCTTCCGAGCCTCTCGAGTTCGAAGGACCCGCTTGTGCTTGAGGAGTCGATGGTCCTGCTTCTTCAGGTCCAGGGGTAGTAGGTTCAGCTGGAGGTTGTTGAGACGAGCCCCATCCTGAACGACCGATTGTAGCTTGAATGCCGTGTTCCTAGCTCACGGCAACCATCATTCAGCTTTAAGCCACGAGGTCAGATATAGTGTTTCGCTATACTGACTCTGAGGAAACTAGTCAAGGCAGAAGTAGGACCGGCGACATTGTTTCGTCTTCTCGCTACAGGAGGTGGAGGAGGTGGAGCTGCTGCAGCAGGGGCAGGTTCGGCAGGTGCTTCTTGAGGCGGAGGGTTGGCCGGAGCGGGCGTCGCCGCGCTGGAACTTGCTGCACTGCGTCGAGCCATCGTATATAATCGAATCTATATCTATGAGAGTCCAATGAGAGATCGATAAGATACAACAATCTAGGACATCACAACACAATTATCATTGCAAAGTTCTCCATTCTCGGTCTTCAGTCGAGTGGCGACTGCTGATCGTCGGAACCAAATGATCAAGCAATCTGCTTCCGAAGAGCTTCCGCCTCCTTGCGTTAACGTCCTTGCTCAACTTCTCTCCAGGTCGGGATCGTTTCAGGATCTGCATCGTTGTGATGTACCCAGTCAACGGCATCCTTGCCCTGAATCAAGTCCGACCTGAGCTTGACAAAGAGAGGCCATCCCGGACAATCGCGCTCGATGGTCTGTATCCAGCATTGGTATAGTTCCTCAATGATGTGGTCTCGCAGCTCTCGCTGCGTCGCGCCACACGCGCCTTTCAGCACCCAACAACCAGCCTCTGAAGTGCTGGTCTGCGTCGAGACGAGGACGAGCACCCAGGTCTTCCTCAGGTAGATAGCCCTTTCTACGTAGCCCACCGTCTCCCCTTTGAACTCTACAAACGACTTTGTCATCAGATGATCATAGAAATGCGGAGCGAAACCATATCGATTCTGCACAGGCTCTTCGGACAGAGCGCTGAGATCCTCGTTTCCCGACGCAGAGAGGTCGGACTCGTGGTCAGACTCTTGCAAGACTCAGCAAGGGACTCGTTCTTCCAGAGTTCTTTCCTGGTTCGATGTCCCATTGGTGGCAACGCTCGCGGTGATGGCATCGGTATTTAGGCTCATGATTGATGACTTGACGGGTGGATGCGATATTCCAGATGACACCACAATAGGACCGACAAAAACCTGCTACTTTATACCTGTATTTATACGCTTTTCTCTGCGTACTCCTTTGTGTAGTGGGAGATCGGTGCGCACAAGGGAATGCATCGATGCTTTCCTTACATCCTACGCACTCCATTCATGCAACGCTCTCCTTTCTTTGATCGGGGACCAAACATGCCTAATCGATGCGGTCATGACGATGCCGTGTCACACATGCTGATACTGACTGCTGTCTCGTTTGTACTGGGTACATCTGGGAATCTTTAGCTTTCTCTCTCTTACTTCGATTAGGAGAAAAATTTTAGCTTTGATGACTATTTAGAAACCATGCGGTAGCAGATTGGTCCGACGTTACCTACTGCCGATATGTGGACCTAGGTGTGAAAGGATTCGCGTCTTATATAGCTGAGCCTTGAACACTGGACTGGTTCGACGTGAGCGGATTCGAGCGTGTAGCACATGAGACCCATACGACACGCTGACACAGCATGATACCTGCTGAACATCGCAAAAGACTGTAGCCTCGTCATAACCACTTGCGGGGAGCGAGAACGGTCATCAGACTTTCGCATAACACTCCAATAGTCAAACTAAGGTCTAAGAAATCTACAAGTCCTTCTCATCATTCCTGGTCGGGTGGCGACTGCCCATCGTCGGAAACCGATTAGTGCTTTGAATGATTCCGACATCAACCTTCCAGCATCGCCTCGCCTCCCTCCTCGAAGTGTCTCGCCTGACGCTGGTATCTCTCTGCAGGAGACTCGTCGGTCCAGGCAGGGACCGTCTTGGGATCATCCTGCTGATCGAGATGAAGCCAGAAGATCTGTCCCTCTCGAGGTGTCAGGCTGAACCCAACCTTCGAGAGGAAAGATCTCGCCGAGGTGCCGCGCTGGGTGTTTTGCGACATGCACTCGGAAACTTGGGAGATCATGTCTTGTCGATGATCGCCACCGCCGTAAGAACCTTTCAGCACCCAACATCCTTGGCCCGAGGTCTCTGAGGGGAAAGCTACCAACGCCAGGACCCAAGTGGTTTTCCGGTAGATGGCACCCTTGATGTACCCGACCATCTTCCCGCCGACATAGACATACGAGACAATCATGGCTGGATCGTAGAAATGCTGCGACGCAAGTTTGTATTCGTCTAAACTATCGTGGGAGACTTCTGATCCAGCTTCTGACGCCTCTTCATCGGAAACAGACTGATCGGGGATGTTTCCCGTATCATGCGTGTTCCTCGAAGAAACGCCGTCCTCCAGTGTCTGTGGCTGAACCGAAGTCCGGTTGCTGCATAAGCTGTTGGCGTCGTTGTTGGAAGACATGGTCGCGATCGAAGAATTCTCTTACTGATCGATATGAGCAGTTGCATTGATACCAGGTCTCGCAATTCTATAACGAGATCCAGCATTACTTTCAACACGCCATTTCCCATATTTATACGCTTCTGGCTAGGATGTTGAGGTTGGACTCTTTTGTCGGTGGCGACTCCGCCTGCAAAACGGAACACACTCATGCTTTCCTTAGATGATGATTACTCCTTTGTTCTAATGAATGGAGCTCTTCTATCTGGTCTATCAAAGCATCATGGACATGCCGCGCCAATGAGGTAATGATAATGCGGTATGTAACGAGCGTTGAGGCGGATCGTGACCTCAACTGCAGTTTCGGAAGGGAACTGGCGTATCTGCGCTTACAGTGAAGCGTGGAGATTATGCCATCCATGCCGAGAGTACTGAGAGAGAAATCGGACATCCACCGAGTTCAAACATACCATCACGAAAATCCCGGAACAACCTTTTTTTCGGTCCAAGTTTAAACGTCGAATTACGCATCTATTCTATTGGCGAAGTCACCATCGTGAGTATCTGCCTGGAACTAAACAATACTCGACTTCATGATTTTCGACCGCTCGTCTTTGTATGTAGCCCTGTGACTATGGAAAATCGATCGGATGTTGCTTGGCGGCTGACGGAAGATACGAGAGCAGGCGAGACGCAGAGATGAAGATCCACCATGAGTTAGCAGCTGAAGCATCTGGCGGAATGTCTATGATAGTAGTACAACAAGAGCTGATAGAAGAGCAATGTCTATGATATTAGTACAATAAGAGCTGATGGAAGAGCAGACATTTCTAGCGGACAACACTATCAAGAATATCATCACACCCAGATGAAGATCGTCCGACATGAGAATCAAGAGTAGAGCTTATCGACCTGTTCCAGCGAGTCTCCCCAGCGATCGGTACTGAACCTTGGCAATACGGCTGCCTCTGGTCGGTCAATCTCAGTCCAGAGCTCACGTCCCTCGTTCATCCACATGGACGCTTGTGCCGCCAGCGTATGAACCTTGCTGCCTTTATCGCTGAAGCCGAGCAGTCTCACTTGCAACCGTTTCCTCATCTCTTCCTCGGCATTCTCCTCCCAACTTTCTAAGAACGTCGCGCTCTCAACCGTAGGCGTAGTCCAGATAGGCAACGTCCCGGATAAGACGATATGGAATCGTCTAAGGATTTCTTCGTAAGTAGGATTAGGCACTGAGACGATCTTCAGTACCAGAGTCTTCGTCCGATCAACTCTGCTTCGATATACTATCCCCTCGATGTAACCGACCACGAAGACCTCTTCGTTAACCGGCTTTCCTACTTTAGTGACTTTGGACAGCGGGTCGTATCGCACCATCTCGAAATCAGATGTATGCGGAGGTTCGCTGGTTCTGCCTGACCTGTCTGACCCTGATGCGCCGATCGTGCTTGGCTGGTCCCCCGAGGCTTCGCTTCGACCAGGTCGTTCGACGTCGTAAGCCAGCAGGCCTGAGATACTGAGTCCACTATCATCGCTATGAGAAGACGTGGCCCTGGAGCTCATGCCAATCGAAGCTCTTGCGGAACGATCAGTGTATTGCGAGCACAGCGTTTCCCCATCAAACGAACGGGACGACTCTGGCATAGTACTGGAAGGAGGCATACTTGGTCGTGGTATGTATGTGACGGAAAGGATTGATTTCTGGCTGATCCTTGCCTTCAAGGAGGAGGGAATGAGGAGCTCATCGTAGCCTCTTGTCCGCTCCCTATATACTCTGAACGCTGAGTTCATCACGCAATATTGTCTAGGATGGCAGGAGAGCACGCTCAACAAAGGAAGTGATACGTCTCGAGAGTGACACTAAATCCTTCGCATTTTACGTCATACGCCACCTCTCGTCGACGACCGCCATGTGACGATATTGTTACGTCACAACATGATGTGATGCTCGCAGACATCAGGGAATTCCTGTCAGCCGACAGCGCGACAGCGCGTGCTCTGGCTGCGACCTCGTCAAGATGAGCGCCCCCAAGGATTTTACTCGGGCCTAGATGTGACGGGCGGAATATCCTGCTGGAAAAGAGTCTAATAGATTCCTCAGCGACCGGTACATCATTATCCAGCAGAACAGGGACTTCAGTAGACTTCGAGCTAAAACCGGCTCTCGCCCCTCTTCCCTTCCTATACTAAGTGTTCTCAGACGTATCTCCTGTATGTTACACTACTGTTACATTCTTGACAACATAAACTGACTATAAAACCGAAATTACTCATGACGACGGCCCTGGAACGATCGGAATAAGTGTGCGGCTCGCAACAAATCTGTTGCACTGGATCTGGCTCACCGATCATCCTTCCTCTCACAGCAATACTGTCTCTGAGTCTGACATTGCAGGCATTTCTCCGTCCACCCTGTTGCAAATGTCGGCCTCTAACATCAAATACACTGTTCGAGTGATGAGATGGCGCTGATCTCCGAAGGACTTGGTTCTGGCGAGCATGGCTAGGTGTTTCTTGGCAGCATCCAAGGGTATCTGTCCATCGTGGACCCCTTGGAATATCATGAACATGTATTGGCTTCCTTCCCCCGTGGGCTGTCTGCACTGAGGGCCTTCGATCTCGTACCATCGCAGGACGTCGATTGGCACATTGAATGGTATCGCTCTGAGGATGAGCAGCACAGTCCTCCGCCGGTGGAAATAGAAACCTTTGATATATCCCACAGGATATTCCTTCAAAGATTTCTGATGCAGAGTAGACCATATCCAGGTTACCTTGCCGTCAGGATGATAATACCCTTGCGCTTGCTTTTCCACGTGGACAGGGATTGGCTGTTGCACAATCTGACGATGGCTGGTGAAGCGCTCTGGTAATCCATGTGCAAGACTATCTGTCCCGAGGGTACTGAATCGTTTCGAGGTGTCACTTCCCGCGATGGTGTCGTCACCGTTCTGGCGACTTGGCAACTTGAAATCGGTGTCATCGGCTGTCGTATCGTATTGCGAGTCATAAGATTCATCGGGTACTTGGCTCGAGCGGATCCTCTCGCAGCCTAAGAAGCTTCTCGGCGGCTTGAAAGAATTCCCTTGTACCAGTATCCACAACTTCGTCCATGAACGCTCTGTCAAGTGGGCGCTGGCATAATATCTGACTATCTCACCGAATTCTCCTATCGGCGTTCCTCTGTCGACGAGCCCTTTCATCTCCCGAAGAGTCCTCCCTAGACTGTGAGGATAGTATCTCGATGAGAGCACACGGCATCCAACCTTTGTTTTCTCAAACTCCTTCAAAGGAATCGTCAAAAGCACGAGGACAAATTTTCTGTCGCCTTCGTAGATCATGCCCTTGATACAACCCACTCTGACAGGCTTATCAGCTTGTCCGCCGATATTCGCCTGCACCCAGGTCACCTTGCCGCGTGGATCGTAGAAGCGAGTGACATCTAACATCACATCGTGGTAGTCATCTTTCTCCGCATCGATGTACGAATATCCGCTTACAAGGTCCGGCTGATGATTGGCCGAGCTGAGCTGATCAGTGGCCGTCAAAGCATGCCTTGACGATAGACTTCTCGGCCCGACTAGATTCGATTGCGAGGCCGAGCTGGGAGGCTGCTGCGCACTGGTCATCGGATCGTGTTTGTTTGACAACACAGAAGTCATATCCGTGTAAGTGGAAGCTTGTCTCCGTGAGGTTTGAGGCGAAAAGTGGCGGGGACGGCGTGGAGCCATGATATTCCGGCACGAGATTCGGTTTGAGTGTGCAAAATAGTATAGTGTACAGTATGATGGAAACGATCAGGCAGATCAATGTCAGTGGGATCATAGACCTGATGTTCGTAGCCATACTATATACAGATCGATCAACCACCTTCCCGCTACGTCATCCTCTTGGTGTTCCGCCTGCTTGTCTCGTCCGTCACGAATTGCGTATAAACAAAGGAAAGCTGAAACACGCAACATGTCCAGCGCGGCGCGCTTCCCGTCGGGTCGATCAATCCAAGCGGAACCGTCAAGGCTATCTCTTGTAGATATTACTTTTGACTCAGCATCATATCAGTTCGCCATTCTTCTGAGTAATGATACATTTCACTACCTCATGGTACAATACAGTGCGGAAATGAAACAAGGATCATGACATCTTTATCGTGGCTAGAAACAGGGGCGGCGTCAACCTTCGTGAAAGCTGCACTCCCCTACGTTTGTTACGACTTACCATCAATACATCTTCCATACTCGTTCCCCTACGCGAATCGGACTAAGCTCCTGTCCATAAAACCGAGGAATTTGCCCTTCGACAGGAGTCCATAGACGACCAATCCGATCACGGAGGGCTGAGCGGGCTACTCCTGTAATTTTGGAGGTGAAGGTTCCCAGAATGTCGCTTTCCAGTTCGTCAACTCTTTTCTCGAGGTTGTTGAGAGCCGATCCTCGGAATTGTAACAGGATATGTATATTCTTCTCCGGTAACTTAACCGCTCTCCGAGGAGCCAGTCCCCGATGGGCGCCGCGCGTTTCTGAGGAATAGTCGGGGAGAGCGTAACTCGGCACAAGGGAATGCAGGGCGGTAAGGATTAACACCCAGGTGTCATGCTCTTAGTGATGCATCCCTTTGATGTGACCGACTATTCCTTCGTTTGTCGAGCCCGCACCGTCTGGAAAATCGCAAATCACCCAACTGACTCTTCCTCTATGGTTGAAGTATTGATTGGCTTGTTCTTCGATGTCCTCACCAACCTTATACAAGAAGGTGGAGCGACCCAATGACCGCTGCATGGCAAGTGGCTTCGTTCCCGTCTCGGAAAGTATGCTGCTATGGTCCTCCTGGCCGTATTCACTGCCTGTTTCACTTGGATCTCGATCCCGCAGGGTGGAAGCAACGGAGACCTTGGCTGGTCCCCAATGGCCTTCGGCAGGGTTGTATTCGAGTCGAGTAGCGTAGCTTTCTGGGGTGAGGGGCTGCTGATCCTCAATCATGCGAGTCCTCATCGTGAGTCTCGAGCTCGAACTGTGTAGCGAGTCCCCGGATCTAGGAACCCGTCGGTCATATTGCTAACTCACCACCAACTCACTATTGGTGTGAGCGATCGAGGTTGGCGGGCTGGACTGACGTTCATCGGCATCAAAGATGCCAGATGCATCATCTTGTCCACTGGACGACTTGGTTCGCAACCTTCTATTGCCCTTCCGTCGACTCAATCTCGAGCCCCCCTCACCAACTTCGGAACCAGAAGGAAATTCAGGCATCGGACTATAGAAATCGAAGTTCTGTCTTGCTGTGAGTAGTTTCTACGGGGCAAGTGGATAGACAAGAAAAGAGACCTTTTTCTCCGCTGTCTATATACGTATCTCATCATCCCGGTCGCATCTAGACAACACGCTTGTTCTCACCGATCTCGCGCTTCTGAGCCAACCGCGTTTTGACAAAGGATGGCTGAAACACGCGGCGGGATCAAAGGGAGGTACAGTTTCAACAGGGCAGTCATGCGGAATATGCCGGATTTATACGGCACTGGTCAAATTCTTAGCCTCCTTGCAACGTGAAGTCGTTCGGCAGCGGCGAGAGCCTTCCACATAGTAAGGATCGTGTTTCTACAAACGTTCTAGTGTTCCGTCGTCAGAGCCACGTCTTCGGGTCAGTAAGCTTTGGCAGTACTCTACTGTAACGTTTTGCGATTTCGCGTCGTGTCGCAAGATGCTGCATATCCGGGTGGAGCCTCGTGAAAGCCCACGCTAAATCAGAACCGATATCCCTTGACACTTGTCAAGTACAAAGCGACTATACAACTTGGATCATTCGGCAAGATCGCTTAACTAGATCGCAATTGGGAAGGCAACACAAGCTTTCGGAAACAAATCGAGCTAGCCTACATGCTCAACAAAACGTTTCCGATTTTTATCTATCAGAAATCCGTCCCACCTTATTGTTCGGAGTCTGAACGAAGGTCGTAAGGTCTTCGATATGATTCCTCACCATACTGCTGAATGGTTCTGGAACGTAATAAGTAGACTACATGGATACAGCGCCAGCGCATGAGTGGACCACCTCAATAGTGATTGGCCTGTGGAAGACTTCTAAGCAGGATTGATCCTCGACATCAGGATCCAGACACCCGAGGACCGTTGCAGCAACCTGCATGGACTTTCGCATCCTCCTCTTAGGTGTTAGTCGAAGCTCAAGGCCAGTTATAAGCGAGGTTATCGAATTTCCCCTTGGACAGGGTTGACTTAGACTTAGATTGACTGCTCGATAGGCAATAGCTGCCCCGGCACTGATGAAAGTCATACGTGTCCCGGACAGCGTCCCTCAGAAAGCTCCAAATCCATGATCACGGTTTCTAGCACGATGCGCCTGCAGTAAATAGCTATCTGTGATACATCGACTCGAGACACGAACAAAGCGACGACTTTGACGACTATAGAAGACTTTTTGATTCTCTCGCTTACCATTCTATCTGCCCTATCATCCCTTCCACATAGATGAGCTTGAATAAATCCACCCGATCAAGCTCAAGATATGCACTCTCGTATGCATATCTGGCCCATGAGTCGACGGGAGATGCTTCCGCCCGTGCTTTGAGCCATTCCACCGCACTCAAAGGCGACTTCCAGTAACTGATAGATTCCATCCCTTCGTCCTTGTTCTCCTGCATCGGCGCTACCCTGATAACCAATAGACAGAAGGTTTCCTCCTTGCCTTTGACCCCGAATTGACCCATCCAATACTGAGTGTACTTTTTGTCGTGGTATGGTCCGGTCAACATGGACTCGTGATATTGGGTGAACAGTCGGCACAAGAAACTCTGTTTCTCCCCGTCTGCAAGCGTTTTGCTGTGAACGATCGTCTGCTCTCCCTCATCCCCGTGATAAGATGTGTTGGAATCTCCCCCTAATGTAGTTGAGCCGATCGAGACAGTGGCAGAGGGCATGATAACGGATTGGTTAAAGCTTGACGTAGACATTGAGTGTGTCAGGGTATGTCCGAGTTCAGATATAAGGATGACCTGGAGGTCCAGGAAATCGGTCTCGCGGAACTGTTGAGTGGGAACAAGCTGGGAGGTGGCAATGACGAGCTCTAATACCCTTTCCAAGGTCGATGGTTCACACTGCGCTTTTCCAGTTCTCTTTGTTTTGGTCATTCTTTTGTTGCGAGATACGTCTTTTGTTTTCAGCGACCGATTTGCGGCTAGACACACGGGTGTCAAGGTTTAAAGGCAACCTTTGAGGCTGGCTGAAAGCTGTAAGACTCGCCCTCGGACCGCCGACTAACTTGGCATTTCTGCGGCGGATGAAATTCCTTTCATAGGATGCGGGACGCAAATACCGAAACACGGGACGGGACACAGCGGAAGTTAAAAGATCGCAAAGGAGCCTTTCTGCGTCGGCAGCTAGCATCAAGTCGGTTCGATGACGAGTCAACATCCAACTCGACACAGCCCGATCCCAACTCAACCCCACCCAATCATCTTCGTGCCAGCGTCTTCAGCCCAAGCTCCGACCTGTTTTAGACAAGAAGCGCGGCATTATGCCAGTACATCTAGCAGTTATGATCGCTGCTGTTCTCCCATCGCGGCGACCTCCCATCATAGTCGCCTTCGGTCTTGTCAGGTTGCGACGGGTTCTCATATGATGAGCACAACGAAAACATCACCATAGCGAGAACGCAAATTTTATCCAAGCTCTTTGAGCGAACCCCAAACAAGCTGTCTAATTCCACACAGGAATTACCTTGATAGAAAGCGAAAGCGTTCTCACGGCGTTCTTCAGGGATCTTGACATCTTTCTCTCTACGCATACCTGTTCCAATCTGAACCAACGATCCTACTCCACGCTCACAACATACAGCTCAGGTCATGACGACAATGATAATTTTCCACGCAGACATAACGTTGTCGTCGTAACTCGCATGGCAAATCGAAAAAAATATATACAACCACCGGAATCTACATGTTGCGGACCTTTCTCTCGACCTTTTTCTTGGCGCGGTGCGTACTGAACCGGAACGCCAGCGAGATCTCGTGCCAATTCCTCTTGATGTTATCGATACAACCGGGACTGTCGGCGTAAAAGCGAAATGTCGTCAGTTTCATAAGCATTGGTATAACGTTAACGGAAAGAATATCGCTGCGACTCACGTCCACTCGGGCTCCTTCTGATCCTCTCTCGTACCTCTAAACTCCATCGGCCTATACTTATCCAACTCCTCTTCTCCCGCTCTAAACTCCCTCTCTCCCCTCGCCCAACGGGAAGGCAAGTACCCCATATCCCCTCCACTAAAGACCGAGGACGAAGCGTGTTGCACGCCCGAGACCGACCTGCCGGCATGAGCGTCCGCTTGCAGATGGTGCGGGAACGAAGAAGCGTGCGGTTGTGATTGCGTCGAAGGTCGTCTCCCCCCCGCACCAGCAACGTACATCCTCGACGACTCGCCCGATTCTCTTCGTTTGCCCTTTCCACCCGACTTGATCGAGCTCGCCGGCGATTTCCCTCGTCTCTCGCTAGAAAACATCGGGTTGAACGGAGCTATGGGCGGTCTCAAGGGTTCTTCCTCGATGACCACATCGTTCACCCTATGCGTATTCGTGTGCGCATGTGTAGGCGTATCATGATGGGACACCTTGCTGGTCCGATGATGATGATGTTGCGGGGCGTTCCGTTCCTTGATCTTCTGTGCCGCTACCTGCGCCGGAGTGGCCGGGAACAACAAGCTCCTCGGCCGTTCTTCCAACCTAGCCAGGGCGGAGGTATGCGACGTTTTCACCGAGGACGAGTTCCTCTGTCCCTGTCCTTGTCCCTGACCGTACTGGTTGGAAGACGGATGAGACGATGTCGGCGAGAGTGGCCCATTCGCATGAACATTGACGTTGATCCCATCCTTGAACTTGGCATGCAAGGGCGAAAGCGGATCCCCAAACTCCGACTCGCCCCCAGCCGGCCGAGGAGAAGTAGCCGAGATACCGGAATCGTACTCGCTCCAAAGGGTATTCGACCTCGTCCTCGTCCCCATCGACTCGGGATTCTCATTCCCATCGGCATTCACATTCGGCGAGCCGTACCCCTGGGTCTCATCCTCGTGCTCCTGGCCCCTCTCGCTCTGCCCTTGTGATCGAGTTTGCGACTGAGACATCCTCCCGGCCCTCGCACCCTCAAACCCACCCAACCCGACGAAACTCCCACTCCCCTCGCTTCCCACCTCGCTCTCATCCTCCCTCGCCGCCCCAAACACCCGGCGTTTCTCCACCTTCCGCCTGCTTAGACTCCTCACCTTCTCAAACGGGTCGTACTCTTTATCGTGTAACCGGCCTTCTTGGTCGATATACACGCCTAGGGCACGTGAAGACAGTTCCTCTTGTTCGTCCTCCGAGTTGGCTCCATAGTTTTTCGGGTTCGATCTCGAACCTGGTGGGTTCCTTCTTGCGGATCCCAGGCGTCTTTTCGTCGCTCTAAACGGCCCTTCTCCTCCGTTCTCCGCGGACGAAGAACCCTTTGCGCCTCCAAGAGATAGTTTCTCACTAAAGTTCCTCCCTAACCCCAACTGCGCTCGGGAACCTTCATGGCTCAACCTCCTATTCCCCGATCCGCTACTCTGTCTCCCTAACCCCAACCCGGGCCCGGTGTAGCCCGTATCAAACGATTTCCTCCCAGCCGAGAGCGGGGGTACGACCGGCCCCAGTCCTTTCGCCGATTGCAAGATCCCCCCTTCTCCCGCCACTCCCAAGCCCAAGCTCGTGGATTCCCTCTGTAAATCCCGCCCGCTCTGAAACTCTGTGGCGAGGAGGACGTCTAGGGCGGCATTATCGTTGGCGGCTTTATGGTCTTTTCTGAACTTGGCGCGGTTGACAGGGGCGAAGGGCATAGATGAGCCTGGGTCGGGCCGGACGTGTAGGTGTGTCGAGTGGGCCGATGGGGCTGGGTTGTGAATGTTGATGCAGTGTAGAATGATGACGATGATGTGGGCAGGGATGAAGATGATGATGACGGGGAATCAAAGGAAGAAAAGCCGGATGATAGAGTTCAGATGAAGACGCGCAGCAAGCATGTCAGCACGCTTCTCCTACACCTCGCAGCCGACGAGCATCCCGCCTCTTTCTCAACTCGCAGCCCTCATCAGAAGACGAGAATCCTACACCCTCTCTGCTCAACGAACGCTCGTCGCTCGAGAACTTCATCGGACTAACCAGGTCGATAAGTCCTGAACAACGGTCGATCGTGTTCATCGTGCGCGTTCGAATTGCTCGCGGATGCGCCTCCGCGGAGTCCCGTGCTTGAAGGCGTCTTGATGAGTGGCATAGGACGAGTGGTGTTTGCTGTTGCTGCTTTTCTTTCTCTGTGCTCCTGTAGCTAGGTCGATGACATGGATTCAGTTAAAGTATAAGCGGTGGATGTGGTCGATGTTTGTTAAAGAGGTCGACACAGTGACACTTGATCGTCGAACTTGCTCCTTTCGGAACAAACGCGTCACTCTTCGGAACCAAATAAGGCAACTATCCCCGGCGGCCTGATCGCCTTCGGAAGCATTTCTCTCGGCAGCCCGCTCTCACGCTATCAAAACAATTCATTCCATGGTGATGACGTGTCATTTTCTGCATATTCGATTATGAAACAACTCTCGCGCTCAACGTCAACAGCCCTCAAAGACCTACGCCAACCCCTGCTCCCTCTGCTGCCTGACCAAGTTGATCTCGTCCAAGATCTCCTTGCCTCCCTTGCCCATCAGATCTTTCGCGACCCGATGACCCCACTCCTCGGCCTCCAAGAAACCCTTGACGAGCACCCACCCGGCATCGTGTACGACCTGTTTCTTCCCATCGAGCGAGGTCACGCAGGCGGTCATGTGCAGTTTAGCGAGTTTACCTCGTCCAGACTGATGCAGTAGCGGGGCATCGTCCTTGACCTCTTCCGGGTCCTTGTCGAACGGTCGAACGAGATCCTCGATGTCGGTCTCGGAAACTTCCTCGATAAACGCCTCGACCCCAACGGGTACCGAACACCCCCCTTCCAACTCTCTCAACAACCCCCTCTCCGCCCCCGTCCCCCACTCGGCCTTCCAATCCCCTACCCGTCTCAGCGCTTGCTTGACCCTAGCGTCCCCCGCTCGGATCTCTAATGCCAAAGCTCCCTGACCGACGGCGTAGAGGATCTCTGGAGACTTCATCGTACACGTGATCCGGTCTTGCCAGCCCATCCGGTTCATCCCTGCCGCAGCGAGGATGATGGCGGAGAACGGGCCGTTCGGGTCGTCCAGCTTGCGAAGACGGGTGTCCCTGCGAAAATGCAAAAAAAAACGCGCATCGTGCACGATCAGCTCTTGTTCCGATAACCTGTGAGAGCCACCTGCTCTCCGACTTACAAGTTGCCCCTGATATCCATGACCTTCAACCCAGGGTACATCTTCCTAACCTGTGCGATCCTCCTCACACTACTAGTCCCTACCACACTCCCCTCTGGCAGATCGCTCAGCCTCTCATACCCCAGTCCCTTTTTCACGACGAGCGCATCATGCGGGTCTTCCCTCGTCAAGATGGCTCCGATTTCACAGTTCTCCGGAAGTTGCGTAGGCATATCCTTCAAACAGTGGACGATCACGTCGAGTTTCCGTTCCATGAGCGCCTCTTCCAACTCTTCCGTCCACAGGGATTTGGCGATCTGGGTCTTGGCCGTAGCTTCTTGTTGCAAGACCTCGCTCTGCCCAGTTCCCGCCTGTTGGTTCGTCAACAAGTACAACGGATCCTTCTTGTTCCGATCCCCCGCCACGCTCATCGGAGCTACAGGGAACGAATACCCCGCACCGGGATGGAGCGAGTCGAGGATCTCGGCGACGTGGTGTGCTTGGATGAGAGCGAGCTGACTAGCCCGTGTTCCCAGTGGGAACCTATCCTTGCCTTGTTCCTCGTTCCCGTGCTTATAAGTCGGCTGTGGGGTTCGTTGTTTCGAGACCCCCGAAGTAGAAGCTGCGGAGGTCGTATCCTGCATATCACTGGACATCTCCCTCAAGACGTCCTCGACGACCTTTTTGAACTCTTCCTTGGACATGTCATACCCCCCGAGGGTCTCCACGATCTTTTCCCCGATCGGTCCCAAATCCTCTTTCGGCACTTCCCATTCGCTCAATTTGGTCTCCATGTCGACCGTCTTGAGGAACACCTCGATGGACTCGCCCACCGTCTTGGCAACCTCTCGTTTCTCTTCCGCGGACATGCCTTGGACATCCTCGATCGTGTACTTTTTGTTCTTGCCTTTGGGCAGGAATCGGGAGGGGACGAAAGCGATGGCCATGGCAAGGTAGTCGAGGTTGTCACCTGACAATTTGGCCGAGAGGTGTCGGACGGAAGTGGCTAGGGTCAAGCATGAACACATGCCGTGCGGGACCGAGTAGGTCGCTCCGAGGGCGTGTCCTAGCAGTCAGAACGTCAAGAAGTAGATCAGCATGAAGTGTCTTGAGCTACTTGACGGCACGATATCGTTATCAAGGGCTGCAGGAAGATAATTCACCCAAAGCATGTGACAGTCCCAAAGCTCCTACGCTCGACAACGGCCACAACCTAACAAAGCCCCACCCGGAATCAGCTTACAACCCTCATTCCCAAAATCCTTCCAGAGACACCTGCTACTCACGCCTCCCAAGCATCCACCATCAACCTCGTCCTAACCCTGACCTCCTCCTCCCCCAATACCCCCTTCTTCTCCCTCTTCCCCTCGAGCTCATTACACTCCCTCAGACCTTGCATCAACCCTCTAATGCTCCACAGAGCCATATCCTTGACCCCCTTGGGGACTTTCGGACGATAAAGGGTTTCTACGGCGTGGTCCAGTGCGCGGACACCAGTGGAGATGAGGAGGTGTAAAGGGGTGTAGAGGGTAAGGAGGGGGTCGTAGATGATAATTGAAGGGGGGAGGGAAGGGTTGTTCACGCCGACTTTCTTGCCTTCTTCCGAGGTGTACCCGGCGTTCCTGCCAGGGCAGAACAGATGATGTTTAGCTAGACACGTCGGTTCAATCTGAGAGAGCGAGGCTCACTGAGTAGTCTCCGCCACGCTCAACGTGGTCGGCACCGCAATATGAGGCAAGAACGCTCCCTTCCCACCTTTCGCTTCTCGTACAAAGTAGGAGATGGCTTTCGTGCTATCAATAGGGGAACCGCCGCCGATGGAGAGGAGCAGGTCGATCTCGTTATCTAGGGCGAGTTGTTTGGCTCGTTGAATGTCCTTGATAGCTATACAGCGCAAGTGATAAAAGGCCAGACATATGGGGTGCCATTAGTACTGCAAGCTAAAGACAGAGAAGATGACGAGAGTGCGACGGGCTTACGAGCATGTTGAGCGATATCCGAAAAAGTCAACCCATAAAACCCGGCTTTCATCAAGACCTTTTCCACATCCTTGATCACCGGCGTCTTCTCCATCAGACTCCTCCCGGTGATGATCATGACTTTCCCTTTAACATCCTCTTCTTTTACGTCCTCGCCATCTTCGCTGTTCCGAGCCTGGTTCTGAGCTTGGGCGAGGAGGAACCGGATAGAAGGCAAGAGCTGGGTCACTAGCGATTTAGGGCCGTAGTGCACCTTTTTGAGCGGAGTCGGGGTATAGGCCCCGAGCATCGTCGATGAGTATGTTGATATCGAGTCAGTCATGGTTTAATGGATGCCTATCAGTCTTGACAAGCCTGACAGGTTATCCGTCGAGTCGAAGTCGAAGTCACTAACTCGAGTGATATTTCGAGATCGGGTCGTTCGGTGACCAAGCTCTCGACTTTACCCACGGTTTGCTTCCGCCATCTCTCGTCATCAGGTTCGGGGCGATCAGGTTCGATCTTTGTCGCGAGGTAAGTTAGAGCTCGAGGATGAGGATGAATCGGTCGAGATGGCTGGAAAGGAGTTCAAGGACGGGTCGGTTGAGATGGCTGGAAACATGGTTGGAATCGAGGTCGAATCCGCGGAGGAGAAATGCTCAGGCGAGGAAGACGAGGAAGACGAGGAAGGGAATGAAGACGATGAAGACGATGCATACCAGACGGACGATTCCGACAACGAACCGGATGATACCGATGACGAGCCCGACTACCAACCTCCTGCCCAGAAGCTTCGCATGTTGGTTAAGAGGTGTAGCAGATACCAAGCTGAAGATACCAATAACGAGTTCGACAAGGAGTACCAGCCGCCGTCCCAAACCCACCATATGTCGGTCAAGAGGCGTAGCAACTACCAAACTGACGAGTCCGAGGAAGAGTACAGTCTCCACCGACCCGTCAACAGGCCTAGCACCTGAGTAACGAATCGGCCGTATGATGGCAATAATCGATTCTTTCTCGGATAACTCGTTGACATGAGACTGTTTCTTGAATGGTCACATCTGCCCGTACCAATCGTGCCCGTGAGGATTACTTGTCTCGGCAGTCATCTTCAAGAGAAGGCTGATGTAAGCCGATCTCTGCTTGTCCGGCAGCGCCACTACCTGGGTGCGTCCAACGTGTTTTGGGAATGATCATATCCTCTGGACATCTACATCACCCGGATGTACACATTGGTGAGGGAGTTCAGGTTTCTCAGATAATTACGGGGCGGTAAATGTGTTCCGGAGGATAGATGACATGATTAGGTACATAAAGGTCGTCGTGAAGCGCTCATTAGGAGGTAGCAAGGCGTCTGTACGCATACAAGAAAGCTATCGAAAAACGTAAAAGATCGCAGCCGTTCTCTAGCTAAAGCAGTCGATCCACCGTCGAGGCGCTCGGCGACATCAGACCCTCAGGCCTCATCATCTCCCCGCTCTGCCGATTCTTGATGGCGACCTTGAGCAAGTTCCTCGTCGAGGTCGGTCGGAACCCACCGTCCGTAGGGCCTGACGACCTCGGCATAATCCTTTCTCGCGGTGTAGGACTACCAGCTGCCGTCCCCGTCAAGATGGGTCGAGACGGCATGGTCTGCTTGAGGAAAGGACTCGGAATGTCATCGTCGGACAAGCTCCACTTGGCCGGCGTGGCGTTCTCCTTGTAGACAAAATCGGCGGTGGGTAAGGGGATCTTGGACACCTTGCCCCCAGAGACCCTCGGTCCCGCGATCGTCGTGTTGGCATGGTTGAGAGCGGGTCGACCAAGTTTCAGTCGAGCGCCAAAGTCGGTCTGCTTGCCCTCGCCCCGGGAGAAGAGCAGATCGATATCGTTGCAATCGGGTCGTGCCGCCTCGGCCAGCGACTGGTTCAACTTGGCAGAATTGGTAGTCTGAAGCTTGTCAAGGTCGAATCCAGGCTCGCCTGAAAAGTCGTTGGGATGCGACCGCGACCTGATCTGACCGACCGGGGTACCCAAATCCATCATGACCAAACTATCATTTCCACCAGGTACGGGCGAAGACGGGACCGACTCGGCGTCCAACTTCGCACGAGCACGCAGGTCGTTGAACGACTTTGTCGCCAGGCGTCCTGAAGGTCTGAGTGGCGTCCCGTTTTTGGCGAATGTGTCGGATCGAGGACTCGCTCGAGGGATACCGCTTCGTAAAGACGGACTGGCTGAAGCGAAATGGCCTCGAGCAGGCGAGTCTAGGTCCATAAAGTCTAGCGAAGGGTTGTTGAGTGGAGACGATTTTCTCGGTTTACTCGTGTTCAAGACGACATTAGGAACGGTACTAGAAAGGGTGACAGCCGGATGAGACTCGACGAATCGGCCAAGTTTCGGTGCTCTTCACTCACGATCGCTCCTGAAGTGGCGGACGGGCTACAGCTTGATTGACGCCGGATGAAACCGTGGCAGCTGTAAATAGCCTGGTGTCAGCCGTCGTGTTTGGCTCACCCAAATGCTGACAAGACTCACTGGCCGCAGACTTGCTTCGTTCGGGCAACTTGACATCTGACCCGCTCGCCGTAGCCTTTTCCGTGTTCCATCTCGCCATGGCCGTCTCCAGATCCGCACGCCCCGCCTCCAACTCCCGCCTTCCCCAAACCAGCTCCCTCTCCCGACTCGTCAAATCCTTCTCCTTCACCGCCAACTCTGCTTGCCGAGCTTGAATCCGTGCTCGATCTTCCTGAAGTTCTTGCGACATCTTCTCATAGTCGGCATTCAGTTGAGCCCTCTGTGCGCTCATGCTGTCTTGTTCTTGTCTCCAGACCGCTTGGATGTGTTCCTGCTGTGCGATTAGTTCCTGCTCTTTTGCCACGCAGGCTTGCTCTCTTGTTGAAAAGGCCTGCTCTTTTGCTGCACAAGTCTTTTCTCGGGTGATGATGGCCTCCTTGATAGCCACGAGTTGATCCACTCTGAAGCCACGCGTTCAGGTTAGTCCCTGATGCTAAATCTTGGTGTGAAAACGTGACACGAGCGACGACGTACTTCTTCTCAAGCTCGGCGGCGATCCTATCCTGCTCAGCCTTGACCCGTTGTCGATCTTGTTCCTTCTTCCAATGCTTCATATCCGGCGAGTTTTGCAAGTCCCTGGTAGAAGGCCGTCTTGCCGGCTGCGATGTGCACATGCGTGACATCATCAGCTCCGGTCTCGAATTTGCAAGACAAGCAGCTAGCACTCACATCGATCGATAACATCCTCGTAACAAGATCCCTCAACCCCGAGCTGTACGCAGGACCGATCGGCGTCCATTTCGAATGCATGACCTTGGACAACAATTCCGTCTGGGATTTAGCCGAAGCGAATGGTGATCTGTTCAAGCCCGTTCAGACCGGCGATCAGCTTGTGTTTTTGCGGTTACGAAACTTTCAGCACGGCATGCGAGGAGGTGTGGGACTTACGACAGAGTACATAGCTCGTACACCAAGCATCCCAAACTCCAGATATCGCTCTTGTGATCGTACTTGCTCTCCTTCAAGATCTCCGGGGGCATATAGAGCGGAGTCTGCAATACGCATCGTTTTACCAGATGGTTAGTTCGCGGTTTAGAGTTTTAGATGCCCATCAAGAGAAGGAGAGGGGACTTACTCCAACGTATGTCTGTGTGAAAGCACCCGCTACCAAGTTCTTGCTCAACCCGAAATCTCCGAGTTTGATGTTGTCGTCTGCGTCCAGGAAGACTGTGAACCAAACACGTCACATAAATCGAGGGCGACCGGTCAGTTTTCGACTGTCTCGTTTTCAAACCAGTATGAGCCAGGTAAGAGAGGAATATCAACACCCACTATTCTCAGGTTTCAAATCCCGATGCAAAACCTGCCCAGCCGAACTAGCCTTGACGTCCATCCTCCGCCTTGCCGTTCCACCTCCCAATCCCAAACCCAACGGATCTCCGCCTCCAGGGCTGATATCCAACGAATCCAACTTTCTCCTCAAACCCATCTCCCGTCCAGGTACGATGCTCGATTTCCTCTCAAACGATGACCCTGGGATCCCAGTTGCTGTGTCCGGCGAGGTTGAAGTACGAGAAGGAGAAGCGTAAGAAGAAGATGAAGGGAGATGACGGTCTTCGGGATGATGACAGTGATGAAGAGCCTGAGTGAGTTGGATGAAATAGTTCCAGACGATGTGTTCCGGGATGGATTTGCCGCGATGGCGGTACCTGTCGAGGATCTTTCCCAGGTCGCCTCCGCCGCAGAACTGTCATTGGTTGGGCCAAAGGTGATGGTTCGAATGATATCAGGACAGATGCACCACGATATCGATCAAACAGAAAAACTAGGCGAGACTGACCTCCATGATGATGAAACACCTCGACGTCGCCGTATCCATAATCTTGTCGATGAGCTGAACGACGTGTTTGTTCCGTAATGACCCCAAAATTCGTCTACATCCTCACGTCATTTCACGTAATAAACACAAGGTCGTCAGCTTGGTTCTTTGTCCTCGTCATTTTTTAATATGTAGAAGGACGAGGGAAAGAAGGGAAAAGGGAGTACGGAAGGGGGAGAGACTCACACTTCCTCGACCATCTGACGTCGATCTTTCGGGGAGAGCTTAGAATAGTCTAGTTGCTTCATGGCCGCAATCTGGTACAGGCGGAAGAAGCAATGGACGTATGTGTGGTCAGTCACTGTACTGAGTTATACCAAAACCCCAGTCTTTATGCTGAGATAGGTCTGAAGAAGGTCATACGGGTGCTCAAAGGACCTCCTCACAACCATCGCCCTCAAGCATTGCCAATCACCCTGTTTTCAAAGCCGAACAACCACACTCACATATCCATCCGACTTCCTCTGAACCTTGTGTATCACCCCGAAACTACCCTGTCCTATACATTCTTGCACGTCCCAATCTTCCAGGTTGGAAATGGGAGAATAGTCGTCCAGGTGGATGGAAGAGCGTCGGATGGCTGTACCCGGTCGGACTGCGGGTGGACGGTTCATGATGAGAAGGGCTGTCTTGAGTGTATCGCTATGTGTGCATTGTCTGGTGAGTGATGTCTAGTGTTTGTTGCTGTGATATGGATGGAGGAGGTCTAAGTCAAAGGTTGATCTGATCGATGATGCTGATAGCTGATGGATGATGAGAAATGGCCAGAATGGTTGATTCAGTTTCCACCCCCTTTGCCTGCAGCGAGCGAAATACAAACAATCGAGAACAAGTTCGCGTCGAGTCTCTGGTCAAACAGACAAACCCCTTACGTAAGGAATACCGGGAACACCGTCATCTCAGCACGCAGCAGCCGTCGCATCACGTGTCTGATTCTGGATAGCTGGGTTTTCGCAACATCGCTGGCAAGCGATTCCATTGACAGTTCCAATAAACTCAAAACGACGTATCGAAACCTTTCTAGTCCAGCTAGTCCTCAATCGATTTGAGCGAATAGAATGAGAATGCTTGATCAATCTATCATAGTCGTACATCCCAAACAACTAAGCGAGGGGGTAATGAAAAGGTGGGAAGGGGGTAAAAGGAAACAGATCGAGTTTTGAAAGAGGTCTCCAGCGGGGGGGTCAGAGAACAAGGTGTGTGGGGCGAAATGAGGAAAGGTTGTGAAAGGGAAAGGCGGATGGAGAGGATCTTTTGGGGGGAGGTAGTCGACCGACTTAGATGAGGTCGGCGACGTTGAGGGGCTGAAGCGGAAACGAAATCAGTAACGTTACTAAACGAATCAACCATGGTGGATAAACAGCGAAACTCACCATCTCGCTGATCTCGGTGTTGTAGAACTGCTCGATCTCCCTCAACATCTTGACGTCCTCGGTGGTGACGAAGTTGATAGCAACACTGTGCACAACGGGTACCCACAACACATCAGCTACACGTTTCATCAAACTCCTGGGCGATGACCTCGAAACTCACCCCTTTCGGCCGAATCGACCTCCTCGACCGATTCGGTGGACGTAGTTCTCCTTGCTCGAGGGCAAGTCGTAGTTGATGACCAACGAGACTTGCTGGACGTCGATACCACGGGCCAAAAGGTCGGTGGCGATGAGGACTCGGGAAGAACCGGATCGGAACTCCTTCATGACGACCTCTCGGGCCTGCATCTCCATGTCTCCGTCTGCGCAAGATCGATGAAAGATATCACGAGACTGTCAGACGCTAGATCTTACGCAAAACCTCGCGGGCACACGCCAACTCACGCATGGCGGAAACGGTGAACTCCCTCGAGTGGAGCTTCTCGGTCAACCAGTCGACCTTTCTCCTGGTCGAGCAGAAGATGACGGCCTGGGTGATGGTGACGGTCTCGTAAAGATCACACAAGGTGTCCAACTTCCAGTCCTCCTTCTCGACGGCAATGTAGAACTGCCTGATACCTTCCAAGGTCAACTCTTCCTTCTTGACCAAGATCCTGATGGGGTCCCTCATGAACTTCTTGGTGACCTCGAGCACGTCGTTGGGCATGGTGGCCGAGAGGAGGACGACCTGGGTCTCGGCGGGGAGGAGCTGGAAGATGTCGTACATGTTCTCGGCGAAACCCTTGGAGAGCATCTCGTCGGCCTCGTCGAGGGCAAAGACCTTGATGTGGTCGGTCTTCAAGAATCGTCGGTTGATCACTGCGAAGCGGATCACAGTGCAAATCTTTAGCCATCGTGACCTTTTCGCACGACTCATCTCCGCCAACCTGATACTCACTGTCAAAGACACGACCGGGAGTACCGACGATAACGTGAGGTCCAGCCTGCAACTTGGCGATATCCTCCTTGATCGAAGTTCCACCGACACAGGCGTGGCAGTCGACGTTCATGTAGTCACCGAGGGCGATGACGACCTTTTGGATCTGCTGGGCGAGTTCTCGGGTGGGGGCCAAGATCAAAGCCTGGGGCTCTCGGAGGGCCATGTCGATCTAACCCATCATATTTCGCTTGGGATCAGCCTCACTCGTCTCCTCAAGTGGAAACCCATACGCAAGCCAGACAAGACGACTCACCCTCTGCAAGATCGAGATGGTGAAAGTAGCGGTCTTTCCGGTACCCGACTGAGCCTGGGCGATAACGTCTCGACCAGTGATGATGGGCATGATAGCTCGCTCCTGAATGGCCGAAGGTCGCTCGAAACCGTAAGCGTAGATACCTCGGAGAAGCTCGGGCTTGAGCTCCATGTTGTCGAAGCTGTTACCGACAGCCACGTTTCGATGTGTCAGTGCCTTGTTCTCCTGCATGCATATGTTCGAGTTCATGCGGCGGCTCACTTGTCGGTGACGGTGTCCCAGTTGGACTCGATGAGAGCCTCATCGATTTGCAACCCGGAGGTCTCACCGGAACCGGTGGCGGCGGGGGGTACTTCTTTGGTAGTGCTATACAAAGTGACATCGGAATGAAAGGACGTAGGTGGCGGTTAGTGCGTTTGCCTTGGGAAGGAAGAAGGGTAGGTTGGGCTCTGGGCGAGAGGAGCCTTTGGTTTGTAGCGAGAGCAGCAGCAGGACGAGTACGACGTCGGTTTCTACTTGGGATCGAGCATCGTTGATGAATAGCTGGAGGTCGTATGGTAGATCTTGATTGTCGCATGTTGTCCTGCGTCGCCACCTTCACCTCACAGCGTCGAATGTCGTCCTGGAATTCCTCGATGTTCTAGTCGATCGTTTCCTCCTCGTGCCAGTACCGCTGTCCATCCTGCCCTGCTCCCACTTCCTCCTAGAGCCATCCTCTCGCCCAGAAACCCGAGCTGCAGAACCCTTGAGCAGCAGCACCGACTCACTCAGCCATGATTGCAATTATTTCTGTTTTTGTATGTAGAGGTCTCGCTTGATCCTAGTTTTGTCGGAACAAGAGAAATCTCTGCCGCGGTTTTGAAGGGAGTTTTGGGGAGTGTAAGGTAAGTTGATCTAGAGTCTAGCTCTTGAGTGAAAGAAGAGGAGAGTCGGGTGGGTGGCGTGGTGAGGTAGATGTTCGGGGACGAGGATGTCGATATCTCGAGGGTCGTCAAGCGAGGTCGAAGCCCTGGGGGGGTGGCGGGGGCAGGACCGCGCACCAGGAAAAAACTCTGAGAGAGAGCATGCGCGCGCGGACAAAAAGGTTGAAAGTTGAACAGAGACGCGTGAGAAAGCGTAAGAGTTCAGCACTACGTAAGTGTGACGTTAACAAAGGAGGCGCTCGTGGTGGCAAAATCCGCCCGGAAAGTAATGGCGTGCTCCGGTAGATTGCGAACGGTGATCCAAGAGCGTACGGTCGTTCGACATGTATGTTATAAGGCTGCAGTATTGCTGTGCCATGATACGTGTATGTCACTATTGGCATGACTGTGATCCGTATTATCGCGAATCATCATCCTGTAAGAAGCTAATGAATCAGGAAAGGGCGAGAGCGAGAGCGTTCAGTCTATCAATGAGCATCGTGCGTGACGGCACAATCGAGAGGAATAGCGACACGTGATGAGTCCTCTCGCTGTATGGTGCGACCGCACGCCTGAGAACGTGATCACCCCTTACGACTCCTTTGTTTTGCGTGACTGCTTCTTTAGCTCTGCCAACTAGGCCTATATATATATTGCATTCTCTACAGGTTCTCATCTCGCTCTCCCTCTTTTCCGCTCGCTGATCTTCCTCATCATCCTTCGCCTCTCCGAAATCCCTCTCCAGATATTCACGCACAGAATTCTCATCATGTCCAACTGGTTCTCAAAGCTCACTCACCGCAGCAATGCCTTGAAAGACCCTTCGGATGACGGCTCTGCAACCTCAGAGTCATTGTCGAAGCGAATGTCTGTCGATAGTATCATCACCGTTGATGGATTCGACTACATCAAGTTTGATGGAGATACAGACGGAAAATCCACTAATGGAGATACAAACGGAAAATCCACCGCCGCGGTCGAGTCGGACTTCGCAGAGTCTTTCGACGGGCCTTTAACCAAGCCCTCCGCATCCTCAAAGTTAGATATGGTCAACACTGAATTTGTTTCCCGGAAAGAGGATTTCCTTCAGATCAAAATCAAAGACCTAGGCTACACAGTCCTGGAATTCGGATGGCATTTTGCAGCTATCAGATACTTCGCGTCGGACAGTAACACCGAAAAGATCCCAGGTTGGCGCTTCTCGTTCGTGACGTTTCCCCTGGAGGATCGAAAGGGACTATCCATGAATTACTGCGTTTATTGTTTCGAATTCGACCAAAGGGTCCACCCTACGCCCAGAGAAGACTTCTCGATCGTGTACGAGCACACAAAGCCTTCCCTCCCTGAGTTGATTGACGCCATCCTCTACGATCAAGCGGTGATCAAAGAGTTCGGAACAGCCATAGCCCCGTTTGCCGGGCCGTCAGCGCCTGGTTGCATCAGGGAATGGCTTTTGAACATCCGCTCCAAGGGCGAGCCGATACCCAGAAAGTTTTACAATGACGGAGAGTACGAAAGACCGGCCCTGCACACATGCGGTGGTAAAGTCTGCAAGAGATGCGTCTATGTGTAGGCCGACGGACAAGAAGGTCCGTTTCACTTTACTCGTGACACTCAGGATACTGATTATGTAATGTTCGGAAGATATTCTTCTTCCTTGTATGTCATAAGATTCGAATCGTTCTATGTTTCAGAGCATAACCTGACGATGTAGATCATCTTCAAAGAAGGGGATTACCTTCCTTTGAGAAAGACAACCTGGTGGCTCCGGAATCACCAGTCAACTTTCTAAAACGAACGTCCTTTCCTTTGACCAATGTGACCTCTGGAGTGGTGTTCTGGCGGTATCTCCTTGGGCAAACGAGCAAGCAAAAAATCGAAACTGAACAGTGAGCCATAGTAATATGAGTGTCCTTACAACTTCAATTCGTGAGCATGTTGCGTACCCAAGTCATGATCGGATTTGAAGTCAACTATTTTCACAAGTGAAGCTTCACATTGGTTCATCACCGGTTCACCGGACCAGTATTACTTGACTGATTCCCAAATTGATCACGATGATGTCAGAAGGGTTGATCCTCGGCGTCGCCCGAGACCGGATACAACCTTCAACAATGGTGTGTTACGGTACTTGTAATTTGCTGGGTTCATACAGTAGCGTCATTCAACACTTCATGCCAGCAGACGACCCAGAAGAGTCAACGAACAGATCTGTTGTAGTGGTTGATGTATGATCTGCAGGATTACTCGACAGACCGGTTGTTACCCTGACTTCTCCGATCGCTGTAGCTCAGCCTGTTTAGGTCTGTTTCCATACTCCAAGTCGCTATCGCAGTCGATACGCGGCGTTGCGTAACGTGTTGCAAGACCAAGGATCGCTCCCTGACATGAGGACATGATCAGATGACCGACGTTTCTCTCAAAGCTTTTCCTTGACGGATAATGGCGTCACAGGCCTGAGACAGGGGATTCAGGAAGCGGATGTCGCGCTACATCGTGCTCAGACTCGGGCCTCACCATAGTAAATCATATGGAATCACCATTACCACATCCACGTTTACAGCATCCAGGACGCTGTCGATAACACCAGCTGACGTCTTTCTTCAAGGTGATTTGATCGTTTATGGCTTTCCTGAACTAAATCGCTTCCTAGCCCTCTCACTGACCCGGGTCAGGTGACCACTCGAAGGAACAGCACCGAGTACACATACCATTACCGATAACAAAGGAAGCTCTCTTGGTGCCGTCAGGCGCTCACGTGGATTTGCGACCGTCACCTCTGTGGCCTGCGAGCGTTGATTGTCCATCCTTTGTCCTTTTGGCGAAAGCGCTGACTCGCTATATATACAGTAAACCCGTGTACGACCTGCGATGTCGCCGTCAACCTACCACTTATGGGACACAACCACCAGGAGACTCAAGTGAAATGACATCTGACAACGCAATTCCTTCGAGCTCCGCAGATGACAGCAAGCAGAGACGTCGGACTTGGAGCTCGAGATCCATCACGAATCGTTCTCTGTTGCTCTCAAGCAGGGTCAGGAGTTGGACAAAGGCTTCCTCGCTCACGGGAAACCTCACCCCGGACGATGTGACTTTCCGTTCAACTCCAAGCTCAATCCAGACCGGTGACTTGACCGTTGGAAATGCCTCGAACATACCTCCTACTACCCGTGAGGAGGGGATATCCACATCCGATGACGTCGACTTCACCCCATCCGGGTTAGATGGCCGCAAGTTTCAGGGGATGGTGGAAGACAAGCACGCCCTAGAGATGACCACTGGGTTCGACGGGACCGATTCTACGTACTACCAAACCTTTTGGGTGTTAGGTCAGTGGCGAGCGGACATCCCCTCAAAGTCGATTGCTTCGGGATGCAAAGTCCCGCAAGAGCGGGAGACAACAGACAGGTTTAATCAGGAGAGAAAGTACTTTGTACTTATGGAGTTCAAAGTCACTGCCGGTACGGACCTGAGTTTATTGCTTGCCGAAAAAGAATCTCAATGGAAAGTCGCGGAGCTATACTACGGCACGCAAGAAACTGCCAAGTTCAGGAGATTGGTGGAGATCTGGGCACCAAACTGGATAGACCGGGGCACGTTTTTGACCCAGCAGGTGAAGAGATCGGTATCTCTGGTGGGACCAGGTGGTAAGGGAAGCTCACTACCTAAGAAGGTTACAAGCTGGGCGAAACGTGGTGCGGAAAAACTTCAGCTAGATCTATAGTGAAGCTTTCCTTTTCTATTGTCGTGTGAACAGGAAATTGTCCATGTTATGCTTTCATAGTAGGCTGTATGATAGCAACGTTTCAATCGGTTCGATATTTCATTTGTATTTCTGTAACCAAGGAGGCGAATTTATTTCATGTTATCGAAGCCTATTGGATCTGGTGTCAATTCGGTATGCCTGTCGCATACATCGCTTTTACCTCAAGGCAGATTTTCTCAAGGTTGGACAGGTGAAGTGGTATTTGAACAGCGTGCTTCATCCGAGAGTCCACAGGACATGCCGTCGGAGTACTGCAATAGATCAGCTAGCCGGCTTATATACGTGTATTGTTACATTGTGATGATTCTGTATTGCGACGCGACGCCACGATTGACGCTTATGCAAGCGACAACTGGGTGGATCGAATGCGCCAGGTGGCAGATGGGGTTTCGCTCCTTCGTACGTGTACCTATCGCGCGTTCAAGTGCTATTCACTGCCAACTATGCACTGGCTACTTTAGTCAGTTCAGTCTAGCCTAGATGTGGAGCGGAAATGATTCACGATCGGCCAGCCTTTCCGGTTGACACGCCTATACATGTGCCAGGTCTGTGAAATCAGTCCACAAAACGGGGCGATCTCATGAAACTTGCTCCTCGCCTCTTCCGTATTCGTTGCCGTCAGTGGAGTTTTTTTCCTGTCAAGACTGAGTCATCGTCCCCTAAATTATCGAGATGCATGTCTGCGACATCTTACAAAACCTCCCGCTCTGACAAGAAGCAGATGCCGTCCGGCCAATCCAATGCCTCTCGAGGGTCATGGTCGTCTTTCGGGAAGTGACGAACGAACAGTGTCCTCAGAATGCATGGAGGATACCGATCTCTCCAGAAGATAACGTTCCGCTTTTCAAAGCCAAGTCGTGGTGCCTAGCTTGTCGCTGCGGTTGCATTTTGAAGGCGATAAGGAAGATGAACTGGTCTATCAATTGCCCTTCGTCGGCTCGATACCCAAACCCGTCTTGATCTCGTTGCTGAAGTTGGCAGAGTCAAGGAGACAATCAAGAGAAAATCGCAATGCGGATTCCGCGCCAATTCGGATCATCCATACCGAGGCTGAAGAGGTCGAACGCGATATTGAAGAACGAAAGGACGTCACAGCGCCGTCACCATTCCTCAGAGTGTATCTCGAACCACTGCACTTTGCGGTGGTCGGTCGCTGTCCCACGTAGCTATTCGCTTGTATCAACCCCAACACATGTGTCCCCTTATTGAAATCATTCTGCGTTGAAAGCTGTTAAATCTAATCTGAGTGCACATACTGCCGCCAGCTCCTGCTGCAGACCACTTTAGGCCCTGAGCCTGCTCAACCAGAAACTTCGATGCACTTTGCTATTACATCAACTCGGTGTCAATCCCTATCACTAACAGACAGAGTCATGGTTTAGCAGAAGAGCAGACCGCTTAAACATCAGGTTTAGATTCAATTCGAGGCATTCCGATGTATCGAGAAAATCTGCGAAATTTGGCTTGCTTGTGTTACCGTAGCAAAACCTTCGCAGTAGTACACACAAGGCGCTAATGGAGATACCCGCAGGTCCAACAGTCTGGAGTATCGATACCTGATGCACCTGACGGACTACCGCTTGTATGGTCACCTGGTGCAATACAAAGGGGTCTCTAAGCAACATCCAAGGTGGATGCTGACGACCTAAAGGACTCAAAGGATGATCACGGGGCCAGGTTGTGGAGTCACGAGGCTGATACTGTAAACAAATGTCGCAGCCCCTCACTTCCCCCCGTGTTATACGAAAGGTCACGAGGATGCGGTCCCATCGTCGCTCCTTTGTGATACGTGGTACGTCACGCGATAGGGAGGCGAGCCAGGGGCAGACTGCGTTCCGTCAGACTATATAGTCAGTTTCAGCAGACGCTTGATACCGAGAAAGACGATCCGTTAAACTAATCAACATCCATACGCATTTGCCAACCACCGATTGTCACCCGACGTCATATCCATACATCAACATGCCCAGCATCGAAACCTCCGAGACTGGAGCCACCGATAACTCCAACCCCTTGGCAAAGTCGGGGTCTTCGGGAGCCTCCAGTTACATTTCTTTGTCCCCTCGAGGGCCTTCGACATCGGGATCCATCGCTGCCGAGCAGCAGGGAGAAGGCGCTGAGAGAAAGAAGATCCTACCCCGAAGTCTACTCCCAAACGGACACCTTTTCCATTTCGGGTGGCACATCGTGTGCATCCCTTTCAAGGAGCCGGACGAGATCTGTCGCTTTACGTTCATGACGTTGCCTCCTCCAATTCGAGGCGCTGACCCCGGATTCTGCTCGCGGAAAGTCTACAAGATGGGAGGGGATGATCGATGCCTCGATCGTGAATGCGTTGTCCTCTTTACGATGGATTCGCATGAACACGAGAAAGAAACGTGCGAATCGACGCATCATGATTGTTTGCACTACCAACTCACGTATGGCTCCGTGACCCAGCGAAACTATAAGGCCGCCGTAGAAGACGGAGTCCATGGGTGGCAAGGCGATGCGGCGGACGGGCGGCTTTGCTTTCTCTCCATCATCCACGGTTACAAGATAGAAGGGGAAGCAGGGGTGTATTCGAACTTCGCACAGGCACAAGGCAAATGACTGTCGAGTACGCATGATCAGTTCCCTAGGTTATCAAAGCAGTAATTGGTTTGCGCATCTGTCTGGAATTTCCATTCCAATCAACATCTATATTTCGAGGCGTCTACGCAATTTGATTCGAGATGAGTCCTGGCTTCATGTTGGGCCAGCATAATCACAAATCAACCGATTCGTTTCGCGAAATTTGAAAGATGTAGTAAGGCCACTTAAGAACCTTGGTCTGCGATCGGAACATGACTGTCGCGCGCGAAGTAGCAGCGAGATCTTTCTTCATCACCGTCCTCATTATCAACGCTCTCAGCCACCAAGCCGTCCGAGAATCAACTCGTCCGACAACTCGATTGAATAACAAAGGAGAGATCGTGTAGAACCTTTACGATTCTTGCCGCTGCTCGAGCCAAACGAGCGGATGACGCAAGGATGTCGCCGCGTTGGGGCCGCAGAGAGATGGCACCATCTGACTTTGAGATTTGTCATTGACAGCTTCTTGACGCTCCTTTTATCGTTCGTGATACCTGTTGGTCAGGCTCTCAAGATCTCTACAGCATATAAGGCTGGTCTGCGGTCGCTCCTGTCATTCTGGCCCTCTCTCTCCTGGGGACACGTACTGATAAGTGCCGCTCATCTAGCCCAAGCAGAACGTATCATATTTGAGAAACAAGAAGGTAGGCGTCATGACCAACTGGTGGCAACGAATCAAGAGATCAGAAAGCTCGAATCGCGAGATATCTGTCAATGTCGTGTCAGGGCAATCTGCGCAGACCCCTACTTACGAGACGTCGGAATCTGATCACCGGAACGCTTCTACTGCACCCCTGAGTTTCGGAGGGTGGTCTCGGCAGCTAACAACTGGACGGACGATCGATGAGCAACCGGAACCACAAATTCCAATCGACATCAACGTCTTGAGGGCCACAAAGCTCTATCGGATCGGGTTTCACTTCGTCAGTATCGACCTGATCGATTGGCCTTCTGACGGGAAAAGCAATCACAAGTTCCGCTTTATCGTCGCCACGGTGCCTTCGGCATCGAGATATCTGTCGCAACAGTACAGGAGCAACCCTCACCTCGTTACTGATACCGAGACTCTTCCCGCTAAAGACTACGTTATCGCTTTTATGCACGAAGGCGAATCCTTGCGCGGTTGGACCCGCGAGCTAGAGCTGCATGAAGGGCGTACCTGGCTCCAAAGTCAGTTGAAAAAGTGGGCGGGGTATTATCCACCCATGCCCCATCAGGACGAGTTTGGCATCACTTATGACTGGATCCGCGAGGCTGCAGGTTATGATAAAGCTAGAGATATCTATCCAAGAGATTAGTCTTTGTACGTATAACACAGGAAAACCGATCTGTAAAGTGCAGTTTCGCATGTGGCCACCAAGGTTCTTCTGCATGGGGGAGGAGGGAAGCTTCGGTCACTAAGCGGACCGATTGGCCTGACGTTGCCTGTCTTTACGGAATCTTTGCTGCTCTTGCGGAGTCAGTTTGTGGTAAAAGATCTGGTCGTCATTCATTGCAAAATAAGTTGGGCAAGATAACTAGCGTGAGAAAGCGATGCGAATGACCTGACGATGACGAGATTCGCCCATCAAAGGAGGCTTTGTGACCTAAATCGCGCTAAGCTGCGCAGCTGAGACGCGATCGATCTGGTCAGCGGAAGCAATTTCTCTTCCCCCAGCGACCGGTTAGCAGGATCATCGACGATTGCCTGCCATCTCGCCCTCGGTGAAATCGTGCAAGCTTCTCGCCCATAAATTACTGCGAGGCTCGGACATCTGCTCCAGCAGCTCAACCCCTCCACGCCCTACAGTCGGGCTGAGCGACAGCCAATACGCAGGGGAGGTCTTCTCCTGGCGACTCCCAAAGAAGGTTTTTTCCTGTTTCTGGGAGCCAGCGGAAATGTCCACTACGGTCGACATGTTCATCGAACCGCCGCGATCGACAATTTCGACAGCTACAGATTCAAGCGATAGAGTCAATTGACAAACATAGATTCTTGGCTTGACAACGTACCACGTTCGCGGTAATCTCCAGCGTTGGCCGAACCTCCGAGGCTTCTCAACTTGATGTAGTTCCGAGGCTCAGCTCGCTGGAAGATATCGGAGATTTCGAGCTGTTGACGAATCAGGTGGAGCACAACACATCCGCCAGGTAAATGATCAGACCACGGTAGATGTTGTCAATGTCACATGGAGGGTAGAACGAGCTTACCTTGAGTATCACTATGTATTCGTGTGTAAGCTTAGGGACCAGAGCGATGCGATAGACACCCTGCACCAATGACCCGTGTCTGTGACGACGAGCTTCCGTAGGCACCGCCAATCTCAGACGAGAGGGATAGGAGAATGTGGCCCAATTGGGCTCGACTTCAACGCAAGGTTGAGGCGACCAAGGTTCGTACCGGATTACGCGTAGACCAAAGGTGGTGAAAAGTCGCTGAGCCTTCACCCTGCGGTTCCGGTGGTTAGGCTCTTGCCAATTATAGGTTGTCGACCCTTCATGACTTCTCGCTGCGCTGATATGGGCGCCGGGTGTACTATCGAGGCTCACGCTTGTAGAATGACTGCGTGTATCACTTTCAACACCGCTTCTTTGCAAAGCGTTTGGACCCATCGAATCGATCCAGTCAAAGCTAGATACAAGGCGCTTAGGGGTTGTTGAGTGGACGGCAAAGCGAGAAAAAAGGCTCACCCTGACCATCGATCCACGAAAAGATCTTGCTCCCATTCCATTGCGTGTAGCGCTTGGGTGATTTTGTGAGACCGGCTTGTAAGAGAAGGTTGTACGGACCAGTGATGTTGCATCGTCACGTCTTCGTCGTTTCCGTCCACAAGTTGTACCTGTGTGGGAGATGACGATAGTCAATGCTCATGCAGCTGACTCGAGAGAAACATCGAGGGACAATCACCGTGACACGCTGCTCGATATGAATCGGCCGACTGGAGGCTGTGGTCGAGAAGGACTGCATGTAGGAGATTTCCCTTCGGTTGTCTTGACGTAAGGGTTGTGCCGCAAGAGCAATCGAAGGATCCAAGTCGTCAGAAGCTTCGTTTCCCATTGTGGTGGGACGGCTACGAAATCCTGAATTGGAGCCGGAATGGGCCGTTTCATCGCCTTGTGTAGCCAGGTGATCAGTCGCGATGACACCGCAAATATCCGCTTGGGTCTGATTAGACGCAGCAAGGAGCAAACATCAACGAAATGATCTCGACCGCCGATCCACTCCCCAACTGAACTCACCGACAGCTCAAAAATGATAGAACACTGGAAGCGATCCTGCATGAGAACGCCTAATTGCTCGATCTCCGGCGTATACTGAGCGCCAACAAGCACGAGAACAATGTCACCCGCTGCCATGACAGTTGCGCGATTGACGAGTCCGCATGAAGTGGGGAGTACCCGGCATTGGAGCTCAGTGATGTTGTGAGTGTCCAAAGCTTCTTGGAGGCCGCCGCGATCCAACTCGGCTTGAATCTCACCTGTAGAAAAAGTAGGCACACATGCGTGTCGTCAAGGATGACTGGGATGACTCTCAAAGATGGACTGGGATGACTCGTAGATGCTCACCCAAGAGATCCGGGTCGACGGTGACTATCCTTGTCCATGAAGTAACATGCTCTTCTTTGGTCTCGAAGCATTGAGACATACCTCCTACTCGTGGGCTCATTGCGATGACGACGGATTGAGCGTATTTCTGGTCTGCAAACCAAAGAGAAACGGAACCCCATCCAGAGAAAGTCGGCAAACTCAAGCTCGTACGACAACTTGGTTCATCTTACGGAGTATCCAGTTCGATAAGAGTCCTTTTTCAGGCCAAGACAACGCGTCGAGTACTTGGTCATGATCGCCGAATACTTCCCTCCCTGAGCACATAGCAAAGTCATGAGCTGCTAGCAAATCACCGTCTTACCGACCCCGCTTACGTTCAAAATCGTCTTTGCAGCTGCTCAACTCTCGCATAAGGGTCGCTGCAAGGGTACCATACATGTTTTTCGATGTTGATAATGCATCGCTAACCCATGTCAAGCAAGTTTGTACTGACCGCATGTTTTTGGAACCATCTTCCCGATGGATTCATCGAGAACAGATGTTTCTTTCTGATGAGATCGTCTTTCCGAATCGATCTCCTCGTCCTTCTGCCTTTCCTTCAAATTCCTGTGCAGGCCTTCGAGATCAGACCATAACCGTTGCTGAACCTCTTCGCTGCATTCACTACTACTATTGTTTTATTATTATTTGTAGCATCGAGTGGCGAGTAGAACTATCAATCAATCATCATCGATCACCTGACCTGCAGTACTCGAGTAGTATATCATTCGAGATTAGCTGCCGAGATTTGCTTCCGCTTGGCCTTCGTGGTGCTGATTGCGTCATGATTGGGATCACTACTGCTAGTCAGACATTTCCACAACCATATGCCTCCCGCTCATAACATACTATTTCCCATCCCGAGATAGGCGCGGCATGGCCTCGAACGGCGAACAAGTGGGAATTCAGGGAGCCGACCCGACGGAAAAACTAGACCATGACAATCGAGGCCCTACCCGCAGGTCTACTCGGCCACGGCCCACATGTAATTAGTGTTGGCAATTGTGAACGGCGACTAGTAAACGCGCGATTAGACGCGTCTAATTTTTTTTTTTTTCCTGAAATTAGACGTGAACGTGAACGGCGAGTGATTAGACGCGTCTAATTTTGAACGGCGTTCAATAAACGCCGACTAAACGTCTAATTCTATTGAACGGTTTCATTCAAACGTCGAGCATAGGACAATGTATGAACATAAAGAAGCAGCCCCACTATAAACCCGGTTGTACAAGATCATTATAAACACGTCTAATCGACCTCCATGCCGTCGGTGTCCTCTTCTTCTTCGCTGGACTCGATGGTAATAACCTCCGACTTCTTGGTCTTCTTCTTCTTGGCCGGCGACTTCTTGGGCGTTTTGAAAGTGCCCCCGACCTTACGCTCGGTCGTCTTTCGACCCGGTTGTTTGAAGACGTCGACGAACGCCTTCTCGCTCAAGAAGTCCTTCTTCATCCAATCACCGACACACATCTGTTCCTTCGACGTCGAAGGGTTCAAACGGGTCCGACGAGCCGAGAACATCAAGCCTGCTTTCGAGAAAGCTCGCTCGACATCGACAGAAGTGGCTACAAATAGTAAATGGTTAGCTATCTGAACGCGTTCAAACATTTGAACGTCTAACTTACCCGGTGTGCCAAGGACGTCCAGCGCCATCGATCGCAACCCACCCAACTTCGGCTGATGAGCCCACCACACCAAGGCCGAGTCGTTGAACGGCGGGACCTTCAAATCGGCCCTGGCCGCGTTGATGAACTGGTCGAACTCGTCCGGTCCGTCGACGGGCTGAACGGGCATCGAGTCGATGTACATGTCGAGCTCGTCGGTCACCTAGGTTGTAACGACAAACGACATCAATAACCTAACGTCTATTCAAACATGAACGTTTAGAACCTTACTATGTGATCGTTCGGCTCGGCAGCCTTCTGTTCCGGGGCGAGGCGATAGTGCTTCTCCCACATCTCCCGACCGACTCGTACGGCCTCGGCCTGCCACTCCGGCAGCCACTCCGCTCCCTTCATATAAGCGAGTCGGTACCCGGGATGAAGGACTAGACGTTTTGTAAAGGTTGATAGTTGCACGTCAGTGATAGGAGGAAATACTGAACGTTCAAAATTAAACGTTTAAGAAAACTTACGCAAGGCGATCCTGTACAAGACACTCTCGTCGGTCTTGCTGTAGTACTTGTCAAGGAGTTCTTGGCCTCTCTTGATACCGTACTTGAGCGCCAACTTGCCCTGATCGGGGCCGCCTCGCATGCCGTCAAATTGACGCGTCAACGCGTCCATGACCGGGATCACTCCCGCGATGAAGGTCTTGTCGACCTTGGCCTCTGTCGAGGCGGAGAAACGCTTGGTGCAAGCGTTCAACAGCTATAATTAACAAACACATGTGAACGTTTAGATCATTAACGTTCAAAGTCTCAACATTGAACGGAACGTACCCTGAGAACGGGCTCCAGCTGTTTCAGAGCGGTGAGCTCTGCGGGCTTCAACCGGTCTTCCACCGGCTCATCCTTCGGTTCAAGGAGGGTATAAAACCTCTTGCTGTGTGCAATGAATAACGTGGGTAAGTGTGACATCTAGAAAACATCTACACGACTAAACGTTCAGACGTTTTTGACTCACACCACAAGCTCGTTGTCGATGCACCCCTTGATGCATTCCCACGTCGAGTTCCATCGCGTTTGAACGTCGATGGGGATCTTCTTGACCCCGGTGGGAACCTTCTTCTCTTGGAAGAGGAGATCGGCAGCCAGCTCCCACTGCCGTCGGTGGAGCGATCGGTATTTCAACCGCCTTGCGAGTAAACGGCACTAAACGTCCAAAAAAAATAAACGTTCACAAAGTTGAACGTTGACAACGATTGTATCAGTAAACGTCGGGTTAAACGATTTTCACGAGTGGTCACACTAGAACTGAATTTACCTTCTTCAAGCCGTTGGCCATCAACGCCTGTTGGGCCCGAGTCTTTGCGGCCACTTCGGCCTTGATCTTGTCGACCTCCTCGTCCGACAGTTCTTGACCGGCTGGACGAGCAACCTGAGTGGCGATTTGAGAGTCGCTCACATCCTGCGTGAACGGCACTCGGCCCAAGGTGATCCCGTCCAGGATCGGTTGATCGACGGCAAAGTCGTCGTCCTGGTAATCCTCGGCGTCTATCAACGCCTGGAAATCGTCGATGATGCTCGGATCGGTCGCGATCAAAGCCTCATCAAAGTCCGCGAGCACTTCTATGTACTCGTCTTTCGACCACGCCGTCCCGGTCGCCCCTTCGATGATCGCCTGAATTTGAATTGTCCGGTCAGTATTAAAAGTCAAAAATGTTGAACGTCTAGAGAAAGATAAACGTTCACTTACCCCAACGATCAAGTTCAAAACGTGCGCGAAACATCGCACACGGCCCCTCCCATCAAACCTCTTCCACTCGTGTTCAGACAACTTCTTCACCATCACGTCGTTGGCGGAAGCGTTGTCACAGATCACGGAGAGGACCTGGTCTTGGATGCCCCAAGAGGTTAGGGACTGGCTCAAAAGATTGGCGAGGTAATCACCAGTATGAGCCCGTTCGGCGCTGTTGCAAATGTAAACGTTTAACCAATTATACGTTTAAACTTGAACGTTCACATGTGTACGTACGGGATGAAGTCGATGAGCATCGACCTGGGCGTCACTTCGTTGGGCCCAACAACGTTCCAAAGGCAATGAACGCCAAGGAACGCTCTACCTCGACGGTCAGTCCAACCGTCGACGGCGATATGAAAGGCCCCGTCGTGGGCCTTGAAGTGGCCAGTGAGCCTCTTCTGGTTTACCTGGTAAACCTTTGTGAGGTCGGTGGCGACCGTTCTCCTCGATGGGAGGGCATTCTCCATCTCCGGGTAGGAGCGAGTGAACATCTCCTTGAACTGGACGTTCAGAATTATAAACGTTTAGTCGTGTACAAACCTAATCGGCCGACTAAGTATATTAAGATGAACTTACACCCGGTTGATCCACTACGCTGAACGAGTGGTTGTTCCTGGCCATCCAGGCGACAATGGCATGCCTCGTTTCCAGAGGACGAACAGCCGGGCCAAGGGTCGTCGTCGAGGCGATAGTGGTCTGTTTCAGACCATCATCCGGGACGTTTTGGGGGTTGGAGGTACACTTGTCGGCATGGTACTCCAAACTTGATCCTGAACCAGGATCGGTGTTTGACTTCAGGACGAAATAGGTTTTGCAGTATCTAGTTGATGTTCACGTTAAGCGAGTTAGTGAACGTCTGAAGTGATTAAACGTTCAAAAATCCTGAACGTTCATGATCGCATACTCACTTGCATCGCCACGTCCACCAGAACGAACCGGCCTCCTTGCTCTTCTCCCGAAGTTCTCCGGGCGTCGCAATGGTAGGACGCAAATACCTCTTATTATTTTTATTGGCCTTGCCCTTATCGAACCAGACCTTGCACCACGCATCGAGATATTGTCGATGTTCCTCGAGCGTGGCGTTTTGTTCGGGGCGTTCAATCCCCTTTAAAGCTTGTTTGGCTGAACGCAAAGCAGAGAGACCTCATTCGTATCAGTGACAAACGCAGCAAACGACTAGATGTTCAACTCGAGAACGTTCACTCGAGTTGAACATTCAAAACTTACCCTCATTTAAAGCCTCTTCTTGTTGGGTAAGGAGCGTTGCTCCTTTCTTCCCCTTTTTACCTTTTTTGGAGGGCGATTCTATGTGTTTGAAGTGATCGAGTTGGTTTCAAGACGACTTCGAACCCCGAATACCGAACACCGAAAGGATACTAGACGTATAAATTGAACGCGATCAAACTCACCCTGCACGTCCTCCTCTTCGTCCTCCTCGTCCTCTTCGTCATCGTCCTCATCTTTGTCGGCTGACCTCGTCTGACGGTCAGTGCTGAGGTCTTGGCGGTTTTTCTTCCGACTAGACGAGGCCGGAGAACCTTGGATGGACGACCAAGGACGTTTTTTTTGGGGCGTCGAAGGGGGGCCCGACTGGGACCCGGACGCGATCGCGTTAGTCGAATCTTCCATCGTGTGCGGGAGGTTCGCGTGGTTGTAACGACGATTAGTTCATGCGTCTAGAAGCTGACTTAGGGATTCCAGAAGTTTTTGAACGTTACAATCTAACAATGTGAATCGAAAGGTAGTTTGAGTGGGGTGCACGTCTAGTACGTCGCCGACGTTCATGACGAGTTCAATTGTTATTGTTGCGGAAGCAGAAATCAACGTCGAAAGTCAAGTCCTTCTCACGCGTTTACATGGTCAAGTCTTAGTATGAATTTAGAACGTTGTGATGATCGTGATACTGTGAAACTTGATCTATGCTCTGGGTGAAGATAGTTTCAATCATGGACGGAGAAAAGGATGGAAAGAGTCGATCGATATCTCAGTGACGACTAAACAATTTCGACGTCTAGTCGGCGCTTGGCTCGAGGGGATACGAATTAGACGTGGACGTCGACGCGGGGGCAATAAACGGCGTTCAATTTTGGACGGCGTCAAATAGTCGCCGTTCAAAATTGGCGTCTAATAGTCGCCGTTCACACTAGTCGCCGTTCACGACTGCCAACACTACATGTAATACACTCCCAACGACCTATACAGCGCCCATCTCTGCGTCAAACCCTCCATCTCCCCGGACGTCAGGTAGAAGTTACCCCTGGTTGCGTCCACGTCGAAATATCAGCTTCAGGATTCCAGTCGCCAGACATCTTTTACTTCGGCGGGACTCACTTGGCCTTCTTCCCACCCAGCCTCGAACGTAACAAACCCACGTCCATCCCTTCTGGCAGGGGGAACATCTCCCTCAACTTCGCATCATCCGGCTGAACATCCAAGCCAAGGAGAGCCTTCTCCAGGCCCTTTTCGGCCTTTTTCTGTTTGATCGGTTCGCCGGGTCTCGAGGTGATCGAGGTAAGAGGCGGCGGGACAGCCTCCGGGTCTGATTGTTATAGCCGTCACGTGACGCGCCGCTACTCCCGCGAGAGACCCCCTCGGAGGTCCCTTCGGAGACACCTCTCGACATCCCCACAGGGGTCTTGTTATAGCGGTCACGTGACGCGTCGGACGCGCCGTACGCGACTCCCATATGCGACTCCCGCCGGGGGTACTTTTCGGTGTTGTTGTTTGGATGTAGAACTAGTACCTCTGTAATAGCTCTACATCCGTTATTACATTTAGATGTCTACCCATACCTTGCCTCATTCCTGCGTCCCGTCAGCCTATCCAGGGGGATCCCCGTCGGGGGTCGCTCCCGGGCCTTACAGAATAACGGATCATCAAAGGACCCCGAATGGGGGAGCACAAGGAGGTAGCCGGATCCCCTTGCAGTTGGGTGCAAGTGGAGTACCCAACGGTCCAGATAGCCATCTGACGTTGGTAGGAGTGTTCTACCCGGAAGGAGTGCCGGTCCAAGCACTTATGTTGTTGGATTCGGGAGCGACCGGGATGTTCATGGATCGGACATTCGCGTCGCTACATGGATTCGACGTGACGGACCTCGAGACGCCGCGGGTAGTGACGGTGATCGACGGTCGGGAGATCCAGGGAGGAAGGATCACCCAGAAGGCTCGTACGCTGGTACGTACGGGAGTGCACCTGGAACTGACCGAGTTCCACCTCACCGATTTGAGTGGGTACCCGGTGGTACTAGGTATCCCTTGGTTGCGGAGACACAACCCGCATATCCAATGGACTCCAACGCGGTGACGTTCGGGGATGTCTGCATCAGCACGGGGTGCCTCAAGAGGCCCGAGACGGTGTATGCTCCGGACGAAGTAGAAGTGGAGACACGAGGGATCGACCCGTTCAAGAAGATGAAGGGGTTGATCACGGAGGATTTGGTCGTCGCACAAATGCAGATGACCCGGGAGGACGACGAGCGGGCAAGGCGCCCGGACCTGTGGGATTGGGACGTCAAACCTACAGACTCGTTCCAGGATGACCTGGACCCTCCCGAGTATATGGAAAAGCTGAGGGACATGGTACCGGAGAAGTATCATGAACATCTTGGAGTGTTCTCCAAGACGAAGGCAGATACACTGCCCCCGAAGCGATCGATCGACCATGCGATCGAACTCAAGCCCGGTACGTCGCCGACGTATCAGAAGCTCTACAACCACTCCCAGCGGGAGAGTGAGGAGCTAAAGAAGTGGTTGAAGGAGAATTTGGAGAAGGGGTTCATCAGGCCGTCGAAGTCGCCCTGCTCGAGCCCGGTACTGTTTGTACCGAAGAAAGGCGGCGAGATGCGTATGTGCATCGATTACCGTCGCCTTAACGACATTACGGTGAAGGATAGGACGCCCCTACCCCTCATCTCAGAGACGCTAGACAGGTTGAAGGGCGCGAAGGTCTACACGAAGATGGACCTCCGAGGCGCGTACAACCTGCTACGCGTAAAAGAAGAAGACATCTGGAAGACCGCGTTTACTACACGTTTCGGTCTGTTCGAATGTTTGGTCATGCCGTTCGGCTTGACCAACGCCCCCGCTACCTTTCAGCGGGGTCGAACGAGGTCTTCCAGGACCTTTTGGATGTGTGTGTCGTCGTTTACCTCGACGATATACTTATTTACTCCTCCGACCAGGAGACCCACGACGGTCAGGTCAAGGAGGTTATGAAGAGGCTGCAGGCAAATGGCCTGTATGCGAAGGCGGAGAAGTGTGAGTTCGATACGGTGGCTACCGAATTCTTGGGGTACGATATTGCCCCGACGGGGGTCAGTATGAACCCCTCCAAGGTCAAGTCCGTTTTGGACTGGGCTCCCCCGAAGAACATTCGGGGACTGCAGTCCTTCTTAGGATTTGCAAATTACTATCGGAGGTTCATTCAGAACTACTCCAAGAAGATCCAGGGGATGACGGCCCTGACAAAGAAAGGGGTGAAGTACTCCTGGACGGCAGCCGCTGACGCTGCGTTTCGGGAATTGAAGGAGTCCTTCACCCGAGCGCCTATATTGGCGCACTACAACGAGGAGCGCCAAGTGGTGCTCGAGACCGACGCTTCCTCTGGAGCGATCGGCGCGGTGATGTCCCAGGTAGGGGACGATGGGAAGCTCCACCCGGTAGCGTTCATGTCAAAGAGTCTGACGCCCGCCGAAAGGAACTACGATGTGCACGACAGGGAACTGTTGGCCATCGTCTATTGCAGTCGGATATGGCGACATTATCTCGACAACAAGTACCCCGTTCGGATTCTCACGGATCACAAGAACCTGGAGTACTTCAAGAGGGACAAGGTACTGTCTCAACGGCAGGCGCGATGGTCGCAGCTGTTGAACCAGATCTCCTACACCCTGGAGTACAAGCCGGGAACGGAGAACGGGAAGGCCGACGCGTTGAGTTGTCGGGAAGAGTTGATGGAGGAGACAGAGCCGAAGCGAGCGGAGACTCTGCTCCGGCCTGTCGAAGACGTGCCCCTTGGAGGGTGTAGCCCGGTTATGCAACCGCCTTTGCGGTTGAATGGCACCATCCCCGCGCTGGGCGATTGGATGGTGAAAGCGCTGATACCGGCGGCGCAGGACGATCCGGTGGCGAAAGAGCTCGTAGCGCAGCTCAAGGCGGGGACCTTGGCGAATGGGCGATACAGCTTGAGTCCCACTGGGGTTCTCCTGTATAACGGGTTGGTGTATGTTCCCAACGCAGGGAACATCAAGGTAGAGCTGATGAAGCGTCTCCATGACGGGAAGGCCGCCGGCCATTGGGGGCGGGACAAGACCGTGGAGCTGACCAGTAGGGACTTCTACTGGCCTGGGATGGCGAAGTGGATCGGGGAGTACGTCGCTAGCTGCAGCATATGTCAGCGCAACCGGCGACCCCGAATGAAGCCTGTCGGCGAGCTAGCGCCGCTACCGGTACCGGCGGGACCATACGAATCGATCACTTGGGATCACATCACGGACCTGCCCGAGTCTATGGGGTCCAACTCGATCCTGGTGATCGTCGATCGGTTCAGCAAGCGAGCGCACTTCGTCGCTTGTCGAAAGGACAACGACGCCACGTTCTTGGCGCGGTTGTTCCTTGACCGATGGGTGTGTTTGCATGGGTTCCCGAAGCAGATCATTTCGGATCGAGGTACATTGTTTACCTCGCGCTTCTGGAAAGATTTGTGCCGCATGGCGAACGTGGAGAACAGTTACTCCACGGCGTTTCACCCGGAGACCGACGGGCAGACCGAGCGAAGTAACTCCACCTTGGAGCAATACTTGCGGTCGTACGTCAACTTCCTCCAGGACGATTGGGCGGAGTTACTCTCCATGGCGGAGTTCGCGTACAACAACGCCAAGCACTCTGCTATCGGGATGTCGCCATTCATGGCGTCCGAGGGAAGGGAACATACCTTCTCCCTACCAGTGCCCGGCACTAGGGAAGAAGCGGTGGAGTCGGCAGGAGAGTACCGAGACCGACTCGACGGGATCTACAAGTCGGTAAAGGAGGCGCTGGAACAAGCGCGGAAAGACATGGCGGAGTACGCAAATCGGAAGCGTACCGCCGTCCCTGACGAGGGTTACAACGTAGGGGACTTGGTAATGTTATCTACCAAGAACTTGACATCGGTGCGCCCCAGCCAGAAGCTCTCGATGAAGACGCTGGGGCCCTTCCGAATCACGGAGGTCATCGGCCAGAGCAAGATGGCGAGGAGGCTGGAACTCCCCGCGCAGTTACGCCGGGTGCACCCCGTGTTCCACGTGTCGTTGCTTATTCCCTATCGGGCCAACGAACTGGAAGGAAGAGAGGTGGTTGAGCCACCTACCCCCGAAGTCCTCGACAACGGCGACTTGGGGTATGTTGTGTCCGAGATCGTACACTCGAAGGCATTGCGATCCGGAAGGTCCGGGAAGAAGACTCAATACCTGGTACGGTTCGAAGGGTACGGGGACGAGTCGAACGAGTGGGTCAGCCCCGCTGAGTTTGACCACGACGACAAGGTCGTTGCGGCGTTCCACAAGCGCTACCCTCATCTGCCCCAGCCCGGTCGACAGGAGTACGCCGACGCTTGATGCGTTCGGAGTCCGCATCTAGGAGGGGGATCCTGTTATAGCGGTCACGTGACGCGTCGGACGCGCCGTACGCGACTCCCGTATGCGACTCCCGCCGGGGGTACTTTTCGGTGTTGTTGTTTGGATGTAGAACTAGTACCTCTGTAATAGCTCTACATCCGTTATTACATTTAGATGTCTACCCATACCTTGCCTCATTCCTGCGTCCCGTCAGCCTATCCAGGGGGATCCCCGTCGGGGGTCGCTCCCGGGCCTTACAGGTCTACTTTTACATCTCCCATAGGTGCTTATTATAATAGGCTCATTGTATGTATATACTTCATCCGTTATTACACCATTACCCTTAGACCTAGCCCCGCGTAGACTGTTAGTCCTTCCCCCTAATACTGATCCTGTCTTCAACGCCGGGGCCGGAATAATCGACGAATCCGGTCGCACTGCAACACCCTTGCCCTTCCCGACGTCAACCGAGGCCGCGACCGGGATGTTATGCTCGTAGGCTGCCAAGATCCACTTCAAGAGTCCCTTCTGGACGCCCAGGTCGCCTACGGGGAGGATGTCCGGGCGTCGGAGCGTGAAGATGAGGAACATGTCTACCGTCCACTACCACCCCGCCCGAGGTGAACGTCATGACAAAAAAGCCGATCAAACACGATCCCCAATTTTACATCAGCATGTGTATGAGACCTATGACAAGAAGACTCCCTCACCTGTCCGATCCCTCTAACCCCAATCAAAGCCTTGGATACTTCTTCTACACTCGCCGTAGCGAGAAACTCCGTAGACAATTGGCCGGATCTGAAATGTTCTGCCAGGCTCAGGATCAGCGTAGAGTGTCGTAACAGTTCGTAGCATGTTGCATATTGAGCCGCACCAAAAAGTTCCAGTCGAGGTCCCGTTGTAGTTATGGTTCGTAAATAGAGAGAGTGTGTGTTCATAAAGTCAGTTACGGTGACCAATTTCGTAAAGCGGAACATGGCTAAGAATCCATTAAAGCGGAACAGGAAGGATATGAAGAATTCTCTCGCAACGAGAAATTGACCAGACCACTCACCATACTCAGCCTTCCTCCCGCTCAACCCAGCCGTCTGCAACTGCTTGACAGACAATCTCAAGACATCTTCGGGGGCTGGGAACAAATTCTTCTCGCTGCACGCCAAAAAAGGTCGGATCGCGAGCGGATCGTGATGAGTATACGGTATATCGATAAGGAGATCGAGTAACAAGGTGTGAAGGCGGGATTGGGGATATGACGAAGAAAGAGGGTCGTCAGCGTCGATCTTCCCGTAGCGAATTCCTCGAGTGTAACCAGAATCAAAAAAGCTCGATCGAGAGAAAATATGTTACGGACCAGCCTAGCGCTAGGCACGACCGTAACAAAATATGACTCACCCATCCAACCCCTCCTCACCTCCCACACCACCTCCCACACCACCTCCCGCACCACCTCCCGTATTAACCTTCTCCGGCAAACCCCTATCGAACAACCTCCTAAACTTGTGATTGATCGCCCGGGCTGCTAACCATGAGACTTGTTGGCCTATTATCGAGGTGCATAGTGATCTGGTTTCATTTGGGTTGAAGGTTGAAGGTCCGAGATTGGAGGTCAAAGAGAGAATGGCACGGGGCAGCAAAGGGTTGGCGATAGGGGGAGATGATCGAGATGTAGTGAAGAGGTGAGAGGGGGCAGAAGAAGTAGAAAACCGAGATGTCAGCTCCCGTCACCAGATTTACATTCTCTTGCTCAAACGGAATCTATCGCCTAAAGACCATCCTCCAGCCGCTTACTTCGTGCATAGCCCTCGCACTGGGTGATCAGTGAAATTACCGCCTGCAAGCTGATGACGAGAATCGCGATTGTCAGTCCAACCGGTATCGTCGAGAGATGTGATCCTGATGACATACAGTCGCAGTCATCACCCCATACTAGATATCAACGTGTGCTCAAAGCAGTGACATCAAGCGATATCGCACCATTATGACGTACCGATGATACATCACATGACCCGCACATGCGCGATCCTTTGTCGTGTTTCGACTCGAGAACGTTGCTTCCTGTTTTGTGGCTTGCGGTAACAGTCATATAAACCCTTGCCTGACCAAAGAATTCCCATAGTTCGATCAGACTCGATTTCTACATTGATCGACGCATCTTGATCACAGAATAACTACACAAAGCCAACATAAAATGGAACGCGACAACAACAGTGACCTTGGAGGAGTCATGGATACATCGTCCCGTGCAGGTAGTGTTTGGAACAGCATCGGCTCCGTTCTAGCTACCGAACGGTCCCATGGTTCCTCCTCGAAAAGGAGTGATGACAGTGAATCCTTCGCGTCTAAACACGGCAGTCCTACCGTTCCCGGCGCAGGACCTGCCAGTGATGTCGACTCGACGAGCAGTACTGCCGCGAAGGCGATGGTCGGAGGTCAAAACTTGCAGACTGAATATGAAATTCCTACAGACTGGTACAACCTTGAGAAGAAGATTCAGCTCCCCTTCAGTTACGTCCGACCCTTCAAGGCGCCGGAGGGATGCGAAAAGCACGTCGAGTATGGATTCATGACGCTTTTCAGGCCGTCTTCACATCCCGATTGGGACCGCGAGATATATGTCTACTTCGACGTGAAGCCTTTCATCTTCGCGGAACAACAGAGTCAAGCAAAACAGGACGGAATACCGATGGACCAATCTTTGTTGCTGCGGCGGTTCCGATCTGATTTGGAAGACGAAGCGGGTTTGGAAATCCTCCAAACCCTGGTCGATGATTGGGAACCGTACGGGTTAGGACCTGCCAAAATAAAAGCTTTGTCACACGCTTTCGCTCTGCACCGGAATGGGCTTTTTTCAAAGCTTAGGAACGCCAGCTTCGAGGCGACCGAGAGTTCGGTTGAGTCGTCTTCGCCTGGCGCTTCAAATAAAGGAAAAGACTCATCATCGATTCACTCTGACAACAGCGTGCAGACTGTCATCAGATACCGGCCGTCATCTTCTTCAGCCGAGAGGTACGAGGAGGATGATGATGGCAAACACTTCATCTCGCGACCACAGTCTTCGGGACTATCGGTCGGAACCCTGACAGACGCAGACGAATCCGTCGCATCATCAGAGGAGGGAATATTGCGAATTTTATCGGCGGATTGCGACGGAGAGCCTGTCTACGAACCCGCGAGGGACGATGAACTGTGGAGCCGCCTGAAGGTTGATCTGAAGAAACGCCTGGGACTACAAAACCTTCCGCCCAACTGGTGGAAGTCACACGAGACGTTCGAGCTTGGTCGTGTGCCCCCACCTGCGCGGTTATTCGAAGGAGGCAAACGTTCTGCCGGTCAAGGCTATATCACCTTCTACTGGTTGGGTACGAGTCCCTGGTCCCCTGAGTTATCTGTTCCATACAGCGTTATGATCTATCTGGACCCCAAGCATTTTCGTTGTAGGGCCCAGATGGAGCTGGCGGCGAAATACGGGATCCCTGAGGACTGCTGTTTGAGTCTCGGTGGCAATGGTGCCCATACAACGCGGGAACTCCTCAACAGAATACGAAATCATTGGAAAGCTAGTTGGGATGGTTGGGAGCTTGATTTTGCCACTAGAGAGTCACTGTGGTCCGCTTTTCTGTTGCATTGGTATGACCTTGAGCAAACCCTATCCAGGGAAGGGAGCGAATGAAGCAGCCTCATTGATTTTGTCATAGGTCCGCCTTCTGCCAATGTTTGTGCTGTACTATAGTCTTGCTATGATTGGCTTTTATAGTCTCGTGATTTGAGTGTTCGAAGAGTTTCCAGAACATGTCGACATCATCGTTGATGATAACTCGATGACCGAGGTATAACAATTCCCTAATTCCTGGCATTACTGCATGGACAATGTTCGATGCAAATATAGAGGAAAAAAACGTTATGGACGGTAAATCTTGGACTCAAGCTCAATTTCCGATCCAGTCTAGCCCTCACCACTCTTTCATGATGCATCACCTTCTATACAAGGTGTAATATAGCAAATCAGTCTAGTATTCTACTGTCCCTGTCGTGCCAGAATCTTCACGCGGCTACATTACAAGCGATCGAGCTGTCCGGTTGATTTGCAGCGGTGCCGTTGTATGACCTCATAGTTGTAATCCTTTGTCTTGTTTCATCTAGTGGTGGCTTTGTCATCTAGGAGCACTAGGCAGTCTTGAGGCAAGTACATATAATTGGCCCAGCTCGCATGTCATTGAATCTGCCCTTTCCAACTTCTGTCAAGAAACTAATATCTTTCCCTTCCAGGCGCATCATTTTTTACGCTGGTTCTATTGAAAATCCCACAGCATAATCAAGCAACAAAAAATCATGTCATCCAAGCCTGTCAGTATACTAGGTCAGAAACTGTGTCCGACGCTCGGCTCTTCCCCGAGCAGTAGGTCAAGCGTCCAAGATCCTAGCGTCGAAAGGTTGACTGTTAGTGCTGTCATCAAGGAGGCTAGCTTTGGTGATAGAGAGGAAGACTGGAAAGCATGGGGTCACTGCGTACAATTCTTGGTCATTCCGCCGGTAGCTCTGTCGTTCCGTTGGGAAGTCAAAGTCGGGGTGGATCTACTGACCTCAGCGCCAGCCTAGGTCATGACCCTGAAGCCGATCCGGTTCCGACTTCTATTGAGCCTGCGCGCCTTGATGTAATAGACGACACGGATGAGCCGGTGTTTCTGCATTCAGGGTATAACGACAACACTGATAGTATCAGTCTGGCCAAGGCCTTGGGATTTTGGATCCATCCAGACGATGCAGACCTACCCCTGGACTGGTATGACAGCCCAAAGCTGAAGATCAAGCTCGGTAGTCATCATCCGCGACCAGTCAAGTATACTGGAGATGATTGGTATTACGGGAGTAGTCATGGGTTCACCACATACTATCAGGCGGAATCATACACATACAAAATTGTCGTCTACCTGAAGCCGTGGCGTTTTATCTGCGAACAACGGTCAAAAGCATTCAGACAGGGGATACCCGAGTCACAATGCTTGTGTTTGGGCGAGATTGAGTGTCCGCTCGTGTCTCCAGGCCTTGCAATCATGTACGAAGTCAGAAAGTGGATAAAGATGATGGCTGTGGGAAGCAAGGTCGAGTCCGCCCTGTGGAGGAGTTTCAAAGACCATTTGACGGAGCTCATAGTAGAGTTGGAAAAGGCGCGAAAGCGAAGTGAACGGTAGCCTTACAAGGACTCTTCATGATCATCAGTCGCGATTTGCTTTTCTATCTACCCATAGATTTTCCCCTTTGTACACGATCCCTTTTGCTTTCCTATTGCATTTCAAAACATGACAACCGAACTATCGTATTTCTCCCTCGTGTTTCGTTTTGCCGAGCGAGCGATGTCAGCATGATCGTCAGGCAGGCGATGCGTTTTGACTGGCGGATGTGCAACGGATGTCGTTATTCGCCCTCGTGGACGTACTAGTACACTGTAATGTGTTCAAGAATATATCAGGATAAAAACCTCAAAGATGATGATCTCAAACACGATGATAGAAGAGCCTTGGCACTTCAATGGCTTTGATACGTCTACTACGGCCTTAGATCAAGAAAAAGGAACGGTACACGATCTCGACCTCACCGTTAGTCCTTGTAGACCCGTCTCCCCTCCTTTGTCGATATAGGCGAGAATGTGAAGCCGCTGGATTCAGATCTACAACCTCGATGATGGGTATGCAACCAACATGAACAACATTCGTTAGCTAGATGCGCATAATTCTACTGATGAGCAAACAGCTTCGCAACACATTGATGCTGGAAATGGCTACATCTGATTCATCAATGTGGTACCCTTCTGTTTGCTGCTTGAATCCTACAAAGCACCACAGTACCATCATCGACCTGGCACAAGGACTGTGGGAATATGGTGGCGTCCACGCTCGCGTCCTAGAATTGATGCCGATGGGCAAGACGACGATCCGTGAAAGGAAGATGAAACTTCCCCCTCAGCCACCATCAGATTCGGCTCCTACAGGTTTTGATTGTAACGAAGAATCACCCGAAAGGACCCGCTCATAGCAGGTTACTGTTCATTGCAAGAGACATCGCAGCATCAGCTAGGATGACACGCTGAGTGGCGATCGGCGATCGATTGCGCGGTAAAGGATGGTTTGATGGATATCGCGCGTCATGAGGCGCTGGCTTCCTTTGATGCGATTCCAGTCCTTCGAACATCGATCGAGTATAGGATCGGCCACCACGGCTGAAAGTTACGAAGACACTCTCCACAAATACCATATAATTGTAGCTAGGACGGAAGAAACATCGTTGTGCTGCGTGGCAAATATCCTCTTCCTTCGCCAATACATACCGCACTTCAGCTTGCTTGACTCCTCGCCTCTACTACGCATAGCACTCACAAAGATGTCCTCATCCGCTTCTGGCTCCAACCCTGGTAACATCGGTGCCACGACTGTACCCATTTCAGAGTTCCAGAATCCTTCTGTCATTCAGAGACCCGCTAACAAGCTGTCGTTCAATTCAGTTTCTAGCGCTGCGTCTGGATTTAGTGCCAGTGTCCGCTCATGGACATCTAGTGCTACCAGAAACCGCACCCAACACGAATCGAAAAGGGCTAGGGAGGTAAAACGGACCCATGAGCAGGATCCGATAGTGAAATTGGTGAATGGATCTCCCTTCTCACACAAGAGTTCCGACAAGCGTATCATCGTGACCTTGAGATACGAATTCGCTGGGATCGCTGAAGCCAAGCATCCTGAACCTAAGCAGAAGATCCGCCTCACTATCACTTGTGAGATCAAGAAAAGCGATGGGAAGTACGCCCAGTTCACCAAACCATACTTTGATACACTCGACAATCTCAAAGTCTCTGTCCCAACATCCATCCGGGCAGAACTCCTCAACCGGCTCCGAGACGACGACAATGTGTACAGACTCGCGAAAACGTTCCTTGACGACCTCTTCGAGCGGATGTTCTGATCGACGGCATAGGATCCCCTCTTCATAGGACTTGGTGATATACGAGACCTCTAGTCCGACTGTTCATCCTAAGGACTCCGTGATATACGAAACGAATAGTCCCGAGTTGTAGCTATAGCATGATTTGTATCACCATACCCAGGTCAAACACCGGCCTGAACGATTGACCCTTCCTTCCGTGCATGATGAGATTCTCCATGAGACCTTCCACCCGAAGCTATTGTGATCACATGACTCATATCTCAAGCTATTCCAACATCGAGCCTGAAACCACACGCAGGTCGCCGTTCCGGGCCAGCATGATATACAACGAGGAATGTGAAAATCCCGTGATCTTACATACCTGCAATGAAGTTCGACTGGGCTGAAACTGCTTGGATCAGGAGTGGCAGATCCTTCATGCCTCAAGACGCCGCAGTCAGCGCATCATACAGCGCCTGTAAGACTTCTGGCATATGGCAAGATTGGCAAAGAATACTGTATTAGTCGCAATAACGCGCTTTTGCTGTCTTTATGATCTCTTTGAACTGTGACTGCAGGGAGATGGTCACGATTGCCTCGTAGAGCTGTAGGTAGCGCAGGGAGTCTGGTCGTCGATAATTCTCGAGTCATTCTTGGGTAACCTGTTCCTGAAGTACGTCATACCCTACGGGTTCTGTTCTAATACCACGACGTCATGCCCAGATCTGAGGTCCTTTGTCACAATTCGGACGGCGAATGGAAAATGGTATCAGGAACATCACGTTCTTTAGAGCTTGTCATGTATTTACTCTCACTGGGTAGTGCAAATTGAGTTACAAGGTCATACTTCGTTGGCCAGACGCTCAATGTAATCATCGAGTTGATACTCTACACGATACACTCAAGGATTTGCAAGAGGCTTCGTCTAATGCCTGGAAGCGATACTTCAGGAGAAGCGACGCCTTACGTGAACAGTTTGGCTTCCGCGGCGACGATTGCGGCACCTGACCTTGGAGGAAATAGCTTTATCAATTCTTCACACTTTACCCACGCACTCTCAGCAGATGAGCTATTGGAGTCAACAATGGCTACAGGCGATGATCCCGGAAATAGTTTCGGAGATTCGTCTGGCGAAGGAGACAGCTCATCGCCAGCCTCTGACCAGACCGTCAGACCGAGTGCAACCAATCGACTAAAGACATACTGCATCGACCTTTACGATCAGATAATCTTGGAAGGCTTTAAGAAGGACCTGCAGGAGTCCAAAGTCCCAGATCATACAAATTTTGACAATTCGTGCTTCCCAGATGCAACAGAAGACGAAAATTGGGCCAGTACACAAGAAAGTAGCAAACCTCTAGACAGCCTAGACTCCGCAGACGAGGAGGACTTTATCAAGCCAGAGAGGCCATCGACTTATATCTCGTCTCATTTCAAGATGCTCCTGAATCACTGGAACAATAACTGTTCACGTTTAACGGTTTGGATGAATGTCGGGTTCATGATGCGAGATTTCCGAGGCGACATTAGAGAGATGATCACCGGAGTCGGTCCGTTCGAGGATGATATATGGTTATTACAGACTCCGATGGTATCGGCAGATCAGCTTGAGACGGCACTTGAGGATGCCTGGCAAGCGTTGAATATAGCGCAACCTGGCTTGCAACATCTAACAACCCAGGCGAAGCTCGATGAGATCAAGCTGGAGGTCTTTGGGGCAGATGGCTAAGTCGCCTCAACGCAAGACTGCAAGATGAACGAGCTGTTCTAGTGGGTCTCCACGTTGCTGAACATACACTTGAAACTCGTACTCCACCGTCCGATCGCCTTTCCACTTGTACGAATACCCTCATCGATCCCTCTTTCGGGTGTGAATGACGTAGATCTCCCTGAAGCATCAGCTCGTAGAGGAACGGCAAAATTCCACAGGTCTTTCTTCCTTTGCACTTGAGCTTTTTTGATTCTTCCTGTACTGTAACGCATCACGATCGTCGACGCGCTGTTCCCGGAGGGACCGTGGTCGTGTCTTGAAACAGGGTCATTAATTCCGCTCGATCATCTGCGTCCGTTCAACATTCGAACGCATTAAGATGCTCAACGTCGTACTATTCGTACTAGTCACCGCCTCCTCCATGTCATTCTTCACATTTCACTGTCCATTTGTTTTCCTGACGCAGCAGCATCGTCATCGTCGCATGAGCCACAGAATCCTCGACAGTTTCACCTGCACCTTGGTCGGTGAGGGATGAGAATCCTGCCGTGTTGATAACGAGATCACTTTGTATGTCGCCTTTGGATGGTCGCAGGTCTTCCTTTGTCCTGGTCGCCTGATGGAGCATGATGAGGTAGCCAGGGCGGAGCAGTCGACCACTATAAGTACGCATATCGCAGAACGGACAGATGTAACCATGTTTCCGGACTTTTATGACTTCCAGCCCTTTCATCCGGCTCAAATCTCGATCGACAGTATTGTCTTCCCCTCACTCGCATCTCTACCACAATCATTGGACTTGTTACCGATAATGAGTTCCGCCTCAAGCCAGTCTTCTTTGCAAAGCACTGCCGTATCTAGGGTCCGCTCTTTGACGAAAAGGACACTGTCCAAGGTCTCTAGCCTCAGAGGCTCCATCTACTCCCTTGATGAACCTCTGGGCGAGGACGACGACCTGACACAGATCTGCAGCGGCAGTATCGTAATATGGTTTCATATCCCCAAACAGCCCAGCCTCGACGATCCGTATGCGCTGGAGGTCGCCCTGTTACCGCATTCAAAAACTTACCTCGAGGGGCTTCCCGGCAAGAAACGGCTTTCCAGAGCTGGTAGATCCGATACACTTTTCGGGGTCAACGCGTACACTTGGGGTGGCTTGATCAAAGCAGCAGCAGAACAGTGGGATATGGAAAGGGAGAAGTGGGATCTTCCTGCAGAAGCTCGAGTCGAATTGTTGAAAGCCATCGATTCCAAACGCCCAATCGATCCGAATCAGGTTGATGGTCAACGGGGACCGACGTGTCACCATGTTTTCAACTACGATGTCGACCCCGACGATGATTGACATCAGTTGCATAGCGATCAGCATACCAGGATGCAGGATGTACGCACGATTCGGCTGCACCGCATCGACCTTCTTCGTGCATGATGTGTTACGGACAAGGTGGTCCCACTAATGAACGCATCGTTGCGCGTCGAGTCTCTGGTCTGTCTGTTGTACGGAATATGCCCCAGATCCACGCCTCGCCCCAATCGAATCGACCTCATATCATAATTATACAATTGTCGATTGAGCTGCTACATAAGCCCTCCTCATCAGTATCTACCTTCCTACATAGAACCCCTGACCTAGCTTTCACTTGGAACACCCACCATCGATATCCTTGCGACGACCCCGATTCCTCTATCTTAAAAAAGCCAAAAGCACAACAAACAAAAAATGTCTACCGAGCAAGCCCCCGCATCAGCTCCTTCGGGAACCAAGACCTACACCTTGAAGGACTTGCGGGAGAACGGGACGAGGGAGAAGATGTACATGTTGTTGCACGACAAGGGTGAGTTCAAGTAGGGGAGGCGAGACGGTGTGTGGTGGGGATCTTGAATTCGGTTTACGCGGACGTGGAGGTATCCAAGGTGGAGTTCAGCTGATGCTGCTGTGATTGCTCCTTATTTGTTTTTGTTAGTCTACGACATTACGCCTTTCCTTGACGAGGTCAGTCCTGGCTTCGAGTCTTCATATCTTCTGTGTGGTCCGAGATCTGGGAGGCTGCGAACGAAAATGATCGATCTTTGAAAGAGCTGCATGCCGGCACGACAAATCAGCACGAACAATTCCACCTCACCCTCGCTTGAACTGCACCCAATTTTGAACTGGCCGATCAACTTCTCCTGTTCATCCCATCCCATCTACTCCTCCTGCCGATCTTATACATAACATAAATCATCGGAAACATCAAGCTAATACCTCCCCATTCTGATTTTCCTCACCTCACAGCACCCAGGCGGTGACGAAGTCCTCGTCGAAGAAGCCGGCAAGGACGCGACCGAAGCGTTCGAAGACGTTGGGCATAGTGACGAGGCCAGGGCCCAGTTGGTGCCGCTTTATATCGGAGAGTTCGCTGGGGAGGTCAGTATTTGTGCGATTGCGAGTCAGGGTGGCATACAGGATGAAGGCTGATATCTTCCTGTTTTTTCCTTCACTGCGATGATGGTGTGATCTTGTTGTTCAACGTTCGGGCAACGTAGAAGAAGAGCAAGAAAGTCGCAGTAAACTCCACTGGCGTACCTTCAAGTGCATCCAGTTCGGGTCCTGGCGTGTAAGCATCTCTGCTTCTACCGGCCTGTACAGACTCTTTTCTCACGTCTACGCAATCCTACATGGACCATCATCTTTGCTTTGGTGTTGAACAGTGTCACCTACATGATCCCCCTCTCACTATTCTTCGCTTACCTCGCTTGGAGGGTCTACTTTGCCTAGACGATCTTCTTTCTTGAGTCGAGCGGGTTGCAAAAGATGGCGTAGCGTGGGACGAAGTGGAAGTGCGTCGCGCTCGATGGAATGGAGTGCCGAGCGTGGAGAAGACGGGATTGACTGGAATGGAACGGGCGGGCTGGAATGCAACGAGACGCCCGGTAGCGTTAGAGCTTAGGGATCCGAGCTGGAGGGTTGATGTTGACGGCATATGGGGTTACCAGCACGGGAAGGTGCAGGGGTCTCGAGAAATTCTCATTTAGATGATACGTATCTACATGTACGTATGCGGGTTTGTTTTGTTACATTTTCTCTTGTGATTAGATTGTAAGATGCATTTTCAGCGATCGAATGCATGGTTCAGCTTGTAACGTCCGGGACTCCGAGGATACCAGCCCATCGACTTTTTGCTGCTATTGCTGTTGGGGAACGGGCCTGCTGTTCCGGAAGGAGATTGCGTACATGCTGGCCAGGTAAGTCAGAGTAGTACAATTATTGCTGTGATGCATACACGAAACACTTACCAAAGCGAAATTATGACTGTGGATTCAGCGTCCATTTCGAGAAGGATGTCGATTCCTAGTATGCAATGTCACGTGCATATTCTATCCAGTGCCTGTCTCGTCAAAGGAAGTCGCGTTTCAGGTCACTGACCCGCGCATCGAGAACCTTGGCTCATGGTCGCAATTTGAAGGCGAGTCTTCCGTATATAGTCGATGGGGCAAAAGCGAAGATCGCCGACTTGTCTAGAAATACATCATACTCAGTAACGCACTGGCCATTAGTTGGAACCTCAAAAGACCGGTCCAGCATATATGCACGATGTCAGCAGATCCCGCGATCCCGAGGCAACCTTCCAATCTGTCCCAAGTCATGACGATAGGAGACGTTTCTGGACCTTCAAGCCCCTCAACGATCTCCTCATTCGAATCGAATCGATCATCGCATTGCGCGTCCCCGACAGTCAAACTTACATCGTCGTCCAGCAAGCGCTGGAGGAATTGGACCTTTTCAAAGCGATCCGATGACCACGTAGGCGTCACAAGAGGAGACAACGAAGACGAGAGTGTGTCTCCCGGTACGAAAAGTAGCTTCTTCACCTCCGCTTTCAACATCTCTACTTCTTCCTTCCTAACCCAAGCTTCCGAAACTACTGCTCAGCGTCCAAAACTCGCCAGAAAGAAAAGCTCATTTCTGCTGGACCTCCCCAAAATCTCTGCATCTTCTTCACCTTGCGAGACCCCGCCGCCTAGTCCACACAGTCCTGCAGAGCATTTCATCCGCAGGATTTCTGACAAACTACGCTTTGAACAGACACCTCGGGATGGCTATGATGAAGGTGTTTTCTCTGCACGGAGCATACCCGCTTGCTGTGTGGCAGAGGACTACCTGGAAAAACTGGTGAGGAAACGCCGGCTGCGCAATCCGGTCAGGTCGATCCTGACGGATTCAACCAGTGGATATCATCCCGAAATGTCTGGGCCATCAGACGACACGTCGACGATACGGGCAGCTCAGGTCCCTGTGATAAGTCAATACGATGACTCCGATTTTATGCCAACCTCAGAAGAGTACTGGCCTATCGCCAGCGAAAATGGAAGTACGGGGTTCAATGTGAAGGGGCGTGATTTGCAAAGACGTGAGCGCCAGAAGCGGCGAAAGTTCAAGATCAACGGTCAAAAGGAGTTCGCCCGCGATCTCGAAGAGGTACTGTACAAAGGGAGTTTCAGCTAGCTAGGGGTCGAGGCCGCAGCTGGGCAGTCGAGTCTGTCACCGTGTGAGATGCTAAAAAGATCGCACCGTAGGCGTTAGACCGTAGAGATCAGAACAATACTGGCGTTTCACATGTTTCCAATCGATTATTGATGTACCACTATACTCACTGGTTAAGACGCAACATGAAAGAGATCGAAAGAGAAACTTAATCGCGCGACTCTGGGACAATCATCTCCTCTAGAATCCTACGGTTCTCATTGACAGCGAAACAGTCTCATCTCATGACCACTGTATAAACTCACAGATCAAGTCAAACAATCGGCTTTACTCGGCTCGATATCGCAATGCCCGTCGATTAATGCCCCCGTGACGCTCAAAGGAAGCGCGTTTCATCAGATCGAGACGCAAGCCGAGTTAGGTGAATCGACGGGACGTCGTCATATATCGCGATCACTATATCGGAGACGTAAAAATAAATGAAACTATTCAGATGCAGCTGAGCCGCGGGTCGGCTAGAGATCGCTATATAATATGGGCTTGCATACGGCTCTGGGACGAGTTCTTTTCTCGTCCCGCCTTCTTCGATCTTCTTACATCATCCCGCGACTTTCACTCCACTAGAGAACATCTTCTCAGTCTTGACTAAATGCCGGGAAGCCCTAGAAGTCCTAAGTCGCACAAATGGGGCAAGTTCAGCTTTAGCATGCCCGGATCCTCGCGCTCGTCCGCTCACCAGTCGATCGGTCCCTCGGAAGTCTCCCCTCCTGCTCCATTCAGCCTTCTCACTGAGCAGACATCGCTCTATGCGAGTCCGAACACAACTCAGACGGCTTTGACCGCGTCACTTCCGCTTGGCCCAAAAGTCGACCCTGATACCGGGACAGCGACTCCGCCTGTACCCATACAAGGTGGCCTTTCCTGGAGCCAACGTACCAGTCCGATCTCACCCAGCTCTGGGATCAAAGGTCGGCGTCCATCCTTGGAGTCTCCTTCAAGAGATAGTAGCGGGGATAGTACCAGTCCTACAGCGGAACGAAGAAAGGGCTCCCTGAACTCATTGGCGAACAGGATGCGCAAGGCCAGCAGGAGGTTCCTGGGCAAAAAGAAAGCTGAGTCTGGCGAATCGCCGCCTTCTGACTTGTCTGCGAAGGATGCCTTGGGAGACCCTTCGATCGGAGATACTTTGGAGGATAACAGAGATCCTTCGGAGATCCCACCGACAACTCGACCTCCAACTCTCCAGCTATCCATCCCAGGCTCGCCGCCTACAACAAACTTCCTAAAACATGCCGGATCGGTAGGCACGAAAAATTCGGCTATGCCTTCGCAAGACATGGCCTCGATGATGGGCGAATCTTCGTTCTCCGCGGGTGCGAGAACGCATGAATTCTCCCGCGATTCAACCGTGCTTGAGCCCAATCTGAGGAGATTTGCGACTTCAAGCGAAGCGGGATCGGTTCTGCCGGAGGTTCCCCTTGATGACGAGCTCAAGTGGTTCGAAAACCCGCATGATGACCAGTTTCATCTCGTTCCTCACGAGCCAGCGGTTGCGAAGGTGTATGACCCAGTCCACCCTGAGGAACCCGAATCCCCCGCGACGGGGAAGTTCCCTGGGAAGTATGAACTCTCGAGCGAAGATAGCGATGGCGACTATGGAGGGGACAAGACAGCTCCTCGTTCCCCAGAAAAACACAGACGTCGGGAAGCATCCGTGGTGGTTCAGCCTCCTGGAATGAACAGCGCCGACGAGAATCTTTCCATCATCTCGTCAGCCACGGTCGACACAGCTCTTCCTTCGCAATCAGCGAATAGACCAGCGCCCGAGGGCGAGTCTCCTATCTTGGGAAACCGTCCCTCCCCTTTCTGGGGACCAGGTCGATTCCGGGAGGAGACCTACAAAAACGAATCAGATGGCTTCTACAAGACTTGATCGACGCGCTTGTCATGGCGAGCGTGGTATCAGTTGTATTACCAGAAGCAGATTCTTTATTCGCTTGGGAGATATCCCGCAAGTACCGCATTTGGCTTTGTAAAATTCCTGATTGATAAGACGTCTACGCAGCTCAGTAGCTCAGTGGTGCGTCCGTGTTCAGGTAACGACATTGCAGCTCTGGCTAAGTCACGGGCTAAGAGTCCTGTCTCTGGTCCACCTGATGATCCGATAGAACCTCCAATCCGATTGGATTCCTTTGTCCCTTGCTGAAGTGTCTGATCGTGTTTCAGGGGGCCGCCCTGCCGGCACCCACTCACCCCCGGCCTTGGCAAGCGCGCTTATGACCGAGAGCATTCGGCATCGGGCGGGGCACCACGAGGAGGGGAAAGCCGGGGGAGGAAGCCGAGCCGAGAATCCCTTTCGGAACCGAACTTTCGGTGGGATGGCCGAGGAGGAAGAGGGAGGGATCAGCGAGGGATGGGAGAGAGGGAGGGTATGGCTGTTTTGATCAGATGACCTCCTCGTTGCGATTCCTATTTCCAGAGTCAAAGGGAGGGAGGCGATGGTGATGACATCGAGATAGCGTCTTCACTGCTATCCTAAGAGGACAAGCCGGAAGATAAGACCCCGGCAGCCAAGACACAACTCGACTCTCAATCGGTGCCGGATTGGAATCCCTCTTCGAGTTTCGAGCGATTGGGTGAGTACGGGTCGACAAGGCAATGAAGCTGTGCCGTATCCCGGTTCTCACGGATCGTCATTCACCTTGTTAGGCGTAGGATCAGCTCCTGAGCTCCTGAAGATCTCGGATCGACAAACGTGCATCAACACAGCCAGCAGCTACTACAGAAGCACCGAGAGAGAGGATAACGAGTGATCGAGTGATCAGCTGGACAACCTAGCTGCTCGTCCCCTGGCCGCTGACCGGCTATCATCATCGCCACACCTCGACACGATACTCCACAGACTATAACGGTGAGAAGGAAGGAGGATATATATACCTCGCCACCGGTCAAAGGTCTTCCTTTTCACCCCCCGGACGTCTTCAACATCAACCCATCTTCAGCACACAACCGCTACTTCCAACACCTACCACATTACCACCTCCTAGCTACAACTACTACTACACGCCACCATGCCTTTCATCTCAACTCCATCAACATCCCCACCATCAGGATCCTCGGGTTCAGGTTCTTCTTCCCCTCCCAATTCCGCCTTACCCTCATCAGCACCCCCTCCTCCCGCATACAACCTCCCGCAAGACCCACCGATTTACGATACCGTCCTCTCCCGGACGCTGAGTCGACCGTATTATACGGCGGGTACGCCTATCAACAATAATGCGTCTACATCGAACTTGGGCTCGAATACCGCAGGGAATAACGATGAGAAGATAAAGTCGGGGGAGAAACCGGGGATGATGAAACGCCGGAGCTCGATCTTATCCACCTTCAGCTCCAACTCCAACTCGAGAAGAACACCCGCTGCCATCCCCGAACAACAAGAAGACCCCGTAGTCGACCCATCCACCCTCCTCCCCCCAACATTCCGCATCGGGACGGACTATGTCACACCCGTAGTTTCGATCAAGGGGATGAAAGAACATTTGAAGTTATTAGCAGCGCTGAGTAAGAGGAGGGAGGAGGTGGAAGGGAGCGCTTTGGGGTTGGTGGAAAAGAGACGGGCTGCAGGTATCGGGTTCGGAGCGGGTGGAAGTGGAAATGCAGGTGCAAGTAGATTGAAGGAAGCGAAAGCCCGGTTCAACAAGGATGCACCTGGAAAACCTCACCAACCACAATCACAAGCCAAAGACCAAGACGACGAGACCCCACACTCAGACTCAGAAGAAGAAGAGGATGAAGACGACCTCGACCCCCCCTTGACCCCCGACGTCGCTTACCAAGCCTACCTCTCCCTCTCCGAACAACGTTTCTACGCCTGGCTCCGATCCCCTTCGGTAAGGAAATTACGGGGTCGGCATTTCGCTTGGAAAAAGGAGGACTTGCCTAGGGACTTGGGAGTTGTGGGGGTTTGGCATGGGTATTGTTTGAACCCGAGGAGTGAGTCGCGGTGTGGTCCATTCTACTTGATATGGCCGGGAAGGGGGTGAGAGCTGATGCAGTGATATTGGTTTGGGTGTCTAGCGTATTGGGATGATACGAGGGAGAGAGAGGCCGAGTTGGGGGTGTTGAACCGGGCGAATACGTTTCCTTTACGACTCATTGTGAGTTGACCTGCTCTTCCATTTGACCGTTTTACGTGTAAAGAGCTTTAAAAAGATGACTTTCGTTCTTGGGTCCCTGCACTTAGTCCGAATGCATCAACCCGGAGACGCTGGAATACTGCCCGGTCCCGGGACAAGACCCCATCCCTGCCCCGACCGCCGAAGACTTGCTTCAAGCAACGGTCGACGTGGCTTGTCCCTGGTGTTCCACTGCAACGCCCGCTAGGCTGCTCACCGACCCTATCGTACAGGACGGATTCTGTCAAAAGTATTTCGCGATAAACTGCACGGGATGCAAAGAGGAACTCGACCACGAGGTTCTCAAAGTCGGCAAGTTCCTGAAAGACATCCGGAACGTCGTCACCGGGAAATTGCAATACCTCCCTGGGATGCACTTGAGGCCGAGTACCGGGACCGAGGATGACGAGCGGCCGAAACTCTTCTCGCAGCTCATTGCCAAGGTGTTTATCAAAGAGTTTGATAGGGAGATGAAACTCTACCCTGTGCGCAAGGAAGGCCCCTGGACCGCAGGAAGATCACCTGTGAGACCGGAGAGGGACGCCGTGATCACCTCGTTCGGGGCTTTCAACAAGAACGTTCAGCCATACCATACCTGGGAGCTCGAACACGAAGACCGGAATTTCCCAGGAATGTTTCCCCCGATCAAGCGGATTATGGAGGACCAAGTCGTCGGACCGAACGACTTGTACACTCCACGTGAGATGAAATTCTACCACGACAAGTTGAATCAAGCGCTCGATGACGGCCGGTTCAAGACCTGGGTCGCCGGGTTCAGATTGATCGGGGATGAATTGCCGAGGAGGATGGGCAAGATGTGGAGCGCTTATCAGAATGCGGGGATGGCGAGTCTGAATCTGGCCGAAGCTTGTGAGAGGCAGGCGGGGTTTATTGCTAAGATGAAGGGTATGGGGTGGTTGGAGATGGGGAGGTTTGAGGGAGAAGGCAAGGCGTTCTTGTTGCAAAGGAGCGCGGCTAGGTATCGTAAGTCATAAGGCGAATTGATCGACAGGGCTATCGGTGTACTGATGGGTACCTTTGCAGACGCCTTTTTGGACCTGATGGCCACCGTCCCTGCCGGCTTCCTCTGCCCGACCTTGGATATCGACCTCGGATGGCACACCCACCAACTGAACACGCTGGACTACCACGAGCAGACGATCAAGCACATCGGCCGTTTTGTCGACCATGACGACAAGGTATCCGAGAACCGATTGAGTGACGCCTACGCTTACACCGCCAAACAATGGCTCAAGCGTTTCGGCGTACCGTATTCGGCTTGCGGTTGTCATCAGGGCGACGGCTTGATGAACGTGCTCAACCCGGCATTTGCGATTCCTGGGAAGCTAAAATTCTGGAACAAGAACAAGGAGACGCCGGAGGACAGGAGAAAGCGGGTAGTCTTACAGATGGACGGAGAGATGGCCGAGGAGGAAAGAGAAAGCACGCATCCTTCAACGCACAATCTCATTCGCGTGAGTCGCATGGCAGGGTCGTCTACCTGATCTACCCGCTAATTTACGCTTCCATCGAAATACTAGGTCAATGGCTTGTTTACCGAAGATGAAGCGAGGATCTTGCGCCACACCAAGGACGCTGAGCGAGACCGTGCCGTTCCGAACAATACGATCAAAGATCCGGAAAAGGCTCGACTTGACGCCTTGTTCAGGAAGAAGCCCGCCCATCAGAACCCCTTCTTGTACACTGCGGGGTACGACTCGGTCTTGCAACCATACTCGGTTCTCGAGAAAGACAGGCAGCGAGCTCAAGCGGGGGACGTGGCCGGAATGGGTCGTGCTGGATATTGGGGAGTCGGTCTAGGTGCGGGCGTGGTCATCGGCGGAGGTGTCGTTTGGGGCATGTCGTCGCCGGATTGCCATAACGAGGATGCCGATAATCTCAGAGGCAACGCGGGTGAGTCGGAGTCTCGTTGAGGGGTCAAGGACGCGGTGATTAATTGATCGTTCTGTCTCTATTAGGTGCATGTGCCGTCGGCGTTGGTGCCACCGCTGGAGGTTACTGTGGGACGGCAAGCGGAAGTAAGTTGTGGATGAGTTGGCGTCGCTTGACTGCTTCGCTCTATTCAGGTTAGCTGACGCAAATCGCAACTTAGGTTGTGCCGCAGCTGCATGCGCAGGAGCCGGGGGTGGAGCTGGATGCAGTGCAGGTGCAGGTGCATGCGGAGGGGGTGGCGGGGGAGGAGGCGGGGGTGGTTGTGGTAAGTCGGCGCTGTGTGCAGTTTGTGTGACGAGGAGGAGCTGACTCTGAATCAATAGGTGGTGGTGGTGGCGGTGGTTGTGGTGGTGGAGGCGGTGGATGTTGATGACGTTCGCTGGATATCGATGTGACCGTTAACAACCCTCAAACTTTAAGCGATCGACCTTCTGAAGCTAGCACAACCTTGTTGTACGTATGTCTGCAGAGCCGATCACTCATTATCGTGGCAACTCGAAATCTGTCAGTAGAAGTTGTAATACTACTATATGTGTACCGAAGATATGAGACATGATACCCCGCGCGCAGGAACGCCTCGAAAATAGCTCTCACCATGGTACCTCCCCGAGAAATGCCGATCTGTCGGTGTCACCACCAAGTCTCATTGCTATTTTGTACCTTTGAGCTATATTAACATTCATGTTGTCATCCTCAAACATATTACCAAGTTGCCATCTCGTGGTGGTCTACTTGCAGCGAAAAGGTGGACTGCCAAGAAGCGAGGGCAGGTATACGCCCCGCTGAGCTAGCTCAATGATACGGACAAGGGCGGACCAGATGGAGAAGGGTTTCTGTGACAAACGTGCATAGACTATGCATTAGATTTGGGTATCGCTGTCACTGTCGAGGAACTAGTCGTGGAAAATCGTTTCGATTTGATTGTTACACTGTGTGTCATCCTTTGCGGCAGGACCCCTATGAATGCGTGCGCGGGAGCTAGTGTTTCAGTTCGATCGCCTGCATATACACCTTCAATGGCTAGAGTGCATTCCCGACACCTCAAGACGATTAGCAATGAGTGATTTAACGTCTATCAATATCAGTGCTTTGCTTCAAATAAAAATCGACAATCTGCTCGCAATGCCGTCATTCTCATGGTTATCGAGCCTTCGGAGCATGGACCCTTCCTTGACGATGTCGTCTGATGCTGCCAGCGTGCGGTCAGGGCAGAGCGGGTCCTCCGTCGCGAAGTCTTCGCGAAGTCGTGTCTCGACGAACCTCTCTAAGCAGATGACTGATTTCAAGTCGATCAGCGATCTGTTCTCCAACCTTTCTCTAAAAGACCTGTTGCCAGTCGCAGCGCCCAAGACAGGCCTCAATATTGAGACGTCCCGCACAAAACGCCTCGCAAAGCGGCTTTTTAGTACGAAGCACACGCTCAGCGGTCACGTAGAGCCATGGGGTTACGAAGCGGTGTTCTCTACCGTCGACTCCGGCCCAGTCAAGGTTGGGCTCGAACTTACGTTGAGATTCGACCCGAAGAACCCAAAGAAATTCAGCCACCTCCCAACGGAACTGCTTCGTATACCAAAAACGTACAGCGTCTGCCCAACCATCCTGGCAGATCTGCGCGACGGAATCGATGCCATGTGTGAGGTCCCCGCGGCCATTCAGACAGAGTTGTTAGTAGATATCAAGAGCGAAGCGTTTCGTCGAGACCTCAATCTTGTAGAATGATAGTGCTCGAGATGCATGCTACCCTTCTTCACCCACTAGGAAGCGCTTGGGAAGAGATGATACCAAAGATTACTTAGCGCTTTGCCACAACCCTAGAAGTCCTAACAAGGCGATCGTTTTACCTCCAGCTGCGGCTCTGAGTAGGCCTGCCCATGCTTTGGAACTCAGCCGAGGTATCGTGCACATCACTAGCCCTCAAACCTTCCGAACTAGATCATGGAAACATGCGTCAAAAGCGCAAAAAGGAAGGTCGGGCCCACTAACAAAGAACCAATTGATTTTGACTTCGCACAAAGGGCGTTACGACGAGACTAGACAGCTACAAGACAGATCCTACTCGTTCCGGCAGAACGACGCTTAGAATGTGTAGTTCTCTCGTCCGAACTGGGCCTATAAACAACAAGTATCAAGATCCAAATCCAACATCAGCCCTCCGCTAACCTCCCTGCGCATGTACCAGAGCTGTAGTGTCTCGTGGACTTACGGGCTGAGCAGGCTTGTTCTCCAAGACCTTTTCGATCTTCTCCATAATCTCGGGAGTGAGCTTGGGCAAGACCTTGAGGGCCTTGCAGTTGTCCGACACTTGCTCGGGCTTGGAAGCTCCGAGGATACAGGTCGAGACGTTTTCGTTCTATTCCGTCGAAGCCAATACGACCTCGTCAGAATCTTTCGTCTGCGCTGAAACGGCGATCTCGTCGGGGACACGCACCTTGATAGCCCAAGCCAAAGCCAAATGGGTCATCGTGCAGTCCAACTCCTTCTCGGCGATATCCGTCAACTTCCTGATCTTTTCGATCTTTGCCTGAGTCTCGGGGCTCTTGAGCTTTTCCACGGTATCCTTGAAGAACTCGGGGTTGGTTGCGTATCGGGAATCCTTGGGGACCTCTCCAGAGTTGTATTTTCCGGTCAACTATCGGGTCAGAAGAGTGAAAGGTCGAATTTCAGCGGTCAAATGTCTACGAATTTCTTCATAGATCTAAGAAGGCAAGCCGGCGACTCACGAAACCGCTAGCCAAAGGACTCCAGATCGTAGTTCCCAACCCCTTGTGTCCCTCGAACAGAGGCTTGTACTCGACCTCGAACTTCTCCCTGTGCAACATCGAGTACTGGGGTTGTTCGCAGGTAGGTCCGATCAGGTTGAGCTTGTCGGCGATGGCGTGAGCTTCCTGGATCTGCTGGGCGGTCCACTCGGAGGTACTGCAAGGGCGAGATTGAGGCACGGGAGAGTTTGATGATCAGCACTTGAAGACTAGGGCAATGAAAGTAAAAGTTGCCTCGCGACTCACCCCCAGTAAAAGGCCTTGCCAGTGTTGACCAAATGATCAAACGCCCTGACAGTCTCCTCCATAGGTACAGTCGTATCCGGTCGGTGCGCAAAGACCACATCGACATAGTCCAAACCCAACCTCTTCAAACTATAGTTCAACCCTTCGACCAAGTGTTTCCTGCTCAACCCTCGGGAGTTGAGTTCTTTTCGGCCGGTACCGAAGAAGATTTTGGTCGAGATGATGTAATCGGATCGTTGCCAGCCCATCTCGTGGAGGACTCGGCCCATCTCGACTTCGGAGTTTCCTTCGGCGTATCCCCTGTTTTCGATCGATACGAATTGTGTTGGAGATGATGGGAGATAGCAGTAAGCGTCATTTCTAGGGAAGACATCAGGGTTCAGGTAGAGCTTACTCAGCGGTGTCGAAGAAGTTGATACCGTTGTCCCAAGCGGTGGTCATGATGTCCTTGACGACGTCCCCCTTCTGAGTTCCTCCCAGAGTGAGCCATCCTCCCCTATGGTATCACAAAACAAGAAGATGACCCCGGATCGAACAAGGTCAGACTCGGTGTCGAAAAGCAGAAGAAGACGACACAAAGGCGAAGGGAAGCTTACATGGAGAAGCTGCGAGTTGCCGAAAGAAGAGATAAAAGAGCGAGTTAGTGGAAAGAAGTCCGGTACATAGAGGGAGAAGGATTGGCTTACACAGGGACACGAAGACCGGTCTTTCCAAAGTTTCGGAAAATCATCCCGGTGCCCTCGGGATTGCTACGTCAGTCACACATACCAAGCCAGCATCAACGTCGAGTCGAGCCAAAGGCAAAAACAGAATAGACCAAGGGTACGTAGATGACAATGGCGAGGGAGGACGATCGACTTTTGAGGAACGCGGAGACGTACAACATCTTGTCCTTCTGAATACCGAGTTCGGCGGCGCTGGCGGAGGCTTTGGAAGACATTCTGACGATGTTGCGTAAGGTGTTTGTGGAGAACAGTTTGAGAAAGAAAGGGCCTTGTATGTAGAAGAGAGGTGGGAAGTAAGGGTGGGAATAAATATGTCGGTGTGGAGAGGAAAGGGGGAGTGCGAGGAGTTATATACCCATGACCAAAGGGCAAAGGGTGATCGCTCGATTCCTCGCTGGCACTCGCTCCGATGACGCGCTAATCATCATCGCTCAACACCGATGACCTCCACCTCCACGCGATACGTAATCGAACAACGCCACGCTCCCTTTCATCAAGGCGGAATCGACAGCGCCCGGGGGATTCTTGGGGGTGAGGTGGCGCAAGAACCTCTAGGAATAGCTCCCGGCGTTCTCCGTGTCTCGGTTTCGTTGAGACGGAATCCTACTTTCGAAGATGATCTTTGGGTTGGTAAGCACCCCTCAGCGTACCCGGCACAACCCAGGTCAGATCTGGAACCACATGGGTGGTGTCGTTGGAAGATGAAATGCACGTTGCTGCCATCTACCTGCGCCATATCATCGTCCCGCACAACTTTGACACCTCGTATCATAAGTCCGGCCGGGCGTCGAGCCGACCCTAAGAGAGGCCGAGAAGAGGAGGAAGTCATCAGGCCTGTCCGACGTCTCGAGCGGGGGGGGGGGAGGGGAGGTTCTACAGAAATGCGGTGCCGTCGAGACCGGTATACATGATGTATCACCACGAACCAATCCAACTCGAACGAGCACCCGCACTGAACACTGAACAGGTCCGCCTCCATGAACCCGATGCCCATCAAGAGTTCCAAATTGTTGTTGGCCCTCGAGACGACCAGGATCGAATGTGACCCAACATATACTGTAGCGCGAGCGATCTATACTCGTAGATCTGACTCCGTTTTGTATCAGTACCCCCGCTGTTGATTGCACAAAGGAGGCTGAATCTACACGGGCGCAGAGATATATATCGAGTCTCGTAAGATTCGCAACGCTCCAAGTGTAACAGCTCCCTGAACTTTCCCAACCCTCATTTCTTGCAAGTACAAGAACTTGTCGGCCACCACCACCACCATCATGCTCTTCCCTCTTATCCTCCCTATCCTCCTTTTCCTTCTCAGGCGGATAGGATTAACAGCCATCTCCCCGTCCTGGAAAGGGAGCATCATGGGTCCTCCCGTTCCCACCCTCCTTGCTGTGAGTCGTCTCTTTCGGATTATGTTTCACCACTGATCACTTCCGCCCCTGTTCAGTACGCATAATGGATTTTTGAGCGATTAACGGAGATGTTGCCCGTTCTTGCTCTGAGCGATGAGCGACATAATAGTCTGAGCCGATCCGCCTCTTAGCTTGAGTCTTGTCGAAGATTTTGCGGTGAGATCGAGCTCGGTGCTGAGACAATGAGCTTTTACAACACTAGCCCGGGTTTCAAGAAAGGTATCACTGTGCCACACGGTTATACTGGTGATTTTTCTCCTGCGTCATCGACATTCGAGATCCAAGATGAAGACCCGCACATGGGCCAGATCAGAACACAAAATTTCGCGGGACTACAAGCATGTCGTATAACTACCCGACGAAACTGGCTACTTAGATCTGGATGATCCCTCGGGTTGGTCTGGATCCTCCTTCTTCCCCTTCCCTGTGAACAAATCTTTCCAGCTGCCCTTTTTCCGCATCTCTCTTGCCCAGTCCACACCGCCGGATCTTTTCTCAGACAGTTCCTTGGATTTTTTAGCAGGAAGCGTTCTAACAGGAGGCGCTCTCTGCTCCGTCTGAACCCCAAGAGCCGCACGAGGCGCTCGAGAGGGCTTCACTCTGAGGCCGTATGGGATGCCCGGATCGTTGACTGTGTACCCATCCCTGCTTGTGGGGGACGGTTCCGTATCAGTAGCCTGCCTTGCGCTCAGGCTCTCCTGGGGTGCGTCTTCGATGATCGTGTGTTCGGAGTTCCGTGAAGATCCTCCTCGAGAATCCTCCAGCGGAAAGGCAGAATCGGTGGTAAGGAGGGATTGACGCGGCTCTTCGCCCCTACTGATCGTCGACGGCTCGAGGTAGAGTGGGACCACTGCTGCTCCACTGGATAACCTGTGACTGGCGTAACCGCTGGGGGATAATTGTCTGAAACTTGCGCTAGACGCGGCTTCATCCGTTGTCGATCTCCAATCCATTTCCTTGGAAGAAGCTTTCATCCTGTTGCTGAAGGAAAGTGGATCTCCCCGCCAACGCTCAGGCCTTTTCTTGCCGTCGTCGGCCGATATTGGATTACGCATGTCGAGATCAAGTGAGACTGCTCGTCCAGTGAGTATCTGAATCGCTAAAACCTCACCTGCCAGTTGCATCGGATATTCGAATAAACCGGGGAGGTATATATATATATAAATCGCCTTTGTCCCGACCCAACGATGATGACGATCGATTGCGATATATGGCGATGAACCATTCCTTTGTCCCTGTGAGACCGTCTCCTCTGCCTAGCGGGAAGTTCGGGTGTCTCGGCGACACCTGCTTAGAGCTTGAGAATGCGATCGAGTTGCGTTATCTTCGCGTATTGGGTATCATTGCATGACTGCTGGCTGACTTCGAATCCAGCACCTCATCGCGCGTCACGTCGTCGATCGCGGCAGATGAGGCGATCCTGTCGCGAGCACGGTCTTAAGGAGACCGATTGAACGTTTCATAGGAAGACAAGATCAGTCAAATACTGACGGATATCGCCTTAACGATCCGACGACAGGACTTTCGGCTTCCTGCGGCTTGATCGTGCTGTCGTTGCGCTTTGTGCGGGTCATGTGACCTGAAACGCGACATCCTTGGATTCGACGGATGCTTTGTCCTGGCAATACTAGAGTATGTGCGCGTAACCCGATTGGCTTATTTCGACCGTTTTCTGCAGCGATTCTGTGGTATGACTCGGTGTAAGGCCTGGTGCAGGTATGGTACGTTCGCGAAATTGATAGAGCGAAACGCGTAGTCAGAACACCCCTCAAACTCGCCACCCAAATGGAGGTTGGGAACCGCTGACTGGCTCACAGAGTGGATTCAACTGATAGACTACCTGTCCCGTCTCGCGCTAAGTCTAACGAAGTGCACGAAGAAGTTGATTCAACTGTGCTGGAAGGTGCGATCAACTTTTACCTTTGTTGGCAAGCTGGTCCCCTTCTCATTCTCAAACGAAAGCGGATCAGATTCACTGCGTTCATCTCCCGAGCATAACTTTACATATACAAGATCTCACCGCTTCGCGCACGCGCCTCAACGATATTTGTCGTCTATGGCTTAGCGAATCTTTCCATTGCCGTTTTCACTCGACAAAACCTGGGAGGGTCGTCTCGGCTTTGGCTGGTCGTGCATATGTTTACAGTACTCTTCCGCATGTTCGATATCCCAATGGCGGGTATCCTCCTTTTCCTCATCGTCTATAGCATCATCGTCTGCCTTCTTCCTTGCCGGGACTGATCTAGGTGAAAGCCCTGCCCGTTTAGCATCGGAAAGCTTGGTGTCCTCTTGGTGGTGGGCTCTCGTTCCTTCCGGATGCTCTGATACAGTACTTTGTCCTATCGACTCCTTTTTCAACTAAGTGCCATTGCCAAACCTCAGCTGATCAACTTTGGAATTCTGTCGAATTACTTACAGATATATCGTCCTCCACAGAACCTTGTTCAGCTGCCGTGCTCAGACGTTCCCAACTGTCTGCGGTACAACAGGACGCATCATCTTCCTTCAACAGGGTGCCAGAAGTACTTGAAGCGACGGAATTGACTTCTGGGATATCGGAGAGAACGGTATGTTTCCTGGTCATTTCACTATGCGAGGCCTAGTCTGAATATCAAACATCGATGCACAAGTCCTTCCTCTCCAGGATACCTTACACACGCTGGTATATATATAGTCTGATCATGAACTATGTCTCATGACCAGCTGCTCTGGAGGCGTTCCTTTCTCCGCATCCCCTACCTTTCGATCACGAGGTCCGATCGGGTTTGGCGTGGCAAGCCAACTAGCACAAGCTCGGCCGTCATAATTCCGACACCCAGACCGCCAGCCTCCGGAAAATCCAGTCCACAACTCCCCACAATGTTACTGGTGAATATCGCCCAGGTTAAGCAACCGCTCTGTCTTAATCCTGGTTCTGACCGGAAGTCTATCTTTCGATCGACTTTGGCTGCAATCACCTTGCGAGACGGACTGACGTGCTGACGACATCACGATGATACCATCTCTACCATACAGTTTGGTGATACAGGGTGATCAACTATATCTTCAGGCACAAGTATCGAATTCAAATGGACCACAATTGTTCTGATTATACTGTTAGACAAAGCTGGCGACTGCTTTCAACTGCAGTTTACGGCAACGTTACGGCAGGACTAAATCTTCAGATCTCATAATAGAAGACTGCAGTCATATCACGGAAGCAATAATGCGATCGATTTTACATGTGCATCCTCGTCATTTCAAAAGACGATACAAACTTCTTGACAATTTGTAAGCAGACAGTTCCTACCTCCTTGCCACACCTGATACTTATTTTTGGATGCCGTGTGTCAAAGCTGCACCTTGCGAGTTCTCTTTGGTGGGCTGTGTGTTGGTCGCGGGGTGATCCTTCGAGGCGGAACGATGATTTAGACTGACCATCCTCTGATTCTGTAGGAATGGCCTGTGTGGTGACCTGGGACAATCAGGCAGAAGCACTTCACCATTGAAATCTTTGCGAGGTTCCGGTGGAGTAACCGCGCTCCCCGCCGATCTCTGGTCGGTCGCTGACATCCCCGCATGCTTTTGTTCGCCGTTATCACTCGTATTGATCGAGCTGGTAACGGCGGTGTAGACTCCGGCGTCAGCAGTTGCCCCTACTGTGGCTAATTCCCATGAATCGAACGACTCAGGGAAGGACCCTTTTACTGACGCTGCTCTGCTGTCAGAGACAGCTCCCCTCTCGCGTCGCGAAGGATTTTTCGTGAAGGTCCGTGTGATTCCTGTCCATTGGAGGAAGGATTGTTTGACGCTTTGATCTTGAGACATTATCGTAATCGCTCGTGCGGATCTCGAGATCGCAATTTCGTTGCCTGCGACGGAATGACATCAAGGGCGGTTGGGCTATATCATACTCTATCATGAATTATAAGTAATCTAGCATGTCAGTGGAATGAATCTATATCTGGGCTCCGACATATATTACAGCTTCTCCATCACGTCTTGATCGAAATATGACAAAGGGAAACGATGGTTCTGCCTTTGAAGCGATCACGAAATTCCTGGGTGCCGCATGTGCTTCCTGTGATATAACCTTTCGTCCGGACATCTCCTATTATACCGATCGACAAGGAAAGCCAGATATCTTGGATCGTTCACCGGCGAGTCTCAATGGATTCAACAAGCGAGGTCGGGCGAGTCGCTCGCGGTGCGCGACTTTTGGATGGGATCCGTCCATTATGTGATTCGGATAAGCAACCACTCGGCCATATCTTATCCTTCGGCGCAGTCCACGCTTGGAAAAGGAGATCCCTCACGGTGAGACAACGTCATGGGGCAGATGCTGTGAAACGATGAGCTAGCGCCTTCCTATACAGTAGTATGCCGTAAGATTGTTGTTCGCGTTTCATGCTGCTGAGGGAATGTACAATAACTTTGCGCTTTTGTGACTATGCATCGTTGGCATATTGATCATTTGTTGTTTGCTGTTCTTCTCACACCCCTGCTTCCCTCGCCTTGGCCTTTCGCATCCTCTCTTGCTCCTTGGCCCGCCTCTCCTTCTTCTTCGCTTCCTTCAGCTTGTCCTTTGAGCTTTCCGACTCGTCAAGCTTTCTCAAAACCTCATCCCGGACCTCTTTCGTCGGTTCGAGGTAGATGACACGGATCGCCGGTTCTATCCGATCGTCCTTCCACTGTTTCGATACGTCTGCCAATTCCGACTTGGTCGTCGCCGGGAACGTCTCCTGCACCTTTTTCAGCGCGGCTCCAGCCAACAGGTTGCCTGTATGGGCAGGCTTGTGTATGAAGGCAATCTCCACCCGGTCGCCTCGCTCCAAGATGTTCCGGACGAGCGCGATCTTGTGCATCAGGTCCCCCTTGGCGCTCTCCCACGTGATCTGCACCTCGCTCGTCTCCATGACCCTAGCTCGTTTCGCCTTGGCCTTTTTCTCCTGCAAGATCACCTTTTCCTGTTGCGCCTTTTTTCCGATCAATTTGACGATCGGTGGATCGCTCGAGACGAGGTGGAGGTAATGCGTCTTTGTCGAGTAGGACGACAGGATCGAGGCCAGCGATTGTGGCGGTCCCAACGAGTTGTCTTCGGACGATACTAGCTGAACCGTCTTGAACGGAATCGCCGCATCCCGCACGACCTTTGTGTTGTTCGAAGCATGACGTATTTGGTGGTATCGACCGACCCTCCGTAGCGGCACCTGCAAGCACGCACCATGTCAACCCAGCGCTTGACGTTGAGAATTGCCGGGACTCACTCTCAAACTGCTTGTCGACATTGCTCGCGTGCTCTGAACCTGAGGCGATGAGGCCTATCGGGCGAGGTGAGTCGGTCAGCCACGGTCTGAGAGCTTCAAGGCGATCCGTCGCTCACCTTGGCCTTCCACCACTTGCCGACCTTGCGACCGGCGTAAACCATGCTCTTGCTGAACCCAGCCGTCAACAATCCCTTGAAGCTCTGCCTCAAAGCCGGTTTCCCCATGATCCCCTTGAGCGCTACGACGACCCCAGACTCAGCGTTAGCTAGCCTGTACCCGTACTTATTTTCGCACGGTTCTCGCTCACCCCGACTCAAGACCGCCCGCAAATCCGCCTCGTCGACCCCAGCGACCTTTTTCCAAAAATCGTCCCCTGTCAAAGCCGTCGGTCCTCCTTCTTGCGGCTCTTCACCCGGTTTCAGCATCTGCACATTGAACTGAGTGCAGTAATGGGTGGCGATCGATCTTCTGAGCGTCCGAGGGAGTTTCGATAAGAGGTCGGCCCGGTAAGAGATGCTTTTGTCTTGCTACAAAGGCGCATGTCAATTAGCACTGTCAGCTTCACGACGCCTTTCCTGTCCGTCATGAATCTCTTTGGTACGCACCTTCAATACCCCCTCGCCCGCGTCGATACCTAACCCGACCTTCCTCCAAGCCACCTCCCTCTCCGCCTTTTCCTCCTCCGGCCCACCTACATCCCCCAGATCCGCCCTCCGTACCTTCTCCTCGTCTGCAGGTCTGACCCCTCCCATTCCGCTCAATAACCGGCCGTACAGACCTCGGAAACGGTGCATTTGGGGAGCGACGATGTTTTTCACTTTGTGCGGGTTCTCTGCGCCGGGGATCGACATCCTGGGGTCGCCTACGAAGATCATCAGAAGAATAATCAGGATATCAATATCGATCGGGTGGTGGGATGTTCGACGACCTGAGCGACCAGGACTGACCGGAATAACTGATCCCAGCGACCTGTTCCCACAACTCCCTCTCCGTAAACGTCTCTGGCAGCTGCAAGAGCGCGACCCGGAGCGCCGAAGTCAAGTTCACCTGTACGCAGGTTCATCGAACAAAACAGGGCATATCAACGATCAATCTCATATCCCTATGGTGGAGAATCCCCATCGCGCATATACTAACCTGCGCAGCGACCAAAACCCTCCGATCCGCCGCTCCCTTGACGATCCTCACGGGCTTGTGTAACCGTCCGCTGACGTACAACGTCGTCCAATCGAGCAAATCCGTACACAGGGCGTCGGTGGAGATGATCCCGTATTTTATACGGACGGTCTCTGATTCCGGTTCCGGGTCCGTCGCTGAGGCAGTCGATGTTGATGAAGAGGAACCCGAGGCTGTAGCGGGAAGGTTGAGGTTGAGGTTGTCCAGCTTGACGTCGACATCGGTCACGAACCACACCCCTCCTCCCCATTCTTGTACCCGTGCGATCGCTTCGGGTCCTAACCACCTGAACAACCTCGGGTAATGCTCAGGGTTCTTTTGGAGGTTGATCGCGTGGAAATGCGAAGGGTGGGAGGTAGAGAACAAGAAATCCACCAGAGGTTGTTCTTTCCTAGTTTTCGTAGTAGAGTCCGGGCTGGGGATCCCGTTCAACCCCCGACTAGCATATCCCACCTGATCGAACACCCCACTCCCATAAGCGACCCCCCACCTCACAGCGGTAAACCCTCCAGAGATCCTTTCTAGTTTCCGGCGGGTCTCATCGTGGATGGTCTGGTCCTGGTTCTTCCCGAACCGGGAGGGGATCTGGATGGGAGGATGACGGGATCGTGGGGTTGGGAATTGGCGGAGCCGGATGGTAGGTTGTGCTACATCGTTGATAGCGGGGGTTGAGCAAGTGGGGTGAGCTATGAAGCTCTCCGGTTCTCATAGGAAGAAATTCGAGGAGCTTACCAGAAGAAGCTTTTTCTGTTTCCTCTCTCTTTTCACCCCCCTGACTGTTCTCTGTCGACCGTTGCTCCGCCTGTGCATGATAACCTCTCGACCTGAACGTCCAAGAACCTGCTCGTCCCGCGTTCCCCAGTTGAGAGTATGACGAATACACCTTCGAGCTCGTCAACGGCTGGTAACCTGCATGTGACGTTGAGCTGCGATGGCGGACGGACGCCGAGGCCAGGCGAGGTGGTCTGAGTAGCATTGCTGGGGCGAAGATTAGTGGGCTTTGGCGGGATGTACCGAGAGACGATTGTATATGAGGTTCTGAAGATGTAGGTCGTCGATGAATGTCTAGTAATAGCCTGGACGACTGAGGGTGTTAGGTCCTCCTTAAATCGTGACGTGACGCGTGAGAAAGCGAATGGCCGCAGCCCGGATCTCACACACATGCAGTGACTTCCCACCATATGCCATGCCATCATCACCAGGTGTCATCAGCATCAACTCCATGCACAAGACAGCCAGACTAGAACGAGCGCCAACATCCATACGATTCCATAAAACTTCGAAAGGCTCTTTTCACCCTCTAGCTTGCTCTTCCTCCTCGATCGGACGGTCGCAGAACAGAGACCCTCGCGTTCTTTGTGTCACGATCAAAGGAAACGCACACAAAACAACACGCATCAAATACGCCAGGCCGGATCGCCTACCGAACCTCTGCGTAGTAATCCAGACGATATCGAATTCGGAATAGGGATCAAGGAGGTCGAGTTACCTTTCTACCCTCATCGAAGAGCTGCACTGAAAGTTCGAGGTCGATACCGTCCTCGACACAACTTATCAACAAGCCTAGCGCTTAAACAAGGACCGAATTCGGAACACCTCAAGCTCATTCCCCATCAACCGCTCGCCCTCAGCCTCCAATCCTACCTCATCAACATCTTCATTATCTCGGTTGCCGTGCGAACTTAGCACCATTCACGAACACGCAGCAGAGAGCAGGATAACAGCACAGTCGAACGATGGGTCAGATTTCTAGTTGTTGCGGATGTAAGTTAAACCCTCTCCTCTCGCGGTCTCTCGCTGCGTCGTCCATTCTTCGAGCATGCGGCGTCTCGTCTTGTCTCGTGCACAAGGTGCAACTAGACTACCAGACTACCATCACCTTCGCTATCATCATCAATCGTCTTCAGCCAAGCGGGATGTATCCGGTATCGAGGTCGGAGTTGGGGTCGAGCCCAGGCTAGAGGTTACGGGTCGAGATGAAAATCAAAACGATAGAAGGGAATCTCAGACGAGCAACGAAGATCCTTCAAAAAGACCCTCGCGGTTGTGACAAGGGTTAGAGAAAGATAAGGCATCGAGAAAGAGTGAAATTCCAAGATGGAAACTCGAACAACACTGCCTTGGCACGGCCGGGAAGAAATCGAATTCGGTTGTCGTGTGCAAACACTCTCGACAACGCTGCACCACCAAGGCAATCGACACTGGCCGAACCTACATACAGTATAGAACAAGACGTTCTGACATGTTCTGTCATCTCGAAGAAGAAGCTCGTCTCGGGGGTTCTTTCGTTCTTGAAGATCCGAAGCTCCAGTATGACGACACTGTTGAAATCCAGTCGTACCCTTGACTCGCCAGTGAGGGATGTGAGAAGAACGAGGGTTGCGTTCGAGGTCGAAAAAATGTTCTGCGAAGCATAGCGCGATCTCGCGCTTCGTCTCTCAGGAACGGGGTTGGCAAAAAAGCATTCAGAGACTATCGGAAGGCACAAGAGAAGAGACGGACTAGCGATGGTTTTAAGACGGAACACCAGATGAGTTTGGGATCGAAAGCTCTAGATGCCGAGGGGGCTGGGCTCGGACACTCTCGTCTCGAGCTAGATATGAACGACTTCCCGGACGGGTCTTTGTCTGGAAGAATATGTTTTGTGGAGAGGCGCGCTAACGATCTCTCTACCCGTTTTCTCGCCCTTCCCCTATGTTGCAATTGTCTCTGCACGAATCTCAGGCGGTTCGGCGCGTAAACAGTCTTACGAGCCTTTGTTGCTCGAGAACGAACGGGAGGCTGTTAGCGAATTGTTGCACCACCTCGAGAGTGAGTTCCGACAGTGTTCAGATAGACAAATCACATGATCAAGAGCGCTGATATATTTGAAATCCGACAATGCACTCATCTCTGCATGCAACCTTCTAGACCGAACGACCACCAACTTTTTCACCGGTTCCCCCCTTGCCTCCTTGACAACCCTCTCCTTCAGCGACAATGTCGACCTCCAACGATCTGCCGCTTTGGCGTTTGCAGAGATCACGGAAAAGGAAGTCCGCGAGGTGGGGAGGGACACGTTGGATCCGGTCTTGTTCCTGCTTGGAAGCCATGATACCGAAGTCCAGAGAGCGGCTAGTGCCGCTTTGGGAAACCTGGCTGTGAACCGTGAGTCCACTTCAGTCGTTGCGTTCTGTGTGACGAGAAGGCTGACCAGGTTGTCTCACGGTTGTAGCGGAGAACAAACTTTTGATCGTTAGGTTGGGAGGTCTGGAGCCCCTTATCCGACAAATGCTCTCACCCAACGTCGAGGTTCAATGCAACGCTGTCGGATGTATCACCAACTTGGCCACTCACGGTAAGCCCGCTACAAAATCTTGTTTATCGAGCATGGGCTGAGACCCTTTACTTCGGTATTGCAGACGAAAACAAGACCAAGATCGCCAAATCCGGTGCTTTGGTACCGTTGACTCGACTAGCGAAGTCGAAGGATATGAGGGTACAGAGGAATGCTACCGGAGCTCTGTTGAACATGACGCATAGTGGTAGGGTCTAACTTCATTTCCGTATCGTCTGAATGGGAGTTCCAACTGAAAAGACGGTTGTCTGCAGATGAAAACAGGCACCAGCTTGTACACGCCGGAGCCATCCCCGTGCTGGTCGGCTTGTTGAACTCGCCGGATACCGATGTGCAATATTACTGCACGACCGCCTTGAGCAACATCGCTGTTGATGGTGAGTCGGACGCACGGGTGAATTTCTAGCTTGTCGCTGATACGGAGGCTATGTCACTCAGGTGCCAACCGGAAAAAGCTCGCCTCGACTGAGCCCAAGCTCGTACAGAGCCTGGTCGCACTGATGGACAGCCCTAGTCTGAAAGTACAGTGTCAGGCTGCTTTGGCCTTGCGAAATCTGGCTAGCGATGGTAAGTCGCCGTTTTCAGGTTCGGCACCCAAGTCAACGTGCTTAACAAGCCTTATCCTCGACAGAGAAATATCAGCTTGAAATCGTCAAAGCCGACGGCTTGACCCCGCTTTTGCGTCTTCTCCACTCCTCTTACCTTCCTCTGATCCTCTCTGCCGCCGCCTGTGTTCGAAACGTCTCGATCCACCCCAGCAACGAATCTCCTATCATCGACTCCGGTTTCCTGCAGCCGTTAATCGAGCTGCTCTCGTTTGACGAGAACGAAGAGGTCCAGTGCCATGCCATCTCAACGCTCCGAAACTTGGCAGCTAGCAGCGAGAGAAACAAGACGGCGATCGTCGAGGCCGGCGCTGTGGAGCGGATCAAGCAGCTTGTCTTGCAAGCGCCATTGCTGGTACAGAGCGAGATGACCGCTTGTGTGGCTGTCCTGGCACTGAGTGGTGAGTCGAACTGCTTTTCGTTCGAAACGAGTCATGCTCAACCTTCGACTCTTTTCATAGACGACTTGAAGCCGCAACTGCTTGAGATGGGAATATGTGAAGTCCTGATCCCCTTGACCAACTCGCAAAGTTTGGAAGTGCAGGGCAACAGCGCCGCGGCTCTCGGCAACCTGTCATCAAAGGCGGCGGAAGACTACGCGCCCTTCAACGCAGTGTGGAACTCGCCAGAAGGAGGTCTGCATGCATATCTCGTCCGCTTCCTGGGTAGCCCCGATCAGACCTTCCAGCACATCGCCGTCTGGGTGAGTGGTATTCGTCGAGTTTGTCATGTGTTGTCATGCTGACAGCCGCGCGCTTCATAGACCATCGTGCAACTTTTGGAGTCGGAAGACGAGACCTTGACGAACAACATCCGAGCCTCGCCTATCCTGCTCACCCGGGTAAAGCAGCTGGCTGCTCAATCACCCGGCTCGCGATCTCAGGGAAGTAGTCGCCGCGGCTCAACATCGGATGACGAGGGAAGTGCTGGCGAAAACGGCGCGGGTGAGATCGCAGGTCTGGCCAAGAGGATTCTTAGCTTGACAGAAGGTGGAAGTGAACTCGAGGGCGACGAGAACGACGGCGAGCATGCGGAACTGCGGGCTAGCGTACATCAAGCCTTGAACGGACAGCAGCAGCATTAGGTCGTCATCCACAAGATGATCACACCAACTCTCCTCAATATACCCCTCCGACCTTTCGAAAACGCGATCAATCATAATCCCATTGATCGAAATCCGCTATCCGCTCTCCGACCCTTTCATGTATGTTACGATTTGTCATGCCCAAACTGGCTCTCCCCGTTATACTTTTTCTCTTCCATCTTTCTGATCATGTAGTAGAGCGATGCATCACAATACAGAATAGTAATGCCCAAAGGACCTCGAAAGGACGGGTCGACATCCGTTTCAGGAATGCATCGCCCTTTGTCTAAGGACGTTTCAAGCGCGTGAAAGGGACACAACGGAGACAGTGGAAGGGGGTATCATCGGCGAGGCAGAGTATAAAGATGTGCGCTTGACTTCCGCCGTCAGTGAGTCCATGATGAGCAAGGCGTGATAGATAAACGACTCCCTCGACAAAATGCCTAGATCAACTTCAGACGAGCGATACATCCACGTCACCGTTCAGGAATCGGGCACGGGCACCTATCTCAGCGAAAGAGCCTTCCTACATGGAATAATCACAAGTTTATTGCTAGCTCATAATAGCTTATTGTGGTATTTCCCAAGTGGTAAGTGCGGACCTTCCGCTTTGCACCCACTTGATCGATTTCTGACAGCGATCAGCACGATAGTTCTGCGAACATGCGGCTTACTCAACTCTTTTGAAGCCACCGAAGAGTGGAACCATGTCATCGCCGACTACACGCTGCTCGCACACCTTGGTATGGCATATATCATCTTCAGCCATATCGATGGCACCCTCTGTCGGTGGTCTCCGACGTCGGAATGTATATTGCAGACTGTCGTCGTCGTTTTCACCTTGGAAGGCGCTTTTGCTGTCTCCTGGGGTTGTGAGTCCTGGTCTTGCCTAATTGCCTTCAGAAACACCTGAAACTGACATAACAGCTCGATGGAACAGACCTCCTATACCAGAACTTCGGGTTAATGTTGGAATTCGCCAGTTACGACGGATCGTGGAAATCTCTTGGTCCAATCGTTGTTCAGAACCTTATCTTCGTTTCCTGGGCGGGAACGGTTTTGCACACCTTATTGCCGGCGATTGAAGGGGCTTCGAGAGCGGTAGGCTGGGGAGAGTCGCTCGAGGTCTTCGGGATGGATGTTCAGGATTATCCCTGGGTCGGCGGCCGCATCGCTCTGGACGATGAGAACACTTCGGACGCCGAGACGATCATCGATCGTAAGGCGGCCAGCGACCTGGTGTAGCTTTCAAACCCTCGATCCACGTACATGCTATGCTATGTGTTTTATGCTGCTACAATGTATTAGTACGATATACAACCTTGAGTTCTGTATGCAATTCCTTTGTTCGCTGAACCTACGACTGGGACGTTGCCGATGCAGATACGTCATGTTCTCCTTTGCTTGTATGTCGAAACACTGAAGGTGAAAACGATGGCTGACGGCTCGGATCCTGGCCTATTAGACCGGGCTTGAGCCAGTTTCGTATTGTCGGAGATAAGTTCAGACCTAATGCGTAGACTGCACAAGCTCCATAAAGAACAGGAACGATGGCGAGGGTAACCCGAGCGTTTGCATCCTGTTCTGTCCTAATCGCATAGGCGACCGATGGCCAGAGACCGCCCCCGCAAAGGGCTGTGACCAATCCCGCCGATGTCAAGCGCGTGTGTCGTCCCATACCACGAAGAGTGATGGCGAACAATGTCGGGAAAATTGGGGCCTCGAAAAGGAAGACGATGATGCCCATGACAATGGGAGCTTTGCCGTTAGGTAGAGAGATTGTCAAGGCGGCGCAAGCCGTCGCGCCGACCGTACAGATGGCCAGCAACATGCGAGGGGGTATCCCTAGGAAGCAGAGGCCCGCCGCCAAAAATCGAGAGAACGCGAATATACCTTGGCCTATACAGCGTAAATTGAAGGCGTCACTGAAGACCGACCTACCAACCAAGACTGTCAGCTCCGGATTGCGTGACATATAGGGCTCATCACTAACCTCTGATAGACTTCTGTGACAAAGTTGAACCAGTAATAGCTTGTTGCCTCTTGCGCACCGATGTACAGGCTCATCGCCGCGATTCCTGAACCCATCATCAACCACTTGATCGGTAATCCGAGCACTTTCGTATCCGGCGCAATGCCCGTATAGCGTTGACGGTCATCGGCCAGCCTTTCCAAAGTAGCATTATCCGCTTCGTTGAGAGGCAGGTAGTAAAAGACTACGCTCAGGGCTATCACCGCTAGCCCTACCGCCAGATAGCACCATTGCGTATCGACAAGCGAATCTCGGCTCCGCACATTGGTGAAGAGTGCCTTGTGAGCCAGGACAGGGGAGATGACACTCGCGATGCCTTGAATTGCTTGAGCAAAGTTGAGACGGGCCTCGCTGAGGTGATCCGGTCCTGCGATAGCCACAAAGAGGTTTGCGGCCACCTCCAAGCAAGCGAGCCCAGAAGCGAGAAGCATATTGCTGACAAAGAAGCCTGGGTAGCCGTTCACCATATCAGCTTGCAGATATCATCACGAAATCGAAATTGATGACCTCACCTGGGAAAGAAGCTATCACGCTGCTAGGCCAAAACGCCATCGCGCCACAAGCGAATAACCAAAGTCCACATATGAACGTCGCCTTGAACGGCTGTGCGTCACCTCGGCTCAAGACCCAGTATCCTACGAGTGTCGGACCGATCAAGTACCCCACCCAGTATGCGCTGTAGAAAGCGAGAGATTTGCCTGCCGAAAAGTTCAGGATATCCTCGATCTGAGCGTTCAAAGAGCCCAGTAGGCCATACGAGAAGCCCCAGGTAAAGAACAGGATAGAAACTGTGGGGACGAAGATGAGTCTGGATAAAGCTTACTTTCTCATCATGGGAATCGTTCTTACCGCTCATGATCGGCCAGAACGCCTCGTGACGACTCAACTCGGTCAAAGGCTTCGTGCTCGTCAAGTTGACAAAGTCCGAAAAGGCAGTATCAGGCGCCTGAGTCCCTGCCCCACTGACCGCACTTCCCAAGGTCAGGATGGTCATCCGACGTTTCCTCGGCGGTACAGCCGCCGGTTCTGGGTGTCGTGTCTGTTCTCGCCCTAGCAACTCATTGCAAACCGCTGCGGGCTGTCTGACGGTAACCACACCTTCGTCCAGGAGATGCCCGTCTTTCTCTGTACTGTGACCAGACGGTCGACGATTCCCAACCCCGTCCATTTCCGCCTCGGAAATCGCCAGGAAATCCATAAAGTCCATATCGCCTAGATCGACCTTGCGGGTTGGGGTAGCAGGACGGCCGGGATCAACGCAGAAGGGCGAAATCGATCGAGTGAGATTCGGTGCTGGTCTAATCGAATCGCTATCACCGGTCCCAAGAGCTTCTTCATCGATGGGCTGGAGGTCATGCATGACCCCTTGTCGCCGAAGTATCGGGTCAGGCTCCGTAAACCTCATCGTAGGAACGCTCTTCTCGTCGTACGAAGAAGACCTTTGTCGGGGTCCTAGTGCGACAGCGCCGTCACGATCGGCGACAGAAAGGTCCAATCCCATCTTGGCACCTGGATCACTCGTAGAAGCCTTCTTGCTACCGCGACGAGCAGCTCTCACTGGTCCTGGTCCTCCCCATGCTTTCGGACTGATTTTCTTCATGAGCGGTTTCAAGACCAGGACCTGACGATGAATCAGGTAGATATGAGTGGTCGAATGTCATGACGAACGTTTGCATATAGCTCACCGACGCGCAGATCAACCCGGTATTGACCTCGACCGCGCTCCACATATAAGAATAACTCGCCGTATACCCGAAATCCGTCGGCCTCGTAGTCCCGTTCTCATCCATCATCCTATACTGCTGATAAAGCGCCGTCTGCAAGTACGCGATCCGTATGACATCTACGACCGCGACGAACAGTCCCGTACAAAATGTCCCTACGACGACGTATTTCTGTTTCCGTTCCATCCGGATCCCGGTTAGGATCGGTAGGGGAAGGAGGACGATAGCCAGGTCGGTGATCACATTCACCGGAGCGCTGCATAGGTAGAGGTAGACGAGGTTGATGCATTTGGCTCCTCCGGGAGCGACGAGGTGAAGCGCGGCCGAGACTGGAGAACACTGGAAGATGTTCAGGAAGGCGAGGACGATACCGGCCGTATTGACCAGTACCAAGAGGAAGACCGAAGCCCATCGGAAGAAAGGGTTCGCTTGAGACATTCGGAGGTAAAGTATGAGGATGGAGGATTTGGTGGCCATAAGCACCGGATTGTAGCTGATCGAAAAGACGTATTCGGCGCGTTTGAGAGGGAGTTCCCATTCAGGGAGTATGTCTGCGGAGGATGACGCGTTCAAATAGGGGTTGAGTGCTGTTACGTGGATAATGATCGTCGTACTAGGCAACTCACCAGCATCCCGGAGGCCTAGACCATGTTGCGCGGCATACATCGTGGCGAACGACAAAGCGAAAGCCAGGCCCTTCGGTGTCGAAACCCAAATCGTCAGCTCAGACTTCGTTCTGCCAGGCCGCAAGATCCGGCTTACCCAAGCGATACCCATAAGCCCATCGTCCCAATCGATCTTCTTGACGATGAACAACCTCGAGACCATCCTCATCCCCACGAACACGCTCGCCAACGTGAAGAAGACGAGCGTGACCGCGAACACGGCGTCGCCTCTGCTCATGATCGACTATTCAGGAAGTGCTGCGTTTCCAGGCGTCGTGTGCAGGTGGGTGTGGAGTTGGCGACGTCATGGTGCCTTCAGAGTGGTACAGGTGTAAAGTTGGCAGTCATTGCGATGGTATCGTGAATCTCAAAGATCTTGTACAACTAGCAAGAGATCTTGTTGAACTACCTCGGACGAAGAAGTGAAAGCGATGAGCGAGCGATCCCATGACATGCACCATGCAGGCTGTACGCTCGGTCATGGGAGAGTGAGAGGTCGATCGAATCAGGTTCCGTAATATCTAATTACTCCACCACCCCCAGCCCAGAGCCTCGGCCCCGCAAACCGAAGGGCGTCGCGTGCCTTGGATCAGAACGCCACGCGTTACGTAAGTAGATCACCCAATCTGACGATCAGCGTTTCATCTCATCGTCTGACGACAAACCGTCGTGTTCACATGTTGTACGACATGCCACCGTCCTTAACGCCTTTCGAGACTCTCAACCTACTAAATCCGTAATCTTCGTATGTTAGCTAGCTCGATCGCACCTCCAGATTCAAAAATACAAATCGATCGCGTCCCCCACTCCGCTTCACGAATTGGGTGGTCGAAGGCCAATGCCTACCGGTCTCGATCTAGTAGACTGGATGACACAGGAGATGGAACATCTCGTCAAATCACCTGAAACAATAACAGGTTCGACTAGTGATCAAGCGCCGGACTCGTGCTGTAAGCTGCGAGACAATACAATATAACATTATTTGCTAAGATACCTTCTTCAACATATAGCTTCAATGTCAAGCGGTGATTTAGCTTCCTTCCGGCAGCTTACTAATTTACCTTTAGAACCCAGTTTTGTTCAAGGCTGGGTTGACTTCGACAAAGGGTGACCTTGAAGCGACTTCGAGGTGCCGTGAGAATCTTTTACAATCCAGAGTGAGGGTCCGCATAGGCTTGCAGACGATTATGTAGCTCAGAATCATGAACAACTCAACGTCTATACGGAACATTCGATCAGCTCCAATGTTCAACAAACCATCTCGTCGGACCCCGAGTCATATAACATGATATGCACAATAGACTACTCCTCGTACGCCGCATGTACAAATTTCCATGCCTTGATACACTCTTTGTCCCGGGCCGCTTTCCAGATCAGCTCGGAATCCGACAAAAGCTCATTCGACCGCAGGTAACGGTCCCAGTACTCGGTCTTCATGATCCTCATCAGAAGGAACCACCATCGTTCTTGCTGAGACAAGGTTCTTCCTCCGACGCCGCCATGTTCGTCAGCAAGCGGTACAAATTTGATTCTTTGCACCATCGTCTCTCCCTCACGACTTGTAAGCGACACGCCTGCGAGAACTTGCTCGAAATAGTTGCGGATCCGGGCCCATTGGCGCTCATCGATTTGTTCTCCCAAGTGCTCGAGCCCGGCGAGGAATTGCTGCGCTGATCGCAAAGCCGCATTCTGAGCCTTCTCATGCGCTGTAATGGCGCTCGGACTGCCGACAGCTGTTGCAAACCAGTCTGTTGCGGTTTGCCAGCTCTTAGGCGCAGCCAGATGAGCCAGAGGATGCTCGGTGGAATCGATCAGTAGATCCATCGCTGTTGACGTATCTATCGGTGGTCCCAGGGACATGTCGCGCGAAGGATCCGTCGTGGGCTCGATGAAGTGGGCCTTAAAGACCTCTCTTCCCGATACTCGGTCTGTTCCCTCAGCTGGCGTGGTTTCCATCTGATGACCTTGTCCTTGCATCTCACCAGTCTTCAAGGAGGTATTTGACGGATCTTGCCGGGTGGAAGTCTCCGAAAGCTCAGTCCCACGCTCTCTCCCCTCTTCCACCCCCCATGTTTTGTAGACCGTTACAAGACCGCTCCGTAGCCCTACCGATCTGTCTTCTTCGAAGAACTCGACGAGACAGCTTGCACCTGAAGGTGTGGCAGACTGTCAAAGCAGGGACATAGTCAGAGACAGGGTAGTCTACGGGGAAGATTCAGTCCTGTGCGCACTAGAATAGAAGGAGTAGGAGAAGCCATAGAGTAGAGTCAAGTTTTAACCTTTAAGGCAAGGATATTTGGTCACGGTAAAGCTGATTGATAGCAAAGAGGGTTGCCGACATGCCGATGTCTAGCTTGCTTTATCGTACTGAGTATATATACCCTTGCAGTCGGCTTCTACACTGACGTGATGTGCCTTCATTTGTCAATAACAACAAACACAAAAAATCCACGGCCTGCCAGGCATAACGTCTGACACCGTGAAGCGGGACACACCTGGAAGCGGGACAAGAAATCAACAAGTACTTCATACTAGCACATCCGGTAATAGGTTAGCCATGAATTGATTTCCTGGGAATCAAGAACTCGCAAGGGTTCGATTCTGACTAGGATCTTCTTGCATTTTGCCAATTTTGTGCGTCATTTAGACTCGGGTATACCCATAGGTCGGCTTACAGTCAGATCAGGGTTATCTAGGCGAATTCGTTGCTATCCATAGGTCGGCTTACAGTCAGATCAGGGTGCAACGGTCGTCATGTCTTTTTGCTTCTCGTCTTATCCAACAATATTCAATTACAAGGTACATGTAACAGAGTCAGCAAGGGCTGTATAATTATGGATGGTCGAACCAACCAGGTCCTTTTTCGACCAAGAACTCCATGATCATCGCAACACGTGTACTGCATAATAAAAGCTTACAGAAAGGGATTCTCGTCCTCGTCAGCTACTGGGCTAACATATGGACTCTCCTCGCCAATTTCGGGAATGTCTTCTCCACGGCCCCCCTCTGTGTCTGTCTGCGCTGCAGCCTCTCTTCCTTTGCCTTTCCTGCCGTACATCCTTCCCCATTCTAGACCGACCAGCTGTCCAAGGGACTCGTGGGTGGTGAATATGTGTGTACCCATCGATGCAACATTGGCCCCTTTTCGTGGCTGCTTGGCATTAATCCTTCCTTGCTGGATTTCTTTGAGTTCGTTTTCAAGAATGATGTTCCGAGCCTGAGTCTCCTCCGTCATGGTGATGATGCCGTTCAGACTGTCTATGAGACGTCGCTTGCTGGGTGTATGGAGAATGGGGAATTCACTTAAAAGCGCCCTAGTGTCGCTTGCAAGACTAGGTACTGGAGTAATTCCGGCAGTTCGTAAAGGGGTAGAAGGCGGAGGTGTTAGATACCGAACCACCTTGCCAGGCCGAAAGGCATAGATCCCTGTCTCCTTCCATCCGACCATGATATTTGACTGGGTGAATGCTTGCTTCCTGGCCCGAGCAAGATTGGTGATCCAAACCCATTTTGGTACTGGTCCGGTATTGTGTCGAAGGACCATATCTGTCATCTTTCCCATCGCTTTCTTTAGTGGCTGAAAGATGCCTACGTCCAAGGGCTGAGTCTTATGGGAGGAGTGCGAAGGAAGCACGATGAGATCCACCTCATCCCGCAAACACCTAGCAACAAACTCAGCCTTGCAGTGACTCCCGTGACCATCCAGTATGAGCAGACGCCTCCCAACCAGATGTTCGGTCTCAGGGAGGAACACATCGGTGAGCCATTTCTGAGCCAAGTAATCGCTTGACCACCCTTTATTCGAGGTAGTCCATCTCCAACTTTCCACCAGATCCAGATCCACCTCATGCGGCAGGTTGCGTTTATTAAACCCAGTTGTGCCTTTGAGTATACACAAGGGGGGGAGAGCGATACCAGAGGCAGACACGCACTCAATGGTTGTCATCCATTCCCCCCGTGTGCCACCAGCTTTCCAAGCCTTTTGAGATTTGGGGCTACCTCTTTCACATTCCATATAGGCCATAACACGACTAGCTTGGGTGGTACCAATAGCAATGCCTGTTTCATCCATATTGAATATGTTTGCTGGATCATATTGATGTTGATCAAGAAGTGATTTGAGCTCGGCATAGAAGGGTTCTAGCTTCTCTGGTGAACATCCATCTATTCGCGACTGTTCAATAGTCCTGGTCCATACCGCTCTGATTGAGGGATGTCTGGACCTTAGCTTAGCTAGCCAATTGACCCCTAGAGTGATCTCGGATATGTCAGACGGGCAGTCGTCTGATAATCTCAAGCGGCTACGGAGCAACTCCTGGGCTGTCTCGCGGACAATATGAGATGGAGGAGGATGACCTGACAACGACATACGCCGGATATAGTCTATCAGGGCCTTCTCTTCTCCATCTGTAAGAGCTTGTTGGTGCTTGTGAGCAGATCGGCGAGCCTTTCTGGACCCTGATAGGTGGGCCGAAAGAGTTGTCCGAGAGACTCCGTGTTCTTCAGCAATTGCACGTATACTCTGTCGTGCCTCATCGATCAGGCTGTCCTGAGCATGATAGGCAGCTATAGCCTTCTGAAGGGGTGTCTGAGTTGTTTCCATAGTGATCTATATTGTGACATGAATTTATCTTCGAATATAAGTGTAAAGTCAATATTTCGGTTCATCATAATTTACATGAGCATGAAATCCACATCGCGCGTCCCGCTTCACGGTTCGTCCCACTTCTAGGTGCCAGACGTTAACGATTTCTCGCGCGAACAACGTTCCTTTGTAAGGTTGACCTCATGGGTCAGCCGAGAACCCTCATTAAGAGGCGATAAGGCGCAAGAAGCATCTTTCCGGCGATTTCATTGGCCTGTTGACAGTCGGGTGATCTTTCTTTGCTCTTCATAGATTATCGGCAGACCCAGATCCAGGGTTCCCAGAAGCAAAATTGGGACCCGAAATAAGACCTCGGCTACTCCTCCTTTATCCATAACTCCCTATCAGTGTACATGGTGGAAATTTCCCAGGCTTTGTGGGTGGCGGAAGCTTCTCCTATCCATAGCCGATGTTCTGCTCGACGTCCCTTGGTCCGAATCATGAGGTATCGCCGGCAAGTCAGTCCCCGTACATCGAATTTTCAGCAGCTGCTGTGAAGTCGCTCGAGTGATCTGGCGGCTGTGGGCCCTCCATCTTCGCGCTCTCTGTAGCCGCGTTCAGCATATGACTGCTGATAGGCATGCACGATTCAATACTAGTACAGCTATGGGTGGGGAGAGAGGGTTATCTCATGCATTATCTGGAGATCCGTCTGGGCAATCTTTGGTATCACGAAAGTCCGCCTCGTAAAACAGAGCATGTCATGTTTTGCGCTGCTGTACTGGTGAGATGCATGCTTCGGACAAGTTGAGAAATCTTTCCTTACAAGAGCCGTGTTTCGCTTTCTACAAGAGGCTGGGATCATTGCTTATGAAGGCCCTTCTTACTTCCCTGGGTAGACCCACATCGATCAACAAAACAAAGGTAGATGGTGTTTGTGCAGTTACGATCTTCGTGATTCCCATAGCTGATTTACGGTTCTCGTACACATACGCCTTACATTGGACGAAATCAGTTGCCGGATCGGCTCTAGGCTTCTTCAGGGACTTCCATCTCGTGTAGTTTCGTATATCGTTCATTCTTACAAATATATATACTCTGTCTCTGCCTGTCATTGGGAGAGCTCGATGAGGAGTCGGATTCATGGTCCTGGTTTGTATACAAGCGAGGATTCCGAGGCAAACGTATAGGCTTGCGCCCATCGCAGTTGGCGGTCGGCAGGGAAAGATTCTCGCATCATGCCGCAGATACGCTGTGCATCGCACAGTGCCCTGTAATCCTCGATCACACTAAGCAAGACTAGGAGGAAATCGCTCGAATCCGTCTCCAGAGGTTGACTACTCGTTCGAGTGGCATCAAACTCGTCGAGCAAAATCTCTTTCCAGTCATGCTCTGCGTACTCGCTCGACGAAGAAATGGCTTCATCGAGGATCTTCCGCACCAAGCTTTTCAGTTTGCCAAAAGCTGTCCGACCGGGAACGAAACTGCGACCGTCAGCAGAAGATTGGCTTAACAACTCCCACGCTTGCGATATCTGCAATCGCGCCCGAATGAGAGTCTCTTTGTACGCCGCATGATCCGCATTGAATATTTCCCACTTCGATTCAGCCTTGCGATCGGCTAGTCTCTGGTCTTTTTCTTTGACTTGATCAGCTGAAGAGTCCTGGTCCGACCTGGATCTTCTGGATCTGATGCAGGACCCGATCGAATCAAGCAAGGATTCTGAGTGCGTCGATCCCGGCAGCGTGTACTTGAAGGATGCTTCCGCCAGTTCGATCACACTCTGGCATTTAGAGATGAGCTTTGTGACGTCCTACCGTACAAGCAAGTTCGTTATCTATTCAATGCTTCGGCTTCGGAAATTGATATATTTGAGGCTCACGCTGTCTTTGGAGCCGGATGACATATTTGTTTCAAGATTAGGAGAGTTGCTACAAACTGGGAGGGGACTGTTTGTTTGCGTTTTACTCTAACATGCCGGCGCAAGATTCAGATATCCAGTGCTCGGCAGTGCTGGTTTATATGCCCAATAGATATCGGAGCGGCTCGTGACATGACCTCGGATGAGAGAACTGGAACGAAAGGAGTACAGCCTCCACCCACTTATACCGCGACTGAAATTAAGCCGGTCAGCTGAGGAATCCTCCTCAGCCTTATGCTGTGACTGTCCCCTTGAAACGGTTGATGGCCGGCAGCTGACCTCGTGTGCCCCATTGTGATGGCCTCAACATTTGCGCGCGAGAAGCGTGTTTCAGCTTGCCCACCGATCGGTCCCGCGGCAGAATCGACAGCAGAAGCGACTACGGAGAAGCTCAAATCATGCCTCCTGTTATTCATGTCTGCCGGCTGATCAGGAGAAAGCATCGGTCTGGCAATCTCTTTGAATCCTTCATCGAGAGGGACAGCAACAGGATTGAGGCGCCTTCCGCGTCCCGTGTTTGTACTTCGACAGCTACGAGTAGGAATGACCCAGAAGATGGCAAAACGATCACCGGGCCGGTAAGGATGCCGGTGTTACATCCGAAGAACGGCCTCAAGAGCATTTCGTGACTAGCCGTTTCCGGCGTAGTCATGGCTCAATCCATAAGTATGACGCATTCTCATTTCGACCTTCATTGCTTACAAATAGTGACATGGTGCAAGTATCTCTTGATAGGCTCACAGAACGAGAAGAGACGTAGACGAGCACTAGAACGAGTTTCCTACGTTCTGCATAGAATATCAACTCACAGATGTAGACGAAGCAGCACGGTAGATCAGCCTTAGGAAGAATCGCAAGCCCAAAATGCATGCCATCATCATGCTCCGGTTCCTGGAAGTAGCTGATACGGTGTATAAACATAAACCTTTCGCAAGTACACACATCATTCGAGCACAACTGGGGTCTCAGTACGGGTCGCGAATCTCCACGCCTGTCCTCTGAGCTGATATTCTCTCAGTGACCCTTTGGGGAAAGAGTCCCTGTCGCCTTCCAGTAAGCCATAGATGATCTCGACTAGGCGTCTCGATTCTTCGCTCAGAACCTTGGGACGCCCTGAGCTTGAGTGAAACTCATAAAAGTAGATCTTTTCCCAGTTGTGCTCTTTGTTGTTCATGTCGGCGCTGCACCACGGAATAGCCGTGTCCAAGATCATTTCGACATATCTCTTCAGACTGGCAGAGTCTCGCTTGCGCTGGGCTGTGTCCCCCGAACGCAGCCGTCCGTGCGCCTCGAGTATAACTTGCCTCGCCCTCATCAGTACCTTTTTGTAATCCGCTTCATTGTTCAGGAATTTTTCATTCATGCTCGCAGCTCTCTCGTCTGCGTTGGCGATCCTGACCTTCTCTTCCTCCTCATCAAGCTTGACCTTTGCCTTTCCCTTTGAATTAGACGAGGTGGAAAGGCTCATGCTGGGAGAAGATGCGTTCGATGAGACAGAATCCTTGACCTTAGTCAAGGCCCTGATCCGGCATCATAACCGGGCAGCGTGGCTTCGAAATCATCAGTAGCGGCCTTGATCGAGGACGCTATCGTTTCGCACAAGGTATCGCCGTCCATTGACCCGGTGTTACCGCTTCTAATCGAAGGAAGCTGTACGATAGATGAAGGATCGTTAGCACGGACAGTCTAGAGATTAGATACTGCTAACAACTGACATTATTCAATGCAGAGCGGATGGCGTCCATTTGAAAAGCTACCTGGTTGAAGGTCTGATATTTGTTGTTCGTACAAGAGAAATAGATCACTAACTCCCTGATAATCACCACATCGTGAAAGATCAACTCCCATGCCCACTGATTGTATTGTATTTATAACCGTCCATCTGGGGCAGCTCAGATAGCACACCCATGATCCATCGACGAGAATCAAAGGAGATGCGCGAACTCGACTGATATCATCATACTCAGACACCTGCCAGTCACTTCGTCAATATGCTTCGTCGAATCTATCCCTCGAAACACGTGATGGTGTTATCATACTCGAGCAGCTGATGAAACGCACTCCCTGGTGTCCTCAAACAGCCAACACGCGCGAGAAGCATGTTTCACCTCGTTCCCCTGGACTTACGCCACTCACCGGACGAGGCGACTAGTCGCTCGCCTTACTCTCTTCCTTTCAACATGATCGACATGGTGCAATCGAGAACCATATCGATCCCCACATTGCTCATCACCTGATATCTCGCCCTCTTCTCGCTCTACAGGTCGTTGATCAGCTGCCAAATTGCCTAATTTTCAAAGGATGAAAGGGATGCCTTTCGAGAACCCTCAAATCGAACAAAGATTACGATAAAGGCCTTTCCGCCTCATACCAATCTATTTAATAGATGAGGCCGAGATGAAGAAGTTTTAATTAAGTAGGGTTCTCAGCACGCCTTACATGTCGCCATATGATCGGCGTTTGCCTTCTTGGAGCGTTGTCAGCTGATGTGCTCATTTGATTCGACCGCTCGACGGTTCGTGCTTCTCACTGGTTGATCGTGCTAGTAGCGTAGATCGAGCCTGGTCTCCAGATCGATCTAGGAGCGGAACTGGCCTGACAGACGCTGACGGAAAATCGCGAAAGCTCTTGCGAAGTGCCATGTCGGTTTGCTCCTGTCTTTTTGCTATACAATTTTGATTGTCAAGCGGGCCCGTTTCGACCTCACTCCAAATCGTCCACTTTCGCTTGCTGCTGGCATACCACGGTATCGCTTCGATCCTTGGCTCGATAACCTCTTGATCTTTCGCCATTCATCGACTTATCGCCTGCTCGCCTGTCTTGGTTTTTGCTACTTTCGCTTCCCAATGTGTCCCGTATCCTTCAACGTAACATCCCACTCTCCTTTACTTCTTCCTCCCCCCAACATCGTCCCCCGCCTGTCCCGGCTCCCCGATGGAACCCATCATATTCTGCAAGTTCTGTTGTTCCCAGGGTAAAGGCGGATGGTGAGCGAAGTCGTTCCATTCGAAATACACGGGCAAGAGGAACGGAGGCCTGAAGAGAGTGGAGAGTAGAGTAGAGGAGGAAGAGAGACGAGACTCACTTCTGGTGTGACGTCCACCCCGGCGTTCTTCAGTTCGGTCATCAACTACAAATTCATCCCACCCCACCATCATCACAAAACCGCGTCGACAATACGAGCACGAGGAAACAACAGACAAGAAGACGAGTAAACATCAAGCACTGTAAAGAAGAAGAAGAAGGAGAGAAGGACATGAAGACGTACCTTCTCGATCGCACCCCTGAACTCGCTATCGAACGCTAGTGACATCATGGTCATCTTCGATGGCGGGCTGGTCATGTCCACACCTACGGATTCGCGCGAGGGACATGAAATGAAGTATAGCATATCATACGGTTTCGTCAGCATACTGTAAGCGTGTTTGCTCTCGAAAGCAAGCGGAGCCTGAAGGGGTATGTATGGTGAGCAGGAAGCGGGACTAACCTTTCTTCTTGGCGATTTCCCCGGCCTCTTTCAAAGCCGCTACAGCTCCAGGACTCTTCTTCATGATATCCAACAATGGGCTTTTGGCGAAAGCTTCCGCCATGTCGCTCAGATCTGCTCGGGCCTGGGGGGTCGACCTGAACCCTCTTTGTGAGAGAGCAGGAGCCGAGGCGAGCTTGACGCATGGGCGGATGAGGTGCTGGGTTGAACGGATTAGGCGGCTGGATTGGCGGAGAGCGAACATGGTGTCGAGATGTTTGAGTCCAGACTAGATGAGTGTATGGTGTATGGTATATATGGACGATGAAGGACTCAAAAACCAAAGATGAGATGCGAGATATCGTTGCCGATGTCAACTTCGATCCTACCTTAGGGTGACGAATGATGACGAAGTATCAGGATCACGTGAAAGAGAAGAATAAACCGGAAGCAAAGAGCCACCTCACGGAAGCAATCGGTCGTCATTCGTCCGCTCGGAGGATTGTTGGACCATATTCAGCAGCATCGCCGACAAGCTCATCCTCCTATAGAATACTATTCGAGGTCAAGGTCACAAGTCGACTGCATCTCTTCAATTTGCATCTCTCATCTGACTTTTTTCTCAACTAAATCACTGCGACCTTCGACTACGATGCCCCTCTCGATCGACTTTTCAGGCAAGCTCGTCCTCATCACCGGAGGAGGCCGAGGGATCGGTCTAGCCATCACCGAGGCTCTCGCAGAAGGTAAGTACATGTCACCCTTGTCTAAAACACCTACTTCCTTCCACTCCTCACCAACTTACTTCTGAACTTGCTATCTACCTCTTGTAGCCGGTGCCGATATCGCCATAACATACACCTCGACCGATGCTACCCCCGTCGCATCTCAACTGTCTTCCAAGCACGGCGTTACCGTCAAGGCGTTCAAGTGCAACGTCGATTCCAGTGCCGAGATCGACAAGCTCGTTGGGGACGTACAGGAAGCTTTCGGAAGAGAGGTTGACATCGGAGTGAACAATGCTGGTGAGCACGATATTTTGATCCGAGGCTGTGGGTGTGGGATCGTTAAGCTGAAACTATGCTGGAATGTGGGGTATGTCGTGCAGGAATTGCGCTTTGGCAGTCTTCCGTTCACATGACCGATAGTAAGCCTCCTTTCACCTCAGTACTTCTCTCCCTTATTGAGTGTTGAATCTCGGAATCTCACAACTACACCTCCGTACCTGAAACTTGCAGACCAATTCGACAGCATCTTCCGAACGAACACCACCGGCCCCTACTACCTCTCCCGCGCCCTCATGCGCTCCTGGCTCGGCCTACCCATCTCCCTCTCTTCCTCTTCTTCCGAAGTCAGCCTTACCGCCGACGACGGTCAACCGAAGAAGAACCTCAAGGGGAAACAGATCCTCTTTGTTTCCAGCATCTCCGGGTTGGTAGCGATGACGCCGCAGTATCAGGCTGCTTATAATGCGAGCAAGGCTGGGGTGACGATGTTGGCCAAGGTGAGGCGGGGCAGTGGCTGGGATCTGACTGAGAAATGACCGCTGACTTGGAGTGAATCTCGTCATTTTTACTGACGACCCTTTTTGTCCTCGATGAACTTGGGATCTACAGAGCTTGGCGGCAGAATGGGCTCCTTACGAGGTAGTCATCAACTCGGTCTCACCCGTAAGTACCCCTTCCCGTCCTTTGCCTTCCTACATCAAATGAGTATGCAGCTTACGAGATCCCGAACTTGGTATGATGCTGACAGGGCTACGTATCTACGGACATGATCGCCAACCCGCCTGACGAACAAGCTCGAGGTTGGGTCAAGGTTTGGGAGGAGAGGACTCCGATTGGTCGGTACGTCGGCTCGTCCTGTCTCTCTTCTGTTCTTTTTTCTTTCTCTTTCGCTTCGTATTCTTTCCCTTCCTGCAATTCCTCGCTAGTTCTTTTTGAACCCATCCCCTCGCATCGCTCCGGCTGGCAATTCAAGTCATCTGCCCAAACTAACTTCTCAATCTACCATTTCCGCCTCGACGACAGATTCGCATCCGCCGAAGAGATCGGCAAGTTCATTGCCGTTCTCCTCAGCCAACACGCTGCTGGCGCCGGGTTCATGACCGGTTCGGACGTCGTCATCGATGGAGGTGAGTTCATGTATCTGTATCGGGGTTCAATCGCGACTGTCAATACTGATCTTGATGAATCATTTGTGATCATTGACGCAGGATATACATTGTACTGAACGAGGAAGAAGCGACGACGGTTACCAATACGCGTAAGAACGGGCGCCACTTTGTTCCGGACCACCCTAGCATGCACAGCTAGTTGGCGACTGATGGGGCTTCTGTGCAGCCGGCGTCCGCATGCAGATACATCGTTAGGGATCTACTAGGTGTTTGCAGTTCTGGCCGATGTTGACTTACTTGTACAAGGTCTCATGCCAAACAAAAGCGGCTGAGTACCATTTCATTGTGTCAGCGCTTGGAAGGAGGGAGCACCTGAGAAGCTCCATGGGTGGTGACGATATGGACTTCATAGTTAAGAATCACTCCTCTTGCGGTCTCTCTGGCCTTCTGCTCAAGTGATTGTTCATTGTAATTCAAGAAATGGCCAGCGCGACAGGCTTCAGCTGTTCAATCGGATCATTGCTGCTGGAGGCGGATACAAGGACCTATGTTTTAGGAAATTCTGGACTTACCGACCCATGACGACAACAGCTTCAGAGATGGAGGACATGAGAGTCAGCTCGCTTTCTGTGGAAGCGGTTCTGACAGAGTGGCTTGATGTGGGTACAGAACCGCTTACGCAAAAAGCGAGCTGACTCTCATCTCCTCCTGACTGAGTCCTTCATGGACATGCTTACGAACTCGCATGCGCAGATTTGGTGGCGAGCCTGAAGTTTCAACAAGCGAGTACCGCCCTGTGGCCATCATAGCGATTCGCGGTCATCCAGCAAAGGTTGTGGTAGATCACCTCTGTTGATCGGAGCGAAGATCCGCATTACAAGGTGATGTACACTGCAGCGATATCGTTCCTTGAGAAAGCAGTTGAACGCCTTATGAATAGCGGGGAAATCATTAGCGCTCGTGAGACAGCCATTCTCATCATAATCCTCTCCTGCATGATATCGATAGGCGTGGCATCATCGCCAGCAATCTATTCTACGCTTGAGTACAACCTGCGCCTGTCCCTGGTCGAGCTCTTTGATATCCAAGAGCTCCGTTAGGCGAGCGTATTGCGAGTCAAACGCCATGGCGACCGCCTGAGCAAACGTCACGGGCTGCTCCTCTTTGGCTTCGGTCGGAAGTGACAGCAGCCGAGCCGTCTCGCCGAAAGCCTGCCAAGGTAGGCCCGGGCGGCGAATAGCGTCGCATTCTCGCAGTCCTAGGGTCGAAGCTTCGACCCATGCGTTGGTCTCAGCTACCAGCTCTTGGCCACCATATTCGGTAAACTTGGACCATCCAGCGTATACCGCGCGTTGCATGATATGGTTGGTGACATGAGCGACGATGGCACGGTATAGGTGGCCGGCTGCGCTGGCGGGCAGCATGTGCGCGAGATGTCCAAGATGCGCGGAGAGAGTTGTCAAAGGCCCGATGAGCGCCATCGTAGTCCCTTCCTTGTCCATCGAGGATGCATTTGCATCCCAGCGCCTGTCAAAGAGCAATCAGTTTATGGATCGGGGAAATACGCGGAACAACGACTGACCTGGTCAAATGCGTCCGAAGATCTCTCTCGACCTCGGCTGTGACGTGCTTGACAATCATGCTCTCGGCCCGATTGACCAGAGTCCTGTACTGCTCGACAGCGATATCGTATGGGTTTGCACCGTCATCTACGGCGATCCCATCATGCCGCGCGCGAGCAATATAGTCAGGGCTATTTGAGATCTCGGTCACCAACTCGAGATATAGCTGCCGGAAAAGCGAGAAAATCAGCAGCAGATTTGGGTTGACTGGCATCGCGACGCGCCCACCATTTCATCACCCCATCTCTCCATGGCATCCATCAACCACTTCGCGCTGATCCAGGCCTTTGTCAAGCGTTGCAGCCCTCCAACCCCGCTCGTCATCTTAGCGGTATCCATACCGAGTCCATTCTCGCGAGAGTGTCCCGCTAGTGCACCCGGTACTGCTCTGGCAAATGTCGAGGCGAGGGTCTCGAAGGCGTCCAGGGAGCTGGCAATACGCTTGCGATACGAATCCAGTATGGGTAATTGCACTTGGGCCAGGAACGGGTACTTGTGCCGCAGAGTAGGCAAAGAAGCGTATCGATCTAGAAAGTGAAATGGTCAGCGCCTGATCCACAGGGGATGCACGAGCCGACTCACCTGCGACCTGTTCCACGAGTGCCCTGACTTGTCTCGCACCGATGGTCGGCTTGAAATCCCGCCGTCGTTCAAGAGCAGACTCGGACTCTTGGTCACCCCCTTCGCTGACATCGACTAGCGTCCAAGCCTCGGGTGAACTGGTAATCTGTTCGTATTGCTCCGAAGCAACTGTAGCAGCACATATTGTCAGTGATGATAGTGGTAGAATATAGATTTCCAGCAACTCACACTCCTTCTCGCCTTGCCACCACCTTTCGAACCAGTCATCCGTGTTCAAAATCTCTTCAGTCAAGCCTTCCCACTCATCCTCATCGGTCCCACCGTCCGAACCTCGCTGCTGCCTCCGTCTGGTCGCTTTCCAAGCCCTGGTAGAGGAGAAACCGCCCCGCTTGATCGAATCGTCAAAGACAACAGTCTGATAAACCGTATGCGCGAGCAGAGGTGGATGAGGGAACAAGTGAGGGAATCGATGCTTCAGCAGAGCCAAAGGTAGCGTCAAGAGCTGAGCTGTCAATTCAGCCTAAGAGGCCCATTGCATGAGTCACATCAGTTACAAGTATCTGCCGGTAATTCGATGAAAGAGCTTACGACCGCGTCGATATCCTTGAACATAGTCCCCGTTCGTGAAACGAGAGCCTGCAAGTATGTTTCCGCGAACGCCCGCTGTTCGTATATTGTATCCAGCACGCTCGAGAACGCCCATTCCGGCTGTAGCAAAACAAACCGGGTCGACCCATCCGTTATGAGCATTTCTCCTTGAAATATCTGTCAGCGATGTCCGGATCGCTTGCTACTGACCTTGTCCAGTCTGTTTGTTCCTCGATCACCCTCAAAGTGAAAGATGAACCGTTGTTTGACCGACCTGACCATGGCTACGATCGGATAAAGTCCGTTTTCGATCTCGGCATCGAAATTCAGAACAGACTTGAGCTTTTCTGGTGTTGTATCGAGTAGCTTGATACCCCTATCAAAAAACGATGGTGTAGGAGACGTTGCAATCAGAATTTTGCTATTCCGCACAGCGGAATGACCTAACTAGACTCACTCTTGTTGGAGTACCAGTAATTCCTTGAAACTCCTCTCAAATCTCCTCCTCTCCTCCACCCCGACTGATTCATAAGTCACCCCTCTTCCTGGCCACCCAATTCCATCCAATGCGCTCTCCAAAGCCTCTTCACCCCACCCTTTCATCTCCCTCCAGACCTGCCGATGAACCCGTTGCGCGATAGCCAACAAATGGAAATTTGCTGGAAGATTTGTGCTCAGGGAGATGAGGAGGTTATGCAAGTTCTTGAATGGTGCGATACTCGGTAAAGGGGAACGCAGGGATGTCGGGGAGGGTTTTCCGAGTTGACGCGCTTCGAGTGTCTCTTGACTACAGGATACGAATATTGAGAAGGATAAGTATTACCGTCAATACAGGACAAAAGCCTCAGTCGATACTCACGCTGAAAGCATAACCCTCTCCAACACTCCCATCCACTTGATCCCTAAACCAAGCGCATTCAACCTCGTCCTAGCGTTCTCCACTCTTTCCAGCAGAGTCAGCGTATCTTCCGCCCCATTTCCTCCTAACTCTCCTGTCATGTCGCCGTTGGCGTTGGAGGAGACGAGCTCTCCGGTCAGACGACCTAGATCATCCATCAATGCGTATCTTGAGTCTGATAGTTGAGAAGTCTGAGCCAAGAGTTGTTGCAATTGAGCTTGGGTTTGGGAATGAAGGGGAGCTATCTCCGCGTTCACTTTAGCGAGCTATGTTTGTAGCCGATACGGCTTCATCAGCCAACAAGGAGAGGATGATAGATCACAGTCAGCATATCCGAGCTGAATACTACACTCACGGATTCGGTACTATTCCGTTCGAGATCTTTCCACTTTTCGATCTCGGCCTCTAGCAGTGTCATCTCCCCCTTCAGATCCTTCTCCTTCTTCCCATCCGTAGCTACACCATCCTCGAGCTCATCCTCGTCCACATCAAGGTCCCATCCATCTTCCTGCGTAACATCCCCTTCTCCTTCCTCTTCACCATACCGCAGGCCGGACGGACCCGCACCGGCATTCTCAGAGAGCCTGACCAGGTCCTCCCAAGTCGAGTACCGCTCGTTTAATAGCCTCAGTACCGAATGATCGTATTCTTCAGGTTCCGGTTGATATTTCAAACTTTCCAGCTGTTGAGCCATGGTGAATAACGAGGAGGAAGACATGATTGATGTTGGGTATGGTTAGGGAGGGGTAGAACGTAGATGACGTCACGGTGAAGTATCGATGGAGTGAGTGGAATGATTGTGGTCTACCGTGATGTGCCGGCCTCCTGAATATGTTGGCCTATTGAATTTAGACGTTAATCTCTGTAAACTTGGTCTGTGAGTTCCTGCAGAACTTGTGTCGGTTTCCGTTCGCCAATGCTTTCCGTTGCGGTATGAGCTCGTAGTTGGTCCAGGCTATTCGTAGGACAGCTTGAGCGTCACGTTTTTCGTTGAGAAAAGCTCTTAAGAATGATAAATCAAGACGACAGGCCGGGAGGAGATAGGCTTATGTGCCCAGACGCTGGAGCTTAGGGACTCGATATCGATAGGGTTACATCGGTATGAGGTCACAACATGCAACATGATGATTGCAGATGATAGATGTCCCGGTGCTCGAGTAGGTGTGAGCGAGGTAGATCTGGAATTAACACGTCATCAAGAGGTCGACACCAAAAATATGCTAGCACTTTACAGCTTATCAATCAATTCCGAGCGATTCGAGCGATGAGTAAGAGCTCGCTCGCTCGACCTTGTGCCTTGAGATCTGCCTAAAAGTGCAGAGATCATACTGTATCGACCTGCAAACCTGTAGCGACCCAACCCGGTATCCTTGCCAACCTACGATATCTACCACCGTTATGTCAGAACCAGCAGATCCTACACCTTCCACCTCTTCACCACCCAAAACCGCCCCGGTCCCATTCACCTTCAAACGCAAATCCCGACCACAATCTTCCCGCAAACGTACCCCTTCTCCCGACGAAGCTCCCTCGAGCTCAGTGGTCAAGCCTACTCAACGTACTACCCTCAATCCGCTCCTCCAGGGGACCAAGCGGATACGAGAAGCACGCAAGCGGGAGAGAGACGCCGACGAGCAGTTCAAGGCGGACGAGAGCTTTACCGTCGGTGGTGACGAACTGGTCACCCGTTCAGCCGAATGGGACCTCACCGGCGATACCAAAGACGATAGCGGTCGGATAAAAAGACCTCGGCTGGATGAGGACGGGAACATTCTCCCCAGCGATGGGACGTACAAGGGCTTGGGATCGTATTCGAATTTCATCAAATTGGACGAGAGGCAAGCTCAGATGTCGAGCAAGATGAAAGCTGGACCTCAGAAGGCTAGTGCGAATATCAGGAGTATCACCGTGACGGATTATCAGCCGGACGTATGTAAGGATTACAAAGGTGAGTCAAACCATTCTCAAGTCTCCCTCGGCGCTTCAAGCTCTTTTGCTGACTCGCGTTTCATGCCTCGACTTCAATCTTTCAGAAACCGGTTTCTGCGGGTACGGTGACTCCTGTAAATTCTTGCACGACCGAGGCGACTACCTAGCCGGTTGGCAGATGGACAAGCTCGCCGTGAACCCCACGACGGGTCGACACGAAGCGCCAGCGGAAGAGGAGGAAGAGGAAGAAGATATCCCGTTTGGATGCTTGATCTGTAGGAAACCGTTTACCGAGCCGGTGGTGACGAAGTGTGGGCACTATTTCTGTATGAAGTGAGTCTATACGAGTCGACTCTAGTCTGAAAATGATCCGAATAGCAGTTTGAAGTAGTTACTAACGAATGGAATCTCCTTCTCGCTCGTAGCTGCGCAATCACCCGGTTCGCCAAGACGCCCAAATGTTACGCTTGCGGGACGGCCACCGGAGGAATGTTCAACAAGGCCGAAAAGATCCTCGCCAAGATGGAAAAGCGCAACCAAGATCTACGAGACAAGAAGAAGCGAGCGAAAGAAGATCGCGGGGACAGCGATTCGGAACAGGACGGGGAGGGGGAAGATGCAGGGATCCAGTTCGGAGGTGGGGAGGACAGCGAGGAGGAGTAGATGGGTTTCGAATTGCATGTTTCAGTTGATTGTATGGAGGCGGTACATTCGCATCAAGTCAATAGTCTGGCAAATGGTAATGCGGGAGCGGGCTGCAACCTGTGTTCCAACCAGAAGAACGACCAGTCAGCTCGTTAAACATTGAAGTATCGAGAGAAAAAGCTTGCGACTTACCAGTTCCTCTCGTCGTACACGGTCCCCTTGGCACCCTCAATCATATGGAAAGTGTAAATGAACCTGGTCTTGTCTGACAAGTTGTGTGGCGATTGATGCTGTACGTTTCCTTCTCGGCCAAAACCTACCTGTGAGCTCGATGGACACATTTCGTGGCTGGCATATGAGCTGGGACTCACCGTGAATGAGGACGAGCGACCCGGCTTTACAAGTGGCCAACTCCCACCCCGGTTCCTTTTCCCAATCCACCTCGTCCTTCCCTGCTTCTCCTTCCGCTCGCTCCTTTCCATTCTCCTCGTCCCAGTCGATGAACCCCGTTCCACCCTCTCCACCCTCCGCCCGGCTCTTCATCCTGACAAACCGCTTGCCCACCCCGCCCCGAGGGTCAACGTGAGATCCGGGCAAGAACGACAACGCTCCGTTCGTCTCGGTCACGTCTTCTAGTGCGATCCAGAATCCCACAGCTGTAGCTGGGTGGGTGTAGAGAAAGGTAGAATCAGTGTGGATGGGGACTTTGGCGCCGATCTTGGGCTGTTTACAGATGATCATCGATTGGAGCACTACCAGATCCCAAAGGCGGGTCAGCTTTTCTGTAGATATGACTATATAACGCGAAATTCACGTACCTAACGGATCCTCGTGTTCTCCCAGACCCCTGGCGACGTCCTTGATCCTCTCATTCTCCAAAGTAAACTTCTTGAAGACCGGGTCCAGCTGACACAAAGCGTGTCCGATCTTGTTTACGCTCTGCGTCTTCGGTACCGTCAACTCTGGCTTGGAATCCACCGAAGACCGGGAGATGGAACTGGGTTCGAGGAAGAAGGAGATCTTGTCGTTGGACGAGAGGAAATAGTCGTCGCCGACGTGTTTGCCTTGTTCAGAGGTGGAGAAGGTGGTCTGTCAAGAGGAGAGTCGTGTGAGCGTCTAGCCGACCCGGACAGCTGCGGCGAGACTCGCCATAGGATGGTTGGTAAGATCCATCTCCTCGATAAGCTTCTTGGCTCGATCCAACATCTCTTGCGAGTCCTCTCGAGAGAAGAAATCGGGGATGACATAGTATCTGACGAAACGACAGCCGGATCAGTCGGAGCTGCTGGAACGAGAAAGGTATTGGCTCACCCGTCTTTCCGGAACTTGGCTACTGCTTCTTCGTCGAGTATGGGCATCTTGGATGAAGGTCTTGAAGAGTTGCAGAATATGTGAGATGGTTAGTGGAAGTCGGGAGGTTCAGTCTTCGTTGACAGTTGTTGGGATATCATATTGCCAGCTCGATAACCGCGATCGGTCATCGCCGGTAGGTCGAAGTCACAACTTTGTTTCCGCAGAGGATCACCCTCAAACCTTAATCGCTGGACAATTGGAAGCACGACTCATGGGCTTGGGTGAACAACATGAAGCGCGGCCGCCCGATGCTCGATGGACAGTCTTACCTTTTGAGCGTGTTGGTAAGCGACAACGATGTCAAGGTATTGCGGCTCTCAGCACTAGAATACAATCCTTATATCTGACCTATATCAATGATAATGTCGTCTACACCTACAAGATCTCCCAGTCATCGACGGATTTCAAATTTTCCGTCTGTGCGGTGGAGGCTGGGACGCTCTCCTGCTCCGAACCCGACGTATCAGCATCGTCTCCCTCATTAGCACCATCTTTGGAGCTCGTTAACAGCTGAAAGTCGCCATCGACCGTCTCGGCCAGGTCTGGACCGCCCAGCGCCAAGTCGATTGCCTTCACAACGTTGTCCTTTTGCTGAGGGTCTTTGAAGAGGACCTCAACGTCTACGAGTACGGTGCCGTGGAGTTTAACCCTCCGGCCTTGTCTGTGGACCGTTCCTGCGTCTCCGGTCTCAGTCCAAGCAGATGCACGCACTTTCCGAGCACTGATATCTATTGTCATATACGGCAGAGTAGTATGAACATGCAGTCTCCAATCTCTGATACCTTCCAGACGACTTACGTCTTCGTTTGTGAATTCTGACTATGTATCCCGGCATATCCAGAGCAGTGAAGGCATTACTAAGCCCGTCCGCTATATTGACTGCGTACTCAGAGTATAAGCCCGGCTGGGGCGCGATATCTTCGGTATTGATAGACATAGCGCTTGATTCTCGGTTTCTCCGGAACAGAAGTGATATTCAAAACTATCGTATAATCCACTTCAATGTCTCTCTCATTCACTAGGTCGTTCCGCCTTATATGATTTCCCGGCAATAACATCGAGTCGTTCATCGAGGCAAGAGACCATGCTTCTCCGTACCCACAAGAAAGGAAGTGGTCTGGTGTGATATCATTCAGGCTTCTCAAGGCGATGGATATAAGACGGACTGAACATACAGAAAGGTTCACTCGGCATGATCCCATATCGCGTGATCATTATTATGAGCGATCTGACGTCCTCGATCGATCGATCGCAGCTCAACGGTACCCATCGCCTTCCTTATTGGAGCCAAACCGATACTCCTCCCATCGCTCTCATCTCTTCGGACGTACAAGTTGACCAGCTACACGTGGATGAAACACATGACCAGAGACTCTGTCCTGCTTTCGGCAGTGACAATTCATCACTCATCCTCCCCAATCTTGTCCCACCCATCATCGCTTCCTGAATCGCTGAACTCCTGCTTATCCAAGTCGACCTGAGCTGCGTTTTCTTTGCCTTTTTTGTCTCCCGGCCTCAGTACAAGTGACATTGTCGATATACTAGTAACATCCGTATCTCCATTACCCGCAATGGCAGTAGAAATGCTGCTCGAGCTCGAACTGCTAGGTGCATGCTGAGAGGCTGTTCGGACCGGTAGAGAGATCGTTATCGAAGGTGGGGATGAAATCGGGGTCTCATCTTGAACACAGAAAGATTTAATAGCCGCTTCAATCGCGCTACTCAAGCGAGGATCGAGTTCACCAGGTTCATCGGTAATGACATTGACCGTGACGTCGTCGATTATCAGCGGTATCGTCTGCTTCCAGGAGGCGTTGGTCATGGCTAAATGAACGTTGTAGTAGACTTTTCCCCTTCCGCTGCCTGTGTGAGGTTCTCTCAATACAGGTCATAGACCAAGGCATCGGATGGGAAGCTTACTGGGAATAACCTTTGCGCGCTGGAACTTGGGATCTCCAATCCCTATGATCGCTTTAAAGATCTTGATTGCTTCCTCTGGGGCGAAGTCTCCACTGAATCTTCCCGCTCTTTTCATACGCTTTTGAGCAATAGTTTCTTCTCGCGTCATCGAATCAGGATTTGATCTGTACTTCGGACGAAGGGGGAGTGGAACACGACCAGTTGCGCCAATCAACGATGATCGAATTGAAGGTCGCAACGATCGCCAGCACCTATCTTATGGGATTTTATTGTGTTACGGCCCCCCTGCTGCTAGCCCCTATTGGTGAGGCTGGGTCAATAGAGAACAAAGGAAGGTCGTTGCGCTCATCCTGTTGTCGGATGATCAGATGACTGATACCGCTTGACGATCACGCCGCCAATAGCACTATGACAACGCGCCTGCATCCCTTCCTTTCTCAGCCTAAATTACAGAGACAAATCCTCCCGTGCCGCTTCATCGATAAAAAAAGACAGCTCTATACAAGGCAACTGGTAAAGAGTGGGATCAATGACAGATGTCATATGCTACAGCAGTCCGTATGGTGGACGACCTCTGGTTGATTTGTAACCCGATAACTGGTTAAGCAAAGTCTCGCAATGGTAAAGCGTAAGGGAAATCAGACCCGCCAATCATAGATTGATAAGCATGGCTATCGCATATCCGATCAATCAAGTTTGGCGTAATGATGAACCTGCAATGAATCGGTCAACAAGTAGGTAACCTGCATGGTGAATCACCGGATAAATCTATGACATCGATGACGGTGGCATATGTACTGAATATTGTACACCTGCTATTCTATTTCGTCGCAGGAGCGCTGAACATGCTGTTGTCTGTATCATAGCCACGGAGGTCTAAGTCGGTGATTTTATCCCATCTTTCAGATGCATCAGAATCAGACTCTGCGTCAGATGAGACTCCTCCCCAAAAGTCGTCAGATCCGTTTGCGACGAAGCTGAGTTCTGATGCTTCTACCTCTGGATCTCCCATGTCTGGATCCCTGACGAAATCGGCGGGATCTTCCTGGTTTGGCGTATCGGGGGAGACGGGCTGCGCATCATCGGCCGCAGGGCCGTCAAGCTTGAGAGCCTCTCGGATGGAATCGAGGACTGATTTGGGTGACTTCTCAGGATGGTACCAAACGGATACGTACACCACTCGACCATCGGGCACAGTGATATTGTCCTTGGTAAGACCTGGACCTGGAAGTTCGTGATGTTTCGGGATGAGGTTGACCTGGAAACCCGCTACACACCCCATCGGTCTGCTTGCTGTAATGTACCAGAAACTCAGCAACCGATGAGCAGGCAAGAAAGTATCGCAATCACCTTCAATGATCTTCGCTCCGTGCTCGCCAGCTTGTCTAACAGCCGTCTGGATTTTTGCCAACCAGATTTTTACTTCGGAAGGCGAAACTTTCTGAGGGTTGCTTTTCTGAGGAGACATGTTGTACTTGTTGTAACTATGTTGATTCTGATCGGAGGAACTGAAGTGATAGATTCACCAACAAATCCCTCCGGATTGTGTCCTTTATTATATAGGGTTTTCTAGGCGGAGGCTTTGTGAGCATTTCACTTGTCACAGTTATGGTTACAAGCTTTTTACCGGTGCAAGCACACCATGACAAAGGAAGTCGAGGCAACTGTCAGCTATCCTCCTCCTGTTCCCATCGCTTCACCACCGGTCATGACTCGTCCGAATCCCGAAAGGCATGGCATCATTAACATCATTCAGATTCCTCCGACATAAGCAGATGTAGCCGTCAGGTCACTTGTAGCGTGCTTGTCCATCGGTCAACACTCGGCCGAGTTGAGGAAACGTGTATGACATCATCCTACCTCCTTTGAGATACGTGTTGGCTCGCAAATCGTCTAGTCACAAGACAATATGCAGGCTGCCTCGAGCGTTACCTTATGCTGATGCGGGAAGCGATTGTACAGCTATTGGGGTATCGCACGATTTGATGTGCGAGGGCGACTTCAGCCACTCGCCACCCAAAATTACGCCGAGATAGAATTATAGAACTGTACTGGCGATGACAAATCGCTTCATACGATGTCAACAGAAGAACCACATGTATAGATTGATGTAAGGGAGCGAACGTATCCGGGATAGATCCATCAAGATCGACACCTCTACCCTCGGTAATACCGATAAATCCTTACAAGATTGAATAGACGCCCGACAGGATGGAACAACTACTCTTCTAGATCTTCAGGACTGGTCAGTATTGCGTATTGTATCGCTTGAATAGTTTACGTATGCAGACCAAGATTGCCTCGAAGCCATCTTTTTCTATATCATGCTCCAAATTCTGAGGTCATGCTCAAGATCTCTTGATATACACTCTGACTCAATCATTCATTGCCACTCCCTTCATCATCGGTCCCGACTGACGGCCCCTCCTTCATGAAATTCGCGAAAACGAATTGCTCAATCGTCCAATTGTTCGTTGACCATGAGCTATCGGTTGCAACGAACTGTCAACGGGTTATGATGGTCTGTACCGTGTTTCCCTGACTGACGGTGCTCGAGGGCTGTGTAGGGTTTGCTGTGAATTCTGCTGTACTGGAAAGGGTAGCAGCACTAGATTCGTCTGGCTTCCGCTTATCTTTCGGCTCGGTCGCAAACTCGCGCTTCCAGGCGTCGATCAAATCGTCCACCAGCTTTTAGCGTCATCGTCGGTCTTTTCGGATTTGATCTTGAAGTTAACTCTGAAGTCTGTTCCCTTGTGGGTATGAGCGAACTCATCGGTGCCGGTATAAGGCTTTTTCTTCGAATCCTTCTTGCCGGTATGGACCGTGAAGACGAGTTCGCCACTGGACCGACCTGTGACGGGAAAACGCAATTCAAAGGCTAAGCGTTAATCTGACAAGACAGATCGTGGACCACGCTATTACTGAGCATAGGTAAACTCTCCCCCACTTCCGCCAATTGCCTTGGCCACCTTTGCCTGGATGTCGAAGACCCCACTATCAAGGGCGGGACTAGGCTGAGGCGGAGCTTTCGTACGTCGAGGCATGACTGATTTGAGTCGCTGATTGCAATCCGATAGACACCTCGATTACATTGGCCAACAAATAACATTCTACCACTGCACTTGGGATATATAGTACATATAATACAACCCCCGTTCTTAGGAAACAAAGGTAGGAACGTCATAGATCACATGCCCCAGCATCGAGAACCATACGCGCCCTCACAACGACGCACTGAAGTTCAAAGCGATCGCCTAGCTATTATCTGCGACCGAAGATTTGGACCGTTTCGGTTCGATTCTGCCGAAGACTTCTATACAAAATCATAGTCAGCGTTGTCCAGCGTAAGCGACGAAAGTGGAGACAGCTGTGATCTCTGAGCTTTGCAAAGCGAAGTCTGCGCCTCGATCCTTTGCGCTTCTTTCCCGCGACGAGTGACGATGCGACACATCCAGAATTTAATCCCGCGACCTGAATGACCCCGAGCGGTGGCCGGTCGACACGATCAATGACTAACGGCCTGGGGATGTCGACGTCGAGGTTGAACCGGCCGCTGGGCCCGTTCTCGATCTGGACTGATGAGTTGGGAAGATGAGGTATATATATGGTTGCCGGGGAGCACGGTGGCTAAGATGTGGTGTAAGGCCTGTTGTCCTGGACAGTCTCATCAAAGCTGGCCTTCGCTCGAAAGCTCACCGCACCTCTCGAATACTCGAGGACGATCTCCTATCGGCCATGTCCGAACTCAATCCCAACGAACTCCACCCTGACCTCTGGCCCATCCAGTACCTTCCCGGCTTCCCACTTGACCTCGCTCCCACAATCCTCGTCAACTTCTCCAGGAGCCTCAAGGGTAGCACCGCTCCTTCCGACATCACTGTTCAAGACCTCGTTGCCCCCGGACTCAAGCCTTCTGACCCTTCGGTCAACCTCCGGGTATACAGCCCTTCGAATGCCGGTGATCGAGCATTACCCGCTATGCTCTGGTTTCACGGCGGAGGGTACGTCTTAGGATCTCATCGAATGGGGGCGGATACCACGTTCGAACGATGTCGCAAGCTTGGGATCCGGGTCGTTTCTGTGGAATACCGAATGGGACCCGATAACCCCGCTCCGGCTGGGAACGACGATGCCTATGCAGCGTGGCTTTACGTGCAAAAGAACGCTCAAAAGTTGGGGATCGATAGGGAGAAGGTAGTAGTCGGGGGTCAAAGTGCGGGAGGGGGGATGGCAGCAGCCCTATGTCAGAGGATACACGACCAAGGGGATGTCCAGCCGTTAAGCCAATACCTCCTCTACCCGATGTTGGACGACCGGACCGTCCTGAGACCCGATTCGATGCGGTACATCTGGACGACCCGGAACAATCACTACGGCTGGAAATCATACCTCGGCCAAGAACCCGGCCAAGCTACCGTCCGTACCCCCTATGCGGTTCCCGGTCGGCGGGAAGACTTGGCCGGCCTACCACCCGCCTATATCACCGTCGGTACCATCGACCTGTTTCACGACGAAAACAAGGAATATGCCAAGAAGCTCGAAAAGGCCGGAGTGAAGATCCGGTTCGAGACCGTCCCCGGGGGGTTCCATGCGTTTGAAACGATGCCTTGGTTCAAGAACACGACTGTGGGAGCGAGTTATAATAGGACGCAGCTGGCTGCCTTAGCGAGCGCTTTCAAGGGATTTCAGAAGGATTAGAGTCGTGAGGCGGGTCATAGACTCTCTGTGGACTAGTTCATAGTAAATTGTGGTAATTGTAGACTACACGATTGTAACGAGATGACTGCATGATGGGCAACGAAGATTCGGGTGCCGTAATTTGCTTACGTGATTCAGAAGATCAATAATAGATCACGTGATCTTGAATTGTTCGAGCTCTCCCTCGAGATTATGAGCATGAGCAAAGGGTCGTCTCTACCTACTAACGCTGATCGACCATGTTTGCAACAGACAATCAGAGTAAAGACATCCTCTTTTTCTCAAAAGAGATATAGATTCTCTCTTTCCCGCCGTAGCCATGTCCCCACCCATCGCTACCGCAGAATCCTCCCGAGCGCCCAAACGTACCAAGCTCGAGGCTCAACAGAAAAAATCTCAACCGCGTCTCTTTGCACCGTTCCGAGCTCTTGGCTTCATCACCAACCATGTTCCGTTCGCACTTCAAGTCAGGCAAGCCAAGGGAGCCTTGGAAGGACCGAATGTGACGATCGTGACTAGTCTGGGAAATAGTTGGGCGATGTGGGATGCGGGAAAGATGAGGTTGTTGTTTGTCGGTAAGTCCAGGTTGAATCCACCCTTGCAAATAAATTGCGTACGCTAACTGGAATACCAATCACCTGCCTGACTATTCTGTAGGACTTCCTACGCCATCCCCGATCACGAGCCTGGCCGTACACGGCAACGACGTCTTCGCCTCGTCCGGGTCGACCATACACCGCTACACCCGAGGCAAACTCCTCACCTCCTACACCATTTCAACTTCGTCCGAGATCTCCCAAATTCTCATCCTCGGAAACACTCTCCTCGCACTCCACCCTTCCTCTTCAAACTCTTCCCCGAATGGGTCTCTGCAGGTCTTCAACATAACCACCACCGAATTGGAAGGAGAGATTTCTTTTCCCAAGGGGTTTGAACCGAGTACGATGGTTCATCCTAGTACTTATGTGAACAAGGTGCTGGTGGGAGGGAGGGATGGAAGGATGGGGATTTGGAACATCAAGACGCTGTGAGTTTGGTTTCTTTTTCGACACGATTTTGTCTTCCAGCATCTCTTCTCGACCGGAAGAACGCTATCGCAGCTCGATAGGGACAGAACCGCGTGCTAATCCGACTCTGCCATAACCTGTCTGATTGCAACAGCTCCTCGATCCACATCTTCCCCGCTCTCAACCCCGCCTCACCCTCTCCCATCACAATCCTAACTCAATCACCTGCTATCGACGTGATCGCCGTAGGACATCTAGACGGGACCGTCCGGGTCGTTGATATCAAGGACGGCGAGGAGGTGCTCAAGGTGCGGATGGAGGGAAACACCGGAGAGGGAATCGTTGGTGTCGCTTTCAGGATGGGTAAGTACTATATCAAGCTTATCCTCCTCAAATGTCTCTCGAACCTCGAGCTGAGCCAAGTCAAATCTGCTTAAAAACGATGAAAAGACGGACCCCCTATCCTAGCGACCTCTTCGACAGCGGGAACGATTGCCGTCTGGGACCTGAACGCCAAGGGGAAACTCTTGCATACCATTCGGGACGCTCACGAGGCGGGTGTGACGGGTTTGCAATTTGTAGGAGGGTTGTTGATCAGTAGTGCGGGGGACAATGGTGTCAAGGTGTGTACCAGCAGGGTGAACAGTCTGATACTGGCACCTTGAGCTGACATTGCTAGTATTGGCGATCGGTGTCTTGTTGTAGCAATGGGCGTTCGACTCGCCCACAGCGGTTCCTCGACTACTGAAATCACGTACGGGTCACCACTCCCCCCTGACTTCGATTCGATACTATGGCCAGGACGGTAAACAAATCCTCACCGCCTCGCGGGATCGTTCAATGCGATACACCTCTGTCGTCCGGGATTCTCGATCGTTCGAGCTTTCTCAAGGATCGGTCGTCAGCAAGGCCAACGCGCTAGGAGTCCCTGTCAAGAGCCTGAAATGGAGTCCGATCGTCAGGATGAGCAGCGAGGTCACAAGGAGCAAGGATTGGGAAGACGTGGTCACCATGCACGAAGGAGACTCGTATGCCAGGTCTTGGAGGTTACAGGACAAGAAAGCCGGTCGTTGGGCATTAGACGTCGAGGACGGGGCGGTTTCTGCCGTATGCACCTCGGCTTGTGGTAACTATGCTCTGGCAGGATCATCCGTCGGACAAATTCGGATGTGGAACTTGCAATCGGGACAGGAGAGGAAGACCTTTCAAGTGAACGGGGTACCTGCCCCGGTTTCCGTCATGGGGAAGGGAAAGAAGGGAAAGGTCGTCAAGGGCAAGAAGTCAGGGAGCGCCATTACGGGATTATGTACGGATGCGTTGAACAATGTGTTGATCGCGAGTACTCTGGACGGGTCATTGAGCGTGAGTCTGATGCCCGCGTGTTCGGGTTAATGAGTGTGAGCTCAGCATCTTCTGTTCGTCATGCAGTTCTTTGACTTCTTCACAACAAACCTCGAGCACACGATGAAGTTGCCGGCCAACATCACGTCGATCGAGTTGCACCGGGATAGCGGTCTTTTGGCTGTGGTGTGTGATGATCTGATCATCCGGGTGTTGGACGTGGAGACGAGGCGGATTGTGCGAGAGTTGAGCGGGCCGAGACGGCCGATATTGGACATGGTAAGTTTGTCGTATCTATCAATATCATACTTGACGAATATTAACTCTGAACCTGACCTCCCTTATGCAGACCTTTTCGCCGGATTCGCGATGGTTGATCACGAGCTCGATGGATTCGGTCGTACGGACGTACGACGTACCGACTGGTCAATTGGTAGATGCCTTCAGAACGACGAGTATCGCCACTGGTGTGACCTTTTCGCCGACTGGTGACTTTTTAGCTACGAGTCATGTCGATAGCGTAGGAGTGCATCTTTGGTGAGTCGCAACAAGAGGGATATGTCTACATGTTGGTGCCCTATTCACTGATATCGAACTCGGCCGTGCAGGGCGAACAAGGCGCAGTTCAGCGAGGTTGCTCTGCGGCATATCGACGAAAACGAGGTAACCGACGTCGCTATGCCGACGGTGCAGGGTTCTGATGATGATCAGGGTGAGTCCCGTCTCCGCCAACCGTCATCACAAATCTTGACATGCTAACATTGAGCGCTTCAATAGACTTGGACGGCATAGAACCCATCGGTGAACCCGAATTCCAGGACATTTACACGACACCAGAACAGTTGGGCGAGGAGCTTTTGACGCTCTCGTTGATGCCACGTTCGCGATGGCAAACGCTATTGAACCTGGACATCATCCGAGCGCGAAATAAGCCCAAGGAAGCGCCAAAGGCGCCAGAACAGGCGCCATTCTTCCTGCCAACGGTAACATCTTTGGACGATGGCCTTGGTACTAGGTTCGACATCGCCCCCAAGGAAGACGATAGCGCATCAAAGTCGACAACTAGATTGGACCTGCAGAGCGCTTTTGTCGAGAGCGAGTTCACGCGATGTCTTGGGCAAGAAAAAGAGGGCGGACGATGTAAGTCATTTGCGGGATCTGTATAGTACTTGATTACTGACTGACCTTCCCCGTTAACCGCAGACGAGAAATTCTTTATCTATCTGAAATCCCTCACGCCAGCCGCTATCGATATGGAGATCCGGTCATTACTCTCAATAGAGCATCTGGAACGCTTTCTTCGAGCGTTGGTCGGACGACTACGTTCGCACCGGGATTTCGAGGCCGTCCAAGCGGTACTCGCTGTATGTCTAGCCGTACACAGCGACCTGCTGATCGCCAACGAAGAGTTGGCCGAGGTCTTGCAGCAGTTATTGGTAGAACAGCGGAAGGAGAGTGAGAGGTTATTGAACCTCGTGGGTTATAATTTGGGTACGATGTCGTTCTTGCGGGGTGCATAAGGATGTACGATCGGTATACTGTACACAATGCCGATTTCAAGATACAGTACGGAACAAAGGAGACGACCGGGAGGAATGAGACGGACGGTGGTGTCGCGAAGTGTGGAATGGATGACGACGAGCAGCGCGCAAGAGGGCGATGACATATTGGAGGCTGTACGAAGGTGGTTGGCTGACCTTTGGTCAATCGATCGGTCTACATGAATGCACAGAGATACACTTGACTTATTATCCAAGAGATTACAAGGAGATAAGGATGAGAGTCTTGAGTGGGAAATGTAATAGAAAGCGTGATTGAAGACATTTGTAGATCTTGTAGTCTGACTGCTCAAAAAGGGAAGATCAACGTGAAGTCTGAACAAGACGCAACCACCATCGTCGCGCCTGAGACTTGCGACGAAGTCTTCATCGATGCTAGCACAGCCTTCGCCCATAGAAGGACGGACAAGATCCAACTGGACCATCTACATCGGCAAAATCCCAGCGGTAGGCAAGCCGGTTCGCTACGGGAGTCATTTCATTTCGCGCTTACGCCCTTGCCCTTCAGGTCTTGAAGAGCTGGTCGTCAAGCTGGCACAGCAGGAGGCTACGACAATCACCATGCCTGAAACTCGGGAGAAAGTGTTCGAGAGCAAGCATAAGACAGAGACTTTCCCTAAAGCCGTCCACAAAGCCCCATCGTCACGCCTTGGTACCGAGGCCAGGGGGAGAGCGCACCGGGTCGTCAATCCAAGCCGACGGGAAAAAGGTCAGCTGCCTATCAGAAAGCCAAAGATTAACCGGAGGAAGGCCTTTGGGAGAAAATGGTCGAGCGGTGGGATCAGTTGAGCCGGAAACTATCTTTCCACCAGGGTGAGCCATTTGGTCGATAGTGTACATGTGTGCTCAAGCTGGGCAATTGCAGGTACCGTGAAGAAGGAGACGAAAGATGGCATCCCCTTGGGTTTCAAGATCAGTGGTCTCTTGTCGCCGGCAGAGGTCTTGCGATTGACCCAAGTGATTGGCAAACTGTGCAAGTCTTGGACGGCTAGCCATCAGAAGAACGATTGTGAATGCGACGAATGCGATGACTGCGATGAATCCGACGAATACGATAAATATGAGCAGAAGGGTACCGGCCCGGGTCGAAGCATTCCAGCTCCGTCCTGTAGTCGCCATTATAAATATGAAGAGGTATGCTATTCGCTGTCCAAGGTCTTTGATCTCCAATGCTGATGCATCCGATTGTGTGCAGGCATTGAAAAGTATGGGCTCGATGCAGGGGTACTACGTTTTGCCTATTGGATCACCAAGAGGCAGACAAAGAAGAGCCCCATCATCTCACATGACAACATCAAAGGCTCCTGAATCAACGGTCATGTGCGCCACTTTATGCATCAACTCGAATCATTCTTTTAGCTGGTGTCAGATCCCTTCAGACCCTTGCACCTGAAATCTATTAAAGATATCGCAAAGGAATGGACCGACTTGCCAACAAACACGTAGACTTGGTCACCTGCCTCCGCAAGTCATCTTTTCCCCTTTTTTAGGCATGGCATTGGTATGCAACTTGCGGGTCACACCACACACATGTCAAGGAAGTGATTCACAAGGTCATGTATTCATGACCATTGTTGGAGGTCTCAAAGAAATTCATCTGTTGGAGGGCACTCCTTGTCTACGCTGCAAATTAGCCTATGTGCAAGGTGATCTTGTCTTGTTCCGGTTGTGTGCGATGATTCATGGCATCACTAGCAATGCTGATGATAGGACAGCTTTGATTTTCATTCTCCCATGAGAACGTGTTAAAATGGTAGACGTTACGGTAGTTGCTTAGTAGAAAGAATGATATGTCTAGTGGGAGATCATCGAAACCAATCAAGAGAGGGGCCGCAAGATATACCCCAAGGAGAACAAGCCAGATGCGGGCGCGCATGAGAGGCAAGAGGCGGGAGCGATTCTCGGCATACGACAATAGCTGGGGTCAAGGGTAACTTTGAGCCTCTCAGACGAATTGAGGGGAAGGCAGACAGCTGTCAGCAATGTTTTGGGTCGGCGCTGGATATCACCTAGGAGGAAGTACTCAACCATCGTTCGATACCACCGAGGAGGAAGTTATTAAACGTCGTTCGCGGATCTGCACTCTCAATTACACCTTCTAGGGTGCTTGATGAGTGGAAAAGACTGCGTTGAAGCTTGCAGAGAGCCGTTCGACAAAGTTGATTTACATATGAGCTCAAGGTTGTTGCAGAGAGGCGCGGCGCCGTTTGCGTTCGCCATTGGTGAAGTCAAGAGAATATCACACAGAAGTGATTCAGCAAAACCTTGCATTTCACGAGCATAATTATCACAGCATTCCTGTTGGCGAAACGCCCCCAATTGCCGTGGCGATTGAAGGAATGAGGAGGCCGCGCTCCTCTTCCGCATCCTCTGCACGAGCGAGGCTATCATAGATCTTGCTCATGATAGTTGCCCATCGATAGGCGAGGATTGAGTTGCAAGAATGCTGGCAGTCCGCCAAAATGTCCTAGTAGATGGTGTTATTGGCTATAGCATTGTGCCCCGCAAGGTGGTAGGCAAACGGATGCGAAGGTCCACAATTTCCCGCGGAAAGCGCAGCACAGCTAGAGAGCAGATCCCGGATACCACGCTGGAATTGAGATATAGAGGCGAGATTTGTATCCAGATACCGGTACAAGATCAAGCAGATATGTCCGCATACACGAGGACTGTTTGGTCGAGAGTCATAACTTTCTCGCCCATCACGGTGATCCTGGGCCATTGCATGCAATCTTAAATTTGGCTAAGATCCAGACTCCATTACGTGTACTTTATCATCTATGATTTGTTTCCAAATGTATGACATGGCCGTATCCGGCTGAAAGGGATGATATAGTATCAAGATTAGTGATATCGCTTCACTGGGGCGAGAACGCCTCTCTAGCAACGTCGCCAAGGTCTCTACCACAAACATCACATCCTGCATCATTGCTTCTGTAGGTAGGACGTTTTGTTGATTCGCAACGGTCCAGCTCAAGTATCGCCGTCAAATCTAAATCGGGTATCACTGTCGAACTAAATTATACAGGTGATGGTATCAACAGTCTTCTGCCTGATAACCGTTTCAGATTGTCTCCTCCTTGACGTCAGAGAAGTTTCCCGCCGCTTCCGTGGCACATTACAGTAAGCGCAGCCTCGTCCGAACGTCGGGTCTTGAATGTCTGATCTGACATCAGGACCGCCGTCAATCTGAATGACTGTCTGACTGACCTCATGCTGATGCAGACTATTCTGAGCAAAGAGGCTGTATACTTGCTCTAGAGGAGGAATTTGTGCAAGATGTAGGACTTCAATAACCATGGAGGCACCAAGACCACAAAAGGTCTTCTGATGACTGCGGGAGGAGGAACCACTAGTTAGCAAAAGCAACACAACACGAAGAAAGAAGAAGAAGAAGAAGTGCCAAAAAGAAGTGCGACTGACTCACTTCTTCATATATAGATAGACTGGTGTTTGAGACCTGGTCTTGTGCAAGAGCACTCCTGATTTGAATTTTGACCAGAATCTGATTGGGTCGGGCCATAGTCATCCGGCAACCAGCGCTCTAGGCTCTAGAGACCAAGGATATTGAATGATGGTATATCGGAGGAGTTTGTTGTGATCCAGGAATACTAGTGACGATCATCCATTGCAAGATTGGATGCATAAGGATATGTGTGGATGGGAAGAGGCCAGCGGGATTGATATTGCTCAATCTCGAGGAGCTCCCTCTCTGAGATCACAAGCATATGCCCATGAAGGTAGAACTGAACCCGGAGGAAGATGATCCCCATGCGCTTCTCTTGAAGTACCAGGAGTAGAATCTTCCCGTAGGTTTGTACAGATGTTGTCTTGAGGCGTAAGAGTAAGATAGAGGGAAGTCCCCCCGAGGTGGTGATTGTCATCAATCAAGGGTGGATTGGCTGGATTGGCTGGATTATCTGAGCGGGCATGTTCTAGGTGAAATTGCAGTGTGAAAGGCTTGGTAGTGGTTGGGTCCGATATACTATGGGCCTGTAAATAAAAAATAGGGAGTGAGAATGTGAAGAGAGACGCCGACAGACGGAGACAGACAGGACAGGCTTACCCTTCTGGCCAAATCCTGAATCTCTTGTAGTTCCGGCATACTGAAGTCGTATTGGTGTTGTACTGGTACTGTACTGTAGTTGCTTTCGACCAGCAACAACTCCACCTACACGACGACCACGACTCCACGATGACGACTACCCCACCATGATGATGTGAAACGACATCGGCGATCGGCGGATCGCGTCGAAGCCCAAACCAAGCCCAAACCTTAACAAGTGAGAAAAGAAGGCAAGGAGGAAGGGGGAGGCGATACAAAACCGTTGTAAGGTAGGTGTTTGTTGATGCCATCACCTGTAGAATTCAATCTTGATAGTGATCCCCAACTAGAACCAATGAGTATCAGCAAAAAGCTTCTACCTACAATAGCCCCACAGGTGATATTTATCGAAGAGGTGGAAGAGGCGGGATGCGCGATGCGCTCGCGCCACGCGCGCGTGCTATTAAGATGTACCCCCAAGCCAGCATTCCATTGAATCGTCGGTGCAGCAATGCATGTATCTAAATACATGTCTGCTACAAGCGGAACTAGTAAGGGGATGCATAGGTCCGCAGCGCAAGGTCATCCAGCAGCAGGGGTAATTTCTCCAGTAATTGCGATTTTTTAATGGTATATTGACGTATAGTATCTTGCCCGCTTCACCTTGCCCATTCGACTGACTGCCTGGTCCGAAATATCAAGACTAGTTTTCTATCCTGATTAGATCGACGCCGATCCTCTGGGTGGATCCCAAGGAAAGTTTGACCGTCGTGTCGTTGCGCCTTAGCCTTCTTTGTTGTGGTCGTGATGTTAAATCGACGTCGTTGTTGCCAATTGTTTTTCCATCTATCCGATTCTTTGTCGATGATCGTCGCCCCGGGCTAATTCCCAATACTCGACGACATATATTTACGTTGACAGTTCTTGAGATACCCTGCTCTGTTCGGTTCCCAGCTCTCCTTCATTTCATACCTCTTACCCCTGGTCTATATAGATATCGCTCACAATGTCTGCTGCCCTGCCTCCACAACCCAATTCAACCCTTCTCAAGCAGATACGTTGACAGAAAAGGACTCGTGCTTCTCTACTCGATCCTCAGTCGAATCAAGAAGGTGTAGGGGACGAGGCTTCTTTGGCGACGGCCTGGTAATCAAGACTTTCGTGAAGATATTCCTATACTGCCCTTCCAGTAACGTTATGAATCAATATATCTGTGATTTGCATTGATACAACCTGAAGAAAACTGTCGCATTATGCCCTATGTTTGCCGATGAAATTCTTGGTAGCGCTCTTGAAATTCAGATCGCCCCAACGTTGTCGCATTGTGTGGGGACTTGAGGCAGTTGCGATGATGGGCGAAGCAGTACCGATCGAACCTCCTGAGGTCGATCTTGATCTAGGTTGGTCGTGATCGCCCGAATCCTCGTCACTGACACGCGGACGACGTCTCGCCGGGGTCGGATCGCTGTGATCGCCCGCAGCAGGCGAGACAGTTCCCGAAGAGCTACGTCGAGCGGCCCCTGCCATCAACCAGTGATCATTGATATCGACAGGTGTCTTACTAGAAGCCTTTCCAGCAGAATATATGGGCGCCTTTTGTTTTAGCGCCAGGCCCTTTTTGCGATACGCCGCCGCCCGATCCTCGTATATGCGGTTGATGGCCGGTATTGAGCTCGAGGGCGCATGCGCTATTGTGATGGCTGGAGCTGTGTTTGACGAGGGCAATGGTTCGGTCGGGATGGTGGGGGCGACGGCACGCTGTGGCCGACTATCTTGCGTCTTGAGCGTGGCGTTGCTGTCGCTCGAGTCGGTTTTGATGATTCGAGGACGAACAGATCCTGAAGCTTTGGCCAAAGTCACCGCAGATGGCGCTGCGTAGGATCTCGAAACTTTGTCGCTCGACGCGGCTGCCACAAGTGATGTTCCTTCGCTCGAGTCGTTTGAGCGAGATGATTGCTTTTGTAACAACAGACTATCGCCATAGGCCGCTAACTGCTCTGCCAATGACGAGGACGATCCGATCGCGATGGACTGCAAGATGTCCTGTTCGGCGTGTCGAACGCGATCTGCTGCCACCTTTTCAGGGTCTGTCACAGCCCCCTTGCCCTTTGGTGCGGGAACGGGCACATCGTACAGCAAAGCCGGTTCCTTTTCCTTGCGCTTACTCAGCCGACGCGCCATTCCCTTCTTGACATGAATTGCAGCTGGATCAAGATCTGACTGATCAAAGGTGGCGGTCTGGGAGATTGGCGTAAATGGTGTGAAGTTGGTGTCGTATGTAGAGGTACTAAAGTTCATGCCTGAAGCCGTGGTCGAGACGGACGAGACGGATCGATTTCGAGCACGTGTTCCGGGGAGGCGTTTTGAATAGAGCCTGCTCGCGGTCTGCGTTACCGCCTCGGAGGAGGCTGTAGGAGACGGTGGTACCGGATGCACTGACAAGGATGACACTGAATTGAAGCTCCCATTCCTGCTCTTGCTCTTGCGGTATTGTCGCGCGGCCGCTCGGTCCCAAATGCTCTCTCCAACCTGGTCTTGCTTTTCCCCTTGGTGTTTATCTTGATCGGGACTCGGTTCATTGTCCTGGTTATGTCTCTGTCTTTCGACGTCCTTGAGTCCGTCCATCAGGGCATACGGGATGCTCTCGGGCATGGTTGCCGATCGCTTCTTTCCCTTCGATATGGGGGTCGAGGGAAGCGATCGCATCGTCAGTCTGCCCGGCGAGTTCGTGCGCTTGCGCAGGATTGACTTGGGTGCCGGCTCCCCTTTGCTCCAGTCCTGGCCCAAGGGACTAGGCACGAAGACTTCGCTTCCCGAACGCGACAAGGGAGCCGGACGCAGGTCGTCGCTGGGGTTGGATCGCGAACGGCGCCGAGTGGCGGTCGGTCGAAGTTGTTCGTCTGGCTCAGCTACCTCCTCTTCCTCATCACTCCGCGCGGCTGTATCGAAAGTCGTAGTCGTAGGCGGAGCCGATAGCGGGGTGGGACCTGACCACGGATAACCACTCGACGTCGTGCCTACCGAATGCACCGAGTCCGAAAATGTAACTTGTGATGCGCTCCGCTTTCGCCCAGTATGACCCGGTTCGATCGACGACGGTCTGGTCACTACCGAACCAGTGCTCGATCTCGCCCCATCCATGCTAACCCTCTTGATGCGCTCGATGCTTTCGTCGATGTCTTCTGGTAGCGGTGTAGGCGCCGATCTAGGTGGACTGGGAGACGGACTTGGCGGCGTGCCGTAGGGATCCTTCCGAAACAACGTCAACAAGGCCGCTCTGGACATGTGCCGGGCGGTCGAGTGTATAGACGAATTTGAATCTTGAGCTTCGGAAAAATCCGAGCTGCGAGACATGAGGCGGCCTCGGAAGTTGAGGAGCTCGGCGGGCAAGTCTGACGAGAATGATTCGGGCCGTGAAGACGATGGCGGTGCTGCAACCGGAGCTTCCGTCGATGCTGCCTGCGACTGTCTTCGCAGACTCGACCGCCTGAACCCGAGGTGCCCCTTGCCTGCCTTCTCGAAGATGGACGGCAGCGAGGGACGTCGAGAAGAAGGCGCAGTGGGGCCAGCATCGAGCGAACGGCGATTGTCGATGGGCGACAAGTTCGGCTCGACCGTATCACCGTTTCCGTCGTCAGAAGGTGGTGCCGAGACCGGATCCACGGCCGAATCGCCCGCCGTCATCTGCAACGCGCTCTTACGCGCTCGCAAGCTATTACGACGCTTGGATTGAAACATGTTCTCTAGACTATGCCGTAGATGGGCCTTTTGTGCAGTTTCTCCCGAACCATGTGAGGTCGCCCGATCCTTTTTCGACCAGCGTGATGAAGAGGGCGTATTTGGTGTGTCTTGTTCCATTGAGTCCTGCACAGGCACTTCTTCCTGCTTCTGCTCTTCTACTTTGGCCCTCATTTTTTCCCTCTCCCGCTCGACCAAGCCTTCCCAAGCTTTCAGCGTTTCGACGACCTCTTCGTGTTCATTCGCCTCGGCCAACATCTTTGGTGTATGCCCGTGCTTGTCCGCCTTGTCATGTATAGCCCCACAAGCCAACAAGATCCGGACGATCGGGACGTGCCCATTAGCAGCGGCAAAATGCAACGGGGTCGACCCTGCCTGTCCGACGATCGCCAGCGGAGCCGGGCGACGTGTCATCCGCGTCAACAAGTTTGAAGAAGATGCCGTCGAATTCGTTCTCGATCCGGAACCTCCCCCTAGATGTAGAGTATGTCTCGCCCGATCTGCTAACGACGTCGACGACGAGGCCGCCATGATCGACGACTCGCCTGCATTGGCTTCTCTCTCCTTCTGCATCTGTTTCTGTGCGGCATGCAGGCTCTCTGCATATCGTCTCGGTAATCTCGGAGCGTTAACGTCTGCCCCTCGATCGATGAGCATCCGTACGATCTGTTCAGATCCGGAGGAACAGGCAGCGTGGAGCGGCAAGACACCGTGCAAGAGCGAATTAACGGGCTGACCGTGGGTCAGGGCGCTACAATGAGCAGAATAGGTTTGGGAATGACGAAACCTGATATCAGTACAAAATCGATCAAAGTAAGCCCAGACGTAATACTTACTACCTGACCAGCCCCACGTCCCCACTGGCAGCCGCACTATGCAATTCCAGATTCGGATCTGACCGTATCACATTCCGTTTGACATCGGGGTTTGACATCGAGAGTCAGATTGAGCGGACCGCATCGAATCGATTTAAATCGAGTTGAGCAAGATCGGGCCGCGACCAGCATCGACACAGAATGACAGCAACAGAGCAACAAAAACGAACGATATCAGCTTCCCGTCCTGAGATACTGCCGGGTTATCTACGTATCAGGAGGATGTGAGAAGCATTATACTCACAGTCCACCGTAACGTCGTACTTGGCTTCGGCCCGCTCTACCTTACTACTCCCCCCTATCCCACTTCCTAACCAACCTCCTCCGCTACCTCCTACCCCACTCCCACTCCCGCTCCCACTTGCGCTGGCATTCCCGCTCCCACTGGCGCCTCCACCTCCTATCCCGAGATGTGAAGCGGAAAAGAAGGCCGGCACGGGTCTGTTCGTTGATCTCGCTGGAAGAGCGGGTTGCGGTTGCGATTGCGACGAACCCTGAGCTTGAGGTTGAGCTTGGGAATCGGGACCCATGTCGAAACTGTACGCGTCTCGCGCTGTCCTACGTTATGAGCTCCGTAGTTTATTTGATCCGAGGCTGGAGAATCTGGATCGAATTTAGGTCCCAAGCTTCGCACACAGGTTGAGCTGGAGATTAAGGCTAGATAACCACGTTCATTATCCCTGCGCGTCGGTTATCCTCGGTCCAGATCGTTATCGTCTTGTCAGGTTCGATTATATGGTTGTTATCGAACACCGAGTATATCCTGGGGTATGAAATCGAAATAGAGGTGTAGCTTGTAGCTGATGTAGAAAAGTCGAAAGAAGGGCTTGATACAGGTACGAAGTTGGTGATGTTACCTGGTGCTCGATTTCGATTCGATCCGGACCGCGTCGCCGAGGACGAGTACTTCGTACTATCGATGGTCTGACTGTCGAAGCGTGGTGATAGCTTGTCACTGTTACACGGGCTGAATGGCAACCACAAGGATGATTATAACGGACGGTTTGGATTGCTGAGGCTGAGAAGGTCGAGCAAGAGTTGGGGGAGATACAGAGATGATAGAGTTGAGCCGTCGATGACGACAAGACCGGGACCGAGAGACTAAGTGGCTGATTTGGGTGCGTCGCGCGCGCGTCCGAGGAAGGGAGATTGTGATTGCGTCGACCTTTGGCTCGATCGGGATGGTGAGGGATATCGCTATTCCGATGTACAGATATCAGATTCGTGAAACGCTCAGACCAGAGAGAAGCATGACTAGCTCGTAGAGATGCGACTTGATGACACCTGGCACCAGTCTCATATGCCCACCCCACGTCGCGAAGCCGGTCGAGCTGACCATGCCGGTCCCAGCCAGATAGAGATCGGGGAGTCATTTGACACAGGTGGAGGCTCGCCCCGGACTTGGCATCACACCTCGTGCATCGCATCGTGGTATCCATATCCCACATCACCGAGCTCGACGTTTGGTCTCTTTTTTCTTACAACACGATCGACCTGGACGCCAATAATAATGCGATATCTGCCTCGACATCCAGATGGTCTGGGGATGCTTTGCCTCTTTGGGACGAGCTCAAAATCGTTTTGCAGCCATGCAACCATCATCCGGCGACCGGCGAAGAAGTGGCGAAGCAGCGGGAGTTTAATCCCCGAGGGACCCGGCAAATACATCCGATGCCCGATGACGGCATCACGGCGGAAGCATATCTTCTGAGTGATCCCCGAACGATTCAGCGATCAGCCAGCAGCCAGGACCATCTTTATCTATTGAGCTGAGCTTGGACGAGCTTGGACCCTGGTCGCACTTCTCGACCTTACGCTCATGACTTACATCGACGTCAAAACTGTCTCCGACTATGCCAACTCATCACCTCTACACCTTTGGTCACAATCCGCATCACAAACTCCTACCTCACCCAAATCTCGCCCCGACGGTCATCACCGAACCCACAGACGTCCTCCATCCGCACTGGAGAGCTCTGGCCAAAAAGACATACGGAGTGGAAGAACTTGCCGGGGAGTACGTTTGGGGGGACTTTGGGTCTACTATCATTCGGTTGTTTGACGGTGAGCCAGTGTCCCTTTTTTTTGTGGCTGGATTCAGAACCGAGAGTCGGACCAGCCGAGCTGATCGTCCGTATTTTTCTTCTCTTTCGTTCGTGTCCGGATCCGTGATGCCCTCAAACACGGTTCAGGAGACAATAAGTCTGGATGTCAACAATATATACTCCTAGGATACCCCCCTGATGAACTCTTACCGGAATACGTATCGAAAACGAACGAGTGGGACATTCCATCAGAGAGACCGGGAGAGGTGTCTGCGCAGGGATCAGCACATGCAACGGCATCCACGACTGCACCAACAGCTTCTAAGAAGTTAGGAGTATCAGAGGCCTCAAGAATACGTTCTGAAACCGTGACTTCCTCTGAATCGTCTCCACATGCCACGACTACTCTGCCGCTTGATACGAGCTCACTCGCAGATCAGACCTCGGATGTTAAAAGCTTCGACGATCATCACCTCCTTGACGATAGTCCGGACCAACTCCTTGATGACGATCCAGATCACCTTCTTGACGACAACGACTCTCTTCTCGATGATAATGATCACCTCCTCAAGGATGATCATCCCCTCCCCAATAACAATAACGCCAATCCGTCTTCCTCTCGATCGTACGTCACCCCCTTAGCAAACCTCCCTCATCGGATAAAAATTATCGGGTATGAAAGGCTCGAAGGGTACTTGGATATGGATACGGGGAGGGTCAAGAGGTTGGTCCGGAGCTCAGACCAAAACAAGGGAAGAGCAGCACAACGGGAGACCGAGGAGGATGAGGCGGACACGGACCGTAATAACGAAGACGAAGAGCGGGATGAGGAGACGGGAGACGAGTTGCGATGGAGGGACATTGTCAGTCTATCTGACGGGACGATCTATGGCCTCCCTATATCGGAACCCCAGGTTGACCCTACGTGTCCATCTTCTCCTGGATTATACGTCTTTCCGACCTTCACCGCCCTCCTCCAACTGCGACCGTCCGACCACATCCCCTTACCACTTCCCCCTGGGACCAAATCTGCGGGGATATCATTACAAGGCGGAACCTCCCATATCCTCATTCACGCTCGAGAACCTTCTTCGATGATCTTTGGACTAGGTGACAACCGGTACCAATCCGCAACCCCTTTCCCCCTCTCCTTATCACTTTCGACCTCTGGTTTGCCTACGGGATCAAAGCCGAAGCGTCGACCCGGTCAAGCATCACGGCCAGAAGAGATCGAACCCCTGAGCGGGGTCCCGATCAGACAGGTGACAGCTGGAGAATCGGTCAGCGGGGCTGTGAGTGCGATGGGTGAGGCCTGGATTTGGGGGAAAGGCGTGGGAGTGGGAACGTTGCAACGGGTCGGATTTGGGGATGGGCGAGGTCTCAAAGAAGGTGGAGAGAAGGCGCAACACGAGGACATTGCAGATGAGGATCAAGACGATAACGAGGAAGAGGTCAAGTTTTTGGCCCTGGGCGAGGGGTACGGAATGGTTGTCCTGGAAGACGACCAGGTATATGTCCGAGGTCAGAGTAAGTATCACGTCTCGACACCCGCACAGCCTAGGTTCTGACCCTGATTTAACGCACAGACGACTATGGCCAACTAGGTCTACCCCCCAGATCAACCAACATCGATGTGTTCGAGACGGATCCCGATCCCCAGTATCCCGAATGGACGGCACATCCCTTCTTTGCGGCGAATGAACTGCGTGTAGAGGCTGTTTGTACGAAAGATTGGGCTTCGTGGGTACAATGTGTCGAGAAGTAGCGAAGGGCAAAGGCGACAGCGCGTACCTTGTGCGTTTCATCGTGTGCACAAGAAGCATCGGCGGCATAAGCGTATATACATAGAACAGAGATACTCTGCTTTGGCGCTTACGTGACAATAGTCGACGATGTCACATCCATTCTCTCCCATCACTCACCTTTCGATGACCCCAGTGCCAGGCGCGACGAGGTGGCGAGACTTGGTGTCCTCATACTTATAGGCAATATCATAACCACCCGATTTGGCCGCAACGATGTTGCTGAGTTCTGAATGCACCATGGAAGCGACCCCGACCCGGTCCCACTAGACTTGATGGCGCGGTGACGAACGATAAAGCGATCACGACCCGGTCCCAGACTTGATGGCGCGGTGGCGATATCGCCATGGAAGTTTGATGGCGCGGTGAGCGTTGCTGTAAACAGCTTGCTAATATCGATGGAAGGGCGTTTTTGTGCAGCGCCAGACCCTTCGCCATCCATCGTCCGTCTCATCGTCTGTTCCGTCGTCCACAACCCGACTTGTTACTTCGAGGTGCGATGGTGCTAGTAAAGAGAAGCCATGAAGAAGACCTCGCATCTGATCGACGACAACAAAATGATCTCCTGCATGCGCAGCTTTCGGTATCGACCAAACATCGCCTTCACCGACGAACGGTTGTGTAACCGCCTAAGCGAAAACCAAGCTCTTCGACATCGATCATATCTTCAAAGGATTGCTGAAAACCCGGAGATGCCCATCGAACGCTGCCGGAGGTAGGTGATCCGTAATTGAGCATGTTCTTTGTGAATAGTGTAGATGGTATACCGGAACAGGATCGCTTGACCAATAATGGACCTGACTTTTGACCTGACTTTGCTGTTGTCAAAGGTGTGGTGAATGTAGGTCGTTGCCGAAGGTTCGCCATAAGGAATCTTCATAAGGACAGGCCAGACGTCTGCTATGTAAGTTCGGGCCCACTTCTGCTTCTTCAGCAGCCGCGCAGTCCAACAATCGAGGTCGACGATAGAAGGGAAGTGCTTGAGGTGTCTCATCACGCTGGTGTTTGTGGCGCACATTCGCATTGCGTCATCGTTTACTGTACGCGACATTGATGATGTCCCTTTGCCTTTTTAGCGTTTTTGAGTTTGGTTTTACAATTGTCCCTTTTCGCAATTTTCGACTGTTTTTGAAAGAGTTCATCTGGTGGCGGCAATCTTTACTCCGGTGGCTGTAAAAGTCCCTTTTTTGGCTTATTTCCACCTATACTAAAAATCGGCCTCCCTAAGGAGCCCCCCCTGAGCCCAACAAGTCACGCAAACCACTCCAAACTTCGCTAGACTATGGGTTAGGGGTTAGGGGTTAGGGATTAGTGGTCAAAATTAGGGGTTTTTGGTCAGAGGGTGTTGTTTGAGCTCGTTGTAAAGTGCAATGATTCTTGCTTGTTTCCACCTTAATCTTTTGCCGCCACCAGAGTAAAGATTGCCGCGACCAGATGAATTCTTTGTTTTTGAGCGTTTTTACATAATATTATGTCATAAAATTACGTAAAAACGTTAAATTCCGGGAATTTTTGCCTGGGACATTGGGACATTTGTCTCTTTTTGGCTGGAACATGGGACACAAAAGGGACATCATCAATGTCGCGTACAGTATCAGATCCTAGATCCGTCTTTAAGCTGGAGTCGTGTCTATTCTTGGTCATCTAGATCGTCTTCACCTCGGCAAGACCGGTCTCATCATGCCAGATCACATAAAACGAGATGAAACACCGATCGACCATGCCCATGCCCGAGGCTGGCGCATGCACGTCGCCCCTTCCTTTGGGTTTGATCCCTTGATTGGCGCGAGATCGCGTTCTTGGTGTTTCAAAGGAAGGTTCGCGCGATCGAGGCAGGAAGAGGAGGGAAGAACGTGGAACGGATGATAGCTCCACCGATTCCTATTGTGATTGATGTCTCAAAGGGATGGAATGCCTGTGCGTCATAAAGGTATCAACGTACGAGATGTGGAGGCCCCTCGTAGATCGCCGAGGGGTTGAGGGGAGAAGGGTCGATGATCACAACAAAACACGAACGACAAAGATTACGGGGAAACGCGTGTCGCGAGGTGGCTGACCTGCAGGGAACAAAAGGTATATAGGGATGGTACATAGGGAGTCAGTCGATAGCTTGTTCCCCACAGTATCTTATCCTTCACCGCACTTCGAGGCGGCCATCACATCTCCGAATATCTACCTCTTCACTTCCTGTTCGCGACACAACACGGCCTCAACATGATCGTCAACACCGCCTTGGTCCTCGCTACCCTGACCTCCTTTGGTTCGGTCCTCGCCACTCCTCAAGCGGATTACCAGCCGTTCCCTCCCAGTGTCGGTCCTCCTCAAGCTCCCCTCGGGAACTGTGATACCCCTCAACGGGTTGTCGGAGGCTACATCGCCAGTTGGGGTGCGTCCCCGTGTTCCCGCCTGATGCTGCCATATTGACCTTGCCATTGACCTTCTTGTCGGTTCTTGTCGGTTATCAGCTGCCTACGAGCCCAAGTGGTACCTCTCGGACGTTCCTTACCAGGACTTGACCCACTTGTGGTACTCGTTCATCTACCTCAGGACCGACGGCGGTATCGAAGTCGGGGACCCTGATATCGACCTGTACGGCTTGACCGGTAAGTCTCTTTTGTACTTCCCCTGTGTCACCAACGATGAAGCGTACTTGACGTACAACCCCTTTCTTACATGACTGACCGAAACGACGGGTGATCCCCTTTCGTAGACGAAGAGAAGGAAAAAATCGTCTCCACCCTCGACCCCCGCCCTCCTCCTGAAAACAACCCTCCTCAAGCTCCCCTCAACTCGACTCTCCAACCAGGTATCCCATTCGACCCTCCCGTCGGAAAGAACCAGACCGGAGATATCGGTCTCAAATGGTTACGTGATCACAAGAACGTAACCGGGGACACCAAAGTCATGGTCGCTCTTGGAGGATGGACTTGGTCGCACAATTTCGCCGCTGTCGCTGCGAATGAGACCAAGAGGGGAGTGTTTGCGGAGAGCGTCAAGGGGTTCTTGGACGAGTGGAAGTTGGATGGGATCGGTGAGTACACTCGAGTCTGGATAAAAAGAGGTAGGGGACATCAGGCTGACGAGGTCGACGTGGATGTTTGTAGATATCGACTGGGAGTACCCTACCGATCCTCGAGTCAACGGGACCCTTGAAGGTATGTTTCCGATTCCTTTCTTTGAACCTGTTTTCCGGCCGCTTGCTGACTCCACGTACCTTCAATCTTGATTTCGATGTCCGGCCTGCAGACAAGGAAAACTTTGTCCTCCTCATGAAAGAACTCCGTGAATCCATCGGTCCCGAAAAGGTCATCTCGCTCGCCGTGAGCGCGAGCACGATCATCTCCCCCGAGAAGAACAACCAGAGCTTGATTCAGGCGGGGATCGATGTCAAGTTGGCGGATTATGTGGACATGTTCAACGTCATGGGTTATGTGAGTCCGAAGACTGCTTGGTATACTGTCCTGCCAAGGGGTAATGTGTGCTGACTCTAACCTCGACGCTTCGCAGGACTTTGCTGGATACTGGTCCGAGGTCGTCACCCACGATGCTCCTCTATACGGTAACATCTCCGCCTCTGCTGCCATCGCTCAATTCAAGGAGATCGGTATCCCCGCGTCCAAGCTCAATCTCGGCATTCCCGCTTACGGCTACATGTTCTACAACACCGACGGAACCGGGATGGGCGGGAACATGTCCACCGAGGGTAACCGGATCCAGGGGACCTGGGATACCGCCGAGAACAACATGAGCTGGACGGGTAACTTTGATTACAGCCACATCCAACAGGCTTTTGCCAACAACTCTGACTGGACTTACCAATTCGACAACGCCACCGCCGGGAGCTGGTTGTGGAACAAGGAGAAGAACCTGGTCTTGACTTACGATAGCGCCGAGGCCGTTCAGGTCAAGAGCGACTATGCCGAGGCCGAGGGTCTGGGTGGAATGTTCGTTTGGGAATTGTCCAACGATCGAGCTGGGGATCTCGTCAGCGTCATGGCTGGGGTGGTCGAAGAGCCCGAGGCGCCAGAGACCTCTTCGATTCCGTCGGAGAAGACTTCGACCGTTAGCAACTGGGGTCCTGGTGAGTTTTGTCCGACGCATGTGGGCCTGGAATATTGCTGATCGGAATATTCCCCATGAACGCAGTGCAAACCGGCTCCTCGTCGCCTCATTACCGACGCAGCCGGGCCCGTCAGGCTGGCCGCGTTTGAATGGGCTCGCATCTCTGACTCCGGATCGAGTACGGCAGCAGGCTGTCGTCTGATACACTCTCTTGAAAGGGATTAGTCTTGTCAGGTCAACCCAATACTGTCGCTTCTCTTGCGCATGACCATTATTATATCATTTCTTGCGCGATTTCTCGTCATGTCGTGTCCTCTGTTACAGGTATGCGGATGCGCGTGTGATTGTATTCCCTCAACTCGATTCGTCCTCGTCTTCGCGCTGTCGTTTCGTCCCCGCTTGGTCATCCGCATCTCCCGCAGCTTTCCGCTTCACTCCGGTGACTGCAGCCGCTGTCACTCCACCGACCGCACCTCCCGTACCGTTGTTGACATTATTGTTATTGTTAGTATTGTTGTTCTTGCCACCATCTGCATCCATTCCCACCCCCTTGGCCTCTTCTCGGGGGACGATATCGATCAGGAAATCAAACATGTCTGAGTACCCGATTGCGGCCGCCACATCCGATTTCTGCAACGTTCTCCGTTTATTCGATTGTGCGACCAGCCATGCGCGGGACGTCAATTCGGCGATAAAGACTGTCGCATATATGCCAAAATCGTAAGTCTCTTGACTAAGGGTATCTAGGGTAGGAATTCGAAGACTCACTCTCACAGCACTTGCCAAGTAACACAGGCACCTCGGCGCTGATCATCTTCACCTCCGGATCACTCTTCATGACCTTTTTGATCCTAGCCAGTGGTAACGCGAAGTTTTTAAACTCTTCCTTTGGCGTCCCGTTCGCGTTTGCGTTCCCGTTGCCGCTGGTTGTATTCGTGATCGTCCCTCCAGCACCATTCTCGTCTCCCCCCTCCCCAGTGGCAAAGGTCACCCCTCCCCCGCCAGCCGACGAACCATCGGACCCCCGTTCGGCGAGGTCCATCTGTCTCGTCCAGAACCTGACTAAGAGCGCTTCGAGTGCCCGGGCTTTCTCCTCTGACAACCCCGGCGGACCTGGGACCGGTGCGGGCGGTGGGAGTTGATCCTGCGACTGAGATTGTTGTTGAGACTCGACTGGCGGGAATTGCTGTTGTTGCTGGTGATACGACGGTGGTAAAGGATGTTGCTGTCGATGTGGATCAAACCCTACCATCCCGACCGGGGTCCCTCTCATCGAGCCCGTCAAGTCGGACGTGTTTACCGTCCCTCCACCGCCACTACCACTGCCATCACTCCCGTTCTGATTACGCTCATGATCGTTCCCTCCGTAACCCGGACCGCCCATCCCCAATGCACCCCGGATGCCGTCCAGCACGCCGCTGACAATCGTACCTCCGGACTGGTTGTAGCGATTCCCCTCCTGCCTCTGCGTCTGCCCTTGACCCTGACCCTGATTCTGATTTTGACCCTGGTTCTGGTTGTGACCATGGTTATGATCGGCAGACCCATTACTCATCCCCCCGATCGAAGTCGCCAAGATGTCCTCGTCCGATAGGTCGTCCATATCCATATCCAAATCCAGACCCATATTCCCATCCATACCCATGCTCATGCCCATATTCCCTCCCATGCTCATATTGCCGTTCATCCCCATATTCCCGCTCATGTTCATGTTGTTCATATTGTTCATGTTGAACGTCAAACCGTTCGGGTTATTAAGGTCGAGGTCAAAGTCGTTCGGATTGAGGTTATCCAGGTTCCCGAGGTTTCGCAGGGTATCGGTATCGAGATTATCCAGGTTATCGAGGTCAAGTTGGAGAGAAAGAGGCAGAGGGAGCGGGAGATTCGAGGTTTGTTGACGGGAGAACTGATTTTGAGGCTGTTGTGGTGGCTGCGAGTGGTTTTGGGGATGAGAAGGTTGGCGAGGTGGTTGAGTCTGGATAGGGCGTGATGTCTGGGCATGTGATTGAGGTTGTGCTTGTACAGGACGGGCCGAGTTGCCGTTCGATCCTGGTCGTGGTTGTTGCTGTTGTTGGATAGGTTGTTGCGGTTGTCCGCTCGGCTGTCGTTGAGGAGCAAACGGCCGACCCGTCCCCTGGCCTTGAACCTGATTTGCTTGTGATGTTCCTTGCGGACGAGGCTGCCCAGGGGTCGCAGTCCCACTACCTCCCGGCTTGTAATCCCCAACTCCGTTCCCACCACTACCACCTGAAGGTCCCGCCGTCCGACCTGCCAGACTGCTTCCCTGTTGTTGCTGCTGCCAACTATGCGACAACGGTGAGTGCGAATGATACGGATACAGGGTATTCGAGAATGGATGTGCGAGCGGGTTGAACTGGGCGGTCGATGGTGTCGACGAAGCCGAGGATGAAGATGTCGGGTCGACGAGGTTGTTTTCCGGAGAATCGCCCAGATCGAGGTTGTTGTTCGGGCGAGACGATGATGAAGGAGGTGAAGTGGAGGAAGAAGATGACGACAACATCGTGGATTTGTCCGTTGATGATCACTCTTGATGATCAAATCGATCAGAAGCGATGGTTGCAACAATCAAGATTCCTTTCCCGGATCGCTTCGTTTCGCTTCTTGCTGAACCCAAAGGTCCCTCTTCAAGAACAGATTTTGACCGCTTGATCAACTGACGGGCCGTCTCGTTCCAACACGGGATGTGACGTTTGGACGACCTTGAGATGGACGAGGTCGTATCCGTACTCTGTTGATGATGGGGTGGAGATCAGTCTTGATGCAACATCTTGATGATGATGATGATGAGATCAGTCCTGATCGCTGATCACCTGCTCCCTCTCCTCATCCCCCGAAAACACGAATGCCGAGAGGTTGTTACGTTGAATAAGAATTGATCCCGAGCCTCGTGAAATCGCGGAGACCCCACAACTCTTTGTCGTCCTTCTTGATCATCCTCATATCTGTCAGCTCGATGTCAACGATCGATCTCGAGGTCGACCACCTTGCGATACCATACTTTAGAGATCGTACAGCACACGGGTGTATACAACCATACCGTTCGTCGAGGGAACACCGCCGATAATGTCGACGCCCCGCACCAAGACCATCCTGATAGCCGTGGGCGGACCGACGTGCTCGGGCAAGACCTCGCTCGTCAAACAGCTCTGTCAGATCTTGCCCGAGGGCGACTCGTTCATCGTCCATCAAGACGACTTCGCTCCGGTAAGTTTCGACCGTCTGTTACTTTCGTTACTATTAGGTACCTCTTCGTATGAACTTATGCTGACAACAATATTTGTCTTGGACAGCCTGAAGCTCAGCTCCCTTACCACCCCGACCACCCCGAATGGCAAGACTGGGACCACCCCCCTACAGCCATCCTTTGGCCCGAATTCCAACGAGCTCTCCTCCACTCCAAGGCCCACGGAGAACCTTCCCCTGAAGTCCAATCGCACGATCACCTGAACGTGCAGAGCGAGGAGGAGAAGAAAAAGGTCACCGTCAGGGACGAGGCCGCGGGTGTCTGGAGGGAGAGGTTTGCCGGGTTGAAAAAGGAGCTGGAAGCCGAGGCTGAAGGTGGAGAGAGGGTGGTATTTGGGTTCGTGGATGGATTCTTGCTCTACTGGGACGAGGTACGTCCATCTCCTTCAGCTTTATCCCCTTTTCGCCTGGTAGCGCCTCTGTACTGAACTGATACTACGCTATCTGTTCTGTCTCTTTTCGCTCTGCCCACGGTGACGCTGCCAACGTGCTTCGTAGCGCTGTAACCCGCTGTACGACGTCTCTTTCTTCATCCGTGTCCCTCGCGAATCGTTGAGGGAGAGACGAGAGACGAGGGCGCAATACGTCACGCAGAGTGAGTCCGGTCGTAACGAGCTTACAGTCGATCGGAGAACGGTCTAGCTGATCGGCATTGCCCTCGCAATCACTCCTTCTCCTGTCATTCGATTCTGCTTCCTGTGTAACACTACCACACGACGACGACCCTCCACGACTACCTTCCACGCGAACCTATTCGATGCGCATATAGCCGGCGACGTATGGACAGACCCACCCAACTACCACCCCCTGATAGTCTGGCCAGCCTACGTATTCGGACACCGACACATGTTCCAGAACCCCGATGGGGACGTGGAGCAGGGAGAACTCGTCCGCGATATGGGGGCTTGGAAGAAGGACGCAGAACAGAGGAGAGGAGGTTGGGCCGAGGGCAAGATCAAGGAGTTGGAGTTACAGTCTGGGGCTGGTAACGCCGGGAAGGTAGATAAAGGTAAAGGCAAGGCGGTCGACAACGAAGACCAAGAGGAGATTGAAAAAGCGACAGCGAGCGGGATTCTGTACGAGTTCCGTCCGAAAGAAGGACCCGAGGGGATGGAGGAGATGGTCGATCGGGCGCTGGGGATCATCTTTGATGCCGTCAAGATGATGGCCTAGAGTCGCTTCGACTCGGTGAGATTGAGCTTGAGAACGAAAGTGAAGGCGGGTGGTTGTATAACGTCGTTCGCGATATAGAGATATGAATTGTCAAGTGAGAGTCAAGATATCATCGACTAGCCGAAACTAGCTATAGCAGGCTGGAGATGAGGCGCAGTATCACGCATCAGGAAGAGATTTCCATCATCTGGGTTATCATGGGCGCCCCTCTTAGAACTTCTTCGAATAGGCCTTATAGATCCCATCGTTACACTATCAGGCTATTGTTGCCCAAACATGTCCTTCAACCAGGGTAAATCTGAACCCCCCTCAATGGATTCAGAGCACAGACCACTTCCATTGAAACCACGATATCATCACGTATCCTCGATGCCCCCAGACTGACAATGCCCTCAGACCGACGGCCGGTAACGACGACGTCCCCTGACCCACAATCACCAACAACAACGCCTCGACTTACTATACGTCTGATCGACGACGAGATATTGTCCTGTCAAGCTACTGCAATCTATGCAAAAGCTTCTGAGCAAGATCGCTTAGAGGCTGCCAAGGTGTGGAGCTGGGTGCAGGAGCGGCTGTTGAACTGCTCCAGACTCATCTATCAATTGGCTCAGCAGATCAATGACGAGCTCAAAAGACAACTCACTCTTTTCGGATTCGGGATGAACGGCTTCATCAGTTACACGAGGAGTGAACAAGGACATGTGTATCAGTACTCGAGGTCAATCATCCTTGTTTACTACACCCGCGGAAACACTGAATCAGCCAGAGGCACCGAAAGCTTCAGTTTCAGCTGGCGACTCAGACTATGTGACCGATGGTACTGTATCAGTGCGATTGTCACCACTGATCGCCGAGCGAAACGAGTGACAACCAGGATCAGCGCATCGATTCCATCCCGGTACCTGCCGAATGCACCCCGCTAGATTAGGGAACGCCACACGTATTTTCACTTACTATGGATGACTCTTAACCATTCTATCAGAGTCTTGGGAGTTCTCGGTCGAATATGCCTCTTTAATCGCCCAGAGGGGCTCTGAAAGCGACTCCTCTACGTCTCCGGGACGGGAAATAATCGAGACAGTCCAGACGGCAGGGAAAGAGACGATTGACGAGGGGCATCTGCTTCGAGGGCATTTAGGAAGTTACAGAAAAGGTGGAAAAAGCGCGCGCCACGGACTTCGCTACAGCAAGACGATGGCCATCGTTCTGTTTTTCTCTCTCTATCTCTAAATACAGATCATCGTTTCGTCCTTCTCCTCCCTCTCCCCGCTCGTCCCGCTCGTTCCTCCACACAGCGATGATCCGTAGCGATTCACTCCCGTAAGCCTCTGATCAAGGTTGTCAAGTGCAGACACAGCGTATCGAAGGCGATGAGAACTGCGAATGAAAATGTCATAGTGGCGAGTCCGATGTCATTCATTTCTGTTCGGTGGAACGGCGACGTAACTTACGCTCTCGGGACGCTTCATGACCGCCTCACTTCTTGCCGGCATCGGCTCCGCCTTGGTTGGCGTTGGTGTCGCCGGCGCTCTGAGCCCTAGCAGCAAAGCCCTCGGAGCTCATATCCTTTCCCCCTTTGTCTTGGGTGCTTTGAATGCGCGAAGCATCGGATTGGGTCATGGGGGTGGACTTGTCGGACATGATAAAGGTTTTGTATCGAGTGGTAGTTTTTGTGTCGAGGTTGTGGCTTTGGGATTGGATCGAAGATCGAAGAGGGTGATGAGGGTGTACGACAGTTATCGAATCTGAAATAAGAAGGGAAGGGAGGGAGCGGCTAGCTATATATATACACTTTTCTGCTGCAGATGGACGATGTAAGCAGTCGGCGGTATGCGGTGGCAAACACCGTCACATGACCACGGCAACCAAAGTGATGACATTACGACGATGTGTATGACATCAGGCTTATCCACTTCGGGGTGGCAAACACTTCGCAGAGTACGTCAGACGAGTGTTCTATCGAGAATGCGACGAGGAATATCCACTTCGGCGCCAGATGTTCAGCGAAGTTTAAATGATACAGTTCATTAGGGTTAAACTTCGGTTCCTGATTTAGATTAGCGCCGCGTTTCGAAGAAGAAGGTGACAACCCTCCTTTGAGCGATCATCTGCTTCGCCGAGTATGTCACCAGCCGGATATCGTTCTTCGACCTTCCAAGCCAACTGGCGCTGATCTCGATCTCCTCGCCGAAGGTACGCGTAGAGAACACGCTGATCTCCTGAGCTCCTGACTTGCGATTCTGCCTGTGAATGAGGTAACGGGTTGCGACGCATGGCCTCTTGCAAGCTGCTGAAGTAGTCGTCGTCATCTAAAGTTGATGCCTTTCGAAAGATCCTTCTAAATGGGTCTCCATACGTCATTGATCACGAGACGACAAGGCGATTTCTAAAGGACGGACCGACTGAATGATTCGTCTTGCGATTCCGCAATCGTGCTGGCGACTGTAATCTGGTGTCAACGACGAATCGATTTCAGATATCGCGTTCGCTACGGCGGGTGGGCGTTGAATCACTAGCAGGTGAACATGGGCGTTGTAAGATTGCCTCTGATACACGATCCCATCAGATCCTCATGGACGATGCCGCTATGCTCGGTCCCGTCTTTCGCATGAGCAAAAGCATCCCACTTTCAGCAGCCCATAATTTAGCAGCCTGAGAATTCTTTCCAGCCTTTGCAGTGTTTACCCACAAGCAAATGAAGAGCCTCCATGGCCATTTTACCTTGGAATGAGGACCGCCTTCGCATCTGGTTGCCTTCTCATATCGTCCGTAAGGAGGTACATAATCTCAAGACGGATGACGTCGAGACGGACACGAATGAATACGTAGCACAATACTGATACAGGCATTGAAATCTCAAGGCAGTAGCGATGATTGCCTACTCAAGGACGGGTCCTGGTCAAAGGAAATGCAGATTCTCACATCGCTCGGCAGGAGAAGCGTGTTGAACGACCTTGGAATCATGCTGACCTTGGGACTGATACGCAGACAAGCGGAATGCTCACTATGGAAAGGCGGCCTGTAAACGCAAGGTCAGTCGCTGCTGTCGACCGGACCAAAGCTCGACCGTTCAGTTTGCACGCAAGATCGACCCTTTATTAGCGTTGTATACGTAAGAAGCGTCTCTATAGACTCGGCCAGCAGCCAAGACCTTACTAGGACAGTAGCACTTGAGGAATCAGTCATTCCATGCAAGCGACTTCTCTACAGGAGTCCAGCGCTCTCTGCTTTCGCAAACAAGGACCCGCAGGTCACCTCAATCATTTGGAGAAAGTACAAACATGAAGAAAAAGCCAGAGTCGGGGCAATACTTGCGGATAGAGGATTTCAGTAACTCAGTAACAACCCTTGTGTAGACTTGCCGGAATGTTACATACGTCGAGGTGAGTTTGAACCTACAGAACGATCATTTCGGCATCTCTGAATCATGATCGTGTTCAAGTCTTGTATGGTGAAGGGCTCCAGGTTCAGCCTTATGTAGTACAGCGCAGAAATCCAGTTTATGCTCAAACCATCGTCTATCTAGCTTCATTACAAGGTCGTAAAAAGTTGTAAAAGAGAAATCATTATAAGGGTTGAGAACCGGTCGTGCTGAGTCGTTACCAAAGATACGAGGCGGGGACCACGCCTTCCCTTCCCTCCCGGTCCCGTACATACCACCACTGCTCCGATTCATCCTCTTCCAAGACGTTGACGTGGTCGCCCTCACATACCGTGAGTTCCGCCGGGTCAACGGCCTCGAAGTTGTATTTAACCGTAGTCGGTCGTCCCATATGGGAAGGCGAACTTGATTCCCCATGCGTGACATCTGTCGGCACACCCATCGTGTGTCCTTGACTCGTGCTATCGTAGCCAAATGACGAGCGGGTGTCATCGTTGGCCGTGTCACGAGGTGATTGAGCTTTGCTCGCCGCCGCGAAAGATGTCGCGGCCACTGCTGAGGATCCAAAGACAGCCTGCTGAATCGCCCCGAGCCGGCGCAAGCGAAGACTGTCGGTGTCGCCGAACTCTGAACTCGGTCGTTTTTCCATGAGAGTGGTGACGACCGGTGGGGGTGTAGGCTGTTTGCGGTGTCGTCGCCACCAGAATAAGACTAAGAGTCCGAGCAGGACGAAAAGGAAGATCAGTCCCGTCGAGATGGCTAGAGCGATCAGCACGATGAGACCAAGTGCCAAATAGTCTGAAACCCGTACTAAATCAGCATGGTCCAACAGAAGGCCTTGCAGAAAGTGAAACTCACGTCGAGTGTGGAAGGAGAAGTCGTGAATCGAAAAGAAGAGGCCGCTGGCACCGGCACCATTGCCGTTACGCCCGACGCTTGTCAGATAAGGGATCCATTCCTGCCCATCATAAAGAGCCGCGGTCGAATTGCCCGAGTTGGGAAGCACCAGAGAGCCGATGACCATGAGCATCCGATCGTTCTCCATCATCTGGCTTTTGCTGTACTCGGTAGCGAGCGGAACCATGACCATGGATGAGACCTGGGTGCCGGCAAGCGGCGAAGGTTCTATATGAAATCGTTGTCAGTTGCTGTCTCCGAGAGTGCCAGTCTCATGTTATAACTGACCCTGCGTCTCCCAATTCTGACCATTCCACCGCTGTACGTATGGGTTGCCATTGTTATCGGAGCTAAAGGCCAAGGAGAGCGCTCGTCAGTCATTTATACCGAGAGCGGTCGAGATCGTATGCTGTCAACTGACACTCCAGCCGCATAGATCTTGTCCACATCTCCGTCGTCGAGCGCCATCGCAGTGACCGGTCCTGAAAGCTGGTCGCTTGTCGCCAAAGCGGTCCAGGACGCTGAATCGAAGTCATACTTTGCAACGTATGCCGAGGTCCCGTCCGACAAGGCAAATGTTCCGGCGATGAGCAGCGATTGCTGGAACGGAACGGCGGGTCAGCTATCGATGAAAGACGCAGATGATCTCGACCATGGGGACTCACATCGACAAACTCGATCGTCCGAACGGATCCATGCGAGAGTCCCGAGCCGAGCGCAGACCATCTCGCCGTGTCGAGATCCCATGCGCAAACGCCTACACAAGGCAGCGATCCGGCAGTCGTAAAGGCACCGGCGGCGATCAGCATATTGGCATTGGGCTGTTTGCGGACGACGTAGACGTCTCCAGCGCCGGTACCGTTGTTCAAACCTGGTACCGCGCTGTTCCACGAGTTGCCAGCGAGATCATACGATGCGATTGAGTTTTGCTCGCCGAGCACAAAATTACCCGCTACGACGAGCGTATCACCGATGACCTCGAGACTTCGCACGACTCCTTCCGGCTGTTGACCGTTGACCGGGGTGGTTGTACGGCTTTCCTGGTTGTAGAACCCAATAGACATGCCACGAGAGTCGGCAAGGCTAAAGTTCCCACCGATACAGGTCACGGTAGGGCTGCCAGAAGCGCTGCTGTTGGTCCAGTAAGCAGCCGTCAAAATAGTCGGAGCTTCGGAAATGACTTGAGGAATCCCAGCTGGAGTGCTCGCTGGGGTAGAGGCCTGCCGTTTCCTGAGCGCCTCCGAGAACCTGTTCATCCATGTACGCGTAGGATGACCGTGTGGCAGGATACTTCGCTTGCGGCTGGGGCTGCTCATTGTTGTGTTCGAGGCGAAGTCAATGTTGCCAGCCGAAATGGAAGCATCCTCTCCACTACCTGAGAGGTAAGCGATTCCATTAGCGGCATTCTCGCTGACACCTTGAACCCTCCCTGCGAGATACGTCTGGTCGCCATCGACAGAGACGGTGTTGACGGTCCCGACGACGATTCCAGAAGTAGTCCACGACTCGGAGTTAGTGTTCCATACAGCATAACCGCCTGTAGTAGAGGTGGTTCCATCCGAATTGATGGTGTTGGAAAAGTTGCCCACAATCAGGATCTCGTCGCCCGAACCCGCTTCCAAACTGGACACGGGTCCGTCAACTCCGCCCGCGAGCGTAGACCAGCTTTCGTCCGAAGGATCGTATCGAGCGAGTCGATTCAGTGAAGTCGATCCTTCAGCTGTCCCGGTAAACTCTCCCCCGAAAAATACTCGATCACCGCTAGCAAGAGCAGAGGTGACAAGTCCGTTCAATCCTCCTTGAGCCAGGCTCGAAACGGCCCCATCCTTGAGTGCTACGACATTGGAAAAGTTGCCTTGGTCGACGAACTGTCCGGCGGCGTAGACGACGTCATTCAGAGTCACAACCGTCCTAACGCTAGCGTTGTCTATCTCTCCACTCGTGGCGTTCTGTAGGACAAACCCGAGCATAGTCAAATCCGTCTCGGTTTCGTTACCCAGAACCCTCGTCGCATCCACCTCGGCACCCCCCTCGACCCACTCGAACACGCCGAACGACCTCCTCGTCGAGCCTTCGCCCAAGGTCGTATTGCCGAATTCGGTCGAGTTGACAGTGACCGTCGCGTTGAGCCCGGTAACAAGGGGAATGCTCGTCCCGTTCCGAGTGACTGCGGCGGTATACTCGAGCGTAACGCTCCCAGCGACGACCTCCCACCTTCCCGAGCTCGTCCCTCCCGGGTTGGCTGCCAGCGCCAAACGGACGGTCGACTGGAAGCTTCCCTGCTCCGAAGCTTGCATATATCCGGAATAGATCAACTCGCGCGTATCCGCATCGACCGTTTGGGCGATATTGCTCGTATACCCCAAACTCCCCGCGTAGGGAAAGACGCCGACGTCAACGCTCGTCCGGGAATCGCAATCTCCCATCCTCTGACACCCAGGGATATTGAGAAAGACGGAATAGTTTCCCGAGCTCGCGATATAAGGGTACCAGGTCGTACTCGGTCGGTCGCCCGATCCATTGGGTACACTGGCGACAGACACGGACTGAACGGTTCCCGAAATGGACGTGTCCACTTGTCTATCCGTCCACTGTCCGGTCTTCTCCACGTTGGATGAGGCAGACGTCGACCCAGAATCTGACTGACACACCGGATAATTGTCGCCAGAGACGGCCGAGGCGGTCCCTCCGCTCGACAACAACTGCAACCGACTCAACCCCGCCCCGTCCCCGGTCCATCCTTCCAGGTAGACCTGAAACCCGGTGATACTCTCCATTCCCTCGGAGAATAGGAAATCCTGGGCGGCGATGCTGGAGTTGGTGGATAAGGGACAGGAATCCGAACAAGTGGCATTCGATCCTGTGGCTGGGTCGGTGTAGATCAAGGTTCGCTGAGTGTTATCCGGGATAGTAACCACCCTGTCAAGCCAATGCCGTCAGTCAGTCAGTCCAATCTTGAAAACCCGCCAAGAATAGCAATACTTACCTAAATGCAGTGGTCCCCCTTCCCGCCTCCAATCCATTCCCCAACCTCACTCCCAACGCCCTCAACTCCCTGAACAACCTGACCGTCACCTTGACCGCACTCCCATCTCGTCCGTAATAACCCGCCTGCCCTGCTCCCGAGGGACAAGTGATATCCTTGACACTGGCCGACCCGTCCCTAGTTGGCCCAGCGTCGATCGAAGCGTTCGTAAGCGAGAGAGGGGTGAGGTACCGAGAAAACCCGGTTGTGATCGTCCCCTGAGGTGCGTCTCCCGGGTAAGCTTGCAAGACCTCGTCCAGAGTCACGGTGGTCGAGTTGGAAGTCGAGTTTGTGGTCGTGTTCAGTCCGTCCGTACGGAAGAGAGTCGAGAACGACCCGGAGAAGATCAACCCGCCGGGAGTCGATGAAGGGGTGATGGAGCTGACGGATCCGTTCAGGCCAGAAAAGGGAGGGAGGGAGAGTTGCATAGAAGAGGGGTCCAAGATGAGAACGTTGTTCGCTTCATCATCATTGGAGGTGTCGCTGTTGCCGAAAGAACCGCCGACCCAGACTTTGTCCTCGTCACAGTAAAGCGCCCTGACACCCGTCATCCCGTTTCCTCCTCCCGGTCCTGCTTGCACCCCCGAACTCAGAGTCACGGGCGTAACCTTGACCTCTCCTCCGTCTTCTTTCGGCACGAACACCCTGACCAACCCCAAGCCCACATCCGTTGAGATATCAACCTCGCCGAACCGAGTAAAGTTCCCCCCCACATAGACCTCTTCCCCATCCCCATCACTTCCGGACGAAGCTGAGGTACTGCAGATCGCATAGATCGACCCCCCAGCATCCGTTCTCCCCAGTACCCTTGCCCCGTTATCTCCGCCTCGGGCAACCAGAACATCCCCTTCGCCCTCTCCTTCCGTCGTAGAGAACGCTCCTAATGAAGCAGAAGAGTTGGTGTAAAAGTCCAATCCTACAAAAGATCCTGTGAGGGTAACCGTTCCCATCCGGGTATAATCAATTTGAGGGAGATTACTAGGTGCGGTGCTGGATTGAGCGCGGGCTGGGAGTGGAAGGAATGAGAGGACGTTGATGAGCAAGAAAAGGAGGGTAGTCGGGATCGAGAAGTTGAAGGGCATGGTGTTTCGTCGACAAGGTCGGTCAACATTTGGCAGCTTTCGTGAAATCTCCATGCACCTTGGCTGCCTTGATACAGACGAACGTCTTGATGTTGTTGGCGAGGAAGAAGGCGAAGAAGAAGATGGGGAAAAGGACCCCATGGCTGGTGTTTTGTTTGTTATGATCCTCCTTCTCGCCATCATCACCGTCTCCTTCAAACGGACCCGCTCGTCTATCCTCGTCCTATTTTCCTTCGACGAATGAACTGGTACAGTAGCTATCGTAGCAGAGACTTGGCTTATTGTCGTGTGGCGGTAAAAATCGTTGATCAGAAGGCGATGGGGCGAGGTCGAGTTTCGCGTGACGCGTAAAGGTTCAAGGTCGGTTCCTTTGTCTTTCCTGCAGGTCGACCGAACGGGAAAGGAAATGGGGATGTGTCGAATCTAGGACTAGGTGGTTGTAAACGAGTGTAAAGTGTGTATGAATTCAGTTGTCGTGAGTTGATTCGATGTGTCTCTCTGTCGGAATGATGGTAGTCGAGTCGTGATTGTGTTGACGGGGTCGAGATGTTGATGGTTGATGATGAAATGATGGAATAAGGTTTACACACAGAGACATAGAGAGGTGAGACTACTGGCAGACCATATGGAGGTGTACGTAATGGCTTTCATCCTACCTCCCGGATCAGCTCATTATTTGGCAGGTTTGACCTATCCCCAACGCTGCTCAGGGCCATCCGGGGACATGTTCAGGGGCAAGGGACAATTGGCAGAGACATGACGTACAGGCTTGAACAGAGAGAGCAGGTGACGAGGCGGGCGGGCGAAATATCATCGATTGCACGGCGACAACGCTAAGCGCTGTATGAGGTTCGTGCACGAAGCCCTCTGTACCTCTGTCGATGCAAAGACGTAGAAGGTGTGTGGTTCGGCCTATGCAGGACTCAGTTCAGAATCGATACGGTTACTTTATGCCATGTTGTATGACGATTGGGGGATGTAATGCGCTTTCAGGTCACAGATTTATCGATGGCTACGGGGACGACTCCGTAAGATCGAGATTACACAGATCACTGTTCACTGACGACGTCTTTTTACATCGTCCGCGAAGCTAGAGGTGAGCCAATACGGAAGAAATACTCGAGGTCGGCAACGCTGAAAACAGTCCTACCGGTCGGTAAACTCCCTCTTCCGGTTCACCGTCCCGATATTGGCGAGAACATAGTTTGAGTGACGTCGCTCGAAAACACGCTGTACCCCTTCCACATGGTATTATGCTGAAGACATCGCTCGTCGGATTCTCCAGGTCACACGCAAAGACCCACAACTCAAACTGCCCGATCGGGGATCGAGCTCGTCATCCATTCTCTCGAAGGCCATCACCCCCATCTCGGGGTGGAGCAGTACGCTATGACGGTTTTTTCAGCTTTCGGGTCGGAGGCCAAGGGCTACAAGCCAATTTCTCTGCTCCCCTGATAGACTTTCAGGTAAGACTATCGCCGCTCCTCACTCTACAGCTCGTTGGACGTGAACGAGACTGAATAAATGGTGCTTCATAGACGGAGATCGTGTGTGTCCCTAGGGATCGAGATGGGCACCCTGGACTCGACTTGCGATACGTCCCTCCTGGCCCGAGTCGACGAGAAAATCATCTATCATTCTCGGAAGACTCTTGATATTATAGGAAGACAACTTTGGAGGGAAGACAACACAGAAAGACGATAAGAGAAAAGGACAGAATACAAGTATCGAGTTGGGACGCCGGTTAGATCTATTTGTTGTGATAATACCGACCGATCTGTCCGTTCCTCCTAGTCTAGCCTCGAAGTTTGGCTTCGAAAGACATCTGCTGAAGGTGTTGATCGGGTATGGTTATATCCCGCAGTTCATTGGGGCGAGGGAGATACGCGACAGTGTTTTGGCCACTGTACACTGTCCACACCTATTAACGATTGGCAGTTGATTTGGGCTGAGCGTCAACGTACTTGTCATCTGAGGCCAAACCCAGCCAAGACACCAGAAGCGTCGCTCAAATGGGGAATTCCTCAAGGCTGAGCAGTTGGCTCATAATAAATTCATTGCCTACAAGGTCAGGAAGGAGGTCCAAAGACAACTGCAAGCACACAGCCGCCCTGCCCATGAGCATGTCTATCCCCTGGAGCACCTTCCTTGGGTCAACAGGATCAAGGCTTTGGCAATCCACTTGACGTCTTGGGCTTTGTCGTCCAGGTCCAATTTTGCCCCGGCTCTCACGACTTCCGGTGGTAGCGCAAGGACTCCGGTCAGGCAGCCAAGCCAAGAGACGAGAAGACGTGCGCAAGTGTCCAGCCCGTCAACCTGAACGAATTCCAACAGGTCGAGGACGAAGCGGTGGGTCGACTCGATAATTCGTCCTCCATTTGGGGCAGGACGCCTTGGGTCGGGAATGCGGATAATCGAGACGCCCTGCCAAAAGGACTTGAAGAGGGCCTTGAACATCTTCCTCGTCAGTTCGTAATTATCCCGAGAAGGGTCAGTACAGAACAGCCGAGTCGCCCTCAGCACAGGCTAGTGTCAGTAGAGAGGATTAGCGACCCTGTCGGACTAAAGACGAAGGGGAGCACTTGACAAGGTCTCATCCGAGACTCATCCGAATACCGCACATGTCGAAACGATGTTCAACTCGAGATCCGCCCGGATCGACAGCCGACCCGAAACCGGCCCGGATCGATAACCGATGTTTCGGTTGTTCCGGATCATCGTCCGAGGTGCCTAGTGATCATCGATGCAACTTTGACTGGCTGCTGTGGTAGTCTTGTCGCAAGATCGATAAACAAGTCGATCGATAGTTCGGGGTCGATGAGTGCTTGCGTTTCATCTCACTCGAATACCTCGAATGTGTATTCGCTCCTGAGATATGTGCTACCTCTTCGAGGTTTCTCAGCTATTCTCTGACCTGTCAGATTTAAGCGATGAGCTGACATATTCAAACCAGTTAAACCAGGTCTAGACGGCAAGGATGTTCACTCTGGGGGTCGACATGCCTTGCATCAAACAGCTGCCGCTCCGTTGCTTTGACGAGGGTGACCCGAAAGCTCGACGACAACCCAATTCATCTTTGACCCACCGTATCCGAGCTGCCAAACTTCGCATGTTAAGCTGGGTCTGAAGGCTCACCATCAGCGACGGCGCTATCAAACCGCGGGATCTTCCATCCTACGCGTCGGGGGATGATCCCAAGAATGGCCCATCAGGCTGGTCTTACAACATGGCGAATCTAGTCGGCGTTGTCCAGAAGACCGTTCATTTTCGCGCTCGAGCTCGGGATATGCGCTTTAATTCGCACACAAAGGGTACATCCTGGTTCATGTCGCACAGCGCGCAGCTTGCTCATGGCGCATGGCTCGATCAGAGTTCGAGACAGGCTGTCCGTTACCGAAAAGCAAGCTACACTAGGCGCTTCGGTCCGAACGATGTATCATTTCGCGCATGACACCTATCGCACCTCTATACCTCTCACAGAACATGTTATACCCGACCTGCCTCGCCTATCTTGACCGATTCTCACCCTTGCCTACCTGCGCCCGAGGCATATGGCGATCCAGCCGAGGTCAAACGCCAGATCCGCCAGAGGCGCTTCGGATATGCTTCCGCGAGTCCGCTGATCAGCTTCCGAAACAATTTCGGTTCCGGATCACGAGCTCGGGTAGCGACTTTTGAACGAGATTGGCTATTTGGCTGTTCAGTCATAGCTATATAGCTATCATAAAGGTCATAATAGCAGTCTTAGCCATCCTAGCCGTGGCGATACAACAATAGATACAGGTACATAAGTTAGATTGGATCCTGATACGATTGAAGATGGCCGATCTCGGTGGTTATGTCAAGTAAGTATAGATCGCCCAAGCCTAGCATTTGGCAACAACTATCCCTGACCACCCTCGATCGTAGCATCTGCCAACTTTCGCACCTCTCCACCCATACACGTTTCGCTCTGACACTGCGAACACAGTCTTCGTCCAACCAATATCACCGACTCTTGCTCTTCCGCTTGAGTCCGCTCGTCGAAGATGGTACCCCGGAGCTCTACTGCATGGAGTCGACCTGTCCGCATATGGGAGCCCCTCTCTCGCATGCACCCCTCAGCGTCGATCCCTCCAAGGAGGAAGTGTCACGATCAGAGAATGTGTCACCGGACGTAGAAGATGTTGACCAGAATGAGCAGGACCTTATCGATCGTACCCTCAATATCGCCCTCGCTCCGGAGCTAGCCTCGGAAGACATCGAAGACCTGATTGGAAGCCGAACCATCACCTGTCCATGGCATCATTACGACTTTGACCTGGTCACTGGTGAAAGTCCTGTGGGGATTCAGGCATGTGTCTACGACGTCAAGGTCGAAAAGGGGAATGTGTGGGTGAAAGGACCAGAGCTGGATGAGGGTGACGAGTGGGAGGTTGTCGAGGTCAAAGGGGTCAGCGAAGAGTTTGCCGATCCACCTCCGGCAAGGCATCATGAAGTAACATCAATAGCAAATAGCAGCAGGAAACCTACGGTCAACAAAGCGACGTCTTCTTCAACCGAACTCCCACCTTTACCTCGAACGCTCGTACAAGCAGCCATCCTGATCCTCAACACTCCCAACCCCTTGCACAAGATCGAGCTCACCCGCCAGGCCAACCGCGCACTCCGTCAAGGTACCTTCCAGAGTATCCTCCCAACGAAAAAGGACCTTTCGCTCGTTCGTGAGACGTTCGATAAGGCTAGATACGAGGGTGAAGGTATCCGCGGATTTACACCGCCGAGGGAAGGGTTGAAGGAGGTCGAGCCCTGGATAGGAGGCAAGAGGGGGAAGGGTGGGAACGAGAAGAGTAGGATATTGATGATTCGTGAGTATTTGTCTCGGTGAGGCCCGAGATCGTTGTATTTCTGACTTGGAGTTGAGTCGACCTTGTAGATGCCCTGGCGAACATCGAGCAATGGGCTATCGATCTTGCGTACGTCTCAAAATCATCGTATTGTCAAAGACATCCTGATTCGGCTCGCTGATCTGGACGACGGCTCTTACTCTACAGTTGGGATATAATCGCTCGATATGCTGAATTCGAAATCGACGGGGAAAGATTGCCAGTGGAATTCTTTTTGGACTGGGCTAAGGCAAGCGCCCTTACCTTCACTCTCCACCTTCACCGATATGTACCAGCCTGATACAATACCTACCTTGTTTGCAGGTAGCCGAGGATGAGGCCAAACATTTCTCGTTGTTGAAGACTCGTCTAGAAGAGCTCGGGTCATATTACGGCGCCCATACGGTCCATGCGGGTCTGTGGGAGAGCGCGCTGGATACGCAGGATGACTTGTTGGCGAGGCTAGCTATCATCCATCTGGTACATGAGGCTAGGGGTCTGGATGTGAGTACAGCTGGTTCCATGCAAAATTCGATCGACGAGCCCGGCCTTACATCATCCCGCTCGCAGGTCAACCCGATCACGATCAAAAAGTTTGAAAAAGCCGGCGACATCGCGAGCAGCAAGATGATGGAGATCATCCACTTCGATGAGATCACTCATGTCACTACCGGACATCGATGGTTTACCTACGTATGCAGCAAGATGGACATCGACCCCGTCAGCCAGTTCCGGCAGCTCGTCAAGCAGAACTTTGCCGGGAAGATAAAAGGACCATTCAGCGTGGACGATCGTGGCAAGGCGGGAATGTCGGGAGAGTGGTATGAGAACCTGGAAGGGCATGGACATAGGCTCGATACCCAAGCAGGAGGCGAGGGGGACGAAAGGGTCCATCCGAGGTTGACGTGAGGGTTGTATCAAAAGGAGATGCCTATATGACGGCTCTGCCCCGTGCGCGCGGCTTTGCTGGCCATGAGACCTTGACTGGTTGATACGCTGTCCGAATGAGCACGTCATCAATAGCATTATCTGCAACGATCACGTATGGACCGAGCCGGAGAACGAGTCTGAGCGGATCGACACATGGGCATCGTTCCCGAAGGCCTTGACGAGGAGTGTCAAGACCTCCTTAGCCGTTCGGTCCGTGTAGAAAATGGCCTGTGGCTCTTGAGCTCTGAGTTGTGTCAAAAAGTCTTCGACCTGCAGAAGCGCGGCCTGCTGCGCCGATAGCTGCCCCACCGGGGTCGGCTTGCGCCGCAACCAAAGACCGTATACTGTTCAAGAGTGGTTTGCTCTGCCACGGCTCCATTGGATCTCTTTTCCTGACGGTGTCGAAGCAGAATTCTGCACGGGCAGACTTTTGATCGTCATCAGTCCCGTTGTCTCTGTTTAAGGGATGAATCTTGGGGGTATCACTGGCCTAGCTCGTAGGTAATATCAAATGAAGGCGGGGTCAAAAGCTGTTCCACATCCACGTTCCGTCCCACGGAGTCTTCAGGGGAATAGGTCTTTAGATCTCTGAGACTGTCATAGCGTGGTCCGGGGAAGGAGGGGGGGATTCGATGTAAGGATCCGATAGAGCTTTCCAAGACGTTGTCTGGTTGGATTCATGCACTGCCCATATAAGATTGTTTCGTCACATTCGACCCCAAGTACAGACTCGGTGACGCTTTTCTTGACTTGAGGTCTTCGTAGCGATAAGCTTATCAGGACCACTTTGTTACTTTCTGCATGTGCCAACAACTTGAGTTGCACGAAGATCGCTGCAGCAAGTACATCTCTGGATCAAACCCACATGACCGGAAGGTCACGTATTGAGGTTAAGGCTATTGTCAAAGACATTAGTGATGCGGTAGAAAAAGGTCTTGAAACGGTATCGCATATGAAGTGGTCGAAGGTAACATGTATCTTAGCAGGCTCATCCACATATAACTTTTTTCCGATCGAGACGACCACCAGCGCAGGGTCGTGGACCTGACAGGGGCTCAGGTTCCGCTTTGTTGCCCCAGAGAGTTAGCAGGTTGCCAGCCAACAGTCTAGCCTGGATTAGGGTTGGCCTGCCATTTGCCTGCATGCTGTGCAGTGAATGGTCTTTGAGCGGGGGCTTTCTTGCATATCTCGGCAAAGGACATACCAATTGTTCGTGATCGATAAAAGTGCGTCGTCTGTCTTCTATCAGAGCCACGATTGCCGATTGATCGGGAGCGAGCAGGACAGCTCGACGGCCGGCACAGCGCATCGCGCTCGGCTTCCCGTTCGCGTTCCTGTGGCAGCGCTGATATTTCAATTGCCTTGAGATATCGGTGCACGCCATAGGAGTCTCGTAAAGTGATATGTTGGTAAGGGTCAGCCGAGATAGGCTCGCTGCCAGTAGTCCTCCAAGCTGAAACGTCCGTAATCGCAGCAGAAACAGTAGTAACTGGCTGCGAAATATGAGCAAAGTGGCGTCTCTTGGCGTGCCAAAAGCGTGCCCGGGCAGCGAGACCGTGGCTCGTGATGAAATCCCCGAGGGCTCCGGGAAGATGCAGGTGAACAGGTCATCCCTGCATCATCAAAAGTTGTCAACACAACGATTCGGTCCTAACGATACCCCCATAACTATAGCAACTCTTTCTTGATACCAGGTTCGATATAATCCACGGGATCCCACATAGTCTGGTGACGTCGCTAGCTGACCACCCTGGGTCGTACAAACGCACGAATTCGCCGAGTCGACCAGGTCGACGATCCCTTCGCTTGATCCCCGGGCGACTATATATCAACCAGAGTCCACCAACAAGACCGCCAGCTACGTCTGTTCACGACACACAGTTCAGAACCTACATCACATACCACCTCAAGAGCTACCAACATCACCCTCATCGTCATCGACCCCTCGACAACCACGCTCGTTACCCAATAATCCCCGGCCCGCTGGCTCAAAAACAAAACATTCATTCGCCCGCCGCCGATTTGAACCAAAGATAGACACTCGCTGCATAGCCACCTGCCCATCACATCTCGACGGACACTCAACAGCTCGGCTGCTCGTGCAGATCTTTCATCTATCGTACATAGATCGTAGAACCCATCACAAATTGTTGATCGGACTGGATCTCGCCGACTGGACATAATCGCACGATGCTGTGAGTTCTCGTCTCGCTGCTGCGCGGGGAAATTCCGCAGTCGCGTGAGGAATGAATCCAAACTGAATCGCTCTCGTCTGTGTGTCCTTGTTTTCGACGTTCTTTCCAGTTATCTGACCGCCGACAAGTGTGAGCTTCGAGTGTGTTATGTCAAAGCGCAGTAGATCTTGAAGCTGATACGTGGGGAGGTATGCTCGATCTTGGGTGACAGTCCCGGTGTTCGTGCCTTTTGGGATCATCGGGTGAGTTGTCGTGTTCGACCTGGATGAGGATTTTATGTAGCTGACCTATAGCTCGTCGTCATGGCATATCTAGGTTCTATCGGTATGCCCTTGGTTGCAATCTCGTAATATGAACAGACCAACAACTGACACTCGCCTCTACTGGAATCGCACTGTTTAGATACCTCTGGTAAGCTTGTGTCCGGCCATTTACTGCTCGTCCGAACACATAGGCTGATTCGAAAGCATATTCTCATCTCTGCTCTCGTCGAACCAATAGGTACTGCATCCGACTCATCGCCAGCTTCGTCTACCGACCGGTCCCCTTGCCAGAGAACCCGACGTATATCGCTAGCGAGGATGTGACGATCATTGTGCCTACCATTGATGCTGGAGAGGAGTTCCGAGGTGAGTCTCGGATATGAGGATGTAGATAGACTTCCTACACCAAGTTAGGCTGATACGATCTGCCCTGTGGCCCGTAGAGGCCGCCTTTTCGTGGCTCGAGGGAAACCCCAAGGAGATCATTATCGTCACCGAGGAAACCATGAAGGGGCCCTTGCAAGAGCTCGCCAACTCGGTCGACCCGAACAAGATCCGAGTCTTGACCGTCCCGCTGGCCAACAAGCGATTGCAGATGGTTCACGGGATCAGGCATACTACCACGGACATCATCGTCTTTGCCGATGACGATGCCATCTGGCCGCCGACCCTGTTGCCCTACGTGCTCGCTTGTTTCGAGGATCAGCAGGTCGGGGGTGTCGGGACGGGTCAAAGGGTCAAACCCTGCGGGACGAGGATGACCGTTTGGGAAGTCTTGGCCGCGTTCAGGTTGACAATCAGGAACATCGAGATCTCGAGCTCGACCCATATCGACGGAGGTATCCCGTGCTTGTCCGGAAGGACCGCTGCGTACCGTACCGTCATCCTCAAGGATCCCGAATTCATTCACGGCTTCACCCACGATTTCTGGATGGGCAAATATCACTTGAACTCGGGGGACGACAAGTTCTTGACCCGCTGGATGGTCAGCCACGGATGGAACACCTACGTCCAGGTCTGCAAAGAAGCCGAGCTGTTGTCCACCATGAAACCGAACTGGAGGTTCCTCAAGCAGGTCCTCCGTTGGACCAGAAACACCGTCAGGAGCGATTTCCGAAGCCTGGTCACCGAACGGCACGTCTGGCATAAACACCCCTACGTGGCGTACAGCATGATCGATCGGTTCATCAACCCGTTCACCTTGCTCGCCGGGCCGGCGTTGGTCTGCGTGTTGTTGTGGAAGAGTACGAGGGCGGTCGAGGATGGCGGATATCATTTGCCGGCCTGGAGGATCGTCGTGTCGGTGAGTAGCTCAGCTTGTCGAGTTGATTTAGCGGGCGTTGTGGCTGACACGTCTTGCTCGCTATCTGTCAGTACATTGTCTGGTTAACGGTGACCAGAACCTTGAAATTGCTGCCGCATTTGTGGAACAACCCGAAGCACATCGTCTACGTCCCTGCGTTCATCGCCTTTGGTTACTATTTGTGAGTCGGCTGGCGAAAGCCTTGAAGCTTCGGAACAAGCTAACGACGCCGTCGACGTGGATAGCGCCGTTATGAAACTTTACGCCATGTGCACCTTGCACGAGACTGGTTGGGGAACCCGAGCCGGTATTTCCGATCGTGAGTCTCGATTCTGGCAACCTCTTTGACTTGCATCGACTGACTCGCTTGCGACACGTAGCCACCGCCGCCCTCAACGCCGCCGACAAGGAGAACGCGGCGTCTGGGGTCCAGGGATACTCGTCGGTCCAGCCCGGTACGCCCTCGAACGAAGGCTACGAGATGTCGGGTGGAGAGCAAAAGGGCTACCAGCGTTGGTAGACCCCCACTTCCGAACAGATATCTAGAATGACCCGCATGACACGACAGCTTGTATCGATTAACCGCCTTGGCGCTTTGCATGTTTTGTCCCTCTTTCTTTTGTTTTCGGGGCCTCGTATGATATAATCGCATGACCGTGACGAGGGGAACATGGGCGGTCTGAAAATGAGTCGAGGTCGAGGTCGCAAAGTCTTGACGATGCGTCGCCTACAAGCGGGGAGACTCGGTCACTTCGCAGGAAATGACCATCTCGATGAACGTCGCGAGATAACGCTCCAACCTGGAGGTTTGGATGGCAATACCGCCTCTATCCAACCCTGGCAGCCCCTGTCGTGTGTAGGCACGTAGCTACAGTGCGTAGGTCACGGCTGTTGGCACGAATTTCTGATTTTGTGTGGTCGAGGTTGGAATCGGGACTAACTCCGGAAGCAACTAAATTGCACAGGCAATTTAGTTGTCCGCCACAACCTCCTCGTTCCTTCGTGGTTGATATCGTCGCGAGGTCGTCGACTCGATAGCGATCAACCAGTAATTCGGTCACGACCCTCGCAATCCGATGATACTTCATAGGCCTATGGATGATACATGATATTCTTGGACGATGGACTGAACTCTGCTCGCTGGCTGCGTTCGACGATGGAGCACGACACTTTCAGGCTTGCGAATATGGATGGGCTCGAGCTGCCACGAATGCTAGGCCTCTCCTTTGACGTGTCGTTGGCTCTCGACCCTGACCTCGGCGGATGACTGGCATGTCGGAAACATCTATATGGCGATCGTGATATCATGGTGATATGATATCAGCTGTGATCCGGTTGGCTCATGTTGCCGTTTCGTTCGTCTCCCAGCTAATGGTGCGAAAAATCGCTAGGATCGCTCATGCCTCGAACCCCATCTGCATGTAGCTGCATACCGCTTCAACCATACGGAACCCAGATCCGCGGCAGTGTCGTTTGAAATCGACGTCCGATCGAGCGAAAAACAACGGTCGGCGGGGTGACTTTCACGCTGTTTAAAAAAGCGACCGTTTGTTTACTTTGTGAACTCCCACAAACTTTGCGTATCGATATCGTATTGCATAAGTGGATTCGGATCATGCGGTCTATGTCGACGACAATCGTGATTAGTGCGAGCGTAAGACAGTCGAGAGTACAGATACGAAGGTGGATTATAACGTAGAGAAGAATCGAGATCGAAATCATGAAACCGTCACTTGCGTCGATGCCAGTTGACGACGTAGAGGCGGGGTAGGGGGATGTTGATGCTATCCTTCACCGAATCGGCGCCTTTCCTTTGCGAGATGAAGCCTTCCTAGGAGGCCCAACGGTCTTCCCCTTCGCCGCTTGACGTTTGATGAGAGCCGCCCTCCTCTGGTCTCGTTGTTTGGCCTATCGGGATAGTGAACCCCGTCATCATTCGAATCCTCACTGCACCTGGTTCTACGAAACCCACCTTGTGTTGTCGTTCCCATTCATCGGGATCCGACTGCTTGAGCGCTCTCAGCTCCGCATTGGCGATGGCGGCGGGACTTCGCTTTTTTTGATGTTGAGCTTTCTCGTAGTCGCGCTTCTTCTGCTGTTGTCGTTCCCACTCGTCCGGATTCTCCGTCTTTAGCGTCTGCTTCGCGGCCGCTTTCTTGACATGAGACTTCGCCGCGTGTTTGCGGGACTGCTCGAGAGACTTCGCATATCGTTCCGGGTCGTTCTCCTTGATGTCGTTGCGGGCCTGCTTTCTCTTCGTGTTGATGCTCTCTGCACGCTTTGCATACGAGGCACGGCTCCATTTTCGTCCTTGCTCGCGGGCGGCTTGGTACGCTTGCTCGTCTCCCTTGATCCGAGCTCGCCTCTCTGCGTGTTTTTGGAGAACCTTGTCCTTGTTCTTCCAGTAGTATTTGAAAGCGCCCTCTCTAGCTTTGGCAAGCGTCTTTGGCGTATAGACCCTCGATGCTTGTCTACGGCGAGACCTCTCCCTTTCCGCGATGATTCTGTCGGGCCGCTGCCTAAGGTAGGAACGCAAGAGCATCTTGTTAGCGAAACGATCGTGTTCCGGACGGGTTTGATGCCTGAACCTACCTGTATTGTTGGCCGTAGGCCCTCCCGTATGCTCGGGCGTGGGCGCTCCTGCGTCGGTAAGCTCTCGCGTATTGAGCCTTTTGAGCGAGGTAGGCAGGGCGAAGTTCTGGATCGTATCGGCGAATGCGAGCACGATCGCGGCAGCGAGCGAGGTAGGCAGGGCGAAGTTCGGGATCGTATCGACGAATGCGAGCACGATCGCGGCAGCGAGCTCGGTACTCGGGGTCTTGCTCCTTCAGTCGTCGAGCTGCGCGAATCGCCGGATCGCGATTCCTGAGTTGTCGAGCTGTGTAAGCTCGAATGATAGCAGCCGCCTTTGCGTGGTGCCAAGCGATGCGTTGTTCGGCTTTTTCGGCCGCCGTCTTGCTGCGTCTCGCTCGGATGATGTCGGCCCCGGCCACTTCCAGCTGCCCTTCAGGGATCTCGAGTCCTCCCGTGATGGCCATGCGGCACTCACTGAAATCCACGATAGCCATGCGTGTTGTCGCACATGTGGCGACAAGTCTCAGTAAGGACAATGTCGCATCGATACGATAGGCATTAGCAGCTGTTGCAGTGACTACCCGCACGCAGCTGAGGTGGGGTATGAATAGATTGATCGACCTCTTGTAGACGACCGTGTATACAGGCGTAGTAGCACGGTATATGGATACGCTATCGTCGTTCGCTACGACGTCGAGCGCCGCCTCGAAGGCGCGTCGAGCGTAAGCTCCGGAGAAGACATTGACCGTCCCCCCGCCGCTGATCAGCCGTTGTACGATGGTATGAACTGAATAGTGAGGTTCGCGGGTAGACGGAACACTTTGTTAGCGATTCGCTCGGCGCGCGTTCTGTCCGGGCGCGGACGTACCTGTATACCGGAACAGGATCGCTTGACCGATAATGGACCTAACTTTCGACCTGACTTTGCCGTTAGCACCACCAAAGGTGTGCCGAATGTAGGTAGGCGATGATTCTGCTTTCGAATCCCTATAAGGAATCCTCATCTGAACAGGCCAGACGTCTGCTATGTAAGTTCGGGCCCACTTCTGCTTCTTCAGCAGCCTCGAGGTCCATGCATCGAGTTCGGTGATCGAAGGAACCGAATTTGGATCGACAACGGAAGTTGGATCGACAACGGAAGTTGGATCGACAACCGAAGTTGGATCGACAACCGAAGTTGGATCGACAACCGAAGTTGGATCGACAACCGAAGTCTTCTTCTGCTTGGAGGCAGGGGGGTATGACAGAAAGATGGATGTTGCCGAGGTCGAGGCTGACACAGGATTGACAAAATCCTTGTTCCCGGTGACGGCGGTAAACGCCTCCCGAAAGACTCCAAGCAGGGGGTCGTTGACGTAAACTGCCGCTTCGACATGCGACCGCGTCGACGCCTCAGAGAGAATGTCGAGGCCTTCAGGGAACTTGTCGATGATACCGGAAAGCAGTTGCGAGCTCAGCTGTTCACCCTTCGAGCGCATGTACTCAGTGAGATCGAGCTTGGAGCGCTCGGTGGACTGCAGGGACTGCAGGGACTGCAGGGAGGGAGGCGATTGGTGGATCGGTGGTAGGATGAGGTCGAGGAGGATGAGGTCGAGGAGCTCGAGGATCTTCTTGGTTGGTTCCATTGCTCTCGCTTCGGCTTCCTTCCAAGTGATTTCCGATCCCGATTCTTCTGCAGCTTCAGTAGCAAGCTGGGTGATTCGATTGATATCCAGCATTTCGATGCGGGTTCTGGAAAGGGCGGGTCCAGTCGATTCAACAGTCGGAACGAGAGCAGATACTTTGACACGGCTTACCAATGCTCAGTATCCTTCAAAGGTGCTTGCGGTGATGGAGAGAGTTCGACCGAGATTGAATCCAGAGGCCGGGAGTCGAGTCGTGATCGATCTTTATAGGAATCCAGCGCCCGCTTCGCATTGCCTGTCGTCCTGGTACGTGCTGCCTCGTTTCTGGCCGACTTTTCGTCGTCAAACGTGCAATCCCGATCGGGAAGGATGCGACGGAGAGAGGAAAAAAGCTGTGCTGATTGATCGATCAAGCCGTTGCATGACGCTCGGACCTCTTGTTGGCCCCTCCGAAGATATCTGAATCAAAGACAAGCCTCCCGGAGGTTTAGCGCCATGAAAATCTACGGGGTAGATATGAAACGTACGTCGAGCCGTGGCCAGCCTTGCACCCTCGTCGAGGTCGCCATCCTGCAGACCCGCCCTGATTCAGTCCCGAAGCGAGCGAGTGTGATGACATGCGGTCGTCGTGATGTGTCCAGTGATCGATGCAGCGTGACCTCTGATACGAAACGCGAATTCTCGCCTTGAGCGCTCGATCAAGGGGTCGACCCGAAAATATCCCCTCGGACGGAGACTCGACCCGGAGGCCGTAGATTTACAGCTTGCAGGTTAGGCTATCTCAAAAGTTCTCGAGATACGGTCGACATGACAAGGCGCCGCTCGAATTGTCGCCTTGAGGTGAGCAAGATTGAATTGGTAGTGAGAAAGGTATATCAACGAGCCAGCCCCACATCTCGCCAGACTCACCCGACACGCTGGACGAAAATTTGCTCACCAAAACCGAAGATCGTTTCGGCCGGGCAAGAGCCATGTCCGAGAAAGACGCAGATCGCAGAGATCCACCCAGAGGCCAAAGAAGTGTTCATCATCTGACGACAACGACGACCGGACAAAGGGCCATGTCCGAGCACTGCGATCAATCCAAAGGAAGGTGGGTCCGCGCCCGAATCATTGGTCCTTTTTCGCGACAAGGATACCCCCCGAGAAGCCGAGAGGTCCCAAGCGTCGACCAGGTGTCTCACTCTTTCGTGTTTCGAGTGAGAGAACGATCGGGCGGATTTGTTGTGATCGATCTGATCTCAACGATCGACTGCCTGGATCGAGAGAAGGCCGTCTTGTTGCAGGACCTCTTGATGCCTATACGCTTCTGTATCTGTCATTGAGCATCGAAACTGCTGAAGTCGCCCATAGGCTTGCAAAGTAATGCCATGAGAACATGAGAATCTAAATCCATGCTTCGTGAATGTAGCTATTCCGCAATTAGCCGTCTATGCCGCAATGAATTATGAGTTTGAATGCACGAGCTCGAAGCACTACCGGATCGGTCGCCCGTCGTCAATGATCACCGATCGGCTGACCTCAATTGATGGCGATAACCGAGAGTTCTAAACCGCAGATCACGACGATCCACCCGAAAGGAGGGTCCTTTTACGACACAGCCCCAGGACCGCTCGAATTGATGGGCCGGTGGCTGATAGCTGATGAAGTTTCAAGAATTGGGGACTGACCACGGCCAGGTCGAAGTCACCCTTTCAACAGGCAACGGGATTGTCCCTTGCGCCAGGCCCTCCAGTCAACTCGCAGATCGCAGACCGGGCTATACGCAGTCAGTCTTTCAAGGATTAGGGCGAGGTCTGGGATTGAGGCATCATTCGTGTTTTCACCTGCCTGCTAGATCGATGAATCGAAGTGGGCCGATGATCCGGTCAGTCATTCATGCCCGGAGACTTGTGGCTTGTAGCTTGTTCGCGGTCGCTCGGTTTACGGGGATTGACTGCATGAGGTCATGATATGCTGATACGAGGTTGGACGTCATTGACATCAAGACTAGCCCATGAAGAGGTAAATTGGGAAGACAAAGCTTCAGGTCGTGCAACGATGCCCATATCATCAGCTGCATTTCTTCAGGGTCAGTGTCGATCGCTGCGCTCGCTGCCGGTCGGCACGACTCTGTTTCATAGTCGACTGCATGAGCGTCGCGCGGAATTGAGCGGAACCAATTTCTTAACACCGACGCCAGGCCTGGAGCTTGCAAATGCCTCGGCCCAACGGACATGTAGTCGTTCGTCTATCCGCGTTTGCGGTTCTGTCTCGCCATTGTCCTGAGACTCGCCGTCGATCAGAGCGGGAAGGGGTTCTTCCAGTGACCTGTGTCTATCGACCAGCCAGCCACAAGGCCCGACCTCATGGTTTTTGGAATCGTCTGAGATACGTACTTCGATCGACTTTAGGGACTTCGACTTAGCAGAACCGCACCTGTCAAGATGGCCGACAACAAGTACCAAGACAGCCTTGCGCTCGATGCCGAAACCGCTTCGTAAGGATGACCTTGCACCGCTATCTGAACGGCCGGAGGCTGATGCCACTTGTGGATTTTCTTCTCTACCCTGGATCATCTCCTTACCTCCTTTCCCGACGAAATTGGTTCTAAACTGGTTATCTCGACGGTTCTGTCTCTCCTGGATCTATCCTGGATCTGAAATCGGTCAAAATCTCTGGACTTTTCGCCTTCATCTCGACTCTTGCTCCTGGATCGGTCCCCTTCCTTTCTTCCTTCTCCCAGATTGATGCTTTCCGGAGGCGTGCATCTCGGCGGCAAGAACGTAGATTCCTCGATGGAGTCGTACGTATTCAAGCGTCGCAGCGATGGCGAGTATCAGCTAGTGGATTACTTTGGATGTCTGAGGTCGAAGTCGCAAAATGGGGGAGGTTTTGTCGGCATACGGAAGCGACAACGCGTCAAGATAGCGGGTCAGCTAAGGGCACGGTGACGGAGGACGCAGGCGGTTGAGGAGATACGCCGAAGGTCGTCCGGGACAGAGTTGGAATTCGGCTGTCGGCGAATCCGGAACGGAGGGGTGCTTTTGGCGAAACCGTACCGGGAAAGGATGTCATACAGCTAGGAACGTCTTCCGCACCCCTTTCCGTATCAGGAGCAACAAATACTTCGCCAAAACCCCCTTTTTATGCGATTTCGACCTGACTCGACGCCGCTCAAATTAAGGTAGAAGCCGTAACTAACCGTCCTTTTTGACAGGTGTCAACATCATTGACATCGGCAAGACCTACGCGTAGGTCCCCACACGGCCGGATCATGAGATCCAGCAGAGTCACTGATTTCCGCCTCATTCCCTCTTTTGTTCCGCAGCAAGATCGTCCTCGCTGCTCGAATCCTCGCCACCATCGAGAACCCCAACGATGTTTGCGTCATCAGGTAGGATCGCGCAGAGACGGACGTGCAGCTGGGAAATCCATTAACCCTGCCATTTCTTTGCGACTAGTGCCCGACCCTACGGTCACCGAGCCGTCTTGAAGTACGCCGGATTCACCGGTGCTCAGGCCATTGCTGGACGATTGTGAGTGTGGCGCGAGGGTCTCAAGCGAGCCGAATCTGATCGCCACGACCCGATAGCACCCCCGGTTCTTTCACCAACTACATCACCCGATCGTTCAAGGAGCCCCGATTGATCATCGTCACCGACCCCCGAGTTGACCACCAGGCCATCAGGGAGGCCGCTTACGTCAACATCCCGTGAGCGTCTCCCGGAAAACGTTCGCCAAAGTCGCCGTGCTGATCAGCTTGTTCGCCAAATCCCAGCGTCATTGCCCTCTGTGACACTGACGCCTCGTTGAAGTTTGTTGACGTTGCCATCCCTTGCAACAACAAGTCGCGTCACTCGATCGGTCTCGTGAGTTGCATAGCCTAAAATGAACAGCCGAACAAGATCTGACAATTCGACCACGGCGTCACAGATCTGGTACTTGCTCTGCCGAGAGGTCCTCCGTCTCCGAGGAACCATCGACCGAGGCAACTGGTCGGTCCTCCCCGATCTCTTCTTCTACCGAGACCCCGATCAGGTCGAGGCCGACAACGCCGAGAAGGCCGCTGCCCTTGTCGCCGGAAACGCCGCTGTTGAGGGTACCGTTGAGGGTGCCGTCCCCTCCGAGTGGGATGCCACCAACGCCGCTGAGCCCGCTCAGTTCGCTGCCGAGCCCACTGGCCAGGGTGAGTCAAGGTGTCGTGAGATCTGCGTTCGCCTTTCAAAGCTAAATAAAATTGTGCACATTGCCGCAGCTCTTGACTGGTCCGCTGACAACACCGCCGGTGACTGGTCCGCCGACCAGCCCGCCCAAAACTGGTAAACGCACCATACGCTTGCTCGGAACGAGGCTCGCCGTCCTCTAATAGGGAGATGTTAGAGGCGCCATTCACGACGGGTCGAATGAGAGTGGAGAGATGAGATGTATTTGCTTGGCTTTGACGGGAATGAGGGTGTTGAGATGATAATCAATTTCGAACCCAACGCGTCGCTTGGAAGCCGTACCCTTCTTTAAGACTCTCTGATCATCGCACGTTGGAGGTGGAATTGTCTACCTTCAGAGAGCAGGACGATACGCTGACCTTCGCGGGCGATATGAAACAGCACGATTTTCGATGCATCCTCGGCTTCGGAAAGACAGCCCTGGATCCACCTGTCCCTATGACGCATGGGCGTTTCATCCGCCAGATGTGTGATTGCCGCACAGACCTTCGCTTCATATTCGTAGTCGTGAAACGCGGTCGTATAAGCAGAATCGTTATGCGCCCTCAGCAATTGCGTTGAGTAGAAGTCGCAAGTCATCAGGCTGCTCTAGCGGTGCAGCGTAGCGCGAAAATCTCAGTGCGACGGCCGCGAGCAATTCTTCCGACAAACCAATGCTCATATCGCCTTGTGCTAAATTGGGCACTGAAAGACCGTTTGTATGTTGGCCTGGATCCTGGGAACGGCGAACCATTCACGGAAAATCTGATTCCATAACGTGGATAGAAAAACGAAACGGCACGTCCTCATACAAGAAATGCCTCGTACCTCACGCCAGATACGTGAGCACGTCACGATAATCTTCATTTCGCTCAATGTACTGGAACGTAAAGCCAGTATCAACATTTGCGTCCGCCGTCCAATCCGACCCTGACCGACTCACCTCTCTTTCTATGAGACTTTCCACCTGCGCCTTGATCGCCTTGACCTCGGGATGGAACAACTTTTTGACAGCGTCAATGACCTCGTTGATGAGGTCCTGCAGCTTCAGCTGCTTCTTGCTCTTCATGATGCGGACGATCTGAGCATCCAGAGTCAAGTTACGGTCCTCAAACACCTTCTCGCTGGTCTGTTTGCTCTCCTCGGCCTACGCAATCGACGTATCGCGAAGTCAGAGCGAGAAATCCGAACGTCAATACACCGCCAACGCTCACCGAAAGATCCTGCTGAAGCTGATTGATCTTGAACCGAACCTTGTCACGAGTGAATCCAGAGTTCCAGGTAAAGGTATCGGTCGGGTTGACGTCTTTTCCAGGTGGCCGCTTGACAAGCACTCGAGTCACCTTCAGAGCGTATAAAGATTGCAGCGTTCGAACCAGCTCCTCTCTCTCTGTATGACCGCCCGATCAGTCAGCAAGCGTGGACGCTCAAGTACAGGACCTCGCGGTTCCCCTTACCGATTCCGGTCCTCGCTAGCAATTCTTCAAAGTTGAGCGTGTCCACGTCGTTGAACTGCAGCAACACTGTTGCTTGGAACAAGCTGACTCCAATTTCCTTGTTTCCTCCGGGGAATCTGGCGGTCATCGTCACTGACGTGTGCTGATGACGCCACGAAAGCATTCGCCCAGAGAACGTATGCTTGTACCAGGCCTCGAAGCCGTCGAGTTCGCGTTGCATCTGTTTTCCCACGTGCTCAGCACAGACTTATGGGGCAGAATCTGAGATGACCGCATCAAGCGACTCACGCTGGGAATCAGTGCGAATTGTTCCCACCCTTTACCCAGCTGCTTGTACCTGTAGCCAGCCGGCTTTAACACAACGCTCACTCTTTAAGCACGCTGCTCGACTCACGGTGGCCACTGCCCTTGAGATAGAACGTTGACGGTCAGGTTGGTGGGGTCTTTCCCGGTCGACATGCGAAGCTCCTGGAACTTCTTATTCATGCTGTAAAGGACAATGAAAGGATCTATGAAACCGCCTTTGCAAACAAAAAAGTCGCCGAGACTCACTCCTCCGACTGGGACAAGTCCTTCATCATTGCGTCACCCGTCGTAAACTCCTCGCCGTATTCTGCCAAGGTACAGCTTCCCGTCAGAACCATCCACAAGCAAGACCATAGTGGCACTTACCGCTCTGCAACTTCTTGACCATGTTGATCTCCTCCTCGGTACTAGCACTTCTCGCGAGCAACAAACGCTTCGCCAATTGAGTGATATAAAATTCCTTGAACACATCCTTGTCCTTGGTAAACTTGACCAAGTCAACGATATCGTCGAGCACCTTTTCGAAAGCTTCTGCGGACATGGACCCTTGACCCTTCCGCATGGTCTGGTCGAGATGTTTCGCTGAGGGTTCCGATTACAAGTGTCAGCCATCAATACATCGAGACAACTAATTCTTAGCCACTGACCGATGAGCTCGGCCGGCGTGGCTTGACGAGTCTCCACTCCAGCCTTGATCCCATCACGAATCTCACTCTGGAGCGCGTTCCTTCTCTTGGTCTCTCGATTACTGGGGCCTGCCAGCTGATCATCGTTCCGCAGCGTACTCGGCTCCGATGTCAACAAGGCATCGACGGTCGATTCGCAGAATCTCTTAAAGTCGAGCAAGGTAGCCACCATCTTGGTATCGTTGGCGGGATCCGAGATGAGCTTGGTAGCTCGTTCCCTGACGTGATGGGAGAGCGCTTTGCGGAAGTCTTTGTAGGCACCGTCGCTGTCGAGGAGGACGTAAAGCTTTTGCAAAGTCTCGGCGTCCGAAGCGTTCATCGCCTCATCCAGCGCTGTATGAGTGGACAGCAAGAAACAACGTTGCGGAAACTAAATCAACGATTCACGCTCATCACCCGCCATCAAACCGAAACTTACCGGATTGAGTCATGGCAATAATCGATCCTTTCACCAACGTCGCTCTGAGCTCGCTCTTGATAGACTTCCAGACCTCGTCTCGGCCACCGGGCACGACCGCTCCGGTCGGCAAGGTCTCATCTCCAAATAGATCATGACAACGACCCTTCTCTTGCAGGCCCTTGTCTGACACCCAGGAGATATATTGCGTGTAAAGCTTCTCCTGTTGATCAGCCATACCAGCCGTGTTCTTGGAAGAGGGGGCCCGTTTGTCCACCGCCTTAGTGTAGTAATCGGTGGTGGACTGCAGGTAAGCATCAATGATGGGCGACGAGGCACCGAGATAATTGGTGGATGTTATGAAAGAGCGGACAACGTTTCGGTCGATTTGATCGAGTTCAGAGAGGGGGCCCGCAGTACCGTCCCTGAAATGAAGAATGGTGAATGAGCATTACACCCATACGGAATCAGCAGGTCCGAAACGATACGAGACTCACGAGGATAGATCGTGCCGCTCGCGATCTCCGTTGATCCAACTGACAATGGCCTGCAAGTACCTCTCCTGGATAATCTTCTCACTCAACACCGCTTCTCGGAAAGTCCTCTGAGCGACCGATCTCAGAGGATCGGTTCCAGCGGTCTGGAGGACAAACGTGCGGTCCAAGTGCAAAAGCACCGAAATCAAACGGTTCGAGCACCTCTCCCAAGCAGTCCATTTGTCCAGGATCAACCGAAGAAAAGCTGTCCCCTTGACCGAATCCCCTCCAGCGAGCACGCTAGCTCGAAGGTCTTTCCCGATGACGGTAGAGCTCTTCTCGAGCTGTCCGACCGCCTCATTGTAGATCGCGTAAGCCGTCTTTTGCCAGGCATTTGAAGAGGCAGGATCTAGCTTGATAAGGGGGGAAACGAGATTTTGACAGATTTTGAACAGAGATTCCAGCGTCTGACTGGCGGGAAGTGGCCTGTCGCCGAGGATTGTGGGAAACGTCGAGGTCAGCGTCTTGAGCGCTTGATCCGGGTCGAAAGCAGGTCGAGCAGGACCAGCTGCAATTGCGCAACCGAATCAAAACGTCGTATATCAGTTCCTGATCCTCCGATGACACTGCAATACAGGCGTGACCCACGAGCAAAAGATAGCTTGATCCGCTTGACACCGTTCTGATCGATACCCGGTTGGCTGCTGTCCCGCCTCAGAGAGGTCGTCTTGACCGCCGAAAAGGCGTTCGACCTGGATGGAAATATTATCTTGGTCGACATAGTGAAAGCAATAAGCTACTAAACTTAAGAGCCGGTATGACTCTTGGTTCTGCGATTGGAGGTGGTAGGTTATAGGTTATGACATGTCTGCCTGAGGTCGTAAGTAGCGATCGAGGAGACGGTGGATGGTGACCTCCACCTTCTCGGATCCGGGATGACGCGTCCGATCATAGCCTCGTACTGTGGGAGCTTCGAGCTTGGATTGCTATAAAATTGACAAGGCAAGACCGATCCACTCGGACAGATGGCTTATCGGTTCACGGGTGTATGGAGTGAACCGGTCGCTGTTATTCCATCAATGTAACGGAGCTAGCAGTAGCCCTTGGCAACACGTATCGTTCTTCAATCCTTCCAGCCACGGTTATATGATTATACCCTTCCACCCTGGCTCGCTCACCATGGCCACCTACTGTCCATACAACTTCTCGCTCAGTTCCCTTACCCTCGCCTTGGCTGCCCCAATACACTCGCCGACGACCTCGATACCCGCCTTGCCCGCATACCCTCCCATTCCTTCTTGCCTGACCAACCTGATCCTCGGCTCTACGGTTTTGGTCGACTTGGTTTTCGATTTTAACGTCGAGGTTGGATCTTCAGAGTCTAGAGCGATGGTGATAGTCGTCGGACAAAGTGGGAATTCGAACGCAGATGGATCGGGTAAGAGGTATTTGCTGAGCGAGCGAAGAGACGGTTGTCAGCGTCCGGTCCAGTATTTAAGTCGATCCCATAACCAGATGACCCACTTGTCAAAGATCCCGAACGTGCAAGCCAGAGGTATGCTCCTCAGATCGTCCTTCAGATTTCTCGTCTCGGTCCTCGAACAGATTGTCTGATCCGCATCCTCATCGTACGTCGCTACCGGCAAGACCGCTATATTTCCCATGACAAACACAGCACGAAGCAGATGTCCAGCTCGTCAGCGTCTATCTCGCCGTGTGTCGACCATTTGACTATCTCGAGAGACCAATGGTTGAGGTAAGGGAACGAGAAACTTACTATTCCGTAAAGCCGTCATTACTGCCAATACGGCAGCGTCAAAAGCGTTCCCGTCGTAGTTGATGCAGACGATGTCGATGTACAACACCCAGGCTGACTTTCCCGGTCGGATCCCGAGCTTTCTTAGTGGTAGTACATTTGATCTATCGCCAGATCCAGGATCAGATTCAGAATTAGGACACTTTGGGTTGGAAGACGGTAGATGCAGGATGAAAGGCAGAAAAGGGTATGCCTCTTACGAGATGAGGAGGTCATAAATCTGTTGTGAAAAGACCTGCGCCTCGTCTACCGGTGGTCCAGGCTTGAAGTTGGGTGATGAGATGGCAGGAAGGTCGACGTTCGGTACTGTCATCGTAAAAGCACGTCGGCTATATCTATTCAGCTTGCGTCTCCTTCAAAGCGGGGCTGTTTTGCTCTTAGCTAAACGACTCACCCAGCCACCCCTCATTCGGGCGATCCCAATCTGGTTCTGCCGTCTCTGCCTTGATTCCACAGACCACTGTCGTGTCCCCCAACCTGATCAGAGCCGATCCGTTCGCGGTCGATACCGCACCTATAAGTACCGCCAAATGGACCGGATCAGCAGCGCAATGCAGCCCAACAGCCCAGTGGAATACAATTTCTCACCGGCATTGACTCCGACTTCTCTCCAGCTTTCCGTCGGTCTCCCATCTGGCCGTCGATCGTGCTCCAAGAACCGAGAAAGGTATTTCCGAGGATACAGTCGCTTGAACGCTGCGGCCTCTACGGCTGGATCCAGCTGCGATGGAGCAGATTGCGAGGGAGTACTAGTGGTTTGTGCTACGGATGTCATGGCTAATACTTGATGTCTTCTTTTAGGTGACTTGAGAGTCGAGGTACAGAGTGTTTGACGGTTCGATCATGCCGATCATGCCAACCCAAAGTTCTTACGTTCTTACGAACTCGAACTGAATCTGCCTCGAGATCCCGCTCTGCTCTCGTAAAATCTCTCGTAAGCTCGGGAACTGACTAGAGCGCGAGCTCTCTGTTGATCTCCGGGCGTTCTAGAGGATGGCGACAATCAACTCTTTCTTGAACAACTTGTTAACATGAGACTGTTTCTCGAATGGATCCATCATTCCATACTGATTATCCCCATGAGGATTATTTAGATATGAAAAAAGGCTAATGTAAGCCGACCTCTGCTTGTCTAGGATCGGACCCTCTGCACATCTGCCTCGACCTCTTCTTGGCACAACAAAGCTATGAGCTACAAGCCATGCACCGGCGCACCGGCCATATGTCTACGTCAAGGCCCAGTTGTGATACCCCTGCGGCCTATCAAGCTGATCATGAGACGCTTTAGCGCCCTATAACGAGACTTGAGCCGCTCAAGGTCGCCAACCATGCTAGTCTCCGGTACGGCCATAGTATGACTCCATCACATTCATCCGGTTCAGGTTTCGACTCCCATGAAATGCGTATATGTATAGCTCTCCATACCTCGAGACAACATCGACAGACCATGCGATTGATATACAACTCCGTTGACCGTCAAACACACCCATTGTATAGCCCTGAATCACTGATACAGGCATCCGATCACATGATGGTACATGCCTCATCCCCGAAACCCTAGAGACAATAATCCTCCCACCAAAGTCAGCTCGATGCTTCTTCAATATGACCTATATTGAACTTGCGACGCTGGCGACTCACCAAACCCTCCGGCATCTCCCCCATGACCTCTTCGGGCGGACTCCCCATCTCCTGCATCCGACACATGAGGTCATAGACCTCTTTCCTCTTCTCCTCATCGTCATCTGAATAACCCGGTCGTCGGAAGAGATCCAGGATTTGGGATATTATTTGCGATTGGGTCTCGTAGTTTGACAATTGGGTGGGGGGGATTGTTGGGTTGCTTCTTTGGGCGGTCAGGTAGGGAGGGTACTACGAGCATGCAAGTGGAGGTTGCAGAAGGTAAGCTGGGAGCGATCCGAGACGACAGAGAGCGAACGAAGGCGAGAATGAACGCAGACTGACCTTCTCTGCCAACTCTTCCAATGGCTCCATCAGAATCTCCTTGGTCATCAACCCTCTCATCATCCCATCCAACACCCCGCCCATCCCTTCGTCTCCACCTTCTCCCAGAGCTCCTCCAGCTTTTCCGTCAAGACCTAGACTGGCGCTTAGGGCGGAGAGGTCTAGCCCGTCGAGATCGAGATCTCCTAAAGCGTTCGGGTTCGAAGTCAGTTGAGCGAGCAGAGCCATCAGGGGGTCTTGAGCTGCGGGCTGTATTGAACATTTATATAATGGGCCGGAGTCAGCTTGATTTCGGTCAATCGTCCTGCTCATCCTTTCGCGTCATCGCCACAAAGGAAGCCTCCATGGCCGTAGGAGCCAAGACGAGAACGACCCGGAGACTCGCCTTGCTCTTCTTAGCATCATCTGCACCTTCCTTGAGATTCCTCATCGTCCGCTCGATCGTCTCTTCGAACGATAACCCCTGATCTTTACTGGTTCCCGATGGTGTTATTCTGTCTGACTTTGCTGTCCCTGTGGCCTGTGGTCGAGATGATCCGCCATTTGATTCTGATTTGCTTGTACTCGCGCTCTTGCTGGCGGTATCGGTAGAAGGTACACCGAACGAACCGAGGTCGAGGTCGTCCATATTACCAGAGAGGAGTTTATCGAGAAGGGCTTGCATTTGAGCTTCATCCGGTTCCCCTGTTTCGGAGTGAGCTTGATTCGGTGCCGAGGTGGATGTTCCAATTGGGCCAGTATTTGTGGTAGGACCTCCCATCCCGAGTTCCCGCAGGAGAGACTCCATACCTCTCGCTAGCTCTGCTTCGAACTCTGGATCTACATCTTCCTCTCCATCTTGTGCTGTGGGTTCGTTTGTCGTCCGATTGGAAGCAGGAGCTGTGGTCTTGGTATGAGTGGGATTCGGGGGCGGAGGCGCAGGTACGGGTTTTGAAAAGGTCGGGAGGATGTCTACATCACATTCCAAAAAAAGGTCAGTCGGTTTAGTATTCGCTGGCTTGATCCGAGAGTCGCTGCAGACTAGCGAGAGAGATAGGCAGACAAGCAGGCCGGAAGCTTACCATCCAGATCGTCCAAGTCTTCATCTTCCGGGTCGTCCGTAGGATTTCGGTGTGACATGATTCGAGACCTCTCAAGTTCTTTGCCGAAATAGCTAGCGTGTCAAGGCGCAAGACGTGGACGAGGTTGTGTTGAGCTGTTGAGCTGTTGAAGACTGTTGTAGGCTGTTGTCACCGTGAATCATGCTTCGGTCACCTGTACGCCTGCCTGTACCCACTTGCCGAGGTAACCGGGCAGGCTGTCACCTGGGGACGGGGCGACGCGCACGAATAGAGAGGCGGAGGCAGCGCGAGCAGGGAGGTTTGACCTAGGTTTAAGAGCGTGAATATTTTGGTTTTAATGTATATAACAGCTTTTTGGAAGGCAAACATCAATTGCTGATTAATTCAGTGGCCGCCGTGGCCAATTGGCTAAGGTGCCGCGCTCGATTGTTCCCCTTTTCCGCCACTGAGGAAGACAGGGACGATCACCTCCTGGCAACCAACCCAGAGCATGAAAGCAATGTCGCCTTCTATCCCTATGGGGATGACTTGCCCTTACAGAACCTGCAACAACGTTGCATGTCCGTCGGACCGAGCTGGGACGACATCGTCTCCCTCATCGTCGTCAAGGGGCCTCTTGGGACCCCTCTGCTCACCGGGACGTTTCATCATACTCTTTTTTAACATCCTACGGCAGTCGGCCTTCTCTCTGTTTCTGGTCCCACATATCCCCATAAGTAATAGTCGCAATCCTTGTTCTTTGCCCGTGTGGCGAGATCGGTATGATCATGAATCACCTCGCGTGCATATACGCGTGCGTACGAGTATCCAAATCCGGCTTCGCATGTCTCCGGGGCTGCAGGTTTAGTTCTCAATTGGTGCAGTCTCTATCCTGTCCCTCGCCCAGGCGATTTGTGGCTATCACACACAGTCGCCATGCCGCTGTCGAGATCAAATTGGCCTTGGAGATGGCGAGAAACGAGGCAGGTCGAACGCTTGTAAAATGGGGCGAGCGGGACTTGCAGGAATTGTCTGCCCGAGATGAGAGAGTCGAGTAGTGCATGATGAGGATCCACCGTGCGGCATTAATTGCCAAATAGGCCAATCATGCCGCTCTTGCAAAGCCGACTCTGGGGAGCAAGCGCATCCAGAACAGTACAGCCGTTTTCATGGGTCAGACTAGAGTAAGGGAAGCAAGAGTTGCGACGCGTGCGGCAAGGCCTGCAAGAGATGCAGCAGGAAGAAGTGCGACAAAGGCGAAGAACGCGAGGAAGGTTAGGGTAGAGAAGGCGCGTGCGTGGTATCACAGTACATCGAGAGTGTCTATGTCAACTTCGCGATACCAAGATCCCGGTTGCCCGGGAGAGGAAATACTGTTAGGTGCGATCACCGAGTATGACGATCGGACTGGGCCAAAATAGTGATTTGACCCAGACGCGATCCGTTGCCGGATTTAATTTCAAGTTAAGTTCGGGCGGCGACTTTGCAAGCGCAGCGATATTATCAACCTTGTCGTGTGTTCGGTGCTCCTGCCCACAATGGTAATTGGCAAGAGTGCCAGATCCGTCTCGTCAAGGGCAAACTCGATGTCTTCCAGATGAACATTCGCGCTCTTGGGGTGGCAGGGGAGCGTCGAGAGATCTGATCTGGTTCGGCGCGGTGTGTATATGAGTGGAATAAGTCCGCTAAGCGGAGTCCTCCTTCGGACTGAGGCCAACAGATCGAAGGATAAGCGATGACGCCATTTCGGCTTAAAATGCTCGATCTTCCGAGCGACATAAACCCCAATTTTCATAGCAAAAAAGCTCATACCCAACGCGGACGGACCCGACAACACAATCGATGGCAAGGGCACAGCAAGACGAACTGGACGGATTGAGGTAGGGATGAATCGACTGCGGAGAATTATAAAATCGTTATGCGATCCCGCCCACTTGGCTCAATGTTCGATGTAAGTGGTAAGCTACCACGAGTTGACCGTCTCGATATCCCCACCGGGAGGGCTAATCAGCAGTGAATATTACGTTTGACTTCATTGACGTGCAATACAAACTTCTTTTCTCGATCTCGGCGCCCCTCTCAACGCAATAACGCCACCATGCCACCTACACATTGCCTTTTCCCAAATGAAACGCTCTCGTCCTGATGATTTGTTCTTTCCAGCTTAGAGCCTGAATAAGTTGGAAACACCGTCTGGAACTTTCTCTGCTATCGGACAAAGATGTAAACCGTGTCTTCCGGGATAGTATACGGAGGGCGCTTTGGCTGAGTAGGATCGATCGTGACCATCGCCAACAACGGGTCCCCTGGCTCTTTATGACTTGCTAGAAGCAAGCATCGTCAGCCTAACTGATAGCGCCTCGATCGGGCATGGATATTTGTTGTCGCTGAGCTTGTCTTACCAATATGTAACTGGTCAACCATAGTGCGAGCGGCTTCGGCACCGTGTGCACCTGCGGAAATTGGATGATCGTGTGGATGAAAGCGTGGCCAGCGATACACTATGGGTTGTCGAATGGAACGGTGCCACTACAGTCGTGATCGTTCTTGCGACTATAAAGGTCTACGCCCATACTGGAAACATTCCAAGTCTACGAAATCCCCGCACGCCCCCAAGCTTTTGCCAACACTCGGATGAATCTGAACCTGCAGCTCACATGTTGCATGTCGTCCTCTTGGAGGGAGGTTGCCCTACCCCTTGGCCACAGCGGCCACTAGATCATCTAGCAATCGATGTTGCCAAACGATCCATGAACAAACTCAATCACAGTCGTAACGAAGTCACGGCGAGACTTCATTTGCCGGACCCAATAACATAGACAACCGCGTGATCTAGCCCTACCTTGAGGGTATACCGTGCCACAGAAGACCAATCATCAGCTTCATCACCTCTGTAATGTAGGATCGACCTACCTCACCGCTCGATATCTTAAACTGTAGCCTCGATATGCGTCGGAAGGGGCGGCGCCTTCCAACGCCACGGCCAAATAGTGCACCACTGCCAGACAGATCGTCCCCTCGCTCTTGAACTCGATACAATAAGAGCGTGTCGCTGTGAGTTGGTGAGGTCGACGAATGGTTGTGAACAGACATACGTCTGATGTCGTAGGAGCGGCGGCCTCTATCGGTTGATATTACAAAGTCATGACAAGAAAGGCGTCAAATGCGGGGAAACGAAGCAGATGTCTATGTGCCAAATGGTGTACCGCAAAGGGCTGGCATTTTACCCTCATAAGGAGCGCAACGATGGCGTGAAGACGGAAGCAAATTGCAGCACGCGCAGGGACTGCTACAGCGAACGTTTCCCTGCGCTGATGTGATTTTCAAGCTTGTAATGAATAGATTTGCGCTACAAAATATTTCAACATCGATTGCTAGATGGTCTAGTGGCCGCTGTGGCCAAGGGGTAAGGCACTCCACTCGTATTTTCCTAGGAAATGGAGCGATCCTGCGTTCGATTCGCAGTAGCGGCATTGCTTTTTCATTTTTGCCCTGAATATGGCGTCAGTCTCCACATATGGAGTTCTGGATGACCCCTCGGAAGCTATTTAGGCTCCGCCGCGACCTATCCTTTAGCCGTGACGCAAATCATGACGTGCCCTTATTCTCCTTGTAAACCTAGAGTATCAAGTCCATCGAGCTTACTAGTGGAACGAGGGTCTCTCGTTTCTCGACATCCACGATCTAGTTCCTGCTCGATCTCTCTTGTTGTGGTAGTGGATATCGGACGACGTCACGCATGCGTGGCTAGAAGCGACATAAGAGATTCTATTTCGCTTTATGTCGCTTGCAAAGGCGGGTCAGTCCGATCGGCTGCTTGTTACTTGAGCATAGGGGGGCATTTCGATACATCTGTGTGATCATCCGATCGAGTATATCCGATCTGATTGTCGAGTGCATTTCTTGTTGTACTGCCACGAATATATAGAATTCCTCACTCATATTGGTCCGTGTTTTCATCCCTTCCACTTCATTCGCTCCTTCAACCAGTACCTGTACCATTTTGACGAGATGTATGGTCCTTCTTCCCCCGAGTGAATCCTTTCAATCGCGACTCAAACGACTACGTCTATTCGGCTTGAACCCCTTGTTCCAAACGGACGGACAAGATCAAGGTAGAGGGCAAGTATAAGACTGAGACGTCACCGACCTTAGTCTGGCTGGCTCGCAGTGATTTTGAGGATGTTTTGACCTGATGACGAGGCAACAGGCTGCAAAGAGGATGTCTTGCGTTATAATGGTTGACTCGATATTAATGGCGAGTTCGTGATCAAGACTACGTTGAAGACCTTAAACTCGAAGCGCGAGTGGATCACCGGTCGTCACACCTATCTTCCTACGGTGTGCCACGTTGACATCCCATGGCATGGGGAAATACGGTACACTTTCTGCAAACATGAACACTGGTATACTACCGGGTTTGCCACCCTCACCCGCCCTCCCACCTGAAACGCCTTACGCGCACGCTTCGCGCCAGGTGAATAATAGCGATGGCGCGCTCGCACAGTGATTGAAATACGCGTCCTCACACAGCCAATCGAAGCTGATCAGGAGGGATTTGATAGATCGATATTCGCGCTCGTCATGATGCGTCGATCATACTTATATGGACCAATAAGCAGAAGTCCGCGGCCGACACACAACCTGGGCCTGCAGCGCAAGGATGCCACGCGGACCAGCAACCCCAGGCTTACCCATCACCACGCCCGGCTTCTCGTCTTTTTGCCCACGGACGGCGCCCTCTCCTGGAACGCATCCACCAGCTTTTTCCTCTCCTGCTCTGCTTTCGGGTCCACGTACATGACCCGCATCGATTCATCCGCGACGTCTTCCATCGCGGAATCGACTTGGTCCGGGTGATCCTGGAACCGCTCGTTGTCATTCATCGCTTCGAGGAAAGGGTTCACTGTGCGGTTAGCGAGGGCCTGTAAAGGATTTGATCAGCGGGGGTCATCAACATAGTCATCAGGGTGTTTGACGCCTACCGATCGAGGGCGGCCGTTTCTATTCCGGCGAGGCTGTCAAGTGAGGCAACAAGAGTCAGCTTGCACAGTTTCTATCCAATCTGACAGTCAACCCACATTATAGGCCGGAACCTTGCTCGGCTCAGGCACTCCTGTCCGAGCTGCACGCTTTGCCCAGCCCTCCGGCTCGGCAGACGTCTCGCTCGTTCCTCGCTCTGGAACCGGTCGCGGTGGTCCCATAACCCTAACAGCAGCGCTCGTGCTCCTGGTCGCATCTTCCAAGGGCAGATGTGCAGGCTCAGCGTCTGTTGGAATCGGCATAGTTCCCGACATCGTTGTCGAATCAGACATTGAGCGAGGCTTGGACGCCGATCTGCCTAGCCCCGAGGCAACCGGATCGAGGTCCATTTCGGTGGGAGCGAGACCCAATTTACGTGACGTGGCCGTCAGTTCTGTCCGGCGAGCGCGAGCGCGATCATTCTCTTTGTGATCCGGGCTCATCTCGGAGGGACGAGAACTAGTGAGACCAAACGCGCTCCCTGTATCGCTGACGGTGGACAAGTTCATCGTCCCCGTCGCCTCGAGCCTCGGTCTGATCAAGCGTGCCAAGCCGGTTCTCTGGCTCATCTCGCTTGGTGCGGGGGCCACGGCGGACGCGGTCCGGTTCAGGGCCTCGCCTTGGTCCTCTGGCTCTGGCTCGGGCGTGATAGCATAATCGCTCATCTGTTCGAGCTGCCCTGACCGCGCGATCGCGTACAACCACTCTTCTGTGACGATCGGAAGGTTCCATTCGACCGCCTTGTTTACTTTGAGTCCGTGCTTGCGGCCAGAGACAAGGACCGTCGTCTTGCTCTTGGAAAAGCCCGGAGCGAATTGGGCACCTGCAAAGTATCCCGTATGAGTAAAGCAGTCTCAGCAAAGGGCGATACAAAGGCCGACATACCTAGAGCTTTTATGAGACGCTTGAGGTAATACAAGTTCTCCTCGTCGAACCCTGACAAGTGAATGACATGGCCTCCGATACCTGTAGCCATCGAGCAAAAGAATCAGCTCGGTCAGCTTTTCGGCCCATATCGGCCATACAGCCCTTTGGCTCACCTTGTATAGGCATCGGTTTAGACAGCGGCCGAAACACCACGGAATCATCCGGTGGACACAACCTGCGTTCTTTTAAACACCGCTCGATCCAACATTCCGTGACCACCTGACTATTGGCGGCGAACGTCGGTTCGGGCGGTTGCGAGTTCATTCTACATTCGAGCAAAGAGGGATTTGGTGTAAGACAGGCGCGGCGTGCGTTCTCGATCCGACCGACTCACAACCGACAAACAACGTAATCGGCCGCCTCACCATCCTGCCATCGCGCATAAGGGACCAACGTCCCTCCCATCCCCCTCACCGCATCTTCAAACAGCTCGACGGGGCCTTCGATCTGATGCGTAAACGTCAACCCTTCAAAGACCGTCGGGTCATAGTTTGAGCTGTTTGTCGACATTTGCCGGCTAGGCGGCATGCTCAAGTCTTTGGCCTTGGACGAGGTCGAGGGTACCGTCGCTGACGAAGCGGGTTCTTTGGTAGTAGAGGTAGAGGGAAAGACGGCGGGCTTGCTCGGACCCGGTTGATCCTGTGCAAACGCTCGATCGCGGCTGGAGTTGATCATGGACGATCTCGTCCGCTGAATATCGACAGCCGAGTCCCGAGGCGCCCATGTGGTCGCGCTCATGCTGTCGGTCGGCTGAGCTCTGGCTGTTCGTGCTCGTTTCCTCGCCGTCTCTGGTGACGGTGACCTCGAGCCCGGCTTCGATGATCGCTTGTCGCCAGGTTCCGCCTTGACAACCACCTCCGCCCCATCTTCCCCGTTCTTCCCCTGATTCCGATCGTCTCGATGACTGACGCTGGCGATCAGGTCATCTACCAAACCTCCAGGCCCTGCTGCCGAGCTCTTTGTCCGCCTCGCCGGTATGCCAATCTGACTTTCCCGTGGTCGTTTCCTGATCAAGGCCGGTTCGAGCTCTTCAGGTTTCGCACGCAATTCTTCCATGTCGAGCATGCTCAGCTCGTGCGGTTGCGGCTGAGGCGGTGGTCTCGAGCCAAACGAGTCTGGCGAGTCCGTATTCACGTTCGAGGTCGTCGTGGTCATGGCGGCTTGCATAGCTCGCCGTGCCCTGTCCATATCGTCCCTCTGCTTGGCTTTCCGTACTTGCTCTGTTTCAAAGAATCCGAATCCAACCCGACATCCAGATCAGTAGACTATCCGCACCGCCTGATCGCCCCGATCCGCTGCTCACCTCGATACCGATAACTCTGCTCGTACCCCGGCGGCTCCGAGACCTCCTCGGCATTCCAAGCGTCCTCCTTGAACCTTCCGTCGAAATGTAGGCAGTCCCAGAACCAACCTTCCCAGACGACCTTGATGCCTCGTTCCCGCTCCTTGTCCCGACCTGCCATCGACATATCCATCCCGATACCATCCTCGCCAATTCCACCTCCGCCTCCGCGGCGTCGCCAAGCGTCTTCCTGAAGAGCCCAGTGTTCCCGCTCTTCCCTCGCCTGAGCATTGACCTGAAAAGCCCACCGCACCTTGGCCGAAGCGAGCGGGTCGGGTCCAGCAGAGTCGGGTTTGGGATGAGCGACGACGAGGTGGGTGCACTCCCTGTTGAGCGAGGGCGAGTATTTCCCGCCTAGATCGCCGATCTTTTGGATCATGTTCTGACGGACTTCGGCTGAGGGTTTACGTCGGGATTAAAGGTCATATTAGAATCGTCCTAGATCGACACGGCTGGTCCCGGGCGGCATAGGGGCTCACGAGGTTCAATCCCAGAGACGGCGATCGTAAGCCCTGCAAACGCTTCCAACTTGTACCTCGTCATCGTCTACCGAACCGAAGCCGAGTCTGACATCAGCTCGAGGCTCGCAAAAGGCAAAAAGTAACAACATGCCCATCCTCAAACTCACATGAATCGGCGGGACTTCCAACCCGCTCAACCAGATCTCGTGGACGGCGTCTATCCAGTCGGGCCGGAAGATCGGGATCCGGTATTCCACCGAGCGCTATGCGTATGTCGAAGGGATTGGGGTGAGGGAAGAGATTGCAGTCGAGTCGGTTAAAGAAGTCATGGAGGGAGGTCGAGAGATAGAGGCCGTGATCAGGATTGGGAAAGTGGTTCCCAAGAAGCAATAAGACGGAGCAAGGTAAGACGGACGTCACGACTCGTCAGCATGCCGATAGGAGTAATAGAACAAGATAGCGTAACCCTCTGCAGCTCACTTCGTATTTGACGCTCTCATGCCCTCGACTGATCAACGCCGTGCAATCCAGCGTCAAGTCCATGTGGATATACTTCACCCCCATCGCCCTCAGCTTGTCTGACAGGGCGGCCCTTTCCCATGTGAGGCCCGTGTATGAGATGACTTGGTTCAAGAATGGCAAGGTCGGGCGGGAATGGGCTAGTTCGAGGTCGTGGTCGTCTGCGGGGTCAGTTAGCAGGGAGGCAAGGCCCTCAGTCTGTTAGCGAGTCAATACGGGTCCGATCGCACACGACCCCGACTCACCTAGAGCATCTTCATCCTCCAACCTCCTGACATGTTCCCTGTCCATCATGTTTACCTCGTACTCCTCGGCTTCGAACCTGGATTTCCTCTTGCCTGCATCCTGAGCTTGAGCCGGGGCCGGGCGGAGTTTGACGTTGGCTACCTTGTTCGAGAGGTGGCCGCGTCGGGCTCGGCCGAGGGAGGCCATCGGGACGCAGCTATGTCAGTGGAAAGGTATGATACAAGAGTCAAGAGTATGTGTTTCTTTCGAGATTAGGTGAGAGTATAGGATGTCAAGGGCGATCGATCAATGTCAAGGAAGAGGTCGAAGAGGTCAAAGAGAACTCGTCGTCGTCGTCGCGTCATTTACTAAATCGTCGATCGGACGCGTCGAAACGCGAAAAGGAGAAGTTCAGGGAGAGGACCATGCAATCACATCTCACCCTCTAGTTCACCTCTATGATCTATGATATATGATATATCTCTACAGATTCAAACAGGTGACAATCAGGCGAACCAGGTGTTCTGTATGGCCTCATTATGTCTCCGTACGAACCCACAATCAGGGACAGAGTCCGCATCGCCCTGGCAAGTCCCCCCCCCGCGCTTGACCGATCAGCTCGCACACATTGACCAAATGCTAACCAAACCTGATACCTTTATGATCGCAATCTACAGGCTTTGACGATCATTCAAGACAAGAAGAATGATGAAGATCTGGAAAGTAAGTCGTTCGTTTGCTTTGATTCGAAGCGACGATACTGCCGTACTGAAATCGAGCGAAACGTAGCATGTATCCTTAGGTTTCGCGATCATTTCCCACAAATCCATCAACGACATCAACTTCGACGACCTTTACGACTCTCCACAGTGCAGAATCAACTCCATGATGACAATCACGACAATGAATACTACCACTCACAACGAGAAAGGTGGCAAGCAAAGACCCGGGCCATGCAAGCGCAGATCGACAGTCTTACCAAACAACTCGCCGATCGTGAGGCGGGTGAGTCTATAGTCTTTGCTCGCCTACTTTTATCCCCTTCGTTCTCTTCATTCTGATACGAAGAACCTGGTCACGACGTGGCAGATGTATCGATGTTGCAAACCGACCTTGAAGCTGTCCAACCTGCAATGACAAGTACAGGTACCGGTGCTAGTAAAGCTCCGCCAAGGAAGAAACAGAAAAAGCCGGGTCCTTTGGCCAACGAGAGCAGCAACGTTGCTTCGAACGTGGATGTTACGGAACGAGAAGGAGACATAGGATCGGAAGGTGTAGGATCCGGAGCAGGATCGGGCGCAGGTGCTGGTGCTACCTCGGGGAAGAAGAGGCCTGGAAAGGTTGGAGCGAGTCAAGCGAAAGCAGCGGGAGTAGGGACTGGACAGGTTCAGGGTGAGGGGGAAGGACACGACGGAGTATTTTTTATGTTGAGTAGAAGGCTCGACGAGGTGTTGGAACAAGCTACGGGTACGTAGTCATTCATGCATCGGAAAAAATTTGAGATATACCTGACTGATCGATTCCGTTACCTAAATCTGCAGGTGAAAGCTCGCGAACCGCCCGTCTCCTCTCCAAGCTGTTCGATGCTCCCCAGGACATAACTCATCACTTTCTCCCTCTTCGACTTCAAGCCATCTGCTTGCATGCCAACGACCTCGTACAAACGTGCTCGACTTATCTGGAAGCTAGTATTGAAGCGGCTCTGCACCCAAGTACAGCCCAGGTGAAACAAGGGATATCGGCTCGCATCCAATTCCCCGGAAAGATGGTACAAACCATAGCCTTGTTGCTACAAGAATTCTTACCGCTCCTCTCGAAGGCGGTTGGGGAAATATTTTCGGAGATTGAGCATCTACCAGGGTTCGATCATGCGGAATTCAAGACCAGATGGAGCGACCTCAAAATTGCCATCGGGGCCGGCGTGATAATGCCCTCTATCAAGGCGATCAAGAAGACTTCGGACAAGGTCTGGGCGGAGAATCAAGCGCGGCTGTTGTCGGCCAGGGGAAGTAGGACTAGGTTCATGAGTCAGGCGATCGGGCAGGCCGAGGCGAATCAGAGGGATCTCAGGGAGGGACTCGTCAAGCTCCTTTTGACTCTGTCTCGATGCCAGATGGCGGCTTTAACAACGAAGAATGCGACGACAGGCAATACCGAGGACGGACTGGAACACCCGTTGGCCGAGATGGTAGCGTTCGGAACGAACAACGAGCTCATCGAGATCTTACAACCGGGACCAAATTCAGCCGCGATTCGTCCTCGCGTGATCACTTCCGGGTCAAATCCCCATACCCACCTTGGTTTCGGTGCATCTCGAACGGAAGAAATCTCGGCAGATCAGGAAACGGTTCATGTCCTCCTCGTTATTCTCCGCACGAGTATACCTTACTTACCGTGTTACGCCTCGAACGGAATCGGTACGATCGAGACGCGCTCGGATTACCTGGTTGAGAAGTTCCTGAAACGCCAGATCGAGCCGGAAGGAATTCCACCTCATCAAAAAACCGGAGTCAAAATATCGGTACCTTCTCCCCCGGGTCTGCTATTGGGTATGACTATCCGATCTCAACTCGTCCAACTCTTATCACCTATCATCCAGCCGATCACAAGCGCCTTGTATGACTGTTTCTCCTCGTACAAACCTACGGCACAGCGAGATGTGTCCATCTCGGCGCTTCTGCAGGAAGATCGCGCGTTGAAAGACGCGTTGATGCAGGTGGCCGAGGAGTTGATGTTAGCAGAAGGGGAGGAACAGGGAGCGATTGCGGAATGGGTCATTGGAGAAATAGAGCAGGGTGGGATCAGCCCGAATGAGATGAACACCAAAGGGGGCGCGGAGGAGAGAGAGAAGGTTAGGGGGGAAGGGGATGGTCTAATGGATACAGGGCACGTGGTGCACGGCGAGGAGAGAAAGAAAATCCAGCAGACTACTGGTCAAGCCAAAGGAAACGAAGTCGATACAACTGCAAAACCGCCTCAAGAACTCTCGACTGTCATCAGTCCGAACGCCCTACCCTCAGTCGTCGACCAGCCCGGAAACGTCCCGGCGCCCGAAACCGAAGCTATTCCCAAGCAAGTGGATATCGTTATGGATATCGCCGCCCGCGAGGAGCTGTCCGATCCCACTAATGGCGCAAACGACAACGCAGAGGCACCTCAATCAATCACCCTCCAGAATAGTCCAAAGGTCAGGGAAGAACCCGAGCACTTGCCGACCCTTCACGATTCTGTCAGAACTGTCCGAACGCCTGTCATCGCAAGCTGCTATAACGAGGACCCATCATCGCCACCAGCGAAGATCCTTCTCGGTAGGGATTCAACCCCCATGATGATCCCGCCTGCTTTACAACAGCCGTTGTCTACGAGCAGCAGTAGCAACCAGTCTCCCGAAGCAATCCTTGAAACGACCAAGCCTTCCACACCTATCGCGCAACAACCTGTGCTACCAATCACCCCAGAAAACTCTTCTATGGAGAAAGTTCAAACGCCACAACTTGTGGATACTTCATTCGTGGTAAACACGTCCGTGTCCGACTATTGCTCGCTTCCAGCCAAACTTCTAGACGGAATCGCCTCGCTTTCTGATTTACAGATCGCGTCGGGTCTCAACACTTCCAGCGTCGCTGATCGAGGCGTCGGACCAAGCGTTTTGCATCCATCTGGCACACAAGCCCACACTCAATAGACCGGTTCACCCATGATCTGCTTCTACAAGTCCTTGATTAGCTGATTCGAATGTCCTTCGTCGAATATATTATCACGTCCCTTCTCGGAGGGTGTTACAATCGATAATGTACAAAGGCAAAGCGTCGTGATTGTTCATTGCCGCGAGGCGTCCATCTATTTGTTCAAGCTCGCCTTCAGCTCAATCTTGCTCAACAGGTTCTTGAGGTTCCTGCCCCCTCTTGTACAGTTCTCTTCGAGCCAGCACTGGAATTCGCCCCGAATCGCCGCGAGCTCGTCGTGAATAGGGAGAGCACCTGAGCGCGTGGCAAGCTTTGGGTTGAGTAGCAGGTCAAAGAGAGACTGCCACAATTCGGTTTGCCAATACTATGGGGTAATAATGTCAGCGGGTGCCGCGATGGTCTCATGCTTGCACGCTATCAACTTACGCGCTTGAAAGACCCGTTGATCTTGTATCTTTTCTTGTCTCCGTCGTTGGGCTCAGCCGGTGCCAGTTCCGTTGAGATGTACTTGCCAAAAAGCATGCAGTAGCAAATACTGGCGAGGCCGTAATAGTCCGCCTCATAGCTCCACGGGCGACCATCCCGCATTTCTTGACAATCTTTGGCATCGACCGGCCAATCTGCGACAAACGTCTGAGCGGTACCTTGAGGGTAGGCCCGGAGATCGATGGTCCGGCCGAGGTCGATCAGGTGGATTCCCTTGCCTGACCACCCACTTTCCCCGTTCATCTCATACTGACTAACCCATTCGTCGGTCTCTTCCAACCTGATGAGACAGTTGTCGATTTTGAGGTCGCCGTGAATGAAGTCGGCTCGATGCAAAGCCTCGATAACCCTCAACAATTCGATGGTAAAGAATATGGCAAGCGTCTCGTCGAAACCACCAGATGCGCCTGCCGCAGGCGCAGCGATACCCCATGCAGCTGCCTTGTTCACAGCGTCCAGGAGAGTGCCCTGGTTGTAATAGTCGAGGAGTAGGATCGACTCGTCCTGGTAGCAGTACAGTCCCCTAGACTTGACAATCGAAGGGTGATGTTCCGGAGCCACACGTGTGCGGATACGATCGAGAACGACGGCTTCCCATACGTTGGCGGGTTTTTCGACCTTGAGAGCCAAGGTATAAAGGGCCTCCGGGTTGGCTTCCTCGTCCTCGTCGTCACTCGCTTCGTCCGCTGCGTCACGAGCAGCAAGGTCGATCGCCTTGAACACCGCACCAAATCCTCCCTCACCAATCTTGTCCTCAATTTCGAACTTGCGCCCATGGATCGTAAGCTCCCAAGCACCTGTTGCTGGCGGTTTGCTTCCGGTCGAAGTGGAAGTCCGCCTGACGCGGGACTTGGCAGTCTTCTGCAGCTCCACGAGCTGACCTCCTGTCGTCTTCCTCAAGTCGACGAAGTTGGGCAGTTGAGTGATGGGCGGTTGAAGCGCCGCAATGAGAGGCTGCATGACATCGGGGTCGGTGGGACAGCACGGGTTGGTTGGGTTAAACATGACCACAGCTTCAGAGGTAGGCGAGGGAATGTCCTGAACAGGAACCATGAGCTTTTCCGGTCGAGCATCGCTTATATCCAGCGCCGCCATGCTGATATCATCTTCTACGGGGTTGGCCAATGGAATTCTTTCAGATTCGACGGCGACTGGGGTTTCTGCTTGAGGAGTCTCGGCGACAGGCGATGTTTCAGTCTCAGCAACGACGGGTTCCTCGACAACGCGTTCTGCAGCACCGCGCGGCTGGATGGTGTGACCAGGAGACAACTGGAACAGGGAGTGAGATGCGTCCGAACGTCTCGATCCCTGCTCCCCGGTAGCCTCGTCGAATGGAACCTGCGGGCTTTGCTCTCGATGCACAGACTGTTGTCGGTCAGAAACCCTCGAACTTTCGCTTTCTTCCTGGACAATAGAAAGACCCTGTCGTTCAGCCAAGACCTCTTCCTCTTGTTCGTCCAGGTCAAATTCCTCCTCATCATCCATTGCCTTGCGCTGGCTCTGCGTCAAAGCGCTAGACGTTGATGAGCGCAAGGTGAAACCCTGGGTGGATTGCGTGTACTCGCAAGTCCGCTCGGTGATGGGAGTCATCATGTCAAATGCGCCTCCACATCGCACAATCCGCCTCGGGTTGTAATCATTTTCGTCCTGCAGATACTCTTGGTCCTCGTTGGTTGCTCCTTCTTGAACTGTACCCTCTTCAGAAGTCTCGGTCAACGTGGTGGTAGGTTTCGCTTGTCCAAACACCCTTTTGGCAGGCAATGGAGTGGTATAACGTTGATCCGCAAAAACCGACGCACTTCGTTCTGGCGATTCGGCCTCGCTGACCACAGTCAGAGGTTTGTTTGTGCGAGGCGCAAGTGGCGTCTTCATCGGAGTTTGACCAAAGACGGATTCTCGCATCTTTGAACCGTTTGAAGAACCGGCATTCTCGTCAGGAAAGACGGTTCGCTGCGCATTCTCATCCTGGAAGACCGGCTTGGAAGCGTTCTCATCGGCAAATACTGGTCTCGGTGCATTCTCGTCCCCAAAGACGGCCATCTTGGTAGGCTTTTGAGGAGCGTTCTCATCCTGAAAGACGGACGGTTTGGCATTCTCGTCAGCAAACACTGTTGGCTTGACGTTGTTGGCATTCTCGTCGCTAAAGATGGCAAAGGCCGGCTTCTTGAGTACCGGCAGTTCCTCATCTTCCTCCTCAAAGATCGCTCCGACGGCGCTCGACTGTTTCCGGCCGGAAAGATAACCCTGTGCGGGGGTAGGCGTAGCGGGAACCATCCGACTAGGGGTAGGCATGCTCATCCCCACCCTCGGCGCCGTGCCGGGCATAGGCAAGGGAGTCGGGGGGACCGCGCTCGTCTTCATATCCTCGTCGTCCTCTTCATCATCATCATCTTCCGAATCGTCCGAATCCTCATCCTCGTCGTCCTCGTCGATATCCCCAGTCCCACGTCGGCCGACCGTTAGAGTCTGGTTGAACAGCTCAAACACCTCTGCCATGGCGGCTTTCGTGTTGACTGTCGGTGAAGGTGGCTTACGCACAACCGGCTTAGGCTTTTCTGGCGAATGCACTGCAACCCAATGTGCATGTTTCAGCTTCGCAATCTTCTCGTTAAATTCCGCCTCGATCGACAACTCACGCGTCGGAGTATGCCATTCCAGCTCCCAATCTCTGACCTCCTTCGCTCCCCATCCACTCGAACTCCCACTGCCCAGACCCATTCTCGCAGCCCTGATTTCCTCGAAGCAGAATTCGGTTCCGTTCCTGTAAACCTCGTCCCACTGAAACATCCTTCGTTCGATCTTTCCACCTTTGCCGACGACCTCTTGGCCTTCGTCTCCGGTATTTGTGCTGACCGGGGTCTTAGAGCGGGAAGAGCTAGATTTGGATTTACTCGACTTTTTCTCGCTCGAGCTCGAGGCCTTCTTGGACTCTTTAGTGGAGAAGTTCTTGAGCGGGTCCGCACGGATAGAATCCGATACGAAAGTTGGGGGAAGCGGTTTGGCAAACCCGGCGTCGTCCTGTAAGGTTAATGCAACGAAGGAGCTGTTCAGTATGATTACCTCAACAATAAGAACAGCTTCACGAGCGGGGACTGACCGCATCGCTGAAAACGCTAATTTTCGGTGCTCTCGGGGTGACCTTGCTCTTGTCCTGCTTCATCACCTCCCCCTTCCAAGGCATGGCCTCCATAAAGTTTTCCTTCCTGTTCCCCTCCCTCGTCCCCATGTCCTGCCATTCTCCTTCCCGCTGATCTAGACCAGAGGTTGTTCGTGCTTGGTCGGAGAACACGTCGAGCTTGGCTCCGTTCAAAGGTTGTCCGAGCAGGGTTTTGGTGGGTAAGCTGGAAGAGGCAGATTGCTGGAGGGCGGATCCAGAGCGATTGGCCAGTACCGTTCTCGGTGCCGCACTCCTCTCGCCAGATTGTGCTTGTTCCTCCCCGACCCCCGCGACTCGGTTCCTGTGGCTTTGGTAACTCGTCTGCAATCTCTTCAATGGCTGGGCTTTCCTGTTGATGCCCAACCTATAAATCTCGTCCGCACTCGAGACCTTGCCCTTGCTCTCCGCCGCCAAAGCCCATTCTTCGTAGAACAGCGCATGACCCGTCCCCACTTCCCGGCTGTTGAGAAAGGACCAGACGTCGTCGGAACGTTCGACCAGACGGGCGTATTGCGCCCAGAGTTTTAGGTAACGGAGGTCTTGCTGGAATCGAGCGTCTTCTATGAATTTGCGGGTGGTATTTTCGAGCACGGGCAGGAGGTGGGAGGGGGATGAAGGGTGGTGCTGGTTGATGAACGCCACGTATCTATGAAGTCGAAACGTCGTACTTCAGTACAGCCGCTCAAACTCTCCCAGCGAAACACCACAGCTCACCTGCAATATGGCTCCAAGACATCGTTAATGCCCTCTGGCAACTCGTCCCCCTCGGCTTCTCGTCGATTCGTATCCTCGATCGACTGTTTATGCCGTTCATGTCCCTCGTGCACCATCCTATCCGCCTCGGCTCTTTCTTTGGTCAAGACGTTGGACAAGATCGATGCTGACCTGCCCGTTGAGAGGGGTACGATGTTTTCCTTTTGAGCCTCGATGAGCGCAAAGTCGGTCGTCGGCGTTGCGGGAATTTCACCTCGGGTTGAAGGGTTGGCACCTCCGGGTGTGGCTGGAGGCGCAAGTGTAGCCATGTCGCTATAATTCGAGGAGCTTGTTGCTCTTGGGTCGTTCGTCAGGTTGGAGATATGGTGAGGTGACGAAGCTGAAGTTACCGACACGATATTCGACATGTGCTCGTCTTGTTTTGTTTTGATTTCGTTTGTTTACACTTTCGCCAAGGGAAAGGCAAAAGGATTACCTAAGCAGCGGATACGATAGACCCGTGATCACGTGACTGACAACGCTCAACGCCAGGATGGTTGACCGTGTCATAAAAAGTCACGGATACAGGAAAGCTCGTGAATGTGTCATGAAAAGGGAGCCTCGGATCGTTGGGATACAATGGTGATAATGCGCGACGTATCGACTGGCGCCCTCTGATTATGCCTTTTTGCCCGCTTTCATCGCGGCGATTTTCTGCAAACGAAACCAAACATCCGAGTTCCTCAGGGTCAGACGAATCCATACGTATACCATCAATACGCTTTCTTTACTCACGGCTTTCCTCTCTTCCCTCCGTCGCGCCATCTCCTTCTCCTTTTCCTCCTTGCTCATGGAAGCCAAGTTGACCGGTGGCGTGGCTGGTTTTTCGGGTATACTGATTGCTGGCGATTGTGCTCGAGCGGGTTCGATGGGTGCGTCCACGTTGGTTATCACTGGCGCAGGGATGGATTTCGCCGCGGCGACCGGTTTGGGCTGGGGTTTTGGTTTTGGCGTAGAGATGGGTTTCGTTATCTTGACTTCTGGTATGACGGCATCTTCTTGCACCGGGTCCATATCTCCCCATCCGTCTCCGTCGTCCACTTGAGCTGCAACCATCGAAAAGGACCGGATGAATATGTGACGTGAATCTGAACCCAGACCGACTCTTCGGGGCTTACGTGAGGCAATGGTCGAAGTGCGCAGTGATGTCGACCCCTTGCGCGAACCGTTCGTCGAAGGCCGTACCTCCATGGGTACCGGTGCCGCCTCGAACGCGCCTACAACAACCACCTCCTCGATCAGCTCCGCAACAAGAACCCCACACACGCGAATATCATTTGCGACTCACTCCAATCATCCGCATCGGCATTGACATCCATCAAATCCCCATCGCCCCAAGCGTCCCCGACCGACCCTTCCTCCTCTTCGTACTCGGCCGCAAGCGTATCGGCGAGGGAAGAGACCTCTTTCTGTTGCTTCTGATTGACCCGCGATGAGCCTCCGAGTTGCATCCCGCCTGCCCGACTACCAGCCGCGGACGCCCCGAATCTTCCAGCACCTCCGAGCTTGGACGCGGACGACGCCGGAGATTGGCGAGACACATCCCCAAAGCTCGGTCGAGGAGAGACAGCTGGCGAAGGCATGTTTGAAGTCGAGTTGAAGATCTCGGACGTTGGTCTAGGCAGCTCGAGAGGCCTTTGCACTTGAGCCGGAGTAGCCGACATTTGACTGTGCGCCTCGTTGGAAGGAAGTTGCTTGTTCAGGGACGAGATGGCCCATCCTGCCAACGCGCCTGCCGCGCCTGCAGCTGTACCGACTAGGCTGTTGCTTCCAGCTTGTGCGGCACTGGCTTGAGTCGTCGTGGAAGGTCCGTTGGCGGCGCCAAAAGGGACATTGTCATTCATCGCCGTCTCGGGCTATAATTCAGAGCAGACATCAGCAGAGCTCAAACGTGCCGTCACCTCATAGCGATCATGCTCACCATTGCTGCAGCTGCCGCCTCGAGCTTGCCCATGAACACCTGCATCGCCTTGAACGCCTGGTCCCTTACCAGCCTGTGTTCGGCCCCAAGATAAATCAGTCGCTGGATTCCTTCCAAACTCACATCAGTAGCGACAACTCACTTCTCCTTGTCAATCATCGTGAAAGCCATATTCGGGATGACCCTCCCTGCTATATCGTCCTTGTCGTAAAACTCTACTGTCGCCATGAGAGCCATCAATCCAGCTACCCTGGCATGCACAAATGTGTCCTTCAAACTCCTCGCAAAAGCGGGTACGAGGACCTTTTTCTTGGTATTCGGCCCCAGAAGAGGGGCGAGTCGGCCGAGCAAGATGCAGGTGTTTGTCCTGATCGAAGGCTCGGGGTCGACTTGCATTTTGGCGAGCAGCCGGAGGAGGTCGTTGTTGAGTAGCCTGTCGTTCAACTGTATTCCAAAATCAAGAATCAGCAAAAGTGATATCTGAACCCCGGAGCAACCCGAAAACTGACCTTGGGGGCGATAATCGGGATAGCCTTTACAGTAGCCTCCCGGATGACGGCCACCGTGTCCGCAAATCCGGTTATCAAATGCGGCCAGACCTTGTCCACAACCATCCCCTTTTCCAACTTCTCCCCATATTCCGCCAAGCCTTCTAGGAGGGCCATCCTCGTCCCCCTATCTGGGCTCGCGTACAACCTGACGACCGGGTCGAGTACCGTCGCCGTGTACCTGTGCGGAGGCACATTTTTTCCGATGCTGAGTACGAGGGGGAGGATATGTGATGCCGGTGCCGAGGGTAACGAGAGGGAGTGTAATAGCGAAGGTAGGATCTTGGAGATCAAGAACGGCGGAGGGAGGATATCTTGACTCTCCCTTATCCGTCTGAGCAAGCTGATCTTGTCGGCCTCTCCGGCGAGCTCGAACCCTTCCAGCGAGTTGACGAGCTCGATCAGGTTGTTTCCTTGCCAATACCCCGTGGATTCCACTTCGCTGACGAACCGCGTCGTCGCAAGCCGGGTCTTGGCATTAGGGTTGAGCATGCGTTTGTAGACCGGAAACAAGGATTTCGGGACCGAGCCGATTGTGGAAAGTTGCGGGGCGGCAGAGAGGCTGGGGAGAGGCCTGTCCGGATTATAAAGCTGGTAAATGAGGAGTGCTAGGAGATATGTATCTGAGAGCGCTGGATCTTGGCTGTGAACATCAGTCAGTGTGAATAGAGTATCAGCATTCGACCCGAATCACCTCGAGTCCCAAAATCCCAAAAAAACAAGAAGGACTCACTCTCTTAAAGCCCCCCAACCGCTCTTCCTGACTTCCGGCGCACTGACCTCCCCGACCTCCTTGCCTATCAGTCCTCCCGCACCCCAAAGTACACCCTGGCCATCTTCCATTCCCGTCAAGACCTCGAACCCTCCCAACCTCCACTCCAGCGCCGGCGTCACCCAGACCGACCCGTTATCTAACCCTAATAGCGCGTGATGTTGTGAAAGAGGAGTAGCGTTGATGAACGCCAGACCTGTGGAGAGGGATTTCAAACCCCAGGCTAGCCATTCTTGTTTCGCGCGTTCTCGGTGGGAAGAGGAGGGGATAATCGACGAGTTGGTGAAATCGGTCAGGGCTGCAGAGAGCGGGCGGACGCGTTCGGTGGCTATGTAGATGTGGGTCTCGGTCTCTAGCGAGTCGATATAGCGTAGGCTGCGGAAGCGGCATTGCTCTCGATCAGCCTTCATCGCGGCAACCGAATGACGGAGAACATGCGATACTCACATATTAGGATGTCGAATGGATCTTAGCTTCTTCAACGCGTTCCTGGCGATATTGAACAGCGCTTTCCGATCCCGATTCCCGGGTTGTAATGGTGGAAGTGTAGAATCGAAGATGAACAGAGTCAAGGGGGTTTGGTCGTCCTGTCATTCGAGTGCGCGTGACGTATAGCGGGTGCACGACGAGGTGGTTTCGAGTACCAGTGGAAGACAAACAAGGATATCAAAGCAAAAGCAGTATCAGCGTCAAATCTCAGCAATGTTGCTGCATATAAGTTGGACGAAACACAACAAAAGGATTCTAGACTCACCTTCTTGACCCCCTCCCTGATGTCCCATATCGTCTTGCCCTCTGTGCCCGGTATTCGATCGCCGATCGTGAATGGGAACGAGACACCTGTGGACTGTAACGCCGCCGAGGCGATATTGCGCAGAAAGTCCATGCTGAGCTAGTGTGACGATATGAAGTATGTCTGTCAGCTACAACAGCGCAACAGCCTGAAGGATCGGGGTGTACAATCATGCAACCATATGACAATAATGACAATGACCCCTCCTCGGGGCTGAATGACCCTCTCGACCGATGACGGCATACACACGGTGGTATGGTGATCACGGACATTAACCTGTTTTTATCCGGGATAGTTGTTGATGTCCGTTTGCATCCGTTGTTGCGCCCGAAATGTTCGTCCTTTTTGATTCCGGGGGGAGTCGACCGCTGTTATCTCTCGACTTTTACCCAAAAGTTGCGAGGTCATGAAGATTCTCTCCATCCCCTTCCTTCTGCCTGAACGCTCCATCTTCCCAGGCTCCCAGGTCATCCTGAGGCGATGCATCACCGTGGAATAACTCGCTGAACCCTCAAAAAACTACATCGTCGAAATTCCGATTCGGAACGACCATACCCATATACCCACGGCCCAAAACTCGTCTCTCTTGACTCGACTTCTTCGAACCGATCAACCGGACCAGCTGCAGCTGTAAGTCTGGCATATAATCTTCAGCATCTTCTCCTAATCCGAGCTTATACCAAAAATCTCTTATGAATGATTTGGAAATCCAAAAGTTCAGCACAACACAATGCTCGTCCTTCCCGGTGCCTCCTCGCTCTCGACGGTCAAGCGTGCCGTCCTCACCCGATCATTCCAGACCGCCGTTCCCGCCGTCACTTCGGTCGACAGCGTCTACCTTCACCTTGTCCAGCCTACTTCGGACGAAACGCTTGCAGAGCTCCAGGACGAGAAGGCCAAGCCGAGAGAGATCTTGAAGAGCTTGTTGACGTATGGGGATGACGACCGGTTGGATTCGACCAAGACATACTTGAGCTCGTCACAGTTGGACCCTCAGCAAAAGGACCAGGATGGGCAATATACCTTGCCTCTCTACGTCCTGCCTCGACCGGGAACCATCTCCCCCTGGTCGTCAAAAGCTACCGATATTGCCCGGATATGCCGACTCGGCTCTCACGTCAAGCGTATCGAACGTGGGTTCCTCTACGTCGTCCGATCGTCTTCGCCTATCACCTTGCAGGACGTACAAAAGGTCCTCCCGGACATTCACGACAGGATGACGCAGACGGTCATGACGGATACTCCTGCGGCTTTCCTCGTCTTCCCCCCTGTGCCGCCTAAACCGTCTCCCTTGGTCACCATCCCCATCTTGACCGCCGAAGACCCTACCGCACTGCTCAAAGAAGCCAACGTCAAGCTCGGTCTCGCTCTGTCAGAGGAAGAGATTCCTTACCTCATCTCATCTTTCCTCGCCGCCAAGCGTAACCCTACCGACGTCGAGCTCTTCATGTTCGCCCAGGTAAACTCGGAACACTGTAGGCACAAGATCTTCAACGCCGATTGGACCATCGACGGCGAAGCCCAGCCGATGAGCTTGTTCGGGATGATCAGGAATACCGAAAAGGCTTGTGATTCCAAGGGTACCATCTCGGCTTACCAGGACAACGCCGCCGTGCTCGAGGGTTATACCGCGCCGAGGTTCATGCCGAGGGAGGATGGAACGTACGAGGCCAACCTCGAACCCATGCCCATCCTCATCAAGGTGGAGACCCACAATCACCCTACTGCGGTTTCCCCCTACCCGGGTGCGGCGACCGGTTCGGGCGGAGAGATCAGGGACGAAGGAGCCGTAGGACGAGGAAGCAAGCCCAAGGCCGGTCTGGCCGGGTTCACCGTCTCAGACCTGAACATCCCTGGGTTCGTCCAACCGTGGGAATCCGATGTTGGAAAACCGGAACATATCGCCTCGGCCCTGGACATCATGATCGAAGCTCCCCTCGGTGGAGCGGCGTTCAATGACGAATTTGGCAGACCGGCTTTGGGTGGATACTGGAGGACTTTCTTGCAAGAGGTCGAGAGCGAACAAAAGGGGTCGACCGAATGGAGGGGATATCACAAGCCTATCATGATCGCCGGAGGATTGGGAAATGTCCGACCGGAATTCGCGCTCAAGGACAAGATTGAAGAAGGGGCCAAGATCATCGTACTCGGTGGGCCAGGAATGTTGATCGGTCTGGGAGGAGGAGCGGCCAGTTCGATGGCTTCCGGAGCGAGTTCGGCCGATCTGGACTTTGCCTCGGTGCAGAGGGAAAACCCCGAGATGGAACGTCGGGCTCAACAGGTCATCGACGCTTGTGTTGGGTTGGGCAAGAAGAACCCGATCCAGAGCATCCACGATGTCGGCGCGGGAGGTTTGTCCAATGCCCTGCCGGAGCTCGTACACGATTCGGACCTGGGTGCGGTCTTTGAGATCAGAGACGTACTCGTCGATGATCCGTCAATGTCGCCCATGGAGATCTGGTGTAACGAGTCCCAGGAACGATATGTGCTCGCCGTCGGACCCGGATCCGACCTGGACACGTTCGAGAGGCTCGCCAAGCGGGAAAGGTGTCCTTACAGCATCGTCGGGACAGCCACCTCGGAAGAGAGGTTGGTCGTCACCGACAAGCTTTTGGGCGAACGCCCGATCGATATCGCCATGTCGACCTTGTTTGGCAAACCGCCCAAGATGAAACGAGAGGCCCAGTCGATCAACCCGAACAGGACGCCGTTCGACTCTACCTTGATGTCGTATCTGCCTGCGTACGAAAAGGCTCCTGTTACCAGCCTGATGGCAGAGGCGATCAACCGGGTCATGAGACTGCCGAGTGTCGGGTCCAAGTCGTTCTTGATCACCATCGGTGACCGGACCATCAGCGGGTTGGTCACCAGGGACCAGATGGTCGGACCTTGGCAGGTCCCCGTCGCTGACGTCGCGGTGACTCGATCGAGTTATGGCTTTGACGTCGTCGTCGGTGAAGCCATGGCCATGGGCGAAAGGACCCCCTTGGCCCTGCTCGACGCCGGTGCCTCCGCCCGCATGGCTGTCGCCGAGTCGCTCACCAACCTCGCTGCTGCTTCGATCGACAGCCTGAGCAAGGTCAAGCTGAGCGCTAACTGGATGTCGGCCGCTTCGCATGAGGGAGAGGGTGCCAAGCTTTACGAAGCCGTCAAGGCGATCGGTGTCGACCTCTGTCCCGCCTTGGGTGTCGGTATTCCTGTCGGCAAGGACTCGATGTCGATGTCCATGAAGTGGCAGGACGGCTCCGACAAGAAGCAGGTCACTGCTCCCTTGTCTCTGATCATCACCGCCTTTGCTCCCGTCGACAACGTCGAGAAGACCTGGACCCCTGAACTTCGAACCGATGTCGAAGGACCGACTTCGCTCGTGTTTGTGGATTTGGCTCGAGGCGAGCAGAGGCTCGGCGGATCTGCTATCGCCCAGGTATTCAAGCAGCTCGGTCACGAAGCTCCCGACGTCGTCGAGGCCGGTGATATCAAGGCGTTCTTCGGCGCCGTTCAGCACCTCAAGAAGGACCATCCAGAGACCGTGCTCGCTTATCACGACCGATCGGACGGTGGTCTGTTCACCACGATCGCCGAAATGGCGTTTGCCGGTCGTTGCGGCGTGGAAATCTCGGTCGACTCGATCCAACCTTCCGAGGACGCTATCGCCGCGCTGTTCAACGAAGAACTCGGAGCCGTCATGCAGGTCCGTCAGTCTGACATGCATGCCTTAACGGACGCCTTTGTCAAGGCTGGCTTCCCTACAAGCCACTTGCACGTCATCGGTCGAGTCACTGGCCGAGACGCCCAGTCGATCAATATCGTTCACAACAACGACACGATCTACACGAGCACTCGAGGGGCCGTCCAACAGCTCTGGGCCGAGACCTCGTACCGCATGCAGGCCATCCGCGACGACCCCATCGCTGCAAAGGAAGAGTTTGACCGAATCCTGGATGACGCCGATACCGGTCTGATCTGCGACTTCAAGACCGAGTTCCTTGCCGATGTCAATAAATCTGCCACGGCGCCCAAGGTGGCCATACTTCGAGAACAGGGAGTCAATGGACAGATCGAGATGGCTTGGTCATTCTCTCAGGCCGGATTCGAAGCCGTCGACGTGCACATGTCCGACATCATTTCGGGCAAGGTCTCGTTGAGTGAATTCAAGGGATTGGCTGCTTGTGGTGGATTCTCCTATGGAGACGTCCTCGGTGCCGGTAACGGATGGGCCAAGTCGATCTTACTCAATGAGCGGGCCCGAAGCGAGTTCGAGACGTTCTTTAAGCGAGAAGATGCCTTTACTTTGGGCGTCTGTAACGGATGTCAATTCCTCAGTCAGCTGCAAGAGATCATCCCTGGTGCCGAGTCGTGGCCCTTGTTCAAGGTGAACAGGAGCGGACGGTTCGAAGGTCGGGTTGCTTCGGTCAAGGTCACCGAGTCTGCTGCCAACTGCATCTTCCTCAAGGGTATGGAAGGGTCGACGCTCCCCGTCGCCGTCGCCCACGGAGAAGGGCGTGTATCGTACACAGATGCCTCCCGCCTCTCCCAGCTTACGTCGGACGGCCTCGTTGTCGGTCAATACGTCGACTACAACGGTTCTCCAGCTACTACATACCCTGCGAACCCCAACGGCAGTCCCGAGGGGATCACGGCCATCACAACGACGAACGGGCGGGTCTTGGCCATCATGCCTCATCCTGAACGTACCGTCGCGAGGGAGAGCATGAGCTGGTTCCCGGTCGGGGAGGGAAAGAAATGGGACGGCAAGGCCCCCTGGTTCAGGTTGTTCCAAAATGCGTACGCCTTTGCCACCCAGTCATAGGTCAATTTGAGGTCGATCGGTCAGACGGTGCATAGAGGAAAAATTCGTCACCCCCAAAAGCAAAACATCTTCTTTAGTCAGATTCCGGCTTCGCCTATCTCTTGTATTTCGTCTCTGCAGCAGCATGTTCAACAGAAATTATTCCGATTCCGATATACGAAAATCTTCAACACATCGACCTGTTGCATTTGAAGTACGTCGGACCACAGACAAGGGGAGCACTTGATGTACTGTCTCATAGGTCCCAGGATGACGACCAGCGCAGCGACGTCGACTGCGCTGGTCGTCGACCCAAGTGAGTTGTTGCTGCTGCACTTCAATTCGGGCCGGTGACGACGCAACCAGGGTGGGAGAGCGAGTCGACGACTCGTTGGGATAGAAAGCGAGGTTGCTTTCGTGGTTTTCGTCGGTTGCCATGATGTATTTCTCCCTCTCCTCGGTCGACATGCGATGCTTTCGGTTCCCAATGATGAAGGGATTGTCGGTGAAAGCAGGGTTCTCGGCAAGGGAGGAGCTGCCGGCGATGGGAGGGTCGTTGTCGAAAGAAGGAAACAGCATTGCAAGAGACCGTGGAGGTGGCGTTTTTATAGGAGTCTTGGTAGGCGTACCGGAAAACGATCCGCCCATGAGCGAGGCTTTAGCTTGGTGTGATCGAGGCAACTGCTCCGGTCGCTGCTGGATGAGATTGAGATGGTCCCGTCGCTGCTGGACGGCACGGTGTTGCAGCTGTTCTTCCAGCTGCTTCCGGACCTGTTCCCGGACCTGTTCCCTGATCGCGTTCTCCCTAATAATGGGCTGTTGCTTCTCTGCTTCGACAAGTTCAGATGGTGATGGGGTCGTCGAGGTCCACGAGATGATCCCCTCGATGTATCCGAACATGGTGGCGGGTATCCGAGTTCTGTGACAACACAAGTGATTCAGCATGCGTTGTTGCTCAGATAAGGCAAAAGCTTTGGCTCGAGAGAAGCTCGAGGGGATATGCTTAATCGGTTGTCGATTTGCGAAACGCCTTCGGAACTTCTTGTCCAGTCGTGACTTGACATGATCCTGGATTCGAAGCGAACTATCTCCATCGTCATGATCCCTTCTCCGCATCCTTTTCGAATATGGATCTCGAACTCGGTCTTGACTATGACATTATCTGACGGTTGAACAGACTACAGAACGCCCGGAAAGAACGCCATGGGCAAGTCTTCGGGTTTAGCTTGCAATATGCGAACTTGCAGGGAAGTAGATTAGGGGTTATGGATCCTTTTTTTGGTGTAATCCAGGGTCCTAATGTAGCATACGATGTGCAAAGCTCGGCACAAGTCGCAAATTCAGAAGCGCTGCGGATGGGTATTCTATGTCGACAAACGAAGTTTCATGCACCCCAGCTTACAACCCGATCTTTCCACCCCTACCACCCGGAGCCCTCTTCCCACCCATCTTGCCTCCCATTCCTCCCCCTGGACCCGGCCTAGTCGGCATCCCCTCCGCTTCACCCCTCTTGGCCATCCTCTTCTGATGCGCCTTCTTCTCCTGCTCCTTCGTTCGCTTCTTCTTCAACCCCAGCTTGACTTTCGCATCCTCCAGAGCCTTCTTTTCGATCTCCCTCTTTTCGCGGGCGATCTGCTGAGGCGTCTTGGGGAGGTCGGTAGCTTGGATTCCGACTCCGGCGACGTTGGCTCCTCGCAATCGGATGCGGCCGTCTTTCAAGGTTTCGGTGATGACGGGGGAAGCGGCGGGACGGTACTTGTGTTCATCTGAATATCTAATCGTCCAAGGCGAGAGCAGGAAGAGATGAATGTAGTGAAATCCGTCGGGCCGGGTCAGTAAAGCGGGATTTCAAAAATGAAAGAAGAAGAGGATCTGCACGTACCGGTTCGCGTAGATTATCTGCGGTTTGACCGGTTGACCCCATTGCCCCAACTTGGATGCGATCCAGAGCAAGAGCAAGATCCCCGCGATCAGAGCTGCCCTGCTCAACCTTGATGGAGGTGGTTGGTTGAATGCCGCTCGGGTGTCTGCGTGCATGGGTCGGTTGGGATTGAGAGGAGGTTCGGGGATGAGGTGGTCGGCTTCCTCTTCTCGCTCTTCTTCCCGAGAGTAGCGGGTGGGAGGTGTTGGAGATTCGGAGCGGTTGATCGAGGACGACATATATGAGTGTATGACAGTGGAGCCAGGCGTAGAAGATGAGAGGTGAATCTGAGATCTAGGATGACGGTGTAGTTGATCGTATAAGGGTACCAGGTCTCTCTCCTTCATAGCCTCCAGGCCAGCTTGCTCTCCTTCTCGGGCAGATCCGCGCCAAAGTGGGAGGAGGGGGGCAAAAGTCCAAGTAGTTAGTAGAGTATATAGCATATACAGACATCTATCAATCTTGCATCTTCATCGCCACCTCCTTCTCGCTCACGTCCTCAAGAATATACCCTCGATCTACTAGACTCGATCATGAGCTTGACATCACGCCAGATCGTCACCACCGCAAGAAGTGCGACCAAACGAGCTCCCACTCTGGCCTCGATCGCCCACAGGGCACCTACCTCAACAGCTCGAACCCGATCATGTTTGCCCCGTAGGGGCACATCTAGGTCATCAGATCCAGCTCGATCGAGTTCGGTCCTCGCCTCGAGGTATTATGCTACGGTATCTTCGCCCTCGACGACTAGTCCTACGGTCGATGAGACCACGGCGGTACCCTCGATCTCGCCAGAGAACACATATGATATCGTCATCATCGGAGCCGGTAACGCTGGTCTCGCCCTCGCCGCCAGTTTACGTGAGTAGTGATCTCCTGCTACAGGTGTCTGGGCCTGTACTGATTCTCATATTTCAACCTGCTGCATACAGTCTCAAAGCAACACCTCCTCAGTAACCGCCGAGTCCTCCTAGTCGAAGGGGGCAAGCTCGATCGGGTACGGAATTGGAAGGGTACCGAACAGCTCGAGAACAGGGTCAGCAGTATCACGGCGGAGAATGTCGAGTTTCTCAAAAGTGAGCATCTTTGTGCCAGTAGGACTTATCACCCGGCTTGCTGATCTCGATTCGATCCATTCTTGCTTTAGGCATCGGCGCCTGGCAGTATATCGAGAAATCCCGATCATGCCCCGTCAAGGATATGCTCGTAAGTACTCGAGATTCCGCAACGTATTATCACCTACCTCGAATCCGTATCCTGAAGATCATACCACCCCACTTCATCAGGTTTGGACCTCTACAGGCTCCGCTTCCTCTCAGATTCATTTCCCCGCCACTCGATCCCCAATGGCGTACATGACCGAGAACACCAACCTTCAACGTGCGCTCTTGCGTCGGATCGCCGAGGTTGGACAGGGCAAGGTAGAGATCCGGGAAGAGGCGAAGGTGCAGGAGATGCGAATGGATGAAGGGAAGAGGTCCGTGGTCCTGAAATTGGGAGAAGAGGGGTGGGTCAGGGGCGGGGTCGTGGTGAGTGTGCTCTTACGAGGAGGGAGGATGAACGAGGAGACACGGTATCTAACGAAATGCGGTTACCATCGTGATAGGTCGGAGCGGACGGGCCAAATTCGCCAGTCAGGTCGTTCTCAAAGATCGAATCATTCGGCCACCCGTACCCTACTCACGGGATCGTCGCTACTCTGAACCACGGTCGACTTGATGCCAACCATACGGCTTTCCAGCGATTCTTGCCTACCGGCCCTTTGGCCTTTCTGCCAATGACGCCGACTTCATCCACCATGGTCTGGTCCACCAAACCCGAACTCGCCGCTGCTTACAAGGCACTTGGACCGGAAGCGTTGGCCCATCTCGTCAACCTCGGTCTATACGCATCGGAACAGGAATTGGAGAAGCTCAACATGGCGATCCTCAGCCAAGGCGTTTCTGCAGAGATGATCGAGGCCGAGAGTCAACGCGTCTTGTCAACACTTACGAACCAGGACGTCAAGAGCTTGCCCCCTCCCGTGATGAGCATCGCGGAGAAATCGGTCGCTTCGTTCCCTTATCGGTTGTCCCATGCCGAGAGCTACATCGGCGATCGAACGGCTCTGGTAGGAGATGCTGCGCACACGGTGCATCCCCTCGCTGGGCAGGGCTTGAACATGGGTCTGGCGGATGTCAAGGCATTGGCAGAGACTTGGGACCGCGTGGGCAAGGTCGGGGGTGACCTGGGCGCTTATACGGCGATGTTGGCATACCCGCGTGAGAGATATCCGGCGAATCACCTCTTGCTGTCGACCACGGACAAGCTGCATCACATTTTCGGTACTAGGATGCCGATCGTCAACTGGGCTCGATCGACAGGGATGGACTTGATCAATGAGATGACTCCCGTAAAACGAGCTCTGATGGAGAGGGTTGGAGCGAATGCAGGGGTCAAAGAGAAGAGCTGGTATGAGGCTGGAGCGGATACGCTGGACGGGTGGAAGACGGTCAAGAGTCTCGCTGGGATTGCACGAGCAGGAGCCGGACAGCTGATCAGTAACGGCGCGCGCAAGTTGCTCGAGCGGGGAGCGAACCTGGGCCGGCCGACCGATCTGGCTTCTCGTCGATCGATACATACCTCGGCCACGTTAGCATACCCGAAACCCAAAGCTCCGCCAATCAAGAGACAAGGACCGATGCCTCTGCCCAGGAAAGAACAGGCCGAGTTCGATGCGCTCGTCAAGGCTGCTCAAGGACCCGGCGTATCGCTGGATGACGCCCGAGCTCAAGCTCAAACCAAAACCCCGGCGTCGAATGCCGATCTGATCGCGCATCGGGATCTGAGGCGCACGACCTCGAAAAAAGAGTTTGACGGAGAGGTAAACCCGAAGACGGGCGAGGTGGGCGGGCCGAAGAGGGATCCGTTCCACGCGGGAGATGGGGACTGGCAGTATTCAGGTCGAGTGACCGATTTCTAAGACCAAAGTTCGAGAGATATTTATCAATGATATGTAATTAAAGATAATCGACATCGTCATGAGCGATGAACTGTATCAAGGATGACTAGGCCACGGTCGAAGGGCTCGTGCGAGAGAAAAGGCCTCTCCGATGGGCTTTGTTCTGAAGATGATGGGCTCGCAGTAGCGACTTTTCAATGCTGATAAAGTTTCAAGTAATACCCATGGACGTAAGATCCATCGAGATAACCTAATAAGGGTCATTCTTCGAGACGTCGGTACAGCCTCTGCCTTCTCTACTACCTCTCCTACACTCCTTCTTTACTACGCCGCTCCACTTATGTACCATCACTTTAATTGACATCTTTCTTCCTTCTGACCCTAGTCCAGTACTCTAGCTATCCTTCACCAGCGATGAGATCAAGTCATAAGTCTCGGTCACGTACAACACTTGTTTGTAACAGCACTGACCTGTAAGTCAAGGAGGGGGGTTCATGAGACCGGGAGGCCAAGAGCTAACTTGCAACTTGCGAGTTCTCATGCAGACATAATCCACATTCATTTATACTCGGACACCCCTCTTAAGTCCATCTCTCGCTGAAACCCATATTCTACCATGTTCAACTTGATCAAAACCCTCGTCTTTACTCCGGCTACCCCCAACCCGGTCACTCCCCCTCCGGCCGCCTGGTCACCTGACTGGGAACTCTTCGAGGCCGAGCAGTTGGCTCGTGACAAGTTAATCGCTCTCGAGGTCAGGAAAGAGGTGCAGAAGCAGATGCGCTTGCACAGTCGCCCTGCCGAGCAGATCCGGCCCCTCGAACACCTGCCTCAGGGCAAGAGGGTCAAGGAGTCGGCATTCGGTTCGTCCGCCAGGGCCTCATTGTCCAAAACCACCCTCGAGCTACCCGCGAGGGCAAAGGTCCAGCAACTGTTCCCCTCATTCGCCATTGAGGAAGACGCCGACGATCACCTCCTGGCCACCGACCCGGAGCACGAAGGCAATGTCCCCTTATATCCCTACAGGGATGACTCGCCCTTATAGAACCGGCGACAATGTTGTGTGTCCGTCGGACAGGACGACATTGTCTCGCTGACCGTCGTCAAAAGCCCTCTCATATGGCCATATGCCATGTGCCATATGATCCTTTCCTGGATCTTTCTGCTCATCGGCCTTCTCTGTATCTGGTCTCTGTCTTGCGTTAGCGAGCATGGTAGCGTGAAGTCGGTCGATTCATATATTCATATACGTCAGACGATCAGACGTGGCCCATGGCGGGCCTAGTGTCGTCTCGGACTACTGACTCGCAACCACCGATCTATTTTGATACGGCAAGGGTTCCATCTCATGTGCATCCTTGCCCACGATCCCACGACCTCCTTGCTCCTTGACCTCAGCCGTTCAAAGCCAAGAAGATCTAGATCGACCTGTGTAGGGGATAGATGAAGGAGCGGTGCATCCCTCATTCCTCAAACTTTGCCCTCGATCGCCTCTTTCGTTCCCTCCATCTGCCCAAGAAGGCACATATCCTGCGGATCCCGGAATCGATATTCTGGTATATCAAGTCTTCATAAAAGTCTTTCACTCTCACCACACGTTCAATTCCTCTTCGCCTCGAACAGAAATGAACATCGGCATCTTCCCTGCAGCAGGAGCTTTGGGAGGCTCTACGCTCAACCACCTGCTCTCTCAGGTAGACCCGCAGCAAGTCACCTTGATTTCTCGACACCCTCAGAAGCTGTCTTCTCAGGGAGATCAAGGAGCTACCTTGCGAAAGGCTGATTTCGATGATGCTGCCTCGTTGGATGGCGCTTTCGAGGGGATCAAAACTTTAAACTTGATCTCGTATCCGACATTCGAGTTTGAACATCGTGCCATGGTCTGTCCTCAGATAGACTTACAAGGCGCTTGTGGATTCCGAACTTATATCTCGCATCATACTTCGGATCATCTTGTATAGGTCGCTAAAAGAGCCATCGACTCGGCTATCGCCCAAGGAGTCCGTCACATCTTCTACTCTTCCCTTGCTTTCGCCAAAGACGGCTCAACCACCTCGAAAGCCCATGTCATGTTAGCCCACCTCGCTACCGAAGCTCACCTTCGAGCTCAGGTTGATGCCCACCTGGGGTTCAGCTATACCGTCATCCGACAAGGACTTTACCACGAGAGCTGGCCTGTCTACCTGCCCGGGCTGGACATTGCCCATCCTCCTGAGACGGGCGAGATCGTTTTACCTCATTCGGGTGATCCGCCAGGCCTAGCATGGGCAAAGAGGGACGAACTAGGAGAAGCGACAGCTCGCCTGATTGCAGACTATCAGCAAAACCCGAGTTCCTTCCCTTACATCAACAAGTCCATCAACCTGTCTGGACCTCGAGCTTATTCCCTGTCCGAGACGGCCGAAATCATCGGAAAAGCCGTCGGTCGGGATCTTCGTATCAGACAACTCGACATGGACTCCTATGTCCAGGCAAGGAAAGAGCAGGAAGCGAAGGAGTCCACCGAATTGGCATACGGTTCTGGTGAACTAGCCAGGTTATGGGCCACGGTGTATGGAGCGATCGAGGACGGGGAGGCCGCTGTGGTTACACCTCACCTGCGAGAATGGCTGGGAAGGGAACCGGAGGCGTTCGAGGTCACGATCAGGGCAATGGTCGAGGGCAGCAAGAAGGAATAGGCGATTGTGCGTCTGTAAATCTGTAATACGACATAGATCACCTCGATGAGTTTAACTGTTTTACGAGCAGCTACAGTTCTGTTGTTCACACTACTACACACATGTATCGATACAAGCTATATGATCTATCCCTAACGATCTACTGCTTAATGAAACGACAAAACCATACACCGATTCTTCAAGCCTTCCCTTTGCCTTTCGAGCGGGGTATCTCGGGTCCAGGCGTGATCTCTGGGTCGATGGTCGTTTCGTCCTAGGGGAACGGATCAATATCAATTTCTGGGCAAGTATGCTCGCCGGACTGTAGGAAGGTATGCTTACAGGTTGACACTGATTGATGCAAGGGGAAATCAGAGATGTCAGCGATCATGTAAAGCTTGTGATGATGATGGCGTTCTATAGTCACCTCCGCGTCAAACGCTACCTCGGCCGCACCATCGACCAACCAAATCCTCGTCGCCTTCTCGGTCGGACAAGGTTTCCGGCTCTGAAGCGCTTGCGGACAGCCCACCCAGCTAATGAGGCCAGATACGTCAGGGTCGTAATCTAGGTCATGACACGACGTGAGTAGGGGAAACTCACTGTTTCCAGGAGTCGCTATGCAGTACAGCTTGCGGATCATCGTACCCGTATTCGTCGATCGGACAGACCGATCCCCTTCCGAATGCGTGATTCAAGGTATACAGCGAGTGCATGACTGACAGACCAAACTGATCAGTCTCGATGGGTCGATTCAGAAGACGTTTGACTAGCTCACGTTTAGTCACGCTCGAGTAGAAACAAGGGAAGAAGACCCGGACGAGTTCTGGTGCGCAGATGTACTCGCTACCAGTCATCTCGTCCGTGTGTACGTGTAGCTATGTTAATATAATCTTGATTAAGCATGACCCATTGAAAATTCGCGCTGCCGCATCCCGGCTCACATGGAGATCCAGGTTGAATGGCCTGAGCGGCGCTTTCCCGATCAACTCTGGCTGAACATGCACCATGATAGGCACTACCATATACGATCCAGCTCAGCTGACTATGTCACTCTAGGTATCGATCCGCACCTCGACTTCGACTCACCCGACCGGTACTCGGCCTCGAGCAGCTTGTCAAACATGCTCGCCCGCTTGACCGCGCAAGCTCTCAACTGACACCCCACGTGATTGGTGGTAAACCCTAACTCCCGATGATCGAATCCAGATAATTTCTCTCCTTTTCTCGTCCTCGTCGACATGGCCGATGGTGGGGGTAGATGAAGGTAACGGTGTCGCAGCGCGTGAACAATCGAGGAGTTCGGGTCGACTTCGATAGACTTCCGGGAAGGGAGCTCTGAAGAAACTTCACTGATGAACGCTCCCGAGGTACTTTGTGTCTGCATGACAGCCCTCATGTCCGTCTCGATCAGCGCCCAGAGGAGGGCGGAGATGTGTTCGTAGTTTTCCCGCGTCAAAGCGATACGGGTGTAATCGAACCTCGAGCACTTGGAAGAGCACGATGCATGTGGTGGTGTAGGGGGCCGATCCGGATAAGAAACCAATGAATGGTCTTCGTCACAACAAGATTGATTGAGATCGAGGGGAGGCGGGTCGGCCGTGGACAAGGACGACCCGTCCAGGTTCTTCTTTTGCGTCGAATTGTTCCGTCGACCTTTCTTGCGCATCTGTGCTTTGCTCGTCGATGCGAGCTTCGGTGCAGGTCTGACAATTGTTGGTGACGTCTTGGCCGTCTGGCTTGGAGTAATTGCAGTTGTCCGAGGGGATGGGGGAGAAGCTGGCGGTGAGAGCGGAAGAGGGACGTGTCTTTGTAGAGTGGAGATCATGCTGGTGAAGTGTTGGTCGGTATAGAACTTGAGTAGCGGACAAGAGGTTTGCGGATGATAGAGCTCTAGGCAGCTGTAGTGACTTTGTATTCTCCTTATAGCCTTATATGCCTCGTCGACTACTGATAGTAACGATGATGGTGTCCATCGACTCCTTGCTTTAGCTCTTTAGTAGCTAGCGCGTTGGCGGTAAGATGACCGGGATCCATGACGACTTCTCGCGTCCTGACAGTCTGGGAGGTCCTCCCTGTCGTCTCCATACGTACACGAGCACTATCCTGTCGATACCGATCGCGATCCTTGTCGACTGCACCAGTCCTCGTTTGGACCGGTCATCCCCGCATCCCAAGGTCTGGAAAGCCTGTAAGCGCCACGTCTTGAACGGGTTCGGCTCCTTTCATGTCGTCTGGCATGATACGTTCACATCAGGAGGGGCCACTACCTTGAATACAAGCTTGATATGCGCCATGCCTGGGCTGTCACTGCGATCACGGCGATGGATATCCATAGCTCATAGCCGTGAGTGACCTTGAAGCGAGATATGCTTCCGACATCCCCCCTTACGTCATTATCGGATGTAAAACTTCGGGTGGAAGCGAGCGATCGCGAGGTTGACAAATCCAAAGTCGAGCATTTCGCTTTGTGAGAGGAAAGGAAGAGAGGCGACGAGTTTGTACCAAGATTCGACTCCTCTCCTCATCCGGGACCGCATAAATCTGAGCAGCTTTCTCTGATATTCCTGCGCCTGGGAACTAGAAGGCTTGAAAGGCATAGCATCAATTCCTGACCCGGCCGTCATCTCTCTATACCATGGCGTTCTCCGGAGCGCTCCAGCTGACGGACCTGGACGACTTCCTGGCCCCGTCTCAAGCCTGCATCTTGCCCGTCAAGCAGAAGAACAAGGTTACAGATCAAGCTCAGGGAGTGAATCCGGAAGTGAGCCCCAGCGATCGGCACGCGAATGTTTGCTCTGCTGATTGCTAATCGACTTTCCGCCTTCATCGATATTACAGACGGACATCCATATTGACGCTCAGAACAACTATTATGAAGTAGCTATCAGCTCAAAGCCATCCACCGCTGCGCCAGCACCTACTTTGAAGCGTACGGATAAGGCTGTAGACGGAACGGATTCGGTAGGAGTTGTACAGGTGCAACCGCAGGGCGCCCAGGGCAAGCAGTTAGAGAAGGCCGAGATCAGTTTGAACGACTGTCTAGCATGCAGGTGAGTATCGCTGGTCTCCGTTCCTCTAGTCTCCCCGTCAATCGAGCTGAAAGAACCTTTCATTTATGAATTACCAGCGGCTGCGTCACTTCGACGGAATCGATGCTCATCACCTTGCAATCGCACCTGGAGGTTCAGACCTATATCAACGCCGAAGACGATGATCGCACGGGGATCCTTACCGTCTCCCCTCAGACCCTCGCTTCCCTCGTCGCGTCGTACACCGAAACACCTTCGTCATCCTCGTCGTCTTCATCAAGCTCTTGTCAAGGCTTGACCACGACCCGACTATTAAGGCGAATCCGGTCCTTCTTCTCTTCCCCCGACAACGGCGGATGGGCCGGAGTATGGGATACGACTTTTGCACGACACCTCTCTTTAATGGAACACGTCGCAGAATATAAAGAACGCCGCCTGGTCGGCAAGGGCAAACAAGCTCTTACCCCATCATCCGCGGACGACCTGGGGACCCCTTTGAAGGGAGGCGGGTTGCCCATGCTAGCTTCCGCTTGTCCTGGATGGGTATGTTATGCCGAGAAGGCACATGGGGACTTGCTGGATTTTGTCAGTCATACGAGGAGTTCGCAGGGTGTTATGGGGAGCTTGGTGAAGCAGTGGTGGGCAGCGGAGAGGAAAAAGACGTGAGTTGCCGCAGGCTTGTCGAGAGGTAAAAGACAAAGGGCTGACACTAGAGCGAATAATGACAGCCCGAAAGATGTATACCACGTAACCGTCATGCCTTGCTACGACAAGAAGCTCGAAGCATCACGTTCAGATTTTTACTCGGAACTATACGAAACTAGGGATGTCGACTGCGTCTTGACAACGGGCGAATTGGATCTCTTGTTGCGGGAACGAGGTTTCAACCCGTTCCAGGCGGTCTCAGGCGAGGACGCGCACGAGGTGTCCCCGAGAGACAGCCCTTTTCCTGAGCTGATATCACACCCTGGAACGTCATCGGGCTCGTATCTGCACACCCTCATCGACGCCTTGGCGAGGGAACATCAAAACGATACCCGGCTAGTCACTAGACCTGTCCGTGGGTCGGAAGATCACGTGGAGTATATCTTGGAAGACGCCGCGACGGGAGAGATCATCTTCAAAGGAGCTAAATGCTATGGATTCAGGAACTTGCAAAACCTCGTGCGCAAGGTAGGGAAGGAAACCGGTGTCAAGGCTGTCGGACGGGGGATTGGAGCCAGCAAGCTTTCCGCTGCGGTAGCTGCGAGAAGACGTGCCGGAAAAGCAAAGCTTGCGGCCGGGCAGGATTCGGCAGTCTCTTCCTCTGCTAGTTCTATCGCCGAGCAGGCCGAGGATAGGACGCTAGACTATGTCGAGGTCATGGCTTGCCCTGGTGGGTGTGTGAATGGTGGAGGCCAGATGAAGCCCAAATCCGAGAATGCTGCCACGGCTGCAAAGCAAGCTGCGGGACGGGACGAAGAGGGGTATAATAGAGACTGGGAGATGGAGGGCGTCGAGGCGCCCAAGAAGCAGATAGATGAAGGAATGAGATGGTCCACAAAGAGTTGGGTGGCAAAGGTCGAGAAGGTGTATTGGTCGGGACTACCTACACCGCCACAATCGCCCAAGGCGGACGGTCAAGATCGAGTTGTTGCCGAAGAGGAGCAGGAAAATCGCAAGATTAGCGCGGTAGATCCGCAAATCGAAATTGCCACCAAGATCGGTCAGCAGATCATCGGTACAATCGTCGAGTCATCCAAAAAATCACTGTCAACAACGAATTCAGCCGAGATCGCATACGAGGCTCGGATAAACTTTTTGAGAACTCGATATAGGAAGGTCGAAGGGGATGTAAGCGGTTTGACCGCCAAGTGGTAGAGGACTTTTTCGCATTGCATAATATCAATCAATAGATGTCGCATCGACTTGGGATATGAGGCTTCCCTAGTCGCCGGGCGGTCGCATAAGAGATACGCCCTCTGTCGTTAAGTAAGCCACCGAGAGAATCTACTTCGATCTAGTCTACCGCCTAGGGAACGATGCCATGGCTGTGTCCTCTCATCTAGTCTGAATTATTCAACGTGGTCGTCGCTCCGGCTGTCTCGCGACCGAGGAAAATCTTGCGCTCTACAGTATCACCCATCTCCTTCGTTTTGATGGATTAGATGATGGAACTTTCGGTTCAATGATCTTGTGTGATTGATGTAGGCTTCGGTGAGGTTCTTTTGAGCACTGTGCGTATGCGCCATTTGCCAGGAATCGGCGGCCAGGCCGTTCTAACTTGTGCAAGCGTGGACGTAGCGGTTCGAGAACAGCACGATGATGCGCTTGGGTTGTGGCGATTCGACGTGTGGCTGATACATAAGACCCCGCCGTACAAACGCAATCCTTGGATTATTGACCTGCCTAGATTGAGGTACGATATCCCAACAATCATGTCAATCTGGAGGATCGAGCGAGGTCGGCATGGTGTAACATGTCAAGGGTCCTCTTCACTCAGGGCTGCTCGCCTGTTCTGCATGGATTCCCCTTCTCACTTTGGTCTGCTGGAGGAATAAATGTGATCACCCCTGGCCTGGTCTCTCTGCAAGTTCAACCTATCCAATCTAGTCCTATCCTAACCCCCATATCTGCTCAACCTCCTTCAGCAGGTTTGAGCAGTTTTCACACGTCAGGGACAGAGATGGGCACGTCAAGGGATCCTAAGATGTCTTCCGCGATTATTTAGAGCCGATTCAGGTCGGTATAACGTCGGCAGTCCCCTTGTTTCAAGCAATCAAACGATCTTTTGTGTACATTCAATGACGCTGGAAACGTTGACTAGGTCGAGGCGGCTGGCGCTTGATCGTCTCGCTTGCACTGATATGGCGACTTCGCGTTGTTATAAATCATGCACAGCAAGAGCAAGAAATATCAAGCATAGATCAACCACAAGAATCACATGACATGAGTGCGGTTACAAGCCAATACATCACCGCAGAGGGGGAAGCGAATGGCACTATGGCAAATGGCACCACGGCAAATGGCACCACAACCGCTGCTATTGCGGTCATCACCATCACTCCTTCCTCCGTCACGCCCGTCGTCAACATCGTCAACTCCCCTATCAGGCTTTGCCCGGACCTCTCTGCTCTTGCTTTCGAGGATGCACTGTTCCTTCATCAGAGTCGTCTTCGAGGCTGTCAGTCTTCTCTGTCCTTAATGGTCCAAGTGTATATCGGCCTTCCCATAACGGGTCAAGTGGTGTCGTCTTCTGCTTGAAAAGTGGATCGGCTTCCGCCTCCGACTGAAACAGTCTGTAATCTGTAATCGATGCAATGTATCACGTGACTGCCACACGTCATCATCACTTTACATCCGATCCGGAACCTTTTTACCGGAACTTGCGAGATCAACCGAGAAGCCGGGAAGGCGGCACGACCTCAAGACGGCGAGGGAATGTGTGTAGTTATATCTAGTAGGTCACAGGTAGTCTGGGCCAACTCTTACAGCATACGTCGTGCTCCAGAAAGAGGCGAAAGATAGACCGATCGAAGTTAGCAGCTTGCAGGAACACTCTTTACATACGCGATAGCAAATCCTTCACGCACGAACATCGGAAATACAACTGCATAAGCGTCGAAACGAGCTCCTATTATAATGCTCAGGACCCCGTCAAGAATAGGATCTCGTCTGGTTACTTCCAAAGCAGCCTCTCTTCTACCTTCATTCTCACCATGCAGTGTGAATATCGCTAGAACAACGCTATCTTCACGGAGCTACCACGTTAGCGATCGCCGATTGGACAGCAATAAGTGGAACCCCAGAGGCGGGTCAGGAGGCGGATCACGGCCTCCCGGAGGGAATGGAGGTGGGAATGGCGGAAGAATGCAATTCCCGGGAGGTATGAGGTTTCCATCTGGCGGGTTGAAGATGGGCCAAGGAGGACAAGAGGCAAAGGGCGAGACGTTGAAGCAATACGTAGGTGGCTACCAGCTCGATCTCGGACATAGTACCTTGACCTGATACTGGTTTCCTAATTTCAGAGTGTCGATCTGACAGAGTTGGCTAGGACGAACGCCCTTGACCCCGTGATTGGTAGAGATGACGGCGAGTCCAGTAGAACGTAGTAGCGCTTGACCTCAAGCTGATGTGTGCTTCGATGACAGAGATCCGCAGAACCATCCAGATCCTATCGAGAAAGACCAAAAGCAATCCTGTCCTTCTCGGATCGCCTGGTGTCGGAAAGACGGCAATCCTAGAGGGTCTAGCTCAACGAATCGTCAACAAAGAAGTACCCGAAGTAGGTTTGCGTTCGCACGCGCTTCTGGTCTGGAAACTAGCTGAACCTGACCTGTTTTGCCCAGTCACTGCAAAACAAGCGACTGCTTACTATCGACCTGGCATCTCTCTTGGCTGGATCTGGGATCCGGGGTCAATTTGAAGAAAGATTCAAAAGCCTCTTGGCCGACATTCAGGAGGCACAGCAGGACGCACGGGAGGAAGGCAGTGGAGGGGTTATCTGCTTTATCGATGAACTACGTAAGTAGCAGCGTTAGCTATACTATGGTTTCTGTCGAGTTCGAGGTCTAAATCTGGCGTTTTTTGTGCAGACACGCTGCTTAACCTTGGGAAAGCTGAAGGTTCGATGGATGCCGGAAACGTATGTGAGCGAAATATGTAGCACATGCGGGACTGATCTGACCATTTTGTATCCTTCGCTTGCAGATGATTAAACCCGCCTTGGCACGAGGTCTGCAGCTTGTCGGCGCAACTACACTCGACGAATACCGCAAGTACATCGAGAAGGATCAAGCACTGGCCCGTCGATTCCAGCCCGTTATGGTCGACGCACCTAGCGTAGAAGCCACCATTGCGATTCTTCGGGGTATCAAACCGCGATACGAAAGTCATTTTGGAGTACAAATATCGGACGCCGCTTTGGTACAAGCAGCGGTGTACTCTGATAGGTACATCACCGACCGATTCTTGCCTGACAAGGCTATCGATCTGCTCGATGAGGCTGCTTCGGCTTTGAAATTGTCTCAAGAAGTGAGTTCCGTCTCGACAAACAACTCCGACCCGTGCTTCTGACATATTTCCTTTACGGCGAACAGTCGAAGCCTCTGAATCTCGAAACCCTCGAGCGGGACATCACGACCTTGCAGATCGAAAGAGAATCACTCAAGAATGAAAGCGACACCTACTCTGCGGATCGACTGAAACAAGTCGAAGATCTTATTAGCGAGAAGAAAGAAGAACAGCAACGCCTAGTATCCATTTGGGAGCAAGAGAAGGCTCGTGTCAAAGATATAAAGGACGTCAAGCGTCAGCTCGACGAGGCTACGAATCAGCTCGAGATCGCTCAGCGCGAAGGCAACTACGAGTTGGCATCCAGACTTCACTACTCGGAGATTCCAGCTCTCAAATCGAAGCTACCCGCGGAGACCGCCGGCGAAGAAGTGGAGAATGCGGACATGATGATCCGGGACCGGTTGACGGCATCTGATATCGCGAGGGTGATTGCACGGTCTACAGGCATTCCAGTCGAGAATCTGAGACAGGGTGAAACAGAGAAGCTGCTACATGTGAGTCGCGTGAAGGGGTGAGAAGCGTTGACCTATGCTCACATCACCGATATACGATTAGATCGAGGATGCTCTCAAGAAGCGGATTGTCAGTCAAGATGACGCGATCTCAGCAGTTGCTAAGGCTATACGGTTGTCCCGGGCTGGTCTCCAAGCACCGAATCGACCGCTTGCATCCTTCTTGATGCTCGGACCTAGTGGGGTAGGAAAGTCGAGCTTGACTAAAGCCATGGCCGAGTTTTTGTTTGGAGATGAGCGAAAAGGCCTGTGAGTGAGCAGCAAAGTCTTTGATCCCGACAGTGCCTGATCGAAGGTGCTATTTCTCAACACAGAATTCAGATCAATATGTCCGAGCTGAGCAGCAAGCATGACGTATCACGTCTGATCGGAGCTACAGTAAGTCGTCGCGACGATATACTTGTCCACGCGCCTCTGGCTGAAAGCGGCCTGCTTGTTGGTAACAGCCTGGTTATGGTAAGCGAACGCGTGCTGAGTGGCTGCCACGATGTTCGTACTGAAGCAGCATGTGTGCAGTCGGATACGAAGAAGGTGGACAACTAACTAATGCTGTCAAGCGACGTCCTTACGCTGTGGTGGTGAGCTCCCGCTCCGACTGATCCGATGGCGACGAAGCTTCTTGGCTGATTTCTGGTACTGGGAAGGTCCTCGACGAAATCGAAAAAGCGCATCCAGATGTGCAGAACTTGCTGCTTCAGATCTTGGAAGAGGGAGAATTGACCGATGGTCAAGGAGCTAAAGTCAGTTTTATTCGTCACAGGCACTCGGCCGATCGTGCCAGCTGATGTCGCGATCGTCTATAGGTATCGTTCAAAAACACCATCATTTGCTTGACATCGAATCTCGGAGCCCCCGAGTTCCTCAAGCAGGGAGCTACCAAGAACGGGGTCGTGACTTCGCAGACGAAATCCGCAGTCATGGAATATGTGACCGCATGGTTCCGACCCGAAGTTTTGGGTCGACTGGACGATACCATCATCTTTAATAGCTTACCTCGGTCGGCGGTCAACGACATTGTCAAGCTGAGATTGTCGGAGGTGCAGTCGAGACTTGACGATCGTCACATCACCCTGAATGTTAGTGAAGGGGCTATCGAGTTGCTTGGAAATCAAGGCTACTCGGAGCAATATGGAGCGCGAGCCGTCGCTAGGGCTATCCGCGACGAAGTGGTTGCCAAAGTCACCCTTGCACTGCTCGAAGGATGCATCCGGTAAGTACAACCGGTCTTTCGATCTGTCCCTATATCAACCTAACAGTAACCTCTTGTCTCAGGAACGGGGATGTCGTCAATATCGTCGCCCAGGACGGCAAAGTCCTGGTAAAGGACAATCACGAACGGGATACGTCGCAAGGAGAGCATGTCCTGGATATCGTCGAGGAAGACAGTGCAAGCGAAGACGCCAACCCGAAAGAGCAGCAGTCGGCCGGTAGAGCCAATCTGCCCATCCTCCTGAAAGAGGTTTCTCAACATAAATGGTCCGCCCAGACTGATGGTTCAGCCGTCACTATCGTGTCGGAAACCACCCCGGGGCGCCTATCATTGCCTCTCAATTGGCTCAGGGACAACTGCACCTGCTCGAACTGCCTGCAAGCATCGACGAAACAAAGGTTGCACAAGAGCTCAGATTATTTCTCCCACGAAGCCTTGCCGGAGACCGCTGTACGGATGGAGACCAAGGAAGGTCAAGTTGGGCTGCATGTCAGCTGGTCGGGTGTACACATGACCTCTGGGGCTGGTACTGGACAGGAGACGACTCACCCATCATCCTTCTTCCCTCTCGCTGAGCTGGTCCGCCTATCATCGCCTTCGCAATACACGCAGCAAGACCCCCTTTTCTTCCCAACATCGACCTGGAACCAGCAGAGGATACTGGGCTCGCCCACTTTAAGGGTACCTTACGAGGCTTTCAAATCGTCGCCTACCGCTTTACACGCCGCGCTGTCTCAAGTCACGTCATACGGCTTAGTTGTGCTCACTGGAGTCCCTACAGACAAAACGGACGACGCAACATGCGAGCTGCGACAAGCTATGGAACAGATTGGTGAACTTCGCAACACCTTTTACGGCCAAACCTGGGATGTTAAAGCGATCAAAGACAGTAAGAACATCGCTTACACCGACGTGGACCTAGGTTTCCATCAGGATCTACTGTAAGCACTCCCGGTCATCCATTTGTGGAATCAAAGACTGATCATTTGAAATGGACCATAGATATTTTGAGTCGCCTCCGCGCTTCCAAGCTCTGCATTGTCTGCGCAACAAGGTCGATGGAGGATCGTCTTACTTTGCCGACGCTTTCGCTGCTGCAGAACGGTTGAAGAAGGAAGAACCTAAAATGTATGAGGTTCTCAAAACGACGCAGGTACCATTCCACTACGACAACGACGGCAACTGGTATCACCGAACTCATACCACGATAGAGGAGTCACAGACTGGCCGCGGCCTGCATGCAGTCAACTATTCGCCTCCCTTCCAGGCCCCTCTGCCTTTGATCAGTGGGACTTCAGTGCTAGGCATTCAGGGGGGCGCATCCAATGATCTGCCAGCCTCTTTGACTGCGTTCGACGAACTTTTGAGCGAGAAAGTTGCTCAATATGAATTCACGATGCAGGAAGGAGATCTGGTATTCTTCGACAACCGTCGAGTGCTGCACGCTCGGAGAGCCTTCAAGCCCAAACCTTCGGCACAAGACGCTACAGCCGCAGGGGAAGCAACGCGATGGCTCAAGGGTTGTTACCTGGATGGAGATGTCATCTGGAACAAGCTGCGTCACTTGACGAGAGATGGCGTAGCCGGCAAATTCCCTGTCGACGACCGATGGCGTCCCGCGATCGAGAAGAATTTCCCGCGGCTGCAATAAGGCATGGTCTCCGTCGTTGATCATCGCCAAATCATAATGATAGCATCTGTCATATCACTACTCTAGGTTGTAAAACATCATATCCATGTGTCGTACAGCGCCCGAACTGTCAATAGATCGTTCGCTGCCTGCGGGAGTAACCCAGTCGTCTTGTCGTTAAATCGTTATCGCGGTCACTTCCGCTTCCTGTATCGTGGTATAGAGATCGTTGTCTCATTCAGCTGCCAAGATCGAAGACCCTCTGCAATTCTTCTTGCATCAGATTCCCATCTTCGACATCGTCGACGCGAACGTCTGTATCTTCTATGTCGGTGCCGATAGGTCGGCAGTCGCAAATCTCGCTCATGCGGCCGTCCCGCCGAAGGATCTCAAAGGCGATCTGTGAACCTTTGCATTTTGCGGTGTAAGCGTGATCTGCGCCGGCCGTCGCGATGACCTCGTCATGGACCAGTACGTTGTATGTATGTCGAGCCTCAGGCTGGCCTTGGGCCACTTCGATTCTAGCGAATCGAACCTTCTGACATTTATAGACCTGGCGGAATCCAGATCGAAGTTTGAGGCCGTAAGCCCTAGCTCGGAGAAGCACCAGATTTCTGTTCGATCAACTCACCCGGACTGCCCAGCGAATTAACGTCGAGATAGGATCAATACGCTCGGCGTGCTTGAGACTCGCAAAGAACGGCGAGAGGATCGGGCCCAATATCGCGGACACCTTGTCGACATCGTAACCGCAGTCGATGAAGATTGCACCGCAAACGGCTTCGAATATGTCGGCGAACAATTTTGGGGGATGATAATCCCAAATCTCCTCGATCATTTTGTTCAGGTCGATCTGTTCGATCTCTTCTACGTGCAGATGGATAGTCCGCAATAGCGCGGCCGAATCGTGCAAAAGATAATGATGCAGCTTGAGTATCCGAACCGAAAGATATGCCAGACTTGCATTGCAAACAAAGAGCATCTTCATCCAACTGAGAGTGCCGCTGTCTGCTTTGGGAAAGGCCAGGAAGAGCTGCCTCATGACCACGAAGTCGAGGACAGCTGTAGCAGACAGGGATCAACAGGCCGATTATAGACTAGAAGGCCGAAAAAATCGGCTTACCATCACCGAGGAACTCTAGCCTCTGATAGGGCGAAGTTTCCAGGCCGCAGTAAGACGGATGAGTAACAGACGAGAGCAGTAGTTGAGGATATTCGAAGGTATAGTTCAAACGTTCCTCCAGCCGAGCTAGATCCCGCCCCATCCGTTGTCCGGTGTGAGCAGGCATCGCTCCCGGTCTCTCTTCCCAAGGTTCCGTGGAGCCAAAGCATAATCCTACTGCCTGACCTATCTTCAGTGCCGTCGGAAACCCTCCAGACAGATAGGCTGCACCCAAAAGAGCTGTAGAAGGGAGTCTTTTTCAGTACATCGCCTAGCGGTAAGCTAGCGGAAGCAGTCACCTTCAAGACAATCTTGCATCCATTTACGGTTGACGGTACGTGTGGCAGGATCGTGCGTGTATGGCGGTTTCCACTTTGCGATCATTACCGACTCCATGCACATCATGGATCCCAAGCCAGCAATGTGTGCCTTGTTGCGGAGGAACCTGTTGCATACCGAGTGCGCTCGTAGGGGAGAGAGCAATCCTTCGTGCTTGAACGGGTATTCCTGATACAGAAACACCGTGGTCGCCAGTTGCAAGACACGATCTCCCAATGTCTCTAGTCTCTGATAGTCGTGTCCGTAAACGGCAGCAGGCGGGGATAAGGCTTCATGCAACCTGGGAAGCTGGATCTGATGTGTGCCGATGTCCAAAGGAGGATGTTGCAACCTGTCATAGTCTGTCATGTAACGCATAATAGAGGGGAGTAACTGTGAAAGCTCTTCTCAGCTACGAGTGTTCTACAACCGCCACTCTCCGAAAGACTAACCATCAATGATTCTCTGACAGCCAAAGGTATAGTCGAAAGCCTGACGAGTTTGCGTGGCAGGATGAAGCGCTGGCCTTGAGGATGTCCCTTGGTCCGACCGTGGATGCTGTCAGCGAGGATGGCATACTTCTGGCTGACAAGATTGTTTCGTCGCCTCCGCAATGAGACCACTTGCAACATCGTCTGATCTCCACCCTCGAGGAGCTTGTAAGAACCCGGCATATAGGTAAGCTTCTTTTCGGCGTATTCCTCGTACGTCGCGAAGCCTTGCTCTCGACAGACTTGTTCACCAGAAGGCTGTTTGACGGACACTGGGAGCGATTTCGGCGTCAAGTCCGGCCTGGCACACTCGATTTGAATCTGCCGACCCATGCAATCGAATGCCAGATAGTCGAAGGCTCCTGGAGAGGACCATGTCTTGACAGCTTCTCCTTCGGCTAGACGCCGGACCATCGAGGCGTCCAATCCACCCTCAGAAGTCAAAGGCGCGAAAAGGCAAGCCAATTTACCCTCCATCAGATAATTGGGTCTAAGCACACGGGTCATGACCGTACGAGAATATCGCTCAAGAGCTTCGAGAGTGCCAGATACCGATTTGCCCGGAAGAGGGTGGAATCTTTCTCCTGGAAAAACTCTAACTTCGATCTGATGCTCCTGATCGTCGCGACCTTGCCAAAGATGGAATGGCAAGTTGTTGACCGAAATCTGACGGCCAGAGACAATTCCGACCACAAGACAGCCACCGATGGACATGCGATGGAGGAAGAGTTCGGCGTCGTCCTTCCAAATATCGCCCCAGGTCGACTGGACCGGGACTTCCAGTTCCAGGTCAAGATCTTCACCTAGTTGCCGACCCGCTCCATCTTCAGCCCGGTCGCCCTTCTTCTCCCGATGCGGTAAGAGGTACTCGTTGAGCAGCTTGTACCTATACAGCGTCTTTGCAGCTTCGAAAGCGACGGCTCGCTTAGCCTCGGACTTGCTGGTACGTGGTGTGCCCATGAAAAGCAACGCGTTACGAGGTAGAGGTACCGCCGTAGGCAACCGCAGGTTCGAGATGAAATAGCAAGGGTTCCCGTCCGACATGGTGGTGGTTTCCTCGTATGCCGGCCGAGGGGGTGCGACGCCCATGGCGTGGGGCAATAGAGAGCACGTCTGCTCGACCAAAGGGACGGCACCTTCATAGGTGAGAACTGCTCCAGTCTCAGGAACAGTGAATGTCTCTCTGAGCGCTTGGTCATATCTGCTGATCCGCGCGTTGTCCATGTCGTAAGCAGGAGCTTCGCTACGGTCGGCTCGATACATCTCGTCTAGCATTGGCTCCTGGTTGATGAAGTGCTGCAAGACCGTTCGGTCGATTCAGCTCATGCGATCGTAATACCAATATGGCTCGAGCGGCGGCCTACCTGGTAATTCTTGATCTCGTCAGGCTGATCTTGATTCAACATGAGGATAAATTTGGATTTCTGATGTCTAGCCCTGCCTCGACTCTGAACGTAACCGATCATGGTTTGCAATGGGTCGAAGCGGATGACCAAGTCGCAAGCCGGGAAATCTAGACCTTCCTCCCCGACACTAGGCATATATTTCCATGAAAGACATCAGCTCACATAGGGTAAGAAAGGCAGTGCCAAACCCACGCAGTGCTGATCAGGACGTTGTATTTTCCATCTTTAAACTCCTTGACCGTTTCTTGTTGCTGCTTGAAGTCCTGACTCTGTCCCTCCAAGGACTTGCGACTACCGTGTCCTACCAAAGTCTTGATCTTGAGCCAACTCTTCAATTCTTCGACGCGTTCGAGCATCCACGAGAGACCAAACGCGACATGACGTTGCATCACAAAGATGATGCATTGGAAGCCTACGTCCGTGCTGACCGTCTCTAGGGAAGACTTCCTGTATTGCGTCAAGATCTGAACGAGCTTGCAAATCTTGTTGGGAAGGACCGATGCCGGTAGAGAATCAGGCAGCGAGGCATCTGCTGCCTTGATGGCTTGATCGGCCTTCTTCAAGATGCGTAGTTGTTCCTCGGGCATTCGCAAGGTGTAAGAAGCGGCTCTGAGCTCCGTCTGGACTGGCTTGGCATATAGCTGGCTTAAAAAGTGGCTGACTCCGACGGGTCCGAGGACCCTGCGGGCAACATCGGCCTTAACCTCGATACTCTCCCAGGGCGTATCTTCGGTCCCCCTGAAGCTCATTTCCTTTAGAGCTTTGTGCAGTTCGCCAGCTTCCCAAAGCTGATTATCGTGGTAGTATTCAACGATTTCAACCGGCTTGGAAGAGAAGTAACCTAGTTCCTCCATGTTGAATTTCACTGCGATGGTGGAAGCTTGCAAGTTGGATTCGAGCTCCGCGAGACTGTCGAAGGGGTTACGGGGGTTCCAGATGGGACTAGCGGTGAGTCCAAGGATCTTTGGGCGATTGCGACCTTTACCGATGGTATGGTAGAAGTGCGACATCGTCGTATTGAGAGGATGCTTTTTGCGAGCGTGGTGGCATTCGTCAATGATTAAAAGACTGCATTGCTCCATAAAGATGTAGGCATGGGTCAAGCAGTTGTAAAAGATCTGTGGTGTACAGACAATCACGTCGGTCTTGCCGATATCCAGTTCTTGCAGCCATTGCTCGCGATCCCAGAAGTCGACACCCATCTCGCCGCAAAAGTTCTTGACGTTTAGCTTGGTTTCGGTCCTAATGAAGTCACTTTGCTGATACACGAGCGGGACGGATGGCACCAGGAACACCGCGAGCTGTGCAAACCGGGACAGGTTAGTTCCGGACCTTGTCGCTCGTTGCGGATCACAGCCAGCTGCCAGAGACTTACCTTCTTCTGGTTCATACGGGCCATCTCTTTCACCGTCCTCTTGATCAGCAGCGCCCCAATCAAGGTCTTTCCTACTCCAGTCGGAAGAACAGCGATGATGTTCCTCTTGTATGCCTCCTCGAGAATCTCTTGTTGATACGCTCTCGGTACCGTAGAGGGAAGATCTGGCTGACCTTCGTGATGCCTATCGACGTCCATAAGCGAAGGATCTTTAGCGACTACCTCGATAGCGGAGGCCAGGAAGCCATAATCGCTATCGATATCCATAGCTGTGACGTCTGGCATATCGGAGGTATTGCTGCGAGCGGTAGACAGCTATGTAGCGGTTTATGTAGGTGGTGCTACGATGTCGGTGATTGGCATATGGTCGAATTGTGCTCTCGATTCGAGAGGACCTCTGCAGGTCTTATAGCTCCGTAGGGCGTGACACAGCTGCGCAGCGAGAACTAGTAGCGACGAGTAATTGAGTCATCGAGCGACAAGCTTGCTATGCAACAAGCGACAAGCAATAATTCAAGCAACAAGGCCAAAGGCAGTCTGCGATAAAACGTCGAGAAGCCAGAAACTCGATGATCCGATTAGCTTCCGGCCTTGTCTTTCAAAAGCTTCCGGGACGGCCGCCGGTTCCGCTGCTGCTTGACTCTCATCATCGGTCATGTCCATCCCCACCTTTGACGATCTGACCTCTTGTGCAACAAACAAGGTAAAGCGAGAACCAGCACCTTCTCCAGCTTTGACCAGTGGACGCTGTATCGGGTCCCAGTCTCTGATCCCTGAAACATGGACTGGTACGTCGACTTGTCTCCTGCGCGTGAACCGTCAGCTAAAGAACCGCCTGGTACCGCTCTTTAGTCTGGATACACCCGATCTCGAGCTCTTGATCCTCAAGGCACTTGCGGTCAACCTCTCTTCGCCCGACGCAAATGCATCTCAGAACGACATCGATACGTTGACTGCGGGCTTACCAGCTGCTCCTACGGATGAGGATGGCCAGATATGGGTACGTGACCTTGGCGACCTAGACTTGCATCCCTTTCACTGACTAAACCCGGACGTGCTTATCGAATTTCTCCAGGAGCAAAGCAACATCAATTCTGCGATATCGTATTGCAACTATGTCGAAGCTCTTCCTTCGAGCTCCAGCGATCTACCGAAAGCACTCCCTGCCCTCAAGCGGTTGCTGAACGATTCCAAACACGGATTGAAGGCCGAAGTCGCCTCCAGTAGTGCCGGTCGATCTAGTCAGTCTTGCACTTTGGTACAATACCCTCGTCTACTGTTACTGATCCCAATACAATTCGGCTACTACTACCAGTCAACGTAGATCACGTTCGAAATGTGGGACATGCGTTGTTCAAAGCCATCGCCCATATCGGTGCTGTCAATCCAGAAGCGTCTTCGGAAGTCGTCGATATGCTTTGTGACCACCTAGCGGAACTGCGAAGTGCTCTTCATGGCGGAAATGAGGAAGACATGGGTAAGCTCACCGCCTGCATGCAATGATGCATCGCAGATCCTGATCGCTGAAACGGATGCCTATCAGCCATGGCCATTCTCATGCTGTCCAACTACCACGACTTTATCGTCTCTACCCCGCTCGTCCGGATCTCGCCTCAATCTCTCGTCAAGCTGTTGACTGCCAGTCACGAGCTGGCAGTGTCTCCCGGAAGCGATAACTTGGAGGCATCTTTATACAGCTCTCAAAGCGGCTCGCCTATCTCGACATCGGACAACGATGGGGCTATCCGTCTGACCGGTCCTACTGCATCTCGCTCGATCCCTGGTTTGCAGGGCTTAGAGCTTCAAAGGAACGTGATCAGGCGGTTCTCCAAGCTAGAATTGGCTTACAAGGTCCTCGACGTCGAAAGCACTCTTTTGAGCCAGTCCTTGGTCGGAGGAAGCACGATCGAAGAACCTGCCAACTTCGATATCTCAGACCCACCAGACCGACAAGCCAGTACGCGATCGTTTTCGATCCTAGCTTCCAGGTCGATCCCGGATTCTGCCAGTGTTTTGCACCTTGGGTCTTACGGTGGTAGCGGCGGTAGAGAAATTCTCGAAAAGATCGCTAGTCAAGCGGTGACCTGGTGGGAGGATATCATGCACGGGCAAGGCATAGGGATCGGCAATGGCTTGATCGATGGAAGGAACAGGTCGGACAGCTCTGACGAGGTCGAGAATTTGGCTGTCACGGCCATTCTGGTACGTCACCTGTCGCATAATCTAAAGGTAAGCAACACTGCTGAACTATGAATTTTGCGAAATAGAAAACCCTCGCTTTGAGCTCTCTTCATGCAAAGCAAGTAGACGAAGCGCATCTTGCTCGTCTCAAGCTTCTGGTCAGCGACAAAGCACCGATTCAGCATCCCAAGATCATCGAGATGGCTCTTGTCTGCATAGGCATGTTGGCGTTGAAGTGAGTTTTTCTCGCCCGCGGCCCGCAAGAATCAGCTGATGACCAGATGGGTTACCATAGCTTCCCTTACCTTGGTACCTCATTGACTCAGCACGTCAAAAGGTTCGCGACTTCGCCTTTGCCAGTCTTTGAGGCAGAAATGGCTGGCACTGGTACCGACGTACCTGAGGTCATGAGCGCGACTGCTCGATGCTTGGCCATCTGCGTCAAGGCATGTCATTTCGCTCATAGAATCTCGGGGATCGTGGCTGATATCGTTTCGTTGACCTCGTCAGACCGCTCCAAACGACGATCTCGTCAACTCTACACTCTATTCGCTCATGCACACCGTTCCGCATGGCACTTCCGTGCTGGATATTCCGCATGCACCTACCATCCGCTCGAGCGCTGTCACGTTTGCGGGCCTCGGCGAGAAGGAGGGTACTGTTCATCGAGGGCGGATGGCGGAACAATCGCGTATGGCAAGCATCAGCACGATCGGGATGGTTTCCAAGTTGGCGCTTGCTATCGACAGATCCGAGGCAAGTCTATACAAAGACGTGATGCGAAACATTTCGCTGAGCAAGTTGCCTCCGAATAGAGCTATCAAGTGACTGTTAATATGCTACTGCAGCGTCTCCGGGGAGCAGACGCAATCACGGAGGCTGCCGTCGTAACCAACCTCGTACCTCTGGCCTTGCGCGCGCCAGACGCAGTATTGCAGGAATGCATCACGGCATTCTCGTCCATATCGAGGTCCTCTAACCCGGAAGACCCGCGGTACTCTAGCAACGCCGTACTCGCTGCCCAAACCAGTCTCGGTCGGGGCTTCACCAAGAAGCATAACGCTGCCGCGCGGTCCTTCTTAGAGGAGATGCTGGCCCTGTTCATCGATAAAGGGTCACAAATCCAGACGCAGAGCGTGTCTCGCCATACTAAAGAACTTGAGAAAGATCCGTCTGGACGCGTTTCGGAGATGACCTCGCAATTGGCGGCTTTGCTCCTCCCGATTGATGCCATACTCGCCAATCCTGCTTACTCCAGTACGGACAAGCCTTCGCCTGACCTGGTATCAAGCTTTAGGAACATGTGGTTCCTTTGCACACTTTTAGGTCTGACCAATTCGACATCACCTTACATGACTGACCCGGCCCGCGCAGCCTTGGCACGAATTGCTGTCAAAACGCCAGCTTTGGTTCTCGAGGAGGAGAAGGACTATGCATCCAGCGTCTTGGAGTATAATTCTGTCTTCCGGCGAGATTATGCTCAGGCGGTAAGCTTTGGCGAACCAGCCTTCTGTTGCGTCGCTGAATGATACTTGTTTTCAGATCATTACTCGCCAAAGATCCGCTCTCTCGGCCGCTGTGCCCAAGCTGGCCGGCGATGTCCGAAACTTCAGCTTGCCCCAAATCGTTTTCCTGCAGACCGTACACGATCTTGAAAGCCTTCGTATACAGGCCGACCGGCCATCGGTACACCTGGAATACTTCATCAACGCATCCTTGAGCGACAGCTTGCTTGCAAAGCCTCTGGAGCTCATCGCCGACAAGGTACGTCCAGCCTCTGCTTTCAATAAGTTCACATGTAACTGACCCCTTGACAAATGCTTCCTCAGCTCCTTCGTGGTTTCCTTGCCCGACTGTCTTCGTCTGTTCTTGAGCATTCGATGAACGGTTCTACAATCAGCGAGGAAGTTCGAAGACTACTTATCGCGTCTACGCATCGGTACCGAAAGGTCCGGGAAGTGGCTTTGAAGCACCTGGATGCGATCTTGACGTCTTTCGCTGCTCTGATGTGTGATCGACAAATCGTCTTTGTCCTGCTTGAGATCTTGACGCTACTGCGACGAAGCTGCGAAGACGTCTACACCGACGAGGTGAGCATATACGATTTTCAGTCACTGAACGCGGATCCCTCAAGGTTAACGCAGACCTATGACAGTATTCGCCAGTCTACCGTTATCTCTCCGACAAGATGGACCTCAGTCTCGAGATTACGGATGACTTTGCGGCTCGCAATGAGACTGTAAAGAGGCTGTACGAGTATGCGTGCCGATGGCTGGATCTTGCAATAGGCAGAGCGCCTATCGAAATGCAAACTATATTACAGGTGAGTCGGTTGACCATTGTCTCCCAAGCAATTCATTTCTAAACACCGGGGTGTTGCAGAAATACTTGAAAGAATCCCGAGATACCTTGCTCTTGGACAATGTAGAGATGGGAGCAGGTGTCGCCATGCGCTATGCGAAGGCGATCTCGAGACTAGACCGACAAGAAGGTAAGCTGCATATCGAGCATTATTTTACAGGTACTTGTTTGGCTGAAGAGAAATGTGTTCTTGCTCGAAAGTCGCTATGCCGAACATTGGGGGATGGCAAGCCGATAGCTCGAACCTTCTGGCGAGCCAATTTGCAGCCAAGAATTACTATTCCGGAGAGCTCTCCGGTGCTAGATTCGTGCTCGACAGCGGTAAGCATTATCTAGAGCGTATTCAAGGCCTCTCAAGTTTAAGCCGGACGATTTATTCAGGTCTCGAAAACCTTGAGAAATTGGCTCCCAACTCATCCTCGACGGATCAATTGGCCGCCTTCCGTCAGCAGATGGCGGAAGCCATGGCGAATATTGAGACGAAATCTCAGACTATGCCAGTACCTGCCATACGCCGCTTGCTCCTGCGAGCTGTTTCTGTCTTGACTTCATCCCCAATCGTAAGCATAGCCGAATTGCCGCCCATATCCCGGTCGTGCAGTCAAAGCTGATGCTAGAGTTCCATAGATCGATCGCGACATTCTGCATTACCTAGTCGCGCTGCCAATCCGGTCTTTCACGGCTTTAGGGATTGCTGCTGGAGTGGACGCGTGGACCTGGTTGATCAGCGAGAGGCCAGACATTGAGGTGGCGCTTTCAAGTGAGATCTCTGATGGCTGGTTGTGGACGATCAAGAACAGCAAGGGGCTCTTTAGTAACCACCTGCAGTGAGTACGGCTAGATGAGACTTATGACCTGTCACTCGAGCTGAAAAGCCGCCTCGTACAGCTCTCCTGGCCCGTTCGAGAAACCGATCGAATATTCCCCTACTGTCAAATCGGTTATGGATCACGAGATGGCGGTGGCGAAGCGATCTTTACAGCCGCATTTGCTGCTGACAACGGTCATCTCCAGCAGGTTTCAGGCCGTGAAGTATCGCCGACCAGGGATCATGGGGTCGATGTTCCGCTTGCTAGCTCGTTCTTTCCAGGCCCACAAGCAGATGAGGCGAGTAGGGTCTCAAAGAATTGCACTATCGCTAGCACTGATTGAAAATGCTCGATTTGCCTTGACCAGTACGCATCCTTTGGCGCGAGAAGTCAGGTTCTCTCTTGTCCTCTTTGCACTGCAAGTGCTGGCTAGTAGTCGGGTCGAGACTCTTCTGGAAGCTAGCTTCAGAGACTTGATTTACGCTGCTACACTATCATGGTTCGCTGTGCGACCTATGTGAGTCATCGTTAAGGTTCGACCACGCTGTCTGTCGCTGATGCTGCCTGCATCAAACAGGTGGTCATTCGGCAGCAATCGGATCCAGGTGCAAGCCGAGATCAAGCTGTTGGGAGAAGTGCTGAACGCGCTGCAAAACGATCATATCAGAGGCGATCACGATATCACCTCGCTTCCTGAACGTAGCCCGGCGTTCCCCATTCCAGGTGTGTTTTGATCAATCGAGCTGGTCTAATCAAGACAACTGAGCTTCTTAATACTAGGCTACTCATCCTTGAGAGACTACGCCCTCCAGCATGCAGAAAGGTCGCGCTTGTTGCAGCTATTGGTCGAGAACGAGATCACTCGGCTGTCCACTTGGTCGAACCCAACCAACGCTCCAGGACGAGCCCAATTGGCTTCGAATGCAATTGAGGCAACTGTTAATGGGGTGAGGCATGGGTCCTGTAGATGACGTACTCGTAGCCCTTTGATCTCACTTGAGCACCTTCGCAGGAACAATGGCCGGCCTTGGTCAGAAGGGCTTGGAGAATCTCACCAGCAGCTGCTGTTCATATGGGAGAACGTTTCAAAATACCACAGGTCCAAGCGGAACTGGCTCGATTGATCAAATCTCATCCCAGAGCGGTGATTGACGTCCCAGAGGCGCTCCATTACCTGCTTGGCGAACATCTCGAGACCTCAGCGATACCTGCTCTCAAGGTAAGCTCGACTTCTCAAAATTCAGCTGCGCTTCACTGATGTTGGACAAAATGCGTTACAGTGGCTAGTTCTCTGGGCTCCTGTACCGCCTGTGACTGCTGTTACGTACTTCCAGCCCCGCTACGACAACAACCCCCTTGTGCTGCAATATGCCATGCGGGCCCTGGAGCAGTACCCAGTGGACTTGACGTTCTTCTTCGTGCCTCAAGTGGTACAAGCGCTTCGATCGGACGGCGCCGGTGAGCTCAAGCGCAATGTCGTCGGGGGTATGGTATGCTGACACCGGGTCATCAGGTTATGTGGAGCGATTCATCTTTGAGACATCAAAGATCTCGCAGCTCTTTTGCCACCAAATCATTTGGAATATGAAGGCCAACTGCTTCAAGGACGACGCCGGCGAGATTGTACGTAACTTTTGGATCAGGGTTAGTCTACCTATTACTGAGACCTCCTTTCTTGGCAGCCCGACCCTATGAAGCCACAGCTAGAGCGTATGGTGGACCTCGTTGTCGCGGCTCTCTCCGGCAAGGCCAAGCAGTTCTACGATCTGGAATTCGACTTCTTCAACGAAGTGACTTCCATCTCAGGCAAGCTCAAGCCTTATATCAAGAAGTCGAAACCGGAGAAGAAGGTAGATCAAGAAGCCTTTTCTCAGTATTGTTTGCTGACTGCTGATCACCTTGACTACAGGCCAAGATCGACGAAGAAATGGCAAAGATTAACGTCTCGGTCGGCGTCTATTTGCCAAGTAACCCTGATGGAGTAGTAGTGGACTTAGATCGAAAGTCCGGAAGGCCTTTGCAAAGTCATGCTAAGGTAGGAGTTTATTCAACACCACGCTTTTGCTGTGCTCACGGACCCGAACTATTGCACAGGCACCATTCATGGCAACCTTCAAAGTCCGCAAAGAAAAGGTCGATTTCAATGATGATGGCGATGACGGTGAAGCAAAGAAGACGGAATACGACGTCTGGCAAGCTGCAATCTTCAAGGTCGGGGACGATTGCCGACAGGACGTGCTCGCCCTCCAAATCATCGCCATGTTCAAGAACGTGTTCTTGAAGGCAGGCCTTGTTCTCTACTTGTTCCCTTATCGAGTAACGGCCACGGCGCCAGGCGTGAGTTACTTGCGGTGCTCTGAGCAGAAGCGATCGCTGAGCAATACTTTCCACACCACCTTGACCACAGTGTGGAGTCATTGACGTCGTGCCCAATGCAACGTCTCGGGATGAGATGGGACGAGCGAAGATTAACGATCTGTACGGATATTTTATCGACAAGTATGGTGGAGTCGACACACCCACATTCCAGAAAGCTCGTCTCAACTTCATTCAGTCCATGGCAGCCTACTCTGTGGCATGCTATATCCTTCAAATCAAGGATCGTCATAACGGAAACATCATGATTGATGGCGAGGGACATATCGTTCATATCGATTTCGGGTTCCTCTTCGATATAGATAAGTCTGCTTGGTAGGCTGACTGAAACGCTGATCAGCAAGCTTATCTTGTCTTTGTTGGCGTGCTCACGTCCCGGAGGCGTCAAGTTCGAGCCAAACAGCTTCAAGCTCAACCACGAGATGGTAGCCTTGATGGGCGGCCGAGACAGCCAAGGCTACAGAATGTTTAGCGAACTCACGGTCAAGGCTTTCCTGGCCATCCGACCTTACACGGACCAGCTAGTGGATACGGTGCATCTCATGTTGGGAACGGGCCTACCGTCGTTCAAAGGAGAGCCCACTATCAAGCGCTTGAGGGATCGATTCCAGCCGCAACTTAGCGAACAAGCTGCTGCAGACTATATGGTCGGCGTAATCAAGAACGCCAACGAGAACTACCGATCGGTGGTGTACGACGAGTTCCAGCGTTTGCAGAACGGTATCCCCTACTAACCTCTTTCGGTTAGGTCAAGTCGCACCGCTCTAAGACATGTATTCCTGACTTATAATCACATGTACATATATTGCTGTCATAGCGATGCTCGACCTCTTACAACGACTATGACTACGGTTCGATACGATGTAATACCTCCAAGATCATATCAAGCCCTGTCGCTTCAGGTCATCGTACGTCTTCTTATCATACACGTTACCTTCGGAGTCTTCGAACTCTTCGGACCTCTCGGTGGCGTGCTGCTCTGCCCTTCCTTCCTGCTTGAGACGCTCGGCCACTGATACCAGGCGGGACAATAAAGAGCGTGATTAGCATTGGCGTAAAACAAGGTAAGAATTCTGCTTACAAGCAAGAGCGTCCTGGATTTTGGTAATTTCGTGAAAGTGCTTGGTGTTCGGCAGCCCAAGAGCACGCATCCCGAAAGCATGCCGACTCTCCTGGAAGTGTCGATCAAAGGCCTTCCTACCCATGTACAAGAAATCCGAACAGATTTCACACTTGTACTCAACACCGAGACCGTGCAGTTTGTACAGCCAGTAAGGAATGGGCTTGCCGTCCCATCCAAGAGGAAGCTTGAGAGGGTTGTAGATCCTCTCTTCGGCTTCTTCCGCTGTCTCGTCGGGTCCGAGATCGGGAGGCACTTCGTCAACGAGCTCTTCCAGCTCTAACTCTCGTTCTCGGGCGGTCAGAGCGGATCGTCTCTCGATGTTTTGCTGGGTATCGCTGACAAGCGAAGGGATAGGAGGGAAGAAGAGCAGAGTCTCGGTAAGACGAGTAAGCAAGGCAGAGTTGTGGCTTCTCGATGAGGATGCGGTGTTGCTAGAGTTTGCCGTCGGTGGAGGAGCTGAAGTCGGCGCTTCCCCTGCTTGTCCACCGGCCTCCAGCCTCTCCGCAGCCTTGATATGCTTTTTCGAGGTCAAATGCGCATCGTAGACGGTCTGTTTGGCATACTGCTTTTGACCTGTTTCGCCGCAAAATTTGTTATGTGAGTGGCCCAAATTCGCTCGAATATATTATGCACGGTCAAACTCACAAGCAGCACACCAAATACCATCCCCGTTCTCTCCATTCACTTGACCATCCGTCGCACCAGCCTTCTTCTGCCAGCCATCAACATTTCCCTCTTTCCAATCCTTCTCGAATTCCTCTTCCACCGGCTTCAGAGCGTACTGTACTTCGCCCATTCGAAGGGGATGCGTTCGACGCATGAAATCGAGAAGGTATGTTTTGAGGTTTTGAACGTAGCTGTGAGAATGTGCGAAGCAGAATAAGTTCAACCATATGGGATAACAAACTCAGCCAGGCAGGGCGTACTCGTAGTAAGCCAGTCCTTCCTTTTCTTTTTGGTCCACCTCTTCCGCCACTCGTCCTTTCGTCAACATCGTCAAATATTGCATATAGCTTAGCCTGCGACCACGACTTATCAGTAAGAAATGTATTCAAGTCGAGTCGCGTCTTGTCGCAGCCTACCTTTTGGCGCCTTTCAGATTGACGTATTGCGTATGAGCGATATTCAAGTCGAGGTAACGACCCATCCCCTCTTCTCCGGTAAACATCGAATCCAGAGCTGTATCGGAATCATGTTGATAAAGGTCATCAGCTTTTAGAGCCTTGTCGCTACGTTCTGTAAAGCCATTACCCACGATCGATAATCTCTTCCTCCCCATCTTCACCCCGGATTCTCGTCAGACCATCACCATCGACGAGCTCTTGGACGCCTCGAGCAAAGTTCTTGGTCTCGGGCTCCAGGTTGGGATGACGAGCGTGATAAGACTTGATCTTGTCCAACCGGGTGTAGAACTCGGCTAGGTCGTTCTGAGGATCGCCTTTGGACGAGGAAGGAGCTGAGAGGAGTGATAGCTCTGCAGCTCGCAGACTGCGTTGTGTCGAGGGAATATCAGCGATGTTATACGGGTTGGAATGTGATAGGTACCTCGACTCACCCGTCGTCGTCGTCGTAAAGCTTCGAAAGGTCAGCTTGACGATCAGCGATCCTGTTGAGGACATCCAGTGCTTTGTGTTGATTCCTCAGATTAGCTCGAGCCTGTCATAAGTATAGTCTAGACCATCAGCCGGCGTAGAATTAGCGAGCTCGGGATGTCGTTGAACCTACCCCTCGAACCGGCTTTGTGAGAATGTCGGCCAGAGCCTGCTCATATCGCTCGATTTCCTCCTGCGACTGACGCTGTATCTCGATCACGGATTCCATTCTGCTGGATGCGTTGGATTAGGCTTGCTATGTATAGCTTGCTTCGTATTGCAGCATGCAAGGCGTCGAGGTTGATGAACGAAACGACACAGTTGCTGAACATCGACTACTCTGAATACTACTACCTACTTGCACTTGCCCTCCCACGCGTTTTCACGTGTCAGGTTTGCCTCGCTCGCTCGCTCGCTCGCTCGCTCGCTCGCAGTGGGAGGAGGGACCCCGCCGACCCTCGAAGTGGAAGTGGGTATATCCTCGATCAACTAGGTTCCTCTAACTTCTCTGAACCGGATAGCTCCAAAACTACAACACAGGTCTGATAGCGATCCAAGATCAATATGGCTAACGTGAGTTGAGATTAGAGTCTGCAGAATGAGTACGGGTCAGAGTTGACGCATTCCATCTTCTCAACAGCTCAACCCGTGTGTCTCCGATCCCTCGATTTGCTATATAACACTCGACTGACACTGATACCTCTCTTTCTGTTGCAGTGGTGATGAAAAGCTCGTCTTCGAGTCCTCGAACTCGATCAAAGTCGTACGTATCGCCATATCTGCCTGAAAGATTGCATACGAGAGGTCTCGTTCTGCGCGGTATGAACATTACCCGCGACTACCATCTGGCTTGCTTGAGCCAAATAGATGGAGGGACCTCTCCGTCTCGGCTAAAAGCTCTGGCATAAATGCGTATATTCGAGGAAAGTGGAAGCTCACTCGTGAACGTGTTGCTTGTCGCTTTCCTCGAGAATAGTGTCCCACATGTGAGTCTGCTCCAAAGAAGCCATCTTACAAGACATCGATGTTGACACCATGCCATATGACGTGCTTTGCCTACTTTCAGTCGAGTCTATGGATCTGAAGGAGGATTTGATTCGAGGGATTTACGCCTACAGTACGCCTAGCCCCATCTCGTCGATCGCGTTCATCTGGCTTATCCTCATTCCTTACGCTAGACTTCGAGAAGCCTTCTGCCATCCAGCAGAGGGCCATCAAGCCTATCATCTCCGGTCGAGATGTCATCGCTCAAGCCCAATCCGGTACCGGTAAAACCGCCACCTTCAGCATCTCCGTCCTTCAATCCATCGATACCTCAATCAGGGAGACGCAGGCGCTCATCCTCTCGCCTACTCGAGAGTTGGCCGTCCAGATCCAGAACGTCGTTCTCGCTTTGGGAGACTACATGAACGTGCAGTGTCATGCGTGTATCGGAGGGACCAGTATTGGTGAAGACATCAAGAAACTCGAGTACGGCCAGCATGTTGTCAGTGGAACCCCTGGGCGTGTTTTCGACATGATCCGAAGGAGGAACTTGAGGACCAGGAACATCAAGGCGAGTTTGGTGATCTGATGCGAGACTTCATCCTTAGTCGCTTACGTTACCACCCGCTCCACGTTGACGGATTCCAGATGTTGGTTCTCGACGAGAGGTGAGCAATGGACCTCTCATCAAATCCTCATCTTTTTACTGATCACAATTTCAACAACATAATCCAACAGCGATGAGCTGTTGAACCAGGGATTCAAGGACCAGATTTACGACATCTACCGATACCTCCCTCCTGCCACCCAAGTCGTTATCCTGAGTGCCACTTTGCCTCACGATGTATTGGAGATGACCCAGAGGTTCATGACCGACCCTATCAGGCAAGTTGTTCTCAGTTCATGGATAGCGCACATTGTGGCTTGAAGCTGATCTCAGTCTCGTCTGGTCAACCAGGGTCCTGGTTAAGCGTGACGAATTGACGTTGGAGGGGATCAAGCAGTTCTTCGTCGCCGTCGAGAAGGTTAGCCGCTTCGCACAACTTGATATACCCGGGATCAGGAATGCTCAATAAGCTTCTGGCATCGTGTAGGAGGACTTCAAGGCGGAGACCTTGTTCGATCTTTACGACACGTAAGTCGGTTTCAACGTTGAGAAGCAGAACCCGTCACAGGTATTTACAGTGATTTTTGTCGCTTGCATAGCTTGACTATTACCCAAGCTGTTGTCTTCTGCAACACCCGTAGAAAGGTCGACTGGCTTACCGAAAAGCTTCGAGAGGCCAACTTCACCGTCAGCAGCATGCACGGAGACATGCCTCAGAAGGAGCGAGACGCCATCATGAGCGAATTCCGAGGTGGACAGTCGTATGTGACGGTTGTTGCCATTGGCTCCATGCAGCATTCAGCTTACTTAGATATCGCGTTTCTTAGGCGAGTCTTGATCACGACCGATGTCTGGGCTAGAGGAATCGACGTTCAACAGGTGTCTCTCGTCATCAACTATGATCTTCCTTCTTCTCGAGAGGCTTACTTGCACAGGATCGGTCGATCCGGTCGTTTCGGCCGAAAGGGTGTCGGTCAGTAACGAGAAAAGATTTACCAGACTTTTCGTTTTCAAAAGCTGAAATTTCTGTGCATTTGCTCCAATACTCAGCTATCAACTTCGTCGTAAGTGCTTCTAATTCCAGCCGAAAGCTTGAGTGATTCGCTAACTATATCTTTTCCATGCTCGATTCAGACCGTCGAAGACGTTCGTATTCTGCGTGATATCGAGCTCTACTTCTCGATGACTGTCGATGAAATGCCGGCTGGTGTCGCCGATCTCGTTTAGATGGAACAATGCGGCTATTATTTTACCTGCTTCAGTTCGCCACATCACGGCTTGGCTGTTTCGGCACCGATTGTACTGTTGAGAATGGATATCGATTGTGACGCTCTAAACCTTTCCGCCTTATCACCTATTGAAGACCATTCGGATGAGAAAGAGTTCAGAACGGTTCGATCATCTGGCCGCGATCGTTGGCAGGATGGACGCATTGTATTCCCCGGATTCCGACGAGCCAGATATTGCATCACTTCTCTCGAGAACCGTTTCCCCATCGTCCGAAGTGAGTCCAAAAGTCAGCGCGCCGCCGCCAACTTCGGAAAGCAGATTTGATTCAAGGCAAGAACCGTCTGGCATAATATAATGTCCCAAGATGTGCTAAAAGGTTGCGCTACCCTCTCAAAGTGAGCAGATGTATGTGTGTGAGGTCTACAACTCAAGAACGAAGAGGTAGCCTTTGTGTTTCTGTACAGCATCGGTGACAGGAAATGGAGAGACCCAGCCATGAGATTCGCAATTAGTGCGGTGCTTGGTAGGAAAGGTGAACGCAAGATCAATAAACTAGTGTATATTACTGTTCTGCGTTCTGCGAAGTCAGGCAATTCGAAACAGAAAGGGTTGTTCCATCGCTGTCATATACACTATTATACTATTATCATTGTAGCATGTACGAGTAGGCATGCAGCGAATGAGGCGACGAGTCCTAGTGGCTTGCAAAGGCGTTGTGGCTCTCGCTTGCGCTGCTGTCTTTCCCGCCAGTCTTCGAAAATCTTGTACCTATTGGTCTTATAAGGTTTGATGGCTTTTCCGGAAGCAAATCGGAAGCAAGCGGATGCAACAGCTTGTCGCGCGAAACGGGATCCGCAAACTATATAAAGGTCGCCCGATCATCCTCAATCGCCCAATCGTCAAGCGTGCCAGACTCAACATTCACCTTCACTTCGATCATCATATCCTGCACCGTCCGCGACCGTCGACTCCTCGAGATCGATCAACCACAATCGTTTACACTATCACTCGGGTTGTGAGTCCCTTTTCTCTCTCATCTCACGCTGCGAGCCTTTCACACTTACACACGCGTACACACGCCGATCTCGTGCAGGCAATCATGTTCTTCCAAAGAATCCGCACATTCTTCTTCGGTCCTACTCCCACTTCTGCTCCCGAACCCGCGGCCGCACCAAGACTTGGCCTTATCGTCCTTCGGGAAGTCAGAGCCATGCGCAAGGAGTTAGACAGTCTGAAGAAGAAGCGTTCGCGTCGTCGCAAGCGGAGACTGCTAGACCCGGCATCACGCCGATCGCCGCCGCCGTCTTCTGAGTCCGAGTCCGAGTCCGAGTCCGAGTCCGAGACAGACGAAGAGGACACCCGATCGGACCCCAGCAGTCCCGTCGGCGAGTCCGAAGCCGAGCGACCCGACCCCGCCATCGAGTCCTCGCCTCGGCCTGTCGTCACCTGGCCGGGGATCTGCGCCATGATCGCCGTCGTAGGTTACGTCACCGTCGAGCTTCCGTTGCTCCGGTCGCTTCGCCTGTTTTGCCACCGCCCTGGCAGAGACACCTTTGAGATCGTCAGGTCCGTATTTGATCGAACCTTCTATTCGATGTTTCCGGGCATCATTTTTCACCGGAACAAGGGGATTTTCTGGCTTGGCGGAACACCGGCTCGGGAAGCGCTATATTCGTCCGATCGGAGCTTAGCGGCGTCACACCACCTCGTCGTCGCTCTCCTCGGGTGGGTCAGAAACGACAACCCGCCGACTCGATCGAAACTGCTCTTCGCATACGTCGGCATGGTTTCGGAAGCGACAGGGACAGAAGTAAAGGCTCAGCTACCTCGACCTCAAATCCCCGTATTCGACATACCTGACGGGCATCTAGGAGATATTCCTCAAATCCTTCCTTGCGAAGGCGGAGTTCAGGCGGTCGTCAACTCACGGGGGATGATTACGCGAGACGGGACGGCTTGGGAGTAGAAAATCGTAAGCAGATAAGCATCAAGTTCACGAGACATGTCTACATGGCTTAACCACATTTGAATATAGCTTTCAACCACCTTGCAGATCGAGATCGCGATATCCGTCGGTGTTCCGTTGGCTCTTTTGTCTTTTGTCTTGTCGCGTTGTCAGCTTGCATCCTGTCGTTCTTTTGTCCTGTCGTCATTCTGCGCTTTTTGTCTTGATCGTGGTATGAGTATATGATTGACATTAGAACGTCGGTCTTGCGTTATGATGATTCCTATATTCCTAATGGGCGAAAGCCGAACTCGGTTCTTCGGTTTCTACCACACAAGTCATCGAGACTGGATTGATTTTGATCATGCCTCAGCCGTTCTTTACGATCAAGGCGCAAGATCCATGGTGGAGTGAGTTCGAGTACGTTGCGACATGTTCCGACAGCAACTGAGGTGTGTGATACCATCGAATTAGCGAGCGCCCCCAAGCCCAAACCCGAACCCCCTAAGAAGGCCGAGCCCCCTAAACCTACCTTCGGATGGCCTGACAAGGGATACTACGATATCTACCCCCCAATGCCCGTCGGTGCGCCTTCCTCGCTCGCTAGCAAGTTTGCAGTGGGGGACTTGGTCACCTCTGCTTCCCCTGCTGCGAAAGCCAAGACAGACGACGCCTTGAAATCTATCGCTTTCCCGTCGTACATGATCCCCGAAGAGATGAGGACCTCTTGGAACGCGTTGAGGTGTTTGGTCGAGGGGAGAATCGCGGATAAGGATGACCCGGCTCTTTCGGCGAGTATGGGATGGGCGATCGCTGAGATTGCGGAGGACTCGACCAAGAAAGAGATGGCCAAGGCGAAGAAGTGATATGATGACTCGAAGTGAATCGAGAGTGAGTACCTGTACATCGGACGTGATGGCATCCGATTCACTCACAACTCCTGCGCGTGTAACTTATTCTGTGATCGCAGTGCTGAGTAGATTCGACTCCGGCGACTCAACCGTCGTGGCGAATCCGACCGAGATTGTATAAATCGAGTAAGAAGCTAAGAAGAGGCTGTTTACGACAAAGACCGGTTGCTGGGTGCGAGATAGGGTGACGTCAGCTGTTTGGTCACGTGACTTTGATAATTACTGATAATCCGATCGAAAGCTGTACTTCTACGATGGACTATGTGTTGAGGCGATACATGAAGCCAAGTGATACCTACCTATCGAGTCTCGGTCAACTAGGTGAAACCGTACATCTCTAATCCATTCCATGTCGTCTCAAACTTAGAACGAGGTCGTCGTGTGTGGATTGCAGGCCCGAAACTGACTTTGACATGACGACAACATCAGTACATCCCGTGCACAGGTTCGGGAACAGGTATGGCCGATCGTTTCCCTCAAAACACATGGAGTTCCGAACGCGAGGTCCAAGCGGCTCGGGAGGTACTAGGTCACATCGATCAGCTCTTCTCGACACCCCCAACTTCTGGCGTGACCTAGACTTGTCACAAACTCTCGGCGACAACGAGACTTACGGTCATACGGGATGCGTCAATGCTCTCAGTTGGTCTCATGATGGATCTCAGTTATTGAGCGGGTCGGATGATGCTCGGTAAGTGTCTGGTGCTGCTTATGATCACCACGCAGCAGCATCGGACTAACGTTACTGTGTTAGACTTTGCATATGGGAGCCAGACGAGGACACCGCACCAACAGCTCAAACACCTCACCCGCTTCGTCTGAAGGAATCTGTACAAACAGCTCACCGGGCCAATATCTTCTCGGCAAAATTTCTCCCCCAAGCAAATCATCCAACCATAGCTTCTGTAGCTGGAGATAGCCGGGTCATGGTCTACGACGTAGAGCGGCTTGAGAGAACCAATAGTGTCGTAGACGAGCTGGATGGTCGAGTAAGAAGAGCTCGTAAGACTTTGGCATGATTCTCGCTCAAACTGATTCTGGGTTATTAGAGCGGTTCTGGGGTCAGAGAAATCATGTGTCATACAGATCGCGTGAAAAGGCAAGTCGGATACGGAAACTCGAACCGTGTTTCCGTGGCTCATGCTTGACTCCACTCAGAATCAGCACCGAGGATAACCCACATGTCTTTCTGACCGTTAGTGAAGATGGTCAGTGGCAGCTGTGTGCGCATGGTCAGGCATCAACCTGATCTTCAGAGCTCTATCAGGGACTGTTCGTCAGCACGATCTACGAACGCATCATCGCTGCCGAACAGGACCAGGCCGTGGTACCAACTGTCCTGTACCTCTTCTCGAAGCCCCCGGTGGCATAGAGTTATATACACTCAGCGTCTCGAAACTCAATCCATATCTCTTTACGGTGGCTGGGACCTCGGAATACGCTTTTCTCCAGGACAGAAGGATGACGAGGCAGATCACGCAAGAATGGAGTCACCAGGTCGATCCCGATAGTCAAGTGCAGTGCGTTCGACGGTTTGGCCTGCCGCCGGGAGAACCGGGAGTTACAAGGAGAAGTAGATGGGGATCGCCAAGACACATCACGGCGGTACGGATGAGCCCCGATGTAGCCGAAGATGTGAGTCTGCCTTTAAACGAGATGCCTGGGGATCGTGCTGACATCCGTGATTGTCTTAAAAATAGCTCATAGTCTGTCAGTGTCTTACCGTGTCGAGGCGAATGGTCCGAATGCTCCACTGACGGCCGTAGTTCTTTCAGCTTTCTCCGGGTACGGGATTGCCTTGTACTCTATTCACGACAATCCCGGACTCGGAAACCGCTCCTCGCAAGATGTTACCTCGGATCGCCAGAATCGGAACGTACTCAAGGACACTGCCAACGAGATAGGACCTTCCGAGACCGGTGCATCGGTGACAGGACCCATACATAAACAAAACGACCAAGAGGTCGTTCCAGCGACAAGTACGACGATTCAGGATGATATGGAAGTTGACCCAGTAGCTCTGGGTACTACCGCTCCGCCAGCTCAGGCGGCGTCTCGACAATATCACTTGAGTGATTTCCTCCTGGACAAGAATCATGACCGTCCACTGTCGCCGTTCAGATCGGCCGATGGAACCGTAGAGACTGAATCACTGCCCGAGGATACACCAAGCCAGAGTGACGATGAGGATGTCAGCGATGACGATGACGACGATATGCAGGCGGATGCAGTCGGTGTTGACGGACCCGATCAATCAGGCTGGGCGGGAGTGCCGATCGTCTATCCCCGGTCGACATACAAGGGCGCACGAAATGTGGAGACCGTCAAGGATGGTAAGTCGGTCCCCCGCAAACAACCGTATACTGCATGTTGAATTGCTGTTCTGGGATCCCATGCTTGTCAAGTTTCATTTGGCGGGGCACGAAGCGACAAAATCTGTAGCGGTTCCGACGACGGTAACTGGTTTATGTGGGACAAGACTACGGGCCGACTAGAAGGCATCTGGGAGGGAGATGAATCGGTCGTGAACGGTGGGTCAATCTTGATAATCCAGCCACATTTCGGTATCCATTCATCTTACCGTCCTTACAATCCTGCAGTTGTGGAACAACACCCTTCCTTGCCGATCTTTGCGGTCTCCGGCATCGATTCTACCGTCAAGGTAATTCGCATCGAGCATCCAGCTTGGCTGCAAAGATTGACCATCTCAACAATATTTACATCGCTTACAGGTCTTCGCTCCTCTTCACGGGTATAACGGCCAGAGCAAAGGGAGGTTACATCATGCCGACGAGATCATTGATTCCAACAAAAGGCCCGAGCCATCGCCTGTGGGGTACAGTATGCGCCAATTCCGGGCTCTAATTGAGAGTCGTCTGGACAGACAGATGGCAGGCGGGGATGACAGCGATGAAGAGCCAGAATGTCGCGTCCAGTAATAAGATAAATAGAGAGATTATCAAGCAAGCCGGGATTCTTTACATTGGCAATTTATCGCTGCCCATTGCGCTTCGACGCGACATGTCACGGTCCGACGTGCATGGCGTTGCGATTCTCATCGGCGGAGATGAAACACGTAAGAAGCGATGGATATAGTAAGAGATCGACAAGCTCGTAAGCTGAGCGTGAACACGCACTCGAAGTCCGAGGCCAGGCCCAGCCAAGGGACAAGCAGACTTGCCTGTGTGTCGAGCGCGTCATCCTGAACAAATTCTAGGAGATCAAGGATGAAGTGGTGGGTCGACTTGATAATCCGTTCACCAGTTGGGGCAGGACGCCTTGGGTTGGAAATGTGTACGATGGAGATGCCCTGCCAAAAGGACTTGAAGAGGGCCTTGAAGATCTTCCTCATTAGTTTGTAATGATCCCAAGGAGGGTCAGTACAGAACAGCTGAGTTGCCCTCGCAGAGGCCTGTGTCAGTACTCAGTAGAGGGAATTAACAAACCTGTCGGACCACAGACAAATGGGAGCCTTTGACGTTCTATCTGAGAGGTCCCACGATGACGATCAGCGCAGCGACGTCGACCCAAGTGAGCTGTTGCTGCTGCACTTCAATCCAAGCCGGTGACGCGACCGGGGTGCCAGAGTGGATCGGCAACTTGGGAGTCAACAAATCATTGGGAAACCTGTAGAATCCAATGTTGCTCTCATGTCTGGGGTCTGTTGCCATCAGGTATTCTTTCCTCTCCTTGGTTGACATGCAATTCCCAATGACGAAGGGATTATTGGCGAAAGCAGGGTTCTTGGCAAGGGAGGACCTCTCGGCAGAAGAGGAGTTGTTGGTGGGGAGAGAGGGGGTCATCCTTGCCAAGGACTGCAGTGGTGGTGGCGCTTGGGCAGGAGTCATTGGAAGCATGCTGGACAATGATCCGCCCACAACCAAGGCTTTAGCTCGGCTCAGTCAGGGCCTGCATTGTGCGCCTGGGTCGCCATTCATCCGCTTCTGGACTTCCGTCGGATCAGCTTCTAGTCATTCCTATCTTTAACCCTATACGAAGTCAAACGAGGTATCACATCGGATACGGAGGATTGTAATGTTCGATCAACCATTCAATCGTCGGATAAACGCCATTCAATTCGGCGGTCGATCCTAAAATTCTTAACATCTCATCACCGAAGTTGTCTCGAGTATACATCTCAAGGCCTTCTATTCCCTCTTCCCCTTGACCTTCTTGGCAGCATGCTCGCTCCTGACCCTGCTCTTCTTGGCCTTGCTCTTGTCCCTAGTTCCGCTCAACTTCTTGCTCGTACCCTTGACATCGAGCTTGACCTTGTCTCGCTTGTTGGCCATTGCATCCTTGAGCTTGGCCGACTGCTTCTTGGCCGCTCGCCGGGCGAGACGCGTAGCGTCGGTCGCCTTGAAAGCCTTTCGCTCGTCCTTCGAGAGCGTGGCGATCTTGTCCCCCAGTTTAGGATCCCCGTGAACCTTGACGATCGGTACGATAGGAGCCGCCTTCTTGACAGGCACTTTTCTCTCGGATTTGACGGGCTTGCCATTCTTGCTTTTGGCATCCTTCGTAGGAACCGGCTTGATGTCCCTGCCTCCCAGCGCGGACGGTAACGTTTTGCAAGGCTGAACCCGTAAGTTTCGTTTAGCGTGCCTAAGCTTGTTCGACGGTAGCGCCAGGACCTCGTCGACGCTTTCCCGTTCCTACAATTGGATTCGAGCCAAGTCATCGGGCGATCAGTATCTGACAGTCATATCATTGAACTGCCGCAACTCACATTGAAAGCGACGTAACCGAAACCCTTTGCCATCTGAGTTTCACGATCTCGGATGATCCTCACGTCGAGCACATATTGGCCGCCCTTGGGCTCCGAACCCCTCTCCTTCTCAACAAGAGCCTCGAAGAACAACCTCAGATCCTCCTCCTTGGCTGCAGCGTCCAAATTGCCAACGAAAAGACTGTTCTTGACATCCCTTCCAGCCGTCCAGATTTCACGTCGAGCAGGAAGGGTGGATTTACCTTCAGCGGCGGCGGCCTTGGAGATACTGTCCAACGTCGGTCGTACGGCGTCTAGACGGAGATGACGATCTTGGAAGGACGAGTTGTTGCCCTGGGCGATGACCTGGGTAGCAGCTTCATAAGGGTCCATGATAGGACGGACGTTTGATGGTCGATCTGGAGCGGGATGGGCAAAGACGACATAGGCGTTGGCGGATGCTACATCCTTATGGAACTACACGAATATCATTTGGTATGATTGAACGATTAGCGACTTGTTAAAAAAACCGGTTTTGATTTCGAACCCGAGGCCGACTCACCTCTCCCTTCATGAAGGCGACCTTTCGCTTCTCGCCAGGTTTGAAAAACACCTTGCCGTCCCTCGCCGGATTATCCTCGTCATCCCTCTCCGCCGTCCTTCTTCGCTTTCCACTCCTGGCATCCCCACCCTCTTCCTCGTTGTCCTCTCTCCAAGCCTTGGCCCTCTCCTTTTCTCGCTGTACTCGTCGGTTCTCTTCCTCTTGAGCGGTAGTTGCGGGAGCAGCGGTAGGGTCTTCTTGTTGAGTAGTAGGAGCAGCGAAAGCGATCGATCGGAATCGAATGGACTCGATCGAAGCGGTCGGAACGAAGGAAAGGAGATGGGCTTTGAGTTGATTTTGCAGGGACTAAGCGAGGTATCAAACGAAACGCCCGGTCAGTCTTCAAGCCAGGCAAATGGCTCTCGCAAACTCAGATGGATACAACTCACTTTGCTCTTCAGGACCTCCACCGCAACATTTCCTACGAATACCGTCCGTCTATCCCGATCTACCAAGCTCTCACCCTCGGGTACGTATTTCGTCTTCTTCACCCTCCGTTTCTTCTTGTCCGCCTTGCCCGGGTCGGCATCGACGGTCATATCGGCTGCCTCATCTTCCTCTTCGTCTCCCGACGGGGCTTTGTCGCTCATATCCTCATCCTCGGAATTCGCATCGACTGCAGCAGTGCTGGCATCGGCGTTGGGTGTACTAGCAGTCTTGGTTGCGTATCGTTGTTCGACGGTATCATCGTTGTCCTTATCATCCTCAACCTCGTCCTCGTCCCTATCCTCAATTCCGCTAGCGGCAGTTCTCATGGAGGACTTTCCCTTTCCATCCTTCTTCTTTTCCAATTTTTCCGCCTTGCTGAGTTTCGGTGGACGTTCCTTCTTGCCCGCTTTCCTCTTTACGGTCCCATCCGCGTTGAGCTCGGCCTTGTCCGTCGACTGGGAGATGTCGTCGGCTTTCCTCTTGGACGCTTTCGAGCTCTCGGCGGTAGTAGAGGAGGATGTGGAGGCTTGAGGAACTTGAGCGATGGGAGTAGGGGCTGTAGCGAAGGACGCCTGATTGTCGTGAAGAGCAGGGTCAGGATCAGCTCAGAATTCGTAGAACCATGAATGGTGCCGACTTGCACTCTTCGCAAACACGTCGTCTAGTTCCTTGTCGGCAGCCTTTTTGATAGAGAACAGGGACATGATGGCACCTGATGTGGTTGTATATGTTGTTTTGATTGGAAAGACTGAGAGAAGGGTCGATCTGCATGAAACGCTAGGCAAAAGAGCTCGAGTTGCAAGTCACTCGTGATGGGTGGGATCTCTAGGAGATTGCAACTTTATCGACGGACATCGTTCAATCGTGGAAGGATGGGGAATTGTTGAGATGTCCGCCCTGCAGCCCAAGATGCCGTAATAACAATTGCTTCCGTAATTTAGTCCCGGTGTGAACGAGGTACATCATCAACAGCAACGTCATACCGCACAATCACGTTCACATGCAACAGCAGCAAAATGCACCTCTATCGACATCTCGACACGACCTTTTCCTCTCCTAATCTTGCCATTCCAGGACTTGCTCTTCGAGTCAGCTGTAGACAAGTATCAGGATGCCGTACGAAAAAGGTGAATACCGCGACTGTCGGGGCGAGACGATGTGACCGCTGACCGCCTTTCGACACCCTGGCGCAACTCAGGATCGCTCTTTGCTTGTAACCCTGCCACCCAAAGGCTGGTCTCGACCAAGATCTCTGCCGATGCAAAGGGAGAGAAGATCGCCTACGTGAACGGGAGGACGGTCATCGTGGGTAGCAATGCTCAAGTCGGAAGACCGCATCGGATACGGTGCTGATATTCCGCTCTCGTTTCATTTGCGAATGATTTCGCATTCGCTAGATCCGAGATCTGAATGTGAGTACATCTCAAAAGTTGAAGTCATCTGCGAGGAAAATCCTTATGACTGACTGATATCTTATCGTACCTGTAGGACCCCACTAAATCCGTATCATACTCCCGTAGGTCTGCATACCTTACCCGATCTCAAACCAGCGCCACTACCGCTAACAACTCTCTCATTCACCGTCTGCAGAACACACCCAGCCGACGACCGTAGCCCGTATCTCCCCCTCAGGCTTCTACTGCGCTTCCGGTGATATCAGCGGGACAGTCCGCATCTGGGATATTGCCGGTACCGATCAGACCCTCAAGCTCGAGACGAAAGCCATCGGAGGGAGGGTCAACGATCTCGCTTGGGATGGGGAGAGTAAGCGGATGATCGCCGTCGGGGATGGGAGGGAGAGGTTCGGGAGTGCCTTTTTCGTCGACGGGGGGAGTAGGTGAGTCTGGGATTGTTCTGTTGTTCCGAATCACGGGTCGAACGTCGGATCGAGCTGATGTCGGCGGTCGTAAACAGCTGTGGAGAGATCCAGGGTAGTTCCAAGGTCAGTCATGACTGGGCGAATCAACCTGCAACACTGCTGATCGTGGCTTGTGACGAGGTACAGGTCATCAACGCTGTCAGCATCAGGCATCAAAGGCCTTTCAGGGCTGTCACCGCTTCGGATGATGCCTCGATCGTCTTCTTTACCGGTGTACCTTACAAGAACGACAAGGTGAGTAACAAATATGTTTTCTATGCCAAGCCACGTGGGTCATTGAGAAAAGGTCTCTCGTGGCTCAGGTCATCCGAACCCACACCCGATTCGTGCAAGACGTCCGCTACTCGCCCTCGGGCGACCACTTTGTCTCGGTCGGATCTGATGGCAAGATGTTCTTGTACGACGGAAAGGACGGGAGCACCGCAGCCGAGATCGTTGCTAGTCAGGGAAGCGTAGTTAGTACAACTATGATATTCGATTTGCGATGCTCTAGAGCTTTTGCCTGACGACTGCGGGATGACTAGTTGGGAGTATCGTGGTCGGGGGATTCCAAGCGGCTCTCTACCAGCTCAGCGGACGGCACCGTCAAGATCTGTGAGTCGGAACGATATGTATACACAACAGCACTGTCGGCTCATCTCCATGTTATCGTACAGGGGACGCCGAGACCAAACAGGCAGTGCAGACGTATACCATCGGTACCGACGTCGCCTCTCAACAGAACGGTAATGTTTGGGTCAACGAGAACTCGATCGTCTCCCTCGGCTTGGATGGGACGCTCAACGTCATCGATCCTCGTGTCGATGGGAAATGGAACAGGATCCATGTGAGCATCTTCGAACGGAAGAGGTCTTGACATGTCTGCCAAGCTCGCTGATGCTCTCTTCAAATACGATCGTGTCGTACAGGGAGCACCCAAGGCTATCAGCTCTAGCGTATTAGCCAACAAGCCGGAACCTACGTTCTACACTGGATCATTCGACGGTTCAGTCCGAGCGTTCGAGTTCCCCACTGGGAAATGCTCCGCCGTCGAGGGTAGCAAGGGCGAAGGCCAAGTAACCGGCCTCGCATACGATGAGAGCGTCGAGGATGGCAAAGTCTGGACCACTGGATGGGGGGCCGCTGGTGGTCTCCAAGCTATCAAGGCTGGCACCTATGAGTAAGTGGAAGGTTCGCGATCCTGATTTGCTGGAAATCAGCAATGCTGATGGTTCTTGTTTGACACAGCGCCTCGATCGCTTCCAACAGCGAGATCGACGGATCAAAGGCCATCGCCGCTTCTGCTGGTCGAGTTGCGGTTGCAGACGTTTCGGGTGTGACCATGTTCGAGAATGGCAAGAAGATCAACACCATCAGCGTAAAGGAAGGTTGCTCGGCCGTCGCTGTCAACGGGAGTCATTTGGCATACGGGGGGAATGTAAGTACCTCGTCTCGGTAATAACGCGAATCGAACCCGTCTCGAATCAGCTGACGCGCTTTCACCTTGCTTTACAGGATAAGAAGATCCACCTTGCCTCTGCTGACGGTGGTTCGGAAACGATCTTTGACGACTCTCGAGGAGAAATCATCTGCTTGGCTTTCTCACACGATGCTAAATACCTGGCTGGCGGAGACGTAAGTTTTCGCTGCCCCGTCGCACTGGCCAGTTGCTTATCGAATGTTCTGCATATACAGAGCTCTGGTCGCATTGTGCTCATTGATGTCGCAGCCAAGAAGGTAGATGGACGGGATGCTTTGTGATATTACCGTGCCGGGCTGATCTGATCGTCGTGCTCGCAGACTATCGTTTCCTCAAAATGGACCGCCCATACAAGTCGAGTGAATAGTTTGACTTTCAGCCCGGACGGGCTTCGTATCGTATCCGGAGGTCTCGATGAGAGCATCTACATCTGGTCAGTGGAGAAGACCCTGAGGAACGTCCCGATCAAGGTGAGAGTCGCAGTTGGTGAGAGACGGTAGTGGTCGTTGGCTGATAATACATGGTCAACCCAGAACGCTCACGCGGGAGGCGTCAACGGAGTATCATGGCTCGATGCGACAACTATCATCAGTGCCGGTGCTGATGCATGCGTGCGAACGTGGACCGTTTCTGGACCATGATTCGATGCTCCGGGGCTTGGTCGCGCGTGGGACCCAGGTTGACAACCAAAAACGCAAGTCCAGACGCGAGAAAGCGCTAACAAGCGCGGCGAACCCCCGCAACTGACGACGTCTGCCATTGGCTCTGCCCTCTCACGACTTGTCGATAGCATGTGCAGTCGTGCTCGTTGTCGGTGTTGTATTCTCTGCAGTAATGCACAGCCATAAATCTACCTTTCCGATTACCGAAGTACATTGGAGATAGGGTTCTCGTATCTGAGTTAGCGCAATGGCTGGAGGATCGTGCGGAACGGGTGACTGTGGCTTCCCTCGAGCTCGGGATACAGTTCAACGGTTCGATGCGGCGTCCCGCTTCACGCAAGTTGTCACCGGATTTGGCCAGCATAGTTCGGATTGACAGGCAAGAACTGGGTTGATGCATTCTGCTGGATCATTGTTCTGCCTGAGGTTGGCGCGGAAGCCATGACAATACAGATCACGTCGCCAAGGTCAGGGAAGACCTCGCTCAGCCAATTTCTGCAGAAGCCCCTATCGCAGTCAAAACCTCAGGTTTTGGCTGGAAAAGTGTCAATCGTACGCGGCCGACGATACCCTCATATGATCATGATCAACAATTGAGTGATCATCGCCTGCAGGATGCAACGTGTTTTCCGCTCGGACGTGGATCGCGCGCGGGTTCCGCCACTTTGTTTCACCTGGAAGCGATCTCTGATCTCTGATCAAAGGATCTGCAAGCTGCAAGCCTCATATACAAGCAGGCCGGAAGGAGTCATCGCATCGTGTCACCTTGTTTCGGTGTAGTATCCATCTAGTTCAACCCGACAAGGCGGAGGCAGACAAGCTTTGGCTTGCGTACCAAGAGATTTTCCTAGCGGTCAGGAGAAGTCCTGGCAAGAATTTCTCAATGATCAAGAGACTGGTTCTACGGTGGGGGTGGTTATTGTCCTGCGCAACTCTGTCCGCATCCGAGCGCCCGTTTGAGGAGGCAAAAAGACTAGTCTTAAGACGGAACCGATGGGATGACGATGATCGAGTCGGGATTGATAATCGATGGATAGAGCATTGATCGCCTCGGACCACACACTTCTACTACGCTGAGTGAGGAACCAAGTACCGCGCAAGTCGCCTCTGTCAAGCTTGGCGATCTGTGTCTACTCTTTGCTCCGCCAGGCCGGCATATCATATCACCATAAAATAAGCTACCACAAACTGAATAAGTATAAGAATGATATCTACATCTCGACAGTATGAGCAGGATATACTTCCGGTAAGTGAGATTGGTTACCGCCCATGACCCAAAAACCTAGGAAGTTGGCTTATCATTCCGTCTTGCTTTGCTTACTGAGAACAGTAAGGTACCTGTTAACCGTCGCCAAAACTAAGGAATATCAACGCTAGGTCCTGGGCTATCAGCGACACCGCTTATCATCGAATGCGGAAATAAACACGTCAAGGAAAAAAAGGTCAAATACAAATCTGTCCCATCTCCGACTCCGACCTCCTGCAAGCCATTCTTCTTTTGCGATACAATCAGGTCTGGCCTCGACAACAACGGCCGCATGCAATCATCAGGAAAGAGAAGAACGCTTAAGATCTGGTCGGAGTTGACGAGTTTCGATGAGACGAAACGACGTCGACGATGATATGGTTGATTCAGTAGATGACGAGACGCGCTGGAACACGGATCGCCGATCTGAGATCTGGAAGGATTCTCGAACACGTCAGAACTTCTAGGCTGGAGACCTTCTTTGAACATTCCTCGGAGCGGGAACCATCGAGAAACCTGCGCCTAACGTTCCATTCGAGCGCCGTCGGAAGTAAAAAAAGGCGCCGCGCCTGCGTTCATAACTCACATATCGTCAGACCTAATCATGGGAATATCGAAGCGGTCGATTGTGCGAAGCCGCACATTGGTGCCAGCGATCTAGGATCGATCTACGGAGATGGGAGGTCCGAAAGAGGTCGTCAGAAATCGGAGTGACCAAAAAAAAAGCCCCGCCCTAGAGTCGCCAACATGCAGTTGGCAACTCTAGGACGGGGCAAGACAAAGTATATCGCGAATATCGCAAAGCAGAAGACGTTCGAATGAGAACGTCGTAATGAGGATGACCTCAAACGACGTCTCGATCGATCGGAAGATGAATGAAGTGGCTCGAAGCGGTTGATCGACCAGCGACCTTTACGCAATCGGGATGGTATAAGTTGAGACCGGACACCCGCGTTCGGCGGTCTTTCCAGAAGTCCGGCATTCCTGAGAGAGCGATCGCGACGGGATTCTTGTCGCTCACGGACCCTCGAAAGCACGGGCGGACGTGTCGAAGAATGTTCCCGTTGACTCGACAAAGGTCGAAGCGATGCGAGAGGCCGAATCGGAAGGAGGGTGCTATCATCTCGGTCGCTACCGGTCGGCCCGTGAGAAGGGAGCCTCAACTGTTCCCGCCCATTCCTGGGTCCCGGGTACACACTGACGGCCCTACCACTCCCCGGGATTCGGCCCTTTCGATGGGGAGTGGGTGGTAGCATAACTCGGAAGGCGTTCACAAAACACGCTGGGTAGCGGGTGAACCCTCGTCGTCCTCGGCTTCGATCGCTCTCTCAAGCATGCCCGGTCTCGGTGGTATTATTGGTTGGGTATAAGTGTAGAATCCACCTCGGCCTTGTTACGTTGTAGTGAGGTCCGACTCGGTCCATCCTCAAACAACGGCCGACGGGAAAGGGGTTTGGATCGGGGTATGCAGAAGAGCAGTCGACGGATCTCGTTCGCCGAAGAGGAACACGGAACAGGAAGCAGTCGGCCACGTCACCGGTCGACTCACTTGACGCCCCGATCCTCGTCTGTTCCCATGGTCTTGTTGCAAGGTCGCCATGTTAAGTCGCAGAATTGGAGCGCTCAAATGCATACCCGACCTGATCCTAAATGAGGATCGGAGGTCCGTCGACTCCCCAGCCCGTCCGAACTTCTCCATGTGTTGGTTTCGCGACGACCAATACCGGAGAACGGAGTTCGGACGCTGTGATCCTGACGGGGATCCTGTAGCTGGAATGGTTTCGATTGTTGCCAACGGTATGTTGAGTTGAGACGAGCCGCCTCGAGTTTCTCCTACTATTCGGTCTCCCGTAGGCTCGACCTAGCAGAAGGAGAACGGACTCGAAGCCGTGAAGTCGTGGGAGACTCACTCGAGCACTTGCTTGGCCAAGTATCGCTAGGCTTCGTATGACTCGAAACACAGCACATCTCGGGCGCCTTGCTGAGGGCACCTAAACGCCTCTCCTAAATCATATCTTGAGCCAGAATCCCAGGCTACGAGGAGCTGTCAGGGCCATGACTGGATAGTGGAACGAGGGACCTATTGGCTCCGAGGAGGACGCCAACCGGAGACGTGTCGATGTACTGCGATAACGTGGCTCTAGCTCAGTCTCGACTCCGCTTCTGGCAGGGAATGAACGGATCGACCGCGAAACGTATGCCTCATTGGCGTCCATGGCGAAGGAGGGGTAGAATGATCTCCAAGTCGATTCGATCTGAGTCGACGGTTTGACTGCAAGAGCGAGAGACGTACGGTCAGCTGGCGAGCCTTCATTCGAACGGGGAACAGACGAACGGCCGAGATCAAGAAGGTTCTTACAGGGGTAGTCCAGGAAATTGTGGTAAATTCGACGTAAACCAAAGGATGGCGGGAAGGTCCGGTGCGGACGAGGCAGTCGCGTTGATTCAGACCGGACGTGCGACTGCGAAAGAGAGAACCCGGAATCAGCGGTCTACTCATGAGCGGGGAAGAAGGTATCACGAAGACACTCACAAAGACGACGAGAGGGCGTGCGATGCAACAAAAGGTCGGAAAAGAGGGCGATTTGCAGGGGAAGGAAAGGAGACGACGATCAACGGCAAGAACAACATGTCGATCGGCCGCGAGAACAAGAGGGATGAAGGAGGTCGGGATGACTCACGGTGTTTACGGAAGGTTGTTCGGGGTTCTTGCTTGGGTTGAAAGGGTTATAGATGGGAGGTGCTTCGAACAGCAAGAAGAGGGGAAAAGGTAGAGAGATTCTTATATACGAGAACGACACGACGCGAGGCCAGCGGGCGAGGCGAAAACTTGCCAGCACAGCAGCACTCGTCGACTCGTGGGAAACCGCCAACTGTCTCCCGATTCGCCGACACCGTGGGAAACCACTTCCCGATCGGGAAGGTCAAAGCGACAAACAACAAGGAGAGAGAGAGAGGGAGAGACCCCTCGACGATCCGCGGATGCAGCCGGCGACTGCGAGAGATCGAGGGACGACTGCGGGATGGGGCCAACTCGCTTGACGAGCCAATGGCGAGCGAAGGAGCGGGCGAGGGTGGTTCGCTGTGAGTCCAGCAGTCAGCGGCCAGCCTGGATCGGTTCGCCACCTTCGACCCTCATATATCAACGACCTCGCTCTCCGACATTCCTCTTCCTCTTAACCCTCGTCGACATCAACTCATAACAAATCTCCCGGACACCTTCATCATAACAACCTCCCTCCCGGACACCTGTAAGTGATCGAAAAGGTGGTTATGAGACCGAGAGGGACTAACTTGCGTCCCCGTTCTCACAGACATAATCGCGGATACCTATAATCCTGTAAACCATCATACTCTCGTTCTCTCTCTCGGTTTTCGTAATCAACCACGCTCGCTTTCACGCTCGCTTTCACACTACCTTCTCGATATGGACCGACATGACGCCAATCCCTGGGCAAAGATGACACCTCCTAAGTTGAAGCTTCCTGCTTTGCCCGAGCTGCTACCACCCCCGCACATCTCTCCCACCGCGAAACCTCAGGGGGCCAAGACCAGGCTTAAGCGGTTCATCAACAAATTGAAAGGAGGTCGCCAAGTCGTCGACGAATCCGCCGAACCACCGGCAAAGAGGAGGCGCGGGGATCGAGAAGCCATAGTCGTTCCGTCCTCGCCCCTTACCCCGCCGCCACCTTGCTCGTCGGTCTCGGCTCCACCGAGCTCCCCGTTGAGTCCCCCGCCGCTGTTCGGATTCGGGACAGGGACCCCGCACGAGTTCCGGTTCGAGGACAAGGGCAACATCGACAAGGGCAAGGGTCGAGCCATTGCCTCCCCTTCGCCCAAGAAGGTCAAAAGGAAGCCAGTCCCGGCGATAGACGACCCAGTCCACCCAGTCCCACTGTCGAAGAAGAGGAAGCACGAGGACAGCGATGCGGACGGTGACAGTGATGCGGACGGTCCCAGGCCGTTTCAGAGGAGGGTGATCGATTTCGATCGTCAACCCGAAGAGGTCGTCCCTGCCGACGTCGAGAAGCAGATGGTCTCTGTCGGCGTACAGACATCTAGCGAAACCAAGTCGGTTGGGACCACCACTTCTTCGATCCAGACGTCGTCTATCGGCGTCAATACCTCTCTGGGCCAAACCTCGTCTATCGGGATCAATACCTCTCCGGGCCAAACCTCGTCTATCGGGATCAATACCTCGAGTCAGACCTCGTCGGTCGATACCTCGATCGAAAATTCGTCCATCGAGACGACCTCGTTGGACGGGACCGGTCCCTCGATCATCGATATCAGCGATGACGAGACCGTGGCTCCAGGGGAGTCGTCGTACATCGACTACGGCGAGGACGAGACCGTGGCTCCAGGGGAGTCGTCTTACATCGACTACGGCGAGGAAGAGGACGCGACCGACGATGCGATCGACAAGCTTGAAGCACGGGTGGATAAACAAGCGGAAGAAATGGCTCTCTTTCGCTTGACGGTCAATCCACCATTAGGAGCGCATACCCTCTTCCTCGACTTTCATGCAGAGCTGAGGAGGCTTCTTCAAGCAAGGTCAAGGGCCGAAGCGACTAAGGCGATCGAAATTGAAGCGGTTGCGAAACTTCGTGGGACAATCGATCTCATCTGGTGGGGGACTGAAGTCGAATGGCCCGATGTTGCAAAGGCCGGGGATGTTGCAAAGGCTGGGGATGCCGCAACGCCCGGGGATGTCGCAACCTGTTACCCCGGCGATGGCAAGGCGTTTCTGGACCTGGTCGCAGCCCTCTTCGCTTACTATGATAACGATACTGGTACGTCCTCTCGCTCGATGCACGCCTAGCAAGAAAATCACTAACAAAGTGTACAGCTCGGACTAGAGTTGATGTGATTGAAAGCATCCCCGCTGCAGTAGCCGCTATGGGTCGACCGGGTGCGGTGATCAAGTTGTCGGGCGCGGGCCCTTTCCCGGATAGCTACGTCACGACGTCGGGATCGGACTCCGAGGCGCTTTTCCACCCCGTCAATCCCGACAACGCTCACGGAGTCATCAGGGGAATTGGCCTATAGTCGGATGGGGGCGTGGGAGACTCAGTATAGCTTTGCGATTTTGCGATTCGTTATCTGGTTGTGATCGTCCGATATAATTCTCCGGTTCGGCCGTCTGGTTGTGTCATGATATACATATATATATAGAGAGAGACAGAGAGAGAGAGAGACAGAGTCTGTCTAATTCAATCACAAGTACAGCCTCATAGCCGAAGCGATCGCCGTCTCCTGCGGGCAGTAAGAACATTTCACGGCTCGTCGTCTGAGCAAACGTTGGCGGATGTCAGTCCGAGATCGGTGATCGACGTCAGACTCGACTCACCCGTGTTTGCTCAGCTTGGTCAAACTGTCCTGTGCGATGGTATGTCCGCACGAGAGCATCTTTGGCGGGTTCGAGTCGGTCGCTTGTTCTTTCGAGACGGGGCATGCAAAGACTGAGTGGTAGCGTCGTGACAAAGGTACCGGTAGTTCCATCTACGGGATCGTGACGGGGATGTCGGTATCAGCGATCGTGGTTTCCGGAAAGGGGATTGGCGCAAACGAACACTCACCGGCAACTCTTCCCACGTCCTGACCTCTCCCAGCCTGTCTTTCATCACCTTTCTCGCCTTGTCGATCTTACTCAACGCCCCGCCCGCTCCGAGATCGACGACCACGCTCAAGGGATCCTCTCTCGCCCACCCGTGTAGTCGGCAGAACTCCACCTTGAAGAGCGGGACGAGGGCTGGTGGTTGCAATGACGGCGACAAGAGGTCGGCGTAGGGGCTCGTCGGTAGTTGTGATGGCGTGTAGAGAAGGGCGCCGAGAAGGTGGTAGATTTCTTGTTGATGCGACGACACTATATACGGGTAAAGGTGATCCCGAGCATATTGGAGCGGTGCCGGGCAGTCATTGTGCGGGTTGGTGGTTGACGAAACGGAAGGGTCGAGCATAAGCTGTATGAGCCGGGCTCGGTGGAGGTAGAACATCAATGGAGAAGGATGAGGAGGAGCCGAGAGGAAGTCGTGATGCTTGCTCGTCCACCTAGTTTCGCCGTAACAGGTTGCCTTAGTGCCTTCCTCCGCACAGAGTCCGGATCGATGGTATGGACTCACTTGAGAGCAGACTCTACGTCTCCTCGATTCATGTCATCTATCGTGGCATGTAGCTCTTCACTCAGTCGTCTCATCTCCTTGTTGAAAGATATCCCTGTTTCCTGTATAGAGGCATCACCAGGATGATCACGTTAGCATCGACAGCTTGGATCTACTGCAGCGATCTTTCGACCAGATACTGACTCTGCAGAGCGTCTCGGCAGCACTCCAAGCACCCTTCCTGACCATCGTCTCCAGGATCACTCCATCCATGGCTCTGCGGCTCTCTTCGGAGGAGAAGAGAGGCGGGCTCGGTACGTCGTAAGTATTCGAGATGGCAGCAACCTCGGACTCAAATCCCTGCAGACCACGATCTTGATACAGTCAGCTCGGCGTCGAAGCTGATATATGACCGTGGACGACAGCTGTACGCACCTTGTCGATGGCTTTTCCGACTTTTGACAGCCCCCCGTACCATTCCTTCAAACCTTTCTCCACGTCGACCTTCTTCCCCTCAGCCTCCTTGATGAGCGACTTGACGACGTTTTCCACATCGATCCCATCCTTTATCTGATTCTCGGCTATTTCCAATGCCGATTCGAGGTCGGATAACGTAGTTTGAAGAGGCTTAGATTTGCCTTTCGAGGACGAAGCGGAGGATGAGGACGCTTTGGAAAGGGATTCGAGCTTGAGGAGTTCTTTGAGGATGTCGTCTGCCATCTCGATCGCGGAGAATGATTGGTGATTTGAAAGCGATGCAGGGATCTTGCCTCGTAAATTGGAGAGCTAGCTGATGGTTGCTGAACGGCGCCGATGGTATAGTTCAGACGGTCAGTGCACTTCAAGATACAAGAAGTCTAAAGGTGAGCTACGAGTACAAACAATTAGCAGAGTAATCGATCACTCGTACTCGATATCACTCGATAACCGGCGACGTCCGTTGGGCTATCGACCGCGGGTGAACAACACATGACGAATCACGCGATCAGCCTCCAGCCCAGCTCCCAGATACAACAACGTCGCAGGCAGTGGTATCAGCAGTATACGGAACGCCTCACGACGGTCTCGACTTGCTACACTAGCTACACTAAGCGGTTTCAATGATCTTCTCGACACGGAAAACGTGCGGGATGGTATCGATCGTGTGGACTTTGAGACCCCAGGACGGGGAGCTCGGATGCGCTTATCTATCCGTATAACGTAAGAAATGCCGTTATGACAGGGTCACCCCTTTTTTGCGCTTTTTCCCATTCTCGCGGTCCGCGTGCCCCGCTTTACGAAGCTTCGGCCGGGTGCTTACCGGGTTTGACCTTTGTCATTCATCTCAGCGGCTGAGGTTATCAATCGACTCTCTGGCAATTCTGGCAAAATCAATCGTCAGAATCATCTTATATCTACTGGCTACTGAATCTAGCATCTGAACATCGACTACATTCAAGCTGGCTTCCATCAGCAAAGTCTCTTCGACGTTTACGAGGTTATCGACTGTTCAACGCTCGCTTCGCAACACCGGCATCGTCAGCAATCCCGCATTCAGGTCGAGGTGAGCCTAGCAAATTCGATGATTGCTGTCGCGAGAGAGTAGGATAGTGCTGATTGTATCAGCTCCCCCCCTCGCCTCAGATTGACATCGAACAACCGTCCGCACATACTCTTGAAAAGTATCACCGCATCCACCGCTGCCATCTCCTTGTACACCACCTCTACGGTCACTTTCGATACCAATAACAACATGGCTCCTATCCCTTCGGCCCACGGCGCTCCTTTCGAGGTGAACGAGCCTAAGTCTGATGGTGAGAAGAGCAAGAAGATGCACAGCCAGGTCGTCATTATCGGTAGTGGACCTGCCGGGCACACGTGAGTCGGTCGATTCGATTTCGAGCTCGAGCTCGTTCGCAGAGGTTGTGCTGATCCCATGTCGCCCTGTCCGATGATCAGTGCCGCCATCTATCTTGCACGAGCTGAGCTCAAGCCCGTCTTGTTCGAAGGTCTCATGGCCAACGGTTTCGCTCCAGGGTGAGTCTGCACGCGTTCACCTCATCGCACCTCTTTGGCTGTCCGAGCTGAACCTTTGTAAATCGGCCTTGCTTTATCTGCAAAACGACATAGTGGTCAGCTGACTACCACCACCGATGTCGACAACTTTCCCGGTTTCCCCGACGGTGTGAATGGAGGAGAGATGATGGACAAGTTCCGAGCTCAATCCGAACGATTCGGCACCACCATCATCACCGAGACCATTGCCAAGGTCGACCTCTCTCAACGACCTTTCAAGTACTGGCGAGAGGGTGAAGAGGAAGATGCCGATTTTGAGACGGCCGACACCATCATCATCGCCACCGGAGCTTCTGCCAAGCGCCTGAACTTGCCCGGCGAGGAGACTTATTGGCAATCCGGAATCTCGGCATGCGCCGTCTGTGATGGTGCGGTACCCATCTTCAGGAACAAGCCTCTCGCCGTCATCGGAGGTGGAGATTCCGCTGCCGAGGAGGCGACTTATCTGACAAAATATGGAAGTCACGTCTATGTCCTCGTCAGGAAGGGAGAGTTGAGGGCGAGCAAGATCATGGCGAAACGTCTGACGAGTCACCCGAAGGTTACCGTGCTATGGAACGTGAGTTTCAGTTCTAATTCGAAAGCCATTGAGAGTGCAGATACGTCGCTTCTGATCGAGATGCTGACATGCGTTTATTTTTGGGAGGTCACAGACTGTGGCGACCGAGTGTCAGGGTGACGGCGACCTGCTCCAATCCCTTGCTATCAAGAACGTCAAGACTGGCGAGACCTCAACATTGGACGTCAACGGTCTCTTCTACGCCATCGGTCACGAGCCTGCGACCGCCCTCGTTCGGGAACAGGTTCATACCGATGCCGACGGGTATATCGTTACGGTGCCAGGTACTGCCCAAACGAGCATCAAGGGTGTCTTTGCTGCTGGAGACGTCCAGGACAAGAAGTACCGACAGGCAATTACTAGCGCTGGGTCGGGTGAGTCGTGGTTGTCATTTCGATTTCGGGCGGCAGACCACTCGATTTCGATGTCAGATTTCGGCCGTCGGACGAGTCGCTGATCAGATGACACCTCGCTTTTGCTTTTCGGGTTACGACAATATAGGTTGCATGGCTGCTCTCGAGGCCGAACGACTTATCTCGGAGGAAGAGGCGGAGGACAATGAGATCCCGGCAGAGGAGAAGCATGTGCCATCAGAAGCTTTGACCGGTTACCTGTGAGTCGAGGGTTTGTCCTCCGACGACGATGTGCGACCGTGTCGCTCATCTGAACGTGTTACTTCTGCTCAGGGGTACGGACAAGGAGTAAAGTCAGGCGCATGGGAGGACATAATATCTGTTAAGATTGTAGTGAGATTCAATCATCCGATCATTCCATACATCATACATATCGCATGTCATTTACATGGAGGAGAGACAGTCGATCAAGGTCGCTAATTGTGACCTGGGCACAAAAACGTTGTGGAATCTTCCTTTTCGTCGTACAGCCAGCCCACCCTCATATTGGTTGGAAATGCACTTGGAAAAGAACAAGAGGAGACTGCCCGGGATCGCTAATACGAAACAAGGAGAGCAACATTCGGTTAGCCACGATCACTTCATTTATTATCATCAACTGCACCTCATCGGAACATGACGACGAGGCAGTAGCCGATTCGCTGAACGAGGATTCGACCCTTCATGGGTCAAAACGGTCCAGGACGAGACGGCAACATCGAGGACTCGGCCCCTAGTCGAGCGGTATGACCTGCGGGCAGAGCTGGGACTTGACTGGACGACATCTTCCTCGTTGATGGTGGCAACATCAAGAACCCTGCCTCTAGTCGAGCGGGGGATGGTGGGACTAGACTGAATGACATCTTCCTCCTCCTCATCGATGGTGGCAAAATCGAGAATCCGGCCTCTAGTCGGACAAGACGGACCGGGACAAGACGGATTGAAGAGGTTGAGATCGACTTCCTTGAATTCGTCCGATTTCCTCTTCCCCACGGAAGGACGTTCCGACAAGACCTGTATAGGAGAGGGGGAGGCAACAGCTCTGCCCTTACCCTTGCCCTGATGAGTGAAGACGAACTGGTGTGCCATGTTCGTCCCAAAACGGGGTGAGGGGCAATATCGACCTCGTCGGCGTGGGCGTACGCCGTGAATTCGCAATTCAGTCGACCGCTGCATCAAACGGCGAGAATCTTGGGCTCTACCGCACTCTTTGCTCTCTTTACCGGTCGATTGGTTGCCTTCGTCGGGATGCCTTTGTCTTTGTCTTCTTCACCTTGCCCCTGGCCTTCTTGCCCTTACTCAAGATCCTCTGTAGGATTGAGGGTTTTGCGAGAGAAGGATCTTGAGTGGATTCAGCAACGGAGGGGTTCAACGGGTCTTTAGAAGCAGCAGAAGAGCCTTCGGCGGCTGAGGAATATGGCTGTGCGACGAGGGAAGCGGAGTAGTAGTGGGAGACAACGACTAAGACCGTAGCCGATCCGTCAAATTCAAGAACTCGACCCTATGACTCACATTCGCCCGGGGACTGGCGTTGAGTCTATCCAATCGAGATTAGCCGTTGTCGAGAGAAGCTTGATGATGATCTGATGAAGTAGGCTGGAAGCAAGAGCAAATATTGACATGTTGAGGAATGAGGTTGTTTAAACATACGGTGGGTAGGGTGGCGAATCCAGGCTGGCTGACACCGAAGCGACTACGACCTCGGAAAAGACGGATCGACCGGCCTCTTGTTGGAAGAGACCACATGGCATACATACTCATCGACTCGAGCCGACGTGATCGTATACATCGAAACATAACCCAGTGCGACGACGAATGGTCATTCACTGCCCCTCTTCCCGGCCGATTATAGATCCACAAGTACAAATTCTTCTATATTTTGTCATTACACGCCCAGCTTAGGCGTAGTCCGGGAAGTGTCTCCTCACCACCTTCTCGTAGACATCCTGCATAGCACTGTCGAACTGAACAAAGGTCACGCCTTTTATCTGCGGAAAGTCATCCGTCGAAACTTCCGATATGAGTTCCACGTCGATCGAGGTTGAGAAGCAGAGGAGGTATGTAAATTGTACTGACATTGCCGTCCTTGTCGTTGTCCAACCCTTTCTTGATAGTCTTGACAGCGATCTCGGTGGCGGCCTCATGAGGATAACCATCTGTTCGTGCAACAGAACAAGCACGAGGATGTCAGCATCGTCTCGATGTATGCATATCGGAAGTCCACCCGAAGGCACTTACAGACGCCGCAGCTTATGCTCGGGAACGCTATCTCACCACCGCCATTCTCAAGGAGCAACTCTAGACATCGAGAGTAGCATGATGCGAGCTGACGAGCGCATGCTTCGGCTCGGGAGGAGTTGTAAACTGGTCCGACGGTGTGGGCGACGAACTTGGCTGGCAGCTGAAATCAGATCAAGAGCAGAACAATCAGTCGTCTGGCTGCGATGTGACATAATGATCGCACTGACTTCGAATCCTGGAGTGACTTTGGCGTCCCCCGTATCACATCCTCGTAGCGGCCGACAGGCCTTGAGGAGCTCCGGCCCCGCTGCTCGATGGATCGCTCCGTCGACGCCTCCTCCGCCCAACAAGCTGTTGTTGGCAGCGTTGACGATCATGTCGACCTATATGGCATTTTCGAATGAGCCTCGTACTCGAGATTATCCGTTTGCTTCATGATTTTGTACCTTGAGCTGGGTGATATCGCCTGTACGAGTCCATGCCTTTGTCAGGTCGATGCTCTTTGTGACTGATTCGTCATGGACTTGCCAGTGTGAAGCTTGATTCTACCGGCCATGTTTGTCCGAGTGGGACAATCAGTCAGATGCTCTGAATAGAAACAGAGCTTGAAAAGATGTGAATGTGTTATGCTTAGGTGGTATCTACGAGGCTCGACATGGATAGAGGATGGGATCCTTGTGACTTCACATTCACCTTCTCGACCACCCCCGGGCGGCTGCTGTTGCCCGAACTCGGCTTCGGCTTCGGCGGGACCATAATCTAGCAGCTAGCAACTATAGTCCCTTTGATCGTGGTTGCATATCATCTCTCGTTCTCTCTCCATTGACCCATATATCCCATATCCCCATGCCAATCTACATCTAGAAGCATCAGGTTCAATCGGACGACTGAGGCAAGCGTCTTTGACTTCGAGAATCATGCCAGCCACACTTTCTTGGACCAAAAGGACGGTCTCGCTGCTGGTTCTCGGCTTGATCGTCATGGCTTCTGCTACTCAGACCGAAGTCGCAAACGTCAGTTCAAAAGCTCCTCGAGAGGGTACCATCCGTCAAACTCACTCGGTTTCCTCTCCATAGTATCTGGGAGCGACGAAGGGTGAGCCGTTTGCCTTTGATTACTGGATACCAGAGGAGACTGACTTCCAGCTCGGCTTCGTTTGATGAGGCTATAGCAAACCGTACTTTACGTTGTGAGCCCCGCTTGGAGAGCTGATCAAAGACACGGAGAGCTCAAATCGATCTTCACCCGGCTTTCTGTCATTATAGCTTCCTGACACATTCGTTCTTCATCATCCTCTTTCCGCTTCACCTCCTTGTGCTCCGGGTATTCCGACCAAAGGACTCTCCTCGATCTCTGCTGGAGCGACTTCGACAGGTAGTTACCGTACAGGTAAGCCCGCGAGATAATCTGATCTATCTTCATCAAACCCGGTTGATACTGTACTGACTGATACGAGCTGTTTCCCTGCTCATTCAGCTCAAAGTCGACGCAGAAGATGCGAGAGCGGTACACCAAAAAGTGCTAGCGGTCGTCTTGAAATTGACGGCACTCATATCTTTGTGAGTTGACCAAGTTGTGAAGACAAGGCTACCGCGGGTCACTGAATCGCGTCCTCATATATAATTTCGAAGACCCTCGATATGTTGGTATATCGCCGTTCCGTTGACAGGGTGGGTCATGGATGTTTCCTTCCTTTGAAGTGGGACGCTTTTCTGACGTTCTCGCTCTGTTTCGGCGACAGCACTACCGATTTGACGACGATATATGCTACCGCCACCTTCTGGACATATGGATTCTCACTACTCCTCCTCAAAACTCCGCTCTCCCGGCTTGTGGTAGCCTCGATCTTTATCGCCTTTTCCGGTGTCCTCCTCATCACCTACTCTGGCGTCGCAGAAGCAAAACACAAGCACCGGCATGACAGTGGACAACACAAGGGAGAAATGGACACGGAACCGCCTCATAGGATGTTGGGAGATCTGATCATGCTCGTCGGGGCCATCGTTCTCGGTTTCTATGAAGTGATCTACAAAAAGGCTCTTCCGGAAGGCCAGGGCGGTATGATCTCGGGACCGGTTGAAGGTGAAGACAACCCCGATGGCGGTCTGTATCAATCAGTCTCGAACGATGATGGAGGGGAACCTCAACGACCTGTCCTACCGACCCATCGGCGATCCTTCTCCAACCCTTCCCCTCGGTCCAGCTCCGATGCCTATCCACCGGACGCCCCCTTGGATTCTGGGACCAGGCTGAATGGCACTTTCAAATTCGCCCCGCCGCCGGTCGCTAGGCCGAAACTTCCTCTTGCGTTGCACGCCAACATGCTCACGTCGATGATCGGTGTCATGACGCTCTGTCTCTTCTGGATTCCGATACCTCTCCTGCACTGGGTGGGGTGGGAGCCTTTCGAGTTGCCTTGGGGGAGCTGGGGTTTAATGGCAATCGTCTGTGCAACTGGTGCGATCTACGTGAGTCGAATGGGGTCTAACCCGGCGTTGATGGATTGCTAAAGTACCCTCGCTTCGAGATCGCAGAATGCTGGATTTATGGTGAGCTTTACATGTGTTTCCGCACTCTCCCTTGATACTGAACATGATACTCATCGGAAACACGTTCGCAAAACAGATCCTGATCGGGCTTCTGGGTCCAACAACCGCCTCGGTCGCCAACCTGCTCACGATCGGATTGGTAGCGGTCACTGATGCTTTCTATCTCGGTCATACGACACCGTTCTGGACTTTGGTGGGAGCGGGGCTAGTTGGGGCCGGGTTCGGAACGCTGTTATGGGCGGGAGAGGAGGACGGACATTGAAGCGGATCAGAAGGCGTTTGTAGATGCTCGATAGATAGATGATCATCATTATACCCGGTCGGTCCTGGCGACCTACCTACACGCAGGCCGACTGCGATTCCAAAGAACAGGTCGCTCGAAAGGCTCAATTTGATGAACGTCGTTACATGGGGTATATGGGGACTGACATACAACCGACAAAGCAGCATATCCCGCCATGCTTGGCTGCCGTGCGTGTTACAAGCTATTTGTGTCATGGGATAGTGAAACAGTGGATATGTTCGGGTCGTCTCAAACCGATGTGGTCGGTTTTGAGCAGATCTTAAGGGACCGGTCCTGACCTTCAACACGGTCCAGTGCAAAGGGCAGGGGGACCTTCTGAATGAGGACGTCACTTTGGGTACGTATGTCGATCAAGTGACTAGTTGCGTCGTATCTGCCGAGTGTCGACTCGAATCCCGATGGATCAGCCAAACTGCTCTTAGACAGCTGCTGCTAGGTTCTTCAGGGCGTCCCCGATCTCCTGCTTTGCGCGCTCCACCTGGCCGGCCAGCTCCTTTTCCTCCTTCTCGACTGCCGCTTTGGGTGTTTCCGAGTCGGATAGCATCACGAGCAGCTTGAGCTGGTGAGTTAGTGCCAGCAGCGATTCGGCGGATTGAATGAGGGTTTGAGTATGCACCTGCAGGGCTAGATGCGAGGTAGCCGTCGCAGCCAAGCTGGGTTGAAGAGCTCTCTGTGAGGATAACCAGTAAGGACAAGACATCAGACAAGATACATGATATGGCACCACGTATACATACCTGTGCCTCGGCCACGACTCGTCCAAGTCCTTCGCCGAGGATGGTCACATCCTCATCGATTCGCTTGTTCCATCGTTCTTCCCAGATCTCCAGGAATTGGGATCGAGTCTGGTTCGACTGAAGGGGTAAGAACTGGCTCAGATTAGGATTGGCCATGTCGTGTCGAGCGGACGGGTTTCATTTACAGCACAGAAGCCATGGCGGTAGGTTGACCTGAAGTCATGACCAGAGGTGAAGAAGGTCTTGCTGTATGCCAAGTTGCAGAACTGGGACCACAGACGAGCGGGGATGCGGAAGCAACTTCAGCAGCGCTGCCGATGGAAACGATTTACATCCGGCGCGCGCGAGTAAAATGCTTAACCTTATCAAGGGCATATTGCACAAAGTGAGTTTATATTCATTTGTTTGAAGTGCTCTCAACAACGGCCGATTAGCTCAGCTGGTTAGAGCATTCGTCTAATACTCTTAGATGAACGAAAGGTCTTGAGTTCGATCCTCAAATTGGTCATCATTTCTTTTTGTCCTATATCAATCTTTTTGCTGCGATTTTGGCCCAATGCTTTGAAACCTTTTGTGCCAAAAGGGAGATCAGTTGATTGACGTTGCGATCAGGAGTTCACCCTCATGCCCTTTTCTGCCCGGTCTGCAGTCACGTATACAGCCTGTATGACTGACAAACAGATGCTCTGAGCTGTCCGAGAAACAAGTGGAAGGTTCTACCTGCAGTTACATGATCATGACTCTGTCGACACGGGTCTAAAACCGGATCAGAAGCTAAGATTTACGGTCTGTCCGAGACCATTAGACTGATCGCCTCATTTATCGGAAGGCTGCAAAGACACGTGAACGCTCTGCTTTGTTGGCGCAGATAAGAGGTCAGAGCTCACAGCCAAGATCCAGATGGTCCCAGAGTGTCAGACCTTATTCCCTACCGGCCGAGTTTGCATTGGACCGACGATATGAAAAGCTACGAGCAAGATCGAACATGAACATGCGGAGATGCAGCGCGAGATGTTGGGCAGGCGGTCCAACAATTGGCAGAGCCTCCGCAAACTCGCCCAGCTTAGCCTATCAATGTCGGCATCCGAGAGGAAACCAAGTGGGATGACATTTTCGTTTTGCACGCTCTGGTATCGACAACGGCGACAACAACAAGGACAACGCCGATACAGGGCGGGTGGACACTGCTGGAGCGCTGACATACACCACGGGAAATACAGCCAATACCAACGCGGGGGCTGCATTCGCAACCCATAGCGAAGGAGAGGGCAAGGCCAAGGACACTGGATCAGTCCACCCCCCACCTTCTGCCCCAAGCATACGCTCGGTCGCCATGCTCCTGGCGCGGGTAGCCGCATAGAACTTAGCGCGAGTAAGATTGGAGCAGCGTGTTTCACGTGGATAGCGTCTGAAGCAAATGACAACGCTTCGTTTACGTCGTCCCACTCAAGATCCGGCACATCCGCGGAGACTACAGACAGGCTTCCAGTATTCATTACTTCATAAAGTCTATCGTTCATCTGTTACAATCGCTCATTTCGAGGTCCCCCACAACCGATTCTTCGTTATCATCGTGAGCATATCCACTACCTCGCGAGGCATTATCTCTGATTTGATCTTCCTCGGATGCCCACCTTCTTCCGGGCCTAGCGTGATCTATAGGTCCCCTCCTATCATCGAAAGAAGACGGCGCCGTCGCACAAGACTGCTGCTTTTCGCTAGAGGTCCTATAGACGAGATCGTTGCCTATCGCAGCTCCTGTGCGCTTAACGCCCGACTGTTCGTTCGAAAGTTGTTCGCGGACATTGTTCCCTGCTACCTGTCCAATGGCTGAGCCCCCTGACAACGCTCTGAGTAGATGTGGCGGACCGATCGATGATGAATGACTGCGCAAGGCAGGCCTCGAGACATTTGCGAGGTGCTGGTCTCGGTCAGCAGTATCTGCCGGTACCGGAGCGTCGTGAGCGGGTCCTACAGGCGACGACTCGGACGTGAGTACAGTGTGCGAGGGTAAGTGCTGGCTGCCATTTCTGGGACTCGCCAAGAGGTCACGTGCGGGCACTGATCGCGAGACCTTCCTAGCCGGCGAAGCGGACCCAACATGCATATCGGCACTGCCTCCAACACTGATAGAGCTGATGCCGGTCGCGGGTCCCGATGTATTATCACGGGACGACGACATCAGCTGATTGAAACCGCCTCGCTGCAAGACAGGCGCTCGTCGTTTCGAGTCTCGCTCGCCGTGTATCGGAATAGGCAGACTCGCTGCATCTCCGCTCGCCGAGGTGGAAGGTAGCGGTGGCGGTAGCGAATGATTCCTCGAAAGGCTGATTCCATGGCTGTTGCCGGGAAGGGATTGGACATGGCGATCGATCCTCGGTAACATCCTATCGGATGTCGCTCGACCTGCATGATCGTCCGGCAAGTCAAACGTTTCGGGTTTAGGAAGAGACCGCTCGCCAGCACGCCTGTTCTCTTGAAATTGGCCACGCGAAAGCTGATCTCCCGAGTGAATTCGGTTTTGATAGGATGCTTGTCGTGTAGCAGGAGGGTCCATCGGCGATGCTTGAATCGGAGCCTGAGCGAGAGGTGAACTACTCTTCACGCTCGATCCGATTCTTGCAACGAAGCCGACATCGCGGGTCGATGCAGCTTGTGTACTGGATCGCATAGGCTCTCCCGATGTAACAGATTGTTCGGTGCGATCTCCGACCAGTGGTGAATTTTGTCGGTTGACCGAAGACGTTCGCAGGGCAGCAGGAGTCAGCCTGTCTACCGGCGAGATTGAGCTTGAGGTCGCGAGTGCCGAGCCTGTCAACGGGATGCTACCGGGCTGAGCAAAAGGCTGCGCAGCGAGCGTGTAACTTCCGGCCATCCTAATCAACGCCGCATCCACCTCGGCTTTAGTCATACGTTTTCGCATAAAGGCACTGCCACCACCGGTCACCATCGAATCGGTGCCAGAAGACGGGCCAGATTCTCCCGGTGATCCCCCCAATTTGGGACCTGTTGCCAATACCGAGTGTCGTGGATTGGATAGCGAGGACGAAGTGGATGGTAAATATGCACGCGATTGGGATGCCGACGCCAGTGAAGGTGGTCGAGGCATGCTTTCTAGCGTCTTCAAGAACATGTTGATGTCGCCCTTGTCAGGAGCATTCGAAAAGGAGGGCTGAGGAGATGATATCGAATTAGCAACCGGTCATTGGTGTCCTTGGCGATCATGATCTTACCGGTCGAGAAGAGCTAGACAATCGAGTATTCGTCCTGCTCATGCTGTGCCCGCCGGCCCCCAAAAGGCTACCAGGATCGAGGCTACTGCCAGTCGAGCTCGCTGCTCCTGGAGTGACCCCCAGGGTGAAAGACGGTCTCCTTTGCCCGAATGAAGAAGAGTAACGCTTGAGACTCTGAGGCGCGACCGGTACGGGAATTCCGGCCGCTTCTTCCTCATGAAATTCGGGAATAGGTGGTGTAGGAGTCGAGTGATGATGATGTCCGGTCAAATTTGGTCGAGAAGAAGTACCCGATCGCGGTATACTACCCGAAGTCGGACTCAGGTTGCTAGGTCCACGGAAGGAAGCTCTCGAAGGGCTTGTTCCGGGCAGTGTCGGCTGACCAGTAAGGCTGGACAATCTCGGTCGAGATTCGTTGAGGAGACTGAAAGACCTTCCTGAACTCGACAAGTACGGGCTCGTTCGCGATGTCGGAGAGTCCCTATTCTCCAGACTGCCACCGGTTCTGATACCCACCGCCAATGGGGAAGAACGGTTGCCCAAGCTCGAAGAAGCGCCAGCTGAGGCTCCGCTCTCATGCGGGAGTTGTGAGTTTCGTCTGAAGCTACCCATAGCAGCCGAGGGCGACAAAGAGAGCTATCCGGAGTCCACATGAGGCTCTTAGCGAAAATATGAACCGAAATACTTTACGAGAACTCTCACCTGGCTGGGACCACCTACAGCCCTCGATCTCTCGCCGAAACTGCTCGGCCCGCTTGCTACGGGAACCGGGACTCCTTGTCTCACGCCGGATCTTGCGAACGGGAAATCTCCCACGTCGGCAGCAAGACCGCCGATTTTTCCGCTCTCAGCGGGACTGACAGACTGGCCGTCTTGAGCTCCCGCTCGAGCGTCCAAGCCGATACCTGCGCCTGAGCCTACTTGTGACTCGGAAATTACCCTACGAGGCCTCTGAGGTTTTGTCGGTACTGCCGTCGAAGTCTCGTGCATTGTGTTTCCCGCAGCAACGCCCGTCTCTCCCGGGTAAGCTCGATCCAGAGGAAGACCAACCCTCGGTGAAGAACCTCGATCACCCGCCAAGTTGAGCTCCGCTACCGGGGTGGTCGAAGTGCTCGCCTTTCGTCTAGCCGTCAAAGTCGGCGTGAAGTACTCCTCTTCCAGGTCCAGCTGACCCATATCTACCGCCTCGCTGTCTTCCTTTCTCGATTGCAGATCGACCCCGGCCAACGCGGACGACAGGATGGATTCGACATCTTCGGCCCAGATGTCGACCTCTTCCCGAGCTTGTACCGACAGCGAGAAAAGACCGTGTGAGAGAGGCAACGTCGGGAACTCGTAATCCCTGGTCTTTTCCGAAGGCTGTGGTCTGTTGGCCGGATCGTCTCTGCCCAACGGTCCTGAGATGGGCGAAGCATACTTTGCCAGCGGTTGATCCAGGGCGATCAGACCTTCCTCCATCTTCTTCCACGCTTCCGTTATCCCTTCCTCGGGCGTCCTCCTACGATAAGTCGGCGACCTTCGGCCCATCTGACCGTCCTCGCTATCATCGTCATCATCCAACCCATCATCACTCGGATCTCCTTCCCTGATCCACTCCTCCTCGTAGCCCTCGGCTGACCACAGCTTCACTCCGACTCGCAGGTTACCGGTAGAAGTGCTAGCTCGACGTAATCGTCGAAAGACTTTGTAAGCGGGCAAGAGCCTGACGTATTGGTACAACGCTCTGAAGTGTATGATCCCTGATTTGTACGAAGCCGAGGACGAAGGATAAGGTGTCTGAGAAGAGGTCTTAGTGGTCCCGTCTCCTGAACGAGGATGAGCAGGTCGTATGAACGTGGAGGACGAGGAGATCGAGTTGAGCGGGGATGTCGATGCCGAGGTGACGGGCGTGGCGTCGGATGGGATCTGGAGCGATCGCAAGGTCCATCTTTCGAGAACGATTCCCTGGCATTTGCCTGACGTTCCTGCTCGTCCCCGTGATCGTTCTTTACCCTTTCCCGTCTCGTTCGGTAACTCCAACCGGTAGGTATTAGAACCTCGTTCCGAGACCGTGTGCGTTCCGTCGCTACCCCTTCTGTATACCAAGGCGTGCTTCGAAGGCAGATCGGAGACGTCGAGGATGAAGGCGATGAGGAGGGGAGGTACGATAGCGTACGGAGTGGAAGTCGTTGCTGGGAAAGAGGTCGAAAGGGACCTGTACGCCTCTAGATCGGCTCGAAAGACCTCGGGATCAGGGAGTGGTAAGTTGAACTACAAGAAGCCCATGCGAAGATCGAGTTAGATGTCGTTCAAAGCATGGACCGTGGATGATACGACTTGCCCATTTATCGATCCTCGGTTCCTTCTTGCCTTTCCTAACCCCGCTGGACCCATCCTCATCTCTCCCTGACGACCTCCGTTCATTCGCATTCCCGGTAGATAACCTAGCTTCGGTCAAGACCTCGACCGTCTTGATGTAGAACCGGTGAACGATCTGATCTTGCCTCTGTTGATCCTGCTGCGGCGAGATAGAGGATGTCGACATGACTGCCTAGTCGAGCAGATGGATAGGGACTGGGGGCAATGTAGAGGCAAAGATCGGGGTTGACGTCAAAGTGATGACGATTGCTGCGATATCGATGAGGTCCAATCTATGCAGCTCTACAGGTCACATGACGATCGCCTGACTGATCATCGCTAGGTCATGCGGGAGATGCCTTGTTGGCAAGACTGCTCATAACGATGATAGAGGTCATTCCAGATATATGGCATATGGGCATATGGCACATCGAGCGTCTGGGCATTTCCCTCGGTCAAAGGTGAACGACGCGATAGCGATGGCCGGGGCAGGACGGGCGCTATTCTCGCGAACCTATCTGATATCGCGCGATATCGTCGACAAGGGACCGGGAAAGACCAACCGACTTGCGCGACTTGGAATTAGATCTACATGATTCATCAGCTAACCAGACTTTGGATAGTGTATTCAGTACACGAAGCAGCTCGTCTTCATTTCGGGGCCAAAAGAAGTCGGTTCATTCAACCCGACGTCGGAGCGAACGCTACCTGGTTCACTATAACAGTAACTAGATTAACTCAGAGGACATGATCGGCTCGAGGTCTGGCAAGCTAAGGAGGATTGATCTCTCAGTAAGAAATGTCGGTTTGTCTGACACAATCGATTCGATGTGCTTCCTGACCAGTGTCCGCTTTGATCTGGGTCTTGCCGTCAGTAGCGCCTTTCATGCTTACCGATTCTGTCATTGTAAGCGACACTACTTTGTCCATGTCATAAAAAGACACTTCTCGTTGAGATAAATAGAAGGGGTGTAAAGCGATCATACAACTCGCCGCGTCAATACAATCGCGAATCGCGCATCCGGCCCGATCTTCTCTGGCCCTCTCGCTCAGACCATCTCCGACTCCGCCTCGAGCGTCGTTCAACTCTTCGCACCGAACACCTTGAATCCGTCCTTCTGATCCTCGGCCATGACCCTCCATAGTTCCTTGAGCGGGATACTCTTCTGGGGATCCCGCTTGAGTACGTGCTGCATGGCGTTGATGACCGTTCTGACATCGCAACCGAATTTGGCGGTTGTTTGTGTGATGATATGCGCGGCCCGCTCGGGCGTTTGCACAGGGCGACGAGACTTCGAGACCGTACTCGTGGCTCTGCGGCGGGGATCGGGGTTGTTGCCCGTCATGGTAGAAGCGAGCCGAGGGGTGGCTACAGCAGGGGGAACTGTGGATGGCTCGACGGTCGGCGGAGCAGGAGCAACTTGCTGTTCCGTCTGTTCGGAAGATACCGTCGCTGGTTCCAGAGTCGGTGCTCGAGCGACAGCGGGGTCGACTTGAGCCTGAGACCTAATCGAAGACTCTTCCTCCTCGTCTAAAACCATCTCATTCACCTGCCTCTCACTCAGCGTGGACAGCCGCTTGTCCTTGGTCTTTCCCGCTACCCGCTCTTCCGGCCCAACCTTTGTAACCAGTGGCATCTTTCTGAATTGTTCCTTCCAATTGACAGCCACGTTCTCGTCGTCGAGATCAAAGGATTCCATTCCATCCAACTCCGCTACGGAATGTTGTGTAGACGCAGACATAGCTCCGTCCGCCTCGAAGTTTTCTTCGAACGCGGTAGCCACGGCATCAATCACGATACGAGCCGTCTCGATCGCCATCTCTTGGTCTTGCGCTTCGGACACTGCGCGTGCCTTTCCCTTGCCTTGATCGTTGTCATGGCCGTTGTTATTGAGGACAGTGGTAGTGTAGGTCACGGCCTGATCCACGATGTCCGCGCGATGGTCCTCATCCCCGGTAGCGGTGACAAAGCTCTCTTCCGCTTCCGCTGGGACGGAGGGTCCACCTTGTGCGACAGCTCCGATAAGTCCTTCGGCTGGTCGTAATTCGGGGTCCATGGCAATATCACTGTTGACGACTTGGGTCTTCTCGATCGTAACCACATCGGTTTGATATGGTACCTCAGGAGCAACGATCGGCCGAGGTGCTGGTACCCCCCTATCATCATCGACTGCAGCGCTGGTCTGCTTGGTCCTATAGCCCGGAGAATTGGTCTCGCGATTAGCTTTATGCCCTCAGAGAAGCAGGAAGGTGACCAGCGGCTCACCTCTTCTGCGTCGGTCCCGCCCCGACCCCTTCGGGCTGTTCCATTATCACCGTATCGGTCCGTTTCCTCTTGCCATTCACCGTCGCATCCTCACTCACAGCGAAACTATCGGTATCATCCTGATCTTGATCCTCGTTCATCACCGATTTCCCCTTCCCTTCCGCCTTGTCCTTGCCCTTGTCTTTCCCCTTGGCGGTACTCCTGTCCACCCCTCCATCCGATTCACCCATTTCCTTGTCCTTGTCCTGCATCCAAGATCGTACATATTCCTCCCTCCCCTCCTCAACCCTTTCCCCGCCAGTCCCGCCAGTCCCTGCACTCGCCGCTCTCTCAGCCCTCGTCCGAAGTTGCCTGTCCAACCCGACATTTTTGCCAGCGTATTGCGCGCTCCGGGCAGAGAATGCAGCGAAGCGCTTCCGAACGCGTTCGTGCCACGATTGCGGGGTATGTCGGTCGGCCCACTCGAGATGTTTCTTGTTGGAGCGGTCGCACTGAAATGCATGATCGGATCGAGGTCGTCAGCAAGCCTTCATACATACGATCAAACAGGCGTGGGTCCACATCGTTGGACGGGGACAGGACAATCACACGTACCAGTTCCTGGTAAATGCTCCGCGACTTCCAATTCGTCTTTTCCGGATGATGGTACATCAACCACCTCAAGATCTTGTCTTCGTCTTCCATCGTGAACTCCGTCCGACCTCCAGACCTGTGATCACGTATCGACACGATCAGTAAAACTGGTCGTCCGGCCTCGAAAATCCATCCGGATCGACCATCGTCGACTTACCCTTTGAACGGGACCGAGGGTTTTTGTATCCATAACTTGTCTCCTGCCGCCGATCCAGACGCTTTCGGCACTTTATCCGCAGCCCCGTTTCCACTCCCGCTAGCTTCAGGCTGTTCGGCTACCACCTGGACGTTGGTTTTCTTCTTGATTCCAGCCGTCGGTTGCCCTCGAACATACGAGGCCTTCTTGTCGATCAAATTATCCAACCAGTGCCTGTGTTCGACCGTCTGCTCGGGCTTCGCCTCTCTCGCAAACTTCTTGCCCGACTCGAAATCTTTATTCAAGATGAGGACGTCTGCGGTTCCCCGTTTGGGCGATCGCCAACCTCCGTTGGCCTCCAACCTCGCTACGACGTTCTCCAACGCCTCTGCACACGAAGATTCGCCGGGCGAGATGTGCATGTTGACGGTACAATAGATCTTGACCGGCCGTGTGATCTCCAGTTGCCGTCCGTTGTGATCGAAGTGTTTCTCGTACTGTACGAGAATCGGGCGAGAGCAGTATTCTGGCTCGGTGGTATCGAAGATCCGGGCAGGTCGAGCATGAATGCACGTGTAGAACCAGTGATAAGGACGGATGGTAGGGATGAGCAGTGCGGAACCCGGTTCTCCTGCTCTACTCTTTCGGTTCGTGATATCCTGGTGCCATTTCTTGTGGCTAGATGGAGGATTGTGCAAGACATAGTTGCTTTCCCACATGGAATCGGTGTGAGACCCTCCAGCGAGCTAGATGAACGCCGAGCAGGTCGTGTCAGGAAGACCAGACCAAGATGACAAGATGATCTTGATGGCGCTATAAGCTCACCTTGATATCAGCCTTTAGCTTGTCTTCATACTCCTTGAATAGACCCGGTGCGATGTGAAAGACCTTGCCGGCAAAGAGCGTAGGATCGATGGATCTCTCGACGTGAGTCGCTGTAGGTGCCGGCGATCCGGTTGATGTGCCGGTCATGGATGGCATTTCGGAGCTCGATTTTTTTCTGTCAATGGATACGTCAGTGGTTTTGTAGACTTTGAAGGTGTATGGGGCGCTTGACGAGGTCGAGTTCAAGATGATATCATGGTCTCATGATGCGATGTAGGGGATCGAGTGCGAGTTGTTTACAAAGTCCCCCCCCCCCCCCCCCCCGTTGCCCTTGTTAGGTGATCGCTCGGGCTGACGCGAGCTGCCAATTAGAAGCGCATGATGACCCACCACCACCTGGTGGTTGAGATCCACCTCACTTCATCTGACATGCTCGACCATCCTTCTCACCGACGTATACCAGGACGTTCAGGACACAATCAAGTAGGTAGTACACGAAGAGCAAGTTTTACAATGTCAGATTCGGGCGCTTCGTCTCCCCTGGCGCCGGCTCGAAATGGGTCTCCGGCTGCTTCTCCCAAACGCGAAGATGGGTTGGCAGACATGGTACGTGAGCTCGCGATCACAATCGTGCTGCTGGATATACGGTTACACAAGTATACAGCGACGTCAAGCTAAAAGAACTGTTGCGATTTCCTAGTTCGACGACTTCCAGCCTCAGGCGCAGCCGCAATCTCAATCTCGCGCTCGCTCGACTTCCCGAACACCTTCCCCGGCGAGATCGACAACGGACTCTCCAGTGAAGCGTAACAACCGTTCCTTGTCTCGCACGTCTTCGAGGTCATCAGGAAGCGGGGATGAAGATGACAGGAGAGCTAGGATGGAGTATGGGGAGGAGGAGAATACCAACGCTATAGAGCAAACGATTCTGGAGAGCAACATCGTCTTGCCCAAGGTTCCCAAGTTGGCTAGTAGTGATGGGCAGGTAAGTCCGCTTCAACGGATGATTTCCGTATCTATCAGAAGATTGCGAATCTGACCTACAATCGGGCATGGTTTGTTAGGTCTGGGCTTTGAAGCTCCCTCCTGCTATCAGCTTTCCCGCTCAACCGTTCCACCCCGATCTCTACCGCTCTGAAGAGGGACCCAAGCAAGAAGCGGAAGACGCCGAAGACACGACCGACGAAGCCCGTCGTATCCGAGCTCTCAAGCGGATGCACTCGGTCGCCAACACGGTCCGTTGGAAGTGGAAGGACGGCACGCACGGGGAACCGGTGAGGCGGAGTAACGCCAGGGTCATCAGGTGGAGCGACGGGACGGCGAGTTTGATGGTAGGACAGGAGATGTGGGATCTCCAGGTGGATAGCGTTGCCGGATCGGGACCCGAGGCCAAGGCGACGAGACCGTTTGCTCTGGCAAAAGTCGCTGCCGAGGCAAAAGCGAAGGCGGAGGCCAATCAAGATGGATCTCAGTCGCAGTCTCAGTCTCAATCGCAATTCCTCGCCTCACAATCCTCTCAGCCAAAACGCGCTATCGACGGATCAATCGCAAAACCACGGGCTACTCGAGAAGGTCCCGTCTCCCTCCTCCTCTCTACCGACTTTGACGACCAAGTCCTCATCGCCGATTCCCTCATCACCGGGTCCATGTCCCTCGTCCCCCAAACCCGAAACGTCAGGGACCACCAGAAACGCTTGGCCGCGGTCAGCAAATCCACCGTCAAAGCCTCTAGGATCCAAGCTTACCGCGATTCTTCTGGCATAAGACCGGACAAGAAGATCGAAGAGAGCGTGCGAGAGATGAACGAGGCGCAGAAGAAGCGTATGAAGGCTAGGGGACATGACGTGAACGCCGGGTTGAGTTTGCCGGTCTGGAAGGGATCTTCCGGGACCATGAGGGAGAGGGAGACGAGCCCGCTAGGAGCAGCCGGAGGGAGGAAATCGAGGGGACCTTCTGGACCGAGGAAGGGGAGGACGAGTTATAGCAGTGATGAAGATATGGACGATGACGGAGGGCGAGGTGGCGGTGGGGGTTACACCGGAGGCGATTACGAAGAGGATGACTTTGTCGTAAGTTCTGATTTGATCACCCCGGGTCAGAGACGGGGCGAGTTGATGACCTCTCTCTTTCATTCTGCGAGCAGGTCGACGACGATGAAGACGAACGAGCCGATCAATCCGGTTCCGAAGTTTCTGCGGCCGAATCCAATGGTCTTTCCGCCCTCGACCGAGATCTGGATCGGGAGGAACGTGGCGATCGATCATCGAGGACATCCAAGCCTAAGCGCCCGAAGAAAAGTTCGAGGGATTATGAGAGCGACGAGGATGACGATCCCCTGGATGCTATGGAGAGGGCTGCCGAAGAGAATGCACAGGCTCAGCGGCGTGAGGCAAAGGAGAGGCGGAAGAGGGAAAAGGAGAGACAGAAGGAGGAGCGAGCTGGTGAGTCTCGATGGCTCAGGTCAAGAACGGTCTTGATGCCAGGCTGGTGACTGATTTCAATGACTTGTGAAATAGCTTCGCCCGTCGACGACGACGAGGCAACGGCCGCACCGATGGACGTGGACGACGACGATATCCCAGAACAGACTCAAACGGTTCATCACAAAAGGGTCTTGCGATACGAGGATGAGGACGACTAGCGGGATCAGGTCGAAGGGTGATGTCGGCGGCGGAATTGTAAAGCACTCGGACATGCCGAATACGATCTAAAAACGATTCAAGTCGGATACTCGAATGACCTGGAGTTTCATACACCGAGAGACACAAAGCAGCTTGAATAACGAGGACAGGATTTGCATGACGAATCGAGCATTGTTGGCTAATGGTTTTGGTTTTCGAAGGCTTGGACGGAATCCGAAAGCCCGATCGAGTGGGCTCATTTTACTTGCTTGAATGCTGTGTAGGCAATCCCATACGGCTACAGTATACAGAATGGATCCATCCCGTCCTTCGCACGATTCGAGCCAGTCTCAGGGCATGCACAATTGTATTCGACGCACCTGGTTGACTGCGACCACGAGGCTACGTACAGTTGATCTCCCGGGTGGATCCCAGGAGGCGGCAACGGCGACGGACGACAGATCCAGATCTGCTTTCGAAACAAATGTACTCCCTATCGTATATACATTGACAGACTTATTGACCGTGGATATATTCGGATTGGAGAGACTGGATGTCAATCGTGTCGACCCCTTGGGGGATGCAAGCCTAACCTCTTGCTCTATCAACCTTCCTGTTCTTTCCCCCATCTCCCCAGCCTACTCCGGCGAAACTCAAGGCAAGGAGGGGGGGGGGGGGAATTTACAGACCGGAAGAGCAAGAGCTAACTTTCCGTTCTCTTGCAGACATAATCGGCACTCGGACCGCCACGACCACACCCGTTTGTACGGATACATCTCTCTTTATTCCTTGTCAATGCCTCCGTCCGCGATCATGCTTGCACTCTTTAAGGGGTTCCTTCATCGCAGCCGGTTCCTCCGCCACTAACCGGCTCTATATCATCTTCAGCCTCTCTTCTTGTAGCCGAGATGATACAGATGAAGCTGTGCTTGAATGGGAGCTGGGCTTCTCCGCCACTAACCGGCTCTATATCATCTTCAGCCTCTCTTCTTGTAGCCGAGATGATACAGATGAAGCTGTGCTTGAATGGGAGCTGGGCGAAGCCGAGAGAGAACAAAACACATCGAGATGGAAGAGGGACTTTGCAGGTGTGTCCAGCAAGAGGTTGAGGAGGAAATACAGAGGCAGTTTGCGCGCCTCAAGCATGTACCTCGGGTCGGCCGAGCTAAAGCCTCGATGTTATCCTCGACTGGAGCTAAAACCTCGACCTCATCCTCGATTGGAGCTTCATCATCATCGTCATTGTCATCTTCTGCGAAGCAAACCTTTCCCTCCTTTCTATCATAAATCGGATCAGGTCTCCTCCGCAAACGTCTCCTCCGCAAACCCCACTTCCGGAAACGTCACTTCCCTCCCAAAGACCTCCCCCGACAGTGAGAAAGAGATCGGTTGGGAGCAGATCACTTCCCTCATAGTCATTACGGGACCTTGCGGGCAGCATGGACCCCTGCTTAGGTGTGAGCAGGTGAAGGCTTTGTTCACTGCAGCTTGTAAGGTTGCAGAGTACCGTGTTATGGCATCCGCGGTACGCGTACCGAACACCCGCGTCGGGTACTTTTACAGGGACCTCCGATGGGAGTTCCGTACGGAGTATATCTAGAACACCCCCTATGTGTTACTGTAATGTAGTACCAGTTGTACTACATCCGTTATTACATCCATTACCTTACCCTTACCTTCTAGTCCCGTGTGATACTATTCCAGGCTTGCAGGCAAGCCTAATAGAATAACGGATCTACAAATTTCACCCCGACTAGAAACCCTACGCGATGAACACTTCGTTCGCCCAGTGTTTTCGTCCCGATGGGACCCCCCAAGGAATCCCGCCAGGGATCTCGCCTGTGCTGTCTGAGGATGGACAAAGCCAGCAGGTGGATGGGGAGGGAAGGTTTTTGTGGTTGCAAACGACGGACTCCGGAACGGAGACCACCGCAAACGAATTGCGGGTGTTTGCCAACCAGCAACCTCAAACGCAGGCCACGCCGGCCAACAACATGGGAACGGTCCCCCCACAAGTGGTACCAACCCCTCCTGCGAGCAATCCCGCAGCCACCCCAGCTCCCGTTGCCGCCGCGCCGGACTTGAATGCCCTCTTTCAACTGATGGCCAACATGCAAGTCCAGGTGCTGGAGTTGGCGAGGGCAAGGGAGTCGCGGTCGTCGTCGGACGAGGCCCGGGCCAAACTGTTTAAGTTTGGAACGCCGGACAAGTTCGATGGCAGCAAGAAGGAGAAGGTCCGAGGGTTCCTGGACCAATGCAACCGGGAATTCGAGGTCAAACCGGGCGTCTACGTTACCGACCGCCTGAAGATGATGTACGCGGAGTCGTACATGGAAGGACAGGCCGCCGATTGGGCCCGGGAGTACTCCACGGGTCGAGTGCCGGCTACCTGGGAGCAGTTCGAGCAACTGCTCATCTCCACTTATGGTGGAGGACGAAACATCGCGGCAACTGAGGCCGAATTAGTTCACTTAAGGCAGGGCACCAAGAGCCTCGCGACGTACATCACCGAGTACAACGACCTCTTGGCCCTCCTCCCCAACGTCTGCGAATACTCTCGCCGGATGCTGTTCAGGGCCAACCTGAACCAAGCGTTCAAAGACGCCATCGTCCCTATGCCGGGCCAAGAAACAATGACTTTGGCGGAATTCCAAATGGAATGCCGCCGGTACGAAGATCAGGCGGATGCCAGAAGGCATATGTCCTCGGGAAACCGCTACAACTCGGGCGGTAACCGACAAGCGAGTAACCACTCCGCTCCCCGTAACCCCGTTGTGGTCAATACCACCGTTGCGACTCCTACCCCCGCCGCCAACACTTCCACCGCTGCTCCCATGGAACTCGATGCGGGCAGGATGAGGCGGAATGACCCCTGCTACCGGTGTTTCCAACACGGGCATGTAGCCGTCAACTGCCCCAACCAGAGGGTCCCTGCCCCTGCTTGGTTCAAGGGTAGGAACAACGGTCGGATGAACGTCTCTGGTGCCCGGGTGCAACCCGTCGAGACCGTCCCGGAGGGAGGTTGGGAAGCCGAGCTTGCGAGGCAGAACGGAGAGCAGCCTTTGCTCTGGACCCCGACTGATTAGACGTACGGTTGTGTTGTTATTGGCTCATCCTTTGTTGTACCCCCACGGCAGGCCCGGCGGGGATGTTTTTATCACCATTCACTTTTTCAAACACTCGACTTCACAGTTACTACGAGAAATACACTCACCAAAGTATACGCCATCAAAAGGTAACTGTACAAGAAGTACAATACGAAACATGTCCCTCGCGAGGAGTAAACGCATACTACTGAAGAACTAGTGTTGGCACGCGTTCGGCCGAACGTCTCGAACGCCAACGCCAAACGCCTTATTTTCAACGTCTCGAACGTCTGAGACGTTCAAACGCCAACGCCTCAAACGTCTCAGACGTTCATTTTGGCGTTGGCGTTTGCTCTGGCAGTCGTGAAGACGTTTGAACGCCAACGTCTCCACCAAACGGCTTACGATACACCAGCCAGACCGTACTATAGTTTACAGACGTCTACTATAATCTTACTGTAATAACTGGTCAGTAACATGAAACACGCAAAGATACGTCTCGAAAAACGGCAAAAAAACGCGTGAGAAAGCACTTTTTTTGACGCGCGTTCCCCCTACGTCGAGAAGTCGAGTCGAATATCGTCAATATCTACTTTATCGATAGACGACGACTATGTTTCATCGTTAAACGTTCTAGAATGTCTCAAACATAGCATGTCGAGCCCACGTACCCCACGGATCAAGCTCACGCTTAAAGCGAGGCCCGTGGAGCAAGAGAAACCGGCTAGCGACGCCGAGAACGTCGACGCGGAAGGTGAAACTTCCGAACAAGAACGTCGACGTCGAGACGACACCTCCCCCCTCTCCGACGCTAGCGAAGACGCCTACGAGCCCCCCAAGAAGGCTGACGGGTCTCCGACATGGCGAACGAAGGGGAATAAACGTCGACGGAACGAGGTCGAGTCCGATGACGATGAGTTGGTCGAGGAGGTACCTGATACGCAGGGTAAGTGCTTCGAGATGAAGTTCAAACGTCGTAAACGTCTGCTTATACACTTATAACAACAGTAACACCAAGTAAGAAGTCGAAGAAGAACCCTAAGGTTCTATCGACTCGTAAGAGTACGCTTAAGGGGACTAATGGTAAGCGTTTGAGACGTTCGAACGTCTCAACGTCTGAACGTCTTTTAACTTTTCAAACATACGCTTACTTCTCTTTGATTACTTCTCTTCTACGCTACTACACGTAGCTCCTAAGCTTAAAGAACGTCGTCCTGCCGACGACGCCTCGCAGGCCGCTCACCAGGCCTATCTCGACGCTTGGTGCGGGTTGTTCATCGATAACGGTGCAGCCAGCACCGTCCGGGCCAACTACGAGCGACCTCGATTGGCTACGGCTGCGGAGAAGAAGGCTGACGGTAAGGATGGTCAGCATCATTGGTGGTTCTGGCGTTGTCGGTAAGTTGTTTTATCATTCTTCGATCAAGACGTTTGAGACGTTTGAACGTGAACTTCTTGAACCTCTTGACTTACACAAACTTCTATCCTTGTTTAGCCATTGCCTCAATTATAAAAAGATTAAGTCTGCGAAGTCCGCAGGGACTGGTAGTAGCCTGGCAGACCACCCGAAGACGTGTCCGCAGAAGCACACGTTAGGTGGTTTCCGTCAAACTACCTTGTTCGGTCCAGCACCAACAGTCGAGCCTCGAGAGGCCGAGACTCGACATGCGATCGTATGCTGGATCGCTCAAAACAACCACTCCTTCTCCGTCGTCGAACAGCCCGGGGTGAGTTGACTGCCTTCCGTAAATCCGAATCTTATACTGACGTTCGAACGTCTAAACGTCTCAAACGCCTTCAGTTTTCGGACATGTTTACTGCATCCTTCCCGGCGATGAAGAAGGTTCTCCCCAACCGACGTCAAGTCGCTCAAGACCTCAGCAAGGTCTTTGAGATCAACGAGAAGGTCCTGCGAGGAATCCTACACCACCATCAGGGTGTGTTTCACCTCGCTACCGACTGTTGGACCGATCGGGGTGGGAATGCGTTCATGGGTGTTACAGCTCATTGGACGGAAGTAGAGGGCGCCGGTGATGTGCGTCCTCAGTCGATACTGCTCGACTTCATTGCGTGAGTCTGTGGTGTTGTATATCGGCTTGATTTCAACTGACGTTTAAACGTCTAAACGTCTCGAACGCGTTCAGAGCGCCCGGACGTCATACCGGACTCTACCTTGGCGACCACCTCATCGAGTGCGTCAAGACTTGGGGAATTCGGGACCGGGTGCTCTCGATCGTCTGCGACAACGCCAGTGTCAACGACTCGATGATCGAGGCCGTGGGGGAGCAGGAGTGGAAGCGATTCTACTCGGACAAGGGTCGAGTCCGATGTTTCGCTCATATCTTGAACTTGATTTCGGGGGTAAGTTTGAACGCGTTCGAGACGTTCGAACGTCTAAACGTCTACTGATCTTCCTCAAATATGCTACTACAGGCTATCATAGAAGGGGCTACCGGACTCAAGTGGGATGAAGAGGAGGAGGAGAAGGCCGACGACGACGAAGACGTCTACCCGGAGGAACCGTTCGACGAGGACGGGAACATCGTTCCCGATGTCGAAGACTTGGAAGACGATCAAGAGGTTCTTGACTCTCTAGACGTCCCCCTCGTCCCCCTCGTCCCGGAGACCCAAGAGGGTCAGACGCAAGTCGTCAAAGACGTCAAGCACGTCGTCGGTCAGCAGGAGAAGGCCCGAGACGCCTTATTCAAGGTTAGTAAGATCGAAGTATCCCAGACGTTTGAGACGTTCAAACGGCTTACACGTTCGAACGTCTTTAGCTCCGTCTCCTGGCGAAACGTCTCAAACATCGTTCGGCTTACCGACGAGTTTGGGACGCAGTCTCTGCCGACTTGATCGAGAACGGGAAGATCGAGTCAAAGGCCTACAACGTTCCCGTCGACGTCAAGACCCGATGGAACTCGACGTTGTCGTGCATCAAGGGCGCCTTGGACGCGAAGCTCGTGATGTAAGGCGTTCGAACGCGTTCGAGACGTTTGCTAGGCTAACAACCTCTACTACAGCCGTTCCCTCTACTCCAACCTTCCCAAGAACGAGATCAAGAAGGAGGAGAAGCTAGACGGACCGGACTTCGAGCTTCTGACGTCGTTGAAACCGGCGCTCGGGGTAAGTGCTTCTTGATGGCGTTTGAACGTCTGAACGTCTCGAACGTTTACGTCAATCTTCACCTGTGATTTGCCAACAACATGCAATAGATCGTCAGTGCTGCCACGACGAGGTTCTCGACCTCGACTGACGTCAACATCGACTACACCTCGATCGCTGGCGTCATCCCCGTAATGGACGCCCTTACGACCAAGTTCGATCAGATCAGGGATCACCCCTCGATCAACAAGGCCGTCAAGTACGGGGTGAAGAGGGGACAGGCAGTACTTGACAAGTACTACAGCAAGACGGACGAGAGCGTCTTGTACCGCATCGCACTCCGTAAGTTGTGTTGTATATCAAGGCGTTTGAGACGTTCGGACGCGTTGGCTTACCCAAACGTCTTGGACTTCATCAGTCCTCCATCCTGGTTACCGAGTCGCATACATGCGTCGCAAGGAGTGGCCTGCCGAGTGGATCAGCGAGGCCTTGCGTATCGGGAAGGACATGTGGAAGGACCACTACCGAGTGGCTGAGGTCGACAACGAGGTGGTTGTCAACGCGATGGTCTGTCCCTCTCGATCTACTCTACTCTTGACGTTCGAGACGTTTGCTTGCTTCTTACTGATATACACAACGCTTGTCTATCACATCGCAGATCAACGACGAGCTCGATGAGGTTCTGGCCCAAGGAACGCAGCAGGCGTCTAAGAGTCAAGAGGACGCGTTCGACACGTTCGTCAACGCATCTGCGACCGACATCACGGTCGCACCGTTCCGAGGCCAGGCCCTGCTGTGGTGGAGTCACCAGTCGTCGTTGAATGGGCTGAAGCAGATGGCGTTTGATGTGTTGGGAACCCCTGGTGAGTTGCGTATCTTAGACGTTTGAACGTCTGAACGTCTCGAACTTCTTTACTTCGTTACATAGCCACCTCCGTCGACGTCGAACGGGTCTTCTCCAAGGCAGGCCTACTCGTCTCAAGCAGACGTACACGGTTGAATCCATCAACCGTACGAGAGTCTATGCTTGTTGGTGACTGGGTGAAGAGGGGAGTCGTCAACGACAAGGCGTTCGTCGAGACGTTTGGCGTTCAAACGTCTAAAACGTCTACACCGGTACCCCGGCCTGCGGGCTCGAGGTCAGCCTCGAGCTCGAACGCTGCGGCTAGCTCGTCTCGACCGATCGAGCCGGTGGTGGTGATCGACCACGACTCTGACGACGAGGACGACGACGACGATTGATCGGTACGGACAATAAGGACAATTGTAGTGTATTCTAGTATAGATATTCGATGAAACTTGATCACGTTCAAACGTCAAACGCCTCAAACGTCTAAGACGTTCGAACGCCAACGCCACGAACGTCTAAGACGTTCATTTTGGCGTTGGCGTTCAGTGATTTTTTGGAGACGTTCGAGACGTTTGCAAGGCGTTTGGTGAACGCGTTCACTCCATGCCAACACTATGAAGAACACAACCTGAAACAAGTCCCTCGCGAGGAGTAAACGCACAAGTCCCTGGCGAGGAGCAAACGCACAAGTCCCTGGCGAGGAGCAAAACGCACAAGTCCCTCGCGAGGAGTAAACGCACATAGAGAGAAGGAGATGAAGTCGGGACTCTATTATGGTATATCAGAAATACAAGAGAAAAGAGATCCCGACGTAAAAACAATCCGGAGAATACAAACACGACAAAACTCCAAAAGACCCGGAAACCCCTCACTCGTCGTCGTCCGAGACATCCACAACCTTCTTCTCCTTCTTCTTCTTCTTCTGCTTCTTATCGGAAGCGGGTTTGGGAGTCGGGGAAGGAGGGGGAGAGGGGGTGGGGGTTCGGAGAACGTCGTCGTCGTACGCAGCGCCCGCCGGACCTTCCGTGGGCGCCGCAGGGATGGGCTCCCCGATGTCCTCGCCGTGGCCCTGGAAGAGGAACTGTCGGTAAGGTTCCTTTTGAGGCCACTCGTCGGCCTCGGGGATGGTGACGCTCCCATCGGGGTTGCAGGCGGCGTCGGGGTGGCTCTTGGCCCACTCCTCGTTGTGCTTCCGGATCTCCGCGTCCCGGTACGTTTGCCAGGCGGGGATGAACCGATTCTCCACCAAGCAATCGGTCTTGTTGGAGAGTAAGGGGAGGACCTACGCAAGGTACAAACATCAGTTCCGAGAAGTACCTGCGTCGGGGATCCAAACCGGAACAACAACTTACCATGCGATTCATGAGCCGCTGCAACTCGTCCCCGACGGCGATGGCGACCTCGTGAGGGACATTGGGGATGGTCAGGACCTCGCACGCTGCCTCGTACCAGGTAACGACCCCGTGGTCCTTGTCGAAAACCGTCATGTAGGCGGACGGCAAAGGGGCGCACTTGAACTTGGTCCCGCGGCAACAGTAGCAGGAGCTCCCGCCGCTGGTAGACTTCCCGGCCTCCGGGACGGGGTGGCGGCAGACGAACATGCCGTTGAACTCCATGACGTTGTACCACCCCTTACCGTCCTTGTCGGTGTACCCGGGGACGTCGTGTTCGGCGGAGAGGTGGAAGCGGTCCTCATAACCGAAGCAGTTAAGACAACACCACTTCCAACCACCACGGAAGTTGGCCTGCGTACGCACAATCGGAGTCAGTAAACCGTGTTCCCGATGGAGGGAATAGAAAAGAGAAAAAGAACATACCATCATACCATCGAACGAGGCCACGTTCCCTTCCCGCCACGCCTTCGCAAGAGGCTCGATGAAGGCGTTACCGGCCTTGAAGTGGGTACGACCCAACTCCTCTTGGTGGATTTGTTCCTCTAGAAGATAGCCCGATATGTTACCCCCGACGGACTCAGCGAAACAAACACCACTCACTCTCGTCGGCGGACTGAGTTTTGGGGTAAACAAAACCCCAACGCCGGTCTTGCTCGAGCTTCGCGGTCGACCGCGAAGGCGAAGGTTGGTACGGCTTGTCGCCGTGGTTCTTGGTAGTCTTGGGAGTGACAGGCATATCGAGGAGGGCGTAAAGGTAGACGGGGGGTAGATAGCGTAGGAGGGGTAAAGTGAGTAGTAGCGAAGGACACCTACGACTTACTCCCCACCTCGCGAACGCGAACGCGAACCCCTTTATACCCTACATCCTTGCTGCTGCGGCGGCCCAAACAAAAGAAGAATTGCGATACTAGCAAAGAGAGCAACTAGAACAATACTATTGCTATGGATATGGGCATATGGAGAGAGGGTATCGTACAACAACAGCGGTACAGACGTCAACATCAACGACGGTCTCCTTTGTTTACACCTCCCGAACAACGAGTCGGACATGCGTCCATACGGATGTCCGCGCAAGGACAAAGAAAAGAACAACAGCGAGACGCGCCCCATCGGGCCCGAAATTCGGGTACCCCTGTGAAACAGGTAGACGTGTGTAAGCGACGAACGCTTACCGGTGGGAGGAACGAAAGGAGAGAACAAAGGCGCCTACGTGAAACACGAGCGGCGCTGGCCGATCTGGAATCTCGGCCTAGGGGGGGGATCCTGTTATGGCATCCGCGGTACGCGTACCGAACACCCGCGTCGGGTACTTTTACAGGGACCTCCGATGGGAGTTCCGTACGGAGTATATCTAGAACACCCCCTATGTGTTACTGTAATGTAGTACCAGTTGTACTACATCCGTTATTACATCCATTACCTTACCCTTACCTTCTAGTCCCGTGTGATACTATTCCAGGCTTGCAGGCAAGCCTAATAACCGTCGACGAGGAGGAGGAAGATGTTGTTCAGTCTAGTCTCACCATCCCCCGCTCGACTAGAGGCAGGGTTCTTGATGTTGCCACCATTGACGAGGAAGATGATGTCCAGTCTAGTCCCGGCACCAACCGCGGACCTCAGGGAGACCAGGAGTCTGGACCTAGTGAAAGCTCGTCTATGCCAATGAATATTCCGCCGCCGCGGACTCAGATCAATGCAGTCAAGCGTTCCAGAATGCTCCGCCTTACGACCCCTCCCCCTGAAACGGCAACTCTGCCTGTTTCTCCAGGATACTTCTGCCTTCTCGAACAGCGATGCTAAAGTTCAAGGAAAAGGAGGCCCGGGACCTGTACAACGAAGACGATGAGGACCGTGGGAAGGTCCGCTGCCTCATTCTCACGACTACCCCGTTACTCTGCCGCTACCGAGACAGTATAAACTGCGATATCGACATGGGGGTATGCCGATCTCGGCGATCCCGGCCGGGACGATCCGGATGATGGAATGGGAGGAAGATTCGCCCGAGACCTGACACTGCTGTGATCCTCCTCTCAGCCCAGATAGGCTTTCAAGCGGGCGTCTTTAGTCTGGGGAACGTCTTCCGAAATCCAATAAGGAAACGATCCGACGAGGTTGGTGATATCGAGGGTATCGTCTTAGCGGAGAGGGGGCTCTTGGTGGGACGGCGCTGCCCCCTTCTGTCATCGGGTTCGAGCGCGAGTCAGCTGGGCTGCTATGGTAACAACGGTTGGATGAGGTTTGAGGGGGTCTGTCCAGGTTCTACCCAGTCGATGGGCTGCTGAAATCATCCAGTAGTACAGTTCATAATAATATCCCGCAGTGTACAGTTACACATCAAGCTGTGGGCCGCGGAGTTCGACGGAACATGTAAAGAGAGGTGGATGGCAGTCGCATCCGGTCAATGCCAATATCGAGACCATCCTCTATTGCGTTATTGCGAAAATACGATGCCACTGGTCGTACGCCGCAGGCGGTCGTTCTGCTTTCGCATCAAGAAAATGAAATAGTACTAGTGGTACGACAGGGCTAATGCGGCGGACATTGAGATCCGTCCGGGATATTTAGGAGCGAGCGCATGCGCTGGGGTTCGAGGTGGATATCGCGCCGTTCACTTTGCAAGGTTCCCAACGTTCGAGGGTGATGACGTTGAAGGGATGGCCATTCGTAGCGAAATCGAGATCGAAAGGACCCCATTGGCCTCGCCAAGGAAAGATTGTCGGGCGAGTACAGAAGGAACAAAAAGAAGCAAACGGGGGTGATGATCTCGTTGCGTTTCACGTCGATCATTTCATTTCAAGGCGCCGGGAGGGGCACTGCGCGGGGGCAGGAATGTGATGACGTTTGGGGGATAGCCGAGGAACGTGGTGACGTAAGCGTAGGAATCGGGAGTAACTAGCTGATTGACTGCGCTAATTTGCATCCGATGGTACGAGGTAAATGAATCTCCCGGGTGCTCGGCTCGGATCGATCGAGCGAGCGAGCGAGGGATGGATGACGAGATGCACAAGAGACATGGCCCATAGCGCCATAGCCCATATAACATCCACCCACCACCTTCTCACCTACCCACATCGCCACTCTCGAAGTACCTGACACAGCCAACACCATAGATAGACACACTACCTCGCACGATGACACAATCACACATCCTCGGGATCGCGACCCAATTCCCAGAACTACAGAACACGGTCGAGGGTACCGAGGCGTTCTTCAAGAAATGGGCCAAACCCAGCGAAGGGCAAGTCCACGCCGACGGCACATTTGTTCTCTAGCCCTTATGCTTCTATTCTTCTTCCACGTCCAACATACCAGTACGATTTACTAACCACCCCACCTCATGCACTCATCCTCGTCCGCACAGCCTGGAAAAGACCCTGAAGATCAACCGTTCGACCCGTATTCTCACCCGTCCCTCCGTATCCGCCCTGACTTCTCCCTTGCTCAACGGTCCTCAAGCACCGACGATCAAAGAGGTCAACAAGGTGTTCATGCAGGAAGGTGTCAAGCTGGCGGTACAGGCGGCGGAGAAGGCTCTGGCGGATTGGGGTGGGAAGAGGGAGGATATCACGCATCTGGGTGAGTGGGAGAGGGTTTACGATTCGGACGTGTGTGATTCCTGTCTGGTTTGAGTGTCTCTGGGTCTGGATGAGCGGGAGCGAGAAGAATTCAGGTCGAGGAGAGAGAAGGAGAGCTCGTAAGGGAAGTGATAAGGAGAGGAGAAGAGGAGAGGACAAGCTCGAATTCACAACAGGGAGTCTTCCCAGGAGCCAGAGCTGGACCAGGAAGCAAGCGAGCGAGCTTTGCGAGGACACGGGTCGGAATCAAGATCACGGTTTGGGAACGAACTGCTTGCGGGACGGGTAGTAGGGTCAGAAACCTGGACCCAGCTTCTGGAGTCGAGTTCGACGTGGTTTGGCAGTCTGGTCATCGTTGGTTCGGATCAACTATGTCTGAGCGAGCTTGACGACTGACGAACGTCCTATCCCAATTCTTCAATTTCCCTGCTGTCAACCACCCGACAACCGACCATTCCCCTCGAATCGATATCGTCGCTATCCGACTTGTACAGTGTGCAACACCTGTACCGCCAGTGCTTACCCGTGAGTGGCGCTACGTCTCCCAGTTCAGATTGGTCAAGGCTCACGCTTACATATCTTGACAATCGATCGGCTTCTTCCCCTTTCTCGGCAATCACGTACAACAGGGGATTTGATCATGCGGTTCTCATGGCCCTGGGGCTGGGGTTGGACGTGGATAGGACCTTGTTACATGGAGTCGGTTGTGCAGGTGAGCCCGAGCGACTAGCGAACTAGAAACCGGCATGCTTACTGTATCTGTCTGATCTTGCCTACAGGCGGCTTGTCTGCACTGCGGCTTGCCAACTCGTTCGCTCAGATCCCTTCCAGCAAACCCGCTCGAATCCTCGTCATCGCCACTGAAGTCACGTCCACCCTCGTACGAAGCGAGCTGGAGGAGCTAGACAGGTCGACCGGCAAGATGGGGAGCGTCGGGGTTTGCCTGTTTAGTGATGGGGCCAGCGCGATGGTCGTCGGTGGAGGAGAGGTGCAAGAGGGTGGTGAGTCGCCGTCGGGTCTTGAGCCTTTGAGATATCTGAACGCCGACGTCGTTTTGTGCGAGGTTCTAGAAAAGGCCAGCTTTGAGGTGATCAAGACGCTAACGGAGACTTTGCCGGATACCGTTCCGGATCTCGGATTCAATGTGGACGAAAACGGTTGGAAGGTGAGTCTACCTTTCTACATATTCCACACCACGCAACGAAAATCGAAGATTGACTGTTGAACGTGCTCTAGGCCATCATCTCGCCCCGCGTACCCTCGCTGACGTCGAAAGCGGTGCCGAACATGTACAAGAAACTTCTCGTCGCTGCCGCTGGATCCTCGGACCTGACCCCTTCGCTCCCCTTTCTCTCCTCGGAAGAACCTACTTCGACCCCACCATCCTCGCTCGACTGGCTCATCCACCCAGGAGGCGCCTCGATCCTAGCCAAGATCGAACATTCCTTGGAATTGCGATCGTCTGATCATACTCGGGCCAGTTGGGAGGTCTACGTGAAGCGAGGAAACACGAGCAGTGTCAGTATTGGGGCGGTGATCGAGCGCTCGAGGGCTCTGGGCGGGAGGGAAGGATGCGTCGGAGTCAGCTTTGGACCAGGAGTGACGGTCGAGGGGTGTCTGCTGCGGCGAACCGGATGGAAGGGACGACGAGCCGAGCTGAATGGCGGAATGAAGGTCGAGGTGGACAAGGAACCGGTCTCTCCTCCTCCCGCCGTTGGAACCAAGAGGAAGAGGGGAGACGCGGGCGAGGATAGCGATGACGACGAAAGGGAAACCACGATGGAGGTGGGAGGGAAGAAGCGCTCGATCGCGGCGACCAATGGCCATGCCAAGGATCTCGTCACTGTTAATGGCAAGTCGAATGGCGTCTCGCATACCTCGGCCGAGGCTGCCAAGATTGCCCACGTCGATGGAGCCACCAACGGCAACGGACATGTCACGACCAATGGCACCGACAACGGCGAGGACAAGAATGCGCCTGGAAAACACGAAGGCGGGGTCATCAACGGACAAGTGAATGGGATCATCAGCGCGCCCGAGGGATTTAGTCGAGATCTCAATGTTGGGGAAACGCAAGAGAAGATGACGACCGTGCCGTGAGAATACGCACGAGGTCATTAGTCTGGATTGTGCGAATGGGTTACGGAAATGGGCAGGGGAACGAAGTACAAGAAGATCGTTCGGGCTATATTTTATCGGGTTTAGAGGGCATACGTCTTACGTGTATTATCCTTTACGAATGTCAAAATGCAGATTAAGACTGTGACATCAGTGACCCGCTGCCGGGAGGCAACGAAGCTGGATCAGACGGCATACCGTGAGGTGGCGGCGGCTGACTCTGAGCTTTCCCATCGATGGCTTGCCTAAAAAAAGCCATTCGAGTAAGGCGTCTAAGTGACACCATATAATCAGCGATTGATCCTGCTCAATTTGACTACGTCAAGGTTGCCTATCATCTTTTGAGCAGTCTGAGGTTATGGGAGCAGCACGATGCAGTATGTGGAAGATGTTACGACACGTATCAGCGCCAGCGACGTGATATCGCGAATCACAAGCGATCTATCTGTAATCGATCTTGCAATTCTTTCATGACGTGATCAGTGTCGATCGCGTTGCTATACTTGTCAATCAACGCGACGAGGCATGCTACAGTGAGGATAGCAGGAGGCAAAAGTTCGAAGAAGCTGAGATATGCTGGCGATTCGATGAAAGGAAGCGCGTTCATCGGAACGATACTGTCGTAGTAACCAGAAATATAACCGCATGCAATGATCCTTTTGAAGGGCTCGCATGCACTAAACCTTTTAGTAGGTCATCCTTATCACAGTAACCATCCGTGATGCCCAACCTCGAGCTTACTGCCACCGCCGAGAAATACGTCGAGAGGGTCGGGTACGTAGCCAATGCAGGCTGTCTTACCCAAGCACAATTGAACGATGAGCTGGCGGACAAATTGGCGGCTTTCGAGGCGCTGCAAACAATCCCTCATGTCAGCAAGAGCGATATAATCCGCTAAAGACGAGATCTTCAATCGAGCTCGATTTGAGCAACAGAATTCGACTGTCAATCGATCACTCTCCCAGGAAGAATCCCCTGCCGAGAAGGCACAGGGTTTACGCGCTCTGAACCGCGTAGAGTGGTGGGCTGACGAGTACTATGTCGGATTGGGCACGTGAGGAATGCTGAGTCTATGAGCAGGGAAACTTTGAAAGCTGAACTAGAGAAGAAAGATCAACAAGTCCATCGACTTGCGTCAAAGCATGGCGGTGTCACGCACGGTGCTGACCTCGCCAAACGGATGGTCGACTTGAAAGCCTGGGGATCCTGGCACCAGGCATACTCGCAATTGGAGTCGATGTCGTCAGGTGGAGATTCAGCATCAGACGTAGGGTCAATTGAGAGTGGGGTAACCCAACCATCTACCGTTGACCAAAGCCTTTTGAGCATTGCCTGCATGTTTAACGCCAGCGTGACCCACTACCCTACGACCATCGTTTTTATTTAGCAGCATTGCTGTCTGTCTAAAGGAGAACTTGAAGGTGCCATCCATGTATTGCTTTTCGATTGATTTATGCGCACGACAGGCCCTTCTCACTCCTGTTTCGCATGTTGAGGAAAGAGGTGTGTAACATGAAAGGTAACGAAAGTAGCTTGAATATACTGTACATAGGCGAGAGCGTCCATACTTTAGTCATCCAAAGGACATGAAACCCTCCCCGGCTAGATACAGCTATACTTGTACATATGGATCTTCCTGCTTCAAGCACACTGGGATTAGCGTGCTAGCATTCTTTTTAGAACCAATGTCGCAATACCTCTGGTTCTCCATACGATACCACATCATCGAAGGATCTCCCTCACGATGAGGGCCGAGTTCCTCCACGTGTATACCGGCCCACGTCACCTGATGCATTCGCTTGCCAGCAGTAGTATGGCATGGCATTGTACGAAGGTTGTCACAAGTCAAGTCACTGCGGGTGCAAGAAGTCCTTTCTCTTCGACTTGATTCCGCATTTTCGCTCGGTTTCTGTGGTCTGTAGTTTGTAGTTTGTACATGTTGTATGAGTCTCTGGTCTCTATGTCTCGTTCTACGTATCTCGCCTTGTTCAACGTTCCCGCGAAGTGTCGACTACAATTCCGACAGTCGAACCGGAGCGGAAACCGATATGTCCAGCGTGTAGCAGATTTACCAACTTGCTTGCGCTAGATCAGAGTACTCTGGACGCTTTGTTTAACTTTTTCTCTCTTCTCTTGCTGGACGGTTAGAATCTAGTAGACTACAGAGAGGCTGATTCATCGCAACCAGTAGTGATCCCCTCCCGCGTTTCACCTTTTGCCCCTTGATTGATTGATGACGTGTGGCGCGGGAGATGAGATGACGCGACCTTTTTGTTCGAATCGTGTTGTTGTTGGATGATTCGTCTTTTTGTTCATCATTCCGGAATGACTCTCTCGTTTGATCACATAACTGCATCGCCATCTATTTCGTCCAGCTCTCGACATCGCACGTTGACCTCGAGTCTTCTTGCATCAAACACGCAAGCAACTCGTCATGACCCATGCAACGCTTCTCACCCAACGACTCCGAGCTCGAAGCGGGATCATCCACGGTCGGTCCCCGTTCTACCTTCTCTTCCGATGCTTGAACCGAAGTTGACTCCTGCTTTTACGGCTTCAGGCATTCCTGGACTATCGTGGCTCTTCTCAAAGATCGCTCACCTCAAACCTAGAACTCCGCTCGAAGACCTCTTGAACGCTCCCTTGCCTGGACACGATCGAGAACAACGCGGAGATTCCCGGGCGATTACCGAACCCGAACTCTTGCATCATCTGATTGCCATCGAAGAACGAATCAACCAGGTCTTGGTTCATCTTGAAGACCTCGAATCAGCCCAAATCGACGGCGATAGAGCTTCTCATTCAACTCCTCAAGTCGAACTGGAAGAGAAAGCCTCGATCGACAGGGGGATGACGGCGATCTCCCAGCTCTACTTGAGCGCTCTTGGGTTGATTTTGGACCATCAATACGACGCTTGGTACCCTTCTCCGGGGGTACAAGCTTGGGAACGTCCGGTTCCTACTTCATCCTCCTCGTTGGCATCGGGTCCGTCCAAGGCAGATCATCAGGTTGAGATGGATCTGCTCACCGCGGCCATCCACGCGCTGGACAAGGCCATTTACTGGAGATCGATCGTCCTCCGTCAATCTCGTATCGATGAGCCCCACCATGGATCTTGGGCTTGGTCCAGCTCTGCGACCGGACGGAGTGTAGATCGAGGGCTGGCGGGAATGTTCTTCCCTCTACCCACTGAAGCAGGGGAAGAAGGAGATCAGATCGGCGAAGAGATTAGGGGTTTGGAGGCCTTGCCGTACCTCTTGGAGAAGACTCAGGCGGCTTTGGTACACGTTCTGACGAAGGATCGACAGGTCCGACGGCAGCCTGGTCAAGGTCGAGCGGACGTTGCCCGAAGAACTGGAGAAGAAGATGTTGTGGACCTCACTCCAGGCGAAATTTTACGCCGGGCGAAATACCTAACGGACCTTCTCAATGTCTTCCATCGACTCCCTTCCAAGCTGGTGCGAATGGCGCTCTTGCCTCCCGAAGTCTCGAAACAAGCAGAGATGGACGGAAAAATGGTCGGATTGTGGATTCGGTTGAAAGCGGGGGTGAGGAGGGTTGAGATGCTGCACGATTCGGGAAGGGTAGAGGAGAACGCGAGGAAGTCGGGGTTGCAGGTTGGGGGTTATGATCCCGACGAAGATGAGTTCGGGGGTGAAGATGGACAAGACACGAACTTGAAGTACTCGACCGAGATCGAAGAGACGTTCAAGCGGCTCCTCATCCAGATCGAACGGATCCCGGGGGAAGACCTGGCTCCATTGTTGACCCGCGCTCAGCCTTGGCTTCCCCGAACCGTCACGGCCGGAAGAGAACGATCGTTCTCTTCTGGGTCTTCCAGTTCGTCTTCCTCAGACCAGGATGGTGATAGCGACAATGAGAGTGATAGCGATGGAGATGAATCTGATACAGGAAAGCCTAGCGACACAAATTCGAAGCGCTCTCGACCCGCTCATCCGGACCCGCCTAACCGGCCCCTCCTCATGCGCCTACTGAGGATGTACAACCGGTACCAAGAATATCGGTACGCGCTTCACCTCTCGCAACCGGTCGTCGACGTTGTCGTCAAGGTGGAAAGTCCGAAAGGGAAAGGCAAGGATACGCCTCCTTCGGCTCGAAACGGCTCGGGAAAGAGGAAACTTAGCAGGTTCAGGGAGGATGGGGAGCTGGGAGCGGTCTGGAGGAGGGTCATGTGGAGCGTCAGCGAGATCATCGGGATGTAAGTCTAGTCTGGGTCCCTCTTGATCACCCTGTTCCGGATCACTGACGTGTTTGTTATTTGACGGACTTCCTTTTTGCTTTATTAGGGAGAAGATGCTGAGTCTCGGATTAGACGAAGATCAAGCGGAAGAATGGCAATTCGTCTACTTTCCCGTCCGGGCCGACGATTTCGAAGATGATGAGGACGAAGTCAGTGGTGATGGCGCTCAGGCAGGTTCCGTCAGTCCGGGAAAGAGCAGCCTCAAGGCCAGTCCGAGCGGGAAAGCAAAAGGAAAGGCGCGAGCAGCGTTGCAATCTGAGAGTGGAAGCAAGAGGAGAAAGTTAGACGATGTGAGCTGGAGGTCCCGCCATCTCCCTTGTCAACTATTTGCGATGCTGACGGTCAACCTTCTTTCCGGCTTGCCTTGTCTTAACTTCTCGGCTGCGCCAACCAGGTCGAGTGAGGATGTCGAATCACCCGCATAACGGGTTCGATCAGGACGCACGGCAGAATGGCTCTTGTAACCGGTACCAATTAGCAGAATACCATCTCGTCAGTCTTGTAAATATTAGGGCTCAGACCCTTTCGGATCGGATTCTAGTATGGTTACCATCCGCGATATTACACGGCGTGATCGCCTATCGAATGTGAGTGATTTCGAGATGACCTGGAAACTTGTCATATGCATCGCATCGCACAGCAATCGAGATCTTCCTCCTCCTTGCGTTGATACAGCACATTCACAATTGTCCGTTATTGTCCGTATAACCATGTCACAAGCAGACCTAAGCCTTGATAACCTTCTTGACGTCCAACAGTCCGGTCTTGACGCAATCCAACTCGGACTTGGTAGCGGCGAGATCCGCCTTGACTCCTTCGAGTTCCTTCTTGATGTCCTTCAAGTAATGCAAGACCTCGGACAGGTCGATGACCGGAGGGCAGACAGGGGCAGGAGCGGGAACAGGGGCAGCGGCCTGGGCGTCGGGAATAGTGACGGCGCTGGGTTGAGGGCCAGCCGAGGTGGAGCCAGCAGGAGCAGGAGCAGGGTGAGTGGTAGTGGCCTGAGGTTGGGCGTGGGTCTCTTGAACGGGGACCGGGGCGACAACGACAGCGCTCGAAGCGGCGGGAGCGGCGGAAGATCCGGGAGCTTGGGTCTCGGTAGTGGCGGGCTTCGAGCTGACAGGTTCGGCGGCCTTGGAGGTGGCAGGCGAGGCGTGCTCCGAGGTGGTCGACTGGACGACAGGAGCCGAAACGACGGAGGTAGAAGGAACTCCTTGGCTGGCGGCCTCCTTGGTGGATTCGGCCTGTGTGGACTGGGCAGCACTGCTAGTCATAAAGCTCGACGCAGCAACGCTAGAAGTGGCAGTCGAAGTGGCGACCGAGGTAGCATTGGCGGTGATACTAGCAGTTTCGGTAGCCGTAGCCGTAGAGACGGGCAAGGTGGTTGCCGTCGCGTTGACAGGGTAAGGCAACCCAAAGTAATCGGGAGGCACTTCACCTCGGCCGCTAAGAGACGAATTTTCGTCAACATCATATCAATGAACGCTCGGTATTGGCATCTTGTCGAAGAAGAACCTTGTACTCACTTGGCGGTACACTTTCCTTCGGTACAATCGGCCGAGTAAGGACAGCTCGAGTTGGCCGTGCAGCTGTCTCCAATGGAAGCCGAAGCGTTGAAGCTGCAACGTAAAGTGAGACCGAGTATAGATGTCAGATTCACCGACTACAATTGCGTCTCATATACCGCCGCTGAAGGAACTCACTTGCTGATACAAGCCCTGAAGGTGTTGTCGTAATGCACACATGTCTGAGTGGGGAGACACTGGTCCGAGGTCGTGCACGCATCCAGCTCCTTGATCACCCTCCTATCGCAGTCGCAAATCAGGTAGACAGGCAAGGTCAGCATTCCGCAAAGTGGTAAACAGGAACCTCAAGCCGAAATTCGCACTTACTTGGGAGCACAGGCTCGGTTCCTGCCGAAGGTGGTGCATTCCTCGGTAGGGATACAGTCCGAGTCGACGTTACAGGTGTTGCCAGCGACGCCCCTACCAAGTACGCAATTTTCCCATGGTCAGCCTTGCGTTTCCCTTGGGCGGTTCTGAAATCGAAACTCACCTGATCTGACACAACGAGACGTTTGGGTTGATGAAATTCGGGTCGTACTCGATGTACGTGAAACAGACTTCCGGGGCGGTGCAGTCAGCGTTGGTAGCACACTTGGAGTAGGTAGACGTCTGTCGTTTGCTACTGGTCAAAGCAGGGAGATTGCAGGCAAATTGAAATGGATATGGTTAGCGATCTGACCAGGAGGCCGAGCGACGAAGATAGAACCTGGACGTACGAGATGGATCGGGCGTTGGCGGTGACGGCCAAGGCGGACAAGAGAGCGATGGAGAACTTCATGTGGATGCAGAGATTATCGATTGACTTCTATTAAGGTGTTGACGAGTCCTTGATGACAGAAAGGCGTAACGCGGAGTGTTTGAGCCTGGAATGAAGGTGTAGGTTGTAGTGAAAACGAAGGTGATGTCTAGCTGAAGAGCTGCTAGAGCTGTAGTAAGATCGTGGTCGTATGGAATTATTGAGGTTGAACAAGGGAAGGAAACGACAGGCGATAGGCGGTGGTCATTCCTCCTTGGTCCGACCTCGTCGAGATGTTATATACATTTTCAGGAAATCGAGTGATCCCAGCGACTCGCATGGGCGCACGTCGTGACCCTATTCTCGGCTCGCAGAAAGCGCATCGACGGCCCCCTGCCCGCCCACAAGTTACGGGGAAAGAGAGAGCGAGGAAGGGATGACCGAAGACCGAGATCATGCGTTCTCGCCCCTGTTCTGCAGGAGTGGTGTCGCTGTACGCTGTACGTCATGACACTCGACCTCGGTGTCCCGCCTGTCGTCCGGAGTGTTTGTTGTTTGTTTGTTTACATTTCGGAAGCCGGGGATCGGGCCTTGGGTTCGGAAGCGCGCCAGCCACAGCCACCGGCCGAAGGTGACTGACCCGAACAACATCAACAAACAATAATACTGGACTGGCGACAACGGTCTTGGATGGTGGCAGGTTGATCATGAAGACGGACCGGCGGATCGCAAGAACGATCTACTGTCGCTCAATTGGCCGAGAAGAACATGAGCCTGCTCGTCCGTGTAAAACCGGACTACATGAACCCAAATCCCCTCACGAAAAGGTAGCCAAGTGGCTTGTGCGGAAGGATACCGGCAACGTCTTCCAGAACGTGGCCGAGGACGCGACGCTACGCACACTGACAGAGTGCCGACCAGAAGCGCGAAAGGGAGCAACAGCGTTACCGACCTTTCAACGGGCTCGTTCCCAGTCGCTTATTCGAATTCGAATAGCATAATTGGTATCATGATCGTCAATGTTGTACGGTACATAAGGCAGATCAATCGTCAAGCGGGGGTGGATTGTTCTCAAACACCTGCAAGATCCTCACTGTTAGGCGTCGAGAAGGCTCCAGGACGCGCGCTATAACACTTACCTGCATGATTCTCGACTCGACGTCCAACACCCACGCAGTATACCTGTCTGAGGGAATCCCTCCCGCTCCCGATTGACCTAAAAGATCGGCTCGAGTCAGAACAGCTCTACCCATGTTCCGTCCCACTGTTCGTCTGTGATGAGGGATGTTAGTGAGATGAAGTGATGAGGGATGGGTCTGATCTTACCTGTACATGTCCGTAGGTCCTCTTCCGCCCAACCCTCCATCGCTTGTACCCTCCACAGAAGAAATGGTCGACCTCGGTATCGGGGGGAGATGACTGCCCGGTTTCGGTGGCATGGGCGTTCCGGAACGGCTCGGTGTGAATCCGGAATGGCTCGGTGTTGACGGCACGGAACTGCTCGGTGGCACGTGTTACGGGATCATCACGTGAGTCGACTACCGACACATAGGCTCGATCTACGGACATCAGCATACACCTAAGTCCGGCTCGACGAGGCGAATCCGATTCCCTCGGAACAGATTCGGTCGCCCCTACCATTCGCCTTCACCATTCACCGAAACAACAAACCTTCCCGACACATATCACAAACAGGTACAGGGACCTCGAGGTACACGACACTCTACTCAGGACCTCGACAACCTTACTCGACGTACCTAGGGACAAATGAGAACTCAAACTCGCCTCCTCTACCGAATCCGGCTGCTCTCGACAGGATTCGTCTGTTCGCCATCTCGTTCTCCCAGTTTCGCCATCTTTCGACATTCTTTTCTCTTGGGTCTTTTCAGTGTTTGCCAGCCCGTCTACGTACTCGTCTCCGTATAAATAGCTAGAGGAACTTGACCGAATTCGATAGAGGACGCTCTGTAATAGTTAGAGGTCAAGTTCCGATATCACATTCAATACACGCCTATCTGACTTGTTACAACATCTTCAAGACGTGTTGCGGAGAGGTTACAACTCAAGGACGTCGCTAAGTATCTACGCTTCATCGTTTTACCTTAGACCGAATCTGGTACCTCACACCGAGTGATCACCTTCCTTATCCATACATCTCTGGATTCGTATCCCGCACCCGAACCCGCTTCATCTAAGCGAACTTGCGACATTCTCCCGACTACCTGCGATCGACCTTAAGCACCCTACGCCTTACGACTTAGGACCTATCGCCCATTAGCGACTTCCGCCGTAACAGCATATCGGAACTTCTTTATCGCACCTGGTTAGGACAATGTCAGTCTATTCCGAAAACCACGACCTGCCCCCCGAGGAAGAACAGCGGTTCTCTCGAGCCAGGACCGGCTCAATCGAAACGAATCCGGCTCCTAGGGAAACGGACTCCGAACGTATTGGTCGTCTCGAAGAACAAATCCTGGAACTCATGCAGACGATCAGGAAACAAAGAGACGAACTCGCTACACGAGAAGAGATTCCGGCTCCCCTTCCTCGAAGGCAGTTCAACATCTACCCATCCAACCCTCCATCTCTAGCGGGAACTACTATCGACCCTAGAGAATTTCACCGGCCTTCGGTAGCTCGGTCCAGGGATCCCTATACTCCTATGAGGGACGTTCCCCTTCGGGAGAACGAAGCGGATCTGCTTGCCAAACGAACCAAGGAACCGAAACCGGCTGATCCACCCACGTTCAAGGGAGACGCCAAGGAGTTAGACGAATTCATCGTTAAACTCAACATGGTCTTCCGACAATTACCTGGACGCTACCCCACTGGAGGATCCAAGATCGATTTCGCTATCGGATTTCTTGGAGGACGAGCTTTTAAAACGGTTTCGTCTTATCTCCAATTGGATGAAGCGGACCAACCCCTTTTCTTACACGACTACGATGCTTTCAAGAGGTTCTTGAAGCATAACTTCGGGGGCTCCAACGAGAAAGCTGCAGCCCAAGCCGCTTTAGACAAGTTGGTTCAAACCGGATCCGCTTCGTCGTACTTCTCCGAATTCACCCAGTACAGTCCCTTGTGTGGCTTTAACGATGAAGCTCTTATCGCTGCAGCAAAGAAAGGACTGAAGGCCAAGGTGGTGGAACGTCTCGGTATCCTGAACAAACGGATGGAGTTCGCAGACTTCAACGAGTTCAGGAATGAGGCCGTCGACGCGGACAATAGGCTTCACGATGATGGGGTTCTCAACCGAGAGGACGAGAAGCGGAACGCTCGCAAGGATAGCAGGAAGGAACCGAATCCGGTTCGATCCGAGCGAGTTGTCACCGAACGGACCAAAACCTATGAAAAGGAGGTCGTCAAACCCAGAGGTTCGACTCCTTACCAGAAAGGTCCTATTACCGATGAAGAAAGGAAGAGGCGCCGCGACCTCGACCTTTGTACTTATTGCGGGAAGGCCGGACACTACGCTTCAGCCTGTCCTGTTCTTGCCGGCAGGAATGGAGGAAGTACTCCTAATGTCGAACGAGCTAGAAATGCGACAATCGAAGCAGTTCCGGCTCCCACCTGGGCGAACAAAGCGAATCGAACCGAATGGATCAAGTTTCGCTTCCAGGGGCAAGACCCTCTGATTACGATGGACTTCCATGCAGGAGCATCTTCTTTCACGACCGATGCCCTGATCGACAGTGGAGCCAGCTGTAATTTCATTCGTCCCTCTGCGGGGGTACTCCAACACGTTGAGGCGATCCCTTATGATCAGCCGAAGCGACTCCGGTTGGTTGATAACCAACCTAACCCGAATCAGCGAGGAGAGATCACTCATTACGTGAGTCTGATTTTCTATGTCGGTGGACATATTGGTCCCTACTCCCTCGACTTCGACATTGCGGAAATTGCGGCCCCGGATATCATCCTGGGAGTCCCATTCGTCAAGGGTCTTCGTACCATCACGGATTGGGACACTTGCGAGATCAGTTTGATCAAGCCGGATTCGCCTCTCAAGGGAACGAATCTGGAATATTTGGAGCGAAACCGGTTCCTCCGAAGACAAGACCCGGAAGTTGTCGACACAGATGTCGATCCTCGAGCGCTACGGGAATTGGGTCTGGAACACGACGACGAAGAGGATTACGACATCGCATCGGAAGAGATGCGTCAAGTGATTCCAGTTGAGTTTCATGATTACTTAGACGTATTCAGGAAGAGCGATTACACCAGCCTTCCTCCCCACAGGTCGTACGATCACGTTGTGGAACTTCTACCAAACGTGGAGTTGAAACGACTTAAGCCTTACCCGCTCTCTGCTGCGGCAGACAAGTGGCTCAAGAATTGGATAGACGAATCGAGGCGGATTGGGCACATTGAACCGAGTTCGCATTGGTTCGGTTCCCCGGTCTTCCTCGTACCAAAGAAGACTCCTGGAGAATTCAGGATGGTTACCGATTTCCGAGCATTGAACAATGCTACAAAGAAGAACGCGTATCCGCTTCCGAAGATCAATACCACCTTAGAACGAGTTAGCAGAGCTCGCTTCTTCTCCAAATTCGATATGCCAACTTCATACCAGTTACTTCGAATGCGAGAAGAGGACGAGGATTGGACGACAATCCTAACTCGCTACGGGTCATTCAAGTCTCGAGTCATGCGAGAAGGTATGACCAACGCAGGAGCCAGTTTCCAGTTCTTCATGAACGATGTGTTCAACCCCCTACTGGATCAGGGTGTTACCGTATACATTGACGATATTCTGGTGTATACGGAAACGAGGGAGGAACACATTCGGCTCATCAAGGAGGTTTTTAACCGGATCCGCGCCTTTTCGCTTTATTTGAAGCCGAAGAAATGCGAGTTCTTCAAGTCTTCTATCGAGTTCCTCGGCTACATCATCAAGGATGGGCAAATCGCTATGGCTCAAGACAAATTGGAGTGCATCCGAACTTGGCCCAAACCGACGTGTATCAAAGAAATTCAACGATTTCTTGGATTTACCAACTATTACCGACGATTTATCAAAGGATACGCTGGGTTAACACTTC